CCTGTGGGGTTTATCTGCGCCTTCAGGGGACCAACAGTGCTCCCCTGGTTCTATTCCTGTCACGTTCGTGACACTTAAGTAGTTTAAAAATAAGCATTTTAATTTAGGTACTAGTTTATTTAGCTTAGTTTTAATTTAAATGATTTATGCCTTATATAAGCTAGTGGGTTATATGGCTTAGTATATTTTTTCCTTTGCTGTTTAGCTGTATAATAGCTAGCCTATGCTTATTTTTAGAACTAACTGTTGGTCCTATTTTTGTTAGGGTTGTGATAACAAGATTTATATTAATATTAAAATTATATATTTTTATAATTAAATTAAGCTTTTATATTAGAGTATTATAAAAACTGTTTTATATATAACGCTTTTATAATTTAATGTTTAGTTTAATTGTAAACATGTTAGCTATTAATATGAGAAGCATCCTCCTGGAGTGAAGCATCTCGGCGGCGAATGCGGCGCTTTTCTTTTGACCAGCCAGCTATTTGGCTTGACGGTCCTCGATTAGGTCAGAAGTCCCCGGGCAGTGGACCTGGTGAACAGTTGTGTGTTGGAATCAGGAAGCCACTATATAAGGGCCACAACCACGCTCATGGGTGTGGGTGCATTCATTTTCCCTGTAGCTTCATTAGATTCTTGTTTTTAGGGGCCCAGGAGGCCGGTCAAAGAAGCCACACCTGAGGTACTTCCAGTCCCGTGATTTCTCGGGAATCGGGATTTGATATTGGCATGCACTTGGACATTGTCAACACTTGGGAAGTGTATGATATCCCTACTCTGCTTCTATCAAGAGCCATGCTCTACAGTCTTCTTTACCTCTCATAAACTTGTTTTCCTCGATTCTGAACGTCAAGTCTGCAACAGGGAACTATAATGATCACGATCGACAATTGCTTGCAATGACTTCTTCTATCATGGATGCCAAACACCCATCTTCCTTCTCATGCTCCAGAACCTTCACATCAGCAAGTCTTCAGGTCATCTATTCCATGTTGTTGACGCGTTGATTTCCAGCTGTAGAACCGAATTCACCACCGTTTCCGGAAGCGCCAAAGGTAGGAAGATGGCCATCTGGTTGTTGACCCTCCTTTAGCAGATGATGGTCGCTTTTGATGTAGTGCACCTACATCTGGAGATGAGCTTGAAGAGCTAGCTATGATACTCCGGCCCGAGAACACTCAAGCACGGGATTTTGGCCCTAGTTGACAATGGTAGCAAAAAAGTGACCCGTATCTCCTACGATTTGAGCTTTGGGGAAAAGTGCATAGGTTCACCAAAGTGCCTTCCAGGTAAATAGCCAGTTTTGCCAGTTCTGGGTAGAAGATTATGTATCACTTTTGGCATGGGGAAGTCAAATCTGACAAATTCAACGCCAACAAATATGCCAGAGACATTGGAACCAAATTGAGGTCGATTCTGAAGATTGCTGGCGTCCTCTCTCGGTAAGGTGCCTACAGGATCCGGGAGGAAAGTAAGCCATTTGTATCCACCCTCGACAGGCACCACGACCAATGCACTTGCCGCAGAGCAAAAGGACGCAGATCCAAGTACGTCTACCAAGCCATCTAAGCCGAGTCAAACTAAGGGAGATCCGGTTGCTAGTCAGCAGACTGCTCACCCTATCCAGACAGGATTACTCAGGAGCCCTCAAAGTAAAGAGTGGCGGACGTGGTCGACCGCGAATGGCGATGTAAGTGATTATCCCTCAGCGAGTGTATTGGCTGTGGGGTGTTATTATCTAGGACAACTCTTTGAACTGGCCTCTAGGTTGCCCCAGAGCTGTAAAATGAAAGCACGATAATATGTATGTTACCTCCAGAGGCTGTCTTCTATTCATGTTAGGTTGTCAAAGACTAGTTGGAAAATATAGTTTCTTCTCATTTTTATAGTCTTAATACTGAGACGATTTCATCTTAAAATTTCATTTTAAACATTTACAGATCCATTAAACATTCAAAATTTGAAGAACAAGTTGAGAATAGGACGAGAATATTATATAACACATATATACACATATTGTTACTTTTTTCTAGACCGCCTCACATGATACATCATTACCCGTTATCCTATCTTGTGCTCACCGTTGAAAGGATCGATCAAATGTACTATTGATATGTGGGCTCAGCCTTCAATAATAGCCGTACGACTGCTTAAGAGTAGGCAGGCTCTTATAGGTGTCATAGGATACTCCCTCTGCTAATAATGCTTCCCATGACATAAATCGCCTACCACTGCTCCCATATAACATCTGGCAGTACAATTCTCATGACCTCCCAGTGTCCCAGCGCACTCTTCTGATGCCACTTTTCTAGCGCTGCAGTATCATTCTTCCTCAAGACAGTAGCCTCCTCTACAGCCATAAAGTCTTTCTCAGTGACCTCGTGCTTGGGTACAAGAAAGTGTTCCCGGGTGCGGCTCTGAAGCAGATCGGCGGTAGTGGCTTTGCGGAATGTGACGGGGCGGTCGGTCTTGACGCAAAAGATTACCATGTTTGTAAAGTCACGCTTCTCCTTTTCGATGACATCCTCGTCCCGAGGATTCTCACGAAAGACTCGACAGGAAGGGAAGACCTGTCTGATGGTATGGACAATGATCTTGGGCGGTGGAAGGGCGAAATCGCCGGCGTAGTTCTGGGACGAGATCAGCGTACAAGATCGAACAAAGCACCAGACGCATGCAACATACTATAGCAACCACGCCGTTAGGCTTCAAAAGTGCATAAAGATTCTGTAGGAACTCCAGCGTAAACAGAGCTATAGGCTCAGCCCCGCCAGTAAACACATCGTGGACTATATAATCAAACTGGTCTGTCGTCTTGTTGACTAGGTCTCCTGTGTAAGTGACTGCATCTTCGATGACTGGAGTATGGTTGGATGGAAGCTGGAAGTATTTTGAGGCGAACTCGTGAACGACAGGGTCAATTTCAACGACAGTCGTGTCAACCCCATGGGCCACAAGGGCTGCCGGCGTGGTACCGATGCCGAGCCCGCTGGTTTTGTAACAGTCAACCACAGATTCGCAAAAGCTAGAGTAGGGGCCAGGGAAAATTAATTATGCTCACATTACGAGGGCTTTAGCTTCACTGTCAGGAACCGGGTCTGAAACCTCGACGAGTCTCACTCCTTCGAGCATGGTGAAGACACCATAGATGGGCTCTGCGACTCTCAGGCCCTTGTACCGGATCCACTCCCCACCAAGAAGGCTATGATCGCATCTCATAACCCGGTATCCCGTCTTCAGGTTGTCGGCCACCGATATGTAGCCGGTCAGCGACTCCTTCCGGTCGTGAAGTATCCAGTCATTAGCCTGCAGGGTGCTGTTCAAAGACCGCATTGCCATTGGCGTCATGACATGGGTGTTGAAGAAGGCGGTATGCAGCAAGGCAGGCAGGGTGAGTACGAGGAACTTGGAGGGTGCAAAGAGGGCGTACGATGCGCCAAGGACGGCCTGCAAGATAACGCGGGTCTGGAGGACGGTCTTGCCGATGTACTGTGCTAGAAGCCCGGCAGACAAGCTCTCGACGAGCCTGTAGTAGAGGTAGGATGCGATGCCTGGCGTCGCATCGCGTATGAAGCCGGGCAAGACGGACAGGTCGGCGCCATCAAGATAGGTGGCGGTGCAAGCCACGGACAAGACGATGAGCGGGGCCAGGGTGAGGGCCTCTGTGATCAAGGGGCCATGGTAGGCAGTGAGTGTGCCGCTGAACTTGAAGAGGAAGAATTGGGCTACGGGGATGTACAAGGCGATTATGGGCAGCAGGTAGGCCATCCTGATAGGGAGGATGCGGCCAAGGTGCAGGTTGCAGGCCCAACCAACGAAGCAAGCTGCCATGACGAGCCGGTCATGCCATATCGACACAGGGATGGAGCCGTAGACGGGCGACAAGGCCAGCTCGGAGACGTTGGCGTAGACGGCCACTAGGCCAAGGAGTATGGAGGACCTCAGGTAGACAGAGGCTTGCTCGAGGAGCCACCTGGCCCATGTCTCGTCCTTTGCCTTTGCAGCCAGGTTCTTGAGCTCCTTTTCGAAGGCCTCGGGCGTGAAGGATGAGTTTGGATCTATCTTGGGCGGCTGCTTTGATTTCCCGGATGACTTTTTGGGAGGCATAGTGGCGACGAGGATGAGTGAGTGGTGCTGGGACCGTTGGAGGATATCGATTGCGGGACACAGGTATGGCACAGCTGTGAGGCGGTGGTGAGAACAGATATTGTTTTGTTGTCGTTTGTTTGCAGGGGCCTCAGTACAATGTAATATTGTTTTACATTATAGAAGGGGAGGAAAAACTGGACTGTGGTATGGTATGTGCCCCTGCCCTGCTGTCTGAAACGTCTGGCGGGTGGTGAGGGCTGCGATGTCAAACGAACCACATGTACATTACTGTGTACTGCTGCGGTGCTGCGGGTACAGGCCTGTGTTGGGAGCTATGACCACCTAGGCCGGGCCCCTTGCCCCTGCAATCTGTCGATAGCAGCCGGGCAGTACCTGGACCATGTACCAATGTACCTGAGTGCAGTGTCCACCCACAGGTACGTACCTGGACGAACCTCCTCTTGAGCATCATGTACATACACCAACCAATGACGTAGCAGCCCAAAGACCCTCGGCTTTTCCTCAGCAGATCTTATTGACGCGGCTAGAGGCGGGCAGGAGGGGTGGGAGAAGAACGTGAGGAGCTCCTAAAGGCCAACATACAGTAGCCTGCTTCTCCCCTCTCTTTCGTCGAGCTTCAACCACTTGGAAAACAAATAACTCTCTTTCCTCACGACCTCCTTTCACCCTCCATCGCTGCCCACCGCGACTCAATATGGCGCCAATTGCCCAACAGCACCAGCTGGTCGACCTCGGCCAAAAGAGCCTCTTCTGTTTGTGCTACCCTTGACCGTGTCAACCCCTTGCGCTTGCGCCTGGCACAGGACATCTGTGTTTCTGACGAGTTAAGCTCGATGTGTTAGTTTCTGCTGCGGCCATCGCCTTTAACCCCACGTTTTGGAAGTGAGTCCATCTCCCTGACACTGTGAGGGTGTCCCTACGTCGCTGTGTCTTTGTAGGTGTCTGCGTCTGTACCTGCGTCCGTCTGACTGACCTGTCGAACCTCCTTGCAGCATCGTTGCCCGACGAGAATATCGCACACGGTTCATGACCAAAGCATTCGGCGGCAACGCCCAGACAGCATGCTACTTCCTCGCCGCCACCATCTTCGGCCTCGGACTCTTCCGGGACTTCCTCTACGAGCGTGCCCTCCGTCACCAGCCCACGCACCCCCTTCTTGAGCAAGACGCGGCCAAGTATCTCGGTTACGCGCTCGTTGCCGCCGGAAACACCCTGGTGATCACATCCACGTACGCGCTGGGCATCACAGGCACCTTCCTGGGTGACTACTTTGGCATCCTGATGGACGACATGGTCACCGGCTTCCCCTTCAATGTTTGCGACGCGCCCATGTATTACGGCTCAACGATGAGCTTCCTTGGGACCGCCCTGGTGTATGGGCGGCCGGCAGGAATACTTTTGACCGGCTGGGTGCTCACTGTCTACCTCGTTGCTTTGCAGTATGAGAACCCATTCACAGCAGGCATCTACGCCAAGAGAGAACGTGAGAGGGCCGCGGGAGGTAAAGCCGAGGGCAAGAAGCAAAAATAATGGCAAAGGAGAGGAATGCCAGCAGGGCAGGGACTGCCTCGGAGATGCTCAAGGGTGGCTCTGTGGTAACGCCCGAGTTGTCGCGAAGATGGCAAGAGCAGGAGGAAACGAGGGCAGTTGAGAATCGGTAGTCATGAGCGAGTGATACAGGACATGAGCACAGGCAGGGCAATTAGAGACGAGCAGTGCAGCGCAACGAGGACTGGCGGGTGGATTGATCATATCCCATCCGACAACGGATATACAAAAAGCTGGCACGTGATATTAGAGGGATAAACACACAAGATCCTCCTAAGCGAACTCTGGGCACAGCTCGGAGAAAGACTCAGAACGGGCGAAGTTGTCCAGCCAAGACAGTCACCGCCTGATAGAACGGCTGAATATTATACCCCGGTTTTGAGCTAGAGTCTTGTGCTAGCGTACATTAGCCTTTGTAGAGTGAGTATGTGCACTCTGGCACTACTAGTTGCGTGCACAAAGAAACGAACAACGAAAATCAGACGCGGACTGACGGCTCGATGTCGGCTTGTGATTTCTTGGGGGCCGCCTTTTGGGTGGTATTGAGTGGCTGCACTGCCCCTTACCCTCGGCATGGCAGCCCGAATGGATTACACCGGAAGTGGTGACGAAGTCAATCAAACCTCCGCACGACGAGCCCGGCACAGCCAGGCCCGGCTTGTGGGTCGGGAGAAACCGTTACGTGATTTTACAACCCACTAACGAACGGCTGGGCCAAGCTTCAACGACAGCCATGGCCTTCTCTGCGCATCCCGCCCCGACCCTTGGAGGGTCACTGACGCTTTCGTAAATAAATTGCACCCCGCGATGTCAACACTCTCTTGCTGGAGGAACAGCGGCAGCAGCAGCAGCATCACAGTCAGCATCAGCAGCAGCATCAGCATCGGCCACTTTGTTTTCAACTGAGAAGTGAGAGGGTGAACCTGCCTGGCTCTGTGCCACCTCGACACCAGAACACCACACGCTTTTCCATCCTGCTCTCGCATTGAGGTGTGAAGTGCTGCTCGTCTACGTTCTGTCCTGCATGCACCGTTGAATGCACATACGAGACCGCTTGATGAAACCAGACATCGTTCGCACTTCCAGTATTGATCGGCGTTGAGGAACTCGATTTCTTGTCAAGACTGCCAGCATCATCACCACGACATACACTCACAGGCCAGAGCCATGGACAATCTCTCATCACCGTCCTCAACGGGTTTGGGAAGCCCGAGCGGCCCAGCCGTCGGGACTGTGCGAAGAGGAGGGGCCAAGGCCTCAGGAAATGATGCCGGTGGTGGCTCATCATCCCCGGTGCGGCCAGCCCACGACCCAGCCTCGGCGACAACGGCGGCCGCTGTCATGGGAGAAGAGCGGCAGTTGTCACCAACGCCAACTCTGAGCGACGAGGGGGGGCGGCGTTCCATCCCTGCCATGATCCGGCATGCCGTCTTTACCTTTGGCAAATTCGTCGGTCCAGGCTTCATGATTGCAGTGGCATACATAGACCCTGGAAACTACGCCACCGGCATCGCGGCCGGCGCCTCCTACCGTTTTCGCCTGTTGTTCATCGTCCTGCTGAGCAACATATTTGCCATCTTCCTGCAGGGCCTCTGTGTCAAGCTCGGCACGGTCACCGGGCTCAACCTTGCCGAGGCCTGTCGTGCATTTCTCCCCCGCTGGCTGAACTATGCACTGTATGTCATGGCTGAGATAGCCATCATCGCCACTGATTTGGCAGAGGTGAGTCACAAGTCGAGCCACATACTTCCGCTTATCCTGGGTCCGTGTCTTTGCTAAGAGCAGCTTCTCTATGGCAGGTAATTGGCACGGCGATAGCCATCAACCTGCTCATCCCACAGATACCCCTGGTGGCAGGCTGCGCCATCTCAATCCTGGATGTCATGATCATCCTCCTATTCTACAACCCAAATGGCTCCATGCGCGGGCTTCGCTTGTTCGAGTTCTTTGTGGTTCTCCTCGTGCTCGCGGTGGTCGTTTGCTTCTGCATCCAGATGTCCATGATACGCGGCACGGCGGTCGCTGATGTGTTCCAGGGCTACCTGCCATCCAAAGCGGTCATTGAGCAGCAGGGCCTGTACCAGGCTTGTGGTATCCTGGGAGCGACAGTCATGCCACACAGCTTGTACCTAGGCTCCGGAATTGTCCAGGCCCGGCTGAGGGAGTACGACGTCAGCAAAGGGCTGATGCCCCTCGGAAATCCGACCTTGTCATCTATCAACGAGACATCTGAGAAGAACATTTACATCCCTTCTCTGCGGGCAATACGACACTGCATGAAGTATTCAATCGTCGAGCTGGGCACCTCCCTGTTCACGTTTGCGCTCTTCATCAACTCGGCTATCCTCATAATCGCGGGTGCATCACTATACGGGTCCTCAGAGGCACAGAACGACGACATCTTCGCTATCCATGACTTGCTTTCCCGCAGCCTTGGCAAGGGTGCCGGCATTCTCTTCGCATTAGCGCTGTTGCTATCGGGTGTTTCCGCAGGCATTGTGTGTACCATCGCGGGACAGATGGTGAGCGAGGGTGCACTGTCGTGGAACATGCGACCGTGGCTTCGGCGGCTCATAACGCGCTCCATGAGCATTACTCCCAGTATCATAATTGCCGGTGCTGTTGGGAGGGAGGGGCTCGACACAGCCTTGAATGCGTCACAGGTCGCCCTGAGTGTCGTCCTCCCATTCGTGTCAGCGCCCCTCATCTATTTCACCTGCATGAACAAATACATGAAGGTCCTGCCGGGGCGAGCACGTTTCGGCGTCTATGTTGGTGAGGATAACGATGAAACCGATGACCGCAACCGATCTGAAGGTCAGGGGAGGCAGCTGGAGAATGTGAAGATGGCGAACTCAATACCGGTGGTCATCATCGCGGTGGTGATCTGGTTGATCATCGCCGCAATGAATGTGGCCAACCTCGTGCTGCTAGGCCTGGGCAAGGAATAACGAGCTGCTTCGTGAATGTACATCACGTCCGCCTTCGCCTCAGTCAGCAAGTGCAAAGTTGGATACACGTAGACAGAAGAAATATTTCGCAATTGTTCCTCGGAGTGAAAGCATCAAGCTCGGATGTCCACTGTTTGCCGAGTCCGGGCCGTCGGCTTTGTCGATCGAGAGTGGCCTGGCCTGATTCGACAATCGATCCGTGTACCCTGTCAAAGCCGGCATAACGCCAGAGGCTCTGGGACAAGCTTTATTGGCACCCTTGTCACTAACACCCTGAGATCACGGAGTCTTGGGGGTGCGGTACTCGGGACAATGCTGACGCCGCTCTAGGCAAGGGACTAAGGACTAGGCTTTGAAATACCAATGCTTCAACGCCCAGTATATGAACGTATCGTGTCATAGTCAAACAATTATAGATGGAACATGTTACCTTATCATACGCACGAATTTTGCATTTCGGCCGCATGAACACATCACAAGGCTGGCTGGTGCTGACTTTATTTGTGTCAGGTCTTTGCTCCCCCGGGTGAGGCTCCAAGAAAACTGCAAGGGAAACCTGCAACGCGCCGTCTCGCAGTGATGGACTCGCAAGAACAACCTGTCTGCACGGAGGCAAAGAACGATGAAAAGACACATCAGCTGTCCACCCCTTCCTCAACGGACAATGTCGAGACTGCTGGACCCCAGCAACGTGGCACTGAGGTGGTCTACCCCAAGCGCCCGACTCAGATTCTCATTCTCACATCGCTGTGCCTGTCCGTCTGTAAGTCACTACATGAGCCCATCACCACACTCTCATAACAAGATACTGCTCTTCTGGCTGGCCTTAGGCAGAGAGCTTCCGTGCTGCACCCAACCATTTGTCTGCCGATAATGTGCGTGATGCTCTCCTGACAGCTAATCTCGGATGTTGCAGTTCTCGTTGCTCTTGACCAGACCATCATAGCTCCTGCCCTGGGCGCTATCACGGCTGAATTCGAATCAGTCAAAGATATAGGCTGGTATGGCAGTTCTTATCTTCTCACAACCACGGCATTACAGCCGCTGTACGGCAAGCTGTACAACAGTTTCAGCGTCAAGATCATCTACCTCTTGGCCGTGTTTGTTTTCGAGGTCGGCAGCCTCGTATGCGCCGTGGCGCCTAGCTCGACAGCTTTCATCGTTGGCCGAGCAGTTGCCGGCATGGGAACGGCTGGGCTGTTCTCGGGCTCGATCGTTATCCTCGCATACACCCTCCCGCTTCGGCAGAGGCCTTTGGCATTTGGCTTGATCGGGGGTATGTGGGGAATTGCATCGGTCGCCGGCCCGTTATTGGGGGGTGCTTTCACAGACCATGTGTCCTGGAGATGGTGCTTCTATGTCAGTGAGTGACAGACAGGTTGTCTTCCCCCGACGAGGTAGACATGGCTAGTTGTGTCTTTAGCTGACATGGCTTAGACCTCCCCATTGGCGGTGCAACTATGGTTGCCATTTTCTTTTTCTTGCACGTCAAGGGCCAGAAGAAACGGGACCTCACCTTTCTTGGCAAGATGAAGCAACTGGACCTCATTGGGACGGCCATCCTCATCCCGGCAGTAATCTGTCTCCTGCTTGCCCTCCAATGGGGCGGCACCGAGTATCCATGGAACAACTCGCGCATCATCGGCCTGTTTGTAGGCTTCGGAGCCATGATACTCATCTTTATCGGCGTCCAGATCTGGAAGGGTGACGAAGGCACCCTCCCGCCGCGCCTCTTCAAGAATCGCAATGTGTTGTGCGCCATGGCATTCTCCTGCTTCTTCGGCTCTGCCTTCTTCCCCCTGATATACTACCTTTCGCTGTACTTCCAGGCAATACAGGGCGACACCGCCGTCGAGGCAGGGGTCAAGATTCTGCCGCTTCTCATTTCGACTGTAGTGACCAGCGTCCTCTCCGGAGGACTCATCAGCGCGGTGGGCATGTACAACCCCTTTGCCTTGCCAAGCATGGTTCTGTTTACGGTGGGCGCAGGGTACTACTCTCCTCGTTTCTTTGTCCCCGTTCGCTGCGTCATGACTTGCCCCATCATTACCATGAGAGCGGGTCGCCTTTGGTGGTGACCCGGCGCTCCTGTTGCCCTGCTCCATGCTGCCTTTCCCTTGCCCCCACCCGAGGGGATGCCCTTTCGATGCTGACACCCGCAAATAGTATGATCACCACCTTCACACTCGACTCCCCGCTCAGGGTATGGTTCGGCTACCAGGTGCTGGCGGGACTAGGCATCGGCGTGGGATTCCAGCTTGGGATCCTGGTCGTACAGGCTGTTCTGCCGCAGGAGGACATCGCGGTAGCGACCGCGTGCGTGCAGTTCTTCCAGTCCTTTGGAGGGGCCATCTTTATCGCTGTGGCACAGACGGTCTTCCAGAACGGCTTGGTCGAGGGGATACAGCGCGATGTTCCTGGCTTGAATCCCCAGATCTTCATAAACTCGGGCGCGTCGCAGGTTAGAGAAGTATTGAAGTCCCTGGGCATGGAACAATACACCACAGCCGTCCTGACTGCGTATCTGACCGGCTTGAGGCACTCATACTATATCACGGTGGCATGTGCCGCCTGTGCATTCTGTGCGGTGTCCGGGCTGAGTTGGATCAACATCAAGAAACTGGAATCTCGGAAAGCAGCGCCTGCAAGCGAGACAGACGCTGTCGACACGGCCGGGGAGGGGAGCCAGGAGTAGCAGACGGAGTGGAATACAATGCCCTGTGCTGCGTTTGCGACTTGGCACCAATTCGACCCCGTACGCAGCGATTTCCCCTCCTCGCGTTATTCCCACCCACGACATAACTTCTTCTTATTGTATACACCTACTCGGGGTACATTACTATGGACAGGGTCAAACTGTATAATTAGATATAGACGAGACTGCTGGAAGGTTAGACAAATTGAATGGGGGCGGCATGCTGCCTGGACAGAGCTTCCTCCGGCGAATAGCCAAACGAGTCTTCCTCGCGGTCGCTACCCAGGTGACATCCGGATCAAATGCTCCTTGTTTGCCAGCAGTATCCCATTGCCCAGGCAGCGAAGTGGCATGGCAAGGCCAGTGATGGCGTAATGCTGATACTGGTGCTGAACATAGATCTCGATCTGCTGATTGGGAACTTCGGCAGCTGGAGGGGTTCTTGACGAGCTTCTCAGATTGTTTTCAAGACGGAACGACAAGGCACAGTGGAGACATACTGGAGGGGGGTAATGCATGTGTGCCCTCGTTCCGCATGCCTGAGTTCGCGTTCAGCAGCCGTCTTCAACCCACTCAAGCACACCTTCACCCACCTGTGCTTAATCCGTTTCTGCCTCGGGTCGACGATGCCTAAGCTCAATCGGCTGTTGTATGGCCGGCCTTCGCAGCATGCCGGTGGCCGGACTCGGTCCTAGGAGCCCCTTCTCTTCCGACAAGTTTCCCGAAGGGTCCCGTACTCGGAAATCATGGGCTGTGGGGCAATCCTACCGTTGGCATATCAGCAGGTAGTGACAGGTCACCCTTGGATTCCTGCTGTCCTTGGGAAACCCCCTGTCCTCTGCAACCCCGTGTCCCCCAGGGATAGGAACTACTCGTCGGTCATTGAGAGAGGCCATCATCGAGATTCCCGGCGGAGCGTGTTCAAGCGGGCATAACTCCACTCTCGCAATGCTCCGGCGCGGAGAGGAGGTGTGCTTCCTGACGGTCTTGACGCCCGTGGTGGGATCCATTGGTCCATTCTCAAGCAAGGTTTTGCCGTGATTCATGAACTGTTCGTCCGGAGCAAATGCTCCGCCCAGTTCAACATCCACCGGCCCGAGGCCACCACCGCGACATGCCCCAAGCTCATGCTCTGAACAAACGCTCCTGGTTGTCGATTGCCTCAGCCTTCTCGATCCCAGTGTCCTTGTCCCACTGCTGTTGGCCCTGTGATCATCCCACTGCGATGTCATCAGCCACAAGGCTGCGTGCTGCCAAATGCCTCGTCCGGAAAGGCCCAGAAGGCTGGATGCCTTCATCTGACCGACTTTATAACACAGCAAGCACTCCCACAGAATTGGAAAGTCAATTGCCTTCCATAGATTTGCCCAATGTGCATAGGCGAAGAAACGGTGTCTTCATTTCTGCTCCGAGTCCGCCTCGACACTCTTGTGACACAGCTATTCCCCTTTCCCTACCTCGTCCATTGCGAGCAGAAGCTTCGCAGCGGAGCGACCGTTCTTTAGGTGCTGGCCATATCAATTGATATGTTCCTGTGAGGCTGAGGGTGGTAAGTAAGCTGCGCGAGATTGCCGAGATTGTGCAAGTTCACCCTCTACTAACCATCATGGAAGTCTTAGCGAGCCCATGCAATAGTTGTAGGCTGGTCCCATTAGCCGACGGTATATACGTCCGTCACAAGGCTCTCGAGGTGCCAAAGATACCAAAGAAACACGAAGGCCTACACGAGCTGGGACTTTCAGAACAGCTCGCAAGCCATCAGACCTTCACAGGCTTCAGCCGACTCCGCCAGCATCCATGGCCCCCTATCAAAAGCCAACTGTGGAAGAAGAAAAGGATGAGGTGTCAGACAGACCCATAACAAGAACCACTTCGGACGAGACAGCACATGAGGCATGGCTATGTAACACTCTGTTATCAGCACCATCGACAGAAGTGAAGCGATTGAGGAAGAGGAAGAGCCCATGGGACGCCTTGCAGCCACTGGGCAAGAGAACTTGTATTACTACCGCTTGCAGCTGAGAATCGAGCGATATTTCGAGCCTAATTGCAAGCCGTACTCTTGAAGACTTGCCTACATATGCGACACTGCCTGACACGGCTCGTGGAAAGGCGCATGATGGCGTCCACTAGCTCTGCGTGCCCTGTACAAATGTGTCTGGGTGAGGGTCTTCACCCTGTGAGCCGGGGACGCATATCACCCAGAAGCTGGGGAGGGGCGGGGGGTTGATGAGGACGACGGCACGGTCTCGCGACCAGCCGTGCGCTGTCGAACTCACCAACTCATCAGGCCTTTTGATCTGTCGAAACCGCCCCTGAGCTGCGACTCGGGCTTGACGACCTTGCCCTGAAGCACCGTGTACTTGACAATGCCCTCGCAGTCCTCCGGCTTCACCCTTCCTAGCCATATGCACTGCGCAGCGCCCGCATCCCCTTCGCCTCCGTTCGTCGGGTCCTTCTTCGTAGGTGCCCAGTTCTCGCCCTCTTTCACGCTCGTCCTCGCCAGACCATCCAGCCCGAAGGCGTCTGGCCGCCGGTAGATCATGACGTTCGCGCTGTACTTGTGCCCTCCGACGTGCGAGATGAAGTAGATGCCCACACCACCAGGTCGCTCGTCGTCCAGGTCACGTTGCAGGCCAAGCGGCCGTAGATGCTTCCCACTGTGTCAGTATATATGCGAGGACTGGGAGAGGAGACCGAAAAAAGGGGCATGTATATATCCTTACCCGCTCCAGCTCTTTTCGGATAAGCGGTGCCGATTGACCGCACCGTGCGTCACGGGTCTTTTGTGAGCATAGCAGTATCACGACGGCATGAGGACTTGGACGGCTTCTCAATCCTTCAATTTTTGCCGCTGGCTCGGGAAGGTCTGGCGGCGGCAGGGACTCTGGTATCGCAGCCGAGACGGGTTGGAGGGCGGATGTGTTGGTGGGTGACTTGTTGATATACTCGGAGATCAGCGTATGGACCGAGGCCGGCGTAACGTTCTCTATCACGACGAAGGCGGGCAGTAGGAGAAGCGTCGTAGGCTCCGAGTAGTCGCTGCTATGGTGGGGGGTTGGGATGTTGGAGGCCGAGAGCATGAGCCGCTGTTGATGTGGTCTTTCACGTCAGTCTCGTGCAGCACAAGGCAATGCAGGGCGATGCAGGGCAGTGCATAGCTCACTCCGTTGTTCGGCTTTTCTGCCTTGTCCATGGCTTGCATCAAACTGCCTTTCTCGTCGGCGACATTGTGCGTCCAGTCCGCCTTGCCCGTGGCCACCAAGACGTGGGTGCTCCATCCCTTGATATGGCCATAGAGATCGTCGCTCTCTTCGATCTTGAAGTTCCTGGGATAGTGTGTAGGGCAACTTTCGCAGTCCCTTAGGCAGTCCTCGCCGTCGACCGCGGGGTCGACCTTGGGGAAGAGCTGGCTGATTGGCGCACCGCCGGGTTCCCCAATGGCAAGCTTCTTGGCGCCATTAACGAGCGACTTGAACATCTTCCGACTGAGCTTCGGGACCTGTTGCCTCGTTTTCACTAAGTTGTCGAGGAGGGTCGTCAGTGGTGCTGTCGCGCGGACAAGACAGGTCGCCTCGTTGGTGGCTTCACCGGCCGCAAAAGGCTTGACTCGGACGTGTGGGTGGGTGGAGAAGAGAAAGCGAGCGATATGGAATCGGGAACCCGGGTGGGCCGGAAAAGAAGGACAAGGAAGCAAGAGGCAGGAGGAAGGGCGAGGACTTGTATGTGAAGCAGACAGGGCTCGCAGGGAGCGGCGCCGGCCACGAACGTCGAACGTGCTGGGTGTGTGGGTTGGGATGACTACAGAGTACAGTACGCACTCTTCTCAGCCCCGGTGTCTGCTCGCTTACCCCGAGCCGATCAGCCGGGTCGGTTCGGGTCCGCTCGCATTCACCGAAGTGCTCGGCCGGGGTCGCCTGTAACCAAGGTGCTGCTTCTCAGTAATCTCCAGGGCTATCAATCATGACACGCCGCCGCGGCGGGCCGGGGCGCCCTATACCGCGCCCTATACCGCTCCTCGTAAGTCCGACCGAACCCCGGCCACAAGTCATGGGCTGCCACGGCTGCATGGCCTCTTGCCCCGGAGATACGACATGCTTCGAGGACGACGAGCTTGCCCAGCAAACAAGCTGCATAGGTAAGCAGTGGCTGTCTGTTGGTAGAGTAAGCCATGTCAAATTACTGCACAACAATCAGCCAGCCGACATAATCTGTGCAACATGTTGTACCATTACAGCCAAGAGGCAAGGAAGGAAAAAAAACACATCGATATACTATGTCCAATTATCTATAAAAATTAAGCTGCTGGCTTCCGCTGTATCCATTCACGCTTACTGCCTGCCATCCGCTTCGTCCTCATCGTCGCTCTCGCCGTCGTTGCTTTGCAGCTCGAATGCTTTCTTGCCCGCGCTCTTCCGTCTCCTCAGCTCGCCTCGTTCCTTCATCTCTTGCCGGATCTTCCTGCTGACCTCGTCCAGGCCCTCTTTGGAGTCCAGCGTGGTGAACGCACTGACGGGGAACCCAGCAGAGCCGAACGCGCCACCTGAGCTGCTGCTCCTGCTCCTCGACCGCGACGGCGGCCGGGTGGAGAAGATGCCAACCTTGCCGATGTTGCTGTAGGACTCGTTCTTTGGAAGCCCCCGGCTGGACGACGTTGTGTCGCGCCTCGCGAGTGGCCGCGTCGGGCTCTCCGGCTCGAGGCCTGTGCTCGACATGTCACTGTCGCGTCTCTTGGTCGGCGGCCTGCCCGGTGTCCTCGGCCGGCCGTCGTCCTTGGATGGGTCGGCCACGATCCGCGTCTTGTCAAAGTCGGGGAACATTTCAGGCCCGAGTTCGTTGATGACCTCTGTCACCCGCTCACTCAGCTCCGCCCGCCGCTCCCTCAGCTGGTAGATATTGTAGCTGGAAGCAGGGTTGAGGCACATAACAAGAGGGCGCAGCGACTTGAAAATGTCCATCCCCACCTCTCCCAACCGGAGGGCCGCAAAAGTGATCAAAGGGAAGACTACCCAGCCGATCGGGAAGGCCGTCCACAGAGGTATCCATCTTGGGACATAATCCCAGTAGCCCCAGAGACGGTCCGCGTAGACTCTCCAGACGAAGATACAAATGTACGTGTTGTACAGGATCGGTGCAAAGCCCAAGGCTGTCATTATCTTCCATGTTGCCATCACGTCGCGACCTTGGATCTTGACCGAGGAGCCCGCCAATGCCTCTCTGGCCTTCTTTATGCTGATAAACTTTGTCAATACAAAAACGGGGGTGAAAAGGAGGAGGCCGGGCAGCGTGCCGACCAGGAGCACCAGTAGCTTGAGCACCCTGTAAATGGTTGTGAGTATGACTGTGTGTATGGGCATCCTGGCATATTGAACTTGATGATCGCGCATGTTGAGGTAGCGGAGCTGCTTGTTGTAGTCCTTGACCGCCTCCGACAGCTGGACGATGCGCTCGTCGTCTTTGTATTTCTCGTAGCCCATTGCCAATCTTCGGTTCAGCTCCACCACATACGGGAGCGGTAGCTTCTTTCCAGTGGGCTTATAAAGCCGCCGGGCGGCCTGGATGAGCATCAGAGTGTCGTAGTTTGGCGTCTGCACGGTGACGGCAGCCAGGCCCTGATATACGGTGTCCAGCAACTGGCCGATAGCGTCTCGCCTCTGGCCGTTCTTGTACATTTCAACGAGCTCCCTGGAGACTTCCATAGGCTGACCAAACTCGACCACCGCCCTCGACCGGAACTTGTGGGCGTGGAAGTAGTTCATGCCAACCGGTACAATCTTGAGGTCGACCTCGGGAGAGTCCGCAAGAGCCCCAAGAGCCATAATGGCAACGCCAGCCTTCAAGGGAAGTAGTCCGGTGCGATCATGACTACCGCCCTCGGGAAAGATGCCCACGCAGCCTCCGGATCGCAGCCGGTCAAAGACTGCTTCGTAAACCTTAGTCTGGTCGATGTGAGGGGCCAGCTTGTACGGGGTGCCCTCGTAGCCATCTTTGATGCCCTTCAAATCCTTGTTGGTGAAGTTGGCGGAGTCGTCGATGTCGTCGCGCCCTGTCAGCTGGAATACGGCCAACCTTGTCTTGAACGGTCTCTTTACGCGTATTTCCTCGGGCCCGTGAATCTCCGCTATATCAACGCTCGTGCTTGCCTGACCTTTGCCGGCGGGCAGAAAGATCATACCACCTAATTCCGCATCTCTGTCAAAGTGTGTGCCGACGCCCCGGATCAGAGTCGGGTCGCCTATGGGGTCGGGGAGGTATACAAGGCCATCCTTGGGTTTGGCAGCATCCTGCGCGCGGCCAACAGGAACAGCGCCGGTCTGGCGAGAGGCCCAGCCGATGAAGCCGTGGACAGACTTTTGAGCCACGAGGAGGGAGACCCGACGCTTGGCTTCCTTCTTCAAGGTTCGCTGGAGGATCAGGGCGTCGACAAACTAGGCACGAAGTCAGTCAGTCAGGCCAAGCCAGGCAGTCAGCTGAAGGCTGTATGGAGCATGGCCCATCAGCCATCAACGCGCGGGGCGGGCTGCTCACCTGGTTGGCGTGGGGCGCGGCAACGAACAGGACAGGGCCCTGCCTCGGGACCTTCCAGGAGCCCCTGGGATGGACCTCGCGGAAGAAAAGATCGACGAAAATGGACATGAACCACAAGAAAGTGTCATATTTCCTGTTGCTCATGGGATAGAGTTCCTTGGCAGGCTTTGGAGAGTCTGCGCTCTGGGGCGGTACAGGCAGGGCCGAGCCCGAGCCCGAGGCCGAGGCTTTTTCGGAAGGCATGTCGTCGGCTGCTCGGACGGATGCACGAAGTAGTGGTGCTGGTGCGTTGGTAAAGGACAGAGAGAAACAATGACCCGGACGCCAGGCACCAGACTGGTTTTGTGGTGTGGTGGGGTGCTGATCGAATCCGGCAGTGGACTGACTGATTGAAGCCGACGATGTGGTGGGCGCTGGACGCTGGCAGCCGGCAGTGTATTCGAGAACACGAGGTCGGGATGAAATCTCAGACGGAGTTGACAGCCATGATCCAACTCCAGTAGTCCTGAGCTCACCTGCGGTTGGAATCCGAGCGGGTGGCGACGATCTGGGGCTGGAAAATGGGCTGAGCCTCTCGATGCCGGATGCTGGATGCTGGATGCTGGATGCTGGATGTTGGGACAATCACAGTTCGGCTCTTCTAAGAAGAGATCGTAGATGAAGCCAAGCCTGCGGTGCAGTAGACTATGCAATCACTATGCATATGTATGAAGCACCATGGTGTGAGGACAGGCTCGCCGTCGGTTGTGAGTCTTGGACTGTGGTGGGTCGGGCGAGATATTTGGAAGGATTTGGAAAGAAAGTCTGAGTGACGTGACAGGCCTTCCATCCGTCCAGGTGGGGTTTGCGCTTCTCCTTCGGCCCCAGGCCTCTGCACTCGGGCACTCTGCCACTTGATTCCACCAAGCTCAATCCTGGCACACAGCTAAACCATGCCGATCCCCAACAAAGCTCAAGGACTAGGCTACCTGGGCTGCTGCGCTGCTGCTGGCCTGCTGCTGGCTAGACTAATGATCATATAGCACGCTTCGATTCGAGGACAGGATGCGTTGAGAGCTTACATCCTGGCGACCTTTCTGTCCTATCTGCGGCACACGCCCACATGCCTATGCAGTAGCTGCCTGGTAGCCTCCAATGTGTTGGCCAGACTATAATCACACGTACCAGCAGAAAGGCAGAGTACATTGCCGCTGTTCCGTAGTCTCGGTGCCCGACTCGGGCCATGGGACTTCCTTGCTATTACAAGTCTGCGCAGACAGGATTATGTTGATGGTGAAATGAGAGAGATCGCGAGACCTGCCCACGTTCGTATGCGTATGAGAGGTGTGTTTGTTTCCAGAGGCAGCGTTTTTGCTGCGCTGGGCTGTATTTTGAATCTATGTATTGAAACTGCCAATGCTATGCTTAACCCCCGTCTTCCACCCTTCAGAGGCCATCAGGTCTCACTACCTTCCTTTTCCCCTGCCTCTGCCCTTCCCCTTCCCCTTCTTCTCAGGCACACTCGCTTCGCCCTCCTCGAGCTCCTCTTGTGTCACTTTGCCCTCCTGCTCCATCTCCCTGAGCTTCTCCTGCCCGGAGATAAACAGCGTCAAGTCGTGGTTCATGTCTTTCTGCTCTGCAACTTCTGCCTTCAGCCCCTCATTAAGCGCCTTGCATGACTCCATCTCCTTGTTCACGTGCTGAATCTTCTCAAGCAGGCCCTCGTTGATCTTCTTCTCCTCTTGCAGTGATTGGCCCATCTTTCTGGCGACTTCGGTCGACTTGTCCGCCCGTTTGCGCTCACGCTCTAGGTCCCGCTCAAGTTGCGGAATGACCTCGTTCTTGAGCGCACTGTGCTCGTGCTCGAGGAGTTGGAGCCTGCTCATCGCCTCTGCGGCCTGGGAGGCAGCCGCCTCCGCCGCGGCCGATGCCTTCGCCGCCTTGTCGGCCGCCTTGCTGATAATCTCCTCGAAATAGACACGCTGGCTCTCCAGCTGGCTCGCCAATAGATTCGTGTACTCCATGCCGATGTTGTCTAGCTTAGCGCGCGGCACTACGTCCATGTCAGGACCCGCCTGCCCAGCCCCATCACGTGCCGCCATGTCGGTGCTGGGGAACTCGACCACCTTGCCCTCGCCCTTCTCACGGATCAGACGGTGGACCCACATGTCGCCCGCGTAGTCCCAGACGTGCTGCGTCTCCAGCTCGAGGCTGAAGCAATGCGCCGTTTCCTTCCAGTGCTCCTTGGCATGTCCCCTCTTGTATCGGCCGCAACCAACGTTGCCGCAGATCAGGCATATCCACAGGTCGTCGGTTGTGTCGCACGTCACGCAGATGTTTGATATGCCATGGCCGAAGGGATGCGAGTATGGGTCATCAGGATCCGCCGACTGCGGAGAGGGGTTCGTGGCCCTGCAGACGGGGCAGCCAGATCCCGTCCATGACTGCAGGCACGTGCAATGGAAGACGTGCTGGCATGGGATTGTGATGAGCCCCGAGGTGTCGTCCATGCGCTCGAGGCATACTGTACACGTAGGGAGCTCGACAAGATCCGGGGTCGGCGGAGGGAACGGCTTAAGCGAGCCGAGGTGGCCTACAGCGGAGCCCTTGGAAGAGCTTGCCGTCGGCTGGGATGGTGTCTCGATAGTGATGGATTTGATGAAGGTGACGTGACAGATGCCCTCCTCCTGACTAGGTGTCAGCAAACATGCATATAGTGAGGTCTGATTGGGAAAATTGACTTACCCGCATGGGTCCGAAAGCCTTGCCGTCGAATTCCTTCCTCCAGGCTTCGGCAGAATCGTGATCCCAGCACTTGATCAAAACCATATAAGTGCCCAGGACGCTGGTCATGAGCATTCGGTAATGTGCAACGTGCGCCATCCACTTCCGCCCAACGAAGTTCAGAAACCCAATCGGCGATAGGTAGCCGGGCACAGCAGGAATGCAGAGGATTGTGCCATCGCCACCGCTGAGGCTCTCGGTTGAGTTGCCCGTGACCCCGAGCTCGTGAGGCTCACGGTAGAGGTGCACTATTCCCCACCCGGCGTCTGTTTTCTTGCCAGCCGGGGGCACAAACTCGCCCTTTGTATCCGTTCCTGGTCCTCCAAGGTTTGGACCCAGCGAGGCGGCTGGGGAGGGATGGGCACTGCCTGCCATGGCGAGACAAGAGGGCTCGGAGCTGTCGCCCTGGAAGCCGTCGGGAACGTCGAAGCTTTCTATACGTATAGGTCCAAACCGCCAGTCTTTGGCCGCTGCTCGAGGCCCGATCCCAGCAAGGTGGCCCGGAGGAGGAAAGCTTCTAGACCTTTCCCTCCGACTGGTCGTGTTCAGCAGCAAGATATCACCGTCGTCCTCCCCGGCTGCTGGGGGAATGGGTCTCGACGGGCCGCAGTCGATGACTCTGGCGGGGGGCTTTGGAAGGAAGCGACGGTCTTCTGGAGGCAGGTATTGTTCGAGCTCGTCTGTCCGCTTTTGCTTCTCGCGCTTCTTCAAGGAACTAGACAGGGCCAGTTCGTCGCCGCGGTGGGGGTGGGATGGGAGGATATCGAAGATGCTGCTCCCCGCGGTCGGGTGCCAGATCGGCCCGCTCGAGCTGCCGCTCTTGGTGTCGCTGAGTGTGTGATGGGTCAATAGCGGGTCGGGACTTTGGTAAAGCTCGATTTTGAGATGGTAAGAATAGGAATGCATGCTCCATCCGGGCTGCGAGCGAGCCTTGGTCTTGGGATGGGCGAAGCACCCGCGTGCTGTTCGGCTGGAAAAGGGCTTCTTGTTCTCAGGGTGGGAAGGATTGTCTTAATCGACAGGTACAAAGCGAAGTAATATGGCGTTGAGTCATCCTGTGAGGAATACGCATTTGTGTAGGAAAGATGCTACAGCGCGTCGTTTACTTTGAAGCACGCGGTGGCTAGAAGTTTCCAGCTGGTGCGGTCTCCCTGATAACGCCCAGAGCGGCGTGGGCAGAACTGGAAAGTATGGATATGCTGGTAGTTGGTCGCTAGGAGCATCCTCTGCTACTTGTTTCCAAGGACACGAGGAACATCACGCCAGACACGCAGTGCAAGGGATCCAACACATGTCTACATTCATCACATTTATCACAGAAAGGTCGCTGAAAATTCAAGTGGAGACTAGAATGGGTCTGGTATTCCGTCTGTCTCAATGCGGAGGAGGTGGGGTCCCACTTCTCCCCGCTAAACCATAGTCGACGATGCGACAAGCGCTAGCTGCCCCTCTCTCAGTGCCAAATCCGTCACCGCCTGCCGACCGCTCCCTGCGTGTGCCGTCATGATGTAAATGAGCTGACTGCATCACCTACTGGCCTCCACGAAGACGGAGCACCAAGTGCAGCGTCGACTCCTTCTGAATGTTGTAGTCAGACAGAGTCCGGCCATCTTCCAACTGCTTTCCAGCGAAAATGAGTCGCTGCTGGTCTGGTGGAATACCCTCCTTGTCTTGAATCTTTGACTTGACGTTGTCAATCGTATCCGATGATTCGACCTCCAGTGTAATCGTCTTTCCCGTCAAGGTCTTGACAAAGATCTGCATACCACCACGGAGGCGAAGAACCAGGTGGAGAGTAGACTCCTTCTGAATGTTGTAGTCGGAGAGTGTACGGCCGTCCTCAAGCTGCTTTCCAGCAAAGATCAGACGCTGCTGGTCAGGAGGAATACCCTCCTTGTCCTGAATCTTGGACTTGACGTTGTCGATAGTGTCGGAAGACTCAACCTCGAGAGTGATGGTCTTGCCGGTGAGGGTCTTGACGAAGATCTGCATACCGCCACGCAGACGGAGGACGAGGTGGAGGGTGGACTCCTTCTGGATATTGTAGTCGGAGAGGGTGCGGCCGTCCTCGAGTTGCTTGCCGGCGAAGATCAAGCGCTGCTGGTCTGGGGGAATGCCCTCCTTGTCCTGAATCTTGGACTTGACGTTGTCGATGGTGTCGGAAGACTCAACCTCGAGGGTGATGGTCTTGCCGGTGAGGGTCTTGACGAAGATCTGCATGGTGACTGTGGTGATGAAATGGAGATGACTTGATGTGATGGGAGTTGTTGTTGTCGTTGATGTTGATGAGCTTGACTGACAAAGACGATGGTTAACTGCCGTCGATGATGAGGTTGTTGTGGTGTGAAGGTAGGAAGATGCAAGGCTGGGTGGCGTTTGGGGAAGGATGGTTTAAATAGGAGGGGGGAGAGGCAAACGGCTGTGCAGCGCAGTTGCAAGCAAGGCGCAGGCGCGGAAGCAGGAGGGAGCAGGAGTAGAGACGCTGGTGGAAAGCGGAGGAACAGGCCCCTGTCGCTGGTTCCTGCCTTAAAGTGGTGGGGCAGAGACAGGCCGACATGGCCAGAGGCAAGACAAACTAGGCCATATTGGGCAGGGAAGTGGGGCTGACAGGCAGATAAAGGAAAGGAAGGGCCAATGAAAAGGCAGGCACGACAGCAGCGGTTTCGCCCGCGTGATTCATCAGCGAAGCTTGGCCCAGCAGGAGGCTGGAGGCGAAGGAGCAGAGGAATGACTGATGAATGTAGCAACCCACACGTGTAGGACTAGACTGGGAATCTAGAACGTGGTAGTCGATTCCGCACTTGACTGAATTACATATACCATACTATATACTATAGACCGAAGGCGAGTGATTCAGTGAGTGAGTGAGTGATTTGCTCGCTCACGAGAGGCGAGGTGAGGTGCCAACGGGACCAGGCATTGCGTCACTGCCGTTCTGTCACATGGGAACCCGCTCAACGCACCCTGAACTGCCCGAGACCGCCTATCTACGCAGTGACAGCTCACTGCGCACGTTGCTATAGTATGTGTCCAGGTGCCCCACGCCCTCCCTACTTTGCTGGGAGGCAGACTGTCACTAAAGATGGGCCAGACTACTTGCTTCAAATGTTCACAGCTGCACCATCGCGCGAAGGCTTCATTCAAGCACACAGAAAGACATGCTCAACCGTGGCGTATCGTTCCGTGGGACGTCAACCTGAGGTGAACATGGGGTTTGCCAGGCCAGTCCCGGCAATCCCGACCGACGTCACGTCCTGGTGTCAGGGTTGAGATGGGCTGGCAAGCTGGCTGGCATGCTGGCTGGCAAGCCGGCTCATGTCCCCATCGCGGCCCCCCTGGCCCCACTGATCACGGCGAACCTCAAGTGGGAACTGCTGTCATCGTATGCCATGCGTGGGCCTCACTCGTTCCTGACAGCAGCAATTATTATTCCAGACCAACTGTCTACCACAGCTACGCGCTCATATCAACTGAGCCCAATGAGAATCGGGGCCAAGGCTGGGGGCGAGGCACCAAGGGCCCTGCTGTCATCAGGTCCGCTTGTCTGATATCAATCGAGATTCAACCACAACCAAAGCAAACTGTCGTGGTAGGTAGCATTCAATTCATGCTCATTTTCCAGGTATATCGGTAACCGCCGCCATCCAACCTAACAACCCAGAGATACCCTCCACCATCTTATCTTCTGAGGGCCGTTGAGAGCGGCGACCTCCAGGCCCGTGTGCTGCCTTACGCAGAGACGGATTCGGAACAAGCTTACGCACTGCAGCAAAGTAAGCTTATCCCTCTGCACAAAGATGACGGTGCATGAAATGAGCTCGAACCGCCTCCGGATGAACACAATACTGTGTGGTATGAACCCATGAGTCGCGCTTTCACGCCTGCACACCACTACTGCAGTTCTTTTGAATACAACCATCCCCCCCTCCCAAACCCAGCCGGGGGGTTAATGAGCCCTCCGTCCTCCTGCAGGTGTGCTGCAAGTCACCCAGAACAGGACACCAGCATGTCCGCGCCCAGTAGCGGTGAGCGCCCGGTAGTCCCTACTCTTATGTGGTCTAGAGGCGCGGACGAGAGGGACAGATTGCCGAGCTCGCCCTGCCCTGCCCTGCCCTGCTCTCTCGTGTTCACTGCCTGTTTGGGACGCTATTGGCTCACATTGTGCCTGGATTCAGTATGAAAAGACTCTTATTGTTCTCTAGTAGATAGCTACACAACATTTTGATTGACCCCATTGGAACTGGACAAAGGCGCTGTCCCGCGAGGAACCAGCTACAGGCAGCCCTTTCTGGTGGGCTCATGTATCGTCCCATGCCATCCCTGTTGCGCAGAAGAAAACCGCGAGGGTGAGAAGTGTACTGTAAATAATATTGCCATCATGTCGTTCGAGGCATGAGCCTGTCATAACGAACGCCATTTTCCGATGCTGCTGTGCACATATCTATGCCGTCTGAGGTCGCGCCGACGAGCCTTCTCCTTCTTCATCATAAGTTTTTTGATCCGACCCCCGATGGCGGGGAACAAAGATTTCAGTCGTACAAAGTCGTTCGTGTCGTCAAGTGGTCGTAAGCGTGTGCTTCCGGCGCGTGAGCTGAGCGTCATGTCGTCGCAATTGTGGCGGTGACCGGCCGAGTGAAAGATTTCGCAGCAAATCAGATAAAACAAAAATCAGTAGTAAATCGCAGAAACGCCCTCGCTTGAAATGCCCATCAAGGAAATGAAATCCATCAACCACCCAAGGAAATATTGCCTCCCCGCCTCCCAAACCCTCACTTCCGTCACAGATCCTGCACACCTGATGTGATAAAATTTACTGAGAAACAGTGGCGAATTGAGCCTGTTTAGTTGGAGCGAATGACCAACTTGGACAGGAACTTGTTCGACAACGAGTCGAAATCATCCCTGTCGAACTTGGTGTCTGGCCGTGTCCTCAGGTATGCCTCTGTAGATAACGTTAGCGATCTTGTCCGAAGTACCTTTGGAAAGAGACGGGTGGGGCTTTGCAGATGAGACCTACCATGCTTCATAACATGCTGTCGAACTTCAGTCATGGCTTCACAGACTGCCGGGTTGTTGTTGAGCAGCTGGCCGTGCCTCCGCGTGTCCCACTCGGTGAAGGCGGGCAGCTTCTGGGAGATGGCGTGGAAGAGGCCGACGATGACGCCGACGGGGATCGTCTCCATGTCGCTGCAGAACTTGTTGACGGCGACGGGGTCAGGGACGCGGTAGTGGCAGTCGAACTGCATCTCCTCCCAGACAGCCAGGAGGATCGACGCCAGCATGAAGATCGTCGGCCAGTTCTTCAGGCGGTCTCCGCTGTAGACACTAGAGTAGAGCGCCGAGAGCTCCTCCAGGATGTCCTTCTGCAGCTCGCGCCACATGTCGGCCATGGCACACTTGATCTGGAAGTTGATCATGACAGGTGCGACAACCTTGCCGAAGTACTTAGAGTCCTCGTCGTCGATCGTGCCATCCAACTGCTCCTCGGAGCCTTGCTGCTCCACCATGGTGATGTGCAGTGTGAGGTTGTAGGCCAACACAAGCTTCAGTGCTTTGCGGATGACTGGCATCCTCTCTTTTACGTAGAAGCGATGGGCAGTCTTGAGGATCTCGGTGATGAACGGCGTGCCCTCAAAGTGGTCGTCGATGAAGGTCTCGAACGACTGGTCGATGTGCTTGTCGAGGTATTCGGACAAAGCCTCCATGGACACACCATCCCGACCGACGTCCAGCTTCTCGGTTCTTATCTCGAAGTCTATCGGCTCCTGGTCTTCAAGATGGGACTCAACCCAATCGACCTGGAAGCAGCTCTCATCCGCAACAAAGACCTCACGAACCATGACGGGAAGGCAGAAACCATAGCCGTGCGTGATCCACATGAGTGTCTCCTTCTGGGCAAAGCCTTTGACGTTGTAAACGGAGACACCACGATCAAGATGGCGCTCGTAGTCGGCCTTCCAGTCCTTCATGAAGAAGCCAATATCCTTGATGTCGATACGGGTACATGGCACTTGCCAGAGACGAGCATGAGAAGGCTGGCACCCAGCGCAAGGCTCACCCTTGTCACAGGTCTTCTTGAGGAACTTGCATCGCAAGCAGGCCCGCAGCTTCCTGATCTCGCTAGCCTGCTTCCGCTGCTCGGGCAGCAGAGGCCCCCTGCGCCTGCCCACCTTCTTCTCACCACTGCCGTCTTTCTTGCCGTTCGATGTCCTTCGAATGACCGCCTTGGCTTGGCTTGGCTTGGCGATGGGGCTCTTCCTGGGAGCCGTGGTTTTCCTCGCTGGGGGAGAGACAGAAGAAGTCTGGCCATTGATAGAGCCGACCCCAGAGCCACTGGACGGGCTCGATCGACTGCTGGGCGTGGTCTTGATGGGGACAGGGGTGGCGGCGGCGGCAGGGCTGATTAGGTCATGTGAATGATGGTGGTGGCTGTCTCCATGGAAGCAATTGCGGTGGTTGTTGTTGGAGTTCTCGGCATACGAGTCGGATCCAGGCGAGAATGGCGAGTAGGGGAACGGGACCTCTTCGTAACTGCCGAACTCTAACGAAGTGCCATCTGACTGAGACGAGTCGGAGTTGGTTCGCAAGTGGAGCGTCTGTCCGGGGTTGAAGACATTCTGGGCCTGCTGCGTCTGGGAGAACGAGTCGAAGTTGGGGTGATACATATCAACCATGGCCCATCCATTATCGCTTCCAGAACCCAGAGACAAGACCTCGAGGTAAGTGCCGGTGGGGGAATTGCTGCCCATGCTGCCCACTCTGGGGAGACCATCGGCCGGCATATGCATAGCCGCCTCAAAATCCTGCCAGTTGGCCATGCCTGTGCTCATGTTGGTGGTGCTCATATCCCACGGCATCGGCTGGGCGCCTTCCTCGACAGGTGACATCTGAAAGGTGGTGGGATCCGTCTGCTGCATGCTGGCACCCAGAGCAGCTTGCGTGCTCGCAGGAAGATAGCCGATGGGCGAGGGTTGTAGGTTCGCCAGGAAGGGGTTGAAGCTGATCATGGCGGACGAGTCCTGGATGAACTGGGACAGATCCTGCGGCTGAGGCTGCATCTGCTGTTGCTGGAAAGTCCAATCTGCGATAAGGGACGGTGCGTGGGGGAGAGCAGCCGTGGTGTAGGGGGCCTGGGGCGACAGCTGCTGCTGATGCGGGCTGGAAGCGGTCGAGCTGTGATGCCCTATAGGAGACTGCCCGATGGGCGATTGTGCCTGTTGCTCTTCCGGTGACGAGGCGGCGACGGTGTGGGTGTTGGGGGAGTGCATTGAGACGGGAGACACGCCGGCGGCGGCGGCGGTGGCCATGTCTAGAGGCATCTGCCAGTTCCCCGAGGGGCTCTGGCGGCTGTGCTGCTGGACCATGGCGGTCGACGCGGCGGCGGGTATCGAATTTTGTGAGACTCCGGTGGTGGTGAAGGTTGCGTATCGTTCCCGTGGGTCGTACCCGAGCTGTTCCAGCAAAGCAGCCTCTCCTGCCTGGCCGGCGCTGAAATCAAATGTCATGACTGCCGGATTTCAGGAGTCAAGACGGCGGAGGAGGGGGCAGGCGGATTGAAAAAGGGACTGCGATGCTCGATAGTATTGTACTGTGGTGTGCCTTTTGGCGCGGAGTCAGGACACCGCTCTTTCAAGAAGGCCTCGAGGGGGAGGACCGGAAAGATGTCAAGGAAGGGTCATGAGCTGCGCGAGCAACCGTTGACCTGGACCTGGAACCTGGGCAGATGGACGATTAAAGCAGAGCGGCTAAGGTGGGAGAAACTCGGTATACCCTTGATAGGATGTGAGGAGGGAGGAGAGCCGAGCACGAGGGGGGTGGGAGTGCGGTCTCTCAAGTCAAGGTTGGGCTGTTCTTGTCTGTCTGTCAAGGTCAAGACACAACAATGCCGAGCTTTACGCAATGTGCGATGTCCTCGGTCTTTGGGTAGGGTTGTAGAAGAGAGCAAGACAACGTGACAAGAGGAGAAAAGAGAGACCAGGACAGAAGATGGATCCGAGAAGGTCAGAACAAGACTGATTCTCTCCTCGCGTCCCCTCCCTGCTGCAGTGCTGCCGTGTCTGCGTCTTGCGTCTGCGCCTGCGTCTGCTGTGGTTCGTTCTGGCGCTGGTTTCTGTTGCAATGGGGACGCTCAAGTCCCGCACATCACTCTCGTCTCTGGTCGTTGAAGAAGCGGTGAGCATGCAGCACTAGTAGCACGGCCAATCCCAGCCTCGACATGAATCAGACAAGGGTGCCGTCTCCACAGCTTCGAGAAAGTCTCTTCTCGCATTCTCTGGGGCAGAAGGGACTTTGAGCCACCTTGCCGGGGTCTGCTGGCCCCAGAGACGGATTGATTGGTGCCCGTTGCAGAGCCCAGAGTCCGGGCCTGCTCCTCAATCCCGACGCAGTATGGTAGTCTATGGACTGGGTAGGCTGATAAACTGGTACAATAGTCTGTACACGACCTGGTGCCGGCTCCACCCAAAATCGGAGGCCGGGACGCCCACAGCACCAAGCCACGTACGGATCCGTGGAGGGCGGAGAGGACATCGCGGATACTCTCTTCGCACTGTCCACGAGACTTCTGTCGAGGCAAGCCAAAGCCAGGGCGAGCAGAGACGAGCTTGGCCCGTCACCCCAGACTGGGGGCTCTCTGATTGTCGTGCCTGCCGCCGAAACAGGATTTGAGCAGCATGAACATGTCAACATACCACCCAGCAGTCATCTGAGCCGGCGGATCAGGTCTTCTGAAACCCCAACGACGACCTTTGTTGGATAAAAGAACCCGAGGTTGCAAGAGATTGTGAGTTGGTTGGTAACCATTTGGACGACGCCGTCCACAGGAAGTCGGGCAGATACTACATGCATGGCCAGAGAAGAAGAAGCAGCAGATCACAAAGCAACTCACCATCTCAGCTGCCATGCTGCCCACGAGGCCCTGCTCATGGACTGACGGGCTGGGATGGGACGGGTGGTGGGTTCATGGTCTCTGATCTTAGTAATGCTGCCATCCCACCCGCGTTAATAGTGCTGATTCTTTGAGACACTGTCGGCACAACCCTCCACAGTACATCCAAACGAAGATGGTCGTCTCGCAATCTGTTGCCACCCTGTGACACCCTGCGGATGAGGACGAGGTCGATGATGAGGATGATTGCACAAGACAGGATCACCTAGAATCTTGCGAGGGGAAAACCGTTGTTGATTAAGGTCTGACACTGGATTTCAGATTGCGGCGCCAGCCGATGCCGGTAGATCAGTTGACGACGTTGGGGTTGCCCAAAGTCGATCATGTTTCCAAGGGTGAATACCCACGCAAATGGGGAGGGGACACTGGACTGGTAGGAACTGCAGGACTGGCCGGACAGCGCAGGTAGGGTGCTCGTGCGCCGACAGCCACTTTCTCTCCTCTCTCGCGGGTCCCTGAATGCCACACGTTCTTGTTGGTTGAGCACAAAAAGGATTCTGCCAACCAACGTGCATCCACGGCGACGTTGCGTCAGGGAACCTGCTCATTGATGATCGTGCACGTCTCGTGTTACTTCCATCCTCGTTGCTGGCTGAGGGATCCATCGAGAAGCGAACTGGCCATGCGGGTTTTTGCCTTGCGCACGTCTCCGTTCGAGGGTGGATCTGTGGAGTGAGGCATCGTGTTGTCCTGCTCCTGCTCCTGCAAGACGGCATGTGCACAATGGGCATTCAGGCATTGTGGTACTGTTAGGAAGCCATACAGTACTTCCGAAAATGGCCCTCATCACCCAGCATCGCTTTGCCAAATCTGGCTTGCCATGGCTCCGAGGCTGGGTCCGAAGCTGGGTCCAGTGCAACGGAACATGTGAGTTGCATAACAGCACAGTATCTACTGTGACTGTAGGTGTTCTCTCTCTCACTCTCTCACTGTCACTCTCTCGCACACAAATGCGGTTCCTCCTCTCTGTGTTCCTCTAACGAGCAACCCCGCCCGAAAACTGGGAGGCAATGTAGCGGCACAGTGGGAGAGCCGGGTGGGTGAGGTAGAGACGGCAAGTCTCGGGGCGTGCAGGACCAGTGCATTCGCTTCATTCGCATCGTATCATTGCTCAGTCCAGATTGGCCTGCCGGGCTGCATGGCGAGCGACCACGACGGTTCGTCTTGGTCGTTGAGTGGCCAGAGGCTGGACGCGCATGCTGCGTGGCAGCTATTCGTTGGACGGAGAGACGGCGAGCCCTGCTTGCCCCCCCTGCGCTGTCAGCCATCCTTTTCTTCCCCACGCCCTCGCCCACGCCCACGCCCACGCACTCGCCCAAACCCATGGCCCACAACGCCGCTGTACCAGGCCCTAACAGGTAAGTCCCGTGCGCATCACCGTGCCGTGCGTTGGCGTCCAGACGGCTCTGAGAAGACTGGAAGACCAGCCGCAGGCCCAGGGCCCAACAACCCTGACCCACGTCCCTTTATTAAGTTCAGTGAGGACCCTGCTTCCGAGTCCCCTCTTTCTTCCCTGACGTCTGCCCTCCTCCGAGAGCTTGAACCGGGCCCAGCGAGGCGCTATACCACGGAGGAATGGCGCAGCAATGGAGCCTCTCTACCCCGGTGCGCGCTCCATCATACCTGGCGGCGGCATCATACCTAGCCATCGTACCTCGCCCGGCCAGGCTGCCAGCTGCCCAGGCCGATCCAGCTGTCCTGGTTCGGCAGGACATGGTCGGCGCCTTGGAATAGGAAATGGGGCAATTGGATCGGACGATGAGGCTCAGGGATTTGGGATGCATGCTGCTCCATAGGTTGGTGGAGTTGCGATGCTGGCGCTGCAGTGCAGGAGGGGCATCTTCGCGTCGTGTTGCCCCATTCGCAATCGACTGCTGGGAGACGATGAGCCTCATCCCGGGGCCGGAGATCAATCCATTCCTGATGGTCTGCAGGCGACGAAACACCGTGATGGCCCGGGCTCTGGGTTCAAGCTGGGCACTACCCTAGGTTGAGGCCATCGTTGTAACTGACCGCCGTTTACCCGCTGCCTACCGGTGGCTTTTTTCCATGGGAACTGGGCTCGCTGGCTAGTCGACCAAGGTCCCGGGGCCCCGCCGTCACGGGACTAACACATGTCCAGGCTCTAAGGCAGTTGATAGTCTACCGTCTACTAGGCAAGTTGGCAAGGTCGAGGAGCTCGCCCTTCCTGCACGCAGATCTAGATAGGTACATTAAAGCACGCAAAAGGGGGCCCACGCTATCAGGGGTACGCTCTGCTATACTAGCAGAGCACTACTTAGCAAGTATCTAAGTGACGGCTGTAGGCGGCAGGATACGCCGCTGACGGTAATCGACGGTTCCCAGGGACCCCTGATGGATGGAATATGGGATTCTTGAGCGGTAGACTACCGTGCTGCGGTTGCCATTGAGTTTTTAAGAGATTGCGACCCTACAGGTACAAAACCACATAGAGCTGGTGTTCCGTCCTCGCTTGCCGCGCACGTCTCATCAATTGGTCTGGGACAAGGAACAAGGTGAGGGTCCCGAGGTCTGAGCACCTGCGGACAATCCTCTCCCCATCCATGGCCGATCTACTAGTACATGCACAGTGACTACACCATACGTGCCGAAGCGGGACAAGTTGGAACAGACGACTCGCTGGACGGGGTGAACCCTGCTGCTGAGACTATCATGATGCTGAGCTGATGCTGCCTCGTGCCTCGACGACAATATCGGTTGCTGGCAGGCTGCAGGCTGCGATAGCGTGCCTCTTTTTGATATCGTGCAGCCAAGGCATTGAACTCTGGACCCTCTCTGCTGCATGTCTTTCTGCAAGCCATGAGTATCTGCAGGTGCAGTCTCAGGGGTGAGGGAGAATTTTTTTGCCTTCCCCCTTCTTAGTCTACGGGGCCCAGCGTGACGCCCATGCTGGGCCTGGCTGGCCTGGCTGGCTGGCAGGCAGGCCGTGCTGCTGGAACATCTGGACTCAGTCGCCCACGGTGGCCCATGGGCCATGGCATGGTTGCAGCTTCTTGCGTGATCTGGTGATCCAGATCGTCTCATCGTTCCCGAGGCCTGTTCTTGTGCCTGGCCTGGCCTGGCCTGGTTCTCGACGTCGGCCCAGCGCTTGACAAACGGTGAGTTTCGGCTACTGTGGATGGTACAGTAGATCTGCTTCAAACAAGACACACACACGCACATAGGCGGACCTACGCATTTCCGCCTTCGAGTAATAGACTCTAAGCGCCTTGGGAGATGACATTGGGAATGCCGGACGTCGGAAATTTGCATCTAAAGGCCCCGTCACATCTGTCGGTGGCTCATAAAAGTCAAATTTGCCTCCCGAGAATTCAGGCCGAACGGCGGTCAAGGGAACGCCATGCTCGTGCATTCATGGCAGGCTGGTGGCTGTCAGTGTCGCCAAAGGCGACGAAACAAGACATGCCCGGATTCGGGAAGTAGCAGTCGGACTCGTGGCGTGCTGCAGCGAAAGACGCAAGGGCCTTTGCTGCCCAGTGAACCTGCCTTTCTGCGTGCGTGCCTGCATGCCTGGCCACCACCCAGGGTTGCAGGACAGAATCATCGTAACACCAACTGCCTCGCCAGGGCCGTGTGCCGCCGACTGCTGGATGTCCTCGACAGAGCGCACGATAGATGGCATTCCGGTCTTGCTAGTCATGCTGGCGCCTGAAGACAACATGGGATCTGACATCAACCGGGGCCCATCCCAGTCTGCTCTTGCCTCGCATCGTGGGCCGTTCGGGGCTCGTTTTTGAGCACAGCGGTAGGCGGCGCTGGGGATGCCCACTTTGCGCCGATCCCGTTGCGGGCTTTTTCCGGGTCCATGAGGAGCCCCTTCGGCATCTGCGAACACCCAGGCCTCAGTGGCTTCCCGCGGCTCAGTGAGAGGTGTCTTGGAAGGCCAGAGTAATTGCGTCTGGCGAGGTTCGGGTCAGCGGGGTGGATGAGTAGGCAGGGAGAAGCCAGACTGACTGTGATGGCCAACAGAGGCACCCAGACACTCTGCCACGAGTTGAGAGAGTGGCTTTCACAAGGCCTCCCTCACCAGAGCCGCCAGCCGGCTTGTCGGATGTGTAGGCTCGGTGTTGCTGTCGCTGCGGCCGTTCGTCCAGAGCACCCAGTCCCAGCCCCGTTTTCCGTGCATGAAATAAACATACTGTGTACCCTGAGCCTTTGAGCCTTCATATTTGTGCTGGAGGATCTTGCGATCCTGGTCGGACTGCCTGCAAGTGGTGTCGGGCCGCGTTGCGATCGTGCTGCTTCTCGGGGTCCCCGGATCTCCCAGGGGCTGTTCGCCCCTCGTATAAGTCCAGCTCCAGTCCATTCCTGGATCGAGCGATGATAATCATGGCATATGTTGCCAGGCCATGCTTCCTCCCATGCCGATGACATGCTCGAAGGTTGAGCATGTGGAGTTGGACGCCAGGCGGCCTGAGTGCAAGGCTGGCCATGGCCACCCTTGGGAAGCCAACCTCAGTTTGAGGGAGGGAATAGACAATGCGAGTAAACAAAGAAGTGCACTTCAGAATCTGGCACTCGCCAGGTCTGGCCGATAGCAATGCGCATTGAATCGACTTGAACAAGTCGACAGCCAAGAGGTCAAAGGGCGGCTTGCACGGTCAAACATGACCCAAAGCTCTTTTGCCTGTCGTCAGATCAGCAAGATTCCAACCACCGCAATGAAGCTCACAAAATTTGACTCATCCATCCATCACCCAAGCCAACGTCAATCGCCAGCTGTGGCTCTCATGACCTAGCCAATCAAGCCGTCGTCGGCAGAAGCAGCGTTGGTATTGTTCACAGGAGGACAATATCGAGGCAGCGGAATTCAAGGCGTGTGCGGTTGTGATTGAGACTCGGCCCAGCACTGGAACGCTCCCCAGCGGGCTCCGGCTCTGGCCCCTCCTCTCAACCCCCTCGCACCTCAAGTCCTGCGCTCTCTCCTGCTTTTGTGTGATGAAATCCCGCACAAGAAACAAAGGCACTCGAAATCGTGTCATCTTCCCAGGCAGAGCTGTTGTTGCGTCCATCTTGCAGGCCAAAGACAGCCAGCGCAGGACGGCCGCAGCCACTACGCCCGACCGAGTTATCGACGCATCAACCGGCGCACGTGTCGCCACCATGATTCCCGACCTCTTCACATCGCTGCCTCCCGTTAGAGATGAGCTGCAGTCAACAACGACTGTAGCCCAGGACGAGACGGTGAGCCTCTGCCTGCCGTTCCTTTCAGGGGAGAAGCACGACGACTGCAATGACTACGGCGTGCCTCATCTCGACCGGGAGAGGCACATTAAGTTTCTACACAAGCAGCTGGGGAAACTCCCATCCCCCTTCATCGCTGCAGACGCAAGCCGGCCCTGGTTTCTCTCCTGGTCCCTGAATGGGCTGAGTCTCTTGGGTGAGGATGTGTCCTCCTACCGGGCCGCCTTGATCGACACGGCGCGTTCCATGCAGAACGACACAGGTGGCTTCGGCGGTGGCAACGGTCAGATGTCACACCTGGCAACTACCTACGCTATGGTTCTGTCCCTGGCTCTTGTGGGAGGCGACAGTGTGTATGAGGTCGTTGACAGGCGGGCTATGTGGAAGTGGCTCTGCTCCCTGAAGCAGCCAAGCGGGGGGTTCCAGATGGCTGTTGGTGGAGAGGTGGACATCAGGTAAGGGAACCACTCGCTCACCACCTCTCATCGTCCGCTTGAGTCTAAGGTTCGAGGATAGAGGCGCATATTGCGCAGCGGTCGTGGTGTCCCTACTGAACCTCCCGACGGATTTGACCCCCGAGTCCCCGGCATGGACCCCCGATCATCCCACGCTGTTCACAAAGCTGCCTGAGTACGTGCAGAGATGTATGTACACACAAGTCCCTCCGCGGTCTGGCCCCCTCCCTGAGCCACGAGCAAGTTGTTGCTAACCTTTCCAGGCCAAACATTTGAGGGAGGAATATCGGCCCATCCGGATGCTGAAGCACATGGTGCATACGCCTTTTGTGCGCTAGGCTGTCTCGCCATTCTGGACTCTCCCGACCGCATCATTCCGAGGTAAGCAACCTCTAAACAGGCAGGCAGGAGCTTCGGGATGGTGGTCACGCCGGTCCCCCTTCCTCGCCCGGCCAGTCAAACGATGACAAGAAGCTGCGCATGCTGGCTGACACTTCGCCGCGGGTGCTGCTCAGATACCTTGATGTTCCACGACTCATCTCTTGGCTGTCCTCGCGCCAGTACGCTCCAGAGGGTGGATTTTCTGGTCGCACTAACAAGCTTGTGGATGGATGCTACAGCCATTGGGTCGGCGGGTGCTGGCCGCTGATCGAGGCTGCGCTCGCAGGAGACCGCGGCGACCACGTACCGCCGCTGGGAGGAGATGAACAGCCTGGTCACAAACACAAGCTCCCTCTCCACGGCCGGAGCTTGTACAGCCGAGAAGGGTTAATTCGCTACATCATGTGTTGCTGCCAGGACCAGAGCAAACGCGGTGGCCTGCGAGACAAGCCCAGCCGGTAAGTAGGAGCCTTGCTGGCATGAACTCTCTAGTGACGTGTCGACAACCTCCTGACTCGATCTCATAGTCCCTCGGATGGGTATCACACATGCTACGTCCTTGCGGGCCTCAGCTCCGCACAGCACAAGTCGGAGCTGGTCAACACGGAAGCTCCTGGCACTAACGCCACCGCGTCCACTGCAGGGGACGCGGGCAGTCCGGGGCTCGGTGTGGGCGAGCAGCCTTACCTGACTACGTCGTGGTCTGTTACGCCGTACCTCGACGAAGCACAGGTGTTTGACGAGCAAGATCGCCTTGAGCCGTTGCACCCGCTCTATGCACTTCCGGTCGGCTGCGTCGCGGATATAAAGCGGTACTTCGACGCGAAGACAGGGTTCTAGAATATCCCACCCGCTGCGAGCCAAGGCAGGCGAATGTCACCCGTTTTTTTTCCCTCTACCGCAGCAACCTTTGACGGGTCAGACATATGATATCTGTGTAGGGCGAATCGGAGCAACGGTCTGAAGCTTGCTCCAGATCGTACATCTGAACGGCCACGTTTGTCCATGACACAGCATGTGGTTTTGAATGTCACGTGGCGATGCTAGGCGACGACATAGAGGCAAGGCATGTAATAATGCACTCGTCTGACTTGTCTCTCGGGAGTAACGTTGACTAGGATAGAGCACGGGCTGCATGTCAATGGGCTGAGTTAAAGGCGGAGCCATGGGAGAACTAGGGAGACGAAGTTCTGTCAATTCAGCATATGTATGTTCAACGGACCAAGAGACTGATTGGCCCGGCCAACCTGTGTTCAATACAGTACTATGAAGCTAGAGTTCTTGGGATCCCGGTCGAAATTGGTCCGGCCGAAGTGTGAGAAGAGGAACTAGTAGCTGTCAATCCCGTAAACCCTGTCCTGAAAGGACAACCTCCTTCGCCCAACAGTACAACATATGCGCATGAACTATACCGGGGGCCCGGGGGTCAGCGAGATAGACGTGACTTCTGGAGGGTGCGGCGAGCGTGGATTGAGAACACCCAATCTCCGAGGGGGGAGGATTGATGGGTCCCCGAATCGCGGCATTTGAGAGATACGGGTTCCATGGAATGCACGATGAGAGAAGTCTGAGGAGACATTGCCAATCACAGCCTCGCCAGTGGCAGGCCAAGCAGGCGGCGAAATGCTGCTGCTGTCCTTTTGGGCCTCTTGCAGAAGTTCTGACGATGCATTGCAGATTGCATCGCACTCGACCTACGACCTGGCTGGGTTCGAGGAAGAACCAGGAAGGCGGAGAGTATGCAGGGACCGGGCCCAGAGAGGCTGCTTGGGATCATCGTGGGACGCTGGAGTCTGATGCCGAAGATGATGGAAAGAACGCCTCCGGCAATACAGAGGCACACCCTCCTGGGCCTCGAAAACGGGCCTCATGGGTTGACGTGTCCATGCTGGTGTTGTTCATGTACGTACTATGCAGTCAGATATCAGATGATCACGCGAATGGCTGTTCCCGGTGGTGGGCGCGGGTCTTAGGTAGTCTACATGCACGAGAAGGATGTATGGATGGAAGCAGAAAGTATCTCTATGAGCGAGAGGGAGAGAGAGTGAGAGAGAAAATGAAGAGGGGGGAAGGGGGCTAGGGGCCCAGAGACATGCCGAGCAGAAGAACTGGACTGGAGCTGGAGAGGGCTGCATCCAGCAATGGTTGTTGACTCAGATGCATCTGAGACGGACTGCAAGAGCAATCCACCATTAGGGATAGGGAGTACAGAATGTCGTGCAAGGGTTGTTTCGATCTTTGTGGGACACCTCGTGGCAGCTTCCGGAGCAGTAGCAGCAGCGTGGTCGCCCTCACACAGGCCCGCACGCTTACACACACACTCACACTCACACTCACACACACACGCACACACACACACACACATACACAGGCTTTGCACGTGCAAGCGCAGAGGGTGTGGCCTTGTCAACCTCGACTCGAGTCCTGATGCATGCAGTATGACGTTGGCAGGTTGATTGCCATTGACGTGGTGGACTGGACTCGGACTGCAGGCTGCATGAGAGGAGCAGGCTCGTCCGCCACCAGAGGGCAGCCTGCGTCGGAACCAGAGGAGATGATGCAACAGGCAACAAGAAGGCATCAGGAGCAGCAGCACTCGGTAGTGAGGCTGGCTCTTGCTGGTTGGCCAGATGGTCGAGTCCGACGAGGAGGTCGAGTCCAGCCTGGTGTTGTTGTTGGTCATGGGTTGCATAATGACGGACGGGTGGCAGCAGCTCGCCACATCACACTGGACCTTCACCGACCTGGCCAACCTCGAATTAGTTACACACATCTTGAAGGTTGGAAATCAAAGCAACCGGCCGCAAAGGAGAGCCGTTATACTGTACCATGTAAATAGATGCTGTAGTGATTGTAGATTGTTCGATGTGGTGGACAGCCAGAACAGACCAGGGACAATGCAAGAGGGAAGGACGGAGTTTGGCGCTTGGGCCACATGGAGAGCAAGGTTCTATCTGCTGTTAGCGTGCGAACAGTAGTCGGCTCCGTGCCTGGTAACGTACCGATGTACCTCCGTACCACACTTGACACACCAGACACTCACGCTCTCTCTCACACATCACACACTCTCTTACACACACATCGACCCTCGACTCGACCGACGACTCGACCGACGGCCACAGAAGGCAGCAAAGGACGATCTCCTGTATCATAATTGCATAGCTTCGCTTTGTTTCGCATCACGTCATGCCACTTCACTTCACTTCAATTCACGTAAACCCTACCCAGCCCCATTCACCTCATTGCCGTTCATTACCGTGTGTGTGTCGTGCAACTCGAACCCCCGTCAGCACCTGCGAGCAAAATGTAGCTCGGCCAATTGGCCAATCACCATCGCAGCTGGCCTCGCTCGGCCTAAGAATTGATCCTTCGAACTGGTCCGTGCCCCACTTCCACTTCCTTGCCAGTGTGCTGGTGCTGTGTGTTGTGTGCCCAGCCTGCCTCTGAATGCCTCCGATGCCTGCCTCTGACATCTCATTGCTCGTCAGCCTGCCTATGTGCCCCTCCTTTTTCCGAATCATTCCCATCCCTCGGCGCGGCGTCTTGCTCCACAGATGGTCCCCTCCCACCCCCAAGGCTAGGACCCATGGCCGATCGGATCCAGATCTGAACCACTTGTCAATGTCAAGACTCAGGGCTCGAGGCTCGGGGCTCGACACTCGAGCAGGGCCCAGGACAAGACTAAACACTCGACACTCGACCTTGAATACTCAAAACAGGGCATCTGCAAACAGCCCCACACCCTTACACCAGGACCACGCTGGCGGAGAATAGCAGTATGCACTGGCTGCTTCTGCTGTCCCGTTGCTGTTGGGGCTTGGGGACTGACCAGTCTGCCATGTACAGACCTACAGTTCCCCCCTCGGCCCCAGGTACTGCCAAGGTACTCGGCTGCGCGTCGCAGCACAGACGCGATACAGCACCGATACGATGCCCCTCGCTCCATGGAATCCGGCGCTACTTGAGCCGTTGAGCGGTACATTCTGATATCTCGATTAATTTCAAAGCCGCATTGCCAACTCATCACTGCATGAGTGGCATTGCTAACGCCTGCTCTGCTCTGCTCTGCTGCGACTTCTCGAGTACATCCACCGCAGTACACTCGCACGCGCGAGACCCGCTCTACCAGTACAAATCGCCTTGCTGCCGTCGACTCTTCCGACTTACTGTCTGGATGCCAATGGCCGGCGTCAGTGGCCGCGTCAATGGTCCGTCAATGGGTCAAACCGACAAACCTCACCTTCCCTTCCTGCTCGGCTCCCCTCCCCTCACGCCACACTGCTTACACACACAGTCAATCGGACCCGGACTGCTGGACCGTTCGATTGCGTTATACCGCGCAGTAGCCGTGTGCCATGTACAATCACCGGCGTCCCAGCAGCTGCAGGCCCATGCAAGGGTCTGCCAGCTCGCGCCTTTTCTCTTTTCGCCTCACCGACTTCCTCCCCACGGCAGTCTGGCACGGCTTGCCTGTCTCGAGCCTGTCTGTCCGTCTGCCGCTCTCTGGTGTCCTGGCCCACCTCTCATATCTTCTCATCCTCTCTCTCTGTCTAGACTACCGACCGACGCCCATGTTGTGTGGTACAAACATACATAGTACGACTCGTCTCGTGCAAGCAAGGCTCTTCCTCGTTTATAGTCGCCCCTACCAACCCCGATCCCATCCCTGAGATTGGCTGCCACAACCCGGCCCCATCATCAAACAAGCGCTGATTCTTCCTCCGCCACCAGTCTTGTAATTTGCCAGCCGCCGTCCGCTCACCCAAGCTTGTCCTGGCTATCTTCCGGGACTCAGATTCAGTACATCAACGGTTGTGTGCCTCCGAGAGGGGGGCGGGCCTTTTGCAACCCGCTGTTGTTGCTGGCTGGACACGCCGTTTCAGTTGTATGGATTTACACCGCGTGCAGTCGCAACGCCTGTGTGAGCCGCCCGGTCGTGCCACTCGCCATACGAAGCATCTGGCAGATACCCCGCGGTGCCCCATGTAGCATTTCTCCTCCGCCCGAGGCCCAGAGGCCAGAGGCCCAGGGGTCGCAGCCAAGCGCCAGCGCCCAGTCAACACAGATCGTAGGCCTGCTCACAGTACCTGCTCCACTAGGAGGGCTGGAAACCCCCGTTGATGGCTCCCGCCCCCTGGCCGGAGCTTAAATCTCGAGCCGTTTCCGGACAGCGAGAGACGCAGCGTCTCGCCGCATGGTAAGCTGTAGGCAAGGCACAACAAATCCTTCCAGAACGCGAGCCATGTTGCGCAGGTGGAAGCGCCTGTCTTGGGTATTGCTGAGGCTGGGAGGGTGTGCATGTACAGTTCCGTACCTCCTCCCGTACCCGAACCACGGGCGAGCCCCAGGAACCAGGCATACCCCTTCCCTGCTCTTGGTCCGGATTCTCTATGGCGGCCAATCTAACTGGCAGGCCGGAAGATGGGCCATGTCGAGTCCTTTTCTCTCTCTTTGCAAATTTCTCGCACGTCGTCGGCCCCTCGGTTTGCATCTGTCTTGCAGTCGATTGAGGTGCAGAGATTGGTTGAATCCAAGGGACGGTGCCATTTGCCACATCACTCGGCCACTCTCTTTGTGCACCGCACCGAGCTTCTACCCAGCAGAGACATGGCCCCCCGACTCCTCTCTCGGACTCGCGAGGCCCAAGAGCCCTCAAGATATCGGTACCGCGCTTGTGACTCTGCTGGTTCAGATACCTCCGGCGCTACACGTCTCTTGGGGTGCCGTCAGACCACGGTCAAGGTTACGCTCGTGGGGGAGAGTTGCGGTCACCTCCATGGCCCGGCTCTCCCTGTCGTCAGGGGATACGTACCTCCTCAGATTAACCGAGAGACTGGGCTCACTGGAGAGATGCCCCCATCGCCAAGCTCGTGGCCGTTGTCTGTTCTCAACCTCAGTCCCCTTCGTCACCACCCTACCATAGTAGACTCCCACATGCTCGCTCGTGTGTGTACACTCTCCTGGCCCGGTCTTCTCCCTCTTGTACCCACCGTGTCCCTTTTCTCTTTTTGTGTCTAGTCCTTGTCTGCATCCGATGGCCACCCCCTTGTGTCTTGGTGGAGCTCTCTAGTTCCCAGCGCTTCCTATCAACTGGCAACCACGACCGCCAACACATCAAGATGGGTCACACTTTGAGAGCCGCATCTCTCGACTTGCATCTGGTCGAACCCTTCCCCTACCTTGCCCTCAAACCCCATGCTATTTCCTAGTCTCTTTCTTGCCGTCATTCCTTTTCCAGGTGGGAATTGGACCGGTTTTCAAGGGAGCCCCGCACCACAATCAGAATTTCTGCAATAAAGCACACATGTCTCGCCGTTGCTGCCTCATCTTCTCCTGCATCTCGAGGCCCGAATACGTAGCAGCACAGTAGCTCTGCCTTCACCACCACTATCACCACCACCCACCGCATCCTCGCCCCTCTCCTTGATCGAGCTCGCCCATTTCTGCCCAGGCATCCAGAAAGCCCCGAGTATTGGACACGGCAGACAATTCAGCCAGGCATCGTTCCAATTCCCCGTCCGGTAGTTAGGTTTACTGCCCTACCCAATCGCTCTGTCGGCGTGCTTAGCCACTTCCACTCTGCCGTTTAGGTTGGGCCTGATTGCATCGCCAGGAGTCCGGACCTGGAACCCGTCGTCGTACTCATCCACCGCCGTCAGAAGGGGGACTTTGTTTTGTTGTTGGCACCTTCACCGGCACTGTCTTTTGGAACACCTCGCCGGGGCACCGGACGACGTTCTTCTCAAGTCTCACCTCCAGCCTGCCGGCTCGGGGATTCACGACCTGCGCTCTGCCTCACAAGCCATTGAGGCCCAACCACCCAAAATGCGCGGATTTTATATGCAATACCTTGACAGTAAGTCGCAGCCGGATTCAATTGGCACCTTGCAGGCACCCATTGGCACTCCGCGGGCACGATCCTATGAGTTCCTTCTTCCGGCCGGTTGTGTTAGGGGTGGGGATAAGTAACCCCGGGAAGCACGATGCATCCATCTGATCTCAGATCCCCTGCAAACACCAGGCAGAGAACGTACCTGTGCAACACCCCTTTTGCTACTCCCGCCCGTTTCTGCTGCTCCACACAGAGGGTCGGACAAGACCCCCGACCCAGAGCTTGGGATCGGAGCCTTATATTGCGTTCGCCTATCGATCGATCCGCCGTGTGCCTGGAGCTGTGCATCATTTCATCTACAGTTTCTGTCATAAGGCTGGGTATTTTTGGCGTGGTTGGGTTGCCATGCAGACTGCCTCCCATCATTCGTCCGCCCTGGAATCCGCCCCTGGCATCTATCTGCATGCAATACTGCGATGCCGACGCGGAGCCCGGGTCCGCATGGGCACCGTGAAGGCGCCGGCGGATGGGCTGGATGGGCTGGGCTGGGCAGGGCGGCCAAGGACAGGCTGATTGGGCACTTCTTTTCCAACACACCCTCTTCAACGAGCCAGAGCCCAGGGATATGTTTAGCTAACTTAGGCTTCTACAGGCCTCTGCCAGCGGCGTGGGTGGGAACAGCCCACATACGAGTGTTACCGGGAACCTGGTGGCTACACGTGCCTGGTCCTGGTCAACGGCCGCGAGTACCAAACCGACCTGGCGTACGAATCGGATGAGCTGGCACGCGAGAACGCGGCCATGCGTGCCTTCATGGTGTGCAGGAACTTCAGCGTCAATGGTGGCATGCTGGCCCGCAATGGCATTGTCCAGGGGCTGCCGGCAGACGAGTCCAATCGCAAGCACAGGAAGAGCAGCAGCCGCCACACGTCCACGGCGTCCACACACTCCCACTCGTCGCACTCGCACGGTCACCTCAGCCGCAGCCGGCGTTCTGGTCAGCACTCCAGCGGCAGCTCTACTGCGTCCTATGAGTGAACACGGCCATGGGGCCTAAAGCCATGGCCATGAGCGACCAGCGCCAGCGCCAGCCCCAATGTTGCCGGAGACCGCCGTGTCGCTGGCGATGGCAGCAAGTACCGAAGCTTTCAGGCTGAGCACTTGTTGCATGCGGACTGGCCGTTGCTCGAGGCCCGCGACGTACCGTTTCACCTGCCACTGAACCCTATTGGACTGTGCCTGTGGTCTGAGGGATTGGCTAGGTACAACCAGGGCAGACCAGGAAGGACGGACGAGAGAAAGACAAAGATGACCTACCACCGCCACCACCACCACCACCACTTGTCGATATAAAACATGATGAAGGCTTCACAGCAATTATTTTCTACCTTTCTGGGGCTCACCCGCGGAAAACATGGACTGCTTTCACCGTACTCATTTGATGACGAACAAATATCTTGGTAAAGAGAGACATGACAAAACCTGCATCAACCCCTGGCTATTTACGACATTACGATTTTACGATTTAAAGAGATGAACATTCGAACATTCGAACCAACCATCGCGGCATTTTTTGATTTTAACATGCGCGGGAGCGGCTTGCTTACCTTTCAATCACCTTTCCTCAACGTTGAAGCGGACTACACTATGGATGACTTGGCAGACTACCTGGCTGGGACTTACGGAACTGGCGTCAGACACTGATGACGGGTGCGATTGGGCACAGCTAGCCATAATGGGGACGAGCCAAGAATTCACATGGAGAAGGGAGGAAAGGAAAGTTGGGGGAAGGGTTGGAAAATTGAAAAGGGAATAGGAGACCAACCAAGGTCTGGCACACCGAAGAAAAAAAAAGCAAAAGAAAAAAGACACCAATGGGATGGGTAAGTTGACGACAGGTGTGAAGCAAGGTACCAAAAGCAAAGCAAAAGAAGGCCACGCAACAAGAAAGGTCTCCAATGTGCCTTGAATCTTGGCAAGCGAGGTCGAGGTCGAGGTCGAGGGCGAGGAAAGGAGGTTGATGACTGAATGATTGATTTGGCGGGGGCGATTGTATTTCGAGCAGGTGGCAGGAGAAGATGAGGCTGGAGAAGACAAAAGCGACGTGACGACGATATGACGATTCCAGATTTCCAGACTTCTAGAGCTGATGATAATGACAATCACCGAGAGGATATATCTCGGTGACAAGATTTCAATGCATACCAACCATTCGGACCCCGATTCCGATACCGGGCAGGAATGATGCGGTGCCATGCACGTGATGACAATAGTGGCCATCCTCCCGTTCCATTCGGCCACGGCCAAGCCGGAAGAGCGGCGGTGGCAAGGTAGATATTTACTTCTAAATAAACATGAAAGGGCTGACCTGGCTGTCTGGTGGCCTGGGTTGGAAGAGAAGTGTGTAGTAGCAAGACGAAGACGACTAGAACAGACGTTGCATTGGTCAATGCCAGCCAACATCAGGTGACCTTGGTACTCGTGGCTGTGGCGCCGCAGAAGAACCGATGTGGTCTAGATGGATGAAGGGTGGCGTGTGGGTGTGGGTGTGTGCCGTGTTTGTGTTTTTGTGTTCCTCGTGTTGTCTCGTCTTGTCATTGTTGGATGGAATTAAAGTGAGCTGCATGTGAGACACACAATGGGCAGAGCCAGAGGCAGAGGACATGTGTCCTTGATAGACGGTGTCTCAGCCCGGGGGCCAAACGCCCTGTCAGCGCCGTATGATGGGACAATTTCAGCGGGCTCATTAAAAGTGAGATGTCTGGTGTGCTGCTGCTGCTGCTACTGCTACTGCGAAGACTTTCTATTCCGGGGTTGCACCAGCCCTGCAAAGCCCCACCAGGTGCGCGCTGGCTGCGTCTCGTCTCGAGTGAGGATGTCCAGGAACTGTGGAAACCAACGCGTGTACACACTGACTGCTATGTAGGCTGTGTAAAGTACAGGCAAATGCGGTACAATACAACACACCCTGGACTGGAGGATTGGGACTGGACTCTGGGCTGGCAGATACGGGAATTGGGGGATGTGGTGAGAGAGCCGTTTCGTACAGTAGTTCCCGTCCCTCGTCCTCGTATAGATATAGACATAGACCAGTCGATCACAGGTAGTAATGTGAGCAGACTGCATCAGCCCATTCGCAATCCAACGTTGGACATGTCGCGTTGGCTGTACTATACTGTTGAGTAGGGGCCACTAAGCAGCACATCCACAGGCACAGGTACAAGGCTTGCCCTGGCCCTTGGCCCTGGCCCTTGGCCCATGCCCGTCAATTGATCCTCATTACCCCACCCCCACCCCCTGTCTCTGCCTCTGCCTCTGCCTGCCTCCTCCCTCCTCCTCCTGCCTGGCCGCCCCCTTTTCACGCTAAACCTGGAATCTGGGCCTCCAGACTAGGTACTGCGGGCACTTCTGGCACTCTGTATGGTACGCGCGGTACATGCAACAACCCAGCTAGACGAGGTTGAATCCCATGTCTTCCCGCTCCCAATTCGCAGAGGCACATCTGTCACCATCCCATCGTCCAAATCCCATCAAACCTCCCTTTCCATATTTCAACACCACCCAACAACCTTCTTTTTTTCCTGCCCCTTCTCCAGATCCAGATCTGGCCTCGCTGTGACACTCACACGAGTCCCCCATCACTCTCTTGACATACCAGGACCTCAAATCAACTACAAGCCAGCTTGCGCGCCGTCTCCTGATCATCGTCCTTGTCTTAGTCCAAGTCGCATAGCAGCAGCAGGAGCAGCAGCAGCCTTCTCTTCGCTCTTTATCCCTTCGCAACACTCCTTCAGTACAGTCCGGCGCAGTCCACCTCCCAACCGCAACCATGAAGGGTAAGTACATCCAAGCCAATTCCACAGTGCAAAGCCAAATGCTTGCGCATTCAGTCCAGAAAGCTGACCTGCCCTCTTCTCGCTGTAGCCCTCATTCTCGTCGGTGGCTTTGGCACCCGCCTCCGACCTCTTGTACGATCGCCTTCCTCTCCCCACAGTCACTTGTCCGATCAAACACATGGCATACTTTCAGGTTAAATTGAAGATGTGGGCTCTGACTCTGAATTGTGTTGCTAGACCTTGACAATGCCCAAGCCCCTGGTCGAGTTCGCCAACAAGCCCATGATTGAGCACCAGATCGAGGCCCTTGCCGAGGCTGGCGTCACCGATGTAGTCCTGGCCGTCAACTACCGCCCAGAGATCATGGAGAACGCCCTGTCAGAGGTTTGTTAGTCCCTAAGCTCCTCCCCTGCCCGTAAATGCACACCAGCCGACGCCCCCCCCCCTTCTGAAGCTGTTCTAATGACTGATCCCCCTTCTTAGTACTCCAAGCGTTTTGGGATCAACATTACTTTCTCGGTCGAGACGGAACCCCTGGGTACTGCCGGCCCCCTCAAGCTGGCTGCCGACATCCTCCTCAAGGATGACACCCCCTTCTTCGTCCTCAACTCGGATGTCACCTGCGAGTACCCATTCAAGGAGCTCATCGAATTCCACAAGAAGCATGGCAACGAGGGCACCATCTGTGTCACAAAGGTCGAGGAGCCCTCCAAGTACGGTGTCATCGTGCACCAGCCCGGCCACCCATCCCGCATCGAGCGATTCGTCGAGAAGCCCGTCGAATTTGTTGGCAATCGCATCAACGCCGGCATCTACATCCTGAACACCTCCGTCCTCGAGCGCATCGACCTGCGCCCCACCTCCATCGAGCAGGAGACCTTCCCTGCCATGGTCAGAGACGGCGAGCTGCATTCATTTGATCTCGATGGCTTCTGGATGGACGTTGGCCAGCCCAAGGACTTCATTGCCGGGACTGAGCTCTACCTGAGGTCGCTGGAGAAGAGGAAGTCCAAGCTGCTCGCGCCGCACACCGAGCCATATGTCCACGGCAATGTCATGATAGACCCCTCAGCCAAGATTGGCAACAACTGCAAGATAGGACCCCATGTTACGATCGGGCCCGGCGTGGTCATCGGGGACGGCGTGCGCCTGCAACAGTGCGTCCTCCTGAAGGGGTCCAAGGTCAAGGACCATGCTTGGGTTAAGAAGACCATCGTGGGCTGGAACAGCACTGTGGGCAAGTGGGCGCGCCTGGAGAACGTGACCGTCCTGGGTGACGATGTCACGGTTGGCGACGAGATCTACGTCAATGGTGGCAGCGTCTTGCCTCATAAGTCCATCAAGGCCAACGTCGACGTCCCCGCCATCATCATGTAAGCCTGCCGCCTCAGTTTATGGCGGCGGCGATTCATGAATGAAGCAAGCAGCAGCAGCAGCAGCGGCGGCGGCGCTGGAGGGATGGGCTACCACCACCACCACACATTCACGGGACCCCCTGTTTCACTTTTATACCCCCCTTTTTTCTATTACTCAAGAGGAACCCTTCTTGTACGGATACCACGTAATTGGCGAATTCTCAACCACAACCACTCCTCTCTTTTCTTGGTTCCCGGCCCGTGCTGCTGGGCATTCATGAGTCCCTTGGCTCCCGAACATGTGCATTTGAGATTATGGCCCGGCGTCGGATTTGCGGCACATTGTTTGCCATCTTGCCCAATCTCATGTTCGTTCACAATTTTCACCTCGAGGCATGTCCCGCACGAAGTTTAGTTCTGTTTTATTTGATTCTATGGGGTTGTCGGGTTGTGGACAACGAGAGAGACAGAGAGACAGAGAGAGAGGCTTTTGATGGTGAAAGACATGATCAGCATAAAATCGGCGATGGATGAATTTGACGACATGGAACCTGGGGTCCGAAAGGGGATTTCTGAGCATTGCGAACCCATCATTAGAGGTCAAGAAAAAAAAAAGGTCTCGGGTTGCTCTTTTGGAGTTGAGGTTTAGAAATGCCAACCTGCGGGCTTGTAAGCACGATTCTAATCCGATTATTGGTTTGTTCTTCTCGAGTCTCGTGGGTTCCCCCACGTGCACGCTTGCTGGTAGTGACTTTTTGTGTTGTCCGCCCATGGCTGCCGCCAAATCTATAGCCGGCTTGGTGTAGACTTGACGGGCGCGTTATTACCTGCTCACCTGCACGCCATAGTATACTAGACACGCAGCCATCGGGCCTACCGTATAGTCTAGGTGAGGAGCTGGGCGGATGCAATTGCCCGTGTGGCCCAAACCTCGCAAGCTGAGTTGGCAGACTGATGTTCAAGCCGTGGGTGACACGGGCACGGAAGAAAAGGTGAGGTGCCTGCATATGTTGCCTGACTAGCACTCAACTCGAAGCTCGAGGTCGAGGTCGAGGCCGAAATCGACTTGGCACCCGTGCGGAGATGGCAGGGGACGCGCAACATTGTCGGCTCAGCTCCCTGGCCGGTAGGTTGGTGAAGTGACACTTGGTTGCTCAGTCCCGTGGGTGTTGAACGAGAAAGAAGATCCTTTGGACGGGCTACGACACAGTCCCGAGGCACGAGATTGTCTTGGTTGCATCACGCTGGTGGATATGTCACCCGGAGGTTGGGCCTACTACTGTAGTGGGACGAACCGGTGAAAGTCAATCTTCTGGCGGCGTCGGGGGGTTTAAACTGGATTGGGAGGTTCTGCGTCACGATCCAACATGCCAACAAGCAAAGTTGACAGGACGGGCAGGGCAACCTTGGGAAGCTGGGCCGGCACTTGGTGGGGTGGAGGGGGTTGGCAGCCCAGTGCAGCCCGGCGCAGCCCAGCCAGTCGGGTGGGAAGGCTGGGAATCCTGTTTCTGCCACCCACTCTTTCTCTCTCTCATGCACCTCCAGTGGGCTGTCAGTTCAAAGTCATGGGCATCTGACTGCCTGTGCCTGGCAATCATGGATGCCCCTGACTGTCCCGATTTCCAACGTCATCCTCGCAGGCTGTGTCATCGGATGGCAGCAGCTCTGGTTGCTGCTGCTGCTGCTGCTGAACAGCCTTGTCATGGCCAGCTCGGACTTGTTTGTGCGCGTGCATATGGACGGCTACCCATCATCAACACATACAAGTGTCCCTTCATCCTCGACTGCTCTCCTGCATTCCACCCCATCTATCTAATTCACTCCTGCCAGGTCGAATCTCTGTGGAATCACGCCGTGTATCCGCAACGAAAGCTCCATCTTAAATCTGAAATCTTTGGGTCAACACCACAACCTGTGTATCGTGTCAGCCGACTGGCCCACTCGTGCCACAAATGTCACCTGCACTTGATGCGCCGGCCAGTAAGCCGAGGGCGAGGAACAGGCTCCGAAAGCTCACAAAGCTCCGCTCTGGCTCGGCAGCCTCTAACACCACCAACAACAATGTCTCACCACGGGCCTCGTCGGATTCAGCCAGGGCAGCTGCTCAGGGCCCACAGTCGCCCATACGCGGGTCCATCCCGCCATCCCCGGATCTGAGTAGCCAGAAGTGGCTCGAGTACATACGAAAGAGCGGCTACCTGTGCCCCATGGAGTCCTCGCCTCACCTGCAGCACACACGGTCCCGCTCGCTTACGCAAAATACCAACAAGGTCGTACCCGAGCTCGCCCACCTTGCCATCGACATTCCCGAGAAGAGCCCCCGGCGGTCATTGGACACGCAGCAGCCCACGGGTTCACCAAGGTCCGGGTCCTTGTCAGCATCGTCGAGCCTGAGGCGGTACGCAAAGACGCCCGTGCTACGGGTAGGGCAGCTGGAAGGCAGCGAGAGCAGCACGCCAGGCGCCGAGTCGATCGCGGCACAGTACCGGGCCCTGCTCAAGTCTCGCAGCCACGACGAGCTGCGTGGTGGTGTCGCGGAAGACGGGCATGATGGCAACGACGTCGACACCAGGCAGACCAGCATAGAGGCTATACGTGGGGCCACCCGTCGACGGTCACCGTTGCTACCACCGCCATCACCATCATCGACGCTGGGAGCGGGAGCAGAGTTGGAACCAGAGACAGAGCCGAGGGGCTCGCCGACCTCTGACGGCACTCTTGTCGCATTTGAGGAGGACACCATCTTCTTCAAGCCGGTGTCGTTCTGGCCCGAGCCGCTGTCACCCATCCGTGAGAGCGACGGGGGCAGGGGCGGAGTTGAGGACGACTACAATCACGAAAATGAGGATGGATTTGAGCAGTCACAGCGGCCGCTGCCACAGCCGGGAGTGCTCAGCCTGCAGATCGCCATGAACCTGCTCTCGAGGGAGCTGTCGTGCGCGGTGAGCAACGAGGCGCTGAGGGCGCCGACGGACGTGCGGCAGCTGCAGACGTGGGTGATGATCGAGGCGTACGAGGCACTCAGGGATCAGGTGCTGCAGATGGCACTGCCGGAGGACGAGGCCGAGGCGCTCAGGAGGGCGTTCGGCATGTGGTTGAGGGCGCTGTACCGCGTCCACGACGGCTTCGCCCGCGAGACGAGTGGGCCCAGCGACAGCGACATTGAGGCACTGCAGGCGGAGGATCTAGACTGATCGGATGCTAATTATCACCTAGGTAGATAGATATCTAGACACCCTGAAATTCTGTAGCGTAATCATAATCGAATCCTCTGTTGTCTCGCTGAATTGTTAAATATGGTGTAGATCATCTAGTCTATCTACATAAGTCTAAGTAAGACCCATGTATCTGCTACCCCTGCTCTCCTCCCCCACAGTCCGTATGCGTGCTGGAGCTAAGCTCCGTCATAGGTAACCGGGGTACTACCATCATAGTCTTTCTGCATGCTGAGTGTGCACTTATCGTCTAAATCCTCAACCATCAACCTTCAGCCTCGAAGCCGCCTTGTACTTCTCCTTGGTTCTCGCCATGTCCACTTGTAGGCCTTGCACTTGAGATTCTCCACAATGGACGACGACTTCGGGGCCGATCAGGATTTCCTTACTGCCCTCGCTGCCTCTGACGCGCCTGGTCCCAGTCGCGTGAACCCGCGGCAGCCTGTTCCGCAGAGGATCCAACAACCCACTCCCCAGAGGCTCGACAGACCTCCGCCCGCCAATTCCGCCTCTAGGTCTGGCTCTGGATCTGGCGTCAAGCAGCCCACCCCACAGGCACTGCCTCAGCGCGCCGCCGGCTCCTCCATCCTGGTCTCGCCGCGCCAAAAGGGCAATCCCGTGCTCGCCTACCTCAAGTCGCTCCCTTGGGAGTATAGCGACATCCCCGCCGACTACGGCCTGGGTCTGACAACCTGTGCTCTATTTCTAAGGTGCGTCACTGTCTGTACCGGCTGTGTAGGCCTCCCTTCGCCCGTGCGATGTTCTAACATGAGCATGCCTTTGCGCCCACTGCAGTCTGAAGTACCACCGCCTCCACCCTGAGTACATCTATACGCGTATACGAAACCTCCAAGGCCGCTACAATCTGCGCGTCCTGCTCACCATCGTCGACATTCCGAATCATGAAGACTCCCTGCGCGAGCTCTCCAAGACGAGCCTCGTCAACAACGTCACCCTGATTCTCTGCTGGTCAGCTGCCGAGGCCGCTCGCTACCTGGAGCTGTACAAGTCCTACGAGCACGCCAACTTCGCCGCCATTAAGGGCGCCCAGGCAACCTCGTACGCAGACAAGCTCGTCGAGTTCGTCACCGTTCCGAGGTCCGTCAACAAGACCGACGCCGTTGCTCTGGTCAGTACCTTCGGCAGCCTCAAGGCTGCTATCAATGCCGACCCAGAGACCATTGGCGTTATCGGTGGCTGGGGAGAGAAGAAAGTCAAGGCATGGACCAAAGCCGTCGAGGAGCCCTTTAGGGTGAGGAAGGCCGCCAAGAGGAGGTTGAACGCGGAAGAAAGCACAGACGCCGATGTTCAGAGGAGGAGGAACCTGGACGAGGCCAGGCCCATTGGCAAGATCTCGTTAAGGGAGGCGGCTGAGTTGGAAGCTTCGAGGAGCCGAGGCGAAGCAAGTGCTGGTGCTGGTGGGGAACAGCAGGCCAAAAGAGCGAGGCAGTTCCAGATTGCTGGAGAAGATGACGATGACGATGACGAAGATGCTGAACTTGCTGCTGCAATTGCAGAATCGAAGCAGATGGCCGAGCAAGAAGCTAAGGCGCGAGCTGGGGCTGGAGCGTCAACATCGGAACAGGGCCCCTCCAGGAGCAAAGGGGATGAGCTCGCGGGCGGCGTTGCTGCGGCTTTGGCAAAACTGAGGAAGGGATGAGTCTTCCTCTGAGCGAATCAACGTCTACAATGTCAGCGACAAACACGTTATTCACGTGCGGCCTCACGACAAAATCCCATCCTCATTGGCCATCACATTTGCTCCAACGTCGTGAAGCATACGCGGCAAATGAGCAGGCCTAAGGATTAGCCTGGTGAGTCTACTCTGCAGCTTCTGTAATAGGATGTCTGCCAGAGAAAACCAGATTTCATCTTCAATCAGATGAGCTGACTGATGTCCAGTAGGATTCAAACCATGTACGGGACGAGGCCGCCGCCGATGTGGTCCCGGAGACCGGGTCTGGGGTCGGAAGGGGACAGCTCCCCACCCCCACATCGGGACTCCGGTTCAAGGCGGTAGTTGACGACGTGCGCTTAAACTAATAACTTGCAGCTTGCTGCCACTATTTCTGTTGAGATCAAGCACAACCAGTATCAACTCACTCAAAAGTGCGGTCTGGTGATATTTGCTACTGCGCGCACACAAACACACATGTAGTCTCTTCACAAGGATCTTGGTATCACATATTCGCATTCAAGGAGCAGACCACCCTGTATCACCAGACACGACAAACGCAGACATGCCCGACCAGACCCTTGCAGGCAAGGTTGCTATTGTGACTGGCTCCAACACAGGAATAGGCGCTGCTATCGCTCAGGAGCTCGCATCCCGAGGCGCAAGCGTCGTTGTCAACTACCCCTTCCCAGCCCTTGCCGAGGAAGCGCAGAAGGTTGTCTCGGGCCTGCCCACAGGATCGACCTCTGTCGCCGTCGAGGTAGATCTGTCGACAGAGAATGGGCCCCAGCAGCTCATAGACGCCGTGGTGGCAAAGTACAAGACCATCCACATCCTCGTGAACAACGCCGGCCTGGCCGTCAACAAGCCCCTCCCGCAGCAGACACTCGGCGACTGGGACAAGCTGGTGGGCCTGAACGCGCGGGCCGTCTTCCTGCTCGTCCAGGCCGTCCTGCCGCACCTGCCTACCCCGTCGCCGTCGACGCAGGAGAGGCCGCAGACGGACGGCGGCCGCATCGTCAACATCGTGTCCATCTCGTCGCGCGCGGCGCCACCGCTGCAGACCATCTACGCCGGCACCAAGGGCATGGTCGACAGCATGACCAAGGTCTGGGCCAAGGAGCTCCCGCCCCGCTACGGCTGCACCGTCAACGCCGTGTCGCCCGGCCCGACCATGACGGCCGGCTTCGCGGCCGCCGGTGACGAGTTCATGAAGGAGATGGCGCCCGTCATGGCCCAGACGCCCGTGGGCCACCGGATGGCGCTGCCCGAGGAGATCGCCTTCGGGGTTGGCTTCTTGTGCGAGCCACGGGCGAGCTGGATTAACGGGTTGCACCTGAATGCGAGTGGTGGGTTGCACATTGAGTAATTGGGGCCCGAAAGGAATGGCCGGGGCAAGCTGAATCACTGATGTCTACCTGTTGATACCCTGGTAAAAGGCAGGGGTCAAGGTCATTAAACACGTATGCTATTCTCCAGTCTGCCCGTTATTTATATCATGAGATATGAAGAAATCCAACACAACGCACATCCAAAATGTCCAAAATGCCTACTACATGAACGGTCCAATTCTAAATCCGGGATAACAAGCCCGATATACAAAAAGGGCCAAGTCCAAAGGCGCCGAAAAGGTGGTATCATGCTGAAGGCGCCTGCCCATGAGAAAAATCACCAAAGAAAAACATAACCATCCTGATGAACAAGTAGATAGGTACAGAAGGGTGCGTGCCCTCTTGATTTACCACTGCAGGCCTGCGCCGCCGGCCTTAATGACGAGCACACTGGCTTTGACGCCGCCGTTGACGAGCTGCTCGGCAACGGTGCCGACCGTCTTCTTCAGGTCGAGCCCGCCCAGATCGATCTGGGAGTCGCCCAGGTCGGGGTGCGAGCGGCCGACGACGACAATATCGCCAGCGTTCCGGGGGACGTTTCCGACGCTCTCCCTGGCCCTGGAAACGGCCTCGGCCACCGCAGTCCCCTTGGTGACGTTGATCTCGGCCAGGGACACGCGGCCCGCCAGCTCCTTGGGCAGCAGGGACCGCAGCGAGGACAGCACCGCGAGATCCTGGGCCGACGTCTCCTCGACGACCTTGACGGCGTCCTTGCTCGCGCCGCGCGAGCCGCCGGCGGCCTTGGAGGGGACCTCGACCTCGTCGCCCGAGTCGTAAGCGGACCAGCTGAAGTGGGCGACGGTGAGGGTCACGTGTGGGCTTTTTGCGAGTTGGATCGCGAAGCGCAGGGCCACGCGGTCGTCCACCCCGCCGAAGAAGGGGAAGAAGATCTGGTGGCTCTTGTCCTTGACAGGTAAGGTGGCGGCGTCACGCTGGCTGTGGATGGACATGGCGCTCTTTGTTTTCTTGAGGTTGGGCCGCTCGGCGGGGCCCATGCCGCCAAAGTTCTGGTTGATAAAGATGCCAGTGTTGCATACAGATGTCTCGAGGGCCTTACTGACGAAATCGAGGTGTCCGCGGTTGTTGTAGCGGTCATGGGCAGATGTGACGAAGGCCACCGACGTGTCCTCGGTGATGCTGCCATACTCGCTCCAGGGGACCAGCAGGAAGTCTGACGCGACATCCGAGGCTTGCTTTATCAGGGTTTCTGCGTAGGATGCTTCTGGCACGATAGCGACCTTGCCGGACACGGCGACATCGTTCAGCCGCGAGAAGGTGCGGAAGGCATTCACGACCGGGTCTATCTCGGAGTAGTATTCCTCACCCTCGGTGACCTGCATCACCGACGACGTTCGCTCCGTGAGCCCCAAGATTCGCAGCCCGTGGACTTCCAGGGGCCGCTTTGCGACTTGCCGAGAAGTGATATGGGCTTCGCCCTTCTCTGAAGGCTCTCCTTCCTCTATGATCTGCTGTTTCACCCCCTCGTCGCCTCCAAGAAGGGCAATGAAAGTGAAGAGACTCGGGAGACTGTCAAGCCGCAAGTAGACGAGCAGGCGGCGAATCTGTGCCGAGTTGAGCTGCTGCTCAGCAGGATCATCTCCACTGGAGGTAGAGGATATGGGATTTCCGTCCTTGTCGGTCTCTCCGCGTCGCCATTTCTCCATCTTGGTTTGGTACCACGGCGGGTAAAGCCACTTGACCAATGGAGTGGTAGCCACGGTTGTAACGACAGCCATGACGACGAAGATGGTAAAGGTCCGTTGGGAGAGGATCTTAGCCTGCAGCCCAATATTCTGTTGTTCTGGTGTCAGCTGGCGCCCCCTGATTTTCCACGTCGTCAATCTGAAGGGGTTGAAGATACGGGACTTACAAGTACGATGAGCTCCACAAGGCCCTTGCAGCTCATGAGACACCCGATGGTGAAGCTCTCGCGCCATTCCAGTCTGTTCAACTTCGCAGCCAGGGTTCCTCCAATGATCTTGCCAGAGAAAGCGATGGCAATGACACCGATAACATAGGCCCAGGTAATGCCATTGTCGAGCAGACCAAGATTGGTGCTGAGACCCGAAAGGGCAAAATACAAAGGTAAGAAGAGCACGGAGATCAGATCCTCAATCTTCTCGGTCAGCTTGATGGCGAAGCCTCCCTCGTGGGGACAGATCAGACCAGCAAGGAAGGCACCGAAGATGGGGTGCACTCCGATGATGCCTATAGGAGTCGATTAGCTCGGAATTCTACATGACATGTATGTAATGACCTCATGCGCAAGCCAGAGGCAGAATGAGAGGGACGGAAGGCAACATACCGGTGAACCAGGACGAGAACAGGACAATCAACAGGGTCAGCGAGACCATGCCCTGCGTAGGGCCATTCTGGAGACTGCCGGTCCTCCTGAGGCACCACATAAAGCAGGGGCGGACAGCAAAGCACAGGAACAGGGCCCAGCCGATGGTGCAGAGCAGGGCGTAGAGGGCGGCCAGGCCGTTGGCGTTGTTGACGAGGGCGACGCACAGGGCCAGCAGGATCCAGCCGGTGACATCGTTGCCGATGCCAGCGGCGAGGACAGTGACGCCGACGGAGGAGCGCAGCAGCTTGAGCTCGGTCAGGATGCGGCAGAGGACGGGGAACGCAGTGATGGCCAGGGCAGTGCCGATAAAGAGGGCAAAGACGCCGAAGTTGATGGAGACGGTGTCGGCCTCGTCCCGGAACTGATGGTACAGGCCCCAGGCGATGGCGCAGCCGAGCCCGAAAGGCAGGATCATGCCGGCCAGGCCGACGGACAGAGCGACGCGCCAGTTGCTGGTGAAGAGTCGGACGTCGACCTCGAGTGCGACCAGGAAGAGGAAGATGATGAGACCGAGATTAGCGACATTGTTGAGGACGGGCATAGATTCTGTGGGGAAGATGTTCGCCTTGAAGCCGGGAATGCGCATCATGACCGAGGGACCCAGCAAGATACCGCCAATGACCTCCGCGATGACACGGGGCTGGCCGAGGTAGGACAGGGGGTAGTGCAGCAGGCGACAGAAGATGATGATGATCATGGCCTGGATGATGAAGAGGGTGATGGGGTTGGAGGCGCTGTACTTGACGGGGTTGGCGCCCTCGAGCACGCCGGCCTGGGCGGCGACCTTGCCATCGCTGCTGTTGGATGAGCCGGCGGCGGCGACGTTGGTGATGGTGGAGGCCAGGACAAGGAGCGTCGCAAGAGCAGCGCTCTGGCGAGCCATGTCGGGCAGGTCTCAGCGAGGCTGGTGACCCGAGCACGACCTATGACAGCACCTGGTTGGAGTTGCACAGCGGCACAGCGGCACAGCGGCACACAGCGGTAGGGGCAGCGTGGGTGTGAGGTAACAGAACAAGCAGGGCAAGCTGTTAGGGCTGCGACGCTGCTACGGCTGACCCGCGGGGGCGGAGAGGCCGCAGATTGGCTGGCTGGTGGCCGACGGGTGGGAGGTGTTTGGACGGGTGTTTGGCAGTGTGTCGAGTCGAGTCGAGTCGAGAGCTGATGCTAGACCCGAGAGTCTGGGCCGTGAGCCTCGAGACCAGACCACCACGTGTGCAGTGCAGCGCAGCAGTGCAGTGCAGTGCTGATGTGTCTGTGTCCGTGTCGACTCGCAGTTTGTGAGGGGGGGGAAGAGATAATAAAAGGATGGGCCCCGGGTAGGTGGGAGGTGGGAGGATGCTGACGGTGTTGGGCCTCGAACAGGTGATGGACTGCCGAGGGTCGAAGCAGCCAATTATTGCATCAAAAGCACCGACCCGACTCATCAAGGTTCGTGTCAAGATGCAGGGTAGAGACAGGGCAGGACAGGGGTAATGACTGATTGATTATTCTCTCATCTCATACCTCGCTGTCGCACGGCGTTGGGATGAGGAATCAATCACTCGTGGGTCAGGTCAGAGAGGGATGGAGGAAGACGGGATATTGGAGACAAGAGGCAGAGAGAAAGACAGAGAGATATACGGCAGACAAGCAGTAATAGTCTACGCATTGGATTGGATTCAATCAGGTGGTCGAGGCTCGCTTCTGCTGCTGCTGCCGCCGCCGCTGCTACTGGTGCAAACTACGACGGTTTAGGATTGGAATGGGCGTGGCATGGCATTGGCACCGGTACACAATGAAGGGAAAGGAAGAGGGGCGGTCAACGGACAGAGGTCAGCAGAGGAGATGCTTACAACGGAGAGCCCTGCAGAGAAAGGCGGGACAAGAAGGGGCAGAAGCGGCAGAAGGGGGAGAATGGAGGGAATATGGGCAAAATGGTAGGGCAGATAAGCGGGATTGATTCCAGTAACCAACGGGCGTTGCAGTTGCAGGACGCCCCCCCAGCTCGATCCCGGATCCAAAAGGCTTGGAAGTTTCTTGGGTGTTGCGACTTCACATACCTATCTACAGTGGTGGCACATGCACATGCTGTGGAGGAATGACACAACAAAGAAGACTCCAGGCCAAAGGGGAAACGAACTACTGTCGCACACTAGCCTCAGCCGCAAGGGCACAAGAAGTGCACAAGGGGCATCATGGACATGCCCGTGTCGTGATCTGGGTTCTGGGCCCGGTCATGGAACTACCATGTGCTTGCGCCATGGCGACTAATAAGCGGGCTAAGCAGTCTACGCTATGGGTTGTGTTATGTTAAGCATGATCGTGACTGGACCCTGGAGATGGAAGATGGATGTGGAATAATGCATGCAGTACGTGTACAGTAAGGATCCACTTCTTCGTCCACTTCTTCTTGTTATCCCTCCACATCCCCCATCCCACAGCTATCCAAGCATGCCCCCCCGCATTATACTATAAATGGAGCCATAAGATAGAGAGAGGGTGTGGATGAACAAGACTTAAAGTTGGTCATCTGATCGATGAAAGCCTGCTTCTATACTATACTATACTAATAGACACACCACACACACACACCACTTGCATACTGTTGGCTATCCACCACAATAGCAACAACAAGGACAGCCATTCATGGCCCAGCTAACAGCCAAGCTGAGTTGGAATGACTCGAATGACTCGGTGCCGAGCTGGCGGGCTGGTTTGTGGTGCTGATCATCTGGTGGTGCTGAGTAGAACGGAATGGTGCAAGGGGGTAAGACAACAACGGAGAACAACAGGGGAGCGGCTAATCAACGGCCAACGGAACGGAATCCGCATTCGTCTACTGCAGAGAGAGAGGCATGCATCTTGACTCTACATACTGTGGTAGACTATCATGTGACTGCTTGCTGCATAGATTCATCACCTCTTCTTCTCTCACCATCGACCAGTAGACAATGGGACGCTCTGCTTAGCCAAGCCGGCCCGATTGGCAGGCCTCACTCACTCACAAACCTGCCCAATACCGTGTTTCACCAACTCGGCCCCCCGTTTCGTCCCGGGCCCGGCCTGCAAGATACGGAGACACATCGGCACACCTCTCAAACCAACATCGCCCTCACCACTCCCTCACCCACTTGGGGCTCTTGCTTACATACTTACTCATCCAGACTGTGCAGCTGCAGCTGCAGCTACCCACAACACTGGTCAGCCCCACAGCGGTCCCCACAGCGGCCCCGACATTGACTTACATAACCTCCGGCTCCCAGTCCCCGGCGCTGGCCCCGCTCCGTCCGCTTCTGACCCGGCCTCGCCTTGTGGCCCGGCCACGTCCAGAAACACTTGACACCCAACCACAGCCCGCCGTCCCTGCAGGAAACCTCCTGCTTGGCCACCCAGCCCTTCCGTCAGAGAGCCTCAGAGATCGATGACTCTGCCCCCTTTGCCATGCGTTCCCAGCCGTGTCGAGCAATGGCCGCCATTGAAACAGGAACAGTCTCTTGGTTGGCCGCGCCTCCTTCTGGCTGTGAGCAGCCACTCTCGCTTGACGGTCTAGACTCGCCTTGCCTCCCCTTGTCTCTCCTCGCAAGTCCTCTTGGCCCTCTGTGTCGTCATGTCTTAAAACTTGACCGGACCCTCTTTTTGCAACATGGCTCTCTCCCTCTCTGCTACAAGCGTCAGAACTGCTGCCTATCGTTCTTTTCTTTCTTCTTTCTTTTCCTCTGTGTGGCAAATCTTCTCTGCGCAAGCTATCGTGATTGCGCTGGCTGTGTCACCATCACGGATTTTCAAGCGAGACTCGACGTCTCCCGGACAAGCGTCCATCTCTTTCATTACTAACTTCTGACACTCGTTGACTCTTCGAGTAACAGTATACGATGAAGACCTTCATCGCCAGACGGCACGCCGCCATCACGGCTCTGGCTTGTCTGCTCGCCCGCGGCCGAGCTACAAATCACCTCGGCGAGGAGACTGCTTCAGCTGCCCCGGCTGCCACGGCTGCTACTCCTCCTTTCCCAGTCCTGCCAGTGGCTCAAAATTCAGCACAAGGTAAGTTCGCACTGTCCCCAAACCTCCTGCAAGCAACTGGACTAACCAAACTCCAGTCATGTCGAACCCACCAGCGCTCAGCTTCCCCGGGGCCGGCAAGAATCAGACCTATCTCGCCCTGGGCATGGAATTGCCCATAATAGCCACCGCAGGCGGTGGGTCTACCGCAAGCGCAGAGCTCATCTTCGTCTCGCCTCAGTCCTACCTTCTCTTCGTCCAGCAGGGCATGATGCTGGACAGCTCCACCCAGCTGAATATGAGCGGCGGCCTGCTGAGCTCCGCCGCCGACCCCTTCGTCTCGTTCGAGGAGCCAACCGGGCTCTTTTCCTCCATCACATCCGCCAACTCGGGCGCATCGTCGTCCTCCGCTTCCTCCTCGTCCTCGTCGTCGTCCTCGTCCGACATGCGCCTCCTCGCCGTCCTGCTCTACAACCCGCCCACCCCCCAAGCTGGGATGACCGCCTTCAACTTTACCGCCTGGGCCGCAGACATGAGCGCGAACCCGTCCCTTCGCATGGATTTTGACGTCCAGGACTTTGCCACCCGGTCCGGGCTCGGCGATCCCGTTGCCGCCGAGGTGCTCATCGTCCAGGACCAGATCAGCACCCCGTCCGACAACCCCGATGACAACTCGGCGAGCCTGGTCCCGATCAGCACCGTCATCCCGGCCGGCGGGCAGGAGGAATCCACATCCGCCGCCTCATCCTCGGCTTCGGCCTCGGCCTCAGACTCAGCTTCAGCTACCGGGGCTGGTGCCGGTGCCGCCGCCGCCGCAGCTGGTGGACAGTCTGGCGCGGCAGCCACCGGTGCGGCAGCCACCGGAGGAGTCGGTGGTAGCCCGTCAGGTCTCGGTGCATTGGGCGCTGGTGGCGCCGGTGGCCTCGCGACGGGCGGCGCTGGAGGAGCCAGCCAAACTGGCTCGGCCGCCGGTGCAAGCGGGACGGATTCAGCCTCCGGTGCAACCGGCACTGATTCAGCAGCCGGTGCAAGCGGAACGGGCTCAGCAGCTGCAGCAGGCTCAGATGGTCAGACTGGCTCCGGGTCTGAGGGCGGTAAGGGTGATGGTGCCAATGCAGGTGGCTCAGGTGCAGAAGGAAGTGGAGAAGACGGCGCTGGTGGCGCTGGTGGCGCCGGCGACGGTGCCCAGAAGGGAGATGGGGGAGATGGGAGCGGTGCTGGGGCAGGTGAGGGCAGTGATGGCAAGGGAGGAGACGGCAGCGGCTCTGAAAACGGACAAGGTGGGAAGGCAGGAGCAGGTGGCGCCGGAGCAGGAGATCAAGGTGATGCTGGAAAGGGAGATGGGAGCGGTGCCGGAGCAGGATCCAACAAAGATGGCGGCAAAGGCGCCGGTCAGGACGCCGGCGGTCAAGGATCCGGCGGTGAGGGTGCCGATGGTGAAGACGGATGCGACGCGGAAGACGAGCAAGGCGCCGGAGGTGCAGGAGCAGCAGGCGGGGCCGGTGAGGGTTCATCAGCCGCCTCCGCGGGCAATAGCACCTCGGCGACTGCCACGGGCGGAGCCGGCAAGTCGGGCACCGCAGACAAGAGTGGCCTCCCGCTCATGGGCACCGGCGCCGCGAAACTACCGGGCATGATGGAAGGCGGCGGCATGATGGGCGCCGGCGGCATGAAGGGAGATGGCGGCATGAAGGGAGATGGTGGCATGAAGGGGGCCGGCAGCGAGAGCAGCGGCGCCGCAATGCCCGAGATGACGGCGTCAGCGTCGGCGTCGGCTAACCCGGACGACGACGGACTCTTCACGATCGGCTTCGACGTCGACGGCAAGTTCGGGACGACCATCACAGCCGAGCTGCCCTTCCGGGCGGCCCGCCGTACCGCCGCTCCACAGGACGGCGGCGATTGGACCATGACGCTCAACACGGACGTGAGGGCCGCTCTGGGAGGGCTGATGCAGGCCACCGCTGCGTCGGCGAGCAGCCCGTCCCTTGCGACCGGCTCGTCTACCATGGTCACGACGACAACATCTTCCGGGGAGACTGCAATGGCCACTGCCACAACGTCCACAACGAGTGTGACCTCGGGGGCGACGACCCTGTCTTCCTCACTGCTCCGTGTCTTCGGTCTAGCAGCTGGTCCGTTGCTTGTCTTGATATTTACGTGAAGGGCAGTTTGCTGCTAATGAATGGGAGGTATAATGCGGCGTTCAATGCGGCGTTCGGTTGATCTTGGTTGGTTTGTCTTGTCTCGTGTATCATTATCCTCACGGGAGTCGGAGGGACACTCCGAAGCAGCTGTGCTTCACCCGGCAAAGGAAGTCTGGGTTTTGAGGTTGGCGCGCTGTCATTGATACCGCTGGTTTTTCGTACATGTGTTTTTATAGTTACAGTTAGAGAATAGAGTCACCCATTCCATCTTCGCCTGCCTGAACGAGAGCCCCAACCTCGATACAGTGCAACTTTTGCGCTCATTCACTTACAGGACCATAATGCTCGTTTCCTTCGCAACGCCAAAACCCAGAATCGAACGCCACGGGTATTCCCATCTATAGGTCCTTTCCCCGGGACCGTCATGCAAGCGCAACAAGACCAGTAAGTAGCCTCGCCCCAAACGGGCGCACCCGCCTGCCACAAGGGAAGCATGCATACCAGTGCGTCGCTTTGTGATCTTTTGTTGGTCAAGGTGGCCACCAATGCGAACAAAGCAAAAGAAAGAAATACATCAAAGGGAAATGGGGAAAACTTCATATTTTCGGGAAGTCCAATCAGTGTCCCACACATGACTGACAAGACATCCTTCCTAGTTCCACCGTTGGTGGTCAGATGAAGTGTCTCGACGTCGGGTGGGATTATGATGGGTATCATCGCTAGAAGAAAGTTGAAAAGAATCTGCCCCTCTCCCAATGGACATCCAACAGACAAACAAATAAAAAGCCAAAACCGTAAAACTGCCGCATCGCTGTGATATGCATAGATTCGTGCCGTCATAGGCTGGGACGCAAGTTGTCGAATTCCACAAGCCGCTTGAACTTGGGCTTCCCACGGTACCTTGGAGGCTCGGGACGCGGTTCGCTTGGCCCTTCGTCTTTTTCATGGTTTCCAGACTCTTCACGTGCGCTCGTGCTGGGTGCCTCGTCTTTATCGTTAGCAGGTTGCTCATGACGACTGCCATCAACAGATTCCCTAGGCGTGCTGGTGACGGTTTCCTCTCTTGTTCCTCCGCTGACGATACTATCGTTGGTGTTTTCAACAGCTTCTTCATGCGTACCATCAACGGATTTTTCATGTATGCCGTTGACAGGCTCCTCGTGCGTACCGTCGAGAGACTTGTCAAGGAAGTCATCATGACCGCCGTTCACGGCTTCCGTGAGGCAGTCGTCGACAGGGTCCTCATTAGTGTCATTGGCAGTCCCCCCCTGGTCATCATTGAGAGGTTCAATGTCCTTATCATCGATAGCATCCGCATCAGTGAAGGTGGCAGGCTTCACGCCCGCTTCGAGCTCTTCTTCCGTCTTGCTTTCCTTGGCCTGGGGCTCTGCCTCCTGCTCAACGTCCTCCTTCAATGTCTGCTTCTCTTCCTCCGGCTCGCGACTGGCTTTCTTCGTTCTTTCAAGTTCCCAAAGATAAGACAGAAATCGTGACTCGGACCGTGGTGGTTTCCGTGAGCGCATTTCGTTGTATGCAGCAGTGAGGTGCTTATCAGGCACAAATTTACGAAATTTACGCGGGGGCGCACACGTCCCGGAGTCCCCATTCTCGGCATTCTCGGGCAACTCATCGCCACTGCCGCCTCTGAGATGTACCTAGTCGGATGAGGGCCAGAAGCCTGATGAGTTGCGTGCCGTGGATTGGGTATCGGCCGGTGAATCTTCCTAGGAGAAACCAGGGTTACCATTGTCTGGCATCGCGTTATCAGACAGAGCGACGAGCAACTGAGTCAGACATCTCTTGGTGGCTGCGTCGTCACGAAGGACGGAAGAAAATGTTGCGTCGCGAAGAGGCTCTGGCAGGCACTGACGAAGCGCCTCGCGCGCTCTTGCGTTGTCACTTAGTCTGTACCGAGTTAGTTCCGCAGTTCCAAAGGCGTCTAGACGGGCTACGATAGCCCTGAGTGAGTGAGTGTGCATGAGGTTACATACCGCAAGAAGCACCTGACTACATGCTTTAGTAGTCGGGCAGTCTGCTGTTCTACCAGTTGGCCCACCATATTGCTTAGGACAGTGCCGACAGCATAGAACCTCTCGTAGGTGGCGCAGATGTAGTTCAGGCCATTGTCATCAAGCAGTATCTTTTGCACGATGAAGATAGCCACAGTCTTGCTGAGCTCCGACCCCGTCTCCATTATCCGCAGGCAGAGAGGAATGATCTCGGTAGTCAACAAGAAGTTGATGACCTCGGACGAGTCGTTCTTAACAAGCGCGCCAATGACACCGAGGCTGGTGAGACGGAGGTACTCGAAAGGGCGCGATTTGGAGGTCGTGTTCAGGAAGGGGTAGAGATAGAGGGGGATGTGGGCTGAGAGGGCTGGTCAGTTATCGCGCACTGGTTGGTGGGGGCCAGGGTGTGGCAGCATACCATTGAGGAACAATGTGCGGGTCTCGTTGTGGGAGGCCACGCACTGGAGAAGGGCCAGAGCATTACAGACCCTGTTGGAAGCAGCGGCAGTGAGCTGGGAGGGGTTGAGGAGGGTGTAGACGGAGATGATCTCCTGGACGAGCGAGGTCATGACGCCAAATGAGTGCCACAGGATCAGGGCGAGCTCTGGGACCTGCTCACGCTTCTTGCTGAGCTCGAGGAGGGCTTGCTCGCGGGAGTTCTCGTTGAGCAGGTCGGCAATGTACTGCATGGTGCGACGGTTGTCCTCGGACATGTTGGGGTTGTCTGCGGCAGCGTCCTGGTGAGCAGCGTTCAAAGCATTTGTATGGGTCGCAGAGGAGTTGATGCGATTGTAGTGGGCTTGCTGGGCGTGCTGGACGGCGGCGGCGGCGGCAGCTTGTTGTTGAGCTTGAGCATGCTGGTGGTGAGATTGGGCCGGGTGCATCCAGGGAGCGTCCTGGGGGAAGTGCTGATGGCCGTACATGGGGTGGTTGGGCATCATCTTGACTCTGGGTGATGTTGCGTCGTCGCGCCCCGCGACGCCGTGCTGTGCGAACGAGGGCGATTGAGTGTGGTGGGTGTGTCGATACTGGATAGGAGAATATTGAGTGGTGGGAAAAGAGCGGGAGGAGGGGCCTTGTCGCGTAGGGCAGGGCGGCTCGCGAGAGATAGGTATGGATGAATCAGCGGTGACAGGATGGGCAACAGCTTGCTCGTGTGCGCGTGAGGAAGTAGTTGATGCGATGGACGGTTTGGGCACAGAGAGGCGAGGATTCAAGGGTTGGCTTGGGCGGGTCGAGGATGTTGTCAAGAGCCCTCGAAGGGAACGAGCGAGGCAAAGCTCTAGGCCAGGTCCGGATCATTGCCGGCGGTGGGGAGCAAAAGGTGGCCTGTGCGCATTTGCGAACAGTGGCAGTATTAAGGTTAGCTGGTTAGGTAGTGAGCGAGTGCCGCCGGCCTCGGTACGTACCTGACTACAGGTCACGGTACGGATACGTGCAAATCAGGCGGCCCTTCAAGCGCTTTGGTCTGTCTATCCGAATGCGTGTGTGGCCCAATCTGTTTCTCATATCACACTTTATCTACCTAAGCCTACCATATTTACCACGTTCGCCATACTACAAAGGAAGACATGCTGTCCCTTTCGGTACATATTCACCCAGTACCTCCTTGGTTCATGGCTCTTCCTCAGGGAAGAGCAATCACTGACACCAGCCCGGCTTCTTCTCAGTGCATACTCTGTAACTAGACGGATTATAAGTAATATGATGGCAGCTTCACGGCAGCCATCCGCGTCTCGACGTTGAAGGCGACGGCTCTCCGCCTCATCGCATACGACAGCATCCGCTAAGCGTCTGCTGTGTCGGTAGAAGCTATGTGAGTGAGTCTGCTCCCTGCGCGTGGGCTCGCGGTCATCCTAATGGGAAAATACGTATTCCCGTGCCTCTAACACTCATTCTTCCAGATGTTAGTGTAGGATATGCCACCCGTGTCCGTGCTGCGCGTGACTGAGTCGCCTCCCGCCAGTCTATCGCGAACCCACTCGCGTCAGTGGGCATCGAGAGCCACTCGTCAGACACCACAAGTCCGTCACGATTACCTAGGATGCAGCGTACCTTGTATGCCCACAAACTCCCGGGTTCTCGGCCGCCAGATCCTGGACACAGACGGACAGACGGACGGTGTACCCTTTAGTATCAAGAACGAGGACACGTAGGTGATCCGTCTGGCCCCACCCGCGAGACCGCCCCAGCTGCCCAGCTGCCCAGCTGCCTTTCCTTGCTGGCGGAGCCCCAGCCCGGCGTCCGTTGCCCCACCGTATGAATGGATCACGGCAGAACCCAATCGCGCTCGTCGGGAGTTTTCGCGCCAGTACGGACACGGCTTCGATCTCTTCTACGTCCCCACGCGGCGGTTTCCGGGATCTCTGCGGCAGACACGATGGCACAGCCGGCCTGACAACTACCCAGTACTCGTGCTCATGGGATGCCAGGGCAGCAACACCTTGCTTGTTGTTGCACGCCTGGCCAGGTGCCAGCCAGCATGATGACTAGCACAGTCGAAGACAGTCGCCATGTCGTGGCTGCCATCGCTGGGAGAGGCGACAAGCAACGGCAGTAGTGTTCATAGTCCGAGGCCGGCCAGGGTCGGCTCTGCCAGAAAGTCGATCCGACCTTCCACGTTGACGTCGGCCGTGCCTGCATGTGTAGGGAATGTCTGAGGCATTTTCGCAGCGTGCGTATGGATACTGCGCAGCCTCACTCGGTACCGATGGCATGCTAGATTTGCTTTGCTGACCATTAGCCTCTTCGCTGTCCGTTCTGCGACTTGGCGCTGCTCCATAGTCTCCAGGCACAAGCAGCTTGACTGTGTGATTCGCTGCTTGCGACACGCGACATAAGGCCGCTTTGGGTTGCCCATGGGGCGGGTTGACGAAGAAGTCCAGACCTGTAGCTGTTCGGGTTAGTAACTGCAGGTACATGCTCTGGCGACTTCAAGGTCGCCGTGCGTCTTGATGACGCACCTCGTGAGTTGAGTGCAAAATACGGGCGACAGGGTGTGTCTTGATAAGTGGATTGAGTTCTTAAAAAGGTTCGTGCTGGAAGGAGGTGGGGGCAGGATGTTCAGTGAGCTCCCGATTCTCTCCAATTCTGGAGTTTGCAGCCGGCCCCTTCGTTCCTTAGTCCAACATCTGCAACGGACGGACTTCGCCAAAACAACAAGATCTGTGGCCTGCCGTCTTTTCCAGCAATTCTTGGGCGCTAATCAGCATGATTTCGACCAACTAGTTAGCCCAATGGACACCTTGAAGGCCCCCGGGTTTAAAGCCTTCCCTTCCCTTGCCTTACACCGCTGATCGACCTTCATGATATCGATCAATTAATCAACCTTCGCGCCAGTCAGAGCACACCACTTAGACTCATTCATTTTCGCCTTCATTCATCACCTATATCTAGGATCGATGAGCACAAATTGTTTCTGTGACCACAGCATGAACCTGCTCCCACACCAAAACGGCTATCGACAACCAGAGTCTCATCCTCGACCGATGAAGTCATAATGGATGCCATACAGCACAGGGGGCGGCTGAGAGCCTTTCTCAAGCACGCCACAATTCGCATCTCGTCACACAAAGATCATGGATTCTCGAATGATTCCGCTTCAGCCCACAGCATCGACGACGACGGCAGATCCCAAAGGTCTTCTAAAAGTGCCAAGAAAGACAGCAAGTTAAGGAGAATTGGCCGTGGAATTCGGCAATGGAGGGAAAAACGAAGGAGGTCACACGGCGATACACGCCCAGAAACCTCACACACCTTTGGAGGAAAGAGCTTTTCTTCATCTGAGGCGAGCCTGGTAGAGGAAAAATTCGGGGTGGAGGCTGTTCCTAATGAAGATGCCTCCATTGATCGACCAAAAAACGATCCTCTTGAAGTCAGCAAGGGTGTGAATCTGGAGGGAGCTTCAAAAGAAGCGTTGCCGCGGGAAAACATGCATGAGAAGGTTGCTCTGCATCAAGACGCAAGTGAGGATACCAACCTGGGGGACATTCAGGGGAGTACTCCGTCAGGGAAGGAGGTGATCATTCCACAGGCGACTATCCCAATCCCACCTCCCCCCGTCTACAGCTCACTAGTCTGGTCGGATCTGGCGCCACCTGCAAAAACCCTCAAACCACCCAGTGGCGTCGTATTCAGACGGGACAGGAAGAATGCAAGTGAGTTTGCCCGAAACACACTGAGCAGTGAGCCCGCACTATGGACCGATGCTTCCTATAGGGTTGAAGCGCCCGAAGGTTGCAACAGCGAGCACTACGGAGGTATCGCAGTGGCCCAAAAATTTGACCAACGGTGGACGGTGCATTCTGCTCACACCAGGGGCGTTACAGACACCAATCATCTCGAGTCTCTTGCCATCTTGATGGCCCTTCAGATGGCAGTGCAGGAAAAGAAGGCAGGCATACTTGGGGAGGGCACGGTCTACATCTGCAGCGACAGCGATACTGCATTACGGTGGCTGGAGAAGGTCTTCACCCTCGCCACCGCGATCAGAAGGGCTGCCTGGGAGGCACGCGCGTTGGAGGCCGACGTCGACGACCTCAAATGCCTAATCCGGCTCTCTAACGAGCTTTCTAGGTGGGAGCCCTTCCGCTTCAGCGAGTACAAATGCCCAGAGAAGAGCCTGATGGCTTCGATCGGCAGGAGAATCCTGGAGCAATATTATGAGTTGCGCGGGCTCGGGGCCTGGGTTGAATTCCACTGGGTCCCAGGCCACTCAGGCCTTCCAGGAAACATGATCGCCGACAGAATAGCAGCGTTATCCTGCTGCTGGGTCATGAAGTGGGCACCTCCCTCAGCCCATGATGCTGGGCTTGTAATACCGTTGAAGGTGCTTGCGTTTGACGAGCCGTGGAAGAAATTTTTCCCGCAACAAGAGCAGCGACAATACAATAAGGTCGAGGCACTACAGCTTCTAGAGGACACCAAGGATTTGCAGGTCGTCTTATCTACCAAGGCTCTCGAATCCCCGAGCTGCGACAGAAGCGCGGCTCCAATTGCGGAAGGAGTTGGAACAGATGTTGTCGCATTACAACCTGCGTCTCGAGGTACGACCTGGTCTCTGGGTCTTCCCCCCTCTGTGCATACCTCTCCAGAGTCTGGCGAGGTCACGATAATCCCATCAGATCCGTATGTCAAGGCGAAAGCTCCACCAAAGCATGGAATACCTTATGTATCACATAACGAAGTGGTGTCCATACCACCAGCACCATATCCAATACCACTCCCAGTCCCGCAACCTCAATCGAAGACACGAAAACAAAGGCGGGGAAAGACGAGGTCAAAAACGTCAGGAAACTTTTCGTGCGCCCACTGTGGCCAGGTGGGCCATCTGATCAAGTACTGCTTTGACAAATTCCCAGAGCATAAGATAGCCAACCCAAAGGGATATGCCCGCTATGGCGGGCGCATGAGGCTCGAAAAGAGGACGCCAGGGGCGTTCCAAAGCCTGGCTCGGCTCCACCCGCAGATGATGGCCCAGCCGATTCACGGGCAGGACTCCAGGTATATGCTCGGCCGGGTCGGGATCACTCCGCACCTGACGCCCAAGCAGTGCGCCGTATGGGCGGTCCAGTACCAGGCCTCAGAACCTGGCCAGAGCGCGGTGGCCGACTCGGTCCAGGACCACCGACGGCGCCTCAGAGAGAAGTATCGCTGGGACGAGGCACAGGGTGCCCAGCCAGACTAGAGAGATTATGTATGCCCCGGAGAGGAGAGCTCTCCCAGCTGAGAAACCCCAGGCTTCCCTCGCGTGGGAACTATCTCGCGTCCTCGTAGACAAGGCGGCACATGATTTGACTGCAGCGACGCTTTGTTCATGACCTAACCGTGCAGCCCAAGTCGATATCCTGCACAATAAAACGTGGCTTGGAGACCTTATGAAAAGCATCATTCGCTGGCACTCGGTGTCAAAAGAGGGGAACACGTTCTTGAATATTCAAATACAACAACACAGAAAAAAAGGGCTGAAATTACTCGAGTACGTATTAACCAACACTGAACAGCGTTGGAGCATTATGCAACGCTGCGTGGCCAATGGTGAATTGCTCAAGGCTAGGCTAAGCAAGTAGTTGAGGCAGACATGATAGATCCAAAAACAATGCGTACATGCATCACCACTCTGAATTGCATTAGTGATCCTTCTACTGTCCTCTCGAGAGATGCCTATTAAAAGTACTACATGCCCATGTGCAATGCGAGCACTGCCGGTCCTGTTTGTGCCGCTACTGCTCTCATTCCCACCACCCCTTCTTAATGCCCGGCGGCGCTTAGGAAGCAGGAACCTCTTTTGATGTATCTGAAGTTGAATATTTGCCGGGCCACTATCGGGACCCGGTAGGGAAAAGAAAGAGAAAATAAAGGAGAAGATCCCGAGCGAGTGGTGCCGGATGCCATGAGTCGTTGCCAATCGTATCGCTTCCCTTCTTTCTAATAACACATTGCGTTTGCTGGTTCGTCATAAAGCTCACCCTTTGCCATTTGAGTCCCGCCTCTTTAAAGTGCTTGCAGTGCATTACCCGATTGCTGACGGTCTATGCCGCCACCTTTTATAGCCTGAGTTCCCTCAATATCTGATCTGCCATGTTCTTGAACTGCCAAGTGTTGCCAGTCATGCGCTTGAACTGGATACCATGCAAGCTGATCATTGGTACTTTGACAATGAATACCTCAAACTCGAGCACCATATTCCCACCCAGGTCGTCCTGGACTCGAGTTGTCGTCTCTCCCGGGGGAGCTCTCGACGGGCCTCCAGTGTCGCGTGAATTATCAATGTCTGAAACATCCGAGTTGCTGCTGCTCCTATCGTCCCGAGACCTGCCTGGAGTCCGTGGCGTGTTGGGCTGAGCCCCTTCCAACACGTCGCGCACGTCATCCGCTCGCTCGCCGCGGAGACCGAAACTAAAGCGTCTCCTGTGACCAGGAAGTTGGTTCGGGCTGTTGGGCGGATCGACCTTCTTCAGGTCTATGCTGGGTGCGTGGATACAACGGAATCCACCGCGAATTTCGGTGTAGTCCACGCCCAGCTGCTTGAGCACCCGCTTGATGTCTGCCCTTATCTCGGGCACGGGCCTTGTCGAGGTTGTGCTGACGCTAAAGAGACCCTTCAAGAAGACGGGCTTTGCGAGGCTTGGGTTGTCGTTGCGCTCATCGTTGGACAGACCGCTTTGATCGCCGAGCTCCGCATCCGTTTCTTCTGGCACGTGGAGCTCTCGCTGTTCTTCACGGCGGGCTCGCCGGGCTTGGATGCTCTCACGCCTCGCATGGCCCAAAGACTTGGCCCTCATGGAGACAGACCGCGAAGCCGCCGTCCCTCTGTTCTCAGCTGGTAGCTTCGGCCTGTCCGTGGACTGATCCGAGCCACTCGTGGGTGGTGGATCCTTGGCCTCCGTGTCTGTCGTCGACCCATGCGATGCCATGGCCCGCCTTCTGCGGAATTCCGCGGAGTTGACACTGGTTGACCGCCCAAGAACCTTCTTCTGGCCTTGCATGTTGGCACCGGCAGAGAGTGGTGGACTCAGCAATTCGCTGTGTTGAGGTTGGCTGCTACCCGAGCGCAGCCGCGAGGTTGATCCATCTTCCTTGTCGCGCCTCGAACGCCTGATGCTGAAGGATTTGCGAGGTGGGATGCCCGGCACAGGTGGTTGTTCGGATGGGGAATGGACGTGAACCTGTGGGGGGTGTGACCGATCCTTCTCCGGCCTTTCAGCGTCTCTCGGCCGCCTCCTCGTGGAAAATCTCCTAAGAATACCAGCTGCCGCGCTCTCCTTCTTCTCCGGCCTGTCTGCTGCTGTGTGTGCATCTGGGCTTAGGGCCGCCTTTGGCGACAAAAGCGCCTTGTCAGGCACGTCGTCCTCCCCATGTGTACGCGCTCGTGGCCTTGATCTCCCACCAGTCGCCTTTTCGCCCGGCATCTCGTATGCTGAAGCGTTAGTGTGGGCCTCCTGTGGCGGCGCTATTTCAGGAACGGGATCTTTTTCTCTCTGGGCCGGGGGTTGTTGCGTTGCCATTGTTGGCACGACGTCAACCCTCTCTCGGTCCTGCTTCTCCCTAACCAAGTAGTAGATCGAGAGCAGCGGGCTAAAGGCATTGAGCGGATCGTTTCCGAGGGCAAGAGCTTCGCTGCTCGGAGCGGTCAGAGTGTCCCTGCTAGTCATAGAGTTGCGGCGCTTGTAGAAGTCAAACATGCCCCTTTTCTTGTCCCCATCCTTGGACGGCTGGGGCAGATCCTTTTCCTGCTGGTACAAACGAACGCCGCGTTGGTACTCCTCCGACTCAATCAAGCGTGTCAGCTGTGCCTTAATGACCTCGGGTGGGCCAAAATTAAAACCAGTCATGGCGTTGATGACCTCCGGGTCCAGCGGCAGGGTGAGAGGTTCGCGGCGAGGCAAGAAGTTGTCAGGCGGGCCGCCGTAGCCCTTGTTGATCCAAGGGTGCGACATGACCTCAGCCATGGTAGCTCGTTGCTTTGGATCCGTGACCAGCATCCTGGCAAGCAAGTTCTTACACTCTGCAGATGCATAAAGATATTAGCCGTGCACAGCCGTGTGGGCTCTGGTGTGTGGGGGAAGACCTTACCGCTTGACAGCCAGTTTGGATAGTCCACGAGGCCCTTCTTGATCTTGGCATGGAGCGCAGGCATGCTTTGGTCGTCGAAGGGCACCTTCCCGCAGACAAGAACGTACAAAACAATACCAAAACTCCATACATCGACCTCGGGGCCTGTATAGGCCCTGGCCTGGAGAAGCTCGGGCGCAGCGAAATACAAGCTACCGCAGAAAGTCTTGAGGTGCCCACGCGGAGAGAAAAGGTTGCTTAGGCCAAAGTCGATGATCTTGATATCCCCGGTCTTGCTAATGAGGATGTTCTCGATCTTGAGGTCGCGGTGGACGATGCTGTTCCGGTGGCAGTAGTCGAGAGCACTAGCAATCTGACGGCTGAACTTGCGGGCCTGTTTCTCCTTGAGCTTCCCGTGGGAGATGATGTAGTCGAGCATCTGACCGCCGTTGACATATTCGAACAGCATGTACCAGTGGTAGTTGGTCCTGACGACGTCACGCAAGCCGCACACGTAAGGATGGTTGAGCAGGGTAACTATAGCAGCCTCACGCGCGGTCCTGATCTCTTTGCCCTGCTCGTTACGCTCCTTGTCTGCCCGGCTGTGGTGTCCGTCGTCGGTGACACCCCTGGGGATGATCTTACACGCGACCTGGGAGTGGACGAGCAATGTTAGCATGGCTGGCCCGAAGATGGGAGTATCGCGCGCCATTGTACACTTACCTGCTCGTTGCTTTCCTCCTTTTTTGCCAGCTTGACCTTGCCCATGCTGCCAGCCCCAATTGTCTTGCCCAGGATCCATTTCCCTGATTGAGTCGGTATAGTCGTCCGAGATCTGGCCTTGGGCTGGCCAGAGGACCTCGGGTCGGTGGAGGAGGGGACGGCAGCAGGGCCGGTGTTGTGTGCAACGGTAGTAGCCATGGCTGCAGGGCGTGACTGTGGGGGGTGAGAGGAGGAGGAGTGCTGGCTGTCGCGAGAGTGGTGCGGACGAGAGGATGACGGGTCGGCCCTGGTGGCGGAGAGGGCTCTGTCCCTCTCTCTGCTGGTGCTCTTGGGGTGTTGGTGGGCTAGATTTGTCCGCTCATGCTCGTACTGTGGGTGAGGAAGAACGGATGCTTCTCTGTGCCGGCTGGCGGTGCTGTTGGAGTGGGAGTGGGAGTGGGAGGCCGAGGGAGCGCGGTTGGGAGTGGCAGAGGAGGCGTGGTTCTGGGCCTGGGCCTCCGGGGGGGCAGCAGCAGCGGTAGCGTTAGCTGGGGCAGGGACAGGTACGGAGGCACCGTGGCGGGAGCGGTTGAATTGGGAGGTGGATGTGGGTGCTGCAGTGGACAGCGAGCGAGATGGAGATGAAGGGTCTTCTGGATGGGCGTGGGCGTGGGCGTGGCGTTTAGGGTCGAGTTGAGGCCCTTGTGGATCAGGGAGAGGAGCCTTGGAGCCGGGCGAAATTGCTGCTGTCATTTGGGGTGTTAAGGGGATCCGTACAAGAACGGGCTGGGCTGCCGACGATGGGGAAACTTGGCGACTGACAGGAGAGCAGCTGTACAGGGACCTATCCTGGGATAGCGCGAGTGTTGAGTTGTAATGAGCAGGCAGTCTAGGGACATAAGACAGGTAGGGGAACAAGCCAGTTGCCAGCTGTCAGTGCCAGTGACAGTGAGGATGTGAATGTGAATGTGAATGTAAGTGTAAATGTGAATGCTAATGTGAGCGGCGCATTCAAGGGCCCTTTGGGTTGCAACGCGGTCGCTGTCGCCGCCGCCGTCGACGTCGCCTGTGTTGCTGTTGCTGTTGACTGACCTTGGGACGTCACGGTGCTCGCCTACTCGTGCCGTACATGAGGTAGCCCAGGTAGCCCCAGCAATGGATTGTGTTCGGCCGGATCGACCAGGCACAACATAAAGTCTAGGCACTGTCACTGTAGTCGTCCGGGTACTGCGTATGTATTGCAGCAAAGCAAAGCAAATGAGTCGGTGCAGCGCGAGAGCAGCGGGCGTGGGTGGGGACAGGGGACAATGGGGGAGGGAGGCTGGTGGGCTGGCAGGCTGGGTGTGTTGCGCGAGGCGACAGGGCAACGGCAAGCGGGAGCTTAATGGGAACTGGGAACTGGGAACTGAAGAGCTGGGACGGGAACTGGGCACGGGAGAAGGTGGAGGATCCGGTTCCAGGTTGAGGGAGGGCAGCAGGGCACGCTGTAAAACAAAGTTGGGCGGAACCTGGTGGCGGTCTATTGTCTCAGTCCTCTCTGCTCCGTCTATCTGTGCATCTGTCTATCTGTCTCCCTCCTCCCGATCTTCTGTGCTCCAGCCAGCAACAGCTAGCAGGTTCACCAGAAGGAGCAAGGTGTTGAGTTGGTGGCTTGGTGTGCAATTTGTCTAGACTAATACGTACAGGCACCCGACGACCTAGTTACACTTGGTCAGGCACGACATGTTGGGCCCAGACAGCTGGCAGTGCGATGCTAGAACCCTGGAGGTTGGTCACTTGATGCTGTCTGTGATGGTCGGGTCGGTTGTTCGGCTCGCGATCGCATTTTGCATTTGCATTGGCGTTGCGATGCGATGGCTGATTTGCAGATTTGCAGATTTGATGCTTGACTCAAATGCTGGACCTGCATGGTGGACACCTAGGAACTTATCACCGGTCTGCTATAGAAAACGTTTTTATTAGTGTCAAGGTGAGGCTGTTTTTCTCTCTCTTCGTATTGTTGTGTGCAGCAGCAGTGCTTCCAATACGGGTTGACGCGTGCTCATCAGACAGCACCAGGTCCCTCCCTCGTGCATTGGCTGACGTTGCAGCATCATCTCCCACGATCCTCCCTCGATTTCCCTGATGGAGTACCCACATCGTACAGTAGTTAGATACTGGTGGCAGGTTCTGTTCTACGGGAACACGGCCAGCCATTGAAACCTTTGGCGCTAGATACATGTACACGCATGTCTTTGCTATGCAGGTGCTGACCAGTTCAGGCAAATCCTCATGGCTCTACTCTTGAGAAGGCAGAGCGAGGTGATGTGTGGATGTGGAATAGACTTACAGCGTCTACTCCCTGCTGCTGTCCTACAGTAAGGGGTACCTACCTTATTGTACGCATGTTTCCATATTTTTCGGATGAACCCGCCGTACTGAGCTTGACCCAGTTGGGCTGGCCTGCTGTGACTGTGCGAGAGCTGGCTGGCCAGGCTGGCTGGATGGGGATGGCTGACAATCAGCCTTGCACGCGGGGGAATCTGACAGACAGAGAGGGACGAGGTACCGTGCTGCGTGAAGGACTACGCAGGTACATGCCGTGGACACACAGACATGGGCAAACATGCGGGCGCACACACAGAGCTGGCGCAGGTGGGCACGTTCCGAGATGGATGGGCTAGACCCCAGACCCCTGGCACCCTCACACCTTCGCGGCCGACCCCCGCAACTTGGGGATCTTACCTGCCGACCGGGTCTGCAGTCACAGCTATCTAGGTACTGGTACTCGATACGTCCACCACGCTCCACATGCAAGCCCGATATTGAGCTTCGCCAGACCCCAAGCTAGACCATCTTGCTCCCAGGTACTGCTCAACTTCTACCGCGCACCCACCACCCTCTCCCCGGTCCGGGCCTGCGCTCTCCCAATCGCGTACCCCTTCCAGATATTCTGGCCGCGAGCTCCCACAAGGCTCTCCACATGTCCTACAAGCGGACTCGCGCGCAATACGAGGCCGATCTCCAGAAATCCCAGTCCCCCTACGTCGCCTACGGCACCCCCCTCCCGCCCTTGGACCCTGACGTCCGCGACGATGGCTCCTACGTCCCCGTCTGGAAGCAGGAGGTGAGGGATGAGAGGGGCAGGAAACGCCTTCATGGCGCCTTCACTGGTGGATGGAGCGCCGGGTAAGCCAGCATCCCACTGTCAACTTCCCAACCAAAGCACCCGAGTCGCATAGCTGATCGTCGTGTGCTCTAGCTATTTCAACACCGTGGGATCCAAGGAGGGATGGACGCCCTCAGCCTTTGTCTCCTCGCGGTCCAGCCGCCGCAAGGACGACAAGTCTACCACCAGCCAACGGCCCGAGGACTTCATGGACGAGGAGGACCTCGCCGACGCCCAGGAATCCGAGAAGCTACAGACTTCGCACGCATTTGCCGGCTTGGGCGCCACTGACGCCGGTGCCGGCCGCTCAGGGGGGCTGGTTGGCCTCTTCCACGTACAAGGCGAGACAATGGGCACGAAATTGCTCAAGAAGATGGGCTGGAAAGAGGGCCAGGGGGTTGGGCCCAAGATCCGCAGAAAGGCAGAGCTTGGTATGGGGACCAACCCGGACTCGGAGGCCGCAGGTGATACGTACTTGTTCGCGCCGGAAAATTCCCCAATGATAGCATTTATCCGCAAGACCGACCGCAAGGGGCTTGGACATGCTGGGGAATCAGGGCTCGCACCTCTGGGGTCATTGAGGTCGGGTCAGCCTTCACAGTCGGACGACGAAGATGAGAGTGACGAAGGCTTCGGCTTGGGCCGGTCTAGGTTCTCGGCCTCCAAAAGCCAGAAGAAAAAGGACACCAAAGCCCGTGGAGGCATCGGCATGGGCGTACTGAACGACACTGGCTCCGATGACGAAGACCCATACGAGATGGGACCGCGCATATCATACAACAGGATCCTTGGGGGCAGCAAGAACAACAAGAAGAAGAAGGACGCGAACTCTACACCGACGAATCCGGCGCTTAGATCCAAGCCAGTTTTTGTACCAAGACGCAAGGCCGCGGTGAAAGCGGCCTCCAGCGACGTGCGGAAATGTCACGATGGCCGGCCACCCTTGGAAGGGTTTTGCTTGGGTCAAGAGTTGGATCCTCTGATATCTATGATCAACGCCGAGGGCAAGTATCAACCACCAGAGATACCAGCAGGTTGGAAGTCGAGCTTGAGGCCCGAAGCCACTCGGGACACTTCAGACTATAAGTCTACGGCAGATGCTGCAAAGGCCTCTCAGCTCAACCCCTTGAGCCGAGGTGATTTGCTTGGAGAGAAGCAACTTCCGGGAAAGTCTGTCTTTGATTTCCTGTCTATCTCTGCCAGGGACCGCTTAGCAGCTGCGACAGGAAAGGCAGACCTACCAGAGGCCAAAGGCGAGGTTCCAGAAGGCTATGCACTGTCGGCGGAGAAGAAGCGACGCAGGCTGTTGGAACAAATACCAACTCTGGACAAGCAAAGTGCTCTAGGTGCCATGGCAAGGGGTGCAGCGGGTGGCGGGCCCTATGGAGACAACGAGGATAAGCGATCTCGCTACAGGGGCTATCTCGAGCTGCAAGCTGGCTTGAGGAGCGAGCCGCCCATTAAACCGGCCAAGATGACCAACGATGAGTGGTTACAGGAGTTCCATGAGTTTTACAATGTTGCCAGGATATTCCGCCCCATGACTGGATCGATGGCCTCCAGGTTCACAACGTCATCGTCTTCCAATCTAGCGAGCGGCACCGACGGCAAAGCTGGAGATACTGGCCTGCTCTCCAAGCCCTCGTCCAAACCCGAGGACACAGCTGAGGCGGCGGCCAAGATGGGCATGTTTGGACACATGACGCGATCCTCCCGGGACTTCTATCCGACCCGGCTGCTGTGCAAACGGTTCAATGTCAAGCCGCCAGCACACGTCCAAGCTGACACAGATGCGGACACGGCAAAAGCTCAGGGGCCTCCTGGACCAATGCCCACGCGCGGTTTGATCCAAGATATCTCGGTCAACGACGCAACGAGTGGTTCGGACGATCAAGAGCCGACGACTGGGCCTCCCAAGCAGGATATAATGATAGACAGCAGTAGAAACGAGGCCCTGGAAGGCAAGAGGGCCGGCGAGGAGGTGTTCAAGGCCATCTTTGGCGATAGTAGTGATGACGAAAGCTAGAAGGGCGCGTCAAATATAATACAAATCATCGTCGCATCTGCCTTGCCATGCAGTTGATGGTCCCACGTAGGAGCTACAGTCCCTCCAGTCTGGCATCGTGACTGTCAACATCATTAAGCAGCGACCAAACCGCGAACATATGAGCAGATCTCTCAGGGTCCTGCAACTTCTGTCTATGCTAATCCAATTATCACACTATGTAGTCCTCTGACAACTGTACCTATGTGTTCTCCGGTGGATGAAGCTGTAGATACATGTGCCTTGTGCCTAGGTGGTGGTGAGCCCGATAGCATGAGCCGGGGAGACCCCTCTCCAGGGCAGCCAGGGGGCAGCTGGTCGCCCTCTCCAGGGCCGTGACCCGTGGCACAAAGCTGGGGGCGTCTTGCCTGATTTGGCGCTCGCTTACTGCAACTTTGGACCTTCATCTCTTGTTCATTTCGATCCGACCTAAGCGCAATTCGAATACACCAGTCTTCAATCTACCCAAGTCAGTCCTGCGTCCAATGCGTGCAGTCGTTTGATCGTGTATCCCAACGGTTGTTGGTATTGTCTTTCTCGCCCTGTTGTCCTCGCCGTGGCCGTTGCTGCACCCAGGTACTCTCTCCATCCTCTACGCTACAATTGACTCCGCCGACCGGCCAGCCCGTCAATCAACCACCTCCTGAGGTACTTGTACCTGACACCGAGTGATGCTCTAGCCGCCCACGTTGTCCAGCACCTCTGCCGACGACGAAGCTGCCAATATCCCCAGATCAATCGCACAAGACGGAGCCCAGGACCGTCTCCACAATAGCCAAATTGTCAGCACCACAGGAACCCAGTCGGGGACGTTCCGTGTCTTCTGGGTCGAGCCATTCGAGACGAGTCGTCGACGAAGCCCTGCCACGACCTGACGATCCCACAGCCAGGGACAGCCAGGAGAGCCTCTGCGACCCATCACCACCACTACCAGCAGCACCAGCAGCAGCAATCGCCGCCGCTGACAGCATCGCCCGCTCCACCCAAGGCCCAGGGGCAACACAGCAGCCTCCGCCGCCTCAGTACCCTGTCTCTGAAGCATCCCGCCCGACTGCTACGTCGCTCGTTTCTTCCCGGACCGCACCTCCGCCCTTCTCCTCTCTCTTTGCCAGCTTTCCGCCGCCGGTCCAACACAGCCCTGCTCCTGTAGACGAAACCGACGATCCGTCTGGCTCTGGCACAGCTCCTTCCGACCCCTACGAAACAGAACCTGTCCAACGCGACAAGTCCCCTGCCCCAGCCTACGAACCGCCGGCTGCATCGAGCTCCTCGGAAGCGCCGAACACCTACCAAGATACCCTCGCCGAGACTAAACGTGCCCTTCCCCAAGACACAAAGGGCGAGAGCAGCTCACGCTCCAAAGACGACGACGCCGAACCACCACCAGCCTACTCGGAGGGTTACAGCCCCCTACAGTCCTTTACATACCTGATGGCTGCCGCAGGAGGAGCCTCGAGTATCATTACTCAGGTGCAGCAGGGCGGACCGCCCATCAACACCATTGGAGGTAAGATATATTGAAACTGGCCAGCTGGAGCACAATTGCTGACATGCCAACCGAAGATGTCGGCGCCGATGAGACTATCACCATGGACCTTAGGTAAGTTGAGCGCCCCGGAGGGCAGTTCCCAGAGGTGAAATCATGTCGCGACTAACGCGCAATATCAGGGGCACACGGTTTGTCCTCTCTCGTGACGAGCTTCTGACGCTTCCCGAGTTTGTCCTGCTATCTCTTTTCCCCAACGGCCTCTTCCCTGAAGGGCACATGGGCGGCTCGACCGACGGCGACGCCATTCAAGTCGATGTTAGTTGCACCCATCCTCTGTCGTGATGACCCCGAAGAGCATAGTTGAACTGACGCTGTTGTCACTGCCAGTATGACCCGGAATCTCTACAGTACATGCTCGACTTTTTCCGCAAGGTAGCCTCGTCGATTCCGGCCGAGTCGTCACCACCACCGTCTCAAGATGGCGACGCGATGCCCATCGAGCCACTGGGCGGCGCAGGCCGTGACGACTCATCAAAGAGGGCAGGTATCATAGTACTGCGCGAAGACCTCGACTTCTATGTCATCCCGCCCAAGGCAGATATTCAACAGCCGGAAATGATTGAGGTGAAAAGGGCCGCAGCCAGGGCGCTCTTGAAGCAGGATGGCATCTTCTCCGGGCTGAAGCGAAGCGATGAGCCCGGGACCACAGAGGCACACCTGATTGAGATGTTGACAGCTGGGTATGTCTCAGGAAACCCCGCCCATACTGCTCATCTTGCAGCGCTCTCTTACTAACACGGCGATGCAGTGGTTTCAATCACGACGACCAGTGGGGACACCGCGCAGGCGAGCCTAACAAGGCCGTTGTTTGCAGTCTCGCTCTTGCAAGGCTTCGCAGTGACATCCGTGGCAACGAAATGGGCAACAACGCCGTGGGCATGGCGCAGAAACTGTTGCTGTTCTGGCGGAAGCCGGCCAGGAGATGTTGGTGGGAGGGCGTGGAGCTCAACAACGTCGATGGTGTGGAGGGAACGCTCAAGGTGTGGATCAGACGGGTGTGGACGCTGGAGATGAGTGTCATCGGCCTACGGTGATTTAGACTATATTGTGAGCGTTCAAATGAAGAGCATGAAGCATCTGATCGTTTGTGGAATAGCAGAAGAGGGGGGAACCTGCAGGGGCTGGGCGAGCCTTTGCTTTCAGATACCAACGTATATAATTGGGCTCGACGGCCTGTGTGGGAGTGGCGAACTGTTCTTTTTTTCTATTGTCATGGTCAAGAGCATAACACGGATACCATATTCTATTCTTCACAACCTCTTTGGCGACATCCAGTGAACAACAGCTGGGTCAATGCCAAGCGTTGAATGAAGCCATGTCTGGGTAGCTAAGCCATTGAAGTGAGACCTTGATCAGCAAGCTCGCGCCTACGGCTTGCATATCCAAGGCGGAGTAATTCAGACGCGGCTTGTCAAAAGCCCATCCTGAGTGGAATGATGACATCAAGTACCAAGCCTCGCCGTCAAAGCTCTGGGGAGCCGACTGGCCGGAGGAGAGGGGGTTGTCTGGGGGCTAGCCTACAAAACACAGGACGGCGCGTCCAAGGAGAATACAGCCGGTCCACACCTAGATGGTTGAAGCTGGTCATGAAATTTGGACAAGTATGATAAGACATTGCTTCTGAGTCTTGAGAAATGGGCTATACTCTTGCAGTTTGTTTTAAAGCCTGATAGTACGAAGATCATTCAATATAAAGGATTGTTCAGTAAGCAAGTGTGATAGGTTTTGCTGTGGAATTTAGAAGCTGCCCGCGTCGGGGAATTCCTGTTCTGGAAGCCTTCCATCCCAGCTAGGGCCTCGGGTTACCATAGGCTTGGGATCGACGGCAACCTCACTTGGCACGAGTTTCAAGATCTGCGTCGACTACCATGGCACCTTGGGGAGTATACGCGTCCGGGATCTCAAGCATGACGCTACTAAACTAGAGCTAGATCTTTTCGGGCTGCTCGATGCTGGGCGGCTCTATAGCTCGCTTGTCTACCTTATATATTGTGAGGGGATGGTTCATTCAAACGAGGAACAAGAAACATCACCTTGGGTATTGCGTATCTATACCTGATTCTCAGACTTCGGCCTAGACGAGTACTGCAAGAAATCGTCGATGTCGAGCCACACTCCTGATATATAAGGATGAACTAAGGGAGAGGAGCCGGAGACATCTTGTTCAACTGGTCTCTTCCTTCTCGCGGAACTGCCCAGCACTCAACCGCGACTTCTTAAACTATTGGCGACTTGTTTCAAACATTATACTGGGCTTCACAATCACCCGGCTGTCTGGGACCAGACTGGTGAAAATCGTCCTACTGAAGCCCACTCCTTCAAAGGGAAAACCATCGATTGGCGAAGACTTTCTGTCACGTCCTACGGCCTATCTTGATACCATCCCGCCATAGGCAATTTCCGGCCATGACGATGAAGCGTCTCGGCCTGCTTGCTGCCTTCGCAGCTCTTCTAGGGAGCACGACCTTTTGCGCCGCACAGTCCACGACCTCCTCTGCCAGTGCTTGTCCCACGATTCTCACTCCCTCGTACGAAGCCCCGGTCGTCGGCTCGGGTTGGACGGCACAGCTCATTGCCAAAGGCTTGACCAAGCCGCGGAGCCTCATCTTCGACCAGAATGGTGCGCTCCTGGTCGTCCAGCAGGGATCGGGCATCGTGCGCATGACATTCACCGACAACGGTGGTACATGCCTGATTGTCAATGACACCAAGACTGTGGTTGAGAACTCGGACGTAGGTGTCTTGTGCTACAATATCTCAGGGGGGAAACACTCTGCTGACCAACTTGTCTGTTTAGCTGAACCATGCTGTTCAACTGTCTGCTGATGGACGCACGCTGTATGCTTCCACTTCCAACGATGTGTTTCGTTGGCCCTATGATGCTGCTGCTGGCACTTTGGGAGACAGTGAGACACTTGTGACCAACATGAGCAATGGGGGTGTAAGTCAGTCCTGTGTAATTCTTTACGTCAGTGGCTGACAAATGTATCAGCATGTATCACGAACATTATTGCTATCCAAGAAGGCCAACAACACCTTGCTGGTGTCTCGTGGAAGCTCCGAAAACTTGGACTTTGGTGCTGCCCAGCTTGACTCAGGAATCTCGCAGATCCGGGCCTTCGATATTGGCAACCTACCGAATGGAAGGCCTTACAACTACCCGTCTGAGGGCAGATTGATGGGCTGGGGCCTGAGGAATAGCGTCGGTGTTGCTGAGCACCCAGGCACGGGTGGAATTTACAGCGGTATGGCACCTTGACACTGCTCATCTCTTGCAACCCGTGGGACAGATCTGACGGTGAATTAGTTGAGAATTCGGCGGATCAGATTGATAGAAGCGGAACGGACATCCACCAAGACAACCCCGGCGAAGAAATGAACTACCATGGGTTCCTCAATGGCTCTACAGAAGACCAGGGTGGTAACTATGGCTATCCCGACTGCTTCGCGCTCTGGGGCACCGACAATTTCCCAGACCAAGGGAATATGACAGTCGGTAGCCAATTCACCCTCAGTCCTAACAGCACGCTCAACGACACAACATGCGCCGAGGACCGTGTCTCGCCACGATTGACATTCCAAGTAAGTCCCTTTAAGACACATGACCAGCAAATACAGGACATGACTGACGGGCAAAAAATCAGGCGCACACAGCACCCCTGGACATGCTATTCAACACCAACGGCACGACGGCATACATCACCTTCCATGGCTCATGGGACCGCACAGACCCGACAGGCTACAGGCTCTCAAGCGTGCAGTTCGACAGCAACACAGGCGCGCCCGTCGCGCAGGCCGACAGCAAGAGCGCCACGGCCGACGTGCTCAGCAACGCGGACCTGTCCAAGTGCCCGGACTCGTGCTTCCGCCCCGTCGGGCTCGCCTGGGACAGCCAGGGGCGGTTGTTCATGAGCTCGGACTCGACGGGCGAGATCTACGTACTGCAGCAAAACGAGATGTCTGCGACGGATGGGGCCACGCCGACCAGTACGGACACGAGCTCCGGCACGGGCACGCTGGTTACGTCGACGTCGACCACGAGCCCGAACCTTGCGCCGCGGTCGAGTAGGAGTCGGCCTGGTGGCGAGGCGATCTTCCTGACGGGCCTGGCTGTTGCGCTATCGGTGGTTTGTGGGGTGTTCTTTACCGTGGCTTAAACGGGATATGCTCCTACTCACGGTCTAATCTTACAGAGTTGCAAGTCCCATATGGGATGGTATAAACAACTTCGGAATGGTCTTCCATGGGACGGACAATAGGGCTTATTGTTTTTCGTAATGAATCAAGTCTGAGCTTCACCGGAGAAAGTGATAATGAAACACGGCTGCGAATATCTGAGCAGGCTGAAATTATGACTCGTCCATCTTCTTTTTGTGTATCAATAGCCAGCCGGTTACCCCAACGCCTTGCAAACCCCTCGGTTTACTCCTCGAGGGTCTTCACAATGTCCCACTCGCCCCGCAGGTTCTCCTTCCACAGCGTGACCTTGTTGTCGCTTCCACTAACAGCGAGAACGTTGCCGCTGAGGGACCAGCTCACCCGCCAGACGGGGGCGTCGAAGTTGAGCACCTTGGAGTTCCACTGGCCGGGGCTCGCGGGATCCGACGTCCAGATGCGCACCGTCTTGTCCTGTGACGCACTCGCGATATAGCTCTTCTGCAGCACCGTGGGGCTCCACGCCACATCCCTGACCCAGTCCGTGTGGCCCGACAGCGGCTCCCGCTCGGGCTTGTAGCTGTTGTTTGTAGGGTCGAACACCCAGATCTTGAGGAGGTTGTCGCAGCCTCCCGAGACGAAGCGCCGGTTGCCGGTTGCGCCAGGGCCGGGGGCGCTCGACACGATGGAGCCGGGGGTGGTGGCGGGTGCCCAGGAGACGGAGTTGACGCCCAGGCCGTGGGCGGGGAAGGTGGTGTGCTCGAAGCTGTTGTCCTTGAACTCGAGGACCGAGATGTTGCCGTCAGAGGAGGCGCAGGCCAGCAGGCAGCCGGACTCGTGGGGCGACCACGAGACGATGTTGACCGAGGCCTTGTGCAGGGCAAAGTCGAAGATCTTCTGCCACGAGCCCTGTTGCTCCCGCCAGATAAAGACCTTGCCGTCGTAGCCCGCGGAGGCAAGGATGTTGCCGTACTTAGGATGGGCCCAGGATACACACCACACAGCGCCTTCGTGTCTGTACCGGAGCGCGTCAGCTATCTGCGACGTGCCTGGATCTTCCCATTGGACATCGTGTGTACCAAACTCACCCCTTGAGTGTCTCTGTCAATCGCTGGGACTCGCCCTCGATTTCGAAGATTTTGATTGTGCGGTCTGAGGAACATGTCGCGAGTCGTCGTCCGTAGTAGTCGAGAACGGCATCGTGCTATGGACACAGGGCGGTCAGCATGAGCTCTGCAGCAAAGCTTTGGTTGTGTCCCTTGACAACTGCGGTAGAACATACTATCATGTCATCGTGACCGGGGTTTGAAATAACTTGAGTCGCCTGTGGTGGCCATTGTCAGAATCGCAACTCTTCGCAGACCAAGAGCCTAGTGGGCGTAGCAATACACACCATGGTGGCGGATAAACAACACGGTTGAGGACAAGAACGATCAGCAAGTGGTTAAGAAAAAATGTCAGAAAAGGTCTGGGTATCTCAATGAGAATTTAGAGGGGCACGCGGGCTGGGGAGAGCATCAACAGGTTGGTTTTCGTGATGGTCGCCTTGGGGAGGTGGGCGGTTTCGCGACGTGCTGTCCTGTCCATTAAACCAAGTAACTCTCTAAGCTCCCTGGTACCTAATCAGGTACAAAGTACATGTGTGCATTTCAGGACGACGTCAATCAAGGGGTCCACCTTTGATGTGTGTATGTAAGCATCTGGGCCCCTGCCGCTGCAAAGTACCCAGGTACCTTTTTCAACGTGCCGTGCTGCGGTAGTCCAATGGCCGGCTGACGGAAGTGACTGACTGCCCTTTGCCTCGGCTCCTGGCTTTCGGTATTTGCCTCCATAACTGTCCACATGGGCATGAATTCCTGTTTCTACAATACCAGCTCCCATGCAACTATTCCGGACTCTAATCATTGTCTCTCATGTTACCAGTAATATTTCCTGAAGCTTGACTGGGACACACCGAGTATTCATGGGTTCTGCTGTCAAAGCAAATCCGTCGCTCACCGGGTTGAAAGCAGTCCCCTCAACTGCCCTCACTCACTGTGGATGGGCACCCGTCTCATAAATCACATACACACAGAAAGAGAAAGAAACATGCGCATCTTTACACATCAAAGCCTTGTTTTGAGACACATCCTGACTTTCGTCTGATCTTCTCATATGAACAATTTTCCGGGGAAGATAAACGATTGCTGGTAGACACAGCACGTTATTGTCCAAGGCTTTCCTCTTTTAATGCAACCATCCAAATCATCTTCAGCAACTTTCAGCTTCAACCAACTCAAGTCGCGCTGCAACTCTCTCTCTTCTTGGAATCTTGATTGTCGTGTCCACAACAGCATATCGTTGGGACTATTTACAACGTCGTCAACAGTTGCGCCACCATCGTGAGCACCGTCAACCAGGCTTCTTTGTTAGCTTGAAGACATCACCGCCTTGACAACAAGTCCCCGCTCGTCACTCTTAAGTCGCAATACTCATCGTCACGATGTCTGATAACCTCTGTGGACCGTCCGCCCCGACTAAGGGTTTGGTCGGACACCTTGACCGCGACCGCTCCCTTCAGCAGGACCGCGTTGCAGGCTCTCCCGCCTCTGCCGCCGGTGTAAGTCGTAGTGAAAGACGCCTTTCAAGATGGATCAAGCTGACCTACCTGTATAGTCTTTTCGATCAACTGCCCCGGAGACAATAGGCACGTCTTCTGGTGATGCTGCTTTTGCCAACTTCACCGCTGCCCCGCCCCAACCCAATGCTGCCGCTTCTCGCCAGGCCAATGCTGCACCAAAAGTTACCACCCCGTACAGCCCGTTCAATATGTTGCCAGGCTACCGTCACGGCCTTGGCAACCCCTGGGACGGTGCTCCGAACAAACTGGACCTTGCGAACCATGTTAACCCGGCCATTCCTGCACGTCGTGGTGGAATGGATCATCAGCGCCCAAGTGCAGCAGCTCTGAAGGCGCCCGACACTTCCTGGGTAAGCGAGTTTCAACAACGTCGGCAAGATCAGCTTGGCCTGAGCGATCAAATGGAAGCCTTGCGACTGCAAAATGCTCGTACCGCAGGACAAAGTGGTGCCTATCCTCCTCCTCACATGATGCCCCTCAACGCCCCAGGCTATGCCCCAGTCTATGGTCAACCTGGCTTTGCAGCACAAGGCGGACAATACTACCCCAACAACCAGCCAATGATGTATGGCAATGCCGCTCAATACGGACAGATGATGCCTTCCTATGCCCCAGGCTTTGGTCAAGCCAGTGTTGCAGCTCAAGGTGGCCAGTATGTCGCCGGAGGTCAGCCGGGGCAGCAGGAAACTGTCACTCCGCATGGTTATTCTGCTCCCAATGGCATCCCTTTCAGCCACTACCCTCAGAACATAGCCTTGGCCGCCAATACGGAAGAGGCTCTCGGTGCGGCATTCGCTGCGTACGACCAAGAGTTCGAGGGAGAGATGGATCAGTGGGTGGCTGCTCATGGACCCGAGGACCGCGAGGATCACGAGGCCGTCATGACCGAACATGCCGAGGAGCTGGACGCTGCGCGCAAGAAGCATGACCCGAAAGTCATGTCCCAGAGCAACCCTGAGAATCGCTATCACCTCAAAAGAAAGGAGGACGTTGATCTCCACATCTTTGCTACCAAAATCCTGGACACCATGATGCAAAGCGACAACGAGAAGTTTGAAGGCTCCTCCTTCACAGACCTCATGCGTCGCATCGTCAACAGAGAGGTTGTGGTTGAAGGTGAAGAGCTCATTGACGTTGCCACTGGCAACCCCACTGACCTGACTCCTCGCGACCTCAAGCCCATCATCCCGGTACCCGACATACCTCCTACGTTCATTCCTCCCTCCGACGCGGAGCTCCGAGCCAAGAAGGAGGCTGAGATCCAAGCCAAGCAAGAGGCAGAGCACAAGGACCAGCCGGTTGTGGTGGAGAACCCGGGCGGTGCCTGACGGGGGCAAGACGTCCAGACAGAAGTGGTGGGGGCTGACGTTTGGAACCTGTCGCCTGTGTGGAAGCCATCTAAGCCATTCTTTCCAGATGGAGAAGAAGCAGAAGAAGCAGATGGAGGAGAAAGCCGCCCGGGCTCTCGTGTAACCTTCCTTGCGTCGCCGTGCACCGGGTTCCATGGGATTCAAGTCTCTGGTATCCCGGAATCACACACACGTGCTCTTTCGGAGGAGCCACTCATCATCGGAAAGGCTGAAGAGATGCGGGACCTCGCGGAACTTGCAATCGAAGAGTCGAAGCAATTCACGCCCTTGGCATCACCGCTACCACCACTTTCACCAATCCGAGTTGCGTCTCCGTCCAACACTGCTGGGAAAGCCTGACCCTATTGATGATTTTGCATCTGTTCTTGTCTGATTTTTAAACCTGTCTGCGCCACCCCTTCGCACATGATCAAGCTGCTCCGAGCCCCTCTAATAATCAATGGCTTGAGCACCATTCACCCTTGCCCCTCAGCATACCATCTGTCTTCATGTTCACATCTTTTATTTGTTTTGCATCTCATGGTCTGACAAGGCCAAATGACCACCAGTCGGCGTTGGAAAAATAGGCTTGTTACAGGGTAGCTTCCCCGGGGTGGAGAGGCTCATTGTCTAGTGAGACCAAGGCTCTGCCTGTCTGCTGCCGTGACATTTTCTCGCAGGTTGTTTGCGCATATTCTGGCTGGCAGAGAAGTCCGCAAGGGGTTTTCACCTCAAGACTCGGCGTAGTACCACAGGGTTAGATTTCAAAGGGGCAACAGAATGGCTGTCTGCTTCTATCTTGGTGGCCACAGTTTGCATTGTACAGTACTCTAGATCAGGAATTGACTGCACACACTTGAATTGACATGAGCACTTTTGACTCAACGTGAACACATTTGACTTGATTTGAGTGCTGATGATACAAGACTTGCCCAATATGCCTGCCTTTAAAGACACACGAAGGCACAAGGGATGCACCGGACGTAAGTTCACGATGACACAAAGATTCTGATAAACCCTGCAGGTGATTTGTAGGTACTTGAGAATTCAATTGGGTATTGGTATCATAGTTTGTTCTCCTTTTCCTAGGGTTTGGCGGGCTGTGCACACAAACACGCCTAGTGTTTAAGCCTCTTAAGCCAGCTCACCCTCCGTGTCTGCTTTTGCAACGGCGTACATCCAGCGCCAGAATTCACTTCCCTCTCACTATCCTTGTTCTCCCCTGCTATGCCATTTGTACCAGATTCCCTGTCCCGTACTGCCACTGGAGTGCTGCTCGCCTCTGTCGACTGGGAGTGAGACTGCTTCATCATCCGCCGCTGCATAAAGGCCGCGCCGGTGCTGACTGCCCTCCTGAGGCCCGACTGCGCCGGGGGCGTGGTATTGGTGAGGTTGCTGGTCGTAGACCGCCTGGGTATTTTGAGCGCCTGGGATGTGCATGAGGTTATGCTCATCGACGGTTCACGCGCGTAAGGGACGCTGCTATCACTCGTCTCCGTTGAGTCAGGCGTCGCCCCACCAAGTCGCAAAGCCAGCCAGAGGCCGGTAATCGTAATAAGCTTCTTAGTTGTCTCATCGATTGGGTGGGTCTGACGCTCAGCGGAGAGCTCATCGGCAGAGTAAGGAGATGGCGGGAAGTCCTTGGAGCTCGGTGAGTCGAAGTTGTAGCTCATAGGGCGAGAAGGGGGAAAGCGGCCCTGGGATGACGACACCGTCGTGTAGTCCTCGAACACCTCAAGTGATTTGGGCGTCAGGCCCGCCAAGATCGGGTGGCGCCTTGACATGGGGTTGATGAGGCTGAATGTGTACTTGTAATCGCTGGGCTCTGCGCTAGACGCACTGTCGCTGGTCGGGGTAGTAGTAGATGAAGAGAGTCTGTTTGGATTCTTAGGGTTCGAGATGCTTTTTGTGGAGTTCCGCTTGGCCCAACGCGCAGTCTGTGTGATACCGTGCTTGTCGACATGCACAAAATTGTAGCTGCTTTTGGGGCCCGGGGTCGCCCTCCAAACAGCACCATCCTCCATCACAATCTCGTCGCAGTCCTGACCTCTCACTGGGCTCAGTATGGCCAAAGGTTCGCGTCGCCCGCCAACATTCTCGTCCTCCTCTTCAGAATCACTAAGGCCGGTGTCGTAGTCCTCAGATTTGAGCAGGATCAGGTCACGGGGGCCAAGCTCGCCCTTGGCACCAAATATCCGGGGAAAGCGGTTGATATAGCGGGCCGTTACGAGGGGCCCAGCTATGAGAGATGCTGGAAACACGTCGATTGCGGGCCGTGGGCGTCTCTGGTCGGCAGGCAGCTCCTGAAGCTGGTAGAGCAGCCTCGGGCGTATGTTCTTGAACAGGTGCTTCTTGGATCCACGCTTGGGAGCGGGCACGGCGAGAAGGTAGTGGCTGCTCTTGCGAGGCTCAGCCCTTCTTCGTCTGGGCCGGGAGGTCGAGGAGGTCTGTGAGTCGGAGTCGTAGAAGGATGGCTCATCTTCTGTCATGGAAGACTTTGGGGTCTCCAGCACCTCGGGGTCCTTGAAACGAACGACAGGGGCAGCAGGTACGGATCTCCGAGGGGCAGCAGGGTCGCCAAGGATGTCGGTGATGGGGCGTACATAGACTTCAGACACGGGCCTTGTCGTCTTGGGGGTCTGGGGCAGCGGCCAGGTACTTGAGTGAGGCGGTGTTGTCGTGGAGCGCAGTATGGGGTGGGGAAATGCTGATCGAAGGTATGGTCTCTTGCGTTGCAGAGGGGTGTCTTTGGGTGAGTGAGGAGGGTGGCCGTTTCCCGAGAACTCATGGCCGTGGAGAGAGGCGCCAGCGTGAAGAAACATGTTGCTGGCGGCAGTCGATACTCAGACTCAGTCTCAGCGACAGAAACATATACGTACACATGTAAACATGCAGTAGGTCGGTGGTAAGGCAAGTACAGGAGGGTGGGCAGGAGCGACCGGCGGTTGGTCACGTCCCTAGAAGTAGAAAGAGTGACTGAGGCTCCTTCCACGCCCGTGACTCCCGGATGTCCAGCTTCGAAATCAAAATCGGAATCCAAATCCAAGTCCTCCCGAGAATGTTGGCCTCGGCCTGCGTCCTGTTCCCAAAGATGCCGTCACTTGATTCCAGGGCAGGGCGCCAGCGGCGACCATCGACACGCGCCGGTGTAGGTTGGTCTGGTTGGTAATTGGGGCCGGAATTGGCGGATACTAAGGCCAAGCAGATGACTGATTGAGAGCTTCGGGGCCAAAGCCAAGGCAAAGGCAAGGCCGTAGAGTAGCTAGGTTAGGCAAAGCAAGGCAGGATAGCTGTTGCAAGGCCTGTCGCGGTATAACAATTGAGCTTGAAGAATAAAGTTGTTGGACAGCGTGTGATGTGGATCCAGGTGGAAAAGCAGTCGGGGTGTGGCGTCACACTCGGGCATTTATCGAAAGCCGGCGCGCGTGTTTTGTTTGAGATCGAACGACTGAGTGTGAGATCAGCGTGGAAGGCCGGAGGTTGGTAGGTCAAGTTAAGCTTCGAATTCCTGAAGCCTTGCTGTCATCAGGTACCCGGGTGGCTGTCTGGATATTGCTCCGTCCAGTCCGTTGGAGAGAAAGAGGAAGCAAGGTCAGGGTGGCCGATATTGACTGGGATGCCTTGTAGCGGGAAGACGCGTCGTCCCTGCAAAGATGTGGGTTCTCTCAAGGTTCGAGGGCGGGCTGCGAACAGATCAGGGGCAAGGCTGAGCACAAGTTGTAAGGCGAGGAGATCTTGCCACGGGATTGTAAGTAAGCAGAGAAGAAGAGGTGAGGTGAGGTGTGGTGTGGTGAGAATTGAGATGAGGAGGAGATGAGGAAAGGGCCAGCACAGCTAACCGGCAGGCGTGTGAGTGTTGAGGTCAAGAGATGGAGCGAAACGAAGACCAATCCGCCAGGGATGTGGTGTAGGAGTGCGGCGCGCAGTAGCAGCGGGACGGACAAGCCTCCCGAGGTGCAGCAAGCAGCCAGCAGCAGCAGCAGCAGCAGCAGCAATGAGTTGGTGAGCTGAGAGGGTTCGAGATCCTGCATGTGTGATGATGTGTGTGCAGGCAGCTACTTTCCCTATTGTACCAGCAACGATGGCCTGTGTCGGCGAGCCACTGTGCCCACTCGGCTATGCTGGGCCCGTTCCAATGAGAAGGGGGAAAAGGGGGTCAGTTGAGCTAAATTGGGCGTCGGGCACGGTGGATATGCAAGGGCTCTTTCGCACTGCTACTGTGCTTGGCTGACATGACCTGACAGTACCCTATTTGGATTGACTTGTCATGATCCTCCGACTTTGTGTGCTGGCTGTTGTTGGCTTGTTGGCTGACGATACAATAATCCACATACAGAACCTGCATCAAGGCGGTGACAGAGTTGCTCCGTTCTATGTGTACAGCCCTGATCCTCCTGGGAGGAGATCTGTCTCGACGATACTGTGCAGCACAGCAGAGCAGGGCAGAGGCAGAGCACAAGCACATGCAGCTGCCGGCCCATGGACTGACAGACTAGACTGACAGGACTAATGAGCCTAGCTTCCACATAGGGCAATCGGTAGTGTAGTGTTAATCTGGGGAGGGATATTGACTAGGTGGGACGGCAGTTCTTGGAGTCGCACCACACCACACCGCAAAGGCCTTCCATCAATTGAGTGGGGGAACCACGGATATAGCCGTGGAGATGAAGTTGCCTCCGGAGACTTGATGAGACTGAGATGGGAACAAATCCAGAAATCCAAATAAGCTGCGGGCATGGGGAGCTCTGTGCTGCTTTGTTTCAGCTCCCCATCCTGCCATCCCAGGCGAGCCAGGCTCTCTTCCTTCATCACACATCAGACACAGCCATGTGCTCAGATCCCCACATGTTTGCCACCGGTCATCTTGTGATACGTCTGACATGGTAGTAGACTGCGCGACTGTGTTAGCACCTCTGCCCAATAAACGCCGGTGGGAGCGGTGTCTGACTGGAAGACCAGCGTAGTACCTGCAGCATCTGCGATGCCCGCAGCAGCAGTAGTAGCGGGCGGGAGATTGAGTGACCTGAATTGCGCGTTGATGATGAATTCCCCACATCTGGGCCTACTAATCGGTAACCTGGCGGCGCTCACTGATATTTTTGGCGTCAGGTGTTGGTGCTCTTTTCGTCGATTTTTTGATTGCCCAAATCTCGGTACATGCCGAGGCCTGACCAAGCCACAACGGGGGTGGGGATCCACATGTAAGCTGGCATTCCTGGCATGGCAGTGGGCCCCCCGATCTTCTCAGGGGGACGTGCTCTGTCTTTTCCATTTGGGTCTGTGTGTCAATCTGTGTGTGTGTTTAGCTGTCTGGGTGCGGGTATGCACAACATATGCCAAACCGCATGCTGCGAATAATCATTACTATGAGCCACCCAGCATTCTGGTCCCTTCCACCACATTCGTCGCCATGACCGCCACAAACATCAGTAATGGCAGTCCCTACACCACGCTGACGGCCGTATTTTGTTCGTGGAAGGCCGTCCTCCTCGCCATCGCTGCCGGCAGCCGCGTGGGCCCGACCTACGACACCTCGTCAAGCCTCCTCACCCCTGGCAGCACACCAAGCTTCCTCACGAGGCTGTCCTCTTGGGATACCATCTACTTCCTCAAGGACGCTGAAAGGGGCTATCTTTTCGAGCAGGAGTGGGCCTTTAGTTCCGCCTTGCCCAACTGCATATCCCTCATCATCCGAGGTACGCTCGCTCCTCCAGCCTATGGTCCGTCGAATTCTAATCACAAGCCTTTTAGCCCTACGGATCCCTCGGCTCGGCCTGTTCTCATCCTCCGACCCCAGCACGCACCTTGAGGCTCTGGTCGGCGTCGTCTTCTCCAATGCCTGCCATCTGCTGTCGGTGCTGGTGCTTTACCAGCTAGGCTTGCAAATCTGGAAGGATTCAAGGTGGGCACTGGCTGCGGCCCTGCTGCACGTGCTGTCCCCGGCCGGCCTATTCTTGTCCGCTCCTTACGCTGAGAGCGCATGCTCCTTGCTGTCTTTCACTGGTTGGCTACTCCTGGTCAAAAGCTGCGTCAAGACTGGGACATCTGTTTCATCGCTTCCAAGAGATGCCCTGACCCTACTCGCCGGCCTTGCCTTTGGCCTCGCCACCTATTTTCGTACCAATGGCCTGCTCAACGGCGCCCCACTGGCCTTCGACTTCCTCTGGACCTTCTACCAACTGACCGAGGACCTCGATTTTCGCAAGACTCCCGATTACATCCGCAGACTGGTTGTCCTCGGTATCGCCGGACTAACTGTCGCTGCCGGCTCCGTCCTCCCTCAGTATGTCGCTTACCAGACATATTGCTCCTCCACTTCCGCAACTTCCGAGACTAGGCCGTGGTGTACCCACCTCGTGCCCAGTATCTACAACTTCGTACAGAAGCAATATTGGTAAGAATGATCTCCCAAAACCCACAGAGTGCGGACCTCATGAACGTCGGCCTCGGGCGTCATCAACCTCCGTTTGCTCACACCGCAAAACAGGAACACCGGTTTTCTCCGATACTGGACGCTGTCCAATGCCCCACTCTTTGCCCTTGCGGCTCCCATGCTCTTCGTCATGGGCAAGGGCGGTAAAGATCTTTTCTTCCAAGGCTCCAGAGTTTCCAAGGAGCATGGGCCGGCGTCAAACCTGGACAGCTCCCGGCTCGTCCTGGTGGTGAGGTCCATGGCCTTTGCTCAGGTTTTGCTCGCCGCTATGACCTTCACAAGCTATCACGTCCAGATCATCACTCGCCTGTCCTCGGGCTACCCGGCCTGGTACTGGTGGCTGGCGGCCTGCTTGAAGAGCCCGAAGACGAGAAACATGGGCAGCGGCTTTGTGGTCTTCATGGTCATGTATGCTTCCATACAGGCCGTATTGTTTGCTTCTTTCTTGCCTCCAGCTTGAGTAAGGCGTTTAGTGATGGTATGCCCGTAAACTGTATCGATTACTGCACGGTTGACGTTGCGTCGTTAAGGCAGGCACCCCCAAAGCCCCTACTGATTTGTCAAGTATCCCATGGCTGTCATTGCAGCCATGACTGTTCAAGTAGTCCAGTATGTGATATCGAAAATTAGGGACGGCTTCTTTGTTGTATGCCGCGTCTGGCTCTGGAGACAAACTCTACTGCATACCAAAACTGATCAAGTGATTCGTGTGCAAGAATACTTGCTTACTCGGAAGATCACCAGTGGCTTGCAACTGATAAAGACTATTATCAATGCCAATTACTCTTCCAATTTCTCAATTATTGGTGTAATAACGTATGGTTCTTAGAAGCGGCGTGTGCTATCTATGGGTACCGTTCTTCTTTCCTCGTATAGTACAACTTCAGAAAGCACGTCGTCCATTGGCGATCCTGGATGAGCAAAGCCTTTCACTAGCTTGGGCCGGCATGGCCGCCTTCCGATGGATCTTGCTTCTTGAGTATAAGCTCCCACACGTAACCAAGTGGACATTCTGCGATTCCATGGTCTCTACCCTCCGTTGGAAGCACCTCAAAGACGTCCATACTCAGGCTTGTGGGAGCGGGGGGCCTTGAAACCGCGGCCACGGGGCTGAGGGCTCATAGATCTCTCCGAGCGGCGATGTGAACGCTGCCTGTCGCGCGTGACGTGTCGGTTTGCCGCTCGCTCGGCGTCGAGCTCGTCGCGGGGCAACGGATGGCCGATCGGGCTGGAGTAGCGATAACGCGAGTATCGCTGCGGAAGCAGAGTTCGTGGGGGCGAGCTCTCCGCCAATCCATGGGGAGGATTCTTCTCACTTCGTGGGCGGGCTGTGAGGTGCCGGGCAAGTCAGTCGTGGCACAAAGTTGCGTTGAGGTATGTGGTGCGCTTCATGTGAATATGGGAGGGAGAGCATGAATGGGTGGGATGTATGTAGTGTGCGAAGCCCGTGGTAAATGGTGTTGGGCGGGGAGTATGATGAGAGAAGATAAAAATGGATGGAAGCAAGCCAGGTTACCTTCTTGATCGTGCCAGTATCTTGGCTCATCTCGTCCGCGATCGTAGGAGCCGTGATAGCCAGCGCGAGATCCACGGTAGTTATGGTCGGTGCGGTAGAACTTGGCGGAGGAACCATAGTCTCGATCACCATCGCTCTGCTCGCCTCGCTCTCTCTTGATGCCGGCAGTGACCGTGTAGCGGCCGAGCATCCTATACTCAGCCGGTTGAACATCCTCAGCACGCCGGGGCGGCGCAGGATCCAGCGAAAGGGGGAGCGGTCCAGTGTCGATCAGGCGCCTCGCCTTGCTGGCAGGCTCCCCCGCGCCGTTCAGCTCGGCCGTCTCGCGCTCGCGCTCTTGCATCAGCTCGTATCTCTCGCACTCGATCTCCTCCATGCGGCGGAGGCGGGACAGCTCGTGCCTGCGGAAGGTGGAGCTGTTCCAGCCGGTATAGTAAAGCCAGTCGCGGAGATCAGGGTGCTCGAAGGCGAACCTCTCCACCTCCCAGTCGCTGTCGTCGCGGGCCGGCCGCGCCGCCGCGGGGGAGACTGAATGAGGCCGTGGCTCCCGGTTGGGCTGAGCGTATATGTGGCGAGCGGGCGCCGCCTTGTACGCTTCCCAGGTCATGGTGTTGTCGTGCTCTGGCATGTTCACCCGAGGGCGGTCTGGCAATGAGCGACGGCCATGTCCGTGCTTGTTGTCAGATCGAGGCGCGGATGAGTGACCAGCGGCGGTATCACCTCGGAATTCCCTCTGCTTCGAAACAGATGTGGGATCGACCGACCTGGATACATGCCGCTCGGCACGTGGTTCGGTTGGCACGATGCTGGTGACTGTCGAGGCACGCGTGGGAGGAGTCTTCTTGCGCGTGGCAGGCTGGGTCGTTGACTCCCGGACGGGGATCTTGTGCAAGGCCGGCGAGTGCTTCCTGGTGATCTCGCCATCTTCGGTAGTCGAACGCATGTTGGATTTCTCTTTTGGAGCCAGTGCGGTTCTGGTCTCGCTACGCGATGCATTTGTGTCCTCGGCAGTGTAGCCATCCCTTGGCTGGATCTTGGAGTTGTCACCATCTGCGAGCTTTTCTTGGACCTTTGCGCCCGTGTGGTCGTTTGCACGTGAGGGCCTGTTGCTGATGAGCTCAGTTTCATTGACGGCTGCCATTTTGTCTCCCTTTTCCTGAACCATGAGCGTGGAAGGACCCCGAGGAGACAGCCCTTCCATCAGTTTCTGGGTGACGGCCTGAGACCTCTGTATGCTGTCATGGGTGCCCGATTCATCACTTTCAGCCATTTTGGGCAGTTTCTTAGATCGTGAAGCTTCCTTGTGCGCGTCCAGAACGTCGGGGAACCCGTTCGACAAGCTTAGGAAGGTTTGTCCTTGAGCAGTAGTAGTAGGCTGAACAGGCTCAACGCCACCTGAAACTGGCTTCTTTCGCTGTTGGAATTGGCCGGAGGACCCGCGCTGCGAGAAGTTCATGTTTTGGGATTGAGCACTTGCAGCTTGCTGTCGGCGTTCCATCAGCTGCTGCTTCAATGTGGCAGCTCTTGCACTCCAGTCAACGTTGTCGGACTGCTTTGTCTCGCTCGGCTGCAGGGAGTGGCTCGACATTTTGCACAAAAGAAATTGGCAAGAATTATGCAAGAGATTTTCTAGTTAGCAGGATCACAATTAGTATAACTTGCTGCTCGACAAATCTCATCTAGAGCAGCTATCATTCGATGCTTTTTGTTGGTGCGTCGGTATGGATAGGTGATGAAGTCAAAGGACATTGGCACAAGCAGAACAAATCCTTTTACTTAGACAACGGCGCAGGATGACAGATTGAGAGACCTAAATCTGTTCACAGTGAATTATGTGCGAAGATAGGGCAATTTACTCTGTTCTAGGGAAGTCACCAGCTTAGAGATCCTGGCGAAGCTGGCATCAATTTGTGGATCCATGAAGGCAATGTCTTACGACGATACCTATGATTCCTCAGAAAGTAATATTCATTGGAGGAACACCTGCAAGTAAGCTAGGGACATCAATGAGATGCATGACGATGAACTACGGACGGCAGCACCTGGCGTGTTGTTGCTGATGGAAGGGCAGAAAAGCGTTTGCCAGTACAAACGGCCTGGTCTCAAGTGCACATTTCTTGCAACCCCGTTCATGTGAATGCTCCTCAGCTGCATGATAGCTGCAGTTTTCCCCCCAATAAAGCCAGTCTAATTTCTGTGACAAGTTGTTGGCTCGGGTAGCTGCTGTTGTGCTGCATATCGCCGCCCAAGTCGAGACTTTACTTTAGGTGTAGATAGACCCAACAATATCGCCTTCATAGGCTCTACCATTTCGGGCTCTCTCATCGCTTCTTTTTCGATCAATTATGTCATAATTTCTGATTCTCTGGCGATCTATCAGGTGTGTTCTAAGTTCTCATGTTGGATCCTACTTGGCCAGACCGCCTTCGCTAAGACCAACTCTAGATCTCCCTGGCAAAACAGGTAGTGATAAGTGACCATATTATGGCCATTCAGAAATTGTTAAAAGATGGGACATTAAAGTATCGAAATGATACCTTCACATGTGGCCAAGTCAACCCCTGAAAACAGTGTTGTGTGTGCAGGATCATGTCTTTCCTTTCTCTAACTTTGCTATGGAGAGTAGTCGGGAATCAACCATCACCAGAATAAACAACCTACACCCTGGTGTCACTCAACTCCACTAAGACCAATGTCCATAGTCAGTGAGGGCCTACTCAACTTTTTGAAGTAGCCATAACAGGATGACGGGGACCGTATGTGTGAGGAGGGTGTCGTAGAAGGTTGAAGATGATTAACATGATAGGCGCCTGTAAGCTGTCGTCTTCCCATTGATGAAAGCTCTACACTTGATATCAAAGCCTAAAAGCGAGTCCAACAGAGTGGAATGCTACAGGATCAGGCTAGCCTCGGCTCTACGTATATGATCAAACTTGGTTTCCCGACCTGCCTTCCCCATGAACATGGTATCTCTTTCCTGAAGTCATCCTCCAGTGTGGAAGAAGCTGTGAGGCATTTACAAGGCTCAACTCGCGTCAAACTGGTGACAAGACCCTCTGCCTGAGACTGTTCCCGTACGGCTAATGGTAATTCGGTCTGACAGCATGTATTGGTTGGCAGTTTACGCAGAATAGGCAAAGATCCGGCACATTACTCTTGAGAGGGAGATCACGGGATGGCAAATTACAAAGTTTGATTCAGTTGGCATAATTGAGGCGAGCTGGCATCTTAAGTCCCCGGGGGTTGTTTGACAAGCCTGGGACTGGCAGCGAGATATCATGCATGCAGACAATCGTGCCAATTTAGCCGGGTATATGACTAAGAAGACGGACAATTAAGTGACATAAAATAAGGTGGGACGTATCAACCGCAATTCGAATGATGAAAGGGAGATGTAAAATGTGGTGGACACGTTGAGTTTTGCCATATATCTCCCATGTCGCGCTTGCTTGATGGCTTCGGGAGAACTACTGATACCAGTCGGCCAAAGTCTTATGGTGATTCCTCTGATCATAACAAGATTTTACCTTAACCAGGTTCTCAATATGGCTAAACGGATAGAACATCCTGGTCCGGACCGGTTTCCTGGAAATCATAATTGCTCGGTTCGGCTGGGATTGACAGTACTCAAACACTGGCTATCAAGTCAATGCCAATGCTTTATGGGTAGAACTCACGGCACGCCCTAGAGTAGCTTACTTCTCAAGCTGGCCTTTCGTCTTTCCTCGCAATGCTGTGTCGTACCCAGTGGCTTGGAACGGCACATTGCGTTTAAGCTCAATGATCAGCTGCACAGACAAGAGAGGCCATGACTGCCAAAAAAGCTTCAAGCAGGCGTTGGTTTCTTGTAGTCTTCCCCCCTCCTTTCGCCGATGCTTCGTCACCTCATAGATCATTGTGAGTGAAACATGACAGCTGCTAATCTGTGAGGGGATTTTCCGTCGTCGTGTGATCATCGATAAGCAAAGGAGCCCTTTGGTCAGGTCCTTGCTCGGATGAGCAGTCTGGATGGTGGGTGAGCTGCGACCGAGCGTGTGATGGCCTCAGGGGGCCTCCAGGGCCAGCATGGGGGCGATTCTGAGCCGAGGCAAGGTTTGAGGCCAACGGCTGAACTCCCTGGTGTGAGCAAGTTGAGTTGGGAGAAATCAAAGTCTATCAGAGCACCGGAGATTTCATCATCGAATGATGAGCTCCATGGTTACACCGGAGCCGATTGATTCCAGCCAAAGCATCCAAATCAAGGGACCAGAAACCCAATGCAGCGTGACGGACGGACGGTGTTTGCTGGGTACGTACCTTGGGTACTAGCCGCGAACTGAAACGGAGAGACGCACAGGGCTCCCGGCGGCCCGGTCGTTGGTTTCAGTCCGTTGGCCGTTTGAGCTAATGGTAACCGTGGAAGGAGCCTGGAAGTCTTGAGGAATTTGGAAGCTGCAGTGGTCCGCGAGTCTGGGTTCTGTGCGTGTGCGCGTGCCTTTCCGCTCCCAAGCGAAGCTTAATCGTCAGACTACTTTTTCAACACACTTCGACTGTGTTCTCTCTGATGTTTGCTGGGCCAAACCCTATCTACAGTAGCAGCAACGGGCACGCCCGAGTCCATCCAAGCACCAAGCAACGACCGAAGACAGGTCGAATGGGCGGGCAACCGCTTGATCACAATCGGAGCCGGATTGGTGATGGATGATGATGAGGTCAAGGCCCGAGTACAGTCAAAACATCACCCCACCACCATCACGAACACCACCACCACCATCATGAGTGTTCCTCGCTCGGAAACACCACATCGGCGGGGCCAAGTGTCGTCCGGTCTTGTAGCCTCGCTGTGGCCCTCTCTCTTAGGGTTGTTTGAACATGAACTCATCCCCTAGATCCCGTTGTTCCGTTCCTGCAGCACGTCTCCAATGCAAAACCTTGCCTTCTTTGCGTGTGGTTCGCGACGACCATCTGGCAGCACTCGATCGACTCTCGCAAGTGCAAGCACGACATGGTCCACCGGTCCTGTCAGTCTCGGCTGCCGGCTGCAGGCTGCAGGCTGCACATCAGACCCTTGCCTTGGCTCACGGACCCTCATTCCACAGTCGATGGCTGCAGTGCGGTGTGGGTGTCAGGATGTCAGGGTGTGCACCTCTCGTCAACGCACTGGCTTCATCGCGTCTGCACACAGCAGGACCTGTCGGCCTCAGCATCGCCCGGATCCAGTCCATCCACCCATCAACTCTCCAAGGACGGGGGCACCAGAGCCAATCTGGTCTGAATGGTGCTGATGCAATGGAGATCGTTCCAAATTCGGCTAAACTCCGTCCTCGACCGGACGAAGAGCTCTGCGCCGGCTCGCTTCTGACACGTAGGGTTTCAAGTGAAACACAGAGCACATGGGTCACGATGCCACACCGGTGCCACCAACCATTGCTGCTGCTGCTCCGAGCGACTTGGCGCTGCCGCATCGCCGTCTGCCACAGTCGCCCGCCCCTTACCCATCTTTGGCGCCCGTCGCCCATCACCCAAGCCTGCCGTGGCGCTTCCCTTGCCCAGCATGATCATCGACTATGTCGTGTCTCGAGCCTGTTCCCTGCTCCGCGGGTTTGAGCCTCACACCATCTCGCTACCGGGATAGCTGGCCAATCTATTCCAGGTACCAGTTTGACCATGGAGACGGGGCCTCCTTAACATATCCACACCATCGTCAGAGCCACCCGTTGATAGCAACCTCAATGTCGAGATCCGGTTCTGCCAATGTTTCCCTTGTCGTCTGCAGCAACTACTCCGCTCCTAGTTTCGCGTGCTTCAGATCCAATGTCCCCACTTCGTCGTGACTGCTGCTTGCCGCTGGCGCTCTGCCCTGTGTGATCCCAGTTCTGCTGTCTCTTCTCTCCTGCTCACTTCTCTACTGGATCAATCAATACGGAAAGCGAAGAGACTGACAGACGTGTGTGCGTGAGAGCGTCGTCGTTATGTTGAGTGTGCGGAGGATCACGACATGATGAAGTGTTAATATTTTTCTTGATACCCTTTTCATTCGCTTCGAAGTACCCATTGACTGGGCTGGCCTCTTTTTCAAAACCCCTTCGCCAGCTGGCGTCGCCATCATGGCGATATCTGGAACCACTTCGGCTCTTATTGCCGCCTTCGCATTGTGAGTCGTTCCCCTCTGTTGAGATGGCAGCTGTGACGTCGCACATGGCTGACGAGTAATCAACAGTGGCATCGTTGTCAACGCGGCGTCGGCATCCCTCTTCCTCAACGTCAGGGGCCATGGCTCGTCGATCTTTCGAGACGGCAAGAGGCTGGTCCTCGCTACATTTCTATTCAGTACCGCCTTATGGGCACAAGTTGGCTTCATTACTACTCTAATAGACCCGGCCGCCGAGGGTTCGTGTCAGATTGCCATCGTCTTCACCACTATATTCGACCAACTCGCTCGATACTCCATTGAACAACACCTACTTTGGGTCATCAATGATGGGACCCAAGCGTCGGCGGGTCAGATCATCCCGCAAGGTTTACTGGGCATTCGCTTCGTCCTGGGGGCCGTTTTTGTCGGACTGTCGAGACCGCAATTCAACACCGTTTGTGTGCCGGTTTCATCTGTGCTCGCCTTTGCCGTCACATTGGTAGTGGTGGATGGGGTGATTGTCGCGATTCTGGCCGGCCGGGCCATTTCTGTTGGGCTGATCAAGAAAATGCAAGACGGCGGCCAAGACTCGGCCCGGAGCAAGGCTATCATTGCGTCGCTCATTGGTCTAACAATATGGATGGCGGTCAGTCTTATCACGACCCATGGGGCCTGTAATCATGGTGTACTGACAAACGTGCAGACAAGTGTAGCAATGTTGCTGGGCATATCCACCACGGATTACATATTCAGAAGCACCGTCCCTGCGGGCGGCCTTACGATTTTGCTCAGTAAGTATTTTAATTTATCAACATGCCTGGTGTATCGACCACTAACCGTAATAGTTATTGTAACTGCGAGTATGGGCGCGTTCGGAGACCAGAAGCCAAGGAATAGAGACAGGAATGTACCAGAAGCACCATCACCAAGACAGATTGTCACTGCACGATCGATTTCAACTTCAGCCTCCAACGAATACCCGCCGAGCCGATACGAGGATCTCAAGGCCGAGCAGATCAATTCTAGTACCGCATTTGTCCAGCCTAGACAGGTACCGTTTCCGAACCAAGGGTTGCCGAGCATTGCGAACCCCGGTGTGATGGGACAGGGAGTGGGCGGAGTTCCAATCCAGGGGCAATTGTTCCCTCCGATGCGGGCGGCCACGGCACCTATCAACCCTCCCGATGAACGGCAGCAAGTGAAGCCACAAAACAAGCCTAAAACGCTGTTTTCCAGCAACGGTGCAGGCCCAGCGAAGGCAATCACTGTTGGAAAGTTGGCCATATCGGCCCCTGTGCTTCAGGAAGGTGGATCAAATCCCTTGGACAAGGTGGCTACAACCGACCTCGACACAGCGGCACGGAAGGAGAGAGAGAGAAGGGCGCTTCTCGCGAGTCAGACCCAAGGCTCTTCGGCGGTTCGCAATGAGGCTGCAGCTGCGGCAATAGACCCCACACAGGGCGTTATGCGAGCCACGAGTACCGTTCGCAAGGAAGTGGTCGGTCGGGCGTCCCTGTCTGCTTTGCCTGACAGTGCCACGCCGGCAACAGGTGTCACAACGGGCTCTCAGCTATCACCCGGGGGCGAGGAGCTCCGGAGAAGGTCGCCGCGACATGCGCCGTCGGCCTCGCAGGCTTCAGCACAATCGGACGCAAGCTCGTCGACCAGCCTACCACCTCCTCCACCACAAAAGTCAGCGGCTCGGGCTTTGCCCAAGAATCAAGATGTCATTGTCAAAACAAATATACCCCCATCTCGACAATTACCTCCTTCGCCTGAACCAGTAATCCCTGAGCCAGCGAAGACGCCACTGCAGAGACGACCAACGAACGGCCTCCCTGGAAACCCAAGAGCGATGTCTGTAAGGAGGCCGCAGGGTGAGTCTGCGCCTCAGAGGCAACAGACTGTCATGTTTGTCAATAACATCATTTATGACGACCCAAATTTAGTCGAAAGTGTCATGGGAGATGCTAAGCAGCGAGGACCAAAGGCGGCTGTCCCGCCGCCTATTAACACGGCATCTGCGACGAGCCCAACAACGCCAGTGATTCCAGAAACACCTGGCACTTCAGGATCGATTGTACATCGCCCGAGACCAATCCCAAGAAGGAGCAATACGTCTGGCATGGATACGTACTTCCCACCAATCGCGCCGCCGAAGGGCCACAGGAAATCGAAGTCAGCCGGGTCCATACGCACCGTGAAATCCATGCTGCAGACTGTGCCGGGCAGCCCGTCAAATCTTCCTCCCCTACCTTCACCTCCCACCCAACAAATTCCAACCTACGCTACTCGGCCCAAGCCTAATAATACGAAGAGCATGACGTATGATGAGAAAATGACTTTACTCTTCCCACAACCACCGAACGCAGAGGGAAGTGCACGGAGAAGATCATCAGTACCATCGCTACCTGGGATGCCTGCGTCGTTCATAAGCAGTTCACCGACACTGACGGATAATCTCGGCTATGACAACCAATATCGAGAGTCCAAGAGAACCACGACATCGGTGCAGACGAGGAGCCTTTTTGACGAGCCAGAGGAAGCATCGCAACGGGAATTGTCCATGGAGGCGAGCCGTGAGCGACCAAATGCTACGGCGTACCAAAGTCTTCTGTCAGAGACTGGTCAAGATATCATGGCCGACGAGTATCCTGCGAATGAGAAAAAGCAGTCTGTGGCAACGACAGGAGCTGGCAAGCGAGCATCGTCACCGGTTCTACCCGCCCGATTCAGCGTCAAGTCAGCGTCAACGACAAATGACACAACCACGGACGACGCAATTACGGAGTGGGGTACAGTCCACTCTCCGGCCCCTGTACAGCAGATAGGCTTGACAGTTCACCAAGCCCGGGCCATCGAGGTTGGGAAAGTCCCTAGTCAAGATCAGAGGGCCGTGTCAGCAATGACCAACAGCGAGGAGATGATTTTTATGTTGGACACGTCTGTAGCGCGGGATTTGCAACCAAATAGCAAAACGCCTTCAAACGCGGATGAGGAGAGTCCGGTAGCATCAAGAGCGTCTTCTGGTCAATTTTACCGGCGAGTTGGAGACGAGACCCTCAGTTTCTCTTCGCGGCCCGAGAGGACCCGGTCGAGGAGAGGTCCACCGCCGGTCCCTCTGGTACTGAGCGACCGCCCAACGACAGCTAAGCAAGCGATTCTGGTCAAAGCTGCTGAGCCATCGCCTCTACCGTCTCCCGAAGAGGCCCTTTTGATGATCCAGGCACAGTTGAAGAAGTATGAGCAGCCTGACCCAGGCGCGATTGAGAGCCCGGGACAAGGCCGACTCGCGCTTTTGAACGATTTGGAGGCAGAGATGGGCCAGCAGGAGACGAGGTGGCATGGTATGCAGCACGACCTTTCTCGAGACTCATTCTCCACAGTCTCGCCAACCACGCTGTCCCGTCGCGCTTCTGAACTTGGTGCGACATCACCGGCAGAGGCTCTTTCCAGGAACTCTTCCACGAAATCGAAGGAGAGTATCGCTGCAGACCGGAGAGCATCACGTCGGGCACGTATGGGTAGCATATCATCTACCAGGTCTTCGTCGCATGAAAGGGATGACAGCAGGAATCGCGCGAGCCTTTGGCAGAGGAGGCTGGCAGAAGCACAGATGGAGTACATGGAGAACGCGAACGAACTCATTCGCAAGCGCAGCTTGAATTTCCTCTCCGTGGCCAAAGCCAACGCCAACTTAGGCAGCCCGACGCCCCCAGACTCGGATGAGTCTGAAGGAGAGATCGAATCCAGGCGGAATCTGGCGGCTCTGCTCGAGGCCCGTGCCAAATATGAAGCAGCCGAGATGGAGCGGTCTACAAGGGAACCGCAGCTTCTCTGGACACCTCGCCAGGAGCCACAGAATGAGAGCGGGCTGATGTGGGTTCGGCCACAACGGCCGTATGAGCAGCATTTACCCCGCCAGGAGCCGCCTTTGCCAGGACTCTCAGTGCGTCCTGCACAAAGGAAAGAGAATTCAACGCTGTCCATTGAGACCACCCAGCTGTGGCAGCAGCCGACTTCGGTTAACAATTCTGGACTCTCTGGCCTTTGGAAGTCTCCAGCTGAGGTCCAGGCACTCGAACAGGCTGCACAAAAGACGCCTACTTCCAGGCGCCAGGCTCCCAGTTACTATAATCCCGGCATCCAGCGCTCCCGGAGCGCGTCCGGATCTCGCCCGTTGACGCAACGGCCACCGCGGCGAAGCAAGCGGATCACAGCACTGCCCGACATAGTTGAGGATCCTCAGCCACTCCCAGACAAGCGAGGAACTCTTGGCATCTTCCAATTCCCTTGGGGGGAGAAGTCTGATGTGGCTTCCGTACAACCTCGCCCGCCACTTTTCATGGCCATGCCCGGCACAATGTCTACCGGTGGCAGGAATGTCAATAGTGCCCTAGACGCGAGGGCCAGGCAAATCGAATCTGACGAGTACTCTTCATCTTTCTTTGATGATTATGATGAAGACCGAAGCGACTCCTCGAGCGACATGGGATCCGAGAGTGACGATGGGTTCGACGAGTCCACGTTGTGGGAAATTGCGAGCTTGCTCAAGACTGACCAAATCCCATCTACCAATAGCATGTTCCCACCGCCGGAGGACGCTACAAGTTATATGGTTGGTGAGTATGCGGACGAGGAGGAGGCTGATCGAATTGCCCGCCAAACCATTCTTGTTGGTATTGAAGAGCCTGATGGTCTCCAAGAGATGCCATCTCCAGCCCCCCCGCCGAAGTCGCCTATGAGGACACAGTCGACTCTCTGGCAGGCCACGCGGGGTACGGAGCATGCACTATCTGCAAAGGGTCTCCCTCAGCCCGAAGACTGGCTCAACTATGATGCGCCGACGGAAACTTCCCGTGCGAAGCCTCGGATGCCTGTGCAACCTGCGCTGATCGAGAGTGACAACCTCTGGATCCCATCCCAGACTGAGACTGGAGAATCAAAGTCCCCAATGTGGTCGCTACCGAGCAGCGCGGATTCATCTCACCCCGTCTCGCCGAAGGAAGCAATGCAAGTTTCCGTGGCGCGGGGGCTGTCATCTGAACTTCCTGGCCTGAGGGAGCTATCGCGGGCCGTTTCGAAGACAGACTCACTGTGGAAGGTGGAGGAACAAGCTCAGAAAGGCGAACATGGCGTTGGCCTACCACACCCGGATAATTGGCACGCACTCGACAACATCAAGTCAACTGTCCGCGCGAAGCCCCGTCAATCTGAGCTTGCCGCCGTTGAAAGCAGCAATTTGTGGCAGACGTCTCCCGAAACTGGTCGCACCAAAAATTGGCTAGAAGCTCCAACACCGATTGCGAATAGCAAGCCTCTTTGGAAAGCGGAGGAGAGACCGAAGCGAGGCGAGCACGACGCCGGGCTTCCTCATCCTGACAATTGGGAAGAGTACGATGGTGCGAAGTCGACTATCCGGTCCAAGCCACGACAGTCCGGTCCCGCCATCATTGAGAGCGTCAACTTGTGGCAAGCTTCTTCGGTCGAGATGCCTGGGCCGAGGAACTGGTTGGAGGTACCGCGAGCAATGGCGACTAGCTCGCGCCTATGGCAGATGACCGCACGCCCTAAGAGAGGTGACCACTCTGTCGGTCTGCCTCATCCTGAAAGCTGGGATAGCTACAACGAAGTCACGACGACGGTTCGGGCAAAGCCTCGGCAAGCCGGACCCGCCACCATTGAGAGCTTCGAAATGTGGCAAGCCTCTTCAGTTGAGAAGTCTGGGCCGAGGAACTGGTTGAAGCTGCCAAGCCAGCGTCTGTGGCAGGTGACCGCACGACCCAAGAGAGGTGACCACGCCGTCGGTCTGCCTCAACCTCAAACATGGGAAAAGTATGATGGTGTCAAGACAACTGTTCGAGCGAAGCCTCGGCAGTCCGAGCCCGCTGTGATTGAAAGCGTCGACCTTTGGCAAGCTCCCTCACCAGAAGTAGCTACCTCGCCGTCCAAGATGTGGGCACCGAGGATCCAATCAGCTCCTGTGACGCGAGCGCCATCCCCCATAGTGGAAGCCTTCAACCAGGCCGAGACAACCAAGATGCTCTGGTCAGCGCCAGTTTCACCTAAGCTGCTGGCTGATTCTGGACTGTTCAACCCCTACGCCAGTCGTTCAGACTTCAGGACATCTTCTCAGGCTCCTGCCGCCGTTGAAATGAACCGCAAGTCCCGACCAGCGGATAGGAGGCCGGTCGATCGGTTGACCTCGACGACTCTCTGGGTAGCTGAGGCTACCCCTCAGATCGAGCGTAATTGGATATCACCGATGCCCAGCCCCAAGAGCAAGGCCTCCAGAATCCCAGCTCCCACAATGAAGTCAGCTGCTCCGGCTAGAAAACACTATGGACCAATTGTTGCTGCCTCGAAAATGGATTGGGATGCAGCTCTCGACCAGGCAGTTGCTGCAAGTTATCCTGCTCCATCCAAGTCGAGCCGCAGGACCACTGTCCAGGCGAGTGCTGCGGACTGGGACGCTGCTCTGGCTGAAGCTATCTCAAAAAGCTACAGGAAGTCATTCGATGTGTCGAGGCGCCATCCCGTATTTGCCGCATCATCTTTGGCCTCGAAAGCTATGGTGACACACCCTGCCGCCACTGGCTACACATATGATACTGCTTTTGTGCACCCAGTCTTCTTCGGTTCAGGCATTTTCACTTGTCCCGAAGACAATATTCACCCAGCTGTGGCCCGGTCATGGTCCTCATCTCATGATGAATCGATCAGAGAAAGGGATGTCAATCAAGCAGCGATCGAAGAAGAAGAGTACTACGGAGAGCAGAGGCAGATGGACCCAGCATTGCTTGCGCGAATCGAGGCACTTGAACAGGAGCGTCAATTTGCGGAGCAATGGGCAAGAGACTCTTTTGCGCCTGTCGATTTCAACCCTGAAACACCACTTCCTCCAGTGGTAACCGCAGAGGAGAGGGCACCGCAGGTTCCTGAGCAGTCCTTTGACTTTCAGTTCGAGCCCGTCGACGTTACCCCCGGCGTCCCACTCGCTCCTTTGTCGATGTCGCACATTGCCCAAGAGCCAGCCGCGGCACACGAAGGCACCGTTCTGGAGTCACCCGCGGTTCAGCGTCTGAAGCGCTCGGAAACGTTCCAATCTGTATCTGAGATGAGCGAGGCCGAGTCGAGGGTCACTCTCAGGGATAGTCTCGTGAGTGTGGATACTCCCACGGAGATGAAGCCTGCGGGGTCCAGGATCGAATTCATCTACTAAGAGCGTAGAGTGATGGAAAATTGGGAAATGTAAGGAAGGAAGAGTTGGTAAACACTGGCATTCCCAGATATGTTTTTGTGTTTTTGTCCTGTGTGACTCGATCGACCGATCCACAGAAATGATACCTCGGACTTGTAAAATTAGCATGATGTTACAGTCTTTCACTTCCAACTACAGACATTTGCTTAATCAAATTTCTATTCATATAAAAAAGTATTAATTTAGGTGTCACACGTAAAGCATTGATGAATTGGAAAAAACGAAGCCCTAAACGCCATGGCTCATGAAATCCTTGTCCAGTCTGTCTATTCAGCTGCTTTCTTTGCGTCTTGAAGTTTGCACTCTAAATCGATGATGAGCCCGCCGTTCCAATCTATGGCTGTATATGACACTTTCAAAGCCGCTAGCTAATTTCTAGAAATGATACACACTTGAAAATAAACGATTGCGTTTTTAATGATATTCGTCACAAATCCTACCAGGACCTGACTCCTACGGGTGCACCAGACTCGTTAAAAAAAATAAAAACCCCTCTTTGCCTCTATCAGAGCGCAAACTCGGGCTCGGGAGAGGACGGGACGGGGGAGCTGTCGACGGGCGAGTAGACGGGCGAGAAGGGGTCGTTCTTATGGAAGACGCGGCTGCCAAACTTCCACACCTCGTCGGCGACCAGCTGGACGGCGCCGCCGTCGGCGGTCGTCTCCTCGGAGAAGATGACGAGGTCGGCATCGGCGCCGGCCTCCAGGAAGCCCTTGACGCCCGCCAGGCCCAGCATCTCGGCGGGCGTGGACGTCACTGCCCTCAGAACGTTGGGTATGCTGGTGCCGGACCACCTGAGGAAGTTGTTCACGCATTCGATGAGGGTGATGGAGCTGAGGGTGGGATGAGTTGTCAGTACAGCGTGTCTTCTTTTCTGGGGTCACTACGGAACACTCGGAGCGTCCCTCCTGTGACTCACCTTCCTGCTATGCTGTCCGTCCCCTCGAGCGTAAGGACGTAGCCCTTTTTGATGATGTGGTGCTCACCCTCACCGTTGGTCCACTTGTACCTCCCATCCGGCAGACCGACCATGTGCATGGCGTCGGTGACGAGTATGAAGCCGTCTGGGTGCGCGTTGTGTGCAATCTTGATGGTGGTGGAGTGCAGGTGGATGCCATCGGCGATGATGCCGAAGTAGGGGCGCGGCAGGCTCTCGGCGATGCCCAGCACGCCAAAGATGCCCGGGTTCCGGTGGTGCAGCGGCCGCATGGCGTTGAAGAGGTGCGTGATCATGGTGGCGCCGCTGGCGACCGCGGCAGACGCGTCCTCGTACGTCGCCTCCGAGTGACCGATGGAGAAGATGATGCCGCGCGACTGCAGCTCCGGGATGAGCTGCGTCATGTTGCCCAGCTCCGGCGCCGCCGTGATCATCCTTATGGGCGTTGGGCCTTGCGCCAGGTCTGGGTTGATGTTCTCGGCGCCGTACATGTCCTCGAGGTCCTTGAAGGTGTGCGCCTGCCGCATCACCTCGACGTTGTGGATCCCGTTCTTCCCCGGGTTGAGGAAGGGGCCCTCGCAGTGTGCGCCCAGTGACTCGGCACCATCCTCAGCTATCCTCTTGGAGCCTGAGGGCGCCAGGTGTGGCAGAACCTTGCGGTACAGGTCGCTCGTCTGGGTCGTGACCGTCGGCACGTACGACGTGACGCCGGTCTGGATCAGCCTCCGGTTCAGGTCGCGCACCGCCTTGCCATACAGCGACATGTCCGGCACGACGGTCGAGAAGTTGAGGCCGAAGGCGCCGTTGAGCTGCACGTCGATGAGGCCCGGCGAGACTATCCGACCGCCCAGGTCGATGGTCTGGTCAGGGAGGACGAAGTCGTCGTAGAAGGCCTGCTGAGTCTCCACAATCTTCCCTGTTACGGAGCTGACCCAGAGGTCCTCGTTGACCAGGCTGTCGCCCTTGACGAGGCGGCAGTTTGTGAATTTGGTGATGCCATGCTGGCGGTGTTCTGTGACGAGAGCTGGCATTCTCGGCTTTTGGTATATTGTATATGCTTTTGGTATGATCTCAAGCGACGATGATTCCAATCTATGGGGGGTATATCGTGTATTTCTGGCGATTCCTGAGCCTGCAGGCTTCTTTTTGGTGGTGAAGAGACTCCATGAACGAGAAGGGACAAGTGATGACAGGGCGAATGAGAGTCTATACTTAACCAACTTACGGACAAGGTTTGCCGCCACCAAGGTAGCACTCCGGTAGCATTCCGGTCGTCACGATAGGACTTGCTCTGACTGATAGACCCCGGGAAGCCCAGAGAGGGAAGTGGGTAGGTATCACGTTGCCCGGCACAGGTTCAGACCGGGTGTCCCGCCAGGCTCACTGCTTCAGAACTCCGGACAGCAGCCGCTAGGATTGAGGCTACAGACACTCATGCAAGCCCACTTAGTCATTGGGGGGCACCTGGTTGGATGCAAGGTGATGAAACTGGTAATAATAAGATAAACTGAATCGAGGCGGCGGCACATCGATCAGCATGGGCACAGTGCAGCACAGTAAGCCAGTCGTCTCGGGGCGACAGTCCACATGGCCGCCGTCACTGGCTCCCGTCCATCAAGTGTCAAGATAGGCTCCTGACTGTCTGACTGTCCTGCGCTGTTGCCTCGCCCGAACGTCATCGTGGGTAGGACAGCAAGCCCGAGTCCGGCTTGAGACGGGGTTCGGAATCTGGAACCTGGAACCTGCCACGGCTTGATATTGCAGATAGGTCCGATTGCTCTCCCGCCGACGTGATTGATGGTGGGATGAGATGACAGATGGACGGCAGGACTGTCCTTCCATATTCAGCCAGAGAGTCCTTCTGGATCGCAACATCCAATCCCCGTCACATCCGCTATGCCTACAGGCGAGGTTGGGTGTGCTCCGCGATGGGTCTGGTCTCGGGGTCTGGTTCTTGGTCTGGTCCTGTCCTGTCTGGGTGCTCCTTGTTGCTGTCACTGATATGGTGGATGGCATGAAGGAGGGGCAAGGCGACGTTGAAGCTGTCTCAGAGATACGTGTGGTCGTTGGTGGTGGGATGTCTTGGACCCCGCCGTCACATGGACCATTCTGCTCTGTGGAGGCAACGAAGAGGATTGACGTTGGGCGACCGTGACGTTACATTTGAGAGATAGGCCCACGTCGACTTGGGTACCTGGGTACTTGGGTACATGGGTGAATGTTCCCATCGCAGATTAGCGCCGTCTGTGCTTCTGGAAGCGGACACCCCTAGCCCTGGAGCAATGCACAGATGGGGAAGAGAGAGGGTGAGGAGAAGGGGGGGGGGGTGTCCAACTCCTTTCAGCCTCATGGTGCGCAGTCCCGAGAGAGAGACGCAAGCGCTAGGCTGTAGACCTCTCAGCACCACAACCTGCGTCCACGCATTCTGCCACGGGTGAATCGGCATACTGCCTGCGACAATAACCCCGCCAAGGAGCAAGGGCGTAGGACACACAGCACAACAATACCTGCTCATCATTTACATTGCGCATTCTCACTTGCTCGGCTCCCTGCCCGTCCAAGGCCTTTGGTGTGTTACGGTGTGCGAGTACAATGCCACCTTCGCTTCCCACCACGTGACAGCTACATTGGATACGGACCCGAGCTGCAGCATCGGTGCTTCAGATATAGAGGTAGAGCTGTTATGCTCTTTTGTTAGCAGCAGCGGTCCTCAAATAGCCAACAGCAATGGCTAAGCCAGACGGTGACCTGGACCCACTATGGCAGGACCTTGATTGGTACGTGAATGGGGCATTGCATTACGAGATCACTTCCTCTCGACTTGATTCTTCACTTCCATATGCGGAGCTCGATGCGCGGCCGCTCAGAGACGGGCGGCTCGGCACCTAGATTGCATCATGAGCTGACTGTGTGATGCTGGTGCAGGGCTATTGGCCAGATGCTGTTGATGGGCTGGGACGGCACCGAAGTTGTGAGTATTCTTTTTTTTTTCTCTTTTCCTTTTGGATAATAATCTCTCTTTCCTGAAGCTGAAATTGAGAACTAATCCGCACAGACACCGCAAATACGTAGTCTCATCGAGGATCACCACTTGGGGTCCATCATCCTCACAGCCAAGAATCTGAAATGTAACAGCCCTCATCACACTGTGTCCCACTTGTTCAGTCATATATACTGACCAGTTTTCCTCCACAAAGCGGCTCAACAGGCGGCCAAGCTCGTCCAAGAGTTGCAAACCATTGCCCGTGGGGCAGGCCATCCATATCCCTTACTGATTGCTGTGGATCAGGAAAATGGCGGTGTCAACAGTCTCTTCGATGAGGACTACATCTGCCAGTTCCCAAGTGCCATGGGCGTGGCAGCAACGGGCAGCCTCGACATGGCATATAATGTGGCCAAGGCGACTGCGAAAGAGCTTTCGGCTGTCGGCGTCAACCTCATCCTCGGCCCAGTCTTGGATGTGCTGACCAACGCCCGTTACCAGCCCATGAGCGTCAGGGCCAGTGGTGATGATCCTCAGGAGGTCTCTCAGTATAGCATTGCTGCCCTGAACGGCTACAAGGACGCCGGTCTGGCAACATGTGGCAAGCATTTCCCAACCTATGGTAACCTGGATTTTAGGGGCTCCAGTCTCGATGTCCCAATCATCACACAAACTCTAGAAGAGCTTGGTCTCAGTGCCCTAGTGCCCTACAGGAACGCCATCGCAACGGGAAACTTGGATGCAGTGTTCATCGGCGGCTGTGGCATAGCGTCAGCTAGTATGAATGTGTCACACGCATGCCTTTCGGACCAAGTAGTCGACGATCTGCTACGTCAAGAGCTGGGTTTCAAAGGTGTTGCCATCTCCGAGTGCCTGGAGATGGAAGCGCTTTATCAGGAGATTGGAGTCAAAGGAGGCACTGTGATGGCTGTTGAGGCGGGTTGCGACCTGATCCTCCTATGCAAGGATTACAATATCCAGCTTGAAGGCATCGCAGGATTGAAGTTGGGCATCGAGAACGGCATCATCAACAGGAACAGGATCATGACCTCCCTGAAGAGGGTTCTTGGCCTCAAGTCATCCTGTACTTCTTGGGCCAAGGCACTCAACCCATCCGGAGCCTCCCTTCTTTCCCAGATACACCCCTCCCATCTCACACTGTCCAGACAGGCCTACGACAACTCGATTGCGGTCATGCGAGACAAGGATAGGCTGCTGCCCCTATCCCAATCCCTGGACCAGGGCGAAGAATTATTGCTATTGACACCGCTGGTCAAACCCTTGCCCGCGTCGGCTGCAACGAAGGCGATCGAGGCTAAGAAAGGGAACAGCGCTTCCTCCATGCACGACAGATGGACTCATAGGGAGAGGGGTGCCATAATGAGCGGCGAGGGCGTCTTTCGGGAGATGGGGAGGGCGCTCGCACGTGCAAGAAACGGCAAGCTTTTACACACCTCGTACACCGCCAATGGTGTCCGCCCCGTGCATGAGAATCTCATCAACAGAGCCTCGGGGATTATTATCGTCACTGCAGATGCCAACAGGAACCTGTACCAGTCAGGCTTTACCAAGCACGTAGCCATGATGTGCTCAATGCTTCGGGCCAGCGGCCAAAAGAAGTCGCTGATAGTTGTTGCTGTTAGCTCACCGTGAGTCGACCCCGTGGGCATTGATTTTCGGTTTCCTCGTGGCGGTGAATTCTAGAGTCTGCCCAAAACGCTAACGAGATAACAGATATGACTTCGCTATGGATAAGAGCATTGGGACATATATCTGTACTTTTGACTTTACCGAGACGGCTATGCAAGCACTTGTGCGAGCATTGTTTGGCGAGTTCACGCCACAAGGATCACTACCAGGTACGCTCAGGAAGAGCAAAAAGGTCCTGAAGTCGAGGCAGCAGTGGCTTGTCGAGAACTACGAAAAGGCACGAGATGCACGGCCCCTGGATGACCTGATCAGAGGCGTCGCCAGGGCCAGTGCACCGACCCTCGATTTCCTGAGGGCGACTTCTGCCTCGTCATTCGACCTTTACAACGCCAACATTGAAGAGTCACATTTTGTTGTACGGAACAGCAGCACGAAAGCGCTGTACGGCTTCTGCGCGACATATTACACCCAGGGCATTGGCATCATCGGTGCTCTCTTTGTGGACCCAACGAAGCGAAACGTCTCGATCGGGCGCTCGCTTCACCGCCGCGCCATCAGACATATTATCCAAAAGCGCGGGATCAAGAAGGTCCAGCTTGGCATCTCCTTCCCCGGGGTCTTCCTCGGCATTCCAGTCGATGAAAGCACGGGGTTGAGGAGCTGGTTCATCAACAGCGGGTGGGACGTACAGTTCCCCAGGCGGCTGACCAACATGGCCATCACGGAGCTGGGAAGCTGGATGGTGCCCGAGGGCTTACTGCAGAGCATCTCGCGGGCTGGCATCAGCTTCGACCTGATTCACGGGCTGGACAATGCGGACAACGTGATGGAGCACGTGCGAGCGCAGGCCAACGGCGAGGTGCTAGAGCTTTACAAGTCGGCGCTGCAGGAGGTCAAGACTTGCGGTGTGGTGCGGGCCAAGAACGGCGGCGGCAAGATCCTGGGGACGGTGATCATCTGCAGCCCGGGCAGCTCGCTGTCGCACCTGATGCCGAGCCTGCAATCGACGTCGACGGGCTCCGGGCCGGGGGCTGGCTCGGAGGCGGTGGGCGGGATCGTGGCGCCGCTAGTGGAGCCGACGACAGCTCAGGCGACGCTGGTGCTACAGGGCCTGGTGGTCATGGGAGTACGGCAGAACAAGGCACACAAGACGGCAAGGAGCGTGCTGAGCTGGGTGACAGACGACCAGTACGAGCCGCTGCTGGCGATGGGGTTCCAGGTGTTGCAGGTGTTTGAGGAGGTGACCAACTCGCCCGAGAATGTGAGTTTCGATCCTGCATGTCCTGGTATAGCCACGGAGGAATGATGACTAACACTCTGCAGTGGTCTGATATATCTTGATGCATTCCTTTGGAATGCAACATAACTTGTAGGTGTTTCTCTTGGGGATCTGAGGGGATTGTGTAGCCTGAGTTGCTCTACCGAAGGCAGTAGCGATTGAATTATGCTCTAGCTGAAGTTATCAATGATGAGTGAATAAGGCCATGTCTCAGACACGGCATGTTGTGCGTCTAGGATAAAGAGGAAGGGGAAGGGCGGTCAGAAGGCGGCATTAGACAAAGTCATGTCATGTCTTGTCATGTTATGAAAGTATCCCAAGTGCTCGGGTCTGCCAAGCAACAATTGTCTTGTTCGCATGAATTGGCTCTCCGGGGACGAGACAGTACGTGGGGGACCTTGATCTTGCCCACTACGATGATGAAAATGTTGTTGTGAGGCTGAGGGTGGATATATTAGTCTACTTACTGTAGTCTACTGTAGGTAGTCCACATACTATGCCCATGCACAGGAGGAGGTACCTCGGTACCGGTCCAAGGCAAGGCAGGGCAGGGCAGGGGATCCTTCACCCGTTGTTCCTGGGCACGCTGGGCTGGGGGTAAACTCCGTAACGGTATATAGACAAGACCTTGCCTCCTACTCCGCTCGACCAATGGGCCCCCCCTTCCCCGCAGCACCAGTGGTCCAGGCCCCACTGATTAGGGGAGATTGAAGCTTTAGATGAACAGCCATACAGCACAGGCGCCGTGCTGTTGGTGCATGGAAACCTGACTGGCGACTGGGCGGGTCCCGATCTCGTGCGCCTGGGCCGTCGACACTCACCCACACCAAACCCACACCAAAACCCACACCCGCTTGCGCCTTGCATATCCTCTCCCACCACCCTCACGCTGCTTCCGGCACCATTCCCGAGAAGCAGAGAAGCAGAAGCAGAAGAAGAAGTGAGCGGCAAGGCAAGCGACAAGCGAGCAGCGAGCAGCAGCCTCGGGATCGGGATCGACAGTCTCCACCCCACGCCCTCTCTTCCTTCATTTCTGCGGACCAAAGGCCTGGGAATGCGCCCGCGCCCGCGCCCGTTGACGCCGTCCTGGTCGCATGGCCGATAAGAATCCCGCGTAGAATAAACCCCCCGGCCGCCTTGCCCATGCTCACCAGATAGATGTTCACCTCCAACTCGGGTCATGCTGGACCTGCCCATGGAGCCGGTCCAAGCCAGAATCCGAACCCACCGACTGCCGCCCATGCCAATGTCCACCACCACCCTCACAGCCTGCCCATGGCCGCCAACATGAACAGCGCCGCCGCCGTCGACATCACTGTCTTCGACCAGGACCTCAACTTTGACGAGTCGCTACTGTGAGTGTGGTGATCATTCATCCTTCCTTCATCTCCTTGCCTCGGCCTGTCCCCACCGTGAGATGCACTATCACCACCATATACACACTATCAACATTCCACATCACATTCCACATCGTATACTCCACGTGCCAGGCACATGGCATGGCAAGGCATTGCATTACATGACATGACATGGCGAATGCGAATGCGAGTGCGCCATCACCGAGACATGGCAACTATGTTGATTACCCAAGAGAGAAGCGCCATGGCTAACAAGAAATCACGCCCCGTACCAGTGACGGCGTAAACGGCCTCGCACCCCTCCCGTTCACGCCCTCGTATGAGTTCGAGAACTTCAACACCTTCGAAGACCCATTCTCCTCCTACCCCGCCCGCCCAGCCTACGATGTCCCCGCCGACAACACCGAGCCCTTCAATGAGGAGTCACCCTCCCAGGAGCTGGACAACAAGCTCCTCAGCTTCTCTGCCCCGAACCCCACGGCCCAGATCATCGATGGCGCCGGGATCCTGACGGACGTCGGCATGACCGCCGAGCTCTACGGCATGTTCTTCGTCGCCGAGGACGTCTTTGGCGGCGACACTGCTGGGCGACCCCTGGAGCTGACCTGCTACCGCAGGAATCTGTGGCAGTGCTCCGGCCAGATCATCTTGCCGCGCAATATAAGTCATATCGTGGACGAGCAGTCGCAACAGATACAGATCTTTGACCTGGCCGCCTCCATCACTGCGATAGAATCCATCGAGGGGAAGGCCACAGAAATTATATCAATACCCTGGAAGTCTGCCGGCGATGAGGGCTCCAAATCGCCCACTGCGCCTCCGAACATAGCCCTGGATCTCTCCACCGGCCAGGAGCTGGACCATAATCGGGTCTCCCTGCCGGTATCGTGGAAACGGCTACAGTTTAAGCATGCGACAGCCAACAATGGCCGGCGCAAGGGTCTGCAGCAACACTACGTCGTCCAGATAAGCCTCCTGGGCAAGGCCAAGAGCGGCGAATACCTCAAGCTCGCAGACATACAATCTGGGCCCGTCATCGTCAGGGGCCGGAGCCCGAGGAACTTTGACAGTCGCAAGGACGTACCTCTGTCCGGTGACAAAAAGGCGGAGAGGAGAGGCACTATGACGTCTTCAGACACGACGCCTGTTCCCAAGATTGAGCGAGTGGGAGACCTGGCGCAAAATATACAAAAGTATCAATCGATAGGGAATGTGCAGGTGCGACAATCTCATGCTGACATTATATGGCACGCTTGCGGCAGCAGACTAACTCCTTCACAGCAGTCTGGAGACTGGGCATCGCCCCATTCATACGTACCAGCAGGACAGCACTCTTCCAAGAAACTCGCACTATCGCCCAATCTCGGCCGACCACCTGTGCCGCCATGGTCTTCGGAACCATCGATATCCAAAGCAGGACAGCCGACAACGCCGAGGAGCAACTCGTTCCAACGCCCCGTTCCCTCGAGCCTACCAATCAATCTATCCCTCTCCGAGGACGAGCGCAGCCCCAACCGCTCCAACTCAGACTGCACATCACCGCATCACGCGAAGTCAATGGCGGCTGCCCACCTGCAAAAGAGCCCAGAGGACGACGAGGAACAGCTCTACGAATATTTCCCACTAAGTATTGACGATTGGTGAGTTCATTTCTTTCCCCGAGTCTCAGTTTTCGCAACTCAGCCTCGTGGCTTTTCTGCCAGCAATTCGTGAGCTAACTTTGATCCCTTCTGTAGGCAACAGCCTGTCGACGCCATCTACCGGCCTCACGTCGTACACCACGTGTTTGTGCCCCCCGAACTGAAGGCGCAGCAGGTCCGCAACAGGACCAAGCGCTACTTCTCGTCGGATTGATGTTGATGTAAATGTGATCTCTGCCATCTGCGTCAACTGTTTCCCGTTGTATTATACTGTCTTTGCGGTATGACGCATATTCTGGATGAGATCATGATATGGAGGCGTTTATATTTCACTAATTTTGTGTGTGAGAGTATGTTTGTGATCAGGTTGATGTGAGAATCGAATAAGGAAGTATGACCAGGCGATGGTGGTATCTGTGTTGTGTTGCACGTGAGTAGTACTGAGTCTTGTTGAGTATTATACCCTTTTTCTGGATACATAACGGGGGTCTTATTATCCTTTTACTTTCCTGTTGTTATCGTGTGCGCGTTGTCTAGGGCTAAGTAGAGGGCCGCCACAATCATGAGCTTGTGGTACCTTGCATGGTGGTGTGCGGCACAAACATCAGCATATGGGAGGATTTGCAGCAACCAAGCATCTTGACATGGTCATCAAATATTATATAAATATATATATATATATATATGTTGTGTGTGTGTGTGTGTGTGTGTGTGTGTGTTTGGGCACCGAAGGGACCTGATCCGTTCGGGCCATTCATGCTACCGTTGCATATTTCAAGTCCAAAAAAGTTCGCCGAAAACCCCTTAACCTATGCTAGATGTATGCAGGCCGTCAAACAGCGGGATGGATATGGCCGCTTGTTCCCGGCGAATCGCTCAACCCAGAACCTTTCAATGTTGCTTAAACCACCCCCCCCCCCACTCCCCGCCCTTTTCAATGCTGCCGGACTCAGACGGATTAATATTTCCACGGGTCTAGCCCCTCAGTTCGCCTTGCCCTCCTCCAGACAAGCCAGCGCGACCGCCGCCCCGAGCAGGGAGCTCTCCTTGGCGCCTGCGAGGCTGATGGTGCCGGGCGCGGCGCCGGCGGACGCGAGCAGCCCGTCGATGTAGCCCTGGCAGCGGCCCAGGTAGCCCGGGTAGTGCTCGATGACGGAGCCGTTGAAGGCCACGACGTGGCGGTCGAGGGCCAGCTCGGCCCTGGCGGCGGCGGCGAAGTGGGGCGGGCTCGTCATTGACGGCCCCGAGGCAGAGGCCTGGAACTCGGCCTCGGCCTCATTCTTGAACTGCCACAGGGCGAAGAGCGACGAAGCCACGATGGCGGCTGAGCGCCGTGATATGTACGATGCCAGGGCGCGGATGAAGGTCATGTCTGCTGTGGTGGGCTCGACTGGGGATGGGTGCCGGGATTGAAAGGTGGTGAGTGAGGGTTTTAGTGATGATGTGGTGTCTCTGCGGGTCTTGTCAGTTCATCTTGTTACAGCTTTCTTTTTTCCCCCTCAATCACGGGGCTGTACGTACGCTTCTATTAATGATATTGTTTCCGAGTCGAGGGAGTAAGGCAGGTGTAACGATGGGGGCACGACGCCGCCCAGCACGCCTGTTGAGCCAATGGCCTCGACAAGCGCCAGCCTGCACATCTCGCCCAGGTAGAAGCCGCTGACCATGTGCTCCAGTGGCTGGAACTCGGGCTTTGGATGCGCGGCGTTGAGGGCCTTGTCCCACCGCGTCACCGGCAGGATCCCCTTGCCGAACATGCCCAGCTCCGTGTTGACGATGACGTGGCTGGCCTTGTCGAACCAGAAGTCTGGCCGGCAGCCGAATTTGTCTCGCCCAATAGTAGGCACGGGGAGATGAACGGCGATGTTGACGCCGGTGCCTAGTATCAGGCCGAACCGTGTCGACGATTTCCGGTACGCCTCGGACAGGAGGCAGGCGGACGAGTCGTTCACGATGGCTGCCAGCTCCACATGGAGGCCCCTGGTCTCGCACGCCGTCCTGATAATGTCCCCCAGATCTTGGCCCAGGAGGTCATCGGCGGCCAGGAAACCCTTACCCATGCCCTGCAGCTTGCCACCCTTGTGTGAGGTCTGCTCGATGGGAAAGCTCCACGCCATCCCCATGAGCAGCGGCTTTTCGGGGCTGTTCTCTGATCCTAGGGCCTTGGACACTGTGTCCACTATCCTCTGTGCCATCCAGTCAAAGAACGCTGTGCCCTTGAGCTTCTTGATTGCAGGATCGATCTTGAATGAGTCTATTCGGACGATACAGCTCTCACTGCCTTGGGCTTCCTGACCTCGCAGCTCGACCAGGGCCACCCGCAGTGTCGAGCCGCCGACATCGAGCGCGAGATACTGGCCACATTCTGAGCGGTTCGGCAATTGGTGGTTGTATGAGGGCAGCATGCACGCCGGGTTGTTCAACAAGCCATCCCTGAATTGTGCCTTGAGGCTCAGCGAGAACTCGCTCAAGCCATCCGGCCGGATTGGGTGCAGCAGCAGCTCCTCGGCTTCCCTGAGGAAGTCCTCGGGACTCCGGGGTGGTTTGGAGGCCACCTCGGCTCCTTTGGGTATCGAGGACCCGGGGCCGGCGTCCTTGATGGCTGCGGGACTGATCCAGAAGGCCAGCAGGGCCTGGAGGAAAGTCTTGCCTCGTAGCAAAGACTTGAGCGCCGCGACAAAAACTTCGCGCAGTGTTGGCATCGCAGCGGAAAATAAAACGAGTGTCTAACCCTGACAGTGTTGAAGGGGTGGGAAGGCAAGAGAGGGTCCGTCGAAATATGTGTGAATCAAGTCATTGGGACCAGACGGAAATGCCAGAAGAATCCAAAGCCGGTTGAGTCGCCGTATCAGGCACAACTATTATACGGAAGAGAGACGCACGCTCCCAATGTCAATCGCTACCACACAAAGCACGGCATACAGCACGCGCGCGCACACACACACCTTCGGGAGAGAGACCCGGTAGGAGTGGAAAAGGCTGACAGCGGATACGGTTGCAGTTGCGGTCGCTTCGTATCGATCCAGAACGTAGTAAATAGTAAAGGGGGGCAGGGTATGACAGGGTCTGGCAGGGCAGGCTAGGCCATATGTAAATGATATGGGGAATACGGCAGATGTAGCCACGCTGCCCAGAGGGTCTCTCTAGGACTGGACCCCGTGAAACGAAACAGAGAGAAAGGAAACGACAGCTGCGCCCAATCAGGACTAAGGGAGGTTCTCGTGGGGTGGGCGTGGGCGTGGGAGGGGGTGAATGACTAAAGGCGATTTCAGATGCAAAGATGCCGCAGAAATGCAAAGAGGGAACCAGCCGGGTTGATGAAACAATCGATGGACGGATAGATGGCTAGCTGGAATGGATGGATGGACGGTTGTAGCGGTGTTGGGTGGGTGGGTTGGTTGGTCGGTTTTGTCTGTCGACAATCTCATCTGCCTCTTTGGCAGCTGGTGGTGGGCCAACAGGCTTAAGGCAAAGCAAGAGTCACGGTGGACTCGCTGGACTATTACTCGGATGTTGGCGTAAGAAAAACGAGGGCACACGACCAAGGACGGAGAAGGGCACTGCCTGGGGGACCCATTCCGCTCGGATGATTTGCTCAGAGATGGACTTGGTGCTGATGTCGATGGCAAATCTGATTCAGGGAAGGGTTGGGTCCATGCCAGAGGAAGTCAGGGACATCCTGAGCGCTACGAAGCCGGCCCGCAGGAGTGGCAGGATGGGGATGTGTTGCGTGTTGTGCTGTGTTGGTTGTCTTGTGAAGGCGACTGGAACGGAACGGGACGTAACGTTGCCCTGGAGTCTCTACTAGAGCTCCAGAGTCCAGCATGATCGGCGCCGCGGCTTGATGGGATTGCCCAACAACCACCGACCTTGTCGTCATCGTCGAGCATCACAATTGACCAATGTCGACTCTGCCAAAAGCACGCCGAGATAGCTGCACAGGTTGATGGATCATTGCAGCAGAGGAAATAGTCGTATAACGGAGAAGGATAGTCTATCTGCAGGTAGATCTGGAATCACGTACATGTACCCCTACCCCAATCCAGCCCCCACCCTTCACGACCCAAGCATCTTGCCCTAACCCCCTCAACGTCAACTTCCTTATCTCAATATGGCTTCGAGCTACAGATTGTGTGGGCCAACCTGGTTTGTACTAAATTCAATTGACCAGAATAGAATTTTCAAGTCTGAACGTGACAAAGCTTGATGATGACCCATCTGGCTGTACATAACATGGACTGCTCCAGTTTCCATTATCCAGTCTCCAGTACCAGCCAGCACTGCAACCTTGGCTGATCACTCGTTACTTCTACTCCATACAACGCCATCCATCTACCTGGATCGGGCATATCGTTACAGGTTGCGGCATCAAACACTCGGCCCGTCAATCGGAGCCCCTCGACAGCATTCACCTGTCGTTGTTATCTCCTGACTGTCACCTTGTCAGAGCCAGCGGCAACCGACGGTGCCAATCACACCCACACCCACGCTCACTCTCACTTCCACGCCCACTCCCACGCGGCTCTCGCAGCCCAACCCAGACTAGCGCAAGGCGATCGCATCTTCCACATAGCGCCCGACGGGTGTGTGCTGCTTCCCCTAACATATGCGATGTGAAAGTCAATTTTTGTGTTGTTGTAATGCCATTTGCAGGCACTGCGCCCAGGATGGTCTCTCGGGTGTTCATTCATCCCTATGGTCTGCGCGAGTCACAGCTGCCCAGATCCCAACAGACGAAGCTAACCGTCTGACAGCGGCTGGCGCAGAAGCGAGGACGTCACTTGATGGACGAGGGCCATTCCAATCCCGAAATGGTGGCACATGGTCCCATCCATGTGGGCGACTACAACGTGAGGCTAGGCCCGGACTGGATCTGGCACGACCGCCACCACACCGTTCCCGTCTGATAGACTTCACACAGTGGGGGCTCTTGCTCCATCACCACCCACAGTGAACGTTCCATCATGCTGGTTCACATCATGCTCCTCGTTGCCGGCAGTCGGGCATCTCTCTTGCCCCTCGCTGTCGTTGGCAGTGTACAACACTCCGGTGGTGTGCCGGCCGGAGACCTGTCAGGGTACCCGAGTGTACGCTGAGGTCATGGCTAGTCACTTGCCGCAGGACTTATCATCTCTGGTCCCGATAGTGAGCGGTAGAATATTCTCTCTCCCATATTTTCTTTCTGTTGTCAACAAAATCTCACAGACTCAAGCGAAGCAAGCTCCCTGGAGAAACCTCGCAATCATCAAGTGAAAGATCAATTCGCTCCAAGAACATCTACACCAGCTAGTCAGGAGACAGGATTTCCTGGCTGATTCACATTCCTTCCTCTACCATCATATCCGTACCTTGAAAATGAGGTTCATCATCCGCGACGACGCCGAGCAGGCCAGCGTCTACGTGGCTAATTATGTTGTTGATCGTATCAAGCACTTCAACCCAACCCCAAACCACCCCTTCGTCCTCGGCCTGCCTACCGGCTCAAGTCCTCTCGGCGTTTACAAAGTTCTAGTCGAAAAGTACAAGGCTGGCGAGGTAAGCCTGCAGTGCTGTCGTCTTGATTCATAAAAACACCGAGACTGATGAGATAAATGCAGATATCTTTTGAAAATGTCATCACCTTCAACATGGACGAGTACATCGGCATCCCCCGTGACCACCCAGAAAGCTACCACTCTTTCATGTGGAAGAACTTCTTCCAGCATGTCAACATCAAGCCCGGCAATGTCAACATCCTAAATGGGAATGCTCCCAACCTTGAGGCCGAGTGCATCGACTACGAGGCCAGGATTAAGAGCGTCGGTGGGATCGACCTCTTCCTCGCAGGCATTGGCGAGGATGGCCACATCGCCTTCAACGAGCCCGGCTCCAGCCTGGCATCCCGAACGCGCGTCAAGACACTGGCCTACGACACGATCCTGGCCAACTCGCGCTTCTTCGGCAATGACCTCGAGAAGGTGCCCAAGATGGCACTGACTGTGGGCGTGCAGACGGTGCTAGAGGCGCGTGAGGTCGTGGCCATCATCCTTGGCGCAAGGAAGGCCCTGGCGCTGCAGAAGTGTATCGAGCAAGGCGTGAACCACATGTGGACACTGTCAAGCTTGCAGCTGCACCCTCACCCCATGATCGTGTGCGACGAGGACGCTACTTTGGAGTTGCAGGTCAAGACCGTCAAGGTAAGCTTTTGTCGGCACCTGGACCCCTACCCTTCAGCCCCAATTCCCCACCACGCACTGCTACCCCTGAATGGGCTTGCGGCTAACCTCTCCAACCACTCGTAGTACTTCAAATCCATAGAAAAGGTGGCCAGCAGCCAGGGCTTCGAGCAGATCCTGCCATCCTCGATCCGGACTGGTCCCAATGTGAAGAGCTTCAAGCCCATCTCCGCCCAGCCAGTCCCCACGACCGTCATCGACGAGGTCTCACCCCCAATGTCACCCAAAGAGTCCTCCCCGACAATCCTCAGCCCTCAACCTACCACATCAAGGCTCTTACGTGCCTCGTCTCCAGCCAACGAATACCCCGTACGCTCCGTGTCTCCTGATTTCGACCTGATTCCAGACCGGATGGCCGACCGCATGCCGGACCCGGGTTTCGCAAATAGGCGATTGACTCCCAACCCAGAAGCACAGAATGCTAGGCAGGTCGGCGTTTACTAGATGACTTTGTATGATATCACGCTTATTTCTTTGACTCTAAGGCATGGAAGGGCTAGAACCCAGGGCGTTGAGGCGGAAGAACAAGATTGGCATGTCACATGGGAATCACTTGTTGTGTTTAACCGCTCAGTCGATCGTTACAGGACTCAATGTAGAAACAGCCGTTTAGAGGCATGAGGTGATCTGCAAAGATTTATGAGTGTTGTATGACGTGAAGCGTCATTGGGGTCATTATGGAAATCAAAAAATAAAAATGAGAAAATGCCCACAGTATGCTAGTTCCATGCATGACTGTGAGGCGTACCTTTAAATCATGAGGGATGTGGGTCCCGTTCAGTTGGATTTTCCTCTGTATATACCAACTATGTGAGTAGCTTAATCGTGTTGCTCGCAGACTCGTCGATTTGCCTCCCGTCCTTGCTCACAGTGGTTTTGCCCTTGAGGATATCCTCACCTTGCAACTTACCATCGGCTGACACTCCTATCGTGCCCAGCTCTTTGCCTTCATTGTCCAACAATGTGGCCTTGGTGCCCTCACTAACGCCATACAAACAGACCTCCAAGTCCTCGGCGTAATCATAGACCGCACCCTTCACACCCTGCTTGCCAAGTAGCAAGATCGAATTCTCCCTAACATACAGCGGCAGTGATCCGAAGCCGTGCTTCTCTCTGAACCAACCAGGCCCAGTTCGCACCTCGTTGGTGAAGAACGACGTCCACTTACCCTTGGGTAGGTAGAATTCTACCTCGCCGCTCTCATCAAAGATGGGCGCCGCCAGCAGGTTATCACCGACCATGAATTGCCTGTCCAAGTACCAAGCCGTTGGGTCGTCAGGGAACTCGAGACACATCGCCCTCAGACTCAGCGGCAGCCCGCCGTCAATCGCCTTGGCGGCCTGTGCGTACAGATACGGCATGAGCCTGTTCTTCAGTGCGGTCCACTTGGCCAGGGTCCTGGTGCAGCCCTCCTCGCCCCTGTCATCGTCGTCGATGGTCCACGGGACGCGGTACGAGCTGCTGCCGTGCAGGCGCGAGTGGCTGCAGAGCAGGCCAAAGGCGACCCAGCGCTTGTACACCCAGGCGGGCGGGTAGCCCTCGAACCCCCCGATGTCGACGCTCCAGAAGGCGAAGCCGCCCAGACCCAGGCCCAGGCCGCCGCGCACCGACTCGGCCATGGCCTCGGGCGTCGACTCACAGTCCCCGCCCCACTGCAGCGGGAAGCGCTGCGTGCCGGCGCAGGCGGCGCGCGCGAACAGCACCGCCTGCCCGGCGCCGTACCGCGCCTCCAGCGCCTCGTACACGACCTTGTTGTACAGGAAGGCGTAGAAGTTGTGCATCTTCTCCGGGTCGACCGAGCTGTCGTGCCACGCGACGTCGCGCGAGGGGATGCGCTCGCCAAAGTCAGTCTTGATGGCGTCGACGCCCTGGTCGAAGAGCTTGTTGAGGCACTCCGCGTACCACTTGCACGCGGCCGGGTTGGTGAAGTCGACGAGGGCCATGCCCGCCTGCCACAGATCCCACTGCCAGATGTCGCCGTTCTTGCGCTTGAGGAAGTAGCCCTTCTCGGCGCCCTCGCGGAACGCCTCGCCGTGCTGCGCAATGTACGGGTTGATCCACACGCACACCTTCTTGACCAGCCCGGACGCCTTGAGCCGCCCGATTTGGGCCTTGGGGTCCGGGAAGCGCTCCGAGTCGAAGACGAAGTCGGTCCACTTGAAGGCCGGCATCCAGAAGCAGTCGTAGTGGAATACGTCGACGGCGATGTCGCGCTCCTTCATGCCCTCGAGGAACGAGTTGACCGTCGCCTCGTCGTAATTGGTCGTGAAGCTCGTGCTCAGCCACAGGCCCAGGCTCCACGAGGGCACCCTGCCGGGCCTGCCCATCAGTGTCGAGTACCGGTAGAGGACCTCCTTGGGCGTCCTGCCGTAGATAATGTACCATTTGAGCCTCTGGCCCTCGACGCTCGTCTGAACGCGCGCGCAACGCTCGCTGCCGACCTCCAGCTCGACCTTGCCCGGATGGTCGATGAAGACGCCGTACCCACGGTTGCTCAGCCAGAAGGACACGTTCTTGTAAGCCTGATCGCTGGACGTCCCGCCGTCCGCATTCCACAGCGTGATGGACTGGCCGAGCTTGTTGAAGGCCCCGAACCTCTCGCCAAGGCCGTGGACAGACTCTCCCACGGACAGAGACGTCTGGGTGAAGATGTAGTGCTGAAAGTCCCTCATGTCGCCGGTCTGCAACGGGTTGGTGGGGCCAGGGCTGTAAGCAAGACCGACGCTCCTGTTCAGAAGAGAGGTGAGATGCTTGGAGCCATCTGCAGCATCGAAACTGATATCGAACGTCCCAGGCTGTATGGTAGCAGCCAGAGAGCCCGAGGTCAAAGTGGTTCCTTTGCCGCCCTCGGTGACCTGGGCTTCGACCTTGGGCTTGCCACCAGGGTACAGGTCAAAGTGAGGCCCTCTGTTGATTGCGCCATCCCAATGGGTAGTCTCGATGGATATAATGCCGTCACTTTGGGCTTCGACGTCCTATGTGAATTTCAGCTCGTGTATTTCTTTTCGTCTGCCATCCTCATGTGTCTTTGGAGACGTACTATGGTCAGTGTACTCAAGTTGAGAGTATCTCCTCGAGACTTGATCTTCTTGGTGGGACATAGCAGACTCAATCCTCGGTCTGTCTTCTTGATGTTGTAGACTTCCTCTGCGTACTCGACCCTTACCCCTTCGGCCGTCAACCACATGCCATCGCGGAACTTCATTATGAGACAGTGTGGTCCAGCTTCTCGCCCGACTCTGCACCAAGAACAAGATGTGAATTGAGTTTATTCCAGAAAAGGCCTGGTTTATACACAATGAGAAAAGTATAGTCTCAACTTTGAGAATATCCCGTACAGTAGAGAGAGGGGTTGTAGAGAAGTGGCATGTTGAATCTCAACAAACAGTCACGAGCATGTGAATGGGAACGGCAAGACGGGCCGGTGCAGGCGATACTCAGTCAAGGACGTTTTACAGTGGGTTTAGCAATGGCAGATCTTCGGCAGTAGATCTTGAAGACCTCAGCTCACGAGGTGCCGTGCATATGTGTGACTGGGCCGTTGTACTGTAGCATGTTTTGGCGTGAATGATGTCGCTGCTCTCTCTGTATTTCCGAGCTTAGAATGGGTCTTGATACCCGACGGGATTGTTTGCCCGCTGCCCCAGTGTGTACCCCAGGTTTCTAGGAACCAGGGACCTCTCTAGGGGCTCTCTTTCAGGAGGATTCTAGCCTGAATTGGGCGGCAGCTCGGTGGCCGGGACAGTGTTTGGCCGCCACCAGCTCCAATTCACTTCGACTAAGCTTCTTGGGCTTCTCCAACGGCCACCAGCGCTGCCACGATCCCCTCATCTTGAGCCTCCTTTTTCCACGAGTCAAATTCGACGTCTCCTTGAAAGGGCAAAGCGCCCACCCCACTCAACCTCCAAGCTCGACCACTCCGAGGATCCAGATGTTGTTCGGATGAACAGACAGGTAGACAGGCCACACCAGGATTTCGGCTGCTCAGGGGGTTCGGGCCATGCCGTCCAGGAGCTTCTTTCTTGCCCAGACTCCCGCACGGAGCCACTTCACCGTCTCTTACTCGTTTCTTTACGGACATTAGGCGGAGGCCGTGAAGCAAACCTTAAAAACAATGATTATGGGGGCCAGCATAATTGTCATCTCCGACCTCATCTGTGTGAGGACGCTATGATTCAGGCCTGCTTCTCTCTTTTGACACCGTCAAGAATCTTGGGACCGGTCAACCCGGGCCGTCGAGACTTGACTACTGGGCAGTAGACTGGGGATGGGGAATGCAATCCCCATCTCCTGATCTACGCAGAGACATGGATTCCCCAAATACCACCCTGCATCTAAAATTGTGCGGATGCTCGACGAGTCACAATCGTCGTCCCTGAGCGCGAGAGAGGTTAGTTCTACTACCCACGGGGATGGTAAGCTCGCCGAGAAAGGCATCATGTATATTCATTGTGGGTGTGTGCCAGGAAACAAATCTCGCCTGGCTTCCCGTGATGCCGGCGCCAAGGGCAGCTGGACTATATATCAACGATCTTGTCCAGCATTCGATGACAAGTGTCAGTCTGAGCTCGGTCAGGTCGCCTTCCGTCTTCAGCAGCCCGCTCACCACCGAAGATGAGGAATTTCAACACCGTTCTCGCCACTCTGGCACTTGCCAGCACCGCCTGTGCACAAGGATCTTTGTGGAATGGGACCTCGCCGCTCTACAAGAATCCCAATGCCACCATCGATGATCGAGTGTCCGACCTCTTGAGCCGCATGACAATAGAGGATAAGGCGTCCCAACTGCTCCAGGGCGATTTCACCAACTGGATCAATGTCACAGATGGCAGTTTCAATGCCAGCGGCCTGGAATGGAACATGCAGAATCGGGCGGCCGCCTTCTATGTTGGCTACTATACCAACTGGACAACTCTTTCCAGCGGTATCAAGGTTGCTCAGGACTATCTGACCCAGAACACAACCCTCGGCATCCCCGCCTGGGTTCAGTCCGAGGGCATCCACGGCTTCCTGGCTGCCAATGCCACCGTGTTCAACTCGCCGATCGCCCACGCCTGCGCATGGAATCCCGACCTGGTCGAGAAGATGGGTAAGGCGATCGCACAAGAAGCCCTTGCTCTGGGTGTGAACAACATCTTTGGGCCCCTGGGGGATCTCGCTCGTGAGCTGAGGTTTGGCCGAGTCGAGGAGACATACGGAGAGGACCCCTACTTGTCAGGAGAACTGGCATATAGCTATGTCAAGGGACTGCAGTCCGGAAAGGTCGCGGCAATGGTGAAGCACTTTGCTGGCTTTGCTACGCCAGAACAAGGCATCAACACCGCGCCCGTCCACGGGGGAGAGCGAGAGCTTCTGACAACCTACTTGCCCTCGTTCAAGCGGGCGATCATCGACGCCGAGGCAGTGAGCATCATGTCGGCGTATCACTGCTATGACGGCGTGCCAGCAGTCGCCGACTACCATCTCTTGACAGAGATTCTTCGGGATTCCTGGTAAGTTTTTCTCGCAAATTTTCTCTCGAACGATCATGACACTGCCTTTTCTGGGAGTGATTTGCTTCGCGATATGCCTACCTGCTTCCAGCATTATCTTGCAATTTGCGGGAATACATCCTACAGATGAAGTTGGCAGGATCGCGCAAGAGGTTCCTGGAATATGGTCTTTCAACCATGGCATGAATATGTAAAGTCTTACTGATGCCTTCTAGGGGCTATGAATACTTCGTCATGAGCGACGCTGGTGGCACTGATCGTGTTTGCTCGGCCTTTGGACTCTGCCGAGCCTCGCCTATCGACTCCGAAGCCGTGGTCTCGCTGGTCCTTCCATCCGGAAACGACGTCGAGATGGGCGGTGGATCTTACAACTTCCAAAAGATCCCCGATATGGTTGAGGCCGGCACGCTCGATGAAGCCATTGTCGATCTTGCAGTCTCGCGAGTGCTCCGGGCCAAGTTCAAGATGGGGTTGTTCGAAAACCCCTTCCCCGGAGTTCCGGAGGATGAGTTTGGAGACTACATCAACACCAACGAAACGCAGCAACTCGCACGTCAACTTGACACTGAGTCCATCGTCCTGCTTGAGAACCACGACAACGTCCTCCCGTTGAGCAAGTCGGCTAATGTGGCTGTCATTGGGCCCATGGCCTCTGGCCTGATGAACTGTAAGTCATTGGCCTTGTCCCGCTCAATTCGAGCTTTGAGACGTGTTTCTCAGCATTTGATTACACGGCCCTTTTGATCGGTAGTAACTAAGGGTTTACGAAACAGATGGCGACTATGTTGTCTACAAATCCAACTACCGCGGCGTCACTCCACTCGACGGCATCAATGCCGTCAGTGAGGGCACGGTGACCTTCGCCCAGGGTTGCGAGCGCTGGTCAACCGACGAGTCTGGATTCCCCGAGGCCATCGCCGCCGCAGAAGCAGCCGATGTCGCCGTTGTAGTCGTGGGAACATGGTCACGCGATCAAGGCGAGCTTTGGACGGGCTTGAATGCGACCACTGGCGAGCACATTGACATCTCAGACTTCAAGCTTGTCGGTGCCATGCCGAAGCTAGTTCAGGCTATCATCAACACTGGCAAGCCGACTGTGGTAGTCTACAGCTCCGGGAAGCCAATCACTGAGCCATGGATCAGCAAGAATGCCTCAGCGCTTGTGCAGCAATTCTATCCTTCTGAGCAGGGAGGCAATGCTCTTGCTGATGTGCTGTATGGAAACTATAACCCCAGCGGACGCTTGAGTGTTTCCTTCCCGTACGACGTGGGAACGACTCCTATCTACTATGACTTCCTCAACTCGGCTCGTGCCTATCCTAATCCTGGACACGTATACCCTAACGGAACATTGGTGTACGGCAACAACTATGTGCTGCAGTCGCCCTTGGCGATGTACGACGTGAGTTGAAGCCCGCCGTTCCATCCTCCCTCTAGGACTTGAAACAATCGCTAACACAGTTCTCACAGTTTGGATACGGCCTGTCGTACTCCAACTTCTCGTACTCGCCCGTCTCTCTGTCGTCCACCACTGCGTCCGCGACCGACACCATCACGGTCTCCGTCGACGTGACTAACAACAGCACAGTCGACGGCACAGAGGTGGTACAGGTCTACGTCAAGGACGACGTCTCCTCGGTTGTGGTCCCGAACAAGCAGCTCAAGGGCTTCGCCAAGGTCCCTATCGCAGCCGGTGCCACCGAGACGGTCAAGGTCGATGTCAATGTAGCGGATCTAGGCTTGTGGAACATAAAGTTGAACTATGTCGTCGAGCCTGGTAACTTCACCATTCTTGTCGGCAGCTCGAGTGGTAACTTGCCTGTGAACGCTACCTTGACAGTAGCATGAACGGCCGAGATTCCCTTCATATAGAAACAATATTTTTCTGGCCAGTGGCAACACTTGATATAGTGTACATATGTCTAATTGAAGATCATCATCTTGAATGCACAACCACAATATGTTCTTATGCAGCTATGGAATGGATCCGCACTCAAAGTGGACCTTGGGTTAGGAACTGCTGTTTCACCGAAGGAGACAAGAGACGCGCGACCATCCTGAAGTCGTTGTCTGTCAGATATACTTCTTACAGTGAAAAGAAAAGTCATTGCCCGGAATTGCTATCCTTTCCATAGAGTATCATGATATCAGACCTTCCAGAAATGAATGTAAAGAAGACGTCCCCTGTTGGTTGTTATGTATCGCCCGAGATTCGTCAAGCCGTCAACGTTCTCGTACACACAGTCAAGGATTTCCTGGTCTCTCCAACCCCATCCACAATGTCAATCCCACTATTTAGAAGCATTTTCGGTGCACAATAGACGGTCCACTCTCGTCATATTCCTGCTTTGAAATCCACATCTGCTGGAACGTGGACAGAGACGCGAGGATAGAGCCTCCTATCCAGACCGAGTACTTCCGCTCGGGTGGCGCGATCACCTTCACCCTCATTGAGGAGGGCGCCATGTTCGTGACCTCGTGTTGCAGGCGGTCGGTTATGCCTGGGAACATGGTCGTACCACCAGACTGTCGCGGTAAAGGGGTTAGCAGCAGTCAACAATGAAGCAGCGTAGGGGATCAGTGGAAAGGACGGTGTGGGAGTGACGCACAATAACCATATTACCGTACAGCTCTTTCCGCACATCAATATCGCACTTGTTAATCGAGTTGTACAGCACCTGGTGGATCCCGCCGCTCTCAAGACCCAGCACGGAGGGGTCGAACAGCGCCTCGGGCCCGCGGAAGCGTTCGTTGCCGATGGTGATTACCTTTGATCGCGTTAGTATATGCCTCACAACACCATCCATCACCTGGGCCTCCTCACCTGGCCATCGGGCAGCTCATAGTTCTTTTCGACGCTCGAGCTCTGCTCCGCCGTCTGCAGTTCCTTGTCGTAGTCCAGGGCGACATAGCACAGCTTCTCCTTGATGTCGCGGACGATCTCGCGCTCGGCTGAGGTCGAGAATGGGTAGCCTCGCTCCGAGAGCAGCTTCATCATATAGTCTGTGAGATCGCGCCCTGCCATGTCGATGCGGGAGATGGCGTGCGGCATCGAGAAGCCCTCGTAGATGGGCACGACGTGTGTTACGCCGTCCCCTGAGTCGACAACGACTCCTGTCGTTCTCCCCGAGCTGTAGAGAGAGAGTACAGCCTATTGACACTTTAGTTAATTCTTTTAATCTTCGCAGCCTGGTTACTGGCCTAAGATATCTCACCTGGATGGAAACGTAGAATGCCGGTGAGTTGAACGTTTCGAACATGATCTGCGTCATCTTCTCCCTGTTCGACTTTGGGTTGATCGGGGCTTCGGTCAGGAGGACTGGATGTTCTTCCGGAGCGACTCGCAGCTCGTTGTAGAAGGTGTGATGCCAGATTTTCTCCATTTCGTCCCAGTTGGTAACGATACCGTGTTCAATCGGATACTGAAGTCTGAGAATACCACGTTTGGACTGGGCTTCGTCGCCAACGTAAGAGTCTTTTCGGCCCATGCCGACCATGACCCTAAATCATTCAGTTGACTCAGCCACTTGCCAAACCTTTGTGACTCGGCCGAACAAGTCGCGGCGGATGATTGATTCTTTGCGAACCGGGAACATCATAAGAGAAGGTGTACATACCCATGGTGGCGAGGACGTCCAACTATGGAAGCTGGTGGTGATGGAAATTAATAATGCAGTCAACAAAGAAAACTACGCGGGAAACAACTCACGAAATACGGCCCTCGGGGCATCATCGCCAGCAAAGCCGGCTTTGCACATGCCGGAGCTGATATCATTATTAGGACCAGAATGCAATTCTCTCTGATCCGCATCGGTACATACCCATTGTCAATTACGAGAGCTGCGACTTCGTCTGAATCGCAACAGAAAAGTTACTGTCAGTTTCATTGATGAAGATGGAAAGGGCCCGAGTCTCGGGAGGGGAGAAAACGCTTTTCAGATTCTTCCATCCATTCTGTCAGTATGTAACATAAAAAAAAAATCCACGAACCTTCCATGTTTGTTTCTCGTCACTCTGACCTAAGAATAATCAAACTAGATTGCGTATGTTGAATATTCAAGGAGTAGAACAAGTGTTGTCGCCGATGCAAACCTTGACTCAACATGCCGACGACACTGGTGACGAATGCAAATAAATAGACCCATCAACACATGGGCAAACTTATTTCAAATTCACTCAGGCAGCAATTTCGCCCTGAGGCAGACATTTCGGGGAGCCCATAGATCTCATTAGGAATCTCGCTGCCTGTGGCACACAAACATACTCCCTAAACGGCAGCCTTCTAAATTCCGCATACGTGCTTACACCGGCCGCGCGGCACTACGGGATCGAGACCTCTGCCAAGACAAGAATATTCTACTTTAAGCAGCACAAGACCTATGCCTAACCCAGGCTTCGAGATAATTCATTCATGTCCGTCAAGGCCAAGACGCCGTCGCAAGGCTCTTCGCCAGCCTCCTTGTAATTCTGGCTTGGCCGAAATAGGAAGATGTGAGTCTCCAAATAGCGTTCAACTCGGTCAGCGACTCCACCACTCCACTCTCTGCTGAGACTAAGCCACTAGAAATAGTCGTAATTCAGAGGTCAGTGGGATGGGATTTGCTTAGTGACCAGTCTCAAGCCGTGGCTGAAACAAATGTCTTACCGAGCATTATTAATGAGGCGTGAAGACGTTTGCCAGCCCTCACGACATTAACAGGAGTCTGCCCAAGGCCTACTAGCATGATACCCACTGCATTGTCATAATCAGCGACAGGCAACACTGACAGACAACATATATGAGAGCCTCACTGCCAAGTTCTTGAGAAAGTCATTATCGACTCGTATTTTCTGGGGAGTCACCCGTCAAAATCAATTATAAACATGTAATCCCAATCCTCCGCGCCCCCATACTATTTCAAGGTGAACTGACTACTAGTCCCATTGAAAGCCGTGATCGTGCCCCCGACAGCCTTGGAATCACCATAGTACCTCACGCGATACGTTCCCGCCTCTGCATAGCTCTCCGTCTCCCAAGTGATGGTGACCTGCGAGTACCCCAGCAGGCCATTGGTCCGCTCCCAGGTGTAGACCAGGAACCAGTCGTAGTCGCTGCGCACCTGCGTCCACGTAGTGCCGTCGAGCTTCTCAACCGCCGCGAAGGTTCCCTCCAGCCGCAGGTTGTTGCGCGGGTTGGCGCCGACAAAGGTGGTGTTGACGACGGACCCGATGGCGTACGACGCGTTGGGCTGTGTGACGACGTCGCCGAACTTCGTGCCGATCGGCGCCCCATCGTATACCACGCCCGTGATGAAGTCCAAGGAATTGGCGCGGTTGTCAGGCGGCGATGGCCCCGCCGCGGGCGAGCCCGTGGCCGTGGGCGCGAGGTACTGCAGGTTGCTGAGTGTGAGGTTGATGTAGGCGTTTAGCTCGTTGGGGCCGTAGAGCGTGCTCGCGCCCTCGTAACGCTGGATGGCGTACTCCTCCTCGGTGGTGACGTAGTGCGCGTACGTGTTGGCTGGTCCGCCGATCACGACGATGGGCTCGGTGTTGGACGAGTAAGTCGCGGCGGCTTCCGTCTTGACGGCGTTGCGCCAGCGGCGGCCGGCCATGGTGGTTGCCTCGGAAGGCGAGACGATGATGTGGAACTGACCCGCACGGAAAGACTGCACGTCGACAATGTTTGGGGACCAGTCATATGGCTCGGTCTGCTCGCCCACGTCTAGGAGGACGGGCTTCGGATATTGGCACTTGACTTGCTCGGGCCCAGGGGCTTTGAGCAGGCCGGCGACGACACTCCAGACCGGGTTGTTGGGTGCACCCGAGTCACCCTGCGTGAAGTCAAATGCGCCTGGCCAATCCGTCGTTCCAGCCGCGAAAGAATAGCCAAGCGCAGCAGGACATGTTGCAGCAGCAGTGCCGTTGGGCAGCGTGAAATTGAAAGTGCTCATGTCGTTGAAGAAGTGGAAGGATTTGACGGTAGTACCGACAACGGGCGTAGACTGTGTCTCAAAAGAGTCATACAGACTCTTTGCACCTTGAAATTGACGCCGACCAATCTCGTAGCAGGATGACACGCCGAGGTCGAGCGCTTGGAACTCGGGACCGCGACCATGGCACGACTGTGATTTGCCATCTGCACAGGTGCTGTTCTCGTAGCTGCACATCTGACCTGATCCATCGTCACACCAGGCCCCCAGCACGTTCGGCGTAGTATCTCCCACGTTGGCTTGGGAAAAGCCAGCGACGAAGCCGTCGGCCGCCGTGCCGCTGGATTGCACAGCCTGCTCGAGCAGATAGGCTGCCACGCCCTTGTTGTCTCCCGCCACGTGTGTGTTGTTTCCATACATAGAGGTTCCGTGTACGGGATACCACGTAAGCACGCCCATATTGAGGCCGTCGGATGCGCGTTGGAAGCGAAGCATCGTCAATGTTGTATCTGTGGGACTGTTGTACAAGGCACGTTCCGAGGCCGGGTTATTCATGTATGCAGATGGACTTCGTGAAGCATTGCCGTCTGTGATATTGACGGTGCCGACATCGAGGTAACCAGTGGTGAGGCTCTCATGGGCTCTCTGGATCGACAAGGCTGCACCGTCGGCGATTGCATTCAGCGACTGGGGGTCAAAGCCGGCGCTGGTGATTTGAGGAAGCAGATAGTTCCACCAAGCTCCCGGGCCGTTGTGCGAGTGAGTTCCAGTCACGGCGATGTTGCTCGAGCCGTAGACAGAATAATCTCCGCCGAGAGCGGCGAGGCGTTCAAGGATGGCGTATCGCTGGGCCGTGTCACCGGCTGCCACGTCCAGGACGAGATATACAAAGCGGTCGCTAGGGTTGCTTGCGTCGCCAACGATGAACGCACGGGAGTATAGGCGTTGACGAAGCCCAGTCCCGATCTGGGCCGTGTCGGCATATCCAGCAAACTCTACTTCGACGACGGGTCCAGTGATATCAGCTTTTCCTACTCCGATGCTGTATAAGTCAAATTGGTAAGCCAATGTCCCAAAACTAAGACATGGAGATTAGGTTCTTACAGATACTGGTCGCCTACTGCTGAGGCTCTGACCTTGGAGGTGAGCAGTTTCTTAACTTCTTGTGGGTCGTCGAGGTCGACATCACCCAGCTCTTCGAAGTTGGCTGCGGGAATCCTTGGCTTTTGATTGCTGCTCAAGACAGAAATGCTGAGCAGGACCAAGGCAAGGACGGAGAAGATGGCGAAGATGCTGAAGACACCCCTCCGCTGGCCATGGCGGTTCCCGAACATGGTTTGGGCCATGGTATCCCTGGGTGACCGAGGCAAGATGCTCTATGTGGTGTTCTAGAGCAAGAGGTATGAGGTTGACAGTTCAGCCAGTCCGATGGCGTTCACGTCGCACCTGTGTCACCACAGAAGCCAAGCTTTGATGTACAGAGCTAGAAGTTGGTCCGTCTTCTCTGGATGGCCGAGGAAAGAAATAGCTACGACGCGGGATGGCAGATCATTCTTATCCTATGACTGGAGCAAGAAGATACCTTGTCATGTACACACTCTGCGGTCCCTCGTCACTTGGTCTCCACAGTGGCTTGTGAAGAGCAGCCCGTGGACCTGCCTTACAGGTGGGCCTGCGTGACGTTAAGATTGGAGAGCCTGACTATCTCCCGTGTCGGTGTACCTGTCGAGGGCTGCATCATGTCATGAAGCGCGGTGGATTTGGAGATGAGAGGTCACCCCCCTCCCACTCGGTGTCACCTTCTTTGTGACTCCGTCTCCGCACAGAGGCGAGCAAGGCACTGGGGAATGGCATTGCCATGATCCGCGTTGGGGAAGCTGTGAATCGGGAGCGTTGCATTGCGCCTGATGAGTGGTGGTGGTGGTGGTGGTGTTCGGTCGATAAGAGGGCGGAAACGGTGCTTAGCTGGAGCTAGTTTAAATTTCACGAGGCCCGCAGCCACCAATGGAAACACGGTGCCTGTCACAAAAGAGAAGGTGGTGTCGAGGTCGAGGGCGAGTGAATGGCAGAAGCTTGTCCGATGTCATGGGCAGCGCTGGCGAGGTCATGCCTGTGCATGGCAGATCCGGGCAGAGCATGCGGGGGAGTCCCTGGACACGAAGGGGGACGGTGACAGGTGACACCTTGTTTTCGCGTCTTGATCGTCTAACTTCCACAGATTCTGTACCGGCACCTGCCCATCTATCTGCCGTGTTGCTTTGCTTCTCTGAGAAAGTGGACAGTCACGGATTGAGGCAATCTGCATCCAACACCGTCATCGCAGCCTGGCATTTACACCTGTCAACAAATTAGCGAGTGACACAAAAGCCTGCCAAGAGAGAACGCACATGGAATAGTCCAGCCAATCCAGCAAGATGTGCCCTTCGTGCCCTTGTCTGGGCATCAACAAGATCTACAGTTGTGGAAACAAACAAGCTTAGCGCACTGGCAGTCGGACGGGAGCCGCGGGCACGGGGACTAAGGAGAAAGCCTCCTGAGCTGAGTGTCATTGCTGCTGGTGTGGAGGGGTGGAAGGCGGATGCGCCCCTGTTCATGCATGCATGGTCCACCTGACCTCCTCCGTCGATAGATCCGGCTCTTCATCTGCATGCGCGCCACGCGACTAGCTGAATGCTGTATGCCGTACAGGCCGACTGACAGACTGACTACATTGCACATATCTTTCCCAAGCATACTGTATTGATGAAATGGGCAAGCAGAGCGCGGTATCCGATTTTCCGTGTCAGGTTGCAACAATGGACAGGAGCAACTTGTTTAAGCCCTGCTAAGCCGGGACAATCTCCTCGCCTGGACAAGGCAATCTGGACTGCTTATCTGGCACCGTCACACTGCAGCAGATTCATATCTGTATCCTAGGGAGGATCCTAGATCTCTCGCGTGCCTATCTGGACCACGAATATTCGTTATTTCCGCGAAGTGCCGGACTGGCTGCTCAGTTGACTGATGCTCTGCGATTCAAAAGTGGGAGCTCCAGCCGTCTTTTGTCCACCGTCACAGGCAGAAAAGGGGGAGGGTATATATTCGCTGCATTCCCGCCACATTTGTCCCCGCTGCGATTCGTAGGCCAGTGGCGGGACAAGGCCGCAGAAGTCGTGGCCACCCTCTTCTCCTTCCCCTGGATGCGCCCAGGCAGCCTATGCTCTTGATATGCAGCCTCGCCAACTATTCGGCCACCTCTTCCGAGATGGTGTGGTGATCCCTGAGGCCCTGGGGCAAGAAAGACAATGACGCGGCGGCAAGATACCACTATCATGGGCCAAGTGGCTCAATGATAACAGGGTATGAAGGACGGATAAGAAGGGCGCAGAAGACAGTGAACGCCAGCCACAGGCAACGAACTTCTCTATCTTTGTTGATTCCACTCTGGGTCGGCCTTCCGCGGGCTATGCATTGATTGTCCTAGTGCGCGGTCACGTTCGAACTGTGTCCAGTCTCGCCTTTGTGGCCTCTCCACGCTTACCTGAAGCAAGTGGTGGTGGGGATATCTCCGGAATCTGCCCTGCCACAATGACCTTGTCGAAGAATCTTCTCTCGCGAATGTGAAGTCACATCTCTCACCGCCGCATATCTTGCTTCAGGTTCCGCGGCCTCTCAAGCGTGTTGCCTTAAACTCGCTCAGTGGCGTGCTGACAACGTGAACAACCGCCTCACATGGCATGGTCCAGAAGGAGGAATATTGGCTGCTTTCGGATTTTGAGATGGACTTCGGGACGTCGTCAAAGACCGCGTCAAGTGAGATCATCTCAACTTGGGCCAAGGATTACAGTGGCGTCACATGCTAAATGACACATACGAGTCCATGAAGCTCGGGCGACGGCAAGGGCCATCAGGAACAAATCTTTTTGACAGCAAGGAACGGCAAAATTTCCTCAGTTTCTCGCGTCCTCACCGCCACTCGCGCGGAGCACACTAGGCCGCGGTCGAACGAGGGCAGAGTTGACCACTGTGGGCTCTCGAATGCATGGAGATCCTGCCAGCAGAGTTAAAATGGACACTCCGTCGATCTCGCGGATGCTCCCGAGCGTTAGGCTCACCATTTACGCAGTGTAGCGTGCTCCTGGAGGCATCTTCGCCTCGAGATTTCCATGGCGCAGCCAAGCTGAGCTTATTGACGAAGTCGAACCATCTCGATGATTACTTTCGTATAGCTGCGGCTGAAGCTCCTTACTCCTTATCATGATTCGGTCTTTTGGCGTTGTTGATGGATCCGAGAAACGAAGAATCTCCGATTCTGATGTGACATGACGGAGACAACTACCGAGAAGTTAAATTAGACGTCCACCATGAGTCGGCAAATGCTCCACAGCAGGACCCCAGCGGTGGAAGGGTACCTGGAAGATGATCCAGAATTGTTCGAAGGGCTGTATCCTCATGGCACTCAAAAATTTTGGGGTTGATGAGAGACAGAGACCTGCTGTCGGAAATTCGCGTTTCCTGGACTGACCCTGTCATTTGCGCATAACCCTGCGACTCAATAACGGCTAGGGACGGTCACTCTGTCGTTTGACAATGGTCCTCTCCTTCCTGCCTGTCCAAGGCGCGCTCCTGGCCTACCAGTGCCTTGGTGCAGGGCCCTTCCTCCTGGCCATCCCGGGCGCCAACGGCGACGCCGCCATCTTCAGCGAGGTAGTCCCCTACCTCAGCCAGGACTTCACCGTGTGCACCTACGACCGGCGCGGGTACAGCAACAGCACCCTTACCGCGCCGGGGGACCTGACCATGCCACACCGGCTGCAGCGCGACGCCGACGACGCGGCGGCGCTGATCTCGCACGTGTCAGGTGGCGAGCCGGGCCTGGTGTTTGGCACGAGCAGCGGCGCCATCGTCGCCCTCGAGCTGCTGCAGCGGCACCCCGGCCTGGTCGACTTCCTCATCGCCCACGAGCCGCCGCTGGCTTATGTTTTGGACGGTGCCTGGGCCGCGGAGACTTACTCGGTGTTTGAGGGCATCTATCAGACCTTCCTTGCCGACGGCATCGATGCTGCTACGCTGGGGTTCCTCGGACCCGGCGCGGCAAATTCGACGGACGTGGAGACGCAGGCTGCGTATCACGCTCTGGAGGACCCTGCTAATAAGGGCAACGCGGAGTTGTTCTTCGGGCATGAGATCGCTACGTACACGGCTGTCAATGAGAGCATGCCGGCGTTGGTGGGCTTGAAAGACAGGTTTGCTATGGATGTAGGCGAGGCGTGCAATATCCCTAGCTGTAACATCAGTGCTATACTGGCTTCGAAGGTGGGAGTAGATCTATATTTCACGCCTGGCGGACACTTGGGATATGTCTCAGAACCAGAGGGCTTTGCCAGGAAAGTATCGAGCATATTTGCTGAGCATGGCAAAGCCTGAAAGTGTGGGAGAATACTTCTCCTGTAAGGCAAGAGCAGCTGTGTAATATTTAATAAAAGAACTATGGATGGCAATACCTCTGTACTAATTGACAACCTTCAGTGTCTCCTCGTCTCTTCCAAAACACATATTCACCGCCCTTCGATTGCTACTTACAGTCATCTCCAAGTTCAGATATGGTACCAAAGTCTACCTTAGCAACATTGATCTACACTCCGTATCCCATGACTGTAGTCATAAAACATAATCCAAACGATCCTCCTTTCTCCAGCAGCTTGTCACAATGTCCGGCCCTCTCCGTCTACACACTTGCAATTTCCAAAACTAGCTCAAGCGACGCCTTCGAACAGGCCGATCATCCCCATCGCTATCACTAACGATTATGCCCCTACGCCTCGGGGTATCTCTCACCAGCCGGCCGATGACGCGACAGCTGTACTCCTCCTGAAGCCTCGCGGCCAGGGCCGTCCGCGGGATTACGCTCCCCTTGTAGCGGCCGTTGAACTTGTTGAGCTCAGCCCTTATGTCCTCAGGCCCGTACTTGTAGACGGTGGTCATGTCGTACACCAGGGCGCGGTAGCAGACCCAGAGCGGCATCTGCAGGTCGGCCTCGACGCGGTCGCGGGGCACCTTGATGTCGTCGGCGTGGGGAATGTGGCCGCCGTTGTTCGTGTGCAGCGCGTCCATGTCGATCTCTCTCAGGGGCGGCGCCAGCTTCCCCGTGATGAGGTCCGGCCTCTGTACCAGCAGCGACAAGCTTGGTGGCGGCTTCCAGGAGTCGTTTAATACCGGGGTGATGTCCTTGCGCTGGAGCCCATAACGGTCTATGTCCGCTAACAACTCACGCTCAGCTTTCCCGGTTCCTAATCCGCTAACGTTGTAGATATGTCCGTTGAGCACAACCTCCTTGTCTGTGAGCTGGTACATTTGTTTCTCCTCGACCACCCGGCCGACCCGGAGGTAGTCGTAGTCGGCGAGGCACCGGTCATGGTCTTCGTGGTAGCTCTCGAATTCCAGGGTCGAGTCCTTACCTGCCCACTTTTGCAGGATTGTCGTTCCGCCGGGGTGGAAGTCCATGTAGCCTGTCAAATTGTACACTTGCCCTCGGATGATGGTGTACATTGTCGACTCCGGGTAGACGTGCCAGGCAACTTCTTTTGTCGTGAAATGAAACTCTTCCATGGGGCCAGGGCCCTTATTAGGTACTTTTGAAGCAATCGTCGCGCATTTGTATGGCTTAAAATCCAAAAGCAACTGGTCGTAGTCGATCGTTCCATCGTTGACAACTGCATTCCACGGATTTCCTCCTGGGCGCATAGTGCATACATTTTGCTCGTTTGGGTTCGCGAATTTGTAATTCGATATATCAAACACATCATTGCCGATTGAAATCCAGAACGGCTTTCCATTCCTCCCATCTCTCTCCCTTATGTCTTGCTGCCTCATCGGCTGGATGAGCTTCCCCCGGCGCTCGCCTTGAGCCAAGAGATCTTGTTTGAGATTGGGGCGAGCTTTCAGGCCCAAAAGGGTGGCCTCGCAATGGTCGTCTAAGTTGAAGGCCGCAATATCATCCGCCCACATCTCTTCAACGACGTCTGTCGCGTCATAGACATCATAGCCGCGTGCGCCGTCGTCAACGATAACCCACAGATCTCCAGATGAGCGGTGGTTTCCGACCTCGCCTGCTGTGAAATACACCTCATCAGGAGCATTTGCGGCTCTCCGCGCACTGTTCGCGGCCCTTCTGGGGGCTGACACTGGGCCCGGGGGCGAGCCCCCGGGGGATTGATTTGGTGTACCTACGAGCGAGCTCGAAGCACTGTGAAAAGATGGTGTACCCGAGCCTGAAGACGGTGTACTCGGAGCTGGTGCACCAGGAACATGCTGCTGAGGTTGTGCGGTGGGGTTGTACGGCGCGTACGGAGTAGCGGGACCGTATCCGACATTCGTCTGTGCCTGGGCGGTATGCCAAGGGGGAAGAACAAAGTTGACCTGAAGTGGTAACCACATGTCTGTGCTCTCGAACTGGGGGGCATTTCGCTCCACGTTATCGAACATGGCCTTAACTGCCTGGTAGACAGGATCGGGAAGAGGAAATTGGTTCTGACGGTTAGGGATTTCGGATTTTAGTATCATCAAGAGAGACGCTCGAGTACCTCTATTGCTACCGGGAGCGAAAGCAACATTACGTGGCCTCAGGAATGTTTCATGAAGATCGTTGTATTGAGTAAAATCAACCTCGATCGGTCTTTGAGATTGGGCAGTAGCATCGCGGGTGGCCTCCAAGCTTGGTGTCCATTCGTTCCGGGCAAAATTAGGAACACTAATCATAAGTTCTTGTGTGCGGATGGGCATTATTGTCATCATTAGATATCCGATCGCTTCGTCAATCCAATAACTGCTCTGTGACAGCACGCAGCCAGTCACGACGAATTTGCCTTCCCAATACTCGAACGCACCGAGGCTTTGAAAGGCCTCTTGAGCTGCCAACTCGTCACCTTGTCTGTGGGCGAGACGAAACTTCTCGGGATGGTTTCTCAGGCCCGTGTGGCAATATGGAGACAGTGACCACTCATTAAAGTGATGCTGGTACCATGGGCGGATCATGCGCCATGCGGCGTCGCGATATTTCAAGTCCTGGCCGAGTTGTATCAGCTGGGGGTGATACTCCTGCACAGCATGACCGAGCTGGCATATTGTCGGGGCCCCGTGTTGGAAACGATTGATAGGAGTCACCGCTAGTTTGGGAACGCGGAGTGCAGGCAGTCCATATCTCGCAACGTGAATGCTCCAAAATTCCTCCGAACCGTATGCCTGCGCCAAGAATGCTGGAAAGACATATCCAAACCATATGTCATTTTCATGATTGGCCACGTCCACGCCATTACCGTAAGACTTGGATATGATGTAATTGGGGAAGTCAGCCACAAACGCGAGGAGCCCTCCTGAGCCCCAAGTGCTTTTTCGTCTCGGGGAATCGGTCATGAAGCCTCCTATCATAGCCTGCTCCCACGCCATTCCGACCTCGCTAACCCAAGCCGAATCCTCCGGATTGGTGCCAGGCTGTTGATAGAACGGTTCGTCCAGAAGTTCCTCGTCAGCCGGGCGGGTCATATTACGGAGTCTGTCAAATGCGTGCATCATCTCGTGGCAGAGGGTGAGCGCGAAGTTCATTAAGGCTTGCGCCTTGGTAGCATCTGTTGTGCTCGAATCTATAAGCGGCCGGACGAGTCCAGGATTAAGCATGATGAACACGTAGTCATAACCATTCAATGCTCCCCCGAGATTGGGATCGCGCACTGCCGTGGTTAATCCATCGGCATCACTGTTTTCACCGGGCAATCCTGCTGGTAGAAAGCTGATGCGGATCTTTTCCGAATATCGAATAAGTGTATCGAGCAGTTGCTGTTCGCTTAAATTTAGGATCCCGGTGTCCCTAGCTAAGATCGGTGGCCCCCTCAGACCTTCAGCAGTCACATCTGATACACCATGTCAATATTTCATTTTGAAGCCTAGTGACATGTGGTGCAGGAAGCTTTCAATAGTCAGGGCCCGGGCCCGAGTGTGATCTAGAGCCAATACATACGAGGAAAGTAGTCAGTGTTCTTTACGGTCAAGATCGCGTCCAGGCTGCAGTACATCATGTCAACAAAGTGCCGCCGTGTATGTGTTTGGTCCATATGAGACAGTCAACGTACAAGGGATGGAGCAGTGTAGCACGCATAAGCCTATCTGAGAGCTCGATAGCCGGCCGCATAGCATCCCAAAGTAGGGGATTGTCCACGCTCCAAGTCGCATTTGCGTCAACATATCTATCCAATGGTCCCCAGAGCTCTTGTGATATAGGGCGGTTCAGATTGTACCACCTCTTTTTGGCGAAAAGCGGAAGCCAGTTGTCTTCGTTTATATTCATACCTGTCGGTGGAGTCCCCCGTAGACTGCTGAAAACTACGGCTTGCCCTATCATTCTGGGTCAGACATGTCCATTGGTAGGTGGTAGAAGGCACACACAAGTGTGATATCCATTTAATCTGCGTCTTTGGTATTTTTCGTCGAGGAACAGTCGGTCCAACTCGGAGTCACTGGGCTGCGGTATTGTTATTCCAAGCCTTGGAAAATGCTCTGCTTCGTAGGGAACTTGGTCACGGCGAGGCAGAAGGATTTCTGGGTACTTGGGGTGGAATCCCGATGAATTATCGCCCTTCCAAGGATCTACACACCGTGTCAACAAATTGGGTTAGAGACCGATTTTTTTGACATGGAAAGAAATATTGATGGGGCAGCAATCAGTACGTACAATCATCGCCTACCCCAAACCTTACTGCCCAAGGTGTCACAGGAGGAGTTGCAGGTCTTGCCATGATGTGAACGGTGTCTCAATTCCGTATGTAAGCAACTGGCATGCGTCTCAGCATGCGCTGTGTAATGGGCATCGCCAAGCATGGGAAAAGAGAAGAGAAACAAAGCGCTACAGCTGTACCAGGTGGTGTAGGAACAAGGCTCTACTATCGCGCAGCGTCTGTTGTGGGGACCGATAATGACACCAATGCGCACCTGCACCGACGACCACTTCTACTCCACATGTATTCATTTTGCTGTTATAAATCGACAAAGGCCAAACCCGCTTCCGGAACCCGAGCAGGGCTGACAAAGCCGTCTTTTGTTTCTGTCTGGCAGTTCCTTTCTCTCATCTTCTGACAAGTCTGAACCAAAATCACACAAATCTGCTAAAGATGCTATGTGAACCTCACGGATGCTCTGCGACTAACACTCAGGGGACCTTGCACACATGCAGCGGCCGGTATTTGGGGCACCCGTTCGTCGGCTACAGGTCTGTTAATCCAGCAACCTCGTGATTGATCAAGACAACGAGCATCGCGTGGCCACGGTAAATTACTACAGAGGCTGGAAGAGCAGACACATTTGGGTCACATAGAAGATTGTGTTAAAGGGCTGAAACTGTTTGATTTACCTTCCTCCACTCTGCCCGGTTCTGCTACGGGGGATCACGGTTTATGCGATTGTGCTGAACAGCCATTCCGGATTTTCCGCGAGGGAAATCGATTCTCGGCCTTGATGTTGTCTTCGCAGAGGTTAGGTCAGCTTCTTGACGGTCGGTTCATAGTCAGGGGCCTGAATGGCTTTCGAAGCTTTTGCAACGCCGCGGCCTCAACACGAGGAGCTGCTAGACCGGGAGGTCTCCGAACACCACTTATTGTTTTTTGCACGGTGGTGTTGTGAAAGCTAACAGGTCGCTTTGTAGGGACCGAAGTCGGCTCGGGCTTATTCTCGTTGTTTTGCCCTTTAGTGTCGGGCTCGATTTCTTTGTCTGGGGTTGGTGGCCGAGGTGGAGAACTTGAAAATTGAGTGTAGTGCCTCCCGGATTTAGTTTCTTCGTGCTTTGGTAAGTTGGGCGCCACTGTCTTCGAGGCACTGAGCTTATGACGACGGAAGCTGGGATCTACCACTGGGCGTTTAGGAGCATCCGAAGGGCCATGTGTCAACGTCTCAGGCAGTACATTTTGTTGTACACGAGGCATGTTTGAACGCGGCAGAGATGCGGAACGCGACGCATTCAAATGCGCATCATCTGTAGTTGTGTTTGAGTCCTTCTTGACAAAGCCGAGGAGAGTACCTTGTCCGGTTGAACGAACAATTTTCTTCTGCTTTGAGGGAGGACCAGCTGTGGTGTTACCAGCGACTTGGGTCGTGAGGGTATTTGCCTGATGAGCCGCCGTCACCATGGAACCGAGCTGCGAAGCCATTGTGAAGGTAGCTGCCTGATTCATCGTGGTTGTATATCCGCTTGCCCACCGCGGTTTCTCGTTGCTTTCATAGCTGCCACTCTGGGTGGCCAGCCGAGGGCGTTTTCGACCGAAGCCTTCGGATGGATGCTCGTCCCGCCTTGTGCCAGCGTCATCTGTGGCTGCTTGTTGCTGGCTTGGGTCTTCGGGGAAAAGGTCGTCATTTGGACTGAAGCCTTCTGGAAGTTCACTATAGATCGTTTGTTGTGTGGGGGCGGCACGCCCCAAAATCCTGCCGATTGCCTCAAGCTTATGGCTTTCCAGATCTGGTCCGATCTTGGCGAATGTCTTTGCCACGGGCTCAACAAAGGATGAGAGTTCCACTTCGGACTGGCCACCGCCGTAAGATGAGCTGGACAATGGACAACTGATGTAAAGCAAAGCCTTTGCCCGTGTCATAGCAACATATAGCAGGCGGCGCTCCTCGTCACTATCTTCAGAGCGCGAATGTGGAATCGATCCATTGTAAGCCGCTGGAACAAAGACAATGGGCCACTCGAGCCCTTTGGCAGCATGTATGGTTGAGATGGTGACCATGGGCACAGCTTCTTGCTCTTCACCTTTCTTCTGAGTGTCTGATGCCAATGCCACGTTGGCCAGGAATCTGGCCAGAACATCGGAATCTCCTAATTGTTCTAGCCCCTCGACCTCGGGAAGCTGTTCGTCTTGATCTTGATCGACATCTTTAGTGAAGTCGTTTCCAAGCGCCCTAAACTCTTGCACGTTGGCCCATCTTTGCTCGAAATTTTCAGTGTCGGGGTACGTCTCCTGGAGGTACCGCTCGAGGCCGACTCTTGTGAGAATTTCATCAATAATGTCGACCAGGCCGTACGGCTTATCATCTGGTGAACTGCCCATCTTTTTCTGGATGTTCAAGATGAGACGAATAACCTCGCCGCTTATCTTCTGTTCGGTTGACTTTTTTATGTTGGTCCTAGCCAAGCGATCGCCGCGGCAGTGTTTGACCAGCAAAGCCCACAGACTCAGGGACGACCGCTCAGCTTCTTCGACCAGCGCCTTGATCGTAGCTTCCCCCACGCCTCGCTTGGGAACGTTGAGAACTCTCGCAAGGGCGTCATTGTTTGCCGGCTGGTAAATTACTCTCAAGTAGTCAAGTATGATCTTGATCTCCACGCGGTCGTAGAATTTGACGCCGCCGACCATCTTGTAAGGAATGCCAGCCTGACCAAGGGCAGATTCGATATTCCTGGACAGTGCAGCCGAGCGGAGGAGGATGGCAACATCACTGTGTCCCAACATACGGCCAGACAACAACTGCAGGCGGCCAATTTCCTTGACTATCCACTGTGCCTCGGCGATCGAGCTTTTCAGCCGCCTCAGCGTCGGTCTTGTGCCCTTGTCATGAACAGGCTTAAGGACTTTCTCGTACCGATTCGAGTCCTGTTGTATGATACTCAGAGCCGCGTCCAAGATAGCCTGTGATGAGCGATAATTTTGTTCAAGAGAGATCTGGTCCGTGTCAGGGAAATCTGAGAAGAGACGCTGGAGGTTCTTGATCTCTGCCGACCTCCATCCATAAATGCTCTGATCAGGGTCGCCAACAATGGTGATTCTGTTGCGTCTTTGAGCAAGGAGGCGCATGAGCTCGTACTGTATGCCGTTTGTGTCCTGGTACTCGTCGATGAGCACGGCATCAACATTGGATACGCAGGCCGGATGCGTCTGGAGCAGCTCAACGCAGCGGGTGAGAAGGTCATCGTAATCGAGGAGATTAGATCTCTCAAGATGGTCCTGGTACTCGCGGTAGCACAGCTCAAAGGACTTGGCTCCCTCTGCTGCCTCGCCGCTGCGTTTCCTTTGCAAGGAGGCTGGTTTCCACTCCTTGCCCTTTGCTTTCCTCTTGCTTATCCATGCACGTGCCTGGACAGGATCTATGCTCAACTGAAGGCGTTTGCAAATGCGGTTGATTATGGCCCTGGAGTCGCCATCATCGGCAATGGCGAACTTCTGGTCGAGGCCAATGTGCCTGCCGTATGCTGCAAGATAACGACGGGCTATGCTGTGGAACGTGCCAAGGACCATTCTGTTCTCGCGCCCGTCCCCAAGGGCGTGGCCGATGCGCTCTCGCATCTCACGAGCGGCTTTGACGGTGAATGTGGCAACGATGACATTCTGCGGCGCGTAACCGATGGTGTCAACAAGCCAGACAACACGGGAGGTGAGAGTATGGGTCTTTCCGCTGCCAGGGCCAGCCATTATGGCAACGGTGGCCGCCTCCGAGCACACTGCCCTGCATTGTGCATGGTTAAGGGTTCGGAGTATCGACGAAGACCTTGGTGATGCAGCCGTCATGGCCGTGACGGTAAATAGAACCGGACGCGGACCAAGCTGGACCTCGCATGTGTTTGAGAGGCCCGGGTAATAATAGCGGAGCACGGAAATGAGGATGAGAGTTGACAATTGACGACACTATTTGGCCACAATTTGACAAAAGTCGCGTCAAGTCGAACGTCACGATATTTGGACAACCAACATGAGACGCGTCTCGGAAGGCGGCCGACACGGGGAGGAGGGCCCAACCGACGACACGCCGCTTCCGCGCGATCACCTGCCTTGCGTCAACAGGAGCAGACCCTCCACTCAACCGCAAGGACGGGCATCACGTAAGCACCTCGCACGGACCCATTTTGACCATGGCAGCATGGGCAGTCAAATCACTCAATCAACCAGTCAATCGGTCAATCAGCCATTCCAATTCGGTTCATGGTCCTCCAGTAACCTGGCGATGTCAGCGCTAAACAAGCTCGGTCACATCACATCTATCCCACTCATACACACACCACACACACATATCAGGAGCAGAACGACAGAGAGGATGCTATCTCGACTCCATCAGATCCATTCTCACCGTCTGGTTCGCTCTGGGAAACCACCAATCTAGTCGGCCATCACGCCTCTTCCCACCCATCAGCCTATCTAATGCAATGTGCTCTGCTAGGTTTGAGGTGACGATCTCACATCACGACGACTTTCCCATCTCCCTGGCCCGCCCGCATAACTCGGGTGGGTGCCTGATAATCCAATTGACGCTTTCGTCGTGAGTGATAGAAATTGACTTCATGCCATGTCGGGTCAGCCTTCCAAATCAAACACGCCTCGAACCCGAGGTTGGAAATCCAGGCCATCCATCCATCCCGTCAGACAAGCGTGCTGCATGGCGAAGCACCCGTCAATGCCGGATCTTGCAGATGCAACTGTGGGAATAGTCTAAATCATTAGGCGACGGCTGCTCCTCGTCTTTTTTTGTCTGTCACCGCCCCCAGCATCACACAAAAACCAGGCGGTATTGGGGCCAGGACTTCCGCTCTATCTGATCGCCTGCAGATCACCATCCAAATCCATCCATCACTTCCAACCCAGCGAATTCACATGGGACAGGCACGACAGGGCAGGACACAGGATGCAATATCAAATGGGCGGGGAACCCACAAGCACCCAATCACGCAGAGGCGTCTACCGTACCACCGCATGTCGGGCGCTTAGAGACCCCTGGCCCCCTGCGCACCACTGGGCCCTCCAGCCAACCACATTACACGGCGGGGCTCTGGCCAGCCCTCCGTGCTGCAAGCCCACCGCGAGGTCACGACGATGAGCGGCCTCGATTCGACGAGTCCCAGTCCAGAAGAGGCCTGCCATGCAGCTGCCGCCCTGCATCGTCTGCCCATGTGCCTTGCTGTGCCTGAACTGAGATGGGGCCGTACACCGCGGCGGGAGGAGCCCAGGCCCCATTGCACAGCTTTTGCAAGAGAAAAGCCGGCATCTGGGCTCCATGAGTGGCTGCATTGTCCCCACGCCCTCCTCTTCCCTTCAGCTCTGCATCAACTCCGGTATCAACAGCCGCTATATACCCTTCCTGCCTCTCCTCTGAACGGCTCCGGAGGCTGATCTTTCCTGCGTCCCCATGCTACATCTCTATCACAATGCGTTTCGGCCCATCATACGTTGACTCAGGAACTAAACAATCCAAACCCCATCACACCTTAGTCTCGGTGGAGTACATGGCAGTCCGTCTGGTCTACTTGAAATAAGCCTTGGCCCCGGAACTCTCTCTCGTCTGATCCTCACCATGCCCCTTGGTCTTCGCAAACCTCCCACTTCTCTTATACATCTTTCGTTCTCTACAGGTTTCGTCACAGTTTTGGTAGCCGCTGCTGCTGCACCACAACCACATCCACCACCCGCGTCGCTCGAGGTGGAAAGGAGGAATAGCAACCCCCTCGGCATCGACTTGAGTCCTGCTCCTCCGCCTGACGAAGGTCCCGCGGGAGCAAAGTACGCTCTTCGAGATCCAGCATACCTCCCGGCTCAGATCGGCGGCATTGTCGGATCGTACGCTTTCTCGCTGGTGCTGGTCGCCATCATCCTACTGAGCTTATCCAAGAGGCGGCGAGAACATCTCCGAGCAGGAGAGAACATTGGTTCCTGGGAGGATTCAAACGTTGCACCAAATTTCTCCGAGCAATTCTCTGCCTTCAAGTCACAAGACGGCTTCCAGTGCAAAGAAGGGGAGTACCCGACGCAGCAAAGCTTCCAGGAGTTGCCAAAGATCCATACTCAGGATCACGTCCAAGGCCACGTCCGCAACTTCTCTCTGCCCTCGCCAACCTCGGCAAATTTCTCGACAGCAACGCGGGAGCAAAACCCTTACGTCCTCCCATCACCAGACGGCAGTCTTCGTGGACAACCAGGCGTAGACCCACACGTCAACCAGAGCGTCGTCCAACAAGACAGAGCCATGGCGCAGGCACAGTTAGAAGACATGTACAAGTACGTGATGGAGCAGGAGGCGGCCAAAGAAGCGGGAGTGGAGTTCAGAGGCCCCACTTTCCCAGCCGCAGGGCAGCAGCAAGAGCAGCTTGCTTCTTCACAGGGCATGCTTCAGAAGAAGGGAAGAAACAAGCCCGCAAACCTTAATCTAAACGGCGATGCCAAGTCGGAAAGGACGCAGTCCCGGACCTCCTCGATCCTGTCGGCCCTCAAGTCCCCACTGGGGAAGAAAAAGGAGAAGGTCCAGGCCATCAGCATTTCCTCCCCGATCATGACACCCATGACAGGCACGTTTCCCCCGCAGTACGCCGGCGAGGAGATGAACGCTATCCCGCCACGGCACTACGCACCGGCTGCACCGCCACCAGTCCCCGCGGGCAACGCAACATTCAGCCAGCGACGGAACGTCCAGATGGCTCCCCTCACGCCGCCGGATGATATTTCGCCAGAGAGCACGCAGAGCATCGACGAGCGGCTCCGCGCCATGGCAGGCAGGGGCAAGGACAGGAACGCCCGGGACGAATACAGCGAGGATGAGGAAGAGGAAGAACGACAGGGGCAGGGTAACTACTACCACTCACGCCAGCAGTCGTCCGCAACAGAGGCGGACCCCATCTCCGCCACTTCGGAGACGTCGACAACGCCACTGGTCAGGAACGAGCGGGCCCGCGACAACAGGTCCTCGGGACTTCCCACGAGCCCCAAGCCCGGGGTTAACCGCTTCCCTAGCTTGGGCTCGTTGCCGTCGTCCCCGAAGCCGGGCGCAACCTTCTCGCGGCCTAATGCGCCCTCGGCGGTGCGTACGGGCGGTGCGCTGCCGCTGCGTGCATACGAGCCGGCGTTGATGTCGCCCAATACGTACGACCGCACGGTCAAGCAGACTGTGTTCGAGAGGGCCGGCCCGCTGTCACCCGGGATGGGCACAGCACGCACGCCCCACACCGGCGCGCCGGTGCCGTACTCGCCGTACCAGCCGTTCTCGCCCGTGGTACCCATCACGCCCAGCCTGGTCACCAAGGCTGACAGGAAGAGGATGAAGAGGATGGAGCCCAAGACCCCTACGCTGGAGATGGTCCAGAGCAGCGAGGACATCTGGTGAGCGGCTGGCCCCGGGGCTGGCCTAGATGGTGCTGGCCCAGGTGGTGTGATCGACGCAGGTTAGCTTGACGGTGGAGTTGGCTTAGATAGCAGCTAGTCATGTGGCAGATCCTCTTCGAAAGTTTGGGCATGCAAGCTCTCTGGATATTATTTGTGGATGGATGGAAACCTAGGAGGGCCTAGCTTTGGGAACAACGCATGCGGCCGGCGAGCAAGCGTCGGTGAAAAGGCCGAGCCGCACTCAGGCCGCTGCGGACGACAACTTCTTGGTTGAGTGGTCCTTGGCGGAGCACAGACAAGAACTTTTTTGTTTAATCTTCAGTAGAGTCGCATTTGTTATCCTGGGACACCGGGTTTGTTTTGAATATAATACCTTGATGACCGTACTCGCTTTATGGGACTTCTTTTGGGCATAAATATGTCAATACCAAGGATGAGAGCCTCGCCGGCCCGGTTCAAGGGGTATATTGACCGTGACAGGTTGGCTTGGTTGTTGCACGGCGTGCTTAGGCGAGTGCTGTTGGCGCTTATGTTTGTGTCGTACAGCTGAAACACGAGGCGAGCGAAGGCAAAACCGCCGCCAAGTGCGAAGCTCGACGCTTGCCGCGAGACACACTCGATAAGCATACTACCGGGCAGCAGTGCGGATCCTCCCGCGATTCGATGGCTCGGATGAATCGGAGGACCATGTAGTCTAGTGCGGTCTAGCTATGCAGTCGAAATGGCTCGACGTTTTCTAGAAGAAGTGTGCTGTGCAGTCAGTCACACGACTTTGGTGCTTGGTCGCTTGCTCCGAAGGAGAGGAAAAGGTCTAGTCCGCCGTGAAGAACGACTGCCGAGGGGCAAGTACGCGGGTGACTGACACATGCGGTTGCATGATCGCGGAGGGGATGTACGAGCAAACCTTATCGTGATGCGGAATGACGACAGTCAGGATAACGGGCAGCGCTTTAAGGCTGAGTCCCTGCCAAATGCCACACACTTTTCAGAAAAAAATATCCAGGGTACTCTGTAGATCATCGTTCGTTTTTGAAAAAGTGTGTTGCATGTGAAGGTGTCGCTACTGTGCCATTGGTCTTCTAGATTGTGATCTGTCGGCGATGAGCGAGACAGAGTAGGTGTTAGCCATCTACTCAACACCAAAGACGTGTCCGTTGATGATGTTGATGCGTGTGATGCAAACTGCAAGGATCCCAAAGCTCTGCGTGCAGCAGAGCCAGCACACACCCTTCGCATGAGATCCCCTCCAGTGGGATGGCCCCCGTGGAATAAAACTTCAGAATAAGGGTCCTTTTCGACGCTGTAGATCTATTGGGCACCTTGTACCCCGCTGAGTTCCCTTTGGGCTGGATCCGGCAAGGTGAGAGACAGCTGAGAGGTGTAGTCGGTCAGTCGTGCAATATGTGGAGAAGAGGTGGTCAATAGTCGAGGCGCCGTGTAAGCCTCTCGTCCGATCCGGAGGGTTCTCCTAGACAATGTCTCAGCCAGACGAATGATGGCTTCAAGAAAGGAGTAGTGTCCGTGTGGAGCTTGTCGATGTTCTAGAATGCGATGAGCGATGACTGTAGCCACGTCTGGCCACAAGTGAGCAGTGGCCCGTGACGATGGGCAGTCGAGGCAGTCAGTGCAAGGATGCGACGGCTCTGCTGGCCGTGATGTATGGCTGTGACGGTGTCAGTGTGCGATGTAGGCAGTGTACAGCGATATTGAGAATCGAGTCGTCTGATAAACTCAAGGTCGGAGATGGGGGATGGGCAGCCACCGTCCCATCGAGTCAACCCTGGGGGCCTCGAGCTTGAGTCTTGAGTCGAGTCGAGTGAGTCGAGTGAGTCGGAGTCGGACTCGGGTCGGTGCTTACCCAAGCCCAAGCAGCCACGAAAGCTGTCGATGGCGACGGCGATGGCGATGCGATGGTGGCCGTGTGAAGAGGATGACTGGCTACTCTTCCTACTGTTTCTCCGCAAGAGGACCCTCGACGCTCCCCACCTGCCGCTTGACAGTTGAGGGGGATTGGCCACTCTGGCTGCATTTTGGCTGGTCGGGCTGGTCTGGCTCAGCCTTTGCTGTGGCTTGCCAGCTGTGATTGGCGAGAGCGGGTCCGCTCGTGCCTGGCTAAGGCTTCCCATAGGCTAGGCGTCTCCATCGATCGCCCCTGCCAACGAAGCAAGGAACCTTGGATCCTGCCTCCACGGCCAGTTCTGTTACGCACTTTCCTCACCTCTTGCTGGGCCCAGGCTGGGCAGGAGCCAGGAAGCCAGTGGAAGCCAGAAAACCAGGAAGGGGAGGGGGGGACCCCCAATCTGCCAATCCAGGAGCACCCCTAACAGTTTAGCACTTGCGCACAGTACCCCAAGCAGGCCCAAGTAGGACTGGTAGGGTAGGAGGATGGATACTACCGGCGCCCCCCGGCCGGCCTCTTGTGTTCCATGCGATAGTACAAGAAAATCGAATGATGCTCTGCTCTGAAACCTGCGCTGCTCCCTATCGTTCTGCTTTCCGACCTTAACATCTTACGATCCCTCTCTCCATCCCTCACCACCACTAATCCCATTTTTTCCCCTGGCCCATCCATTCTCGCCAGGCCTACTCGTGCTACAGAGCCAGTCTTACGGCCCAGACAAACCCAGACACCTTACGACACCCACGATACGGAACCCACCGTCCCGTGCCGTCACGTCCCATCCCCCAATTCCAGGCACACCGTCGAGCCTGACCTCACGCCGACCGTATCAGGAACGGCCAGGCCAGCGGCCAGAGGCCAGACAGAGGCCAGCTCTCGCAAGTCGCAAGATCCCGCCCGGTCGAGTCGAGTCGAGTCAATTTGGGTGACATAAGCCGACTCGTCACTCTCAGACCAGGTCTCGTTCCTCGCGCTTGACGCTCTAATGCCCGTTGAGCACGCATTACGAGGCACTCGGAGCTGTTGAACACTGAGCATTGAGCACTGAGAATCTAGGTGTCGATCGCCCGCATCGTCGAGGTCTTTCGGCGGCCGGAGCAAAAGCGTACTGGGCGCACCCCGTAACCATCAAGATAGTCATTCGGATTGAGACGAGCTCAATCAAACCAGACCGCCAGCGAACAGTGTCGCGCACAAGCCGTCGTCTACGCTGTCTTGTCACCTTTTTTGAATGGAATTGGGCCGTGATTAAGCAAAACTGCACCCAGCCAAAGTCCACCGCAGCACGTCGTACAAGCGACAGTGTGATCATCTGGTGAGGCAAGGGGACAAGAAAAAGCTCAGCTCAGCTCTGCTCTCTGCCCTGCCCTGCAACCTGCACCTGGTCCTCCCCTCCTGCGCGAACGGACGCTCTCCTGCGACGCTGCGACAGCGAAGCGAGCCGCCGAGCCACCCTTTTGCCAGCTGCCCGCGCGCGGCCCCTCCACCCGGGCCCATCCACCCATCGCTGCTCTCCCCATCTCTCATTTGGGTCCTTGCCTGTCCTGTCACGCGTTCATGTCGAACCACCTTTGCATAGCTGGAACGGTCTAAGCATTACCGCCGGTTCGGTCTGGTTCGTCCGTCGGTCCTGACGCCCTCCGTTTTGCCCAAAATGGCAGATCAACACCAAGATCCCCAGCAAGTCTGGAATGCTGGCCTCGACAACTTCGACTACCGGTCCAGCAATCCCCACTCGGCCTCCTCAGCCCCAACCTCTGCTGCACCCGCGCCCGCGCCTGCACCCGCATCCGCGCCAGCCTCAGGTACGGGAACAGGACCACGATCAGCATCAGGGTCGCCCTCCCAGTACTCCCTCGCCAACGGCACCGCTGCCCCCGGTCCCAACACCGATACCATCACCACCTCAGCCCCCGACCCGGGCTTCTCCGACTTCGCTGCCTCTACCGCCTGGACCGAATCTAATCAATTCACCCCTCCCCTTGGCCCCAGCGACGGCGAGCCTTTCGACGGCCTGAACCTGTTCCCTGACAATTGGAACGTTCCGACTGCCACCTTTCCAAACCAATCTCTACAGTACCGACCTAGAGCAGACGGACTTCCAAATTTCACCAACCCGCCGGCTCTCCATCTCCAGAACGGCGAGCTCTTCAACGCCTTCATGAACAGCGCCGCGGCCAACCCTGGCGACTCATCGTCTGGTCAAGGTCCTGTCGTGGGAGGCATGTCGACTCTGACACCAGCTCAGGAGGAGCAGCTCAGGAACATCGCCATGCCGCCCCATTTGCAATACCAGTCCCCCAAGAGCGAGCCCAGTCAATTAAGCCCACAGTCGAGCAACGGCGATGGCCACAAGGGAGGCTCTCCGGACCCCTCGAAGCCAGGCAGCCGCAAGCGCAAGTCCTCGGCCGACTTTGACGACTTGGATGACGATGACGACGACGAGAGCCAGCAGCCTGTCAAGAAGACCGCTCACAATATGATTGAGAAACGGTATAGGACTAATTTGAACGACAAGATTGCCGCACTTCGCGACAGTGTTCCAAGTCTGCGAGTTCTGTCCAAGAGTGCAAGGGGAGAAGACACTACCGAGGACAGAGAAGAACTACACGGCCTCACGCCTGCACACAAACTAAACAAAGCTACAGTAAGGCTGTAACGGCGTACTGAGTCATGAAATTAGGCTGATAACATTTTATAGGTATTGAGCAAGGCGACCGAGTACATCCGCCATCTCGAGAAGCGGAATAATCGCCTCAACGATGAGAACAGCGCCATGCAGCAAAGAATTTCGGCTTTCGAAAAGTTGTTCATGGCTAGTGCTATGAACGGCACCATGAGCCCTGTCCAGAACCAGAACTCGCCCATGCAATTTGGGCAGGACGCTTCTCAATTCATGAACACGCCAGTGGGAACTCCAAGGGGGTTGGATCCCCAAGGAATGATCCCGGTGCCCGATGACATGAAGCGCATCATCAGTGCGCAATTAGCTTCTGGACGACCATATCCCGTTCCACAGCAACAGTTCCAGCAGAACCCAGCCATCATGCGACAGCAACAGATCCAGCAGCAGCAGCAAATGCAAGCCAATCGCTGGCAGGGCGCAAGTCCATACATTGGCAAGTTCATGGTCGGGTCGCTAGCAGGATTGATGATCCTCGAGGCAGCCCGCGAGAATGAGCAGAGCAACGAGTCGCCAGAGGGCCGTGGGCTCTTCGCTGTTCCTCTGCAGCTCTTGGGTCCATTGGTGGCACGTTCACATGTCAGCATCGCCGGATATTCATTCTCCCTATATCAAACCATATCCACGATCAAGTCTCTACTGCTCCTTGGCGCTCTGCTCTGGGTATTCGTGCCCTCTCTCTTCGCACCTAGGCCACCGAAGACGGACAAGACGGCGCAGATCAACAACGCGAACCTCAAGAAGGTGCCATCCCTGGCCTCGCCCATTCACGTGCGGAGACAGGCCTGGCTCACGGCCATCCAAACTGTCTGGGTGCCTCGGCATAACTTCTTCCTCGAAGCAGCCGCCCTGATCTTGAAGACGATGAAGCTTAGCCTGCGAAACATGATGGGTATACATGGCTATCAGATGTTGACAGGGCTAACTGAGGAACAAGAAACAGCCAGAGTCAAGGCTTGGACAATCGCCCTGGATGCGCAGTTGGCTGGAGGAGACGTTGAAATCAACAAGAGCCGCCTGACTTTGACACTACTTGCAGCTAAGACCCTTCCAGACACGCCTCTGCGACTGATGCTGAACGCTCTTCATATCCGCGTCTTGCTCTGGCAGCTGGGCAAGCAGGGTCTCCACAATATTTTGGCTGCCAAGCTGGCCAGATCAAGGTGGAATGAGGCGAGACAACTGTACCGGCTGAACAACTCCCTCCGTCGGAACGACTTCGCATCATCCGATGACGAACTTCCAGAGCACCTCGCTGTGCTTCTTGAGCAAGACTGTGACGACGTTCTCAATGACGACATTGTGCAGCGTGCGAACAACCTAGCATGGAACCGCCCAACGATGCACAACATCGATTCTGATGTTGACGGTATGAATGCCGTTGTCGAGGACCCAGCCGTACGATCTCCTATGGACGCTGTCGCTGCCTGGTGGTCGAGCCTTATGCTGCAACGAGTACTATCAGCCAGCCTAGCAGAGGTCGAGGACAAGACTGCACAGGCCAAGCTAACGGGCGATGACCTCAACCTGGCCGTCAAGGTAGCACCTATCGGTTCAAACGCCCAGGTGCGCGCTCTTGTCGCCAAAGCTGTGCTCGTTGAAGAGAAGCGAGGGGCACACATCGCCACTACCTTGAAGGCCATGGGACCGAGCCTGAATCCCGACAAGCACCCCCGATACAGCCAAGGAGTCCCGCCCCTGATCGACTCTCCCATGTCATTCATTGTTCCAGATCCTGACGTTCAGATGGCCTTGCGCTGCAGTATGGCCATTGCACACCTCGAACGCTACGAGACTCCACCCCACAGCGCTTTGTCGATCATCGACGGCATCCTTCCTGAATCGACAGAGGGGCTTTCACTACTTGGCTGCACGGCAGCTTTCTTCATGGTGGAGCGCCTGCACAACCACGCAGTCGCTGCAGAGGCATGCGCCACATCTCTTGAACGTCTCGCGGGCACATTGAGGATCTGGATCGGCAGCGAGGAGGGCGACAGACCAGGACTAGACCGTGAACTCCGACAAAAGCTGGTGGAGAGATGTCTCAATGTGACCAAGAGTATAGTCGGCATGGCTGAAGATCAAGGCTATGCAACGATGAGCGAGTGCGATAGCGATGACAGCATGTGCGATTCGGTTGGTGTTTGAGGGGTCTGCGGCTTTACAAAACTGATAATCAGGTTTCTTTTGTCCAAGTTGCTATGCGTACACGTGTGATGGGAATTCACTGTATATATACTGCATTTAAGAACGGGATATCACTCCCCGGGATGCATCGACTACACGGCTCATGTAGGGGGGCAAAACTGTTTTGCGAGCTTTGGTCTGCTCTCAGGCGCCGGCCAAGGCCGCGCGGGTGTCCGGGGGTGGCTCTTTGGGAGGCCTTTTTTGTTCTTCTGTCTTTGGTTTCGACAACGACGTGCGTACGGTGTTTGAAAGCGGGGGCATGGCCCAGACATGAGTGCTTGGTGTGCAAAACTTGATTTCGTCTTACATTTTATGGACTATAGCTGCTACATAATTTCATACTCTCTTCTTCCCACATCTCTGGTCTGGTTCAACTGGTTACATGGAACAGGTATTAAACCAGGTCCGGACCAAGGGCAGATACTGGCGTAGAGATGTACGGATGCGGAGATCACCAGACGGCTCCATTGTGGTCTTGTGAGTTCGAAGGGATTAAGTCTTTGCATTTTCTGCCAACGCATACAAAAGCGCAATGTTAAAGATAGACTGGAGTTGGCGCCATTAGCATCCATCCTCCACCGTGCCCAGTCGGCGCAACTGCTACAAATATACACTGGCCCTGGGACTCAAAGCTCGCGTGAGGACATCCCGCTCGCATCATCTGGATAACAAGAAACAGTCACGAAATAATATAGCTCCCTAGAAAAGAAAGACAGACATGTGCCCATGTAGAGGATTGAAACGAGTGCAGCCCCCCACAACACAACAACATGTATTTATTCATCGTCCTCCGGGGTGATATCAAAGTCGTCCTCGGGGAAGCCGTCCGTGTCGCGCGCCTTCTTGTCCTTGAACCTCAACGCGGCCGGGACGCCGATCTCGAAGTCATCCTGTTGATTGAAAGGGGGGCTGGTCAGTCCTCATCTTCCACGAAAAGAAAAAAAGACTTCGTAAGGATACCCAAGAGCAAAATGGGGTGATGAAAAAAAATCCAGACGCCCTGGCCTGCTCACCTCGGGCCAGCCGACCGCTCGCTTCTTCTCGTCTGGCTCGGCCTCGATCTCAAAGTCGTCCTCGGCAAAGTCCTGACGCGTCGTCAGGGCGTGCTTGCTCACGGGCTGCGGGGCGGAGGGGAGGGCAGAGGTGACTGCCACCAGGGCAGCGAGGGCCAGAGTGAAACGCATTTTCTGGTGGGTGGTTGAGGTTGTGTCTCTGTGTGGCTTGAGAGTTGAGGTTGGCGCCTTCAAGGCGGTTGGGTATGAAATAAGGCTATCAATGAGTGTTTGGAAGTGAAGACAATAATGATACTTAGAATTAGGCTGTCATACAATCTGGTTGGCCTGAGGATATCTCGGGGCTGGAGGCTGACCTATATACCCGCCCAATCGCCCAGAGGCCATCGACAAGACGTTCTGAAAGAATCGTTTCCGCGGCCGCCAGCGAGGCTATACTTGCACGAAGCTTGATTCTTAAAAGTCAAGCTTTGGCGGGCAGTCGCGACAAAACCTTCCTCGAATGTGGTTCAGGAGGCGGAGTCTTGGCCAATGGCCAATGCCATCCCAAGTTTAACTCCGTCACGGACTTGGCCCCGGAATTGAGATGACTTTGGCAGGAGAACACTCGCCCGTTCGAGCGAACATCTTGCCGCGTAGATAGTTGGATGTCCACCGTCATCCTGGCATGATCTACTCGTGATATCTCGAAGTTTGGGGAGAAGTTCGTGCCGCCGTGGGGGAGTAGACTTTTGCTCGTGCCAAACCTTGCACGCCCTCGAAACAAATCCCATCGTCGGCATTGCTGCCGAGCAGGGTTTGAGTCAAATTCACGGTGAGCACGGTAAGAGGCCGATAACATTTCTCTTTCGAAGTATCTTTGTGGCTTTTGACTGCGCTTGCACGAGACATGGTATTGGGACTAAGTCGCTCTTGGTCGAATTCCATGGGGAGCGCTTCTCGAGCGATGGGAAGAGGATTTGCCCCAGCCTGAAGAGTTCGATCTCAGAGTCTCGGTGTGAAAACCAGAGACATGAAGTGGACAGTATATCACGACAGGGTTTCATGGCTATGAAGTTGTCTTTTTTGGTTGTTGTCGACTCGATAGCACAGGTACAGTGAAGTGAGTCCAAGACTTGGACGAGACAGCATTCCTGTTATTTTGATCTCTCCGTATCTATTACAACAGCATGCCTCTATTTCATAGATATTACCAGTCCATCCCAGCACCTCCACACCCACCAGACATAAGCTCGACAGGCCTCTTCATAGGCAGCTCAACATGGGGTTTGACACCGGGCTTCTTGGCCCTCGTGCCCACAAACTGAATCTTCTTATCCAGCTCCGCAAACTGACCCTCACCTTCTCCCTTCTTGACCCTCCACTTGGCCGTCCCAAGCGCGGCGTCGAGCTCCTCCACAGGCGGCAGCTTCAGGTAGACGAGCCCATCGTCCCGCTCTTCGACCTCGAAAGTCGCAATGGACAGCTCGCTGTCGTTCTTGCAGCCGCCGCCGGCGAGGTCGAAGTTGCGCTTGTGGTTTGGGCACGAGACCCAGGGTGCGGCGCCGCCGCCGCCGCCGCCGTCCTGCGCGGACTTCTCGTCGCCGACGAGCCCGTCCGACAGCACGAAGGCGCGCTTGTGTGGGCACATCTGCTGCGTCGCGTAGTACCTACCGCGGATGCGCCACACGGCCAGCTGCGTGTCGCCGCGCTTGATGTTGGCCGAGATGCCGTTGGGCAGGCTGTCGGCGCCATCGAAGTGCGCCGCGCCGATGACGGGCTGCCACGTCGTCGACGTCCACTTGTCCTTAAGGCTCTTGAAGTCGTCCCTGGCGGGTTCCTTGGCCCAAAAGACAGGGCGCGGCTGGTCCCTGTCCCGTTCGATCTCCATGTTCTCGATACTCTCTTCTGTGTTGTTGAACTGTTTGAATTTGGCGGCTATCGCGGGGTTGTTGATGGCCTCGGCCCACTCGTCGAAGAATGAGTCCACCAGCTCGGCCATTTGTGCTTCGAGAGACTCGTTGATACCTAGCTTATCCTCGAGGACAACCTCGCGGAGATACTTGATCCCGCCGGGAAGAGCCTCGAGCCACCTGGCTGTGCGCTGTAGTCTGTCTGCTGTACGGATGTAGAACATGAGGTACCGGTCTATTATGGGGATGACTTCTGATGGAGGGACATCCTTAGCGAGGAGTTCGGAATGCCTTGGCTTTGCACCACCATTGCCTCCAACAAAGAGATTGAAGCCTTTCTCCGTGGCAATGAGCCCGAAGCTGTGTCATAAAAGGTCAGTCTCTTCCAGAGCAATGTTCACTAGTAGAAAGACTCACTCCTTATTTTGCGCCTCCGCACATTCACGCACGCAACCACTGACTCCACCCTTGATCTTATGCGGTGCCCTGATACTCTTGTATCGCTCCTCAAGCCGCACTGCCATGCCTACACTGTCGCCAATACCATATCGGCACCACGTTGTGCCAACACAGCTCTTGACCGTTCGCAGGGACTTGGCGTAAGCGTGTCCACTCTCCATGCCGGCATCAACAAGAGTCTTCCAGATGTCGAGTAGATCTTGCTTCTTCGCACCAAACATATCTATACGCTGGCCACCCGTGATCTTCGTGTACAGACCGTACTTCTTTGCAACCTCGCCCATGACTATCATCTTGTCTGGCGTAATCTCTCCGGCCGAGACGCGAGGCACAACACTGAACGTGCCGTTGCGCTGGATATTGCCCAAGAACCGATCGTTGGTCTCCTGCAGGCCGTGGTGAGGCTTGTCCATGACGTGCTTGTTCCACAGGCTGGCGAAGATGCTCGCCACCGTGGGCTTGCACACCTCGCAGCCCACGCTGTCGGCGTCGATGCCAGCATCCTTCATGACCTGCGGGAATGTCTTGAGACGCTTCACCATGACGATGTTGTACAGGTCGGCGCGGCTGTAGTTGAAGTGCGGGCACACGTTGTTCTTGACCTCGTTGCCCATGCTCACCATCGTCTTGTTGAAAATGGACTGCACCAGCGGCATGCAGCCCCCGCAGCCGGTGCCGGCCTTGGTGCAGGACTTGACGTCCCCGATCGACTTGCACGTCCCGTCTTTTGTCGAGTTGACCACGTCTCCTTTTGTGACGTTGTGACATGAGCAGATCTGCGTGTCGTCGTCTAGGTCATCTGCGCCATCGTCGTCGCCCTGCTTTGCCCCCAGAATGAGTTCTGAAGGTGCAATGTCGAGCTCTTTCTGGTTCTTAACCATCGGCAGAAGCTTGATGTAGTCTTTGGTGTCGCCAATCATCATGCCTCCAAGAAGATATTTCCCGTCCATGGTAAAGATGTATTTCTTGTACACATTCTGGAAGGGATCCTTGTACGTTAGAGCTTTGACTTCTGGTGGCGGAAGGCCATCTGTGAGGAGCTTGACATCTTTCGTCTTCCCGTTCGTCTCGCCGTTGGTCTGCTGTTTCTTCCTGTTTTTTGCGGCTACTTTAGCCGGCAAATACTTGGGGCCGTCTCTGTCCGCGAAAAAGTCGCCAAAGCTGGCGACTTCCACGCCCAATAGCTTTAGTTTCGTACTCAGGTCTGGCCTCTTGTACGCCCTCGGTGTGTGTTGTTTTGCCTGCGTTAGATTGAAACTCAGCACATCGGCCATCTCCACGCCCGGTGCAATTAGCCCAAAAGTTTGGCCCTGCCAGGAAGCGCACTCTCCTATCGCGTAAATGTCCTCCTCACTGGTCCTCAGCATGTCGTCCACGACGATGCCGCCGCCGCGGTCCGCGCATTTGATTCCTGCTTTTCGAGCTAACTCGTCCCGTGGCCGCACCCCGATGGCGAAGCAGACGGTGCTGCATGGCATGTACTCGCCGTCCTCGAAATGCACTCCTGTGACGGAGTTGTCGTCGTCGACCTCGATCTTGCCCACGCGCTTGCTCAACATGACGTCCACGCCAAGGTTGCGGACCTGCTCGACTACCATAGAGCCAGCCTCACCATCGAGTTGGCGGGACAAGACCCAGCGATTGCGCTCAATGACCTTGACCTGTTTCAGGGTGTTGAGGTCCATCATTGCCTTGGCGGCCTCGAGACCGAGTAGTCCACCCCCCACGACAGCGCCGTATGTTCCTTGTTTTGTGGAGGAGAAGGCGATGAGCCTTTCGAGGTCATCGATATTTCGGTAAACAAACACGCCCTTCGCATCGTGACCGGGCGTATGCCGAGGCAGGAGTGCATTTGAGCCAGTTGCTAATACCAGGACGTCGTAGGCAACTTCGGAGCCATCTGCACATGTGACGGTCTTGCGATCCTTGTTGATATCCGTGACTGCCTTGTTGAGATGCCATCCCAACGCATTATCTGTGCCAACGTTGCCCTCGTACCAGGACAATGGGTTCAAATATAGCTGGTCGACCTTGCGATGCTCGAAGAAGGAGGTCAAGCCGACGCGGTTATAGGCGAGATGTGGTTCCTCGCCAATAACAACTATGTCGTATTCGCGGGTACGAACGTCGAGTTTGAGCAGCTTTTCTCTGGCAGGCTGTTAGGGGTGATGTGCTTTGTTGGAAGAAGAGCATGATGGACTGAGGCTTACATGAAGGCAATGCCGACCATACCCAGGCCGACAATCACGACCTTTTTCCTGGAACCGGCTGCCATGGTTCTGGTTTGGTATGCGTGCTATGAAGCTTGGTGATATGATCCTCCAGCAGTCGATAGTCTGTGCGAGCTCTAGAGTGTCAGCACTTAGCAGGTTACTGTGCCAGTGATCACCCAATAGAGGCAGGAGATCTCCGCATAAGCATGTCACGACAACAAGATAGCAGCACACTTTGTGAGGATGGAAGAGGAATAGTTGGAAGCAGCCGAGGGGGAAAATGTGGTGTTGTGGACGGTGAACATGGAATTGGTCGTGGTCTGTCTCTACTCTATCAGTCTGACGGCAAATCAGCAAGAAACAGCATCTCCGAAACCAGCAAGTCTTGGCTGCGACCTGATTGTACAAGCACAGAAGCGCATTGGACTACCATGGGATGGTTTGGGCTGTGCGATATCTGCGACACATGGCATTGCGCGAGCGCAAAGTTCTGCTGCGTGGGTGGACGGAGGCAGCATTTCCACGGGATGGCATCTCCGGGCAGCACTGAGCTTCCAACATCTCCGTCATCACCAGGGGTCATCACGGCGACGGTGGAGTGATAAGGACGGCACCGCCAATCGCGTGTTAGCCATTGCCTAGCTTTATCCACCGTCTCTGAGCTGCCCGCGGAGAAAGATAACGGGCCCACGCCAGAGGGAAAACTGAAAGCTCAAGGACCGTTCCCTGCAACCCCCATCTCTTATCTAATCTGTTATCGCTTATCGCCTGCTTACGACCAGACCACTGACAGTTGCTCCTGCCCAGCCCATGGCCCGCCCGCCCAGGCCTTCTCAATCGACAAGGAGCAGCGTCTCATTCTCATCAATCCCTGGAACTGCAGCATCTCATTATATGTATGCAGTTACCGACCATGCCCTCTGTTGACGATCACCATGCCTTCTCCAGTCCTCAGATGCTGGGCCGCTGTCGATCAAAGTCTTCAATGGGCTTGCCCAGACGGTCCGGTCCGTTGGGTCGTGTCGCGAGGCGAGGCGAGGCGAGTTGTGGAGCTATCACCCTCGCAGTGAGGATGAACAACCCTTGTGCTCACAACGTCCGACTCTCTTCCTCACTAACAATGAATAACGCAGACTAGTCGATGCACGTCTCAGGAGATCGAGGCCGGATGTGCATCGCTCCATTTTCTACGAAGGATGAGCTCGAATCTCGGCTCCGGATGGACTACCTGTGCATCTGCACACTCAGGCGCGTGCCCAAACCATCGTCACTCGGGCACCCGCATCTTGACGAATCTTCCAAGAGGCCTGGGCTTACTCTGTACCACCAGAGGCAGGTGACATCTTTGGGAATGCATTTAATATCCAGAGACAAGATGCTGGAAGTGGTGGGGTTGCTTTCGCTATCCCCTGACCTGCAATGCAACACCGTCGCCCACGGGACAGCTGGTTCATCCCATCTCACTCCCAAGGTTTCTCCAACTGCTCTTCAGTCCCACACCATCAGCCTGGCAGTCATTTTCCCTATAATGTCCATTTCTTGACAGTAATGGCCGATGGAAACGACTGGAACGAGTACCTATGCATCGCTGCTGTGCAACATTCGCGTCCATGCGAGCTGCGAACCGATTCCAAGTTCCACTGACGGCGTTGGGACAGAAGTTGGCCCGCCAAGGTGCGTCTTCTCCGGCATGGCCAGCGGGCAAACATTGGCGCTCGACCATCAACGCATGCAGCTTCTTCGACCCCAGAGACGCGTTAAGGACAAGGATCGCATTCACTCACCTACGCGAAAGTCACCTATCTGACCTAGACCCAGCTCATAATCGTTCCAGTCTGACCACTTGCCGCTTTTCCGTTCTACGGTCGTTCTACGGGGTGCCGGCTCTCCTAATGCTCTGATCGCCCTAGAAGTCAGACCTGTTATTGTTTCGGCTCCTAGGAACTGCCCTGGAATTGCGCGACTCAATTCTCAATCTCTGGTGCTGAGTACTAATGTGGGCGCACTCGGACATCTATAGGACCCGACAAATGGCTCGTTCATCTCCTTAAGGCCATGCCATGCCGAGACTTTCCACGTTGGCAAGCAGGCCATGGCTATGCAAACCTTCTAGCCCCTGTTGTCTGCGCATTACCACGACTCTTGAGCCCCCAAACCCCTCATTCATTATTATGCGGTCTCGCACGCACGTTCGCTCAAAGCAACATGCCAATTTAAGCCAGCACTGCTCTAGTCTCGGCAACGGGCGCCTCCACACTTATCCCCAACAGGCGCAGATCTTTCCTGATCACACTGGACGGTTGCATGGAGCCAGCGCTTGGTCTACTAGTAGAACATCACAACGATGTCCTGCAGCACTACCCATCTGCCGCACACACATACGACTCAGATCCGTCTGGCAAGCAGTATGCTAGATTCCATCACCTGGTGGGCTCACGGTACCAACCAAGACTCGTGACAGTCATCGAGTGAGCCACCCGGCCGAACTTCAATGGCTCATCTTGCATTTGCTCCGGCATCTACACCCGCTTCGAGGTACCCCTTTAAGGTTTTGTTGCCCAACTCATTTGCCGCGCCTAAGCTTACAGCTACTTCCAAGTTCCTTTGCATGTGTCGTCAGTACGCCCCCTGACTGCCCGCTGGTAACGTGGGCCCTCTGCACACCTCCTTCTTGGACCTGCAAGTGCACAGAGCTAGGGCCGAGCCCGGGGCCGGGGACATTAGCAGACAAGGTTCATGATGCCGGTTCGTCCATACAACGACCGTACATGCAGTCTAATTAAGTTTCCCGCACATGCGATCTGCATGTCCCCTGGAGAAGGCTCCGGATTAAAAGTGATGAGCTTTCCCCAGAAATCGTATATGATAAGGCGCTCTGCTCCTCTGCTCTCGACGCTGTCTGTCGTTGATCTGGCGATTCCCTTCGTTTCTAGTCTGTACTAGTCAGTCGCTTTGTCTGTTCGTCATGCATTCTCTAGACTATGTTCTCGCCATATTGGCGACGGCGTCCCACGTAGCTGCGGTCCCTCGCGCGTCCCATGTCCGTGGGAGCTCGTCACCGCCGGTCCAAAGATACATGGGCCCACCCTCGTCCTATGTTTACAACCAGACTCGTGCCGATGCTGTGAAGCAGACATTCCAGATCTCCTGGGACGGATACTACCAATATGCTTTTCCTGGTGACTCTTTGCTGCCCTTGTCAAACACGTTCGAAAACGATCGGTCAGTCCAAGCACTCCAAGCACGCGTACCATCATGTTACAGCCCGCTGACTAGCAAACAGCAATGGCTGGGGTGCCAGCGCCATCGACGCGCTCAGCACGGCTTTGATCCAGGGCAACACAGAGGTTGTCAACCAGATCCTGGACTTTGTCCCAACCATTGACTTCAGCGTCAGCTTCAACGACACTGAAGTGTCTCTTTTTGAGACTACCATAAGGTATGTCTCGCCCGGAAGTATCAAATTTTGTATACGATAGATGTTAATTTGAGACTATAATAGGTATTTGGGCGGCCTGTTGTCCGGTAAGAATATCAACACGGCCCTAATATTACCCTAGTGAGAGATGGAAGTATCCCCAAAACACTAGCTAACAGGAAACTCAAGGCTATGACCTTTTGAAAGGACCCCTCTCAACCCTTGTGAACGATACGAGCAAGGTTGAGTCCCTTCTGGACCAGGCCAAGAACTTGGCCGACAACCTCAAGTTCACTTTTGACACGCCTACCGGCATCCCGGACAACAGTCTCTTCCTCGACCCTCCGAGGATTGGCAACTCAACATCCAACGGTGTTGCAACCATCGGCACGCTCATCCTAGAGTGGCAGCGACTGTCCGACCTGACAGGCGACCCCTCGTACGGCGAGCTCGCGAAAAAGGGAGAGTCTTACCTGATCAACCCTCTCAACCCGGAGCTAGGTGAGCCGTTCCCAGGACTCATCGGCACCGATGTGTCGATCAGTAATGGCTCTTTCCTGGACTCCAGAGGAGGCTGGACGGGAGGCACCGACAGCTACTATGAGTACCTGATCAAGATGTACCTGTACGACCCGGACACGTTCTCGGGGTACAAGGACAAGTGGGTGCAGGCCGTTGACAGCAGCATCAAGTACCTGGCGAGCCACCCAACAACCAGACCCGACCTGACATTTTTGGCTTATTACCGCAATAATACGGACACGGGCATTGTTTACCTGTCGCAGCATCGTAAGTCAACTTTCATTGTTCATTCTTCTTCGGCGGTTGTTTCGGGTGGAAGAGTTGCCCCACGTTGAGTGTGCGGTCGCTGCTTTTGTGAGCCCGGAGGCCGGGGGGAACACAAGCACAAAAGCAGACCACGCGGCGTCGTGTGACATGAGCCACCCGCCCGTATATGCCGGATTTATGCTCGAATGTTCTAGCCTCACTAGCACAACATATTGGTTCCCGGTACTCTATCTGGACATCCCACCAAGGCTAACACAACCCAACAATAAACAGTGGCGTGCTTTGACGGCGGCAACTTCATTCTGGGCGGGCTAACGCTCAACGAGCCGTCGTACATCGACTTCGGGCTGGAGCTGGTGGCGGGGTGCCGCGACACGTACACGCAGACGGCGACTCAGATCGGGCCCGAGACGTTCCGGTGGTTGGGCGAGAAGTCGCCGGCCAACGCTACAGTGCCGCCTGGCAACGAGACCTTTTACGAGCGCGCGGGCTACTACATCGACAGCGCCGATTATGTCCTGCGGCCCGAGGTCATCGAGAGCTACTACTACGCGTACCGCGCGACGGGTGACCCAATCTACCAGGAGTGGGCGTGGGAGGCGTATCTCGCCATCAACGAGACGTGCCACGCGGGCAGCGGGTACAGCGCCATCAACGACGTCAACGTCCCCGGTGGCGGCGGGTTCGCCGACTTCCAGGAGAGCTTCTGGTTTGCCGAGGTGCTCAAGTACAGCTACCTGATCCACGCTGAGGTGAGTTATTGGGCCAGCATTTCTTTCGTCGCCGCCTTGATTGTTTCTGCGCAGCTCCACTGACATCCATCGGTATAGGACGCTCCTTTCCAGGTAAAGGCAGACCACACGAATGAGTTCGTGTTCAACACCGAAGCTCACCCTGTTCGGATCCCTGGTGGGGAGAGTACGACGTGATAGATGGTTCCGGCAGGGAATCTTGTGTGTTCCTTAATTTTAATTCGTACGCATACATACATCTGTGAAGATACATATGCATGGGATAGGAGTCCCTCACTGAATACTACTGTCTATTTTTATTATGGGACGAAGGCCCTGCGCTCCCACATGCTGCCTTGTTGGCCTCTTGCCTTGCACTCTGGTCTCTTGCGTATTGCCACCTCGTATGAAAGTCATCGATCTTGTGAGGCCACAACCTTAGTCGGCCACGATGGGCAGCTGATGCCAGCAGCGTCACAGACCGATGTGCCTCGTCGATGTCGGGAAGTCACAGCACCAAGCTTTCCCTGGCTATCAATTGGCTGTGTCAATGGGGTTCACTTAAACCCAATTTTCGGACTTCCGCTCTTCGATCCTTTTTTTCTTTTTGCAATTTGTTTGTCTGCCAACTCTCTTCGGACATTGACAATCTTGACTTTCGCACACGGACAGGCGGTAAGTATGCCGCTCTCTACTTTCCGACTAAGTTCACGGCTGACTTTCTCGCGGAGATGAGACCGCACCTCCGCTTACTCGGCAATCCTGGGTCACATCGTCGTCTTGTGTGCGCCCGGCCCAGAGTCTGGTGTGTGTCCTCCCCATTGGCCACAGGTCGATTTCGTTGCTGCTTCGTCCTTCTTACCTGCGCCTGGTCTTATGCTGCTTTTGGTCACATGCGTTCACGTCTGGGGCTTCTCTCGAATAGGGCTGTCTGCTGATGGTGCCTGCACGGAAGATGAAGGCCCCGGGTAGGAAGGTAGATCCCTGCTGCCGTGATGACTTTGGATGAGAGGAAAGCTGCGATGGTTAGTTGCTGCTTCGGTCTGATGTCAGACGGTGTCTGCCAGCATAGGCTTCCAGCAATGAAGTCAAGTTACGTGAAGAGGGCAGGCGAGAACTGAAGGCTGTGCGAGTTGTACACAATTCCCTGACCTCGGGCGCGTTTCTGGCCTTTCTAGCAGGCAATTACGCGCCCCACAGATCTTGCTCACATTACAGATTCTTTGCGTCTACATGATCCAGGCTGACGATCACACTGCAAGTAATTGACACCATCAAAGTTGCCTGCATGTGGATGTGAGAGTTTTCAGTATGACAAAAGCTGAGGATATGCAAAGCCATGCATCTCGACACTTTCGTGCCCGGCTCCTTTGTTCTATCATGAGTAGTTGCTCCCCCACGAGCCCGCCCCCGGCCATGCAGCCTCCTTCCGCGGAGGCGTAAAAACAGAGGTCTTTTGTACAGAAGCCACGCCTGACCCAAAACGCCTTGCTGGATGCTAGACCATAAACACGCACGGCAACGCCCTCCCCCCCTTCTCCCCTCGCCAACTCAGAACACCCGCGTCTCACCAATATCGCAAATATCAAACACGCCCTCCTCGGCGATACCCCTGCACTTCAGCGCCTCCTTCAGCCGCTCAGGCGGCTCCATGACGGGCTCGGACGTCAGCGCCCACGTGCCCCAGTGGATGCCCAGCGCGCGGCGGCACCTGGTGTCGCGGAAGATCTCGACGGCGTCGGCGGGCCCCGCGTGGATGGGCGACATGAGCAGGCGCGGCTGGTACGCGCCGATGGGGATGAGGCCGACGTCGAAGGGCCCGCGGAGCGCGCCCACCTCCCTGAAGTCCGGGTTCGTCGGCAGGTGGGCGAGCCGCCCGCCGTACTCGTGCGCCGCGTCCTCGCCCCCCTTGCCGCTCCCGCCCTCGCCCTCGCCCTCGCCCGCCGGTATCGAGCGGTACCCCGTGTCGCCCGCGAAGTAGACCGACTTGGTGCCGGACTTGACCGCCCACGAGCACCACAGCGTCTTCTCGTGGTCGAACGGGGTGCGGGCTGAGCCGTGCTGCGCGGGGAGGCACGACACCGTCGCTGTGATGGGCGGCTTGCTCTCTCCTCCCTCGCCGTTGGCGGCGCTGTCGTCCCCCGGCTGCACAGTCACCTCGGCGTCCTCCCACCAGTCCATCTCCGTGACGTTGTCGATGCCCGACTCGCGGAACCAGGCCGCCAGCTGCAGGCCGACGAAGAAGTGCGCGTCCGGGAACCTCGCCTTGATCTCCAGGAGCGTGGGCAGCGACAGGTGGTCGTAGTGGCTGTGGGAGATGAAGACGGCGTCGAGGAAGGGCAGGTCGGCGACGCCGCACGCCCGGCGCGTGTACCGCCTGGGCCCCGCGAAGGTGAACGGCGAGCAGCGGTCCTCCATGACCGGGTCGAACAGCACGCGCAGCCCCGTCGGGAACTCGACGTAGTGGCACGCGTGGCCCAGCCAGGTGGTCCGCAGCTCCTCCACCTCCTCCTGGGGCCCCGACCCGAGCCGCGAGGTGAGGAAGGTGGGCGTCCGGATCGGCACCGTCTCGCCCTTGGGGGCTGGCATCCTCATGCTGCCGTCGAATTGGCCCCTGGGAGTGAGAGCTGATTAGTATTGTCCCAACTCAGCTCTAATTTGATTCCTGGCTCGTAGGGCCACAGTGCCACCACACTACATATACTTCTCCTTCGGATCTCTAACTCGGTCTCTCAAAACTCTCGCCAGAATCAAAGTGCCATGTGACTTACATGATGACCTTCATAGGGAATTGCCAGGGCTGGAACGCGGTCTTGTACGAAGGGTGAGGATTTCGGAACCGATCAATGCTGCCATCATGATTCTTGACAATGTGAGGCTTGGACTTTGCAGCTTCAGGGGCAGCTCCCAGGGAGGGCTTGTTGACGGATATTGAGTAGGGCATCGCGGTCTTCTTAGCGATGGTGAGTGGCACAGAACTATTAAGAGGCTTAAGCCGCACCCGTGAGGGCAGGCCAAAAAGGCGAGACATGGGGGAAGATATAAGGGCCTCTTGTGTGGGATTTCGGTGGAGGGGGGTGATTGGCTGTTAGTCTGTCTTTGTCTTGTGACATGTGGTGTAGTGGTGAGTAGTGGTGATGCCGAGTCGGGTTCTGCTGAGAGGGAATGAACCCCTAACTCCGAGGGGATGAAGACAGCCACAGTAGTCGTCGTCAACCCCTCGGTGTGCCTGGACCGCCGAGAGCTCGGATGAGAGAATGAGTGAGCCCTTATGAGCTCCTTTTCTCATCCGGATGGGTTCAGGCCGGTCTGGTTCGGTCTGCGGCCTTCTCAAACTCCACTAAATCCGACTGCTTGGGAGATCCACTTGTGGCTGACGGGTGTGGTGGGTACGGCTTGACTTAGAGCTCCGAGCCGCCTCTGAATTGACTTTTAGTACGAATTTCGATGACGCTGTCAAATTGGCCCTGGGAGTTGCTACGCCAATAGCTTGTGCTAGTATGGCAATACCGATTGGGGGTCACTAGACTGCTGCATTACCAAGCAGCTCAGTATATGCGCTTTGTTGTGAACTTTGTTCACGCCGCTAGTGATGCTTCAGCTTCACAATGCCAAAATCATTATCAAATTAGATTTTGTTAACTGTGTAAATTGATTTGGCTAATTTTTTTGTTTGGGTGATTTGGCCTTGACAATAAGTAGTTGAAAGTCTTTCACGTTGGCTTCTGGTACTATGCAACATTCCCTTGCAGCTGTAGGGGAATTCGCGCCTACTGGCCACCCGCAACTTCATATACATATCAGGCCCCTTCCCGTCTAAGGCGACGCGTACTTGTAGCCATACTGGGCCTTGGCATCATCAATAAGCTTCTTGGTCTCGTCTGCCTTCTGCTTCGTCTCTGGGTCTTCCTGGATCTTCTGCAAGAAGGCCTTGTTCCCGAACGGCGATGGGTTGGGGATAGCGAACCCCCTCTGGACGCCGGGGCGCTCGGAACAACGGTCAAGCCAAGCGGCGACATTGGGGAACTGGCCCTTCAGGTCGATACCGCCGAGCACGGTCGCGTTGGCCCAGCCCAGCAGCGAGATGTCGGCGATGGAGAACTTTCCCTTGCCAGGGCCGACGACAAAGTCACGGTCCTTGAGGCGGGCGTCCAGGACGCCGTACAGGCGCTCTGTCTCGCCAACGTAGCGCTGGATAGCGTAGGGGATCTTCTCCTTAGCAAAGCGAACAAAGTGATTGGCCTGGCCTTGCATGGGGCCGACGCCACCGTGCTGCCAGCTGATCCACTGCTCGGCGACGGAGTAGTCATCCGAGTCGTAGGCGAAGCTGAGCTTGTTTTCTGGGTCGTAGTGCTTGGTCAGGTAGGTCAGGATGGGCAGGCCCTCAAAGACGGCAAAGTCGCCGCGGTCGTGGTCAACAATGGCGGGAATGCGGCCGTTGGGGCAGATCTTGGTGAACCACTCCTGCTTCTGGGTGTTCTTCATGATGTTGACGGATTGCCAGACATATTTGGGCGCCTTGTCACCGTAGGCCTCCTTGAGCTCCTCGAGAATGATGCTGGCCTTGTGTCCATTGGGAGTTCCGAAGGTCAAGAGCTCGATGCCGTCGGTGGCGATTAAACCGGTGGGCTCAGGCTGATCGGCCATGTCGTCGGTATTGACCTGGGGTTTGCTGCTATATGGGCGAGAGGCTATGGCAACGGTAGTAGAGCTCAGTTGAGGCCGTCTTGGAATTATATGAGAGTATATGGGTTGACGCTGGGGAGCAAGAGAGGCAAAGGGAGCTGTTGAGATGCGAACAGATAGTCGGCGGACATGTGATAATGATGATGGACGAGTGAGAGAGGAGACAGCCCCTCTTCTTATATAGGTTGCCATGGCCGTGAGTCCAGTCAGTGTTGGGGGAAGCAGAGTCAGTCAATTACGTGAGACATGCGTGCAGCTGCCCGGCTACAACCATTCGAAGCTACCTAACTCTGTTGTGTCTGGGGTACGTATAGATATGTACAGTGCAGTCAGTGGATATGATGCTTTCAAAGCAAGTTAAAGCACCTCCCTACCCCACAGACCTCAGGAAGCTGCCGCCCCACCATAGCTCCTGCAGCCCCATCAGCTCCAGCCTTGTACCCCCCTCCCCCACTGGCCCGTCAGTTGCTTGGCCTACACCAACTGCATTTACAATTACTCAGCAGGGTTTGTAACCACCAAGGAAGGACGACAAATCCAATTCCATCGCCTCGCGCTTCACCATCTGAATTGCCGCGACAATCCCAGCCAAACCTGAGGACTCCTTCCATCCCTCTCAACCGCCATTGGTGTTACCGCTCTCGTGAGAACAGTCCCGCTCTGTGTACTCGAATTGCGACGCGGAAACACACATGGAAAGACACTGTACTTGCCCTTCATGGTGTCGTTCTGCGCCATGGGATCGCCAATCTCATGCCTCTTCACCCTTTTCTTCTGAGGCCGCTCCCTCTCAATTGTCTTGCTACTCTTCTGCCCGTCCACGGGCACGTTCACAGGAACGCAGGGCGCTGGCCTGGGATGGACAAACATTTCCAGCCCGGCCGGGCCAGCTGTCGTCCACGAGCTGCAGCCCTCTCCCCTCTGCTCCGCCTCCACCTTCCTCCTGTTCTCCCTCAGCATCTTCACGAAGCCCTCAAAGCTGAGCCCTGGCCCATCTTCGGCCTTGTCCATGGCTTCTTCGTCGAACCGGACTCGTTGGTGTTTGCCTCGCGCCTCCCGCCGGAGCGACGCGGCACGGCGCTGAAAGCAGCATTTCGAGCATTCGCATTCCGCTGGCCACTTGCCCTTTTCCTCGGAAGTCAGGGGGGCGGCGAATTCCGCGGAATCTAGCACCATGAACTCGGAGACAGGCTCTTCTTGGCCTGGCAATTGTTGAGCGGCCTCCTCCCATCCAGAGGTGTGGTCCATAGAGAGAGGGGCTCGGTACCTATCTGGAACCGGAGAAGAGTTGAGCCAAGTCGAGAAAGTATTTCTCACACCGGCTACTGAAGACTTTGCTTCACTTTGGTCGCCAGCCGTGTCTGGCTGTGCCTCGTCCAAATCTGCCAGTGCACTGTCTCTTCGTTCTGGCTTCTCGGTTTCACTGTCGCCAGCATTCCACCGTTCCTCCAGCTCAGTGAGTCTACCAGCCGAACCGACTGGTGGCTTCCTGACTTGGCTCCCTTGTGCTTCTTCTGGCCACTCGTCGTGCTTGCTCTCGTTCCTCCAAGTAGCGGCAATCCTCGCGGATGTATTGGTGGAGGCGTCAGAATCACCAGCTGGCCAGCCATCCACCATGTCCTCGCGATGGGGCCATTCTTCCCCTTGTCTCAGCACAGCCCATACCCCGTGGGCCGTGATTGATGGGATATCTTCAAGGATGTATGGTTCCGGGTTCATGGGGATGTCTTTCGTGATGCTCACTGACAGCAGTGAATCTGCTGGTAACGTCGGTTGCTTGAGGAAGTTTACCACTGTAGCAGTCTGCTGGCCCCATTTCCGGCGAGGTGAGATGTAGTTGCGCAGGAGAGTGAGCTCATCCAGGCATTCTTTCTTTGATTCCACTTGACGCTGAGTGTCGACATTCTTTCCGTCTTCTTTGGCAACGGAATCAAGTTTCTCGATGTGCTTGATGGCACTCTGAAGTGTTTCTACCCGCTGCTTTCGAGCCGCATCAACGAAGGAGGCGTCGAAGTCGGCGTCGGGGCGCATTGCCTTCATATAGTAGCCTTTTCCGATTTGGGATGTGTTCTTCATGTCTTTTTCACTTATGGAGCAGTCATGGTAGGCTTCTCCCATATTGGCCCCGCCCAAGCCTCTCCAGAGGTCCCATGACGCGCCGAAACTGTACAATAGGCCTTGCAATCTCTGGTCGAGGACTGGATGCCAGTCCCTTACACGACGCAAGTGCTTAGCACGGCCTTCCTCGGATGGGTCTGTAGATGTGACGTCCGAGATGCGCTCAATATCGGATAATGCCTGTGGGCTGTTGCCCGACTTGAGTTCGTGCGGACTCATACTTGCGTTGGGGCTGATTCGATATAGTGTCCAACATGTCATGATACGGTAACTTAGTAAAGGTTTGGTCATAAAAGGAATAGTACCCCAAGAGCAAAAGAGACTCAAGACTTTGTGTGTCTTCATTACCTGCAATTAGTTTCTTTTTTGGTGAATTCCTCGATCTAGAGGCCACTAGGCACACTCTCACAAGTTCAATTGCTCTAGAGTGGCACCGTCGCTCTCTATAGACGCAACTATGGGCTACTAAACATATCATTATATTCTGCGCAAGCATATGGCACTTTCCACTGTTGCGCAGCCCCATCCGGGTCCTCGCCTTCCTCGAGCGCAGGACTTCGGATTGGGTTTTGACAACTACTAATCACGCCACGACTGGTACATTACAAGTTTTTTTCTTTTTTCCTTTTGTATGGTATTGATACAGGCATCTTGTGTACTCAAAACTAAAGAGCTTGCACGATGAGGAGTTCCTGTGCGGCTCCTGTTCATGGCTGCCCCGGTGTGTGTGTGTGTGTGGCTTTCTAAGGCCTTGGGGCAGATCTCCCTCCCGCCCACTCTTACGACTAGTCTACTGTACGTATCTGGAGACTTGAAATGATAATAGGAATGGGCTTATAAGCTAAACCCAACTGGTGATTACGTCTTTGAAACGGCAACGCGTGGCGCACGTCTGGGTAATGCAGTAGGTGACTTTCACGGGGCTCACGTGATACTTTTCGGAGCTGCTAGTATGTATAGCTCGCGCGCGAGAGGCGAGGCTACTATTTTATGGATGTGCGTTGGGTCTTGCCTCCTCTTCTCTGTTTGTGCTTTCTGTTTTAAAAGAGAAGGGGGGGGGGGACGGTGGACACGAAGATTTGATATCGAGTCTTTCTCAAATATTTTACTCTTGTGCAATTTCTGTTTCGGGACGTAACGTTCACTTTATCGGTATCACAGAAGTGCCTGAAAAAGATCTCTGGGCACGTGGACGAGGCAGCAGGGACGAGATGGCGCGCAGCAGCGCGCCAGAAGCAACTAGGCGTGACAAGTCACAGCAGATAGAAGGAAATTGGTAAAATTTTCAGAAGTCATCAATTGATTTGAAGCCACGTATGTGGAAAGAGAATACCGCGACAACCTAACGTACAACCTGTGGAGACTTAAATCCTGGCCTCGTCTCGCGTGAACATTCCAAGAGTCCAATAATAAAACGGAAACGCCTCCCTCTTGATGTTCGGTCCGCCCATGAAATAGCCTCATGATACGCATCCGTGCTTTTTTGGTCCCCCCAGGCATCGAAACAAAACGAAAGCAAGCATATGTCGAGGGGGGTGGGAGTTAGCGAGCACTCCCAAGTCCACCAGACCAGGCCACCAATTTTTTTTTGCGACCTAGGCTGCTAGGCCCCCCTGGCGTCCAAGTGTCGAATCACTCTTGAGGCACCCTTGTATCGAAATGGGCAGGGAACATACCCAGGGCGGCCAAGATCGGCACGACTTATACATGCGCCCGTCCTTGAAAAGTCGTCCAAAACAATCGGCCACAGACTTTAACTTAGGCTCCTGGTGACTCGAATGCGTGCGAGAACGTCAGAAAACATGTGAGTGATCTGAAAACCAACCAGGTTACTCAAGATTTTGATCCCTTCCAAACCCTTTCCCATCATCACCCTGGTCCTTCCTTGTTCGTTAAGAATACGTGAAAATCGTGCGCATCTATAAATCAGGTCAAGGACCGCGCGGGTTCAAGGATTGGAATGGTAAGTTACCAGTAACGGCGGTCGTAATCGCGTGGAGGGTAGTATCCACCTTCCCTGGGGTACCCGGCTTCGCGAGGAGGGAAGTCTCGCGGAGGAGGAGGGTAGTCGTCGACGGGACCGCGACGGGGAGGAGGATAATCATCCATGCGACCGCGACGAGGAGGTGGGTAGTCATCCATGGGGCCGCGGCGAGGCGGCGGGTAGTCATCCATGCGGTATCTGGCAGCACGGTCATCGTAGTAGTCGCGACGAGGAGGGCTTCTGTCGCGGTAGTCGCGGCGTGGGCTCCAGCCGCCTGGTGGGCCACGGCGATCCATGAACTCATCCCGTGGAGGGTATGGACGGCGGGGACCTGGTGAGCGGGATCGACCGCGGCCGTCTCGTGGTGGGAAATCAGGCTGGGTCTATACTAGGTCAGCAACAGGGGAACAGTAGTGCAGGCTGGGGGTGACTCACATTCGCGACACAGGTTACGCGCTGGTCCTTAAACTCGCGAGCATCAAGAGCCTCGACGGCCTTTTTGAGATCGGCGGCAGTCTCAAACTCCACAAAGCTAATGAAGAAGGGTCAGACCAAGACTTGCAAACGGAGAAGCGCACATCGGCGGAGGGGCTGCACTCACCCTTCGCCGTTGGAGTTGCGACCGGTCTCCGAGTAGACGACATCACAGCCAGATTGACGGGCGAAATCTTTCAGGTCCTGCGTCCAGAGAATCCACGTAAGTTGAAGTCCAGGTTCGAGCATGGGGTTGGTTGAAGCGGCCGTTCCCCAGGCACAGGCCTCCGCAAGCAAAGTGAAAAATCCAGGGCCATTCCAAGAGCGTCTGAGGTTGAGAATCCAGCAGGGAGGGGGGTGAAATCCTCGCAATCACGTCTCTCCAAAACAGTCCAGATATCAAACACGCCAGGAACTCCAAGTCCACCGGAGGAAGACGCACTGCAGTCGTCCTGAGGGGGGAGCATGTCGTCATGGAGAGGGGAGAGCGCAGCGCAGTACAATCGAATCCCACAAAAGCTGGCCACCTATCCAGAGACACAGATGGCTGTTGCGACGGGCATCCATGAATCCGGCAGCAAGGAATAGGAGGAAGAACAGACCTGCCAACTGGTATCGGTGGGAAGACCACTAATTTGCATCCTGTGAGGAGTGCGACGGGGACGAGGGGGCGCGCGCTCATTGGCAAACCCGCCGGGGCCGCCGGGGCCGCCATTCTCACGGTGGCGCGAACCTCGGGCGAATTGGACAGTCAGGCGCTCGCCCATGAAGGTGGATCCATCTTGTTGCAGACAGTAATTAGCCAGGGCTCAAGCGGGACGGATCACGGTGGTGGTGGCTGGTATCCAGGGAAGAGGTCGCGACGTACGGAAAGCTGTCACGGACACGAGTGTTAGCCAATTGCCAAGTAGAGAGAGATAAGAAAATCGTGGAAGAAGTTGGCGCGAGGGGAGGGCGAGGGTGATGGGGGACGAAGGGAGGGGTGGTGATGGTGTAGCTTGCTTACCTGGGACAACATCGCGGGCGTCCATGGCATCTTTGTACTCGATGAAACCGAAACCGTTCATAAGCTTGATTTCGGTGATGTCGCCAGTGCCATGGGACGCGAAGTGGGCCTCAACATCAGCCTTGGTCGCTAGAGACGAGGTTAGTGAGCGGGTTTGAGGCGAGAGCGCGGCGCGCGGGAGCACACAAGTCGAGGCGCAAAGGGCGAAGGTGAGGCGGGTTTGCGATGGCGGGTGGGCTTACCATTGCGCGGCAGGTTGCCCAGGTACAGGCGAGTGGATGACACTTCGGTCATGTTTGCTGCGATCTGTTTTCCAGGCGATCAGGTCATGCAAGGGAAGGGATTGGACTGGACTGGACTGGATTGAATCGAGTTGAGGCGAAGTGAGGCGACAGACGGGAGAGAAATGGCACGGGAGGAGGGCAGCCTTATCGCGGTCCAAGGTGGGAGGTGGTCTGGTCTGTCTGGAATGGTATGGGATGTGCTGACGGTCCGCGACAGGCCGTGGGGAAAAGTGTGGAAAGAGGGACCAGTAGCTGGGCTGAGCTTTGGGTTCCAAGGTTTGGTAGTCTGGTATGGTCTGGTCTGGTTGGGTTTGGGTTTGGGTTTGGGTTCAGGATTGGGGCAGGCGAGGATCCAAAGCAAGGTAGCAAGGCCTTTTGCAGCGGGTCCAGACGGGGGTAAACAAACCGATGCTCGTGTCGCACAAGGTCCTTTTTTTCTTCAATGCCGAGTCGTACTTCCAGTTGCCTACGATGGTACAGGTGAGGCAGTCGTTAAAGATCCTTGACTGCTCGACTGAATACCTCGAAGATTGGGCGCGCGAGGTGCAGGTGGTAAGAGAGAAAGGAAGGGAGGGAGGGACGCGGGAGGAGGAGGAGAGGGGTTTGGCGAGGTAGAGGTCGGTCCTACCTTGGAAAGCTCTCAGGCTGGCTGGTGGCTGCTCTTGGGTGCTGCTGCTAGGTGCTGGGCTCTGGACTGGGCCGGCCTGGGCTGAGTGAGCTGCCTGCCCTCCATCTGCCCGTCTGAGCACGAGGGCAATCAATCGAGAGCTAGAGCAAGCACCGAGGACTGCAGGCGCACGGGCCCCAAAGCAAACGTTCACAAGCCAGCCCACCTGCCCATTCTCACTTCTAGGTAGTGCTGTAGTACCGTTACAGCACCGATTTGTTCCCCTCCCACTGCAGGTACCCAGATATGGTACATGGGTATCTGGTATCCATGGTACCTAGCACCCTACCTAACACCCTAGACTTGTAGACTAGCACCCCCACTCGCTTGTCCTACTTGCAGCGCTATTATCACGCAAAGCAACCTCGACGAAGGGCAGGAGGAACCCATGGAGAACTGCGCCGCTGCAGCTGCAGCTGTCCTCTTTCTTGGACCCGTCTTGGCACATGGTAGATACGGTAACTGAACCCGCTGCATTTCGGATTCCACCGGCCGACCACCCTTCTTCTCACAATATTACCCCCTGGTAACTGTGCCAGGGCATCCCTATCTCGACATCCATGATGCTCATTGCTACACCTCTTTTCTCGAGGCTAATATGTCCCTGCCCCGGTTAATCTCTCTCAATGATACATACGTCTCACCATTCTGATAGATAATGGCAAAAAGGGCCAAAATGGCAAAGAAGGGCCACCGTGGCTTACAACCGCGGGCGATGGTGCGGGCCAAGCCTCAAATCATCCGAAGTCCAGACAAGACAAGCTTCAGGATCTACCTTCGGAGGGAGGGGATGGCACTTGCTCCCGTGCTCCCGTGCTCCCGTAGGAAGCAAGCAAAAAGACGGCCCAGGAAGATCTTGACACGGGATCGGCACCAGCGCGTGCCAGAAACAAATAAACTCCCCGACTCCCACGCCTTGGCAGTAGAGAAGCAAAAATGCAATCTTCCAAACACAATGGGTGAATGCTATTGACTTTTCTCGGCCCTAACACAAAAGGTGACAACTTTGAAGAATGAGGCTGAGCCGTCTCATAAAGAGGCTCGAATCCGGCATAACCGTGGACGCCCAAAGAGATCCCCAGTCCGGTTTCAGCGCAACCATTGCCCTCCACACATGGGAAAATTCCCGGTACGCACCCATCAATCCCATGCGACCCGAGCCAGGAAAACGTGGCAAACCGCAACGAGGCAGCTCCGAAATATAACCAGACTTTTTGGTCTGACACAGCATATCAACGGGCCCGGAGCCCAAACCCTTCGGCCAGGCCGACAGAAGGGATGGAACTGCATAAGGCCGCTCGGCGGCGGGTGCGGTCATGCTTCCCAATCAACATCGCTGGAACAAACAACACAGCACAGAGGACACAGGAAGGAGCATAGTAAACACGAAGGACGAAGGCGCCTAGCTCAATATTTTCTCAATGAGGCTCCTGTCCAAAAAAAAAAAAAAAACGCCCACGCTATGCCACGCCGCCCAGGCAAAAAGTTTCCGCATCGTACCGTTCATTCCGTGCAGGGGGTCCATATCATATCTAGCATACTACCTCTCATTAAAGAGTATATCGATAATCTCGTCCATAATCGTAAAGGCAAGGTGTGCACTGAGAGGTTCAGCTAGTCAGCATAAAGGAGAGAGACAGGTGAAATGGAAAAAGAATGTTGGGGGAGGGGGGCGGGGTTGCACGCAAACTTACTTCAGCCGCTCATTGTTCAACGTCGCAAAGATCCTCCTGCTCGCCGCCTGCGCGTTCACCCGCCCGACCACGCTGGCCGCCAGGTCGGGCACCAGCGTTGCCAGCATGAGGCTGGCTTCGGTCCGCGTCTTGGTCTTCTCGCCCCTCGTGCGCGCCCTCCTCCCTGCCCCGAACGGCCCGCCCCCGGGCCACAGGCTGTCGCGCAGCAGGGACACGTACCGCACCACCGCGTCCTCCTGCACCAGCACGCGCACGTTGTCGCGCAACTTGCGCTCAATCGTCCCACCCAGCAGCTGGTGAAGCACTACCACCACAGCCCGCCCACGCAGCCAGTTGTTGCCCCGATTCAGCTCAAACACCTCCAGGAAGATGTCGCAGATCGGCTTGACGAACGGCTCCGCATCTAGCTGCTCCCTGCCCTCGGCCCCGGCCTCGAACGCGTTCAGCTCTGCCTCGGCCTCCGCCGCCGTCGCCGCGTCTGAGCTGCTGGCTGCCGGGTCGATCATGCCGTTCACGCCTTGTAGGCCGGGGCCCATCGTGTTGATCTGGCTTGTGGCCGCCGCGATGAGGTTCTGCCCCGCGACGGATAGCTGATCCAGCACTGGTATGCTGCCCAGGATGTCCTCCATGCCGTCCGTCACAGAATCGTATAGCCGCGTGATCATGTCCTTCCTATTGTGCTCGTGGCTCTCCGCCAGGTCCTGCATGATGACGCTCTGTGAGAGAAATGCGCGTAGCTCCCGGCTCCGGCACACATCCGGGAGGAGCAGGAGCTCTCGAAGGTATTTCTCCAGCGCCTGACGTCGTTTCTGCAGGAAATCTGACTGGAGCTTCATTACCACGCGTCTCCTTGGGAAGTCGAGGCTGCGGACGGATGGATACTTTGATCGTAATCTCTGGTGGAGCTCGTGAAACTCGCTGTACCGGCGTGTTATCATCCAGGACGCCGCGGGCATCTTCTCTCCCGCATTACGAGACACCTCGATGACGTAGATCGCGAACTCTTTGCCATCCTCCTCGTGCCCAACCTGTATACCTTTGATCCTGATCATGGAGCGGCCGTACAAACTGTTATCGCTTTCCTGCACGACGTACTGCTGCCTTTGTAACTCTTTCCGCCGTATTTCTCTTTCCAGACTGGCTTTGGACTTGCGCAAGATCCTTAATTCCGCCATGTTGTTCGTTAATTCCGCCTTCTTGAGCAGCGAATCCACAACAGCATTCTGCGCCTCCAGCCGGTCGATATCAGTCGTGAGAACAGTGACTGCTTCGGCCAGTCCGAGATCTCCCGGTGCGGCTTCATGAATATCGCCTACGTCGTCATCTTTCTCGGGTTCATCCCCGTCATCATGCTCGTCCGACATATACTTGTTCTCGTCCCCAAAAAGGTCGTCATCCACAAACACACCAATGCGGGAATGAGCGCTGACGAGGCCAAGGGACGAGAGACTGGGCTTTTCTGGCTCTTTGCCCGCACGGCCGGCGTCGAGTGACCCACGTTTCGAGTTTGTGTCATTGTCTGAGAACACGAGCGAGTCTGCGTCACCTTCTCCAAAGAGAGACTTTCTCAGGTCTTCCGAGGTAGCTGGTCGGGTATCCTCCAAGATGTTGCTTAAAGCCTCCTCCATGGCAGCAACTACCTTCTTGTCAGGTGGCTGCGGCCCGGTATTCTGGTCCAGGCTTGCGACGCTCTCAGCCAATCCATCATGCTCAAAATCTTCGTCGTCAAAGAGTGGAGTTGGAGAAGTGTCATCATAGGACCTGCGGGCATCGAGGGACCTTCGAGCCTCCACCGACCGTCGACGTTCTGGCGCAACATCAAGGGGACCAAGATTACCATTAGATGATCTCAGGTCCGAAGAAGACTCGGCGCGTCGACTCTGTAGCTTCGTATTTAATTTCGGACCCAATCGAGACAATGGACCTGGTTTGCCAGCAAAGGCACTGACTGTCCTGGTCATAGGAGGTGGCTGAAGTTCACCAGAAAGCCTACCAACGGGCTGGGGTTTGCTTTGAGAAGCCTCCTCCGCTGCGAGACACTTGTACCATAAATCCGATTTTTTGAAGTTTGGGAAATGCCTCGATTGCATCTCCTCCAAAACAGCGTTCTGGGCACGTAATATCGCTCGCCGTGCCCGGTAGAATTGCTCTGGTGTGGCCTTCTTTCTAGCCTCGAGAAATTCTCGCACCGTGCGTTTGGAGGGATCTGGGACTTTAAGCTCCGTTTTTGACAGATAGGCCTGCTCGATCTGGGCGAGATCCAGCCTGTCTGATTCCGTCCATGGTGGCAGTGTAAGTGGAAGGTTATCATCGTCATGAAATTCCTCAAGAGGATTCCGAAACCCGTCCACTACCAGCCAGAATTGCACCAAGCTCATCAACCGTTGCCTGTCCATGTACTCCATGAAGTAAGAAAGCCCTGACGCATCGCGGAGAAGCTCCGCAAGTGATGCATTCTCCAATCTCGACTCTGCAGGTGTGCTTGAGCCCAGATCCGCTGAGAATGCCATCCCTCGCTTGTTCCCACCAGCAGCAAGATATTGCACCCTCTGGTCCAACAGCCTCTTGCCCATGTCCAGACGGCGAAGGTAGACGGGGTCCTGCCCGTCTTGCTGCGAGTCCCTCTTGAGCTGGCTGGTGACCTCGCTTCTGAACCGCCTCGCGTCTGATAAGTTGTTCACCTTTCGGACAGTCCTGACGAATCTTTCGAACCTCCTCTCGCTGTCACCAGGTGCCAAGCGCGGGAACTGGGGTGACTTGCCGGGTTTGGGCGATGGTGCGTGTTGGTCTAGAGCTGCGCGCAGTTTCCTGACCGTGGAGCGATCCTGTAACATGCCTCGCCCATAATTCTCCATCAGCTGGTTCCAGGTGTCAGGATCGGACAGGAGTTGTAGAACAGGAAACAAGACAGCGCACGCGACTATTTCGCGAATCAGACTGGAAACAGCTCGGCTGCTAATGATATTTTCCGGCAACACGTGTGGGAGGATCTTGGTGGTGGTCTGGCGGAGGTAGTCCTGCTGTGTGAGCTTGAGGTCCGAGTACGACAGACTGGCAGCCGGGTGGATCTTCCCATCTCTGTATTTTGATGCGATAGCCAGGTCGAGCTCTTCTGACTCTGTGACGGAGCGATTGAGTTTATGACCACGTATAGCCCTCTCAGCTTCGTTGAAGTCGTGAAAGTGCGCCGTCATAATGGGGACGATCCTGGTGGTCAGGACCTCGGGCAGGTCCAGCTGGGTCAGCCGTTCCCGCAAGTCTTCGAGCGCGCATCGGATCGCTTTGTCCACCTCGTTTCTGAACACAGGCTTCTCGCTAATCTTCGAGTACCATGACCACACGAAGTCGCGCGTGATCAGGTCGAGAACGTTGTCGAGCGCCTCGGAGATCTTTGTCGACGTATCGCAGAGCGGCTTCTTCGTGTAGGACTGTCGTTTTCGTAGCGCCTCGAGCTCGCTGCTCCATTGTTTTCGACCGAGGAACTTCGGTCCATGTGGCCGAGGAGAGGGCCGTGGGTTCTTGTGGTCCAGGCCCTTGGATAGTAGGAGGGTGATGGCGAAGAGCGCGAGTAGGCAGGTCAGAAATCCGGCGATGAAGGCATGACCAGCCCAGCGGATTGCGGGCAGCCAGTGGGTGGCATAGCCCCAGGCGATGAAACTTGCAATAGCGGCAAGAATCACATCTTTCCCCTTCAGGGCCATAGTCCGTTCATCGAAGAGCCAGCTTGTGAGAGTCGCCACATGGTTCGATGCGTCGGGGGAGCATGAGTATATGATGTAGATAAACAGGCACAGTCGAGCAGCTTATCGATAGATGCAAGCAGCCGACGGGGTTTGGGAAGCTTCCCCTGACCGGCCTCCGGGAGTAACTGTGCGCAAGCACATCACACACTGTAGATTCCCAGCTTCCCGCGTATAGCAGTACAGTGCAAACTCAAAACTTGGACCGTAAACACCCATTCGGGGCAGCTGACTTCATGTGATAACATGTAGTCTGTCGATGCCAATACCTGGCTGTTTATGGAAATGTTTGGGTATCCTGTCTTCCTGCTATATCCGTCATGACATCCACAACCCCAAGGCCCGAAAGCTCGTTTACCATTACCATGGAGGATCCTCGAGTCGTCTGTACAGAGCAACAAGCTTGAGTCCTTGGTTCCTTTCCACCTTCTTGCCCTCTTCCGTCTCAGTCCTCATGACGCGGACACACTCATCCTTCTCCTGGTCCTCTTCCGAGACCCTCTCAAAGGCAGGGTGTGCCTCGAAATGCGACACCATCCACTCATGCAGATCCTTGACATCGGTGATTGTGTACACGATACCACCAGGCTTCAATACGTATGCATACTCCGAGTTCAGCTGCGTAGACACAATGCGCGCCTTGTGCTTCTTGGCCTTGAAATGCGGATCCGGGAAGCAGATGAAGATCTTCGACAGCTGTGACTTCTTGAAGAAATTTGGTAGGAATTTCATGCTGTTTGCACGCAGGCAGGCGATGTTCTGGTAGCCGTTGCTACCCTTCTGTCTGCTCTGGTTCCGCAGGGCCCGGATCTTGTCCTCGACGTAGTCTGTGACTTGAGCCCTGATTTCGAGGCCTATGTCTGATTAGCTGGCTGCCTCGCGACGACTCAGATGCGAAGACAAAAAAGCGTACCCAGGCAGAGCGTGTCTGGCATGACGGGTGACAGGGCCATAAGCAGCCCTCCAAAACCACATCCTATATCCGCAACCTCGACGTCCTTGGTCAATTTCTTCGGCTTGATGACTGCCTTCACGGTCTGCCCGCCCTGCTGCATCACAACCTCGGTGGCTTCATTGTCCTGGCCTTCTACGACATACGCCGGGTACATCGATGACCAGTCCATAAGGTCTGGGCTCGCAGGGCTGTTTCACGATCAGCTTCTATCCTCTGTGACCCACGTTGGTAGGAACACTTACTAGATGAGTCTGTGATCTGAGAAGGGGTTCGCGTGAGCCCTCTGCCTATAGAACTTCTTCCTAGGCAGCTCCGTTGAGTCTTCATCTGCACGATGCGCCGCGCGGTATGTCTCGCGCTTTTGGCGCTTCGCCGCTGGCCCCACCATGTTGTGATACTCGAAGTGATTTCGAGCACAAGGTCAGAGTGTTTATATGCTGCAGCAGGTTTGGTTGAAAAAGAGTGCGGACTCAATGTCAAGAGCCCATCTTCACAAGCTGATTGAAGCGTCGAAATTTGGCTGAACCCAACCAAGCATGTGGGGCTCACTTTTCAAGGGTCCGCCCAGCTCCCATCAGGGCCCTTGCCGAAGCTACCTCCTGCAAAGCCCCGCGATCGGCTCAGCTGCAGCTTGACATTTTTCAGTATCAACCTTTAACCCCTCCATCTTGCCCCATATTCGAATGACATCGTCCCTACTCTTCACTGACTGACTGACCACCTTGAATCCATTCTGCTAGTTGTCACTCAAAGTTGCAGCACCAATTGATCTACCAAGATGGCGTCGGCAAAGCAAGTTTACATTGGAATTATCGGTACGTAAACAACTGCATTTCGCAGCTGCCAGTGTCTCGCAATATTAACAGCTGTACACAGGTGCCGGTGGTGTAGGAAAGGCCTTCCTCTCACAGCTCGAATCGCTCGCCAAGCGCCGATCAGGCCCCCAGCTCGTCCTCTGCTACATCTCCACCTCCTCCAAGTCCCTCTACAACAGCAACTATGCCCCCCTCGACATCCCCAGCGCCATCTCACAGCTCCAGACCAACAGCGTCGGCGCGCCGCCCACCCTGCCCAAGGTCGTTGAATACCTGGCCTCCGTCCCCAGCGGGTCCAAGGCCGTGCTCATCGACAACACCAGCAGCCAGGACGTCGCCGACTCGTACCCGGCGTTCCTCAGCCGCGGCATCAGCGTCGTCACGCCCAACAAGAAGGCCTTCTCGGGCAGCTACAAGCTGTGGCAGGACATCTTCGGCGCCGCCGCGGCCAGCGGGGCCAAGGTGTACCACGAGTCGAGCTGCGGCGCGGGCCTGCCCGTCATCTCGACGCTGAACGACCTGGTGGCCACGGGCGACGAGGTCACGCGCATCGAGGGCGTCTTCAGCGGCACCATGTCGTTCCTCTTCAACTCGTTCGCGCCCACCGAGGGCGCCGGCGGCAAGTGGTCCGCCGAGGTCAAGAAGGCCAAGGAGCTGGGCTACACGGAGCCCGACCCCCGCGACGACCTCAACGGTCTAGACGTCGCGCGCAAGCTGACCATCCTGGCGCGGCTGTCGGGGCTGCCCGTGGAGTCGCCCACGTCCTTCCCCGTGCAGAGCCTGATCCCCAAGGAGCTCGAGTCGGTGGCTAGCGGCGACGAGTTCCTGCAGAAGCTGCCCGAGTTCGATTCCCAGATGGAGGAGGTCAAGGTGTCTGCAGAGAAGGAGGGCAAGGTGGTCCGGTTCGTGGGGAGCATTGACGTGGCCAGCAAGGAGGTCAAGGTCGGCCTGGAGAAGTTCGACCGTTCACACCCCATAGCGGCGCTCAAGGGCTCGGATAACATTATCAGCTTCTACACTAAGCGGTACGGAAGCAACCCTCTGATCATTCAAGGCGCGGGCGCGGGCGGTGAAGTCACCGCCATGGGTGTGACAAGTGATCTCCTCAAGGTGCTGTCCCAGATATAGAAGGGCCGGAACCATTACCAGCATCATGAGCCTAGTCATACCGACGCCATCTGAAATATCAATAACGCTGAAAATAAATCATGCCTGTGGCCATCATGGAAACCAAACTCCTCGCTTCAACATTGTGCGTGTTGCCCCGTACGCCATTGCCAGGAACGTTGTTGGATTTGTAGTGCACCAAAAAGATGTCTGTATATCGCTCGTCATTCCGTACATCCTAGGACGTGGTAACTGGGTGCTTGAGTGATTCGCGTCTTCGTCTCCGTGACGGGTTGGCCGTGACGGGCGGGCGGATCAGGCGCCAGATCCAGAGGAGGAAGTCGAAGCATATCAGGGCAACGAGTGGGAGGAAGAAGGACAGCGCCAGTATCAACTAGGAATTTTGTTCAGCAATTGATATGACAGTCCCGGGAATAGTTTGTCGCTCTACAGCCAAGACAGCGTAAGACGGAGACGGGTAGGGGAACTTACGAAGCCCCACGATATGTACTGCATCCAGGATGTCGAGCTGGATACCACATTCCATTCCACGATCTTGGACCGCACAACTGACACGAATTCGGGTAGAGACGCCATGCTCAGAGGGATGTGGACGCGCATCTGGGTCAATGTCGTGATCACTCCTGGAGTCGCGACTCAGGGAGCTTAGCTTCGCTTGCTGGTTCGCGGATTTCCCGGTCGCTTGGGAACTGTAATTGGGTTTGGCGAACAGACGTCGCTTGGGGCTTGGGGTATCAGTCGATAGATATCTATTGTCCGACTGGACGGCGTGGGGGTTGTTGATTCTGTCTTGATCGTGGGCAAGATGGAACAAGTCTCACAACAGCCAAACAAACAACCGATAAGGTGATGCTGCGCATTGAGTGAGACAGGGAGGCAGAGAGATTGGGTGAGAATTGACCAGTAAATAAATACGCAGCCTACGTATTTGGGTGTCGCCCTGGCCTGGGATGTCGGATTTGGGTAGCAGTAATCAAGAGTGGCATGCTTTTCTTAGCGGCCCACCAAATTTCCACCCCAGCGGCCCAGCAAAGCCTCGGCAGCCTGGATTGCGGGAAGGGAGCAGGGGCCACGGTGGGTGGGCCTGTCACTTCAGGGCCCCGCCCTGCAGATCGTTCATTAGCGAGTGACGTTGGCTCCCTGTGATGCTCGTACCCATTTTTTATCATCAGACTTCACATGCCAAAACACCACCTCAACGCACCTCAATGCATCTCAGCTAAAACAGAAAGGCCGCGGTCTCTCCGTCCGGTAGACTAGATTACTACTCCACAAAGATTAAAAGTATATCTCTGCATCGTATCACGAACACCAACTCTCCGTCCCCATCAGCCCACGCATAATGCCACAGGACCCCAACCTCTACGGCCAGCGGCCCCCAAAGCGCCAGAAAAAGGAGATCGCCCTCCCCAGCTCCCTCGCCTTCTCCTCCGAACTCTCCTCCCTCATCGCAAACAAGTCCTCATCCTCCTCTACCTCAGCGCGCCCACGACCGTCCAAGTCAAAACCAGATATCTTCGCCGGTGTGAAGGCGAAGCGCAAAGCAGAAAAGCAGGAGCGCGAACGCGACGAGGGGAAGCTGGTTCTGAAGGATGCGGTTGGCACAGAGGACCAGAAGAAGGAGAATGAGGCTGCCAGGCGTAGGATGGAGGAGAAGGCGCGCCTGTACGCAGCCATGAAGAGGGGCGACTATGTCCCGAAGGAGGGCGAGGCAGCGCCCCTGGTCGACTTCGACAGGAAATGGGCTGAGGCACAAGAGGACGGCAAAAACGAGTCTTCGTCCGAGGACGATAATGATGACGACGGTGACGACAATGTTGACCAAGAGGTCATCGAGTACACAGACGAATTCGGCCGCACGCGGCGGGGCACGAAGGCGGAGATGGCGCGCATGGAGCGGCAGCAGCGAGTGCGGGCGTACGCGGCGCAGGAGTCGGAGACGATGAGCGCGCGGCCGAAGGCGCCCGAGAAGGTCATCTACGGCGACGCGATCCAGAGCGAGGCGTTCCACGCGGCGGACGAGGAGAAGATGGAGGCGCTGGCGCGGAAGCGCGACCGCAGCATGACGCCGCCCGAGATGAAACACTACGATGCCGACAGCGAGATCCGCACTAAGGGCACCGGGTTCTTCCAGTTTAGTAAGGATGAGGAGACGCGGCAGAAGGAGATGGTGAGCCTCGAGGCGGAGCGGCTGAATACTGAGAGGGAGAGGGCGAGGAAGGACGAGGAGAAGGAGAAGAGGAAGCGGGAAATTGAGGAGCGGAGGAGGGTCATTGAGCAGAGGAGGAAAGAGCTGGGTCAGAAGAAGGCTAGGAAAATAGCAGAGAATTTCCTGGACGGGCTGGCTGCTGATATGGGCGACGGCGAGGAGACCAATGAATGAATAATATTTATGATACATGATCCCACCAAGACGATGCGTACACACAAGTCAGACGCGTCCGTCCCATCTCTGTTCGCCATATGCTCTATAGTTCATGGACCACGATGTTTGTCCTCGAAATATTTGCTCGGAGTACGCCATCTACGGCCAGGCATGTGGTCATTAATGCTGGGCTCGCGCTTATGTTGTCTGTGCGGAGATTCTCGAAAACTGACAGCAATTCTTGTGAATACAACGTGGAAATATTAGTCATTGTCATCTTCAATCTCGCCATTCTGAGCAGTGTTGTAGGATCAATGTAACTCACACGCAGACAATAGACGGGAGGAACATACGCTCGGGTCCTCTACACAGAACATTTAATTCAGCAGGGAATGGTCCACCACCAGAACCGTCTTCATCTACACAAGACCGTCCTCCTCACTCTAACATTCCGCTTTCACGATATAGCATAAGCACTATGAATGCGCTAGGCTGAGACTACAGGTATAAGTTGCTGTTCTTGAGCTTCCCACCATGGTCCTTGATAGAAAATTCCCGAGGACTTGTCCAGTTTTTATGTTGTTCGTATCCTCTGACCGATCACTATCAACCTCACCCTAGCCAGACTACAACCACGCTCTCTCTCAGGAGCTATTCGTAAAAATATGCTGCCCTTGGACCATTGGTAGTGTACAAGTGTACAACCTCGTCATCGCAGCCTATGCGTCTATACGGCAAGTTCTGTTCATACCTGATACTCAAGAATCTAACAAAACCCATGGACCTTTCGGTTCCGAACCCATACTATTTACTTCTCAGGAGATCTTCAGCCCCAGGCCATTGGAGAGATGACACCGGCCCAGGATATCTTTGCTGGCTCATTGCAACTGCTTAGTCACCACCAAAGTTCACCAAGTGTCTCGCCTCACACTGCGTGGATGAAAACTCCCACCTGTCGGAGTTACTCCCAGGTAATGTTATGAGGGAGGGAATGAAGACGACTGCATGAGCATCTTGGTGCGGGTCAGGGCTGGGTTCGACAATCCAGTGAGCCTCAGAATGCTCCCTCGACGGAGCCCAAGTCCACCCTACACCATCCTATGCAAAGAGACACCGCAATGTATGAGTTTACGAACTAGGTACGAGTCTTCCTCATATCACAGACAGGATCATCGTGCACATGCTCAATCTATCTTCAGATTCTTCTTTATTCGTTCAGTCACGCACCCCGTCTTCACAGGTGCGTCCCAGCTACGTAAGACAATATACATTCGGGGAGCCTTTAATTCGTATGACTCCTTCTCAGCCTCCAGTCTGGCAGTGATGATGATGATGATGATGAATCACTCATCCTCGGTCTCGGGCAGCATCGTCCTCGTTCCGTGTCCCGCTCGCCGCAGACCTTCCCTCCGCCCTCATTCCGGGGATACCTCTATCATCAACATCTGCCCGCCCGTCCTCAGGATGTACAAATAGATAGGTAGGTAGATCGATCAGATAAAAAAAAACACCACACAGGCCGAAGCTTTTTGAAAACCAAAGTATGTCGCCGCATATGCCACCAACTCCGTCCAGTCCAATAAATGTCGCACAGCTGAGATCTCGTACAGTTGCTGTAGGAAATTGTAGGAAAATGAACCAGCCCAAAGCGCCGGTCGCCGCGCAAGATTTGAGAATGCACCTTTAATCACCCCCAGTTTCCGCATCCAAAAATTTGACAATAGGCCGTCAACATCCGCCAGACCGCCTGTGCAGTATTGGCGCCCAACTGCCTAGTAGCCTGGGTCGTCCATAATAACACTGCCCGTTTCGTAGCCGCCCATATCTCCAGTCGTGGAAATTGTAAAAGGTGGGAGGCCCCGGATCATGATGAAAACCACATGCAGCCGCAATTACTCATGTCGCCATCGCCGTCGCTGCCTCGAGGGTATAGATATTCTCGAAGGGCATCCCGCTCCCGCTTGTTCTTGGAATTGTCATCACGATGCCTCCCTTTCCGCTCTGCTTCAGACATGACTGGCCCCGGTTCGTCCTCCTTTATGTAGACAATCACAGGCTCGCCGGCAGAGTTCGTCACAGGTTGTGTGGTGTTATCTGGCATCACCGTCACTTGAACGCAGTACGGCGCAGGTGCCGAGTCAGTGCGCCGTTCCTTCACCTTCACAGCCCTCGGGTAAGGAGCGAGTGGCATGAAGTCAGCCACTTGGCTTGTGACTGCTGATGCAGCGCCGGAACCCGTTGGTGTCGGGAAACCGGTAGGAGTCGCGAACGGCGGTGGGGTGATTGTACCAGTTGATGCCTTTGTCTGAGAAGCGAAGCTGCTGTTCTGTTCCGCGTATATAAACACTTCCACAAACGTGTCGGGCCAATTGCAGATCCAGGGCTTGCTGCCCGTTGGTGCTACATCCTTGCGCTGGAAGTCGCCGGGGCCTGGCATGAAATTCCCCCCATTCCGCCGAGCTTTTGTTGAGGAGGTGTCGGCAGAAAGCAGATCCTCGGGGACAACGACAGTCTTGTTGTAGGGAAGCATCCTGAACCATGCTGGGCCACGTTCCTGATCAAAGGTGTCGTTGACGAGCTGCATACCCATGGGGGGCTGAATGACGGGGGGCTGAGCACCATAAGCCAACAAGTTATCGTCGCGGTTACCGCCAGGGCCAGGGAAAGAATTGTTGGTCTCAAGGTAAATGTCGTAGTTGCCCTGGTCACCAAGCTGAGGGGCATTCCTGCTAATGGTCATCTGAACGTGGACTGCTTGCCCGAATATTAGATTGCAAGTCCATGCTGAACTCTGGGCGGTGTTTTCAAAACAAGTGTTCGGTGACCTGTTGAGGTTAAGAGGCAAGCCATAGACGCCTGTCGGAAGCGCAGGCAAGTCGGTGGGAGTTGGGATTGGCGTCGCATCGTAGGTGATGGTCATGGTCGGAACGCCGTCTTGAAATCTACACCACGACTGTTAGCTCTGAGCAGTTCGTCCAAATGGTTCGGGTAATAGCTTACTGTGAAGAGTTGCTTTTTCGTGGCGGCTTTTTGTGCTTGGATAGCAACGTTCCAACAACAGCCCCTACGATGATAATGACTACTATAACGGCGGTGGTCGTCAAGCATATGGCCCAGTACGGTACTACGCCGCAAGCTTTCCTCTTCGCGAATTTCTGGAACTTGTTTAGTTGCGGCTTCTCTGACACCGCTGCTGCCGCTGCCGTGTTGATCTCGTGGTGGCTCTCGCTGGTGAAGCTCCTAGCAGACTGCCGTGACTGAGGGGTGCCAATGTCCTCGACCGAATCAAACTCTGGGTTTCGAGCAGCGAGGCCCAACCCCCCGGCACCTGCTACTGGCCCGGCACCCGACACAGCCCTTGTAGTGCTGAGTGGCACCGCGGCTGCTGCAACTGAAGGACCTCCATTCTGATGGTCCTCGGTGTCTCGTATCTTCCGATTGTAGTATTCATCTGGGTATCTCGTGTATGGTGGAAGCTCCTCGGTATGTCCGTCCGGACCAATAATGTCGGCGGCTTCCTCACCCTCCGGCCCGATGCGGCGTTGATAAGGATCCGAGCTGGAGGCGAATCCGACAGGAATGGCAGGCACGGCGGGCACAGAGACCTGACTGCTTGTGTCGGCGAAAGGGTTCTGGGGGTACATGGAATAAGGATGCGTGGGGCCGCTCGGGCCGTTGTACTCTGATTCAGGCCGTGTTGTGGGAGTCGATGAGGTGGTTGTGACACTTAATGTCCTGGCTAATCGGGGGTTCTGGGAGTACATTTGATAAGGGAACGAAGGTGCCGAAGGGCCCTGGTATGGGGTCTCCTCGGGGAGGTAGGGCGATTCGGTCGAGGCACTGGAGACGCGCGAGAGGGATGGACCGGCGACATGGCCCATGCCGCCATCATGCCGAAGGGTGAAAGAATCGCGACCCGGAGGGGGTTTTGATATGCTGGAACGATTCAGCCGTGGTGGTAATGTTGATTCTTCGGCTGATTGTGTGACTGTGGAAACGGTTGATGGGTCTGGCCGGATTCGGGAAGCTGGTGGATCGTTGCGGTCGGCGTTGTCCATGGGCTGCGGTCGGAACCCATCCGAGATGCCCAGAGCCAACAGAGCATAATCGTCGTCGTCCACGTCCAGTAACACTCCTCCGCCTCCACCGTCATGCTGAAGTGATATCCTCCTCGATGTCCTGACCGAGGCCCTCCGCTCGGGATCAGACGCTTTCCCGCTGGTGTGGTCCATGTCGAGTCGCAAGGCTCAAATAGTGCCTGAAAGGCTGTGGCTGAGGTTATGAAGCCGAGCCGGAGTCGGCAAGGCTGTGAGTAAAGGTCAACGATTCAATCGATGATTGAAGTGCTGTGGCGCTGGAGGCCGAAGGCTCAATCCGCCGAGAATTACTGAAGAGCCTGTGAAACCATCGAATTGTCCGACAATGTCCGCCCGACCCGAGACAAAGTAGATTACTTTTTTAAGATGTCAATGTCAGATCCGTCCTGAAATAGAGCCCGATGGATCCTTTAGTGCCGTATTCTTTTTGGTGACGACTGCGGTGGGGTTCCAGATCCTCTCGTTCGTCGTTGTGGTCGGTGGTGGTGATGATGTTGGGTGAGGTGATGTGGGTGGATGAACAGGTGAATGGATGAATTGATGGAGGGAAAGAGAATGGGATTAGGCTCGAGTCAGGACCAAGGGAAGGGAACGTATCAGACTCAGACTGGTCTAGTGACCAGATTGACTGTGACGGAAGAAGCCGCCCAGAATGCAGTATAGGTATAGTGCAGTGAAATAACAGAGGGAAAATGCAACCAAAGACGGGGTGAAGTGAAGTAGAGTGAAGCTGGGACTGGACTGAAGCGAATAGATTTGATGACGGGACGGGACAGATGAGCGAGAGGGAGAGGCGTGAGAGGGTTCCAAGGTTGTGCCGGGCTGGAACCAGACTGGGCGGATGGGACTGGGTTTACTGGTCTGGTTGACTAGCACTTCCACAGTACCGAGAAGAGGAGGAGGGAAGGAGGGATGGGGAGGGGGGAGGGCAGGGGGGTGGTTGGGAAGGGACAAGGGCACTGGGCACCTGGGCATTTGCTCTGGCTCTGGCTCAGGCTCTGGCTCTTGCACTTGGACGATTCAGGAACAAGCATGGTCAGGCTGGGGTTTCGGACCTGGACTTGGGGGGCTAGAGCGGTGCCGTCATTGGTGGCCTGGGCCTGGTGCAGTAGTGCGCGCCTGGGCCCTGTTTGCCGGTGCAGTGCTCCAGTGTGTGCTCCATTCTTTCTTGCTTCCTGCTGCTTCTCACCTTTATTCCCTGAAATTTTATAGCCCCAGCAAGCCCCAGCAGGCCCCAGCAGGCCCCAGCAGCCCCAGTAGCTCCAGTCGCACCTGCACCTGCACCGTTTGCACTGGCCTGACTGGGGGGGGGGTGTCACTTGCACTTGCACTGGCACTTGCCATTGCACTTGCCCCATTCACGCCCCTTCTCCGCTGGTGTGGAGCCGGTTGGAGCATGCTCGCCCGCTCGCGACTTCCCTGTTGGATAATCGCTTAGGCGGGCAAGCATGGCAGGGCAGCATGATACAACATCGGCCGGACTGCTCGGCTGCTGATCAGGTCGACAGATTAACCATCACGGTGGCGTTGGGAGATATGGATGCTTGCTAAATGCTGCTACTACTTCTGCTGCTGCTACTGCTGCTGCAGTGATGTAACCCAAACCCCTCTCTCTTCCAAGTTCCTGCGCAGGCGGGCAGACGGGGCAGGGGGAGGATGAAAGGATGGATAATATGGTGTTCACGCGATCTCATCCGCCTGCACCCAGCAGACAACAGGACAGGACAGGACAGTATCCGTGACAAGGATGGGCTGTGTGGGGATGCGAGCAAGGCGATCGGGATCCCTGGGCAAGATGGACAAGGTTGACTTCGACTACTGTCTTGAAGACAACCTTCCAAGAACAGGAATAGAGACAGAAAGACAAAAAAGGACGGACAAAAAACTTACAGCTCGTGATAACGTCTAGTCTGCCCGCTCGCCATTCGGCAGCACCCTCACCCGGGCCCAGCGTTGCTATGGCCATGGCCATGATAATACCAAGGCGCTGGATACGGGAATACGAAGCTTCGACCTAGACACGGGGCACATTCCCGTCCAATGTGGCCCGTCCGCTCCTTGTTCGTGCCTTGACACGCTCAGCTCTCGAGTTGTGCCATGCTAGTATGCCAGGCCACACGACCTCTTGGCTTCATTTTCTCGCAATCTTGGAAGAGAGCCGCTGTTTGGCTAGCCTAACATCGGCGGCGTATTCTCTTCTTCGCACACAGTAGTCCCTGGGCATAGCCTTGACAATCTGTCATCCCTCCAGACTCGAACTGGACTGACTATATTGCTTGGGATCACGTCATCTGCAGCTGCAACTCGACATGGCCGCCTCCACCCCTCAGCACAGCAACATTAGACAGTCAGACAGATAGACAGACGGACAACATAGCACGGCTCAGAGGCTATGGAATATCCTGACAGCCCAGGGACTGTCCGGACAAACCGTCGCTGAGAAGCCCGGAAGAACAAACTCCAGCTACTCTGTGCCGACCAGGATCCAGACAGTAGTATGTCAGTTCTTTTCTGTTCTGTAATTAATTAATCAATATTGATGACATGCATGGGGAAAGACGTGCATTCCTCCAGGAGCCAATTTGGCTTTCACCAGCAAGCACCCCGGGCTCTCACAGCCGCCATCACCCATGGTCGCAGCCAACCTAAAGCCCATGAAGCTTAATTCCACCCAGCCATCCAGCCAGGCAGTCCTACCCACGAGGCCAATTTCGGCGGGTGATGTGCGAGCCCCTGCCAGATTGCCAGATTGCCAGCCTGCCAGACTGGCAAGGCCTATCTCCTTCCGTCGCCCATCCCACCGGAACCGATGCGACAAGATTAAATGAGAGAAATAAAACCGCCCCCTCGCTTCCCACCAACACTATGGAAAGCCCTTCCGGGTAGTCTCTGTGGGTATCCAAATCCTGGATCGATCGGACGGGCGAGTCAATGACAGCTGCTGCTCATGGAGCCGCCCAGCCGGCCGCTGGCTAGCTGCTGGCTGCTCCCTCTTCCAACCCCATTGATGGTCGGTGATTACCCGCCTGCGTGCCAGAGGATTACTCATGTGCAGAGCGGTGCACCAGTCCCCTCAAGGTTATTTTTAAACATCTTTGGAACCGACATCTGTGTGTTGTCCCAGCTGGCGGGAGAGCAACAGATGTCCATACATAGAACACAGCACGTACGGGCAGGTAAGGAGAACCTGGCATCGGTCTCGTGTCTCCACCTGAGCAGCTCCTCATGGGCTGGACGCAGCTCTCGTCCACCCAGGGTGCCAGGTGGCTTCTGCCGATGAGTAGCCGGCTCGGTTCGGTTCGGTTCGACAGGCTAGTCGTCCATTGGGGCTCGACACTCCTCTCTGATTCACACGTCAACATCCTCGAAAGGCCTGTTTCGATAAGAGCAGATCACTGATCGCTACTGTACCACCAGAATTTAAAGTTGACCCGCGAAAAGAAACGTTTCAGGGTCGTGTCTTGGCACGGATTAGCCTCACTAAACAGTCTCAAGTGCCGAACAAGAGCGGAGCACTGTCGCAGTAGCAAAACTGAGCTGTGGGACCACAGCCTCGCTGCCATTGGGCCGTTGGGCCTGTCTCTCGCTGGGGGTTGCCGCACCCACGCGCGAGTGCGATCGTTCCCGACCTAGTCTCCTTGCGGGCCAGCTTTGACTTGCCCAGTGCTTGCCTGGCCTTTCTTCAGCAGCTCAGGGGCACCACTCTCGATTCGGACCCATCTCGTTATGTGGGGGCCTGCCGTCTCGCCACCCGAGGTGGGTAGCCGCTCCGAGTTCCGCGACACCATTGCAAGAGAAAGGCTGTCTTTTACGTCTCAGGATCAACCTCAACTTCTCCCAGTTTGGTACTCGGACTGGAAAGAGAGACAGGGCCGCAGTTGTCCCTACCGGCATGATTCCAAGTCCCAGGCCGGAGCGGCGCAACTTTCTCCTTCTGACCATATATCATCGGAAGCATCACGGGAGCATTGTGAAGCATGGAGCAGTGCGACTGCATGGCATCGGATGAGTCTATAGTCAAGACCCGTTATGGCTGCTGGAGTAAGGCGCAGGTGTTGCCCGCGAGGACCAAGGCGTGCAAGGCAGTCCGACAGTCGACAAGTTCGGAAAAGCCGATGCTATTCTTGGCCCCTGCCGTGTGATGTTTCGCCTCCCCGCGACTCACACCATGGATGCTTGTCACTAGCCACGAACTCCTTCCTTGATTACTTGACTCTTGATGAACCCCTCACCAGTTCTCTTCTCTCTTCAGGGGGCGGGGCAAGCTTCAACCAGCCACATGTGACAGATGCGCGAGGATCCGACGATCTGTCTGGTGGGAATCTAGCACCGTCTCTGCCAAGACGTCACGATCGGGATACCGCGAGACATGTGCACTCTTTGCCTATCAAGGGCGTCGATCAAAGCTGCACGAAGCACGGAAGAGCACAAAAGAAGAAGGCTAGATGGGAACTACTGTGCTGCATGGTTACTCTCCCCCTCCACTAGCACAACGTCCAATCGATCGCCATCACGCTCACCTTATCGGGCCACCTATTCAGACGAACCAGTCTCCACAGCAGCAGAGGTCTCAAGTACGTCTCAAGCCCCGAACGGCCTAAGCTCGATTGGAAAGGTGACGGTTCTTCGAAACAGACGTGGTGCTACTGCTCGTCTGACATGGAGCACAGGACGACGGGATTGCTGTGATCGGTCCTGGTGAGAAGATGGTCTTGGCAAGACGTCGGCCGACTTTTGACAACCTCGTTGGGCACGGGAAGCAAGTCGCAATGCTAGACCGATTCGAAGTTGACAGCTCGGGACACCATGCCCCGACTGGCCTGCGGTCATCCCATCCTGACCTCTGTCCAATCACCCACGCCTCGCGAGCCTTGCCCCATATCTCTCAACTCCATCGCCATCAGTCTGGACCAGCGGCCTCCACGACGTACGTGCTCCGCTCAGTAAGACGTCAAGCGAACCACGATACCCATATGGCCATGGTTATACCCTTTCCTAGTGGCCATCGTGCCCCTGGTTTTCTACCCCGGTCCCGTGCTCAGCTTCAGCCGCAGTCGCAGTCCACTGACGCGTACGAACAGGCGAGGTTATGCAGCAGCGCATGAGTTCTAAGCGAAGAGGCCACCAGGAAGGCTAGCCGCCAGACGCGGGCCATTTGGGCAGTGAGCCTCGAGCTATTCCCTTGATCTCGTCGACAAAGACGCCCCCAATTGGTATGAGAAGTGCTTCAAGAGATACCTTTGCTCAACCTTCTCAAGCAGCCAGCCCTGGCGGATTTAAGGGGAACTGTCCCATGGCGAGATGCGTGGATCACATGAGGGAATGCTCCTGGGCATGGCCATGACAAGCAAGTGAGCCACAAGATGCCAATGGCTCTCTCATTCCATCCGGTGTACTGCCCAAGGATCGCCATGTGGGTTATCAACGACACCTGCATGGATGCTTGACGTAACGGATGCCGCGAATAAAGGATTGATGAACTACAGCAGTAGCTGTCACCGCCTATGCGATCATCATTGCCCTGGGACCCTCCTCCCGCCTACACCACGCACTCACACTCACATACATATACGCACATCCCTGCGGAGAAGGCAATTCATCTAGATCAGACGTTGACGTACATACAGCCGTTCATGGGTGAGGTGCTTGCTGGTTGCCTGTTTAGGTCTATGGGGGCTTACTTCATCCTGACCAGACCCTCGAATATATTGTCGCCACTCAGCTTGTCATGGATCAGGTCTGGCATGTTGATCCTCACGCATAAGAGAGCAACACTTTGTTCATGGCATGTTGGATAGACAATGGGGAGACAGCTATCGAGGAGTCTCGAGCGGCTGCTCCCTGCTCCTGTGCGAAGTTACGACGCAGATGGCCATTCAGGCTGTTTGGAGCATCCAAGTGGATGGGCGGAGGTGCCGGGGGTGGAGAGATGGTTTACGACGAAACACTCGACGACCATCTGGCTTGAGCTTGTTCTGCGCCAGGCTCCACCATGGGGAGCCTGACGGAGCGAGAATGATGGCCTATGTACGGCTTCCGCTCTAAGACCTTGGGTGGGAGGCGTTGGCGCCACGATGGCTGTCATCCTACCAGGGGAGAGTGCAAGCGATGGCATCCGTACGGCTTCTCCGCTGGCCCTCGTGTGGGAGGCCCTGATACCACGTTGGCCGTCCTATCCCGGAAACCATTTAGCTCCACCAACTTGGCTCACAACCCCTGGCTCACTACTTCACATGTCTCCGTCAACACTATGCCAAAGGGGACTGATTCACTTTCCAAGGCCTGGACATCTACCCACCCCGATGGAGTCAGCGTTCTTCTCGCCGAGGTTGATGGGTGGTAGTCGATACTACAGTATCGCAGATAAGTGGTATGTTCATGTCAGTGGGTGCTTTAGCTTTCGGTATACCCTGATGTAACATCCATATACCGCTCTTCCGTGGCTCTGGTGTCCGTTTTGTGACATGAGATTGCCACACCTACCCGGTTGAAGGTGCACAATCTTGGTCTTGTCGAGGATGGGGACGAGGACGAGGACGAAAGTGAGCGATGTGTCGGATGGTCTTGTCTAAAGGTGAATCAAGACAGCTTTTTACGTGCACGGGGTCTCGTGATCTTCGAGCACTGTCCGTCCTGGAGCACATCGGGACGGGCCGAGAGGATCAAGATGATCGAATCGTGTGTGGAGGGCATCCTTTGGGAGGGCTTCACTCTCTCTGTTCAATTTCACAATGCTGTCTTGGTCGAGGTGGCTTCATCATGCAGCGTTGAGTACTTGAAGACAACATGTCCCAAAAACCCCCGAGACATGATCTTTCGTATTCAATATAATACGTCGTATCAAACCGTGTCAGGACATCAAGGCATAGGAACCTCACGGATTGTGTTTGACTTCCGGTCCCAATGGTGTAAATGGAGCGCAGTCCTCACCGCTTCTGCCTTGGTTGTAACCGTTGAAGCTCCAGAATGACGAGATCGCCGCTGCGAAGTCAAGTAACTTCGATGGTGCATTCGTTAATCGCGTACCGCATCCAAAATACTACCTATAGAATACAACCTCGGAGGTTTCAACCCATGAGGGTGTTTAACTGTACTGGGGGGAGGGGGGTTTCTCGTCACCGTGGCTCAGGGTTCACAACCCTAAGAATTGCCTCGCTCCTTGATCGAGTTTGTCTACGATGGTTTATCCTCCACTGAACATCCCTCACACCAGACGCCACTGACGCGACTTCATTTGCTCCACTGTAGTGATTAAATTGTCTTTCCTTTTTTGTACGGAAGATCTACGTCCTGATCACTTTCGTGAAACGCACGCTTTAATCAAGCTCATTTTCGCGCCGAGCTCCGTCAGCCAGACTTTCTCGCTAGGCCCTTCAGCTTCAGCCGGGAGAGACGCATACACATCCGCATCCGCTTCTAACGATGCGCCTATGCAGCCAGCCTCGCTGCCGACTGGGCGCGGCTCTGCGCGTCGAACAGCTCATCCTCTCATGAACGCGCATACAAGCCGTCTGTCTTGTATCATGTTTCTCGTCATGGGGGCTCTCAACCTGAAGAAATTGTGCCAACTGGCCAAAGACTGTCTGCATCGGCCAAGCCGAACAGAAGAGCAGTCTGGATGATATGGCTGGCTGTGAGAGGCTCGTCTGACAGCACGATTGCTTTTCTTCAGCCATCAAACTTCAGCAAGCTCAGCAAGCTGCTTCTTCGTGCCAGCAATCACCCGCACCGAGATGGAGAGCATCACCCGAAAATGTCTCACCAATTCCACGTGCATCCTTCTCACTTGCGTGGACCCCCACCAAGCCGCCCCTGACATGAGCTGAAGAGGGCTTTCTCACCGCGTTATGCAGAGGCCCGGTTGCGTCTGTCACACTCAAGTCTGCAGTGCAGATGGCCCAGAAAACGCCAGAACATCCGGGGCCAACAGCAGTCGTGCCTCGTGAAGGTAAGCCGGCCGCGTTTATACATCTTTTGCGGATCATTGGATGCCGTTGTGCGCGCATTTCGAGGCTTCCCACACCACACCATACCCCACCCCCATTCCAGCCGGCTGTCTACGGCCCAGACAAACTGGTTCCTGCTGGCGGCAGCTCAGTGCTACTGGCTCCTGTGGCAAGCCTCGCTTTCCACAGCAGCGCACAGCAACGCACAGCAGCTGGAGTCGTGCATACCCACTAGACTGCAGTTTCAGCGCAGTGCTTCTGCGCACCAGATCGGACCATGCCACGCTGCCGCCAATGAATCCTGGCAACTTGGCAGCACCTCCCAGGGTGGTCAGCCAATTGCCGCCCATGTTTTTACACTTGTCCGCCGTGGTCCGCGACTTGGGCCTCATGGGGTCTCCGTCTTCACCTTGTACGACCTGGACACACTTACCTCTCCTTCACCTGAGTCAACATGGAGTCGACGCAACGTCAAGATAACGGCTTCATCAGTAGTTTTCCGACAGATCCGGCAACACAGTGAGTCCTAAGGGTTCACAAGCAAGCTGGGGGGGGGTGGTACCTCCACAGAGACCAACGTCGCTATCCGTTCTCCGCGAAGGCAGCCTTTTCCACTTCGGGTTTCGTTTCGTCGCTCCTCTGTGACGTCCTCACACGGCATTGCACATCTGCTACCCCATCCGGCGTTTAGCTTTGGAGGCGCCATGGGCCTCTGACTCGGGGGTGGCCTGCCCCTCATCGTGAGATGCAGTCGACCACCGAAGCAGCTTGCACTCATCTATTTAGTCTGCTAGAAGAGCAAGTGGATGGCTAAAAAGGCATTTTGCGCGCATGTCGCGTTGGCCTTTAAACACGTTTTACGGGATTCGCAGTTCTCGGTGTGCATCTTCTGGCCAGAAATCTCCCCTGAAGCAGGGCGAGAAGTGGCTTGCGGAAAGTGACAACCTGCATGGCTGTTCTCGCTACATGGAGGGCCGGCCGAGAATATGGTTCGCCGGCTGCAGCTCGGCGGGTGGCCCTGCCCACGCTCGGATTGCACTACCCTCCTGCAGGACGCAGAGAGACGCAGAGGCGAGGCTCTCTCCAATTGATCAATGGCAGTTGCCTGTCTCGAGTGCCTAGTTTCTCCCCACCAAGATTGTATTGGCGCCTAGGCAGCGCAAATCGATCGTTCAGGTCGTTGGAGAGACACAGTTCCATGAGACCCTGTGCGGCTCCATCCTGCAGTCCGGACAGATCTAACGACACCATTCGTCATCCTCCATCCTCCATTTCGACGTCAGTACACAAGATGTCGCTTAATCGCTTAAACACTTCTCGTACCTGCCCTGGTCGAGTCTACAGGCTGTGCGCCCCCGTGCCACGCCAGAGCTGCACATCAGATGCAACAACGAGGCAAAGTTGCCCTGCTACTTTGTCAGTTGCCTACATTTGCCGTCAGCAAGGCCTCTGACTGTTTGCTTACCCTGTCACTTCGGATCTGCAAGTGCAGAAGAAGAAAAGTGTCGTCCAGAAGCTGCCATGTTCTTACTGTACACCCACGAGTGGGTGTAGGAGAGGATCTACACACATATAATTCTGTGTCCCCGCCACCCTCGAGGGCTGGCCCCCAGGACGCCCTTCCCTTTCGTCCCACGTCGCCTCGTCTCGTCTCGCCCCTTCTATATGCACTTTCCTCTGCGAGCTCGGTGACATCGGTGCTTGGACTCGACAGCTCTGCGGCCAAGCTTCAACCAAGTAGCATTGATCCCCGCAACGCAAGGGCTTGTTTCTGACGCTCCCCTGTGTCATCACCGTCGCTTGCCTTTGAACGGCGTCAGGCGTCGATCCTTCCCCGGTCATCTCGTCGCCCAGTCCAGTGGACTTCACCTTCTGGTAGATCCATACCTCTTGGGCGAATTGCTCAACTTTGCCTCATCTCACAAAGCTTACACCGGCATACCATCGACACCGCATACAAGATGTCTGTCTACTCCCGACGTTCCTCGTCCTCTTCATCAGGCCGATCAAACGCCTCCACTATCACAGTGAAATCGGCCGACCTCAACGTCCCTCGCAGCAAGTCTCTCTCAGTCGTCACCTACCTTGCTGGGGGCGACCCCCGTAAGCACAAGAATCTCCGCCGGCAGAAGACTACCACTGAGTACGAGAACGGCACCTACGAGACCACCTCGCAGTTTTTCTGGGTGCGGGACCCCTACGCGTCCACTTACTACTGGGACGGTGATTATGACGACTTCGACGACCGCTCGAGCGTCTACAGCGGCAGCTCAGGCGGCAGCTCACGACGCAGCAAGCGCAGCGGGCACAAAGCCCGAGCGGTGCACACCGCGGTACCGGTGCAGCCGAGACCGCCCCCTCAGCACCCAATGGGCATGCCGGGGCCGGGGATGGGAATGGGCATGGGGATGCCGCCGGGAATGCCACCTCACATGGGCGGACACCCACATCCGATGATGAGAGGTGGCGGCGGCCCGCCTCCGGTCCAAGTCATGGACGACCTGGATGACGACGATGCCAGCTCCAGCTATAGCGGGAGCAGCTACATGAGCGGGAGCTCTTACCACTCACACGCGATGCCACCGCCACACCCTATGGGCGCCATGCCGCATATGCCGCCCCCGCCGGTGCACATGGGCCACGGGCCCATGGGTGGCGGCCCGCCGATGATGAGCGGTGCCGGTGGTCACATGCCGCCGCCGCGCTCACATCACGGTGAGGACAATGGTGGCGACTTCGAATTCATTCAGATTTCATGAGTGCATGATAAGACACGTGTGATGATGAGCGTATGATTGATTCATATGGGCAAATTGATGATACATTTCTTCTTCGTCCAAAACGGGTTGGAGTTGTTTGGGAGTGACTGACTCACGTTCAGTACTGCTATCATTGAAACAGATTTGCCAGACAAGTCGAATGGGTATTTAACTGACCTCTGGCGTTTTCCGTGCTCGGCATTATCAGGAGGTTTGGACGGTACTCCTGGGTGGGCGGTTGGTTTAATTTGATTCCAGAGCGATGTACATCATGACTTCTACTTATGAGCTCGACCGAAAATACTAAGCACGCTTGAATGACTACATTAATTAATCTGATGTCTTTGGAAAGATTTGCAAGTCGTCATCGAACATATCCTCTCCCGAGTTCAACGTACTTTTTCATATGCAGGTACCACAGCGAAATTGACCCCCCCCCCTAAGATCCTAAATAGCAACCCATGAGGAGAACGCCTCTCCTCGCTCGGTGCCTCCCTCGGACACAATGTCCAACAGCCACAGGTCTCGAGTCCGAGTCGCCGTGTAGCGTCTGCTGAAAGCCCTCGCACCGGCCGAGTCATTCGTCCATCGCTCCCATCGGCCGATGGAGGCCAGTATCACCGTCTTGTATGCTATGTGGTGGTCCGTTGGGCACCGACGTCGTGCCCATGTCCACTCCTCGCTGTCCCGGCATGAACCGATATGCGGCCCCTCTGTAGCGTGAGGAGGACCGCGCAGCAGCACACATCTACACGTGTCGAGTTGGTGTTGCGTGCCTTGGGTTGGAGAGCTCGGCAGATTGCGTCGAGGACTTGTACTGGTGGTTTCTGTTGTGCCTAGGTATACATGATGGGTATGGGAAGGCGCCGAGAGGGGTGTGTGTATTTGTGCGCACAAGTGGGCGTGGTGCATTGCATCGCTGGATGTTGTGGTATAGGTTCGAGCGTCGAATTTTATCTTCCAATGTACACATCTAATGTATCTCTCTGGAATTATCTACCATACTCTAAACCTTTGAATGCAGACCACTCATAACTTCGGCTTGAGCGGGCTCATCGTCCCGTCCCTCCTCCTGTTCGCCTCGGGACCGACGCTCTTGACAAGCGCCATGAAGTCGTCGTCCATCATGGTCTTGGTCCTCTCGTCCGTGCCCTCCACCCACCGCCTGTACTCGTCCTCCTCCCTCCTCCACCGCTCCATCTCCCCGCTGATGAACTCGGCCGCCCCCGCCGCGACCTCCGCCGGCTTCTCCATCGCCACCAGGTGGCCCGTCCCCTCGACCACGAGCTCCTTGACCCGGCCCGCCCTCGCGCCCCCGCTCCCGCCCACGCCGTACCCCGTCATCTCCATCTTCTCCTTGCGCACCTCGGGCGTGCACACCACGCTGTCCTTCCCCGCCACCCACAGCACCCCGGGCCGCAGCTCGGGCAGCCGCCGCGCCGTCGTGGGCGTCGGCGGCTGGTAGAACGGGAAGTTGGGGTAGTTCTCGATGTCATCCGTCGCGTCGGCGATCAGGAACCTGTCGAAGGCCCTCTCGCCCGTGGCCGGGTCGCGCGGGCCCTGGTGCGTGGGGCGGTAGTACGTCAGGCACTCCATGTGCTTGGTGGTAGTCAGCGTGACCTCGCCGCCCCGGGCGTCGGGGTGCAGCCTCGTCGGGCAGTCGCGGAAGCCGAACGCCACGAGGCGGTCGACGGCGCGCGGGTCCCACGAGGCGTAGAACTTGTTCTTCCGCACGCCGCGCTCGGCCTCGGCGCGGCTGGGCCAGACGTCCCTCCGGCCGGCGGACGCGCGCAGGGTGCCGAAGCCGTAGAGGGGCCCGGCGCCGTGCTCGAGCGTCAGGACCGGGTCGACCATGACGAGGGCGCTGAACAGGCGCGGGTGCATCAGGCTCACGTTGGCGATGATGTTGCCGCCGAACGAGTGGCCCACGCCGACGAGCGGCCGCGGCATCTGCGCGCGGAACACGTTGGTCAGGTGCAGCAGGTCGCGCGCGTGGTCCAGCCACGACGGGTCGTTGCCCAGCCGCGCCTCGTTCAGCACCCCGCTTGCGCCCTGCCAGGCTATGTCGGCCATCCAGATGGCGCGGATGTTGAGGCCTTTTTGGCGGATGGCTTGGAGGAGGTCCTCCCATAGGGGTTCGTATAGTTCCTGTGTTTGTTCATTGTGGTATTAGTTGGTCTTGTTGTAAGCGCTTGGGTGGTTAATAGTGGATACGCGGTCGGTAAGTGAGTGAGTAAGTGAGTGGATTTACCTTGACGAAGCCATTAGCATGAGAGGCGATGATGGTTATGTCTCCTGGCTTTGGGTTTCGGTTGTCCTTTGGGATGTATTGTTTTACTGCGAGCTGGAGCACTTCCTCTTGTGAGTGCGCCGTTGCTCGAGGGTATTCTCGGATGTGTTGAGCGTCCACAACATGCTCCTTGATGTCGAATATAGTGGACATTATGTCGCCTCTTGAGCGATGTACTTGTTGCGACAGTGAGCCGTCCTCCTTTGCGTCCTCTGATCCTATTCTCTGTTCTGTATATGATGAGTCTAAAGGGTCACTTCTGTATATACATCTCTTGATCAAGTTCGCAAATATGAAGGAAGATCACCAGAGATAATAATATCAGTCTTGTCAACGACGAGTAGTGTCATGTTCTCGGTACTTTGTCTACACCCCGGCAAGTGAGTTGCGAAGAGCCGTTTACCTCGGCGCAATCGAACCCCACGGGGACGGGAAGGGAAGCCCAGTTTGGGTTGATGGACGGCCATCCCCCCCTCCGGTCCCCCCTTCCGCCAAGTTCAGGGTTACAAACCCTCCCCAGGCACGTTCTCAATTCACTAGACTACTGTACGTAGACTACCTCGGGGCCTCGAGATTCCAGGGGTGAGCTGTCGCAGCTGAGAGCTGAAGCTGCCGTCTCAGAATAGCCCATGACATCACCCCCTGGGCTCCCCAATTCCCCGAGAATTGGGGCTCCCCGAAAAGAGAAGCCCAAGGCCCAAGCCCAAGGCCCAAAGGCATGCGAACGAGATTAAGTGCAATGAAACTACAACCAGCTAAAAAGGCGTTCAGACGCTTCACATTTCGCTGATGTACCAGCTTGCACCCACAATGGGTACTCAGACATTAGACCTCCTTAAATGATAACCACGGCCTGTTCCACGCTCTGAGCCATCTGCTGCTCCTTGGCCCCTTTACGTGACTGACACCAATTAGCCCACCGAGCGAACCTCATATACTACTACTACTGCTGTAACTGACTGCTCCAGAGCGAGCTCGACCAGCCGCGCTGGGCTGTTGACCAGGTCGTCACCATGAATAAGATGAACACGGCCACTGTTGGGCTGGCAGTAACACCCACCGTGCTCTCGACATTTGTATCACATGTATGTTTGCCGCGTGTGTGACAAGAAGCCAAGCAAGGAGGAAGAGGAAGAGGACAATGGCCAAGAGCACCGCATAAGGAGACCAGCATCGATCGAGCTTGCTAACATGGCCGACCCGGGCAGTTCCTCAACCGCAAGCCTCTCCACCAACGCCCGACGGCCCATCTCTCCTACGATGAGGGCCTGCACCTCATCCGTTCATTCCTGCAATACGTCTCACACCACACCGTCGAGGAGCTGCAAGCCTTCACAGCCCAATGGGTGCCGCATCCGCAATGGATCAAGGTCGACAACGTCGCCGTCCCTGCCGAGCAGCTCGAGCACGCCGCCCGCCTCCTCGAAGCCCAGCTCGGCCCAGAGGGCGTCCGCAAGATTGGCGGGCGCAAGTGGTGGCAATGGCGGAAGCCCGATCCCGGCACCCTGCAGGCCGAGTGGATAGAGATGCGTTCAGACTACAACGAGCGGAAGAAGAACAAGGACGCCGGCAGGCGGGTCATGCTGTACGTCCACGGCGGCGCCTACTTCTTCGGAAGCGTCGACATGCACCGCTACCAGATGCAAAGGCATGCGCGGAAGCTCAAGGCCAGGATATTCGCCCCGGATTACAGGCTGTCACCTCAGTTCCCCTTCCCTTGTGGTCTGCAGGACTGCCTGGCCGCGTACCTGTACCTTCTCACTGTGCAGGATCCTGAGACAATCGTTCTGGCGGGGGATTCAGCTGGAGGTGGGATGGTGTTGTCCATGATGGTCACTCTGAGGGATCAGGGCTTGCCGCTCCCTGCTGGTGCCGTGCTGATGAGCCCTTGGTGTGATCTGACGCACTCCTTCCCATCTGTGGCCGCCGACGCTCCTTTCGATTACATTCCGCAGTCTGGGTTCCACCACAAGCCCTCCCCGGCATGGCCACCCCCCGACGATGATGAATTGAACGAGCTGAAGAAGCTGGCTTTGTTGGAGAAACAAAAGAAACAGTGTATGTGTGGAATATCAAGCTGGTGTGGCATGAATAGGGCTGACTTTGACTCAAGCTTCAACGCAAGGCAAGGAACCGGAATCAGAACAGACTACGCCGACAACTACAGATATTGCTGAAGCTTCCGGAACACATCTCTCTCTCGTTATGGATGGCGAGACAGTGGAGATCAAGGAACAAATACAGGTAGGCTTACCTATATTCATGTTGCTGGGATCGTGTCTAATTACCTACAGATGTACGCAACCAATGAGCTCTTATCACATCCTCTTGTCAGTCCGATCATGCAGGCGAGTCTTGGAGGGCTGCCTCCTCTTCTAGTTATGGTCGGGGGCGGAGAGATTCTCCGAGATGAGCAGATATATCTCGCTCACAAGTGCGCCAACCCTTCCAAATACCCACCGCCAGAGTCGACTTTAGACGACAGAGGTCGGGCTCAGATCAAACAGTACAAGCCTACGGACGTGCAGCTTCAGGTTTGGGACGACCTGTGTCACGTCGCCCCAACGCTCAGCTTCACCAAGCCGGCAAAGTACATGTACCGTTCCGTTGCCCAATTCAGTGCCTGGGCACTGGCGAGAGCACAAAAGCGGGATATCGATATCTTGGATGACGACGACATTTCGGTTATTTCTACCTCAAGCTCCGACTCGGATAAGGAAGAGGTCACAAAGGTAGGGTGTCCACTCATTCTTGATCAGTACGATCATCCAGCTAACGCGTTATCCAACAGCGAGATGAGGAAGCCGCCATGCAGGAATCCAAAGGCCAAGTTGGCAAGGCTGGTGATGTGCTGCCACCTTTCAAGAGCCACATGATCCGGCAGCGAGTGACGCGGCACGGCGTCATCTTCCCCCTGGCTCCCGCTTCTGAGCTTCCCGGCTGTACGATGCCGAGGGAGCTCGTCGGTGTTGTCAAAGAAGGGACCGTGAAGAAATGGCTCAAACAGAAGAAAGAATGGGACCACCGCTACGCGTCCACCAAGAAGAAAGTTCATAAGAAGTTCGTGCGGGACTTAGTCGTCGGATACGAGGGCTTCGGCGATGGAGAGCTGCCGCCTCCCAGCGCACTCGCAGGCAGGAGGAAGAAGGGCGACAAGGAGGTGACGGGTGTGGCCAAGCGCGCCAAGAGTTTGGGACTGGCTATGTGGTCTGGATGGGGATCAAAGCACGACAAGATGACCATGGACCGGGAGGAAAAGGCGGAGAAAGACGGTCCTGCCGTGGAGTTCACGTCTGCAGACGCGACGGAAGGCGAAGGCGCACGATCATTCTCGGAGATTGGAAGGCAGGGTACCGCGGCACCGACCTCACCGCCTGGGAGCCCGAGAAGCCGTTCTAGGAGAGTGACCGTGAGGGACCAAAGGCAAACAGAAGAGGACGATGTTGACGAGAACACGAGCGTTGCTGAGCTCCTGGCCAAGAGAGAAGATAAGGAGGCGAGGAAACCGGTGCCACTGCTGCTCACCCCGGATTATACTCCGGATGTAACGGTCGGCTCAACGGGGAAGCGGCCCTACGTGGACGGCATAGCAGCGCCATTCAGCATAAAGAAGGAGGCGGACACGGCGAGCATGATGACACTGACGAGTTACATAACGCAGGGCGGCGGGCCCACATCGCCCAGGCTCTCCTCGTCTCGGCCCATGACGCCTAATACGCTAGCGGACAGGACAAGCAAGGACCTGGGCGAGCTGGAGAAGCGCAACTCGAGCGTCAACGGCGACCACGACGAGCACGCTGGCAAAGACGTCGTGCCCGCGCACGTCGACGGCGCCACGCCCGCGTTCCAGACTCCCGCGATGGAGAGGCCGCCCCTGGAGACGTTCAGCACTGCCGCCGAGAACCTGCCGAAGGCGAAGGAGCCGTATAGCCCGAGTGATGTTGATTGAGAACAGGTTGTCTGAGTGGGGAATTTGTCAAAAGTGGTGGTTTGGATAGTACATATATCAAAAACTAAGTAGTATTTGGTACCACAATATATATAGTGTGCCTGATGAAATAAAACTCTTTCAAAAGCCTTTGAACGGAAAAGACGGAGAAACTCGTGTGCTTGTGCCAAGTATGCCATGCCAGAAACAATGACGGACTGCAAAACTAGTGTCGGTGTCGAATCCGAAAATTGCATGCGTCTGTCTACGTACATGTCTAAAAGTCAAGCACCATACTGTGTATCTATGCAGAAGCACTTTCCCATAACTTTACTATATAAGTAAACATTCCGCAAGGGGTGGGTTAGTATACGGCCCAAATAGTTTCGGTCTACCCGGTAAGATCAACTCACTACCATTGGCGATTGTCGAACCTATGGAGGAGCGATTGTTCGAGAAAAAGTAGGTTCATCGTAGCAGGTAGGAGGTATTAAATGCACCATCCAGTGGATTACTACTTGCGCAAGTTGGGACAACTCTATTATGTAAGCAAGGGCTTGTTTATGCAAAAGAATAAGTTGACCGCGCCAGACTGGAGAGCGAATATTTATGCATATATGTATGACATATACTTAGCAGGACCGGTAGCATAGAGGCTTCAGTGAAAGCTTCCCGGGGCTCTACCATTCAAGAAGAGTGAAGCTCGATTTCGTCTTCTTGATGTTAAGCTACCATTGATATGAGGTCCTATGACCTTTTCAAATCGTGTTGTTCACTTTAGTTCGCGGCTGGTATCAATCGACTACAAACATCTGCAAACCCCTTCCTGATTGAGGGTCCCAAAAAATATCTCACCAATAGGCGGAGAAATCCTTGTTGATTGGCTTTTTGATGCGAATTTGTCCAAGGGTCAGTGAGGCTGGAACGGGTGTGTTGCACAACGTTGATTTGCAATTGGATTCAATTCCCAGCTACCTAGGTAGGCCTGTCCTGCTGCCTAACATTTCCCCTCCCTATTATCTTTGAGGCGTGAGGCCCACGCTTCTCTGCCCTCGTCTTTTAGATATGTCTGGCCAAGATTTGGTATTTTAAATACTAGTCATTGAACTGGGCTCTTGTGCATCTGTCATGATGAAAATTCTAGATTGGGTTGCAGAAACAGTTCAACTTGTTCGCGCTTTCACTCCATTCCGTCTGTCCGCTGCATTCCGGCTTAATTGTACTCACCATCAACACTAGAGACAACCATACAGAAATCATGGAAGAAATTCTCAATTGTGATTCTAATTTCTGATCGTTCGTCACAGTAACCGCCTCACTATCTAGGCATTACTGCCACCGATAGTCCTCTTCATTATTCATCCTTTGTGCTCAATCAATTACCTCAGTGTGTGTGAAGTCCTGTCTCAAATCGAGACCAATTCATTAGTCTGCGAGACATTAACATCGAGACCTGAATGGGAATTCAATGGCATGCGTACCCGGGTTCAAATCATATATTTAATCTGCCTCTTGACGAAGCGAAACGCAAACTCTGAGCTAAATACGCAGCCATTGAGATACCCTTGTGATATAGTATTTAGTATGAACAGAAGTTTTCTTAATAGTAATTGCACATTCGCTTCCTTAGGCACGCATTTTGTTTTCATAATATTTATTTTCTTTTAGAAATATGATACATCTACATATAACGCACCAGGAAACTTCCCTTACCCGCTATGGAAGTAGTTTGAATTACCTGAACTAAGGCACATGATATAAGAGAGCCAATATCTTTCTGGGACGTGGACTTTTCAATGATATGCACAGTCTTGCTCAGACCAATTGCCTTTTTTCTTCTCCTCTGCCACATTAAGCAATCTGTCTCGGCAGATGATCTATACGCAGGATTATCAAGGATTGTGTAAATTCTATTGAGTATCTCGGTCTTTGCCCGATACAAAGCTTCCTTCCAGGTACAATACACTCTACAGCAATAATTATGTACTTAGATAATTACTAGTCTATGGTTGCTCTATGAGTTTACACCAGGAAGCTCGCTCGCTGGCGCCTTGTAATTACCTTCCACTTCCGCGCTGTAGCCGCCGTGACTCCCTGGGTATGTATAAGGGGTCCCAGATGTTCCCTGCAGCCGTGGATCATTGTGCATAGACACCTCTGGTGCAACTTGCGCCTTTTTTTGAATCTTTTTCGACCGGCGCATCATGAAAAGACCCGCAGCAAAAGTTGCAAGGCCAATGACCCCAAGCCCGACCCCGACCCCGATACCAACCGCGTCGCCAGTGCTAAGTGACCCATCATCTGAAGGGCACGAAGATGTGCTGGCTTCCGGGGATGGCTCAGAGCTACCGGTCTCCTCGGCGAAAATCCAGCCGTTGATATGGACGGCTATCACTGAAGTGGTTGTGTTGGTCGTCACAGTAGTGGGGCTCCATTCCTTCTGATCGTTGCTAGTTTGAACAGTGAGAACGACACCTGAGTCTACCTGACTATAGCATTCCCCAGGATTTCCGAATGTTTGCCAGGTCTTGAACGTATACCCTCTGAGACGGATGTCAGCACAGCCAGCACATCATGTGAAGTGACGTTGACCTACGATGGACAACAAGCCACCCTGGTGCGAGACTCATCTTCGATGTGAGTAGCGACCACGCTGTAGGCTTCGGGACAAGTGAGTGGCCCAATTGATACGACCGTCTCGGTGTTGGGACCTAGCCAGTTTTGGTTCCACCAGGTGGTAACGGCCTCAGGCAGACAGCGAAAGTTCTGATCTACGCTGATCCCGTAGCCAGGATCCCAACCGACAATTGAAGTACCCGCAGGATTCCACCTCCAGAAGGCTGAAGTGCATTGTTCTCCATGTAGACTGTAGGGGGTAACGAGTGGGATCCAGGAAGTAACAGTCCCTGCACTGGAATCAGGCGGCCTGTAGACCTTCGCGTCAAGCGCTGTTGACGACATACTTTGAAAAAGAAAGTCGAACCACCTAGTGATGACGATTCATTGCGGAGGGACACAGGCCGGCACCAGCCTGGCAGGCTCGCACTTGCGTATGGCACCCTCTTAACAAGAGAGCAATTCTTACTGTTTCGCAAGAAATTTCAGCTCGGACTATGTAAGAAGCTGGGCATGCAGATTAAGGATGCAGTGCACGGTCTCGACGAACCAGGCTTTCTTTCGATGCTGCACACCATTCCGAAAGGATTCTTGGAGCCGCAGCGAGAGTCAGAATATAACACACATTCACGGTTGCACAGCCGCCGCCACCAAAGCGCCCGTCGACTCCATTCGCCGTGAGCGCCTAGAGCAGTGTAAGACCAGCCCCCACGACCGCTACTCTCACGCCCATAGGGCGATAAAGGCTCGCAGAGCGTGGATGAGCCTGAGGGGCAAGATGGGTGCCGCAGTGTGGAGAGACCCGTACGTTGAGAACGCGAGGTTTGGTATTTGATATTGAGCAATGCAATTTCACGTAAGCGAGAGACAGATTATCATGTCTGCCGGGTTCCTGAGACAATAGCCAAGTTGATATAAAGTATTCGTTGTGAATGAACATTTACCTACAAAATGGTATGTGTAGTTGAGTCGTAGACCGTGCTATAGCCAAGAATACATCCACCTTTGTCAAAACCTACCCGCCACCTCCACCAGAAGCGAAGTCACCACTGATAAATACCACAAGGACGGCAGAATATGCCGCGCACGCGCCAAAAATCTCCGACCGGCTGGCAGTCGTCATTACCGCCAAAGATCCTGCGAAAATCACTGTGAACATCGCAATCAAAGCCAACGTCAGAGACGGCTGCGACTTAGACGTGTTGTAGAGCGTATAGATGGGAACAAAGAGCAGGATGGCTGCCGCTAGAGTAGTGATGAAAGAGGCGGTGAGCCTGACCCGCTCATAGGAATAGTACTTCATCTGGGCGGGCGAGAGGTGGGATATGGTCGGTTGAGGTCGCCCTGCGTGATGGAGAGGGAGTAAAGGCGGTGGTTTCGTTCTGAATATTCGTGGGAGTCGTGTTCGTAGCAAGTTGGTGAGGACGTCGGGCTCAGTTGGTTTTGATAGAGATACATAGTCCGAAGCCCGGATTTGCGACTCGCTCATGTTGAGCGGATAAAGTGAGGAGCTGGCTCCAGAGAGGATAGAGTAAGCTGCTGAACCATTGACGATGCCAGCGGGAGTTGACCGTATCGACCCGTGAAAATAGCGAGACATCGCCTTCATTGTCTGTGTGGACGGGGCTGGCATGGAAAGCAGAGTCGATTGCTGTATCAAGGCTTCACGGTAATCTTTCAGAGTCGTGCGTATTCTCATGGCGAGGTCCATTCTCTTCTCCCACCGCTGGTTAGCATGACTGAGACTATCGGTTGCGGACCCCTGAGCCGGTAAGGTGTAGGGAAGCCCGATGGCGGCATGCTGAAAAGTATTCCAGTCTTGAGCGCAATCTCGGATCATGTCGCGATGCTCTTCTCCACTATCACCAGTGCTGTCGACAATTATCCTGTCATGGATATCAAATTCATCTTGCTCGGCTTGAAGTTGGGATAGCTGGCTCTGATAATATATCAGATCCCGAATAGCGAGTTTATCGAAGCGCCTATAAATAAGGGGACTGTGATCCGTATCACTGGCCATAAAGTTGGCCAATGATCCGAATCCGGAGACATAGTCATAGCGTGGCGCCCCCTTTTCTTCCGATGGGTTCATAATAATTATGTGGCTGTCGTCAACAAAGAAATGTCAAACGATCTCTTCTTTGCGAAGACTCAAATATTGACTCAGTCGCAGATTGCTTCTGTTGAGAATGGCTCTCCGTCTCTCTGGGAAAGCGCTTCGTCCTCGTCGCTTACCTACGTGTAAGACGCCACACCAGGATCAAGGCTGCTGAGAAACTGCATTAGCGGAGGCGCAAGAACAAATAGAACACAAGCACGTACGCACCCAGAACTGCACTTGTGCCCGACCAAAGAGCACGTAAATAGCCTTATGAATGGTTGTACGGAGGCCTCATGTGGAATCCTCTGGCAAGCTTTCGATTCTGCAACCAATCTGATGAAAGCCTATGACACTTTCAATCAAAAGCACCATACACTCCGAACGAGCGTATGGCACTCACCACCAAGGTCATATACAACAATTCGGTCAACACTTCATCATTGATTGCTAACATTTTCCATATTCTTATTGCAGAATGTCTTCGAGAAGGTCGGACTACCAAAATTACGACAACATGGAGTTCGATGATACCGAAGGACCTTGTGTTTTGTACGTAAGGAATTCTTTGCTACCTTCTCAAACCTTCCTGCTTCGATCGATGGCCAGAATTCTGCAATGGATATCCTACGAGATTTTCGAGGAGGGGGGGGGGGTTTGGCCCAGATACTAAGTCAACTTACAACTCGGTCTATCTCATGAAGCCAAAGGCAGTCATGAACCAAGCTGAAGACGAGGCGGACGATTAAGCTTCTGATTCCCTCGAAATACTCAAACCCGCAGACGAAGAGTGCGTTCTTGTATTGAAGCTGACATTGCTTTCAACCGAAGACACGCCACATCATCCTCACAACCATATGCGCCCTCAAAACGTGCAAGTCTACCTAACAGTCAGACTGTCCACGAATTTGGCCACGGTCACATAGCGGCTCCTTGCACGTGCTGTAGTTCCGACAACCCATGCATAGCTCAGGAACAACTTGTGACCACCGTGGATAGCGGGTCAGATATCGATGAGGTCTGTCTGTATTATGCGAACCGTGGCAGATGGCAGACAGACTCGCTCTTCGATGATGAAGCTTATGTGATGCTGGCGAACAACGAGCTGGTCGAGCTCGCAGGATACGATGAGACACTGCTGGGCATCCGAGGGGGCTGCATGCAGGAACGATTTTACTACCCCGATGGCCCTTTATGCGACGTGATGCTAGGCAATCCCACCATCGCTACAGTCGATTGCTTCAACGAATTCAAGGAATCCCATGTGGATTCCTTCCACATGATACAGTGGGTTGAGAAGATTGACTCCATCGAGCAGGAAACCAAACAGATCTTGGCTGGTAGCTCCGGTCCTCCTTTAGCCAGAGGTCCAACAAGCGGTCCAAGGAAGACGAGCTGGAGGTCTCGCTTCGGCAAAGAGTTCAGGGAGGAGACTAGCTCAGTTGATAAGCGCGGCAAGTCCATTTTTGTCTGACTAGTTGTGAGATAGTTTGCTAATATTAGACGGTAGACATCGTGGATCGACTCCGGCACATGCGCGAAGACATGGAAGTTTGCTCGGCGAACTGGAGAAGGTCTGCCAAGGCAGAATTGTTGACAGTAACCGGCGACGACCTCGCCCGTCGAAAGGCAGAATTCGACAAACGCAAGAAACAGAACAATCAAATCCGGGAAAACCTTCAATCACACATAGAAAGGCTTGAGAAGCCAACCAGTGGTTCTGGTCACTGACCGGCGCCGACATTCACTCAGCCGGGCAATCTTACACCGTCAACCTAATGCTGAAGGACATTTTGCGATACAACGTATTCACTCTTGAGAATTATCCCCCTTTGTTGACGGCGCATATTTGATGGAGGAATCACTGAAATTTTTCCATGAACGCCTTGGCACAGGCTTCGGAGATGTATTTTGAAATGCTGATGAACTTTGAAACTTTTGTTATTTTGCAAGCCATAAGCGGCTCTACCCAAGAGGATGAACCTCTTCTTGTTAAACAGGTCATAGGCTTGCATCAGAATCCTGCCTACCAAACCTAGAAACTTGGCTCATAACGAATGAACACACCAGGAAGGCGGCAAACAAGTTTCACGGGTGATATGATCACTCTATGGGGTCTTTTAAAAGACGGAGATGCACCAAGTGCACTACTCCCGTAATGCCTAGGATATTTGTCAAATATGGATGGTTACCTTCGGTTCGGGATAAAAGGCACTCTTGTTTGGCTGTAGTCTGCCCATGTAGCTTACACGCCCTGAGAAAGTGATGATGGTCCACAATAGTGATACATGAATCCTCCCGATCGCCTGGGAAATCTTCTGGCTACCGCTGCATATGCACTGAGATCTTGATCTTGATCTTGTATCACTATCGCAGAGCTGTTGAAACTCTGTCAATTATTTTCTAAAGTAAGCCTACATATTGAAGCAAGCGAGTGCGAAGCCTGTGCAGTCGAGGGCAGACGTCGACGAGCGTGATGTAGTAGAGCAAGGCAAACGACGCGTGGAGGGGCAGTGACGTATCCGCGACCACCATGCAACCATAGATTCCGGCTCTCAAGCACATCTGTCTTGAGTATTATGGCATTGTACGTGCGGTTCCGGGGCGATACCCCCTCCTGATAACGACACGGGCCTCTTCCCCATTTCGTTTACGCATCATATCAGGCGAGCCTCGACTCGTGGTTCTATCTAGATTTACATGAGGATCAGTGGAGCTAGCTCCTTTATATTGACTCATTATGTTGGTAAAGGAAGGCCTACAATCCTGGAGCCGTGTGATTCTCCCATAAAATCTTCGTTCTGGGCGGTCTGGGGGAGACATCCGCAGGCAGTAACTGCTCTAATGTGACCCTCGTTAGCCTGATACAATATGCTGAGGGCTCACTGTCTATTTGCAAACAGTAAACTTATTCGACATGAGGATAGTGATATCATTCGCTTTGATCAATCAAGTCAAAGTCTGCTACTTGTTCGCATTGCTAAGCTGAGGTCTCCATCAAGTGGACGTTAGCCATGACGACTCACATACATATACTCTGGGGATAATGGGTGGAACCCTGCACCATAATTTATCTGCTATAATTAAGGACGCTGAATGATAGCAGTGTATCCGAACAGGTACAGGAGGAGTAGGCTTACGGGGGTCCACTGGGTATGTCCATGAGCCACGTTGAGATCGCGGCCAGATCTAAATCCCCATATTGGAATTCGAATGTTGTAAGAAATGTCCATCTTTTTTTCAATAGATGGCGAGTCAGTATCGTGGTATTGCAGAAGAATGGAGCTTGCGAGAATGAATCCCAGAGAGTCTTGTGCTGTCTTCGGTTTGTGCAGCACAAGTGCCGAAATAAATGCGTATGCCTTGTGGAGATGTTGATTGTTGCATGTGATCACCAACTGGAAGACATGCTTTGTTCTGTATCAGAGATGTTTCTACTCGGAATAACAAAGACGCGAAGAACTATTTCACACATGATGCTATTCACGTTTGCATTTCTGGCCTGTATGACATGCCTACGTTATCAAAAAAAGTACACAGGTCTGAGCCGGAACTTTTTGAGTGATGGCCTGTCTGTCAGCACGATGGGCATTCTGAGATATGAAATTGCCACTAGATCACCACTTTTGAGGACCACTTTAATGTTGTGCATGGAATAACAATGGACTTCATCCCGTCTACCGACATCAAGACTTCGGCCCCAATGAGCCCTTGATGGTGGTCTAGACGGGGGGACAGACCGGAGCATCCCGGGACTTTAATTTCCAGGCTGCCCCGAGTCTTCCACGGCTCATCCCTGGCACTGGCCTCCTGGCCTTTGGTCTTGCTCATCCCCCTCTTGTTTATGCTCACATGTTGCAACCAAGGCAATTGCTTGATGGGATGGAATTTATCACAGGATCCAATGAAATCTGGGGTGTTCAATACCGACGTAGCCTAATTGATGCCTGTTTGATGTGGCAGTTGTGGGTGGAACAAACATGTCAGTCATGCCAGTCAGTGCCCAGTGACGATCAGGGGGGTACTTTTGGCGGATCAAAAGTTCCTTGGCCCCCATTGACGGCTGCCACGCAGGGCGACAAGCACATTGTAGCGTGGCAAGTTGTAAGTGCGATCTACTGAACCTTGGAATTCCCGCAGGGTCTGGAGCCCCCGAGATGTGCCTGTAAAGTTCAACCTTGGGACTTGACTTCATCAGCAGCTAGCAAACCATTTGGCCCTTTGTTAGCCCATCTTTTTTTTTCATTTCACTTGACTTGGGCACGACACTGGCAGCTGATTTGATCTTGGTGCAAATCATTGCACCGTCTTTCTCTCTCACACACATTCCCATCCCTTTGCAACTCGGTCTGCGCTACAATAGACTGTCCAACAAGTAGATGACCAACCACCTTCAGTAATAGTTGATTTCACCACTAGACCACTTTCATCCCCCATTTGTTTGGTGCACAGCCCTCCAAAGTGAAGTTGTGTTTCGGGTTAGCCACGATACTCAGTCCCGGCTTGACCCACGTCTCTGCCTGCTCTTCACTCTTCCGTCTCCCGTCGTCGTCAACGACAACACTTCAGAGCCATCAAAGCGACTTCATCCCCACGCACTTCCTTCTTCCCACATTTCTTTGTCCAGATCCTCCCATCTTCAAATTTCCCCACTTCTCTCCCTTCCGTCAGTCGTCTTCACCCGCTACCACAGTTTTGTTACCCCATCGCTGTGCCCCGGCGACGGCAGTCATGGGCAATCTCAAGCCCAAAACGGGAGTTTCTCAGAACACGCGTCCCCGTTCTGTCAAATCAAACAAGCAACCTATCGCGACCGTCTCTGAGGTCAACGATAATATTGACGAAAAGTACGCTATGGACGACCTGCAGGAAGACATCGAGCACGGTGTTGCCCACCCCGTCAGCGCCATGGCTGAGCTCGAGGAACGCGTCAATGACCTCGACAATGCTTGGGAGTCCGAGTCGCTGCTTGCTGACATGCTCGAGGGCCTCTCTGATGAGAACATTACTGACGGTAAGCACTCTTATTATTGATTCTATCCAACGCAGTTTCCACCTCTTTTTCTGGCATCTCTTTAACCCTCCTCCCTGGATTGAATTTGATGACACTGGTGACAGGTGAAATTGGGAGCTAACTGTACCTTTTCTCTTTAGACCCTGAGTATTGTACCCCAGAGGAAGCCGTTAGTTACCGTCAGCTTCTTCGCACCTTGGGGCCAGAAGAGCTCATCAACCGCACAATCAGCGCTGGCCTCATCACCGCCAAGAAGCTTCTCAGTGCCTTTGATGTGCGGCCACCAGGTCTCGAGGGCCAGCCTGACTCGGTCTACTTCGACCTCTTGATACTTGCCTTCAGCCGCGAGCTCTCGAAGAGAGCCAAGCTGCAGCAGTACAACACTGTCGATGATGCTGTCGCCCTTCTCAAGAAGTCTAAGAACATCATCGTCCTCACTGGCGCTGGCATTTCTACCTCACTGGGAATCCCAGATTTCCGTTCCAAAGGCACTGGTCTCTATTCCAAGCTAGAGCACCTCGGCCTGAACGACCCCCAAGAAGTCTTTGACATCAGTCTCTTCAAAGAAGACCCAAGCATCTTCTTCTCTGTGGCTCGGGACATCATGGTTGAGACTGAGCGGTTCTCACCGACGCACGCCTTCATCGCGCTACTTCAAAAACACGGGAAGCTACTCACCAACTACTCTCAAAACATCGACAATCTCGAGTCCAAGGCAGGCATTCACCCCAGCAAACTCATCCAATGGTAAGTCACACTCCGGACTAATCCACTGCCGCACCTCAATAGCATGTCGTGCTGGCATGCATATATGACCCATACCTACCCTCATGATGCAATCTTCATCTCATCTCAAATAAGCTGGCTGCTAACACACCACAGCCACGGCTCCTTCGCAACCGCAACATGCTTCACCTGCTACTACCAAGTGCCAGGCGACGAAATACTTGGTGACATCAAGGCTGGTAAAATCCCCAGATGCCCCAAGTGTGGCATCCCCCGCCGCGGCACCAAGAACAGCCGCAAGCGGAAGCTGGCCAAGGACGGCACCAGCAGCCGGCCGCGGCGGAGGCCTGGCGACTACGACAGCGCCAGCGACTCGGAGTACGACATGCCGTCCAAGGGCGGCATCATGAAGCCTGACATCACCTTCTTCGGCGAGGCGCTTCCGGACGAGTTCTCCAGCCGCCTGGTCGACCACGACCGCGACAAGACCGACCTGGTCGTCGTCATCGGCACCAGCCTCAAGGTCGCCCCCGTCAGCGAGCTGGTCCCCTTCCTTTACCCGCACATTCCGCAGATCTACATCAGTCGGACGCCCGTTAATCACCACAACTTCGACATTGACCTTCTTGGTGACTGCGACGTCGTCGTCGCCGAATTGTGCCGTCGCGCCGGCTGGGACCTGGACCACGAGATGGTCCCCAAGGATCAGGTCGTCGACATTGCCACCGAGTCGGGCTGGAATAGCAGACATATCTTCACCGAAAGACGACCCGCCGGTGATGAGATCGACAATGTCAATACTGTACCACTAGAAGCAAATGGGAGCGAGAACGCTACTCATACTTCTACGCCCGCGCGCAGCGACGAAGACCACGCTGGTGACTCCAAGAGCAGCAGTAGCAACGAAGACGGTGGGAAGTCAACTCGGAGGCGAAGAAAGGCGAGGACGGCACTGCCCACGCAGGCACCCAGCAACTTGACTCCTTCGAACCCGGGCCCCAGCCTCGCCAGCAGAACCCGCAAGAGTCGAGCCACTGAAGAGGACGAGGCCGAATACACCGGCAATTGAAGAGTCGAGCACCTTTGGTCTGAGGCTTCAATATCCGGCCCACTTTCAGAGCAAGAGTCACTCTAGTCACAGTCGGCATGGCCTTGTCACAGGTCTGGGCGGCTAATTGGCTACGTGGGCGCCTGAACTTGGCGAGCTTGGCCGATCATTTCAGCTCTGGTTGTCGTGGTCGATCATCACCTCTGATGTACGTCAACAGGTGAATGAACTTCCGTCATCATTCACTACCCTGTTCTCGCGCAATCAAGTGCACCAGACAGTTATCAAACCAGTTTGGTTTGCAGCCCTGTGCTGCTCGGTGACGGAGCATGCACATAATTGAGGAGGTTCCTAACGTACGCGTAAGGCGTTTCAACCTATGTTGAAGGAACCACGACATTCCCGCCAGACATGGAAAACGGCTGGAATTTCAATCACTGCTACCCAGTAAAAAGTGTTTTATTTTTCTTGACTCCCGCCTTCGGCTTCTCTCTTATTCCTTTTGATATCACTTACCACGCGGCGTTCAAAGAGAAAGGTCCTTGTGTTTTTCAACTGTTTATTAAACACACGGTACACCTTGTCGCGTAATATTTCGATCAACGATCGGCTCGTTTCCTTGCCTTTATTTTTGATACACATGGTAAAAATAACGGAGGAGCACAGGCGTTTCAGGGTGATAAGGGGGTAGGGGTCTGTAGGGGAGGCGAAAGGCGTACAGGGGGGTTCCGGGGGTGGAACAGGCACTCGCCGCGACCATACAGGCATACAGCAGAGAGGTTCAGACACCGACTGAGAAGTGGCAGATCAATAGAGTTTTCTGATATGAACGTATCGCAAGCAAGACCGTACACTGCCCAGCAGCCGTATTCTCCCAGGTGACTGGCTGTTGAAAATGAACCAGCCGCGCGGTACTGGCCTACCATAGCTATGCACCGCACCGCACTGCACGGCACTTTACTGTAAACACGCGAGATCTCGCCCATATATACCGGACGACCAGAACACCATGTGGCAATGGGGGCGACCTGGACTGGATGGCGTAGCGGGTTAGTCTGCAAGGGCAGCTCGTCTACAATATCTGCCAGCCGCCCTGGGAGGCGGGAGTTCGGACACCATCGCCTGTTCAAGGATTTTTTTTTTGTTTGGTGTGTTTACCTTCTCGAAGTACTGCCCCGTCTTCACAGGCCGGTACCAAACGCATTTGCTTTGACTGTAGGCACGTCCATGACATATCTGTCTATCATCACATCTTAATGTTGTCGCTTTTCATTCCCGTGATCGTAAACTACATTGGTATCCCTCGCACTTCCCCCAAATGCGTCTATATATGTGTCTGCCGTTCCGGTCCCTCGCTCGCAAATGACTACAACAAGCTCTGGTATTTATCCAATGTCCCCGTGCCCGAACTCTGCTGTTGCTGCTGCTGTTGTTGTGGTTGCTGCGACGCCATGCCGAAGCTCCCTGACGATCCCATCATGCTGTTCATGCTCATCCCCGAGCCACCCATCATCGGCTTGTTCGCCATGCTGCTCAGATTGCTCATGCCGTTCATACCACCCATCGTAGACCCCATCGACCCCGCCGGCCGGCCAAACGAGGACTGTTGTTGTGACGGTGGTGGGGGCAGGCTAAAGCCCGATGCAGCCGGCGTCGAGTTCCCACTGCCTGGCGGTGGAGGCAGGGAGAATGAGGACGTGGAGCGATTCATAGACCCGACTGCAGGCCGTTGTTGATTCATCGATAGGGAAGACATCGAGTTGTTCAGGCCACTACCATACGTGGAGGTCTGCGCTGCCGGGGGCGATATGGTGTTGCTCCTTGCTGGCTGCATCGTTGAGGAAGAAGTGGACGCCCATGGGTTTGCCGAGGCGGCCGTGGACCAATTGACGGAGGTCGACGTGGCTGGCTGCGCCGGTGGCGGCGGGAAGGCTGACTGCGCGGCGTTGGGTTGTAGAGGCTGAGAAAACTGGGTGCTGGAGGGGGCCATTGCTGGTAGACTGGCCAGGTCTGGTGTCACTGTCCTGAATGAGCCTTGTTGGGCTTTGAAATTGCCCACCGAGCTCGTTGTATGAGTGGCCTTGGTTGGACTTGGCGTGGACCAGGAGAAAGTGGCATTCTGCTTGGGGTGCTGCAACCCCGGTGAGCTCATCGCAGAGGCCGTGTCGCCCCAGCCGGCATCCATAGGGTTGGCGTTGTTTGAACTTGACTTGCCCTTGACAAGCTGCTCGAAGTCGTCTTCCGTTGCGCCAGTTGCTGCATCGAACTGCGTGCCGGTGATTCCGCCGAAGGACATGAAGTCGTCAGCAGGCCCGGCGGCGGCAGAGCCATTTGTGACCCCGGATAGCTCCTGTAGTTTCTTCGTCTGTTCATCCTCGACCTTCCGAGACAGTGTCTTGATGAGATCCATGAAAGATTGGAATTGCTGGAGGTTGAGTAATGGTCCAAGACTCATACTCCAAAGAATCGGCAAGATATCCATGGCAATAAACTCGGGATCTGCGTAATCACCAACAACTCTCAACACATTCAAAGCTTCCATCATGACGGCCGGCTCTTTTGTCTTGATGACCTTGACGAGCGGTACAATCTTCTCTTGCATCGTGTACTTGTCGAGTGCCGTAGAGGAAGATGTTTTCTTGTGCTCGGGACCAAGTCCATCCAACCCACTATTGTCTGCGGTAGCCGACGATCCTCCGCAGAGAACAACAAATGCTTGCAAGCCCCGCACTTTGATGGCCAGACTAGTTGTTTTACTGAAGACGTGGGCTATAATAGGGAAGAGCTCGTTCTTGATGGTGCTGAAGTCCAAGACCGGTAGTACCACAGGTAAGCTGCGGAGACCAGCATCAACCACTGAATGAGTCGGTGCCGCGATGGCCGCAGCAACAACGGGTAGCATGTCTGATAAGTGTCAGCTTCTACTTCTCAAGGTCATGTTCTGGGGCTTCTCCTACCGTCCTTGAACTCCTTGCCAGGGGTGTTATTGGCTATGGTGGAGATATTATCAAGAACAACCATCAGGCCGGCATCTCTTGCCGCATCCTTCTCCTCAGTGTTTTTATTATTCGTGACGAATATATCCTTCAGTACCGGCCGAACCTTGTCGGTGAAGGCCCGCCGACCCGATGGCAGGAGATCGATAATTTTGAAGACATTCCCAAGTATAAGCGACAGGAGCGCCTTGTCTTTGGTCTCTTCCAGGAGAGCTGGAAGAAGTTTCTTTTCCATCACAGACTTGGGGAACGACGGCAGGACCTTGTTCAGGCCCCTCAAGAAGGACTGTTTTTCATTGGGTGTCTTCGCTGGGAAGGACTCGATGAATCGAATCGTAGACACGAGAATATTGTCGAAGAACTCTGTCTCCTGGAACTCCTTAGCAGTGAGACGCTGAGCTGGCCGCCTGGTAATGAGCCGGGGCAGCACATGTGCGACCAAGTCCTTTGGCAATGGCCTAGAGGACATGAAGTTGTTGTTCACAGTAGGTATGGTTGAGCTGGACTGGAATAGCCTCTTGTATGTCGATACGCTAGTATTACATTCCAGCGGAGACTTGTGTGGTGAGTTGTAGAGGGCGACACAAAGAAGACCCAGGGAGAACATGTCGGACGATACGTTGAGATTGTTGTCTAGAACGAAGTCCGGGGAAGTGTAGTCGAGGTCAAGCTGGACGGATCGAGGGAGCCGTGGGTCGGGATTGAGGGTCTCGTAGAGGCTCAGAGGTTGGAAAGAGGTTGGCTTTGTCGAGTTCTCGGGAGGGCTGCAGAAGGATAGACCGCTAATCTTCCAATCAGACTGGTGGGAGGTCAGTCATTGAAGCCCGAAGGTGTTGCCTTGTGCATCTTAAGAAGGGTGACGTACCTTCGCATTTATCAGGATGGCATCAGGGGTGATATTGCCATGCACAAGGCCAGCATTCTCGTGGAGGAACTCGAGGGCCTTGCTAATCTGCAGCAAGCCCTTCTGGATCTCCAGCTCATCGATCTCGAGCTCGCGCCGCCTCCTCGTGCCGTCTGCCTCCTCGGTAACATAGCGGCTTGACCGTCCTCCGACACCACCGGCGCGTTCTTGGTCGTCCTTTTCTTGTAGCAGACTGGCGAGCGAGGCCGTGACAGGCTCAGTGACAAACTGCAACCCGCCGCCTCTCGTCTCCTCGACGGGCTCGACAAGCTCTAGCACGCTTGGGTGGCGCAGCTTAGCAAGCGACGAAGCCTCCTTTTTCAACCTCTCGATGACCTCCTCGGAGACCTTCTTGAAAGCGGCGGCGCTGGATCGACCCAAAGAATTCCCATGCGACTCCAATGACTTCTTGTCGAAGATGAAAACAGAGTAGACTTTGCCGGTGGATTTCCTTTTCGCATCGTGGATCCTCCAGGGGCCGGCTTGCGACGTCGCGTTGGGAGTTATGGAGTAGTTGGCATTGATATTGGTCTGCTGGATGGACTTCAGCGCGGAGGAGAACATGGACGACATTTTGGCGGTTGGAGGGAGGGGAGGAAGGCGCTGTTCATGTCGTCAAGGCTGGAAGGCTGATCGGCCAAAGGGTGGATCGTTGTCACATGCGTAAGACAGAGTCGAGGTCGGGTGTCGAGGTCGCAATCAGTTCCACCGTGGAATGCCCAACTTCCAGATATAGCCTCCACCACCAAGGATCTACACTCCAGCCAGTATTGGACAAGCTGTCCGTCTGCGACCAGAACAAATTGAAGGAACTACAGAGAGTGGCAAAAAGAGATGGAGAGAGAGGTGGGAAAGCAAGGGATCGAGGATGTTCGGGATAGTCTCTCAACAATAAGCAGAGTCGCACCACCCCGTCAGCGTCGAGTTGGTTGATGGTTGTCTCTTGTCCTGCATATTGGCCATGGACCGTGGCCCTCCCGCCTGCATGCGCCCCAGCGAAGGGAAGCTCACTCTTGCTCTCCAAGGGGCTTACCTAAGGACCACAGCATCCACCAGAATGAGACGAACCACCCCTGAATGCAACTAAGCCCAACTGTCTATAGCTGCCGTCCCACGCCTGTCCAATCGGTCTCGAGTTGTTTTCTCCCCTAGCTCAATTGAAGCTGCAGCTCCGATGACGGCTCCGTCGAAACTTTGCGACTGCAGCAAATGTGTGGGATCACTGGGATGTCAGCTAAATGACTGATAAGTGAGTGGACGGACAGTCATACCTGTCCCGCACTTTTCGCATCCTCGAGTGCTATAGATAGTCAGTCCAGATTCCGTGACACTTCTCCTGTTCTCGACTCGAGCAACAGCGTCTGCCGTTTCTTTTTAGAAGTCAATTGGTCTTTCCTTGTTGTGTCTTGTCCTGTGCTTTCCTTACTCGTGCAAGAAACCTCTTCTCTCGCTCGAGCCGTCTGTCCTCCTCCACACTTTGCAACAGGCCACGCCACGACCCACCAAGATGCGTGCCTTCGTGCCTCGATGTGGTGCCCTGAGGCCCAGAGCCTCCCAGATCTCACGCTCCATGCTGCAAAGATCATGGCAGCCAGCAAGGTGTTACAGCATAAAGCCCGAGGCGGCATCTGTGTCCAAGCCACAGGACATCGACCCCTCCAAGCTCACCGTCGAGACCGCAAAGACTCCCGGCCCTCTGAGGAAGCCAGAGGAGCTCATCTTTGGCGCCACTTTCACTGGTAAGACTCCTTGTCACTCCTTGAATATGGAATTTGGAATATAGCATTGCTGTATCTAACAATTGTCCCTGCATCCAGACCACATGCTCACCGTCGAGTGGAACAAAACATCCGGCTGGCTCGCCCCCAGCATCAAACCCTACCAGAACCTCTCCCTCGACCCCGCGACAAGCGTCTTCCACTATGCCTTCGAGTGCTTCGAGGGCATGAAGGCCTACAAGGACTCCAAGGGCCAGGTCCGCCTCTTCCGCCCGGACAAGAACATGGAGCGCTTCAACGGGTCGGCCGCCCGCATCGCCCTGCCCACCTTCTCCTCGACCGCCATGATCGACCTGATCGGCAAGTTCGCCAAGCTCGACGAGCGCTTCATCCCCTCGCAGCGCGGCTACTCGCTCTACCTGCGCCCGACCATGATCGGCACGCAAAAGACCCTCGGCGTCGGCCCGCCCGGCAGCGCCCTGCTGTACGTCATCGCCAGCCCCGTCGGCCCTTACTACCCCACGGGGTTCAAGGCCGTCTCGCTCGAGGCCACCGACTACGCCGTGCGCGCGTGGCCGGGCGGCGTCGGCGACAAGAAGCTGGGCGCCAACTACGCGCCCTGCATCGTGCCGCAGCGCGACGCCATGAGCCGCGGCTTCGCGCAGAACCTGTGGCTGTTCGGCGAGGAGGAGTACGTCACCGAGGTCGGCACCATGAACATGTTCGTCGCCCTGCGCAACAAGGAGACGGGCCAGAAGGAGCTCGTCACCGCGCCCCTGGACGGCACCATCCTCGAGGGCGTCACCCGCGACTCGGTCCTCGCACTGGCCCGCGAGAGGCTCGCCCCCGAGGGCTGGCTCATCTCCGAGCGCAAGTACACCATGCGCGACCTGGCCGAGGCGTCCGCCGAGGGCAGGCTGCTGGAGGCCTTTGGCACTGGCACTGCCGCCATCGTCAGCCCCGTCAGGAGTATCAGCTGGAAGGGCCAGCTGGTCGACTGTGGCCTGTCTGAGAACGAGGAGTCGGGCGAGATCGCCACCAGGATGAAGGACTGGATGGAGGGTATTCAATATGGTGATGAGGAGCACGAGTGGAGCCACGTCTGCTAAGGGGTAGCAGTCGCCATGATAGAGGGAGGATATGGTTTTGAGGTCCGAAAAGAAGAACCAGTTTAGAGGCGGTCCCTTGCGGTTGTTGGGACTTTCCCAGAGTATCCTGGGACAACGGAGAAAGAAAAGAGAGAGAGCGATTCGGCACAATTTCATAGACCATGTTTGAGCGACAAAAGAAATCTTGCATGTTCATCCACACCTCTCGGATTCGGAAGTAGTGACTGCTCTATCAGCCCTCTTGCCAGCCTATGCTTGTCACCTGTCCCGTTCTATGCCTCGATTAAATGTTCTGTTTCATGTTCAACCGGTCCATAGTGTACAGCCCTTTGAATTTCCCCATTCACAGCGGTGACGACTCCTGTCTAGAATAAAGCAGCATGCTTTGCGTGTGGCATGTGCTCAGCGTCCCAGCGCGTTCATGTCGGCTCGCGTGTCCATTTCGCTTCCGCCGCTGCTGTTGTCTAGTTCTTCTTGTCGGGGTCCTCCAGGATGCCCTCGGCTTCTAACCGTCTGCGAGCCTCCTCGAGAGCCCAGGTTTGTATCCTGTGGGAGCAGTCATGGTCAGCCAGGAGTCATTCCCTGGAATGTAAAGCAATGAGGTGAATGCGCAAAATCCCTCTCTTTCATCCCCTTTCCATGGACCGGACATGCTCAGGACAATCAGATACCCATCCCGCCTCAATTGACTCATACCGCCCATCCGAACCTCTCCCACCTCACCTCCCAAAGACATACCATCCCTCTCACCGCCTCCTAACCAACCAATCCAGGGGAGAAATACACGACAGGTAACAACTCACGAGGTATCAGGCTTGAAGGCATACGCAACCCCAAACACAGCCAGGCTGCCGCAGAAGCCGTAGTACGCCAGGTTCTCCCAGCCTTCCTTCTCCGCCTTCTCGCCGGGCCGCACGCCGAAGAGCCACCCCGTCGGCGGGTCGAACTCCGGGCCGTGCCCGTGGCCGCCGCTCGCCCGGGCCGGCGTCGTGCTGAGGGTGCGCCTGGCGGCGATCTGGCGGCTGGCGCGGGCCAGGACCGCTGGTCGCAGGGCGGCTCCGCGCATGACTGTGTTTTTTTATCTCTTTTGCTGAGGGAGCGGGTTGAGGGGGTGTGTGTTGTTTGCTTTCGCTGTGTCTGGCGGTGATGGGAGCGGTGTTTTCTGTTGGGGGCGGATCGGAGTTTCGTGGTCGTTGGCCGATTCGTTGGTGGGTGGATTGATCGATTGATCGATTGACTGCGTGACGGACCTTGCAGTGTCGTGGTCGCCGGCAGAGGTGTCGAGGTCGTGAGTGGAGACGGTGGTCTGTGTTGGGTTGGCAGTCAAAGATGGGGCGGATGAAGCTCGGGCTTGCTTTGGTTACCGCTGCTGCGGTCTTTGATTGAGGTCTGGGGGGAGCCACCTGCAGAGTGGGAGAGGAGCTCTCCTCGCAGAAACGCAGCTGAGCTGGAGGCTGCTGACTCATCTGGACCCTCCGGATCGGAGAAACGTTGGGGACTGGCAACGATGACTCGAGTCGATTCGAGTCGACTCGACCAGACCAGACCCAAAGGCGAGGGAGGTGCCACAGGTCAGGTTCCCCGACAGCCGCGCCAATCGTCTTACACGCCCGAAACTTTGGAACAGCCAAGCTCGAGAAATGTCGGAATGGCCATGCTTATCACAGGCCCAGCACCTCGGTAATCATACGAATACGTAGTAGAGTAGACATTCAGGCTTTCATTGAGTGAGCCCAGCCCTAGGTGGCGGCAGCACTCCTGATCTTTGGTCTCACATGAAACCCGTCCATTTCTGATGAGCAAACAGCAACAGAATTCAGCAAGAACCCGCCAGGCTTTGGCGGGCACAACAAATGCTGCAATCCTAGAGATACAATAGACCAAGACGCCCTCCCATATCCATGCCTGCCTTAGCCCAACCCATGCGTTTCCCTCATGCCGTCAAGCCCCTTAATACGTATATTCCAACGCCTAATATGTGTTCCCAGTCATCTCGCTCAGAATGTTGGCCAGATTCGGCTTCCCCTTCAGTAACACTCTCTCGTCAATCTTAGCCTTTCTCGGCCCAGCCCCATGTGGCGGCTGGTTCTCCTTGCCACCCTGGCTGCTCCCTAGGATCTTCTTCTTCGGCTGCTTGAATGCCGGAAGCAACGCCTGTTTCCTTCCAGGCTCGCTCCAGAGTACACCCGTGCTGTTCAGCTGCTTCTTGGCCTTGTCGACCGGACTGCCGCCCATCCCGGTCGCCGCAGTAGCCGTAATTTGCGTGCCCGTATCTTCGAAGTAATGCTCATCGAGCGCGTCTGGCTTCAGGTCATAGATCCAGCGCCGCTGCTCCATCAGCCCGATAAATCGCGCCAGCATCTCCTCACACCCACTGCCCTTGAGGGTGCTTCGGCTACCCACGACTAGCAGCTTGGTCTTGGCGCGCGTGAAAGCGACGTTGATTCTTCGCCAGTCCTTGAGTAGATCTCCAATACTGCATGCCTCGTTCGATCTGACGAGTGACAGGATAACCACCTCCTTGTCACGGCCCTGGAAGCGATCCGCAGTGTGCATCTCGATACCACCGCTGTTGGTGCCGCGGCCACGCAGGCCGTGCTTGAGCATCGATAATTGGGAACGGTAGTGTGTCATCACGCCAATCTCGGTGGCCGGGACGCCGACTGTGAGCAAGGCGTCCACGAGCTGCACGACAATACGTGCCTCGCACGGGTTGACGATTCGGTTACCCTTGGCTTCTTCTCGCGACGATGGCAGAGCGTCCGTGTTGACGAAACTGACGCGCGTCTCTGGGTCCACCAGATCGCGCAGCCAGCACGCTCCCATGCCTGTGCAGAATGAGTTTGTCTGGGAAGAGACAAGTGTTGTGGCATCGTAGTGGTGTCTGCGCAGCCCGTCCATGTTGGGGACATCGAGTTTTTGCAGTCGCAGTTCCTCGGTCCCGCACTTGAGTCGGCCCTCATAGATCAGCGTATTGCTCAGCGTCATGATGTCCTCGGACATGCGGTACTGGTGCTCCAGGTTGACGACTGAGTCGGGATGAGTGTCGGAGAGGAGTTTGAATAGACTGATATCCAAGCCGCCAAGTCTAGCCTCCTCATTTTGGACGAGAGGTGGCAGTTGGTTGTGGTCGCCGACGAGAACAAAAGTTCGTGCCATCCGGATGGGACCCAAGCAGATCGGCAGCGTAATCTGTGATGCCTCATCGACGATGCAATAATCAAATGTACGCTCATTGAATATGGCGTGGCTCGTTCCGAGGCAAGTCGTTGCCACGATGGGTGTGTCATGCCAGGCACTGCGGATTTCCTCAAAGGTGTCCATGGGCTGACCTGCTAATATGGCGAAGTCTTGGACCTCAGGGTGGACCTTAGCAGGCGCACCTAGTCTGAGGACGGGAATATCGTCGTGCTTGAGTTTAAGTAGAATGTTGTCAACGGCCGTGTGGGTGTATGAGGTGAGCAGAACACTCTTCTTCTGAGCCACCAATGCCCGTATTATGTGGGCTATGGTCGTCGTCTTTCCAGTACCGGGCATACCAAGAACAAGAGCGTAGTCCTTGGCACTCATGACCTTCTCGATGGCTTTCTTTTGGTCAACGTTCAAACTGTTCTTGTCGGCTATAGTGTATTGCGTCGCCGCCGACTTGAAGGTTGGCGGTTCCAAATCCACTACCAATTGCCGAATCTTCTCAGACCCGAACTGAACGTCTGCCATGATTGATACAATGTTATTCCGGACCAGTGCCATGCCGTTGCTGAATTCGTCTTTGTCCAACCTGTATCGGATTGGAGGCTCCTTGATTCTGCCTTGGGATTGCTCGGGAGGCACTCCTTCTGGGACAACCTCCATGATGCTGGCGTAGACCTGATTATCTCGCTTGTCGAATCCAGGCTGCCGTATGCGGGCGTTGTGAAGCCTTCGGTCAACAGCCACACTGATCCGCTGCTTTCTCACTGCTGTGACGAACCCAAGTGCCAGAGCGAAATGTCCTTGCTCGTCCGACACCACAATGGGCTCTCCAACGGCGATTTGCGAATCCGCGAAGGAGAACCCAGGTGCTGCATCTTCCTTGATGAATGCATAGTGGAAGCGGTTGATTTTTTGACTATGCGTATCCTCCGAGGCTGAGCCTTCCTCGATGATCACGTCGGCGAAGCACCTGCCAAGCTTTTCACGCTCCACGCTGAGCATCGTCCAGAGCTCTCTACGGAGCTTCTGGCTCTCCTTCTCTTCCTTCGTCAGCAGATCCTCCCACTTCAGGAAGAAGTCCTTATGGACTGGCGTCATGTGTTTGACAATCTGATCAAACTTTTCTTGCAGACCACTTGAATCCCCGTCCCCATCGTCGGCGAGTTTGTGGTACGTGAAACAAGAGGTCTGAGCATAGCATTTGCCACATGCATGCTTGCTGTTCTTCATCGGCGGAAGTTGTACGCTGCGTTCACGGATGTAGACGGCGAGCTGGTTGCGCTGTTTGATCATGTGGCGTAGCTCGTTGCGTACGGCAGGAATGATCTTTGTCAGTGATGTTTCCATATAGTATAAGATGCCGTAGACAATTTCGATGTCGTATCGGTCCGACAAGAGAAGGTTGTACAGCATTGTCTGAGCTTGGTGGTTCTCGCTGACGTTCTTGCCGGTCTTGACTTCGAAAGGAACGGTCAGAGTTCGTCTCTCTTGACTGTTCTTGACAGTTACTTGGACGGTGGCGTCGATATTCCCCTTAAGCCCGTATAAAGGTGACCAGACATGTTCTTCGATGTCGAGTAACTTGCTGACGCATACACTAGTCTTCTCGTTGTTCCGACCATGGGCGACAGCATCTGGCTTGGGATACGAAGAAACGAACTTCTCGGCCCAGCCTCGTAACTCGGGCATCTTCGAGGATAGGTGCTCACGGGCATCAGTGAAGTTGACCTTTATGGTATACAGGTCTTCGATATGCTTCTTCATCGCCTTCTCGATCACGCCATTCAGAAAGGCTTGGTCCCAGCTGTTTGCTACAAGTGCCTCTTGGAAGATCTCGTGCAGAATTGTGCCGTATACAAGCGGGGCCGAAGCCTCACTTGTAGCCTTTACTCGATCCTGTAAGACGGCTCGCCGCATGCAGCTGAAGGAGTCAGCAACAACGGTAGCCGAAATCAATTGATCCGGATGGAGGATCAGGATGTTTTGATTGTTGTCGATGACGCATCTCCCGTTGGATCCAAAGCTGCCAATGATGTGTACGTGAGATTTAGGATGGACTGGTGTGTCAACCCAGTCCCCTCGGAGATGGACCGTCTTGGTGGTCTTGAGTCTCTCGGCTTGAACAATCAGGATCACCTCAGGCGCTTCTCGCCCTCGTTCATCCGAATATGTGTTCTCAAGCACATTGATCACTAGGTATCGTTGAATTGCGGTCGGCTTGTGACTCACCTACTCGTTTATCTTAGCAAAATTGTTTATTGACTATTGGTGAGCTATCAGATGGTACGTACGTGCGTTAACGATGAATCTGTTTGACCAGCTGTTTGAGTAGCGGCAAGCTCCGCGGCTTCGAAATCAAAGTCTCCACCAAAGTCATCACCAAATTGATCGTCATCCTCCGTACCGCCATCAAGCTGAATTGATTCGGCTGGTGGAGGTCGAGCGGGTTGTGTAGTGAGGCTTGGTTCGACACTTCCGATCATGTCTTCCGCCGCAGCCAGTAGATCGTCATCCATATCATCAAATTCCTCATCCGAAGGCGTTACCTGCTTGGTACCTCGCCCTTCGGCCTCCTGCACGTCCGCGTCTGCAAGAGTCGCCGCCGCTCCTGAGAACGTTCGAGTCTCAGTCTGTCCACTAAGCAGGGAGACATCAAGTTCCAAAAGTGTATCGTCATCGAAATCATCGTCTCCATAATCCGAGGTTGGTGTTCTCGCGCCATTCTTCGCCTCGTTATGGAAAGCATTGCGTTGCGGTGGTGCTGCGCTCTCAAGCTCGAATGGCTCCGGTAATACTGGCGGGCGAGGGAGTGATCTCTGTTTTTTGGGTGACCGTTTTCTTTTAACAGACGGCGACTCCATGCCGGGAGGGTCTTTCTCAGCGTATTCAGTCTTACTAATTTCCCCATTGACTGTCTCGAGAAGAGCTGACACCATCGAGGACTTGGTATTTTCCTCAGTCTCTTTGACTGGGCCGGATTCCGACGCAGTCTCGACCCGACGTCGTTTCGGCCAATGAGAACCGCAACTTATCGCTCTTCTGAGACTGCTTTCAGCGTGATTTGGGCTTCCATCTTTTGGCGGCCGAGGGGAAGAGGAGACCATGAGGTGGGCAAGGGCCGGGTTTGTAGCCCCCAACGGGCTCTTACTATCCGCAGTGCCGCCAACAGCGAAGCGATCCCATAGATCGAGCGCCGGGTCTGCATGCTCCGACTTCAAAGCTTTCTTGAGCTTTTTCACATTGACGACCGGTGTTCGTACTTTGTCGCCAGCCGGGGAAGATATGGGTGACGAGCTCCTGGCGCGCTTCTTACCCCGACGCGGGACAAGGGGCGAGATCATGTCGGCAGTATCATCACGATCGTTGTGCCAGAGAAGGCGCTCCGTTGGCGAGGTATCATCTTCCTGCTTCTCTGCATCGGTCACGCCCATGAGGTCCTGCCAGGCCAATCTGCTGACGGGCGTTACTGTAGCACGATGCTGTTGGCCAGGCAGTGATCCTTTTCCTGCTGGATCTGGCCCTCCTTTTTGAAGGTTCTCCTTGTTGGAATCGCCATTCTCAAGAGCATTGGTGGTTTGCCCGGCTGATGCCCTCTCTTGGTTCTCAGGAATGGAGTCAAGATTGGAGATGGATTCGGACTGCTCAGTTGCTGGCTTCTGGAATTGGAACTTTGACAACTTGTTCTTGGTGGTGGCGGAGACGGGGGCAGGTGGTCGTGCTGGCGGCTTAGAGGGTATGGCGCCAGAGTGAGACTTTGCCCTTTGCCATTGGGCTTGCCGTTGCTGTTGGAAGTCATTCTGGTCAGTGCCAAAGCCGCATCATTGTGTGGATGTACATGCATTTCGCATCTGCATTTGCATTTGGAGCGATTGGGTGGTTGTGATTTGTTTACTTGCCTTTGGAAATCTGGACTGCTCAGAGAAGGATTTGGAAAGAGGCATGGCGACTTGTCGAACTCATGATACTGCCACTATATTTTCCCAATCGCAATGATAGGGATGGGGTGGTCTTGTCGTCGCCTTGAAGGGTTGGTGATGGTCATGGGAGGAGACAAGGGCAGATGTTCAAGGTTGGTGGACCCTTCTGCGTGCAAGTCAATTGCCCTGGGAACGAACGCCTGGACGCGTTGGTCGCGTCTGCTCATATGCAGCCGCGTTGATGTCCTTGCAGGGGTCCAGTGGTGCTAGCACCTCTACACCTGTGCCTGCAGTAAGGAACGGAGGCTGACTGTGGCGCTGCCAGGTGGCGCGAGCTACCCCGGACCCCCTGATTCCTCGGGCCCAACTTCAATGACGTCCCACCACTCCCGGCCCACTTCGAAGCTCACCTCGAGGCTCATCTCGGCTCACCTCACCTCGCCCTACCCGACCTGACCTCACCTCACTCGACTTCTTTTTACCGAGCTTTGCTCTGCCTCACTCAAGCATCTATCTAGCGACATCACTGAGCTGCTATTTCTCAGCCATGGCAGACTTCAGCGGCGGTAGCAACGTCCCTATCGAATCGGCCCGCAGGAATGCAGACAGGCTCGGCATCAACTACGATGCGCTCCCTCAGATGCCCTTCTGGTCTCGGCTATTCGGATCGTCCGACGACTATGTCAAGACTAGAGTCGCAACCAAGGTCATGGCCTCGTCCGCTTCTGTTGGCAGAGAGCTCACACAGTCCGAAAAGGATGCCATGGCCTACCACTTGTACGTATATATATATATATGTACATACACATTTGTTCATTTATGGTATGGTTCCGGCATGCTCACAAATGAACCTCTAACAGTTCAAAATTACTGGTCACCATTTCATATGCGTCACCACTTGCAGTCGGAGCAACCTATGCGTTTGAGAAAGCCACACGCTCCAAGTTTGGCTTCCCATTCTATAATCCGAAGCCGCCAAGGTTTAACCCAAACAAGTTCCCCGGCGTGCCTGAGGGTATGATTTCAACCTGGACATGGCATGGAGTCCGGGTGCTTGCCTGGTATACTGTCAGCAAGGTCTCGATTGGTCTTCTTGCAACTTCGTACGCAATCTCTGTCTACTCCGCCAACGCCGGCTCGGACAACAGGCTTGAATCCTACCGCCGGGAGTTATCTCGTCGTGCAGGCGTTCCGATGAGAGGTGGACAGCAACCTGCTCTGCCACAGGAACCTTTAGGCCAGCCACGTCGGCAGTTGTCCCAACCGAGGTGGGAAGAACCAGAGCCAGCACCAGAATCAGCCGGCTGGGCCGGGTCGGAACAACCCGAAAAGGCCGCACCAATGTCAACGACGACGCAATGGACTGCGACACAGAAGCCGCAAACTGAGCGTCAGGATTCATACAATCAAGAGTCTTACATTTTCGACGATGCCTCTCCTGTCGCAGCATCGGAGCAGAACAATCCTCCAACCCAGCAATCAACACAGCAAGGTGGCTCTGCTTGGGACAGGATCAGGGGCCAGGCACAAGCGGCACGTGGTCAGCCAGGCTCATGGGCCAAGAAACGTCAGGATGAGATGACCTCTCGTGGTGCGCAAGATGGAACTTCTTACAACTACACAACAGCAGACGAGGAGAAGTCGTATGCCAAGGAGCAGGCACAAAAGGAATTCGATGAGATGCTTGAGAGGGAGCGTCGAGGAAAGGGCCGCTAAGTTTGTCTGTGCCTGCACAATAAAGAGGGATGCTATCACTAGGCAGATGAGAGCGAAACGACGTGGGTTCGTTGTGATCACGCGCATGCTGCGTTTTAATGCTGGGTGGCATGGAGTGATTGAGACCAGTCTGGACGATCAAAATACTCGACAAACGAAGTACTGGACGAAATTCAAAGGAGAACTCGCAATGAACTGACCAAGCGCCATCCCAGCGTGCTGAGGCTATTCATACCGCATAATCAGATGCGCAGGTTTCGACGCCTGACAGGGTGCTTACCATTCACTGAGAGTAAGTGAATTGTAACAAGACCGCCAGCTACTCTATTTATTCTTGGATGCTGCCAGAGCTTTGCGTCGACTGCCTTCAAACAACATCCCCGCTTGCCAAAACTGTCAACCTTCCTTCGACCCCCTTCAACGCGACAACGCCTGCGCTCCTGTCTGACGACAACACTGCATTCTGACCACCGCATTTTGCCAATTGATTGATCCCATTCTCGATTTTCGATCTGCCTTGAGCTTCCAAAATCCTCCATCATCACATATCTGACGCGACCTTCAGCCGCTGCTGTCAACGTTGCCAGTCAATCCCTCGCCCCATCCTCCACCCTCCACCCAAACTCCAGAATTCTAGACAGCGACGACACTTGCGCTTCTGTCTGGCAACATTTCTTTCTACCCAAATTGCCTTTTTATCGATTCATGCCGTTCCTAGACATTTAGTCGACCTCGAGTATCCAACCTGCAACAGTGTCTAGCACAAATTCACCCGCCTGCTTTGCTGCTTCGAACGAACTGGCGGCATCAACACTAGCAACCCAATTCACTCATCACCCAATTGCAGTAAGTCTAGTCCTTCGCATCCTATGGTCTACCTTGCCTTCCGCTATAAATTGACTTGGAAAGCTAACGCGGCAAAAAAGACAATGTATCGCTTCGTGATCTTCACCCTTGTGGCCATGCTTCTACGCCCCACGGAGACGCCTTTCACACTTGTCGACGACGCGACCTATGTTACCGATGCTATCAATGCTAGCGATGCGAACTATGTTTCCCCTACTAATGACACGACCTATTTTACCTCTGCTGGCAATGCTAGCAACGCGACCTGTCTTGTCTCTACCAGTAACGCGACCTATGTTACCTCTGCTATTACCCTTTTTCAAGAATTCTACCACCGAAGCCACGGAAACATCAACTTCGACCAATTGATTCAGCTCCGCGATCGCGTCCTCGCTTCTGAGCAGGTCGAAGCCATTCACTACAGAGCCGAGGCCCTTGTCATTCCCTACATCAGTGTTTGCCGACGTATCGCCACCGACACGATCGAGCGATTCCCTGCGCTCCGCTCGGTAGACCGATATTTCCTGCCTCGACCGTCGTACGAGAACCTCACCTTCCATGCTGAGCATGGTGCGTGTGTGTGGACCGAGTCGTCCACTGGACTTCCCGCTAACTTTAGCCCACATGTTGGTACCGTCTTCCTCCTACTAGCAACAAATGCTTGCTCGATCGTTCTATCGGTCTTTATCTGTTTCACCATCATCGCTTCGTTCCAAACTATAGGGACAGCTTTGAAAGCAGTGACAAGCCTTGTGTATTGGCCCAAGGCTACATGTCAAACTATTCTCGAGAAACTTGGATATGCCCTCCTGAACATCTCCCAAGTTGCGGTCACTATCATCGCCCTTTGTGCAACACTGCTGGTCTTCGTCATCAGCAATATCGCCATGCTCGCCGCGAACCATCTCGATATTGGCTTCAAGCCGAAGAAAGTCACGCGCCTCGTATCTCACGTCGATGCGGCTCCAAAGAAGGCGAAGGTAATCCCCGATCCACTCATAGAGAAATTGCGGCTTCAGAAGCGCCGCCTGGAGGACGAGCTGGAGGAGAAAATCGACCTCCTCTACAGCAACGGCATGACACATGCCGCCGAAATGTACCAAGCTCACGGGGAAAACGCTGTTTTAGAAGATGCCAACAAAGCTCAAAAAGCTGTAATCGTCAAGTTGCGAAACATGCTTGCGGATATCGGTCTGACGCGTCCGCTACACGAGCAGTTCAAGGAGCTACAGCAGAAGATCAAGGACCTAGAGGAGAAACTCGGGCGCGCAGTCGAAAAGGGAGACCTGCGAGAGAAGGAACTTCTCCAGCGAATCCGGGAGCGCGATGAACTCGTCAGCGCACAGTACAAATCCCTGGAAGCTCAAAGTAATGAGCGCGAGGAACTCATCAGGTCACATGAGATATTCGAGGCTCAAGTCAAGCAGCGTGAGGGAATCGCCAGGCTACAGAAAGAGTCCCTCCAGTCTTTAGAAGCTCAAATTAATGAGCACGAGGAAATCGCCAGGTCACAGAAAAAGTCCATGCAGTCTTTAGAAGCTCAAATCAAGGAGCGCGAGGAACTTTTCGAATCAGAGAAAAAGTCTCTCGAAACCTCCTTACAGAAGAAATTCGCGACAGAGAAGGAGAAACTGCTTGCGGTATCCGAAGCCAATCTGGAAGCGCGCAAGGCTGCAGAAGAAGAATCCAAATCGCTAAAGATGCAGCTAGCGGCCACCACTTTCCGCAGGTTCCGTAGTCCTAACCGTTGCAAGTGCAGAGACTACCCCGTTTTCTACGATTTGGCGCACCATTTCTCGAAACTTTCGCTTCACGATCCCAAAGAAGAAAAAGTTGACGCCGTACCTGAGGCTGAGGAGCCTGTCAGTTGCCCTCCCGAACCACAGATCCAGCCATTTCTGGGGGGCAGGCACGTGTTGCCTCTTCCAAGTCGGTACAAGAAGGTCGCCAAATCCAGCAACGGCCCCGATCCCGTCGACATGGATACTTTCAAGTTCGACTCCAAGGCCTTCAGCGACGCTTCCATGTTCGAGTACAAGCCTGGCCCGGCCAAGTAGCCGGAGGCTGCCAATGACTCCCACCGGCAGCCGGCCCACCATCGCTCGGTCGTATATCATCACCATACGGCCTGAAATGTCTCTCTCTTCCAACAAAACCCACTTGGAAGATGACGCCCTTGTCCTCGATGAAGACATAGAGGCGTCGGTCTGGCCAACATACCAGACCTGATGTGACTATCTCCTCCACGGTTTATTTCCGTGTGAGGATGAGCGACTTTTTCACCTCTTTTCTCTACATAACGACGGCCTGGTCTGAATTAGGCTATACTAAAAGATAATTGTACTAAGATTAGAATGTAACCATAGGAATTCACACAGATTCTTGACACTATTCTCTAAATTCTCGTGAGGCATTGCGTCGTGGAATTCCTAATCTGTAATACTTCATTGACTCAGGTGGAGGGAAATATTTCCAAGAAGCCTTCCTGATAATAAAAACTGCAAGAAAATAAATGCGGACTTGGGTATCCTTTCATAATTTCATCACAGCAGCATCAGACATATAATGAGACCCTCCCCCACAGCGATACCCTCCATCTTGCTTGATCCAGGGGAACCCGACTGGGCACACCCCCATCGTTTCGAGCTTTTTCCGCGCCTCCTCCTCCTTCCGCCTGCGCTCCTCCTCCTCGAGCAATTTCCTGACGATCTGTTCCCTTGCCTCGTCCGAGGCAGTCCGCTGCGCCTTGAGGAGGTCCTGGTATTCCTGCTCTCGTTGCTCCTCGGCCTGCTTGTCCCTCTGGAGCTGCTCCCACACTTCGTCGCTGACCCCTGCGTCCCGTGTCGCCTCTCGTCTGGAGGGCTTCACAGCCTCATTGGGAAGCTTTTCTTTCTTCCTGGGCTCTTCTCCCTCTTCTGGTGCAGTTGGTTCATGGCTTGTGAAAGACTGTTTGGTGGTGGTCTTGGTCTTGAACCCGGGCGCAGCAGGAGACGGTGGCATTTGGGAAAGGATTTGGTCAAGCCCCTGCAATGCAGGCGATGATCTGCTGTTCTCCACGCTCCTGCTCGCACGCTCGTGGAGCATCTTCGTCAGCTCCGCCTCAATGATGTCTCCGCGGACGGTCAAGTGGCCCTTCGCAATACCTTGCTTGTCTTGGATGACGCCACTGAATATACTTTTGGCAACAGTCTTGACATCACGGGCACTCGCCCAGCTATCCTGCTTGGCTAGCTCGGAGAATAAGTGATTCAACTTGGCTCCCAGAGGCTGCTCCAGCGTCTGGAGCACGGAAACGTCGAGGTTGACTTTCTTCTTTGACATTGGGCCCGCCAGACGGCTCTTGTGCGACATCAGTGCCTGCAGGAGCAGTTTTACACACTCGTCTGGACGCAAAGTCCGGAAGTCGATGACCTCAGGGAAACGAGAAGTAAGCCCGGGGTTAGTCGTCATGAGGCGATTAATATCATTCTCGTAGCCCGCAAGAATAATGATCAGCTTCTTGGCATATTTCTCCTTTGTCGTCGCGTCGACTAGCTCGTCCATGGCTTCTTTGGCAAAGTGGCCCTCGCTTAGGCGATACGCCTCGTCGATGAAGAGGACCTTGCCCAGCGCTGTGTCCAATTTCGCCTGCACTTTGGGTCCCGTCTGACCAACGAACTGACCGATGAGATCGGTCGCCGAGCACTCCACGACCTCGGCCGTGGCGAGGAATCCCATGTCGTAAAATACTTTGCCCATCTTATTCGCTGTTGTTGTCTTGCCGGTACCTGGGGGCCCACGGAAAAGGAAATTAAAGGGTATATCTTCCCTTGGGTCCAGGTCCAAGGACTTCATTGTTTTAACTGTCTCTTGGTAGGCCTGCAACTTCGCGATGACGTCCTCTTGACCAACAGTCCCCTCGAATAGTTTGGAAACGTTGGTTTCAGCTCTCTCAGCACGATCAAAATTCTCATCGAAATCCAGCGCCTCGAGGGTAGAGGTGGAGGTGGTTTCCTTGCGTGACAACCTCGCCTGATGTCTTGCCTTCGCTGCATCAAGCATAATATCTATCTCGCCAGCATTGCCAAAATTTGGCCGGTTTCTTGCACGACTGAGAACTTCCATTGCCACCCGCTTGGCTTGATCTGTGGCAGTATAGCCCTGCTGCTTCAGCTTCAGATTTAGAATCTGGAGCAGGGCATTGTCGTCGAAGTCCTCAAATTCGAAGGCCGAGGAGATGGGGAAACGCCGGCTGAGACCTGGGTTGACGTTCTGGAACATTGTGTTCATCTGATCTTTGTAACCGAGAAGCAACACACATCGATCATCTCCAGGGACACTTTGCACCTCGGCGACAATGGTGTCGATGACAGCTGACTTGTATGGGTCTGCAGTGGACCCCTGGCCACCATACAGCCCATATGCCTCGTCAATGACAAGAACCTTGCCCAAAGATGCAGCTAGTATGCCTTTTGTCTGTTTCTCTGATTCACCGAGGACGGAACCGACGAAGTCTGAAGGGTTCTTGACAATCACTAGACACCCTGTTAGTCATCCTATTCATTTCCAAAGATACTGCCATAGACAGAGATACTTACCCTCGCCCTTAGAGAGCAACCCTAGATCCACAAGAATAGCCCCGTACAGCTTGGCAACGGTTGTCTTTCCTGTGCCAGGATTGCCGAAGAACACACGGTTCAATGAGTATTCGATGGGTGGCTGCTCATCTAGCTCCCTGGTATAATTTTGCATGACACTGTCGACAAGGGACTTGACTGCTTCTTTGACGGCTGTGAGACCAAAGAGCCTCTGCAGTTTCTTCCATGCCTCGCTCTTTTTCAAGGCCTCCGTTGGCTCGGGGCCTATGACATCTTCTTTGGTGAACAAAAAGTCATCAGGCTTCTTGCCGTCGCGCCGCTCCTTCCTCAGCCTTGCGGCCTGGCGTGAGCTGACTGTGGCCAAGGTGTTCTCAACCGTCCGGGCATTACCGAAGCCATCTCGGCCTCGGCCACGGCCAATTCTTCTTGTCGCAATCCGGCAGTAGAGACCCCTTAAGCCGTCTTCGCATTTCATCCGACCTCCGTATTTCTGTTGCATCTTAAGCTCAAAGATGCGCAGCAGCTCCTCATCAGTGTAGTCGTCGAATTTCATCTCGATAGGAAACCTTGACGGCAGGCCGGGCTGCTCAGATGGTCAGCTACCTGGCATTTTTTCTCGACTGGTTCATTGAATCGGGGTGTGGTGGCACTCACATTGTGTGCGTAGAAGCTCTCCATTTGCTTGTTGTAGCCAGCGAGCACGAAAACCACCTTGCCATTTAAATTCTCGATCTCTGGCAAGAGGTAATCCAGGACTGCCCCGCCACCGAAGCTATTCCCGGATGTCAGCTGGTAGGCCTCGTCGATGAAAAGAACGCCGCCGCCGTCATTCAGGATCTCATCGATGATGTTCTTGCAGCCAGATACTCCTGCGTTGGCCAAACTAGCTCCAGTCTCTTCTTTGAAGCAGCTCCCCGGGATGACGCCGAGCGAGGTGAGAAATTGAGCATAGAGTCGAGCAACAGTGGTTTTCCCTAATGAAAGAGCATTAGCTATGGTATGAAAGCGATTTTGAAAGTGACTGAATGTAAACAACATTGAGCAGCATCCAAGCACAAAAACAACCCCTTTCTAAAATAAAATGAAGCTTGCGTCTATACATACCTGTTCCAGGATTACCCAACATGGAACAGCCGAAGCGTTCCTTGCTAAGTGAGATATCTTGCCGAATCGCTGTGTCAACCCTCGACTTCACGGACAAAAATCTCGACTTCACGTCTTCGAGCCCGATCATGCCCATCATTTTGTCTAAGGGCTCGCTCTTGGCCCCTTCGAGCTGCTTGAGGTATTTCCATTCTTGTTCCGGGCCCTCCGGGAGGCCTTCCAGACTGTCGGCAGAGTCTGCATCAGTCGGGGGAGTCGGAGGGTCGAATACAGGAAATGAGCCCGGCATATTCTGCTTATTCTGTGGCTTTGGAGCCTTGAGGATCCGTTCTGCAGTGTCCTTCAGCGCTGCAAGGTCGGCACGCTGCTGGGCCAGCGTCCTCTGCTGTTCTTCTTCGTCATTGCGGTATCTGACCATGCGCCGCTCGTGATCGATCTCGTCTTGGATTTCTTCAAGTTCCTTCTTGTATGCTGCCTCGCGAGCCTGTCTGTCAGCCTCGAGCTTCAGGTCTCTCTTTATCCTCCGCTCTGTTTCCAGATCCTCTTTTGCACACGTTCGGCACTTGTCATTGCGCATATGACATGGCATCTTAAGTTTGTGACCCCTGTCGCAGACCCTGTCCACCTTGTGCGGGCATGGCATCTGGGAATGGTCATCCACTCGGTGACAGCGCAAGATGCAGTTGTGTAGTCCGCAATTGAGAGGAGCATCACTGAATTGAATTATCAGCGAAATGAATCACGTCGAGTATGTGGATCGTATCACTCACCATGCCTCGGTACACCCGCCATCCGGGCAGCACTTGTCAAAGTCATCTGGTTCCTTGAGAAGAAACTTCCTGTCAGGATGCTTCTCGCACTTGACCGGCAGCCCGTCATGAAGATGGTTCTTTGCCCTCATCAGATCAAAGAAGGGGTTCCATGTATCTGTTCCCTTCTTGCTGTGCATGTAAGTTTCCATGTTGCCAAACATGATGAGGCAATTCCGTGCTCGGGACAGAAGAACGTTCAGCCGCTCGCGTGCTGCGAGGAAGCCGATGTCACCATTTGCATTGCTCCGGGTCAAGGAGACAATGACAATGTCGGCCTCTTCGCCTTGGTAGTTATCTTTGAAAATTAGTTGTGGACTATTGCTTGTGTTCATTTCATGGCTTACCGATTGTCGATATACGAAGTGGTGACTTGTTGACCTTGGCAGCTGCCTTGGTCAACAAACCCGCTTGGATGAGCTCATGAGAGTCCAAGTCACTCAGCAATGGGTCAACATCATCCATGAGCATGTCTCTCACGAGTCGGAGCTGACCGAGATAGGGCGTGAGAACAACCATGTTCTTCGTAGTGTAACCCTGCTGCGCCAAGAATCTCACCGTTTTCAAAACCATCCTTGCTTCGAAGTCGTTTTCTTTGCTGGACTTGGAGTCCTGGTCGCGGCGATCGCCGATCTTATCGTTCTGCAACTCAGGGTAGTTGTGATTTACGAAGATGACACGGCCCTCGAGTCCACGTATGGGCTCACGGGCTGACGTCTTCGGACCGTTCTCTAGGTCTGGATATGTGAGCTCTTTGACAAGGTGTGATATGTCCGGATGCATGCGGTGTTGCTTCCGCAGGGTTGTATGCGGATGTCCCTGCAGAATCAGTCGCTCGAACAGGGAGCGGTTCAAGTCATAGCCCTCTCCCTTCTCAACTGTCAGTTGGTAGTTGTTGATTTTGGGTCGCAGCTGCTTGTGATCTCCAATCTGAATGAGCTGTTTGACGGATGGAGTCAAGGCAGTGAGAATGTGGCTCTCCTGGATCTCACCGGCCTCTTCCACTAACACAACGTCTGGCTGCGCAGAAGTGATGAGCTTTGTGTATTTGGCGGCAGCGGTGGTTGTGCAGCCAATTATACGCTTGGAACGTAAAATTGAGACGTCTTTCTCTTTGAAATGGGTGTCCATGCGCCGTTGTATGAGATCGTACTGCCTAGCGAGTTCTTGAACACGTTCAGCCTTCTCCCGGAGAATGGCCGAGAACCATTTCCCAATGTATTTCAATCGCGAAAGGGGTGCAACATTCCACACGCTCGGGTGATTCTTGAGAGCATGGAGCGTAAATATACCAGGCCCTTGACCGCATCTCCAACATTGGTATAGATAATCCTCAGCAATAGCCTTCCCCTTCTTTCCGACTTTCTTGTAACCATCGGTGTCAGATGGTACGATGAAAGCCTCGAAGAAGTGTGAATCGTCCTCAGAGAATTCGAGATAGTTCAGAATGTCATGGAATGTGGGACGGCACTGGATGTAACTTCTGAAGGCTTCGCGTAATCTCATGCTCCGTAAGGCAGCTTCTGCCTTCAGACTGTCAATAACACGCCACGCGTCTTTGGTACGGCGATAGTCGGACTTTTGCTTGGAGAGAAGCAAAGAAGCAGTCCTTGGTGTGAATTTGGAACCCAATCGGACCATGGCCTCTCCTTCGATGCCAAGATCGAGCAGATCTTCAAGAAATTGGTCCAGGGCGTGGTTGGTGTACGTGATGACAAGGATCTTGAAGTCTGTTCTTTGGATGATGAAATGCATTGCAAGGGCACCTATGAACGACTTTCCAGTACCTAACTCAATTAGTCCTGAAGCCTGCCAACCGGAGCAAGGGGCTACAATGCATGAATGTAGGAAAGTCGTCGGAATTAGAGTCTTGGTGCAGTGATGTGACCTGGGATAAAGAGAAGAAACATCAAATGAGCTTAGCAACGAACCTGGAGGCCCCTGGATAACGCTGGCCTTCCTAGACAGAGCGCTTTTCAAGGAATGACGTTGAGAGTAATCCAATTGGAATTTCTTATCGACGCGGCCGTTTTTAATCAATACTTCCACGTTGCTCGAAGCGAGACGCTCTATGATCATCCGTATGGCTGAACGTGGCACGAAGTCATCCGTGGCATCCGAGGGATCTAGCAATTGGTCTTGTAGAGGGAGTTCCTTCATGTCCTTGAGGCGCTCCAACACCGGTTCGTACGCAAATACGGGCGTATCTACCAGGGTGAACATGACGTCCTGGGTGTTCTTCAACGCCAAGAGGGCTCTTTTCAAGGCCTCGTCGTTTGTGAACTGCAGGATGACCACCGGGGGAGATTTGAGCAGACTGTCGATGTCGCGGTCAACAAAAGCGAAGCCGAAGATCTCCTGTCCTTGGTACAGGGCGCCGAATGCTTGGTGCCGCAGGTAGCTTTTGTTGTCCTCGAGCCACTTTTTCCGAGCACTTGGCTGCTTTTTTCCAAGCTCCTCCAGACCTGCACCGCATCCAAGCGCGATGGAACACTTCTTTCGTGTCTTGTCGTCTCCCAAATCCAGATATATCGGCCAGAGTTTGCGGAGAGTCAGAGCAGATCTCCGCCCACTTTTCCGGCCTTGTGCAATCTGCCAGTCACTCCTCAGCTCCCCGAGAAGGTCTTCTCGAGTCAACCGGTAAGTGTTGTCCAAGTGGACTGCGGCTCGCTCCAACATGTCCGTCTCGAAGACCTCCTTTGCGCGACGGTAGAACGGCCTCTCAGCTGAGAGGAACTCGTCCGTGGTCGGATAGACGGCGACTTTTCTGAAGTCCTCGAAGTCGTTGTCATGTCTACCACCTGGGGCATAACCATCAACAGACTTGCTATTGGGAGAAGTTCGGAGTTGCAGGAGGCGCTGAATCCTATAGCCTATCTTTCGGGTCTCGGGGCAGGATGACTCGGTGAACTTTCCGCTCTGGGCCAGGGGCGTGATATCGGCGAGAACATCCACTTCTGCAGTCTCAGGTAATGACAAGAGTTCAAGACAGAACCAAGAAAAGACCCGGAACGCTTCGTCATCGAGAGCACCGCCCCGAGCAGCAATGAGGAGCTCGTTCCAGAAGGTTGCCGGCTTGGCAAAGACCACCAGGGCCCGTTGGAGAATTTGGCCGTCGGCGAGCATGCTCAAATTCTCATCGATCAGGTACGCGAGGAAATGCAGCGTTTGTTCCTGCATGAAAGTGACCGACAGGTCCAGGCGAGCGGCCAGTTGCAGAGCATTCATGCCATATTTGCTGGCAATGATGGCCTCCATGCATGAGCTCGGCGCTTCTTGAGCCCGCGCAGCCTCAAAGAACAGTTTCGCATCGTTGGCAGATTGTATTTTCCGATTTCCATTGAGGATCTTGCGAAATAGACTAGCGAGTCGGCCAGCTCTGGCAGTATCGGTCGTGACCTGGCTGGCAAGTGACATCTTTGATGTGAAGAAACTCTGAGATTGGCCTTAGAAAATGAAGAAAGGTCATACTGGAAATCGGTAGAGGAGCAGAAGAATGATGGTTGAGGGAGACGATTTAAATATTGGTGATGTACTAAGGCAAGGGGTTCTGGGGGGTGGGGGTCTAAGCCATTCGTGAACATTGGGCCAACGGATCGTGAGGCGATCTCGTTAACAAAATTGAAGACATCAGAGCCTTACTGAAAGCCTGAAATTCCTGTAATACCTGTATGAGTTGGTCCTGGAATGGGGTAGATGGTGGCAGCACACCATTCGTTGAACACATCGACCCGTTGGTGAGACGGTAGGCCTCCCGCATTGCCAAATCATGGGGCTTCAGCATGAGGCCTACCGACCAGCCGCCTCTCCGCAGGAGTTGATTCGCCTGATTTTCTTTCGGAGGGCCTCCAACATTTGAGATGCAAAGACGAACGAATACCATTTCTAAGAATCGTCCTGCTGTGTAATTAACATGGACTACGCGTCGCTGCCTGCTTGCGGGGCCAAACAGACAGCAAGGCAGAATTGCAGAATGTTGGTTAATCAAGGCTGTGCGCGAATTTGGCATACACGAGAAAAATGAAAGCAATGATGCAGGATACAGGGCCCGTAGCCAACTGATTAAAAATAGGCGAGCGTCGAGGAAGTCTTATTCAGGCCATATGAGGACAGCCTGCATTGATGGTGTATATAAACTATGCGTCAGAGCCTGACACCAACACTGATTCCTTTCTTTCCTTTCATCTTGACTCGAACTTGTGCAACGGCATCTAAAGATATTCCGCAAACAACAACTTGACCACACAAGCCGCAAAGTAAGTCAGTGATGTTGAGCTCCAGTGAGTTTTCTGGCAACAGGTCCTGGCAAGGCAATGGGAGTGGACGTGGACGAGGAGGGCTTGGAGGCATGAGAGGCTCTTTCCAAGGCTATTATGGTAGACCTGGGCGCGGAGGTCTTGTGAAGGGTAAATCCCCACAGACTTCCAGTCCTGAACCTGCTCTGGGGAGCCTTCTCTCCACGCTCAGCCAGACTGACTTCAACACGACCGCGGGGAAATATGAGTCGGACTCATCCATCACAGACTGCGTGACTGTGACTTCGTACAATTGGCTGGACAGAGCAGAGCCGACCATTGCTGTCCCGGGTAAGCCCCCCGACTCGCCTGACCCATGCCTGACTGACAGAAATAGGCAAACCTGCAAAGTGGACACCACTTGTTGCACCACGGCAGCTCAAGCCTGATGACGGGCAATACTTCCGTGATCCCAACGCGGCTCATCACCCGAAGCATCCCATGGAGCCCATGATCCTTGCCGTATTGGCTCAGAGTACCCATGACGCCATTGAGGATGATGTCGTTGCCTGCGGTAGCACTCTTGGAAACTTGCTGCGGTTCATCCGCGGGGAGGACAAGCAATTCAGGATCCTGGTGGAGCTTGTTGAAGGGGCCGTATTCTTCATTCGCAGGGAGAACACGCCGCGAGAGCTTATACCGGATGTCAAAGGATATGGTCACTCGTTTCCAGAGGCTTACACAACGTGGGATGCTGATGTGAAGGGGTCTGTGTCACATCAGCGAATCATCTCATACCGATTCGGTGATCTGAGATTCCTGATGAGATTTGAGGGGGACGGCTACATTCAAGCTGGAGGCGAAGACAAGAAGACCAGCCAGTATAGGCCATCTGAACTCACTGATGTGATCGCCAAGGATGCAGTCGACGGGTTGACGGCGGCACTCGACCAGAGCCGCATGACTGCTGCTGCGCCATCTGCTGGCTCAGAATTGACGGTGTCCTCTTCTGGGAAATTGGTCAACCAGGAGTGTGTCTTTGATCTAAAGACTCGGTCTATCCGGAGGAAGGAGGTGGCCTCCTTCGAAGATACCTTTGCCGAGCAGCTCCCTCGATTGTGGGTGGCACAGATACCCCAGTTCATCCTGGCATATCACGACCGAGGAACCTTCGAGGATATCACCGTGAAGGACACGCGGAAGGATGTCAAGGCCTGGGAGAGGCAACAAGTTGACGTTCTGTCGCGCCTTGCTGCCCTCATCCATCACATCATCGACCTCGTCAAGTCAAGGCCCGATGGAAAGCTGGAGCTCCGTCATGTAACGGTAGGAACACTTGAGGTTCGTGAGCAGCTGGCAGATGCCGGCGACGCGCTGTCCGACGCGGTGAGGGATTTGTGGGCAAAGGAAAGGGGTACGACTGATGGCGTAAGCAGTGAGAGAAAAGACGTTGACGGTGGAGAGCACCGCGATTATGAGGAAGAACCTGAGTACAACAAAGATGCATTTGACTGGGATGATAGGTCGGAGCCGGACTTCACCGCATGCTCTGCTGACCATTGTGGATACTGTGGACGATGTTCCTATTGAAGCAGGACTGGACTCAAGATTATACGTGGGCTCGAGTCTGGTAGGAAGGAAGAGGAGTCTTTCACTGTATGTCGGACTGAGTCGACGGTATGAGGTTGCTGGTGCACCTACCAAGCTTCCCCCTCCTTCCTCATGAGCATCTGCTGCCGACAGCTGGCCCTCAGCTGCTAGGAGGAGGTTGCCAGCCGTTCATTGCTGCCAGTAGGGACCACTTAGATAGACTGAGAACCACTTTCCTTCTGCTCGTCAGCCAGTATTCACCCGTTGCATTGCGCACCAAGCTGCTGGTGCAAGGACCTGAACGACAGACGGACTCTGAAACTGACGTCCACTAATCTCTGGCACACGAGGATACCAGTGGGCATCAATGCCTCGCACCTGGCCACGATGTACAGTATCCCAACATCCTTCTGTGCACCTCTTCATCATCGACGGCAGCAGAAGCTGCTGCGCCGCTCCAGAACCTTGGATCATCGCAGTTGGCGTCAGCCATGGAACCGAATTTCAAGCCAGGATGTTCGTGGAACAACTTCGAGACACCAGTCATGCTGTGACCCTCCTTGAGTTCAAGCAGACCTGCCAGTCTCACCTGGGGTATGCGAAGATTCAGGCGGGAGCATCCAACGGGCGAGATGGCTGCTGTCAGCAACACCTTGACGAGCTAGCAGAGAGTTGGAGATGCCCTGTGTTACTGTGATGAGAGGAAATACCACCTTGTAAGAGGCAGCACCTGATAAGGGGTAACATTGCCATTCGTCTGGCCGACCCTAACTGACAAGGCCACAGAGCATGGACTCTTGCTAATCAAGAAGGTGCTGGGGGGAAAGCACAATCTTGATAGCACTCTGAGGCGGTGAAGACGTATGCTAGGCTTGGCTACCACGGATTGCTGCATTTGGACCGAGCCCGAGAAGCTGGGGCTGGTAGATGTGTGTCCGTCCTATGCCTGCTCTGCTGTGGCAACCAGACAGCCAGGCCTGCCAGGTCGTACTGGTGCTGAGTCGTCATGCGATTGTTGCATTCAGCATCAACCTGCCGAGATCGAATTTGCAGCCAAATAGGAGAGGAGAAGTCTTGGGATCACAGCATTTATATGCACGTCTGCAGCCAGTCAGCCAGTCAACTTTTTCCGGGCCGCGCCGTATCCAGAAACGGCCATCATTGGGACTGAGCCCTGATGTGGTTGACCCCAGACCCCGCGTCTCAACCCCACTGTCAATTCACTGCCCTACGCACCAGGTACTTTGAGAGTGAAAACAAGTATCGAACAAGCTGCCAGTCAGAATGCCCAGAGACTGTGATAGTCATCTTGCTACCTATCATGGCATCTCCCTCATCAGTTCCCACAATTTTGTTTGGGGCTCGGTCTATCTGTTTGTCGGTCTCTCTCCCCCTAGACGCGAGTTACAGTGAGGGTCATTGCGTCGAAGCCAATTTACCGGATCGCCCGACAGGTTGGGGGGCATTTCAGCCAAAACTACTACGTACACGCGAGATACGTACAGGTACCGTGCATTGAGCGTGGGGGGACGGCCGTTTTCACCTGTCGTGGATGCATTGGCCAATGCAACGAGCACGCGACATCCGAGCTATGGCTGGATAAATGCTCACTCGAAGAGGGTGTCACCAGAAAGAAACCTTGTCTTCGGATATGCCAGGATGCCCAGTGACGCTTGTTGATCACCAACATTCAAGATCATTTCAGCAATATGCACAGTACATAGATGCGCATCTCGCAAACCAAGAACAAGTCGACTGGCAGTCCAACAGCTCTCAGACTTCGAGCCGCTCCAAGCGTAAGCTGCGTCACCGGCGACTCCACAGATCAAATGGTGTCAATCGGCCGCTCTCCGATTCGGTGGATCGACCATTGCGGAGCGTCGCGAAGCGATGAGATGCGATGTTCTGCATTTATATCTTTCCATCTTATCGATAAATAGGGGACCATTGCATTGGGATTTTATCCAGGGACTCCTTTCTCACTCGTCTGCCAGTGCACATACCTCCAGGCTGTGATGTGATGGATGTTGCTGGTCCATGCTGGTTGCAGACAGCCAAACCCATCCACTTTCCGGAGCCACCCATCACAGGCGCATTCATCCGCCATTCTCCATCAGCCTCGGGCGCCAATCTTGGCTGATTCTGACTACCATATCTGACGTTGAATTTGGGTTGCAGAAATACAAGGCAAGGCATTGGTCGCCTCCACTGACTCGGCTCCGATCCATTACGTGACAAGAATTCAACCCTCTATGCGGTTGCCGGCACCATCCTTTCCCTTTACCTAATGGCCACTCCCCTTCCGGCATTTCCTCGCACCCCATCGCCGTCGGTGTCACTGGTATCCTCGACATGCCATGTGCCGCCTGCAGTATCGCGCCTGCTAGCTTCAGCCGCATGGCGCCCTCCTGTCCGCACTGCCAACGCACGCAAAACAGTTGCCTCCGCGCGCCTCGCTTGCTGTTAGCGACCCCGGCCCCGACCGAGTTCCCTCGACTTTGATGTCCGACGCGGCCCCAGCCGGCTTCCGAACATTTGCAATTGTCATTATGAATTTCATTCATGATAAAGGTCACGCTTTTGGCTGCCCGTTATCTTTCCGCATCATATCGCAACGTTTTGGTCTTGGTAAATGCTGACCGACATGAAACATCACCATCGCCCCGAGTCTGTTCAAGATGAGGTCGATCATCGGGTCCAATGCCACAGACCCCAATGACCACACCTCAGCTAACGACCGCCTTTCCTTTCAAGCAGAGACGGGGCTAGTTTGGCGGGGCCCCGGCACAACGCGACATGGATGAAGTCAGTGTCTTTTTTTGCCTCGGGCTCGTGCGACTGACTCTGCACAGCCTGGCCAGTCTGTCTCATTACATTGCCAGCAGCATAGTTTGCTCAGCAAGGGGAAGACTGGCCTTCTAGTTCACCAGCAAGTACTGTATCACAAGCTTTTCTTGCCCTGGACCGTTGGATCTCCCAGATCCGTACGTAGCACCCAAGGTCTTGCCTTGTTCCTCCTGGTACACTTGTGAACCCGAAATTCCCGGGGTTCGTGAGACGGGAAGCATATCTCACCTCTTCTTTGACTACCGCACCGTCACTCTCACATGTTTTCTTACTTTTCCCAAAAACACCCTCCATTTTCCCTGTTTCAACCAGCTGCACGTCACATTCTTCGTTCACCTCTGCATACTCTTGCGCGCCTTATCGCCGGCACAGGAGAAAGAGACGCGGGCACAAGATCATAGGCTACCGTTCGCCCAGAGGAGCTATGCTTGACGGAAATAATTCTCAATACAAATGACACAGATAAGCCAAGCTTATCTAATCCTGGTTTCGATCATCACCTAGGAACCCCTAGCCCTCGAGGTCTGGTCCATCATTTGGCGCACTTCAGGTCCTCTCTACACGAAGTTTCCACGAGGGCTCGCTCTCATTTTTTACCAAGTTGATGCCCGCGGAGCTGTTTTTGTTGATAAGGTTGAACGGGTGGCTTGTTCCTGCAGCCTAGCAGCTCACATACCACGGCACTTGTCCATTCTCGATACCCACAAGATATCGCAGTCCACGGACAGGGCGGTATAGCCGGGGCACTGTATAGCAACCCGCATCTTGTGCGCCCATTGTACTGGACGTGCGTATCGTCAGCACGATAAGCTGCTGGGTACCTGACTTTGTCTGGAATTATATACATCCCCGCGGCCGTTGTCACTCAGTATCCATCCCATCCCATCCCCTGGACACCCTTATCTCCGGGCCCCTTATCAGACATCGTCACCAGAACCTTTGCCACCACGGTACCCCATTACGCTGTTCTTCTGGCTGGGGGACTAGCTAGCTACGGCTCCTCTTTGGCTGTCATATCTCGCTGACAGCACCCTGCCAGCCTGACTTGCCTAAGCTGGCCTGGCCTGGCGAATTACATCACACCACCTGCAACCAAAACAACACCCCCCAAGGGCTATCTGGGAGATATCAGCACAGCGGCACTGTAACTGTGCGACGAGGACCCCCAATCTGTGTCTTGGTGCCCGCCGCCAACAAGCCTGTAAGACGGGACTCACATACTCACGCGGTGATAAGCGGATCTTTCTGAGCCCCGTGTCTCGACATACCCTGGGCAAGGTAATCGCTCACACCTGCTGCCGGGCCCAGGTCGAAGCGCGGTATTTGTGGCTGCCGGCCTTGTTTCTCCCTCTCGACCTTCAATATGTCGATACCAAGCGCCATCTCCCGGACGGCTCCCATAGCCATTGCACCCAAACCCACACGCTTCTCGACGAATGGCCGTCCTGGCAACATCCACACTGACACATATTCTGGAAGCTTCAATAACAGCGGCTTCGACACACCGGATTCCTTTGGATCTCCGTCGACAGGGATTCCCGCCTGGCCTTGTGAGGCCTGTCAATTAGGCCGAATCAAATGCGTGATGAGCGACGACGACGACGCTTGCATCTCCTGTCGAACCCGGGCCACCGAGTGTTCGTTGGTTGGGAGCCCTCCTCCTCGGAAACGCAAATTGCATGGCGATCATACTGAGAGCAGGAGCAAAAGAGGGTCAGTGACTTCACCCACACTCCAAAGACATTCCACATGCCCTGTGCCCTACCAGTTTTCGCGGGCCGCAGCGCATTGCAAGCCTTATCAGCGTTTTTGAACGCCTTTGCTGGGATCAGGCCCCTTCTCCCATATGTGATCACAAATCGACTGACATTTGATTGGCCCCAATCTAGCTCACCTGGAAGGTATGATAACAGGAGTGGGCGACAACAACACTCCAGCTTGTCCAGCACTGCCGCAAGTAATTCTTTCATCGAAGAGATGGCCAACTTCGGGGGGCCAACTCTTCTCAAACGCAGTCTTGGGCTGCAAGAGGACCGTTACAGCCAGTATGTCGGGCCCACAACGGACTTTGAGCCGTCATTGATCAACCTCTCTACCTTTGACCCCCATGATGAAAGCCTCTTATCACGAGGAACCCTTCGGAAGGTCAGTGACGATGATACCTTCTTGCTCCTGCCCGACAAGAACACGCCAGGGTACGAGCACATCTACGAGGATATCGACGAGATTGAGAGCCTTGTTGCGCCTCACGGAAAGAAGCTCGTGGACCTTTACTTTCGCATCATCCATCCTGCCTACCCAATCATCCAGAAGAATGTCTTTTACGAAAAGTACGAGCGCTCACCCAAGGAGTTTTCGCCGCCGCTACTTGCCGCCATGTACATTCTAGCCATCAACTGGTGGGACCAGGACGACGACCTATCGCCTCTGCCCCGGCCTAATGTCAGGCGGTTGGAGAGGCTCGTCCGCACAACCCTCGCGGACGCAATGTACCGACCGAAGCTGTCAACTGTTCAAGCTGGGCTACTACTCTCGCAAAGACCCGAGGGTGATCAGTGGGCACCAACAGCACAACTGATTGCCATTGCACAGGAACTTGGGTTGCACCTCGACTGCTCGCACTGGAAGATACCTCTGTGGGAACGGGGTCTGAGGAAACGACTTGCTTGGGGCCTGTACATGCAAGATAAATGGGGCGCATTAATACACGGGCGGCCTTCGCACATCCTGGCATCTCAGTGGGCAGTCCAGCTCCTGGGGCCGAACGACTTTCCTGACGTGGAGTGGGAAGAAGACGACGCGGACGGGAGGGACGACATTGACAAGGGCCGTACGCTCTTCTCGCAGATGGTCCAGCTAACGCAGATCATGAGCGAGATACTCGAGACCTTCTACACCCTGCAAGCGATGCAGAATGTCAACAACGCCGGGGCACAGGGGACCCACCTCGTGCTGTCGCTCGCAAAACCGATTCAGCTGAAGCTCAAGGAGTGGTACGCGGCGCTCCCGGCAGCGATACGGATGGACTCGACGTACCAGACCCCCGTTGCCAACGCAAACTCCAACCGCCTCTCCAGTATCGGGTACTTGCATTTGGCCTACTTTGCCACCGAAATCACCCTCCACCGGCGCATAGTCAGGTCCTTGGCGCAGACGCACCCGGCGCCTACGTCGAGCGACTCAGGCACGCCGCCCGGGACAGCGTCGTCGGCCGCGTCGGCCAACGACAGCTACATCCTGCACATCTGCCGCAACGCGGCCAAGGCGCGGCTGATCTCGGCCATGGACTTTGTCAACCGGCTGACGCCGTCGCACCTGCGCGCGTTCTGGTACTTCGCGTCCAAGACCAACTTCGCCCTCATCGGCACCTTCGGCTCGCTGCTGTGGGCCACCAGCCCCGGCCGCGAGGAGGCTGAGTGGTACCGCCGCCGCCTGGGCGAGTACCGCTGGACGCTATCAGTGTCGTCCAAGCCCGGCGAGGGCCGCGGCTTGACCGAGTTCGCCATGGGCATGCTCGACATCTCCACCGGCCTGCTCAAGAAGCTCCCCGAGAAGCCCGCCACCATGAGCCGCTCCGGCAGCCTGACGGGGCTGGCGGGCGCCACGGGCGGCAGGCGCACGAGCCTGCTCGCACTGGGCGGAGGTGGCGGAGCGGGAATGAGCATGGGTGGTGTTGGGTCTGGCAGCTACATCGTTTCTGGCTCCGGCGCAGACAGTGGCCTGATGGACCTTGACACGAGTGGCGGTAGCGGCGCGCCCAGCGGGATGCACTCGCCGCGCAGCCAGGGCGATGACGCGGACAGGAGCGACGACAGCGGGAGTTCCGACGAGGCCATGGGATACAGCGGCGGATTCGCGCCCACGGCGGGAATGGCGACAAGCATGGCGGACTAAAGTGCTTGTGATCAGGATCAGGATTCGGATCGGGTTGGTCCCGGCTGGAAAATATTCACGATGAGGACGACTGCATCCAGTAAATGGAACTAGCACACCAAAAAAGAAAAGCCTGGAGAGCTTTGGAGGATGGAGGCCAGACGCATTTCATTTAAAACACGGTTGTGTTGATCCATCTCCCCATGTAGGGGTTGGGCGGCCCATGAGCCGCGCTCAAGCCACCCTCACGACATATGGCGTGCTCAAGGTGTGTCCTGCCTCACCACCCACCGTGTATGGTTGGGGTATGCGGGCGGTTATGTACGGCCCCCAAAACAGAGGTGTTATACATAATAAAACAACCTGGCTGCGCGAATGGAAGTTGCTTTTAAGTAACAGGAATGGTGCGATGCCGCGGGTTGCTGGCGTCGTCTGACTCCATCCCTTCACCTTTATACACCTGTACATATCAGGTCATGGAAGCATGGGGGCTTGGGCTGGACATACATATGTGTGTGTGGTTATTGGCTTATTATGGGACTGTTTATGCTGTAGATGATTGATGGGTTGGACGATTTCAAGCGAGGCATCTTCGGGGGGACGGGTTGGTTTTCCTCTTCTCTCTCCTTCTTCTTCATTCTCTCTCTCTGCGTCGGTCTCGATCTTGCATTGGTAGCAGCTTTGTCGAAAATACCCCCCGCTATGTAGAGATGTCTGCAATTACATGATCATTTTCCCTGTACCGACTTCGTGTGATGTGGTTCACAATGGTGGGTGACCTCGAGAGTGCTTGATCCCTAGCGTCGTTGGGACATGAACGGGTGCGTGAGTCGATGCTGTTACCCTTGAGGTCGGGAGCAATGGCTGATGTGATGACTCGCTGGCGAATATGTTCCCAATTGCTGCACCGACACTCATCATCGCCATCCCCATGTCATTGGCTTCAATGTGGCCGTTGCCAGCTTGTATCATGTGCTACGTAGCACATTGATCGAACCCCCTGCAAGTCGGTCGTGGCACCTGTCTGACACGCAGAAGACCCACGCTTCAAATCGGCCGGACCGAGTTGCATAATTCCATTTCTCGGGCAAATGGCATATATGTCGTAAATCTGCCTTCTTCAGGTCTTTGACCACAGGCTCACCAGTTCGTCAATTCCCCGGGGGCGGTTTCACAGCAATGAAGGACTGTCTGTCACTTTAGAAAGCTTGTCATCCATCCAAAAAAAATAGAGACACACATGTGAGCTTTGCCTTCTTAGTCTACAGCGAGGGCTACGTAGCGCACTTCTGACAAGCGAATCTCCCTCAAGGTTCTCCCTTCGGCGGGACCTCTTTCCTCGATATGCTGAGGATCGTCAACCTACCCACCCATCCAGGGAACATCGCGGCCCGCTCGGATGCCCTGTGCCGTTCGGATTTCGGGGTGGATCCTATGAGCTGCGCAACGTGAAGCACCAGAAACTGAGGTGTTTGCATGTAAGTGGATGTGTTGAGAGAGTGAGGCTTGTCGCAACGAAGTCCCGTTAACCATTCACCCGCCTTACTTCTTCATGTGGGGATATGTCACCGCCGAGCATTACATGTCCTATCCGCGGATATATCACCCGGTGGGTCTCGGTACCAATCCGAGCCTGCGGTACACGCGAGTTCTGACTCGATCCCGTCGGATTAACAACGGTGGGAAGTATGACATCGGAGCACATCCGGGGCAGGACAGTGTTTGCTCTCCTGGTCTGGGATGTGATCTCGCCGATTTTGTTTACGGACAAAGGATGGATGTTGAACCACGTTGAATTATTGACAGATCAGTGGCAAGAAAGCTTAGTAAAAGGTAAAAGGTCGTCCGATGTCCAGTTTCTATGTATAGAGAACTACCAATGCGGGAGTACGCACAAACTAGGCAATGCATAACTGACCTCGTGAGCCGTGGTAGCACTTTGGTCCGTCAAGCACGTGGGCTGTCTGCAATCGTGGTATGGGAGAGCTCAGCCGCTTAGCCGCGACCCGCAAGAGATCCTACAGTAGACGGAGGTCGCACAAATAGTGCTTAGACTAGTTGGACCAATTGCCTCCTGATGTTCATAATTATTAAGTAACAAAGAAGGCTGAACACGGATGGAAACGAGTGCGCCTCATGCAAGACTAAGGATAACCTTAAACAAACTCTCGGCACCTTGAAAAGGGACTAGTAGCGAAACATTCATGCTTGATGCGGTGATAGTTTAGGGAATATGCACGTCTCTCGTGGCATCTGTCTTTTCTACTCGGATCCAAATGTGATACAAACCCACAAAACATCCCCCCAGCGCTCCACCATTTCCTCACTTAGACACTTCTATCTATGGCGCATAATATCGAGTCAGGACCATGCTGCCCTCGCCGAAAGGTCCCATCAGGATTCGATAGTAGAGTATGCTTGTCGGGCGGCTGCCGTGAAAGGTTCCCTAATCGGCGAGCGAGCGGCTGATCGTTCCCTCGAGAGGACATATCGGTCCTCAAGCCTCCACAGAAGCGGTTGAACGGAGATGCTCATTCCAGCTTAACCAGGCCTGCCCGGGCCTCCGGCGCAGGTATAAGAAGGCAGCTGCTGTTCTTGCTCAAGTTGGCTGGGACATCCTCCAGCAGCAGGTCCAACACATTCCCAGCCAAGCCCAACCTAGACCACTTGCCAGTCCTACTCCTCTCATACCAACCTCATACATATATCCAACATGGTCGCCATAATCCGGCTCGGCCTCGTCCTTCTAGCCAGTGCCCTCACAGCACAGGCCTGCACATACTGCCAGTGCAAGTTCCAAGACAACAGCCACTGCTGCGTGTACTCGGTAAGTCGTCACAGCCAGACTCCAAATGTAGAAAGAAGCCCTGGGGACTGATGAACTTCCTTCTGCGACAACAGGACGCCGCGATCGGCAACCTCGACTGCACCGAAATCTGTTCTAAGGCTCACCGAGCTGATGGTGTGAGCAACAGCGATGGCACTGCTGGTACGGCTTGCAACGCTGGTGGCAATTATGAGTGTATCTCCTTCATCACGGCACAGGGCCGGACGCCTTGCTACAAGGAGTGAAAGATTCCCAGAGGAGGGTGGCCGTCTTGCAAGGAGGAAAGTGACTTTTTCTCTGCCTTGGTGATGGGAGGAGATCAAGTAGCCATAACGATGGGACCTGAGCTGATTTGGACATGTTTATAATGTACATAATGAGCAACCAATCAAGTGTACATATTGCTGTTACCCTGCCCGGCTACAGCTCACAGACAGTGAGTTTGGAAGCTCACCATCTCTGGCCACAGCGCATGAGCCGATGAATAACAGAGCCAGTGAAGTCGTATCCCATCTCGCCGGGAACCAGCCGTACTTGAATTGGCGGTTGCCACTGCCACGAAGACCTATGACAAGCGTTTTCGGGACGCGGCACGAGCAACCAAGCTTTTCTTGGGACCCGCATGGTATGGAAGCGACATGCCTTTGCAGTCCATGTGATGGGCCGGGGCCGGCTGATCGACCGAAGCGGCGAGGCGAGGTTCTTGGACTGACTCGGGAGTTTTGAGACCTGCCCAAAAGGGTTCTCTGAGTGACCCATAATCCACGGAGTCTGCCGTCCAGTATATCGTATAGCTATTCCCGACGGTCGAATTGTTGGGTCGCTGGATAGTGGACTCTTGACAGTGGCTATTCATCTTATGTTGATCAACATTGATGGCTTCGAAGTCTGTCCGGGCCGTTGTGCCAACTGAATCAACTGCAGTAGTCCTTTTGCCGAGGAATATAAGAAGTGTAAGAGTATCGAGTATGTCGAGTATGATTTTCCATCATCAAGATGCCCCCCCTAGCCGGCTGCAGGTTGAAAGCCATTCTGTACAGCGTGACATGCTGTTGTGAATATAGGCTAGCGTTGACGTCGATAGTCAGCTTGCAGACCCGAAAGAGCCGCGCTTGGATGGTCATCGATAAACAAGGCGAGACAATATTGGGTACTCCTGACCCGGCACAATCTCGTATCGCTTCGCAATGATGACGTATTTGTTGTAACCATGGGTATATATCATGCACCAGAACGCCATCTATTCAACCCTATCTCAGGGCGTCTCCGAACCACGGAGCTACCTCTCACACGACTCTTGTCCCTCCCGCCCGAAACCGCGGGTATATCCTACGGGCTCGACCGCTCCGTCCAGCCCCTGACGGCATCATAAACAGCATCAAAGTGACCTAAGCCAAGCTCCTTGCGCGGGTACGCCAGCACCTCCGTGAACCTGATGCCAAGGTGCGCGGTCAGGATCTGCAGCAGCTTGGTGCCGGCGCCGCCGACGGCCCACGACGCCCGCGCGCGGTGGAGGAGCACGGCATAGTACGCCAACACGGCGACGAGCTCGGGCAGGCCCGTGGAGAGGGCTTCGAGGAACCCGTCGGGCACGGTGAGCGCCCACCAGATGGGGAGGTATTCCGGGCTGATGACGGCGGCGCCGCCGCCCTCGGCGGATGCGTCGTTGCCTATGTCGATGGCGACCTGCAGCCCGTCGACGGCCGTCAGGCACGCGGCGAGGACCTCTGGCGACAGGCCCTGGAGCGTGGCGATCCTCGCGAGCAGCGCGTCGGTGTGGTGGCCGGCTGGGTGCCTCTCTGACATTGCGCGCCCGTGCTGCAGGAGCGGCCGCATCTCGGACTCGTGGATGAGGTCTGATGCGCCCACGACGTGGTTGTTGACGCTGCGGTGGAGGCGGGCGTAGTCGAGCCATCTGGCGAGGAAGGTCTGTAGCGAATTGCGCCGGGAGGATTCGTCCATGTCGGCGGGTGATGCCGGGTCGTCAAGGGCGGTCAGGGTATCGCATAGCGCGTGGGTGCCCAACATCGTCGCAAAGCATAGGGTCGGTATGCTTTGTTTTGGATTTATCGCGACAGAAGGGAGCCCGGGATTCGAGGCGTGGAATATCGTGATGGCGTGGGTCTGGAGCTGCAGAGCCTGCTGGAGGTAGGACGCCCTCTCGTCGTCGTCAGTTGCTCGCCTGCTCTTGTGACGAGCTGATATTGCAAGGAGCTGGTGCATCAGGTAAGGCAGCTGGACTGAGTGCTCTAAGACGCTGGTCTTCATGATGGCCGCATGCTCCGGAGTCGCAAGGCAGAGCAGGGAGTTGGTACAGCGGAGCTGCGAAAAGTGATGGTAAAGCTCGAGATGCGACATGTTGACGTTCGGGTCATCTCTGATACCTCCCGCTGAAAAGACAGTCGGTCTTTGCTCTGCTACTACTGCACTCAGTCCTTGACTGGCCACCGCTACAGGCGGCGGCGGCGACTGTTCCGAAGATGCTGTTGGGCATTGTCCTGAGGCGCTCACAGGCGATCTGCGGTTCGGGGGCGAAGCAGCACCGCTTGGCGGGTATGAGCATGTGCGCTCTGCTATGCCGCAATTCAAACAGCTGGGTCGGGTTTCATCGCACTTTGTTAGGAGGAAGGTTGTGGAAAGTTAGCTGTCTCTGTTCTTGGTTATGAGTGGTGTTTGCCCGCCCCCTCAGGAAACAGCAGCGGACCAGGTCGCCGTCCTGAATCGAGCCATGGAGCTGCTGCTCCACAATTCGCAACATAGAATCCTCCAAGATAGAATGGGCTTTCACAAACCTTGATGTGTCGTCTCTTGCACTCGAGACATCCTCGTCTTGACTTCTTGTGGCTTCTACGCAGCATCTTAGCGGCAGCTCCTTCGATTGGAGCCATGTTATGCAGGTCGGTGTCACCCGGGACGCCAACTCAAGACTGGGTGGACGAATACACGTATTCATAAGGGTAGTAGAGGATCCGGAGCGACAAGAAGACTCGTAAGTCTTGACGCAAACTGCGGGCCTTTCCCACGCCGGGGCGCCATAAATGGAGCAAAATGAGCGACTGGGGTTCTTATAAGGTATCAAGTCGCAAGTACACAATTACCCAGCCCTGCGTTGCGGTTATTTCCGTGAACTCTAACAATTAGAGGGGTGTACAAAAATTGGTATTACGGATTCCAGCTCCAATAAGCCCAGTACGGAGAGGATCTATAGGGGTTGTGGTCCCGGCTTCAACTCAGCCACGAGCAGAATCATCGCTAAGGCTGCGCAATCCTCGAACGACTCTTTGTCACAGCCCCTTTTCAGCATTATCTCAACGAGAATGGTCAAAGGGTGACCGGAATATGTTAGCTGGGTACAAAATAGTTGGCGATGCTCGGCAGAGCCTAAGGGCCTCCCCCCGGGACCCCCACCGGGATAACCTGCCTATTCAGAGCCAGGTGCACAAAAACTTACAACCTTAGCGGCTGAGAACTTGTCGGGTCAGGCCTGTAGTCCCACATGCCGACTTGAAGGTTCTCTTTTGAGTTAAATCTGAGCGACGTCCGCCGGACACGGACCCACCGAGTTTTCCGAGCTCGGGTCGGCGTAAGGGGATTGTGTACGGTGTACGCGTATAGTACGACGTTGGCCTTGGTAATGCATGATCAACGGCCCCACGCCTGTGGAACGGCCCCAGCTGCTTGTAAGCGATGTCTATTTACATACGTATGCCACATGCAGCCCATTAGAGTCTGTACGGTGCATCTTGACCAAGTGCCCGGTCATGTACATAGTAGATGCGCATTGTCTGCGGAGAGACTGGTGCGGGGACTGCAACTGAGTGCTGCTGTCAGCTTGGAATGCGCCATCCAGGGAAGCGCTGTTAGTGGCTAGTCGTGAGTCATCCGCAGTGCGCAGCAGGGCTGTCTGGTGTGTGTATAGAACCCAAAGCGTTCAAGAGACCAGGTGAAACTGTCAAGGCGTTTTCCAATGGAAGACCGTTTAATTGCATTGCCAAAAGATCAAGTCTTAGATTCCAAAATGGTGTCACAAGAACACAAGACGTGGACTTATGGCGATGGCGCAGCCAGGACTTACCTATGCTCCACCGACCCTGGCCTCTTGCAACTCGACGCTCTTAACGCCGCGCTCGGTTCGGATATGCTCTGGTGGGCCACGGCCCTGCCCGAGGACAGGCTGCAGACGCTCGTAAACAGCTGCATGATCATTGGTCTCTATTCGCTCGAGCCTGAGAACTCGGGGCAGCCTATTAAAGGTACCATCACGGGGCGCAGTCTGCCTCTTGAAAGGCGATGGCGATGATGACTGACAAGGCCGACCGTAGATCAGAAACGCACTATGATAGGGGCGGCAAGGCTCATCACAGACCGCGTGACCTTTGGCTATCTGACGGATGTGTACGTTCTCAAGGAACACCAGCAGAAGGGCTTGGGCAAATTTCTGATGAAATGCCTGAACGAGATCTTGGAGGGTTGGCCCGAGCTGAGATCATTGTGGATCCTCTCAAGCAGCCCTGAGAGTCAGAAGCTGTATGCCGAAATCTTTGATACCGTGGACTTCTTTGCAACCAACCAGAATCCCAACTTAGTGTTGCTGGAAAAGAAGGGACCCGCCTCTAGTCACTGATTTTCATGGCTGCATATTAAGGTACCACAAACCTGGGAGTGTTGAAGGGGAACAGATAGATGCCAAGCCCGTTAGACGTTCCTGGGTGTACTTCATAGAATAGACACCTCGGCACCGAAAACCATAGAAAATTATTGGATTGGGATCAGGTCTTCAATGTCTTGCCGTAGGCCCCTCCAGCCGCCCTCCTCATCTCGATAGCTCGTTTGTAGGGCGGTGCGGTAGGGGGCTGGACCGGATCCAACGCGATGTGGTTCTCTGGCAGCTGATACGACGCATCCGAGTCAAAGGCAGAAAGATCACCACATGCAATAAAAGGCGCAATCCATCGCACATCATGTGCATCGCCGCCTGTCTCATCGTCGATATCAACCTCAACCACACCATCCGGCCGGGCATGGGAACTGGCCTCTGGTGTCACGTCCCAAGCCCCTGTGTCCGGGTTCTGCATCGTTGTCTTTGCGATGATGGGAAGACTATCGGTCCGCTCCTTGATCATCTGTGGTAGTTTGTGGCCGACACCAAGCGGCTCGTCCAGGCTTGCTATAAAGCCTGGCGGGGGCTGGAAGTTGAGACAGACGATGAAGGCCTCAATACTGCTGGCCCTCGAAGAGCGCGGCTTGGCCACCACAACGCGTTCAAAGAAAAGTTTCAGCTGCGCATACAGTACATCGACGTTCTTGCCGCGGAATATTTTGGCCACGAACTTGCCGCCTGGCTTCAGCACGCAGAGCGCAAGGTTGAGAGCTGCGAAGAGCAGCTGCGACTGGACGTAGATGTCCAGGTCATGCAGTCCCGTCACATCGGGCGCACCATCGCTCAGTACCAGGTCAACAGGGTGGGAAGCCTGTTGGGTCCTCTTGCTGGGGTCATAGTCTGGGTCCAGCGATTTTAGGAGCAGAGGGACGGTCGCTGGGTGTGTGATGTCGGCACGGAGGGTGACGATGCCTGGTAGCGGACTTATCGGCTGCAGGTCTATGGAGACAATCTTGACGTCCTTGCGTGGCTTGAGCTCATCACCACTGCCCTTGACGTCGATGTTTTCTGCAGCATCAGGGGCAAAGACGCGCAGCATCTGCTGCCGCAGGTGGGCCTCCTTGTCCTGCCATGCTGCACGGCCGAACTTCTCACCCTTGATGAGCACTCGGGACAAGACCTGCGACCAACTACCTGGTGCTGCGCAGAGATCTACCACTCGGGTTACGCCCTCAAAGAGATTGAATTCTATGAACAAGTTAGTCACTGGGTCAGGATCAAGATAGGTGCGGATGGGGACTGGAAGGCAGCGTTGAAACAGACCCTCATCGAGCTGGAGCAGCTTGAAGGCACTCCGAGCGCGCCAGCCTTGCTCTTTTGCGAGCCTGTAATAAGCGTCACGCTTGTCTTTTGAAGACTTTCCCATTGTGAAATGGGATTGAATGAGATCCAAAACTGTCTCGAGGGAATTCTTTGCGCGGGTTGCTTTGAAGAATGCCTGCCAAAAATTTCCCTCGGCCAGGGTCTGCAGCTCACAGGGGTCCAAAGTCAACTGGTGTTAGCGAGTACCACAAACTCTACTGGCTCAACCTGCGATAAGCACGTGTCCTCAGAACCCAAAAAGTTGTTTTCTGTGCAAATACTTGCCAGATAGAACTCATACCCAGGAGAATACTCCATAGAAAGGCTACATTGTTTATGAAAAACTTGCAAAATATTGCCAAGCGGTTATCTGATGCAAAGCTGTCTTGTAGAATTGTTGACCCGGTCAAGTTCCTCGCTAACGTTGAGATATCTATGGGCCGTAGGGCTGAATTAAGCTCGTGGTTCGTGCGGGCTACCCCCACTGCGTGCTACCAGCTGCATTTTTTTTCGTCGTACATGGAGATCGGTTGGGGGAATACTGCGCCCTTCATCTCCCTCACCCTCGCCTTTCATCCACCTCACCAAGACCTTCCACGACAAGCAAGATGGTCGAGAAGAGGAAGAGCCAGGCAGTTGCCAATGCGCCCGTCAAAAAGAGGAAGAAGGCTCCCGCCAAATCCTCCAAGACCTCAAAGCCGAAGCGCGTCGTCGATGCCAACTCACTGCCATGGAAGTCCGTTGAACTTCCCGAGATGTTCAATGATGCCGAGGGCTTCTATGGCCTCGAGGAGATCACAGGCGTCGAAGTTGTGCGCAATGGCAACGTAGTCAAGTTTGTAAGCAGTCTTCTGCAGCCCCAGTCCGCAATTGACCTAGGCACTAACATGGAGCCAGGTTACCACTGACGATTACCCTACCGCTAATGAAGCCGATGGCGACGACTTCGAAGGCTTCGACGATGAACCTGTGACGTCCACCACGCATGAGGAGCACGACGCCCCCTCCCCCTCGGAATCCGATGCGACAGCACCCACCAAGAGCGATGACAAAACCGAAGCTGCGAAGGAGACGCAACAGACACAAAAAAAGGACAAGAAACAGAAGAAGAATAAAGGCGGTGCAACTCAGCCAGAGAAGGATAAAGAACTAGAGAGCAACGTATTTGCGTCGGCTGGTGATGCTGCCGCTGACGATGCTGGGGAGGATGTCGACATGTCGGCTTGGGCGCCCCTTGACTTGTCTCCGCAGATGATCGCCTGCCTCGCAAAGCTCAAGTTCTCAAAACCCACGGACATACAGGCGGCGGCGGTACGTAAAATCACAACTGGGCACGACGTGATCGGCAAGGCCTCGACTGGATCCGGAAAGACGCTGGCGTTTGCGATACCTATCGTCGAGGCGTGGCTTTCCAGGCAGGAAGAGGGCAAGTCCGGGGAGAACAAGTCACCGATAGGCTTGATCATGTCCCCAACTAGAGAACTTGCCCACCAGATTACAAATCACATCAAAGCGCTGTGCGGAGGGCTCACGACACCACCCTATATCTGCTCGGTGACGGGTGGTCTGTCGGTGCACAAGCAACAACGGCAGCTCGAAAAGGCAGATATCGTGATCGGAACTCCTGGTCGTTTGTGGGAAGTCCTGAGTTCAAGCAGCGCCTTGCTAGACTCGTTCAAGACAGTCAATTTCCTGGTGGTGGACGAGGCTGATCGTCTCCTCACGGACGGTCATTTCAAGGAGGCAGAAGAAATTCTGAAGGCCATCGACAGAGTCGAGGTTGATGAGGACGACGAGGAGCCGGAGCTCTTCCCAAGACAGACACTGGTGTTTTCTGCTACGTTTAACAAGAATCTCCAGCAGAAGCTGGCAGGCAAGGGCAAATCCAACCTGATGGATGCGCAAGAATCCATGGAGTACTTGTTGAAAAAGTTGAACTTCCGAGAAGAGAAGCCCAAGTTCGTCGATGTCAACCCCGTGGCACAGATGGCTCAAGGACTCAAGGAGGGTCTGGTGGAATGTGGTGCGATGGAAAAGGTACGTCGAAGTGTCATATTGACAACGCGCAAACACTAATAACGATGTCGCAACAGGATCTATATCTATACTCTCTCATTCTCCTCCAACCAACACAACGCATTCTAGTCTTCAGCAACTCCATCGGCTCTGTGCGCCGCCTGTTACCCATGTTTCAAAATCTTAACCTCCCAGTCCACGCCCTCCACTCGCAGATGGCCCAAAAGGCCAGATTACGCTCCGTCGAGCGCTTTACCAGCGCCAAACCAGGCACACACTCCATCCTCCTCGCCACAGACGTTGCCGCCCGCGGCCTCGATATCCCGGGCATCGACGTGGTGATCCACTACCACGTGCCGCGCGCGGCAGACGCCTACGTGCACCGGTCTGGGCGAACGGCGCGCGCGGCGCAGTCGGGCTTGAGTGTGTTGCTATGCGCGCCGGAGGAGGTGGTGTCGACGCGGCGGCTGATCGCCAAGGTGCACGCGACGGCGCGGCCCGGGTCCGGGCTGAGCCGCAAGAGCGACTTCTTCATCCGCACCATCGACGTGGACCGGCGGCTGGTGAACCGGCTCAAGGAGCGGGTGACGCTGGCGAAGCGCATCGCCGACGCGCAGCTCGCCAAGGAGAAGGGCAGCAAGGAGGACGACTGGATGCGCAACGCCGCCGAGGAGCTCGGCGTCGAGTACGACTCGGAGGACCTCGAGCAGATGGGCAAGTGGGGCGGGCGCGGCAGCGGCCGCAAGGCCAAGCAGGACGAGGCGAGAGCGCTGTCCAAGGCTGACCTCGGCGCCCTGAGGGCCCAGCTGCGCGAGCTGCTGTCGAAGCGGGTCAATGCTGGTGTTAGTGAGAAGTATATCGCGGGCGGCGGCGTGGATATGGATGAGCTGTTGAAGGAAGGCGTGAAGGGAAACTTCCTTGGGAAGGTTGACGGGCTGGAATTGGATGATTGAGAGAGCCTGCTGGCGGATGTGCTTCAAGATACCCTGAATTTGAACAGCTGACTGCGTTATCCAAACATTGGCTATGCCGTGCCACCCATTACCCTTTTAGCATAACGTGCCTGCGAGAGCTCTTGCCTAAGCCAAGCGCACTTTCCACGCCAGGACACGTAGTAGTAACCTTCCAACCGAGACTGTATGCGTCGCAAGTGTCAGTTCAGCTCCTTTACCTCCAAAGAAATGACTAGCAGGACAAGGTGCCTTTTCTCTTCGCGCTCTCTTCTTCCTATCTTTCTTTACAAGGAAGTTCCGGTCCACCGAGGGGCCAGACCTGTGCCGTAAGCTTGAGCCACTTGATATAAGGTTCTCTCACTAGAGGACCCTCGTGTCACCCCTAGTATGGTGCGGAACTTCTCAAGGCTCCTTTCACAACAGACTAGCTTCCTAGTACAGGACTAAGTTTATCATGCTGGTCTGGGAAAGACAGCCGGGTTCATAGACTCAGCAGTATTGCACATACCTGTAGCCTGTTGGTGTAACGGAAACATTCCCGAGGACCAAAGGACCAAGCAGGGAGATCTGAGTTCAACTCTCGGGCAGGCTATCATTTTCGTCGTCTTTTTTGATCCGTTCCATCTGCACTGCCCATTTAGTGACTTTTGCAAAGGCTTACTTAAGTACTGCTTACGCAACATCACACTCAGAGTCGTTTTAAGAAACCACTTGCACTATATGTACTTGTGGCCCGATGATGTAACAGAAGCATGCCCTCGTTTCTCATTGCATAAGAGGGAGATCCGAGTTCAAGTTTCGGGCAGGCCACTCTATTTTCTGGCTTTCTTGTTTTCCCAATCCTGGCCATGCTCCTTACAAACCAACCCCTCTATCTACAACCCTCCCTCTACCTTCAATACTCCACTCTGCAGCCCTGTAATTATAAATGTGCAAAGCTGCTAAGCAAGGATTATTTTGTCAGAATGGAAGCTAGCTGCGGTCTCTGAGGGTATTTACGCGCTTACAAAACGAAATCACACGGTTAGATGCCCGAAGTTTGTTATGCCCACGCCCTCTCTCCAGCGCAACAAATACAAATCCATCTTTCTTCTCCTTTCTCTGCCTGTAGTAGATTTGAAAAAAAAAAAGAAAAAAAAGGCTGGCATACTATTGGAGTCTTCTGTGCACAGGTCCCTGCTGTCTTTCATAAGGAGGCACCGTGTAGTATGTGCTTAAATAACCTACCACAGCAACACCTGTGGGTCTCGGACCGACCAACATCCAGGCAACCAACTGCCTCTACAGAAAACAGGCACACAATGGACAGGACAGTAGTCACATAATAAGACGTTATGTCTGAGCTGTACCGCACAGTTTTCCGGTCTGTTTCCTTTCCAAATGGAAGATCGCTCTCAACCATGCCCGCAGTCCCTTCAGATGACCCACAGGCACCGCATGTCTGTCGACTCTGGCGCTGCTTCCTGTGCCTCGACCGTCTTCCATATGAGGCCTTCGCAGTGCGTCCACAATGGAGGAACGAACTGATCTCTCGTATGTGCAGCGAACCTCATGATATCTGTCTTAATCCAGCCTGATAATGCTGACAAGATAACCTGAAAGTATTTCCCTGCACTGCCTCTGATGGCTCTATCCGCGCGCTATTGGAATCAACCGACGTCGACTCAGTCTGGAATGAGCCGCACAAGCCGCGATGGGCAACCGACGCACTCGGATTTCAGCACCTGGTCCGCTTTTGCGACTATGCATTAGATCGAGCGAAGTACTGCGCCCAGACTGACCCAGATCGGGTCATGTTCTATGCTCATAGGTGCTGCTGGAAGGTTGCGAACGCCCCTGTTCTGAATGACCCGCTGGTCTTGCTTCGGTTCGCATTTCAAACGCGGCCATTTGAGAATTGGCCCATCTATGATCAGTCGCAGGAGTTCCATACCCAAGATGACCCATCAACAAAGCCACCGCCACCTTCGTTTGACCTGGGCACCAATGATTTGCTGCCCTTTGACGGCCGCCTCTTCGATGGCACTACCGAACTTGGAAGGCTCGTCTCGAAGCTTAGCAAGATGCCTTTGGAAATACAGTTCCAAGTCACGAAGCGGCTGGACCTAACAATTTTTCTGTCTCTGTTGAAGACAAAAACCCTCGTTACTCAACTCCTGCCTCAAATCAATGAGTCGACCACAATGAAGCCGGAGACTCGCACCCTCGATAACGATGGGAGCTTGAACAGTATTCATGTGCGCTACAGAAATATTATGGGAACGTCCTACCTAGCGGCGATTGGCTTCAAAGATGATGGTGGAGCAGCATCGTCAATTTCAGTCGCCGACCATGACGTCCGGGGTGTGCCATTTTCTCTGGGGAGATTTGGGCTGAGAGGAATTCGTGTCCTATATGAGGATGATAACTGCTCACCGTGGCTTGGCGAGTCTTCTTCCTCCTGGATAGGCGTTGCTTGCGGCCGCGATCTTTCCCGGCTCCGAGTCGTCGCGGATGTAAGTCTTTGTTCCGCTGAGTCGAGTGACACCCGAAAATGAAAGATGCATAGCTTTGGCGGCAAATTCGTACTGATAATTCACTTCTTCTTAGGCCCTGCGAATTGTTCGGCTTGATTTCTTGGAGAACTTGAACATTTTACCAGAAAGGTCCCCACTGATGTGGTACGGACACTTCTCCCCTTCTGAGAAACTGGTCAAACGTCTGTTCCCACCGCCATATGAACGCGGACAGAAATGGGTCCGCCAGCTTGACTACTACCCTGGATGGAGACAGTGCCAGTATTTGGCCCTCAGTACAGCATCTGGATATACGTCTGGTCTAACGGTGTACCTGAGCTGCACCTTACAGCACTTGACTGCCATCATATCCCACGGTCATTCACATCTTGCACTTGGTAGCCCCAAGGGAGTCCCAATTCACCTTTTCTTGAATAGGGGAGAGCATTTGACGTCCGCATGGCTGCATGTGAGTGGATACTACTATGGAGGGTTGGACTGCTTCTCAGTGAGTCGTTGTCTGTTCTTGCATCTCCTTCTTGCTGATTGAAATTGAACGTAAGGTAACGACGAATCATGGGCGAGTACGTCATTTCGGCAATTACAAGGTCGTTCGACAGCATCGTTGCAAGCCTCAGCCGCGAGGCTACGATACCCCCTGCCGTTGGATACGCATAAGCGATGACCGTCCAGCAAGGGTCGATGGGATATTCATAGACGCAAATGATTATCTGATACGAGCCAAAGAGATCAATACGATCGGAGTTGCCCAGAACAATCAGTTCTCTCAAGTTGAGGGTGCAGTAGACGTGCCCGGTCCAACGTATCTGGAGATACCACCATCAACGACAGCGTTACCGGAAACGCCGTTCTCTCTCTGTCCCCAGACCTCTGGATTCTTCCATTCCACAGCGTCTTTAACAAATATCCGCGAAGTACGAGTGCGCAAGCATAATGGTCGATGCCTGGGGATGCATCTCTCGTACGAAGATTCGACTGTTGAGACTCTGGGGCAATGGGACCCAACAGATAGAGACTCGATTCTGAAGATATACGACGCCATCGATGGGGTTCTCATCAGACTAATCTTCCATACAAGACTGGAGAACAATTGCCTTCGGAAGCCGCAGATAGAGCTTGTTTCTGTTGAGGTCACTGCCAACTCGTGGCAGCCTCAGCTGCCAGGAGAGGCTACCAGTGATCACGCAAATAACTGCGACTATGAGTCAGTCGCCTTTTGTGGCAGCTGTGGGAGTTCAAAATGTTGCGACAGCACGCTTCGGCGCAAAAGTATGGTTAAAGAACTCACTTGTTCTCAAGGTGGCCAGGTGAGTGGACGCTCCTTTAAGTCATTACTTACAGCCTGACTTACATGACTGTGCTGAGCAGCGTATTGTGTGGTGGTCAGGGGACCAGTATGAAGCTGTCAGTCTGGACGACGGCCTGCCGCAAGTCAAAGTCAGGCCGGCATCGAAAGTCATGGTCAACTGGTCTCCAATTCGCTTATCAGGCAAAGACTCTTGCAAGTCTCCTTTTGTAGTTGTGGGTTGAAAGCTTGGAAGCGGCTGATCCAGCAGTCTGATTCTTTTTACTCTATGAACGTCAAAAATCAAAAGCATCTTAGCGAAGGACTATGTTGAAGTAACAAGGCAGACTGTAGGCTTGCCATACAACTTGAAGGCCTGTGTGTGTGCGATCTCAAGAAATGACAAATACAGGTATTTAGCCATGCACAATTTGCAAACCCTGGGCGCATTGCCATTAAAGGCTGGTTGGGCTCCGGGGTTCGTATTCAACCCTCCGGTGGCGGAGGTATATGTTGGTGATAAGTTAAGCTTTGAAAAGGTGTCCTGGAAGACTCAGGGCTGCCACTAGTCGGGTTCGTAACACGGCGCCTCCGTGAAGTCGACTCGGATGTGCTTCTGGCGAACTCGGGAAAGACTAACTAGGTAATCAAATCCTGAATGTCATTGTCCAATCCCAGCCTTGTACTACCTACTCTGCTTGTGGCTTTTGCACTGCCACCCACGTGAGGGGTATTTGGATTGCATCATGATCTGTCAAAAACCATTCCCAACGCTGTAGCCTGAAAGCTCTGTCCTCAAGCTCAGCAGGCGATCTGTCGCCTAGCTTCAGAAAATGGCTACGCCTGGCTTCGGGTTCTCCTTCGGCGACTTCATCTCAGGAGTGTCTCTGGTCAGGAAACTGATACGGGCCTTGAATGACTCGGCTGGTGGCCGCGCAGCCTACCGTCGGCTGATTTCAGAACTATTGAATTTGGACGAAGCCCTCACGGGCATCAGTAATCTGGAGCTTGAACCGGCACAATCAGCCGAGAAGGTCGCATTGGAACAGGTTGCATCGCAATGCCAGCTCAGCATCGAGACCTTCCTCGACAAAAATGCCAAATTCAAGGACACTTTGGGGACAATTTTCGGACAGCCTTCAACAGCACCAAGGTGGCAGATCAATCTCCATCAAGTTCAGTGGGCACTCTGTAAAGACAGTGCCATTCAAGCCCTTCGAACCGAGATTCGGGCCCATACCGCAACCTTGAATCTTCTCCTCTCCACCATCCACATGTATCTACCCTTTCCAAATATATGAGGTGAGAAGACTTGTCTCCCAAGCTGACAAGTTTCCCAGATCTGCAGTCAAATTACAAAATCAGACAGTCAATAGCTGCAAGGATCTCGTCGGAAAGGCTCAAAATCAGACCGATGATACTTTGGCGCTCGCAAAACAAAATCATCAACTACTTGCCTCCCAGTCGGAACTAATCGTTTCAATTTCATCCGTAGTTGCCAAGATTACGCATCGTCAAGAAGCACAGACAACCGAGACAAGCGAACTTGGGTCTTTGGTGACAAAGGTCATGGAATCTAATGTGAGAATCTTCGCCACAGTCCTTCAAATGCAGCAAGTTTTGTCCCAGCTTCCAGCCCAAGTCGATCGTCAGCAACCAGTCATTTTTGAGGACGCCCACGGAAGACTGGCGCCTTTCCATGTCGAGTTCATCAACTCTTTTGCAGCATTTCAGGCAGTGCTTGAGGCGCGGTTTCAAGATGTACCTGGCTTAAAGAAAGTCAAAAATCGCGAATATACAATGCAGGACGTGGCATCAAAGAAAATGCTCGACCTGAACAAACCATGGGAGTCAATCTTCCGTCCAGGCAGAAGGGCAAACATGAGTATGGTGTTCGAGTACAATGAAGCGATGTCTTCATCGTGTCCTGGATGCCTATCAGAAAATACCGTCGTAGGATATGGAGCAATGGATGAGATTCGTTGGTAAGTCGCTCAACTATTCAGTTTTTGGATGGTGATAGTAGCGCACGATGACTTTGGACGTCCGGCTTAGCGCTGTATTTGGTCATAGTTCCAATCAAAGTTGTGGCATATGGTACCGCCGCGTAACTGAAGTATCTGGTATCGAGAGAAGACCACATAAATCGGCGGTTGGAAACTCAGCAGACAGGCAGAAGTCCAATACGAATGAAACGCGCAACCAACTTGGTTGCTATAATGACGACAGTGGCACCGAGGAAGAGAACGACGGGGTACACGATTTTCACCGAGTTCAAATTGTGCACATTGTCCACAGACAAAAGATCGCCACTACCCGGGTTCCAGAAGAGTTCCGCACTATTCGCAACGGCGAAACTCCTCAGCAGGTGACTATGAAAGACTGGAATGTGCCACAGGAGTTTGACGATGGCGCATCGATGACCGATTCAGAATATGACGCCATGATTCGCGAGGAGGTTGAGCAAATCTGGGTATTGGATCATGCAGTGCGGTCCCCGAATGCACCTGATGGAGGGAAGAAGGAAACCTTCTACGTCAAATACCATGAAAAAACGGTGCAGTGGAGAGATGTGACAGTCACAGTGTGTTATAGCGGTTGTCCTAAGGATTCTCTTGAGGAAGAACTCCTATATATCAAGGCTCGACGCGATAGGCACGCAATTATTTATGAGGCTATTCGAGAGTCTCTTATTGAAATGAGGTTTTATGATACCGTCACAAACATGGATCTTCAGACTCAGAGTGGAAGATTGCATGTACATGTGACAGAAGGCAATGATGTTGGCGGACTGTAAATATTTCAACTCTCTCCTCTAGCTATTGATTCATTAAGTTTACAGACCTCACGTAAACACAGTTCTTAAATAAGGCGTGGGCAGTCTTTGACAAGATGAGTCGCAACCTCAGCTTCCATTTCTCCACAGCATTCCCGAGTATTGGTTATGTAAGATTGTGACTTGTCAGCACATTCTGAGAGACTCGAGTTAGAAATTCCAAATGTTTCTTGCTGTTTCCAGATATCCTCCAGAGGAAGCGATCCAACCATGTTTCTTCATTTCCGAGGACAGATGAAGACTCAATGCGGGTAATGTTTCCCGCTTTCGTGGGTGACGACGGCAAAGAGGAAGCTCGAGCATCGCATGCTGTAGCTCAAGGCCACAGGTCTTCGATCAGGCCTTAGGGATTCATTTTGGACTCAAACATTGTTTTCCTGGAAACAATGCTATGTGTAGCTGGTTTGAAAACTATAGATCTAAGCCTGAGGTCAATTGTGAAGGAATGCTGAGCTACGTGACGACTATAGCGCCACATATTGTTGGACATGCATCAGAGAGACTCTCTATTGAAGGGCATCATGAACATACAAGGCTGTTAAAGTCTGGTTGAGAAACTAGTTGGATCGCATGTGCTATGAAGTTACGATCTGTGGAGTGAGAAATACCATGCTTTCTGGTGAGGAAAAGTAAGAAGAAGGGGGGGGGGGGATCAGAGTTGAAGCCACGGAAAGACTATACCTAACTTCTCTAGTTCCGGAATTTCTACCCATAGATAGGGTACGAGGGAGGTGTTCATGCCACGCTTAATATTGTCGTATCTGACATTGTACATGTGGTCCATCTTGAGCTTGGCTGCGAAGACAATACCTTCGACGTCGCTTTCATCCAGGTACGATAGCTTGTTGATCGCCGCGTATTTTATACCATGCCCGCTTAACTTGTTAAACGCCTGAACGTAGTCTTGGAGGGTACCAGATATATCTCCTGCCTCCAATCCTGCAGATAAGCTGGGATCTTAAGCTCCGTGCCAAAGTCTTTCAAGTACTGAATCACTTCATAAGAGCCCTTAATGACAGCCGCCATAGCAGGCACCAAGACGCGCTTATAAATGTCGCGATCTTCTCTTCCGAGGGCTTTATACTCATTAAAGTCTGTCATGATAAACTCGCATTGCGCTCGTGGCATGATTGGTTCCCAGCGAAATAGCCGCGTTGTGTAATTGTTCCTGATGCAGTGGCTCTCAACACCACTTCCTGTTTTCTCTCGAAGCATATATTCAAGTGCGCACACTGCAGTGGCCACGTCGTCGTCTCCGAGGAAATGCGGCTGAATGTTTTGTGTGCTATGATCCAAGCATCTCTTTATAGCCTTCCGGAACACGAGCCCGTTTTCTCTAAAACCAAGCCCCTCTGGGTCCTCGGGGCATCTGTAGAAGGTCAAAGGACGCTGTGAATCGCCCCTTTGCATCGGCCCCACAGCGACGACCCAACCTCCTCTTACGACGTCGCTCATATTTGGAGGGTTGTTCGACAGGGGGAATGAGAGTGTGAACCCAGCATTTGTGAAGAACTCCTCCCGGTACCAGGGGGGATAGCCAGCAAGTATGAGCTCCAATTCGCGTTTGGTCGATCTGTTTCGATACTCCTCAACATGTCCCTCAGCATGACAGAGTATGACTCCTTTGACCTTCGCAAGTGAAATATGGGTGTCCTTCAAATGTAGTTCATTATTCTTGTTGAATCGTTGTCCCAAATGTGTCCACCCGCAGGCCAGGTGAGATTCTCCCGCCACCGTCATGAGGATGAAAGCGAGCACAGTGCGGGCATCAGTACGAATGAAGCTCGCGGGGGGACAGAAAATCGGGCACATAATCCACAAATCGTGGATTTGTGCGATGACTTTCCCAGCCGACATTAAATATTGTCCTGATAGAGTCGCCCCAGTCGTCTGATTTCTTGCCCTTGCACTGGCATTGGTCAGGACCAAATATGGAGTATTCGTAGCCGTCAACCGGACAGTGATGGAGCTTCCCCTCCGGTATGTCCTCCCATTCGAATAAAGGCATTCGCTGGGTGGTGTGCAAGATCTTGTAGCTAACCCATAAGACTGCCTTGCAAATATTAGGGGCAGCAAAGATCGCCAGCGCGGCATAAAATGCTGCCATATCCCAGTTGACTCCCATCTCAAACGATGCCTACACAGGCGATTGTGTCTGAATGCAGAACACTAGTTGTTTTCTTGCTAGTTCCCTGTTAGGAGGGGTATCTGGGCGTCGTCAAGATTCCACGATGGCTCTCGAACGCTCATTCGGCAGACGGGGTGGACAGAAGAAATGTGCTCAGACGCTGTAAGCAGTTTAGATACAAAATTCATGGCACTCTTGAGACAATTTCCAAGTTTAGGGCAAATAAGTAGCAGCATGAAATGCCAAACACATATCCCTTCTTCCTCGGGCGGCAAGGTCTCTGAAAAGGGCTGCCACTATAGGCCCTAGTAGAACCGGCCACAAGAAGCTCGCTGTGAAAGCGGGGGCTATGCTTGGTCAGATTGGAAATGCTTGGTCAGACTGCAAATGTTTCAACCGTCCTTTTTGAGTGGTCGTAGCATAGTAACACAACATGGGCGGGCGAAAGCACTGCCACACGAAAGTCCTAGACTAAGGATTTGTTGCACCATAGATTGGCCCACAATGCGCCTCTTACTGGATGCATAGCACACCACCTCGGGACATGTTTCTGAGAGGGGAAAAAGAGCAAACAGCCAAAAAAGGAGACCTGCGATGGGGTGGCGGGGACTGGAGCAGTCATGTTGCGAACTCCCAAGGGCTCTCGCTTTTGGGAATCACACTTGTTTGCAATTCGCGTGGTCAGCGCTTACATTTTCATAACGAACCTCAGTCACCTGTGGAAGACTTTCAGCCCCACATATTGAGATATACGGCTTTGAAAGAAAAGAAAAGTGTTTGAATTCAAGATCACATGATCTTAGTTTGGAAACGCAAACTATAAGTTCACACCACACACGAGCGTTGAGACAAGAATCATGGTATGTTTACACCAGACATGTCCACGTGGTCCAGATCACCTGCTAACTTGCGAGGCTTTGGGATAGAACGCGGAGTCCAAACTAAGGCGGGCGGCTCTCTTGGGAGACGTTGAGCTGCTCATATCCAAGAACTGCAATGTAAAATACATGCCTGACGGCCAGCTGCCCGCATGTGCCGTCGCCATCATGGAAGGTGCCGAAGACACAGCCATCCACCTTCTGCGCAACGGGGCCGATATCTCGCTTCCGGAATTGCCACGCCCACCATTCGGTTTGTTTCAAGGGAAAAGAAGGACTCAGGCGAACAAATCAAGGGAGAAAAGACACACCGCCTTTGACTCTTGGCCATTTCGCTGGCTCTATGATACGATCTGTCTGGGGACCGTCCTACCGATGTTAAATGGCGGACATGACAGCGCAACTTGGCGTTGGGAATTGTACATTGTGTTCACACTATGCACGTTGGGCGGTATCTACACCCTGAGATACTTCAACACAAGGGTGATACTAGATCTCACCTCAGCTCTGTTTGGTAAGTCATGGACAGGCCTCTTCATTCGACTCCTCCTGTTCATGGCTTTGCGCAACTTCTTCCCCCACAAACGGGCTTTAGGCTACCAGCCCCCTGGAGCCTCGATTGTCAAAGCTTTAGTCGCGTCCCGCTTCACCAGTGAGCGACTCATTCTTGAAGTTCTCGATCGTGGGATATTTTCTCGTCAATATGTTCAGGAATCTATCTACTTTACCGGAGCTTTTACCGGAGCTGAAGACCTAGTTTTTCGGCTCTGGGCCAAGGCAGTCATCGCAGGGTATGTAGAAGTACTCAAGGAGCTCGTTGCATACGGAGTTCCAGTCGATTCAACTATCTGGGGCAGTAATGGACTCGACGCCTTGACCATATCAGCTCGATACAATCGAGTCCATGTGGTTGAAGCTCTTCTCAAGCTCGGAGGAGACCCCAAGTTGAAAAGAAAGTACTACGGTATTCCTGGAGAGGAAGCAAGAGAGACGACTGCGCTGCTAGAAAGCACTCAACTGAGATCGCAACACATGAGCCCGGAAGACAGTGAAGCTCAATATACCATCATCAGTCTTCTCCTCAAATGTGGCGCAGAAGTCAACGCATCTGACGAATCGGGGCGCAACGCAATCATGTACGCCGCAGAGTACGGTTCCCTGGAAATGTTCAAACTTCTCCTGGAGCATGGTGCAAGTCGTAAATCAGTTGATGATTCCGGGAAAAGCTTGGCTCATTTCATATGCATGAGGGAACCGAACCCTGACATAGAATCAGCGCCTGACCCAATCCATTTTCTTGACTTGCTACAGATTACCACTGCTGAACTCGACTTCCCCGACAAAGACGGCTACACACCGTTTCTCTGCGCCGCAAAGTCTGGAAATGCGGAAGCGATCAGAAAACTCTTGACAATGGGCTGCAATCCACTTCTGAGAACAACACACGGCAGGGACGCTTTATACCTGGCAATGATGTATGGTTGTTACGAAATGGGCGGAATGGCAGAGAACACACTACAGCTTTTGGAAGTTGAATGTGGCATCACATGCAAAGAAGTCAAGAAAGCAGTTTTTGAGGAGGAGGTTCGCAGAGCACTTGACTCAATGGAGGCTGCAATTTCCGCCCACTGAAGCTCTGACTTGGAGGACAGGACGTCAGGAAACCCACACGTGCAGAGCGCAGGCTCCGTCAAAATCATAAACGAGTATCTGGCTACTAGTCAACTACGGAACCTGTTCTGATGTGGCCAGCTAGAAGCACGAGGGTCCACTCGGGCAAATCTTCGTGCGACCGACCACATAACCGCAAAACACAAATGTCTCACCCAGATAGAAAGGGCTGGCTTTTCTGTGATCCTAGCGCTATGACACAATGTTGAAAGATGAGGTAATGTAGAGATAGCTAGGTAGACACCACAGTATATGGCTATTGTGCTTAATAAATAGCTTTCCTAATCAGGTGTCGATCATCCGCAACACGAGCAAAAAATACATCATGTCATCCGGCAGTGCGAGAAGGGATCGCAAGAGACAGTGTGCGCCTCAACTTAATCCCGCAACTCTGCGTACAACGTCGCCACCCCCCTTACCATGATCGCGAAATCGAAATCTACTACCCGCCCCACCATGAGCTGGGCTGCCTGCTTGCTCCGGTCTCCCACCTCGCCGTCCTGTCTGTCTTCCCGCGCATGAACAGGCAAGCAGGCCTTCCTTCCTGCAGGACCACCTACCTGACCTCGACCCATCTCGCCTCGCCTCATCTCACACGTGCATCTGACCCGGTCCCCATCTCATTTCAACCCTAGCCAAACTTTATGGGCAAAAAGAGAGAAAAACAAAATGTCAATATCCACTCAGTCGGTCGGTACCTTGCAGTAGCGCCGTCCGCCCAGCGGAGGTCCCTCTCTCTCTCGCACGAACATGCACGCAGACGGAGCCGCGTGCGCCCCCACCCCAGCAAGCAAGCCAACACAGCCTAGCCCAGATAAGGCAGGCGCCAACACTCCCACGACCCCTGGCCCCCAAATGAGCAAAAAGGGTCTTCGGGGTTCCCTTGTCCCTCAGAGTTGCAGCCTGGGCGCCTAGTAATATCGAAATGAGGAATAATATTGACCTGATTCCTTCCGCGGCGGGAGCTCGGCGCACAGTCAGACGGGAAGGGGAGGTTGGTTGGAGGTTGGTTGGGGGTTGGATTGGGTTGAGTTACCCAACCCCCCTAATAGTGCATGCATGCATGCATGAAAGAAGAAAGAGTCATGCTTACGGCGGTGGTATGCTCCCTACGTACGGTACGGCGCGGTATACGGGCTGACGTGTTGACGGAAGAAGTTCGTGATACACGCACGGGATTCGCCAACACGGAGAGGACGGAGAGGATTGTTTTGTTGTGCGACACCCATCAGGGGGTGCGTCTAATCTTCTGCCATTTGTATTTTTTTGCCTTCTTTTTCTAATGTTGTGACTAGTCTCTACCTATCCCCCTCTTCCACGCACCGGCGACGTCCCCCGATAACCTCTGCAGGTTTGGTGACGCCGCCTCCAACCATCTACGGTTGGGTCTTCCAAAAAAAGCCCGTAGTCTCAAATAAACAATGCTTCCTCAAAGATGAATAAACAACAAAAATTTGGTATCATGCAGCAGCTGGGGCCCATCTGTCCGTATGCCATCGTTCGCTCGTCCGTTATAACGTCAGAACCACCCGTGTCCCTTCGTACCAACCCTCGGAATCCAAGAGGTGTGATATCTGCCTGAGCATAGAGCCGACCTGGTTTAAAAAGTTTATAGCAGGTGAAAGGTTGCAAGGGCCGGAGCAGTCGATGCTCAGGTCTTCGCTTTGTTTTTTTATAAAAAGGAAAGTGGTGTGAAGAAAAGAGATATTAGTCGGCTCGTGCCCATTCTGATTCAGCCTCCTTGTCCTACAGGGAGAGCAGAGCGAACATGGCGGCACCAAGGAACGCGAAGTTGATTCCGGCCTTGCTGCTGGCGCCGGCGGTGACCACGCTCGAGCTGGGGGAGCTGCTGGAGGAGGAAGACGACGAGCCAGAGCTGGAGGAGCTGGAGGAGCCAGTAGTGGAGCCGGACGAGGAGGAGCTGTTGTCGCTGCTGGGCTCGCCGGTGGCAAGGGTAATACCCTGAGTCACGGAGGCGGTGAAGTCAGAGGAGCTGGTGACGGTACTGAGGGTCGAGGCGGCGCTCTTGGAGCTGTCAGGGGCATTGGTCGAGGATGGCTTGGTGGAGGAGCTCTGAGCACCGTCGGTCTTGCCATCGCCCTGCTCAATCTTGATGGACTCGTAGGTGCCGGTCTGGTCGCCGTAGACGTACGAGCCGGCGCTCTTGGCACCGTTCATGTAGTCCTGGACGGTCACGCTCTTGTAGTAGCCGTTGAAGGGAGCCTGAGTGAAGTCGGTGTATCCACCAGCCCACTGCACGGTACCCTCGGGAGCGTCCTTGCGACCAGCGACCCAGGTTCCCAGCTTGATCTGCATGGGGGTCTGAGGGTAGCTAGCACCTCCCTTGGCGTCGGAGTACTTGAGGGTCCTGACAACAGTGCCATCGATGATCCAGTCCAGCTTCTCGGCAGTCCAGTCGATGGTGTAGGTGTGGAAGTCAGCCTGGGGGGTGCCGACTCCGGAGAAGCCACCACGGTCGTAGGTGGTCGTGTCACCCTTGCTGAAGTAGTTGGTCTGAACCTGGGTGTCGTCTCCTCCGAGCCACTCCCAGTCGATCTCGTCAAGGTCATCAGACTGCAGGACGAACGAGGTGACGACACCGGTACCGACGGAGGCCCGCACGGTAACGTCAACACGGCCGAAGAAGATGTAGCCAGTGGAAGTGAAGGTAGGGGCCTCGGTCTCCTTGTTGATGGTGAAAACGGCACCGAGAGACGGGTCGTATGTCACAGTAGTGCCGGTGGCAGCCGTGAAGAAGTCATTCTCACCCTTGGTGAAGTCGATGGTCTGCGTTGAGCCGATAGCAGGATCGGAGGGGCAGCCTGAGACTTTTAGTCAGATGGACAATCCTGATGACAACGTCAAAATAAGTTACAACTTACCGGTCTTCTTGGTAGGGTTGCAAGCACTGAAAGTCTGAGCGCTGGTGAGGGAGGATGCGGCGAGCACCACTGCCGCGGCGGAAGACAGCCTGGAGAACATGTTGCCGATGTGTGAAGGTGATGGAATTTGTGGTAGGAGGAGTGTGTTGTCTTTCAACAGCGCACTGGAGCAAGAGAGAAGCGAGTGGTGTGAGAGCAAGTATTAACTCTGTTACGGTTGTTGTTTATGGCAAGGTTCTGTTCTGGTTCGAGTGAGACAGATACAGGTGCGAGGCCGGAAAAGTGGCAGCAAGGCCGAATTTGTACGGAAGCTGATAGCGAATGTGTGTGCTGGATGGAGAAAGACCCAAGCAAGGAAAATAAAAAATGTTTCAGCACCGAAAGTACTTGCGATGAATAGTGATGAGGCAATGTGGAGGGAAAGAGAGGGCCGTGATAGACAGATCTAAGGAAAGGGCGGGCCTGTTTATTAAGGGGAAGCGACCATCACCAACACCAAGACCGGGCCAAACCAGGCTCAGTCTGTCATACAGTACAGTACATACGATTATTAGACTATTCCAGGGTCCATCACAGTCACGCAGGTACGCCGGTACATGGCTGCTGCATGGGTGAGGTGCCGAGAAGGTTGGCAGGCTGGCAGGTGGACATTGAGGGACAAACATGGATCAGCCAAGAGGGCTGCAGCTGCCCCAGTGGAGCGAGCGAGCGTGTGAGTGACCAGAGGGGGGGCGCTGCCTGGGCTGTGTGGGCCACTCAGGTGTGGTCGTGCTGGCTTGGGTTGCCACAGCTGGGCCAGGTCGGGTTTGGTCTGGCTGGTTTCGGTGGGGAGATATTCAGGGTGGACTGGTGGAATGGGAAGGCTCTTGTCGCTGGGATGTCTGGGCAGTCCTGGCAGAGAGGTTTGTCTGGTTGCTGTGGCACTGCTGACTGGCGCTGGAGGGGGGACACAGGCCTGACAGGGACCGAGAGGGCGATCCGTGGTGGACCCGGGGTTTGCCCATGTTTTGCGCCGAGTAGCCGGTAGGGGCTAACAGCCTCCTACATGCAGGTGTGGTGCTGGTTCTGATCCTGGTCCTGGTCCTGGCCCTGGTCTTGGCCTTTCATTCTGCAACAGCGGCCTGCAGGACGTGCCAGGGCCCTGACTTGTAGGAACAAGCAACACGGCTCACAGGCACAGGACAGCCAGACAGACTACAGCACCGTGTAATTGACTGGCTGGATGGCTGGATGGATGACTGGCTTGCTGACTGAATGACAGATCAAAGGACTGCATTGGGCGGCTTGCTGCTGAACACGGGGTTGTCTGCTTGTGGTGACGATCCGGCCAGATTCCGTTCGCCCAGTGCCCCTGGATCCCCAGCTCCAAACTAGCCCACTTGGGCTGCTCAGGCTCCCGGCTGACCCCGAATTATGCCCTTTTGGACTCTGGCGCAGTTTTATTTTTGCGACCGTGAAGCCAAAAGAGGGTGCTCGAATACGAAGAGAGGTCGTGGGAGCCGCTACCGACGGACAGGCGCCGTCCGTCTCGTCTGCCCAGGCGTCAGATTCGGGAAAGGCGCGAGTCGTATTAGCACAACGCCCAGGCAGTCAGCGAGCCGGCGACTGCGAGAAAAGGGTGAGGCGAGATGAGCCAGATGCGAGATTGACGCTGAGTAACCGCGGGCATGCAACCGTGACATCTCTCCCAAGCCACAAGCCTGCCTCGTAGTAACGGTCGGCTTAACGTGGTAGCCTTTGGGAACACGGAGCACGGAGTACGGAGTTTGCTCGTGTCTTGTCTGACTGATGTGATCGTGTCTGGCGTGGAGCAGCAGGGAGGAATTGTCATCGTCGTCGGCCAGGACGAATACGATGCGATTGACGCCGATGATCAAGTGACCCCAGAATTGATCACCAGCCATTGGCAGGTCTCGGCAGACGTCGGCGTAGATCATTCAGTCATTCAGTCGGTGGGCAGGCTTGAGATCTTTGGTCTCTTGACTTTTGGGTTTCGGATCCCCGAGGCCTATTCCAAGCACCCGCGAGCTTCGTGTCCACCATGGCACTGCAAACAGGCGGGAAGGCCAAAGACGGTAAAAATTTAGAGGTTGTCGATAGCCAAAATTAGCTGAGCAGTGCGTCGGTGATCCCAGCTCAGAGACATGGAGGGCAGCCTGTGCGCCTGTCACGTCTAAATTGTAAGGTTGGAGAGATAGATCGGGGCCACGGGGGGCGGAACGCAGGGACGCCGACAGTGCGACGATACGGTGGGACACCACCACAGTAAGCGAGCAAATCACCAGGCAATACGGTATAGTAGCCTAATCGCACCTACTTGAGCTACTGTATGGCAGGAGATTAGCTCCTTCCAGCAACAGTCCCTCGGGCGACCCTGACCTTGACCACAGCCTTGACTTTGGACCTGTGTCCCATCTCACACTGTCAAACCCAACCTTACTCAACCTTACTGGACAGCACTCAGTGGGACACACAGGACAGGGTAGGGCCAAGCTCCGCGAGCTTATCCAAATCTCTAACAGTAACCTTGAATCTACCGCAGCATTGATGGACGACCGTCATCAGTCAACCTCGACCCTCGACCCTCGACCCTCGACCCTCGACCATCGACCATCCGGGCTTTAATTGAACGTCGGGTCATTCTGTCGGATACCAATACATCATACATACCATTGTGTGGACAAAGCATGTCTCACTCAGCGGAGGGACCCTTTGCATTCCGGAATCTGCGCGCATGCAACAAAACATATGCAGCCACGTCCTGTCGTCCTGTCGTCCTGCCTGCCCGCAGCCTATAGCGGTCTGTTTTCGACTTCGAGAAGCTTGCTGGTGCAGCTCTTGAAACAGGGGGGAGGAATGTGTCTCCTGACCCCTGCCTGGGACAGCTTGCTTCTGATCGACCACTCAGACACTTGCTCACCCAAAACACCAGCCAGAGCCTAACACAGCAAGTTGGAGCAGGATGGAGCAGGCTGTGCCCCAAAAGACGGCTGAAGATGCATCCATCCATCGCGGCATTGTGGGCAATACTACGCGGAGCAGTCATATCATGCAGTCGAGCGGCCTCTCGCAACGTTCCATGAGCCGAAGCATGAGACGGTGAAGTCATGGCCCAAGCACGCCAAAGTACAGCAAAGCACAGCTCCCTCCCAGAGTGCCGGCCTCTCCATGCTCCAGACAGCCAATGGGATGGCGCCCTGCGTTTCGCATTTCATTTATGGCCCGACTCCTAGGGGGCTGTGCCTCTAAAAAGTTTCCCAGAGGCTTCCATGACACACGCCCGTCATGCCAGCGCCAGGCTAAACTAGCCAGCCAATTGCTTTGTTACTCAGCCTCACTTGGCTCTGCCAAACGACCCACACCCCCCATCTTCAACCGCGGCGTCTCTGTATGCCCGGATTGGGTCGGCGAGAAGCTTCGCATTGTATGCTGCCGACCATTCAACATCGTCTTCGTCCTCTCACGCGCCCACACCATCAAATGCAAACTGCCGTGTAACCTTCGGCCCTCCGCCGAGGAACCATATGCTACCTCGGCGTGTGCGCGAGAGGCGGGGCAGGGCCAGTCACGATCGAGTCGAGGAATTCCATGAACCACCAGCACCACCAAATCCCTCCGCCGACGGCCCGGAGACCGCCGCGGCCATCCCGGTTCATCTCATCTCTCATTCCTCGCTACGTGCCCCGAGACTCGCCCACGGCAGCCCGCTGTCGATTTCGAGACGGCTCCGCCTTACCTGTAATTTGAAACATGCCGTCCAGCCCGGCGCAGGCCTCCTCAACAGGCCAGCAAGCTGCAGCTGTAGCAGCGGGCCAGCCCGAGAAGGACATTTTTCCCCCATTCTCGAACACGTGATACCCACCTGTGGAACTGCTTGTGTATTGTTACAGTAACCTGCCCTGATCCGATGTCTGGAGACTGGTAGGGGATTCAGATGAGATGCCTGAATCATGTCCGCAGTAATGCGCCTGTTCGTCCTGTCTTTGTCCTTGGTTGTATTCTGTGCGCGGGAGCGAGGCCTCCCCAACACCGCTAGATGGATGACATCTCGTTCACTGTATTAACGACGGCTATATCGTACTGGATCGTCAAATTATTGTTCTTGTCAGTGAGATGTTCACAGAAAGGCCCAGTAGGTCTTTTTGGCAGCGTCGGCAATTTCAGTGTTCTATTCTGAGCACAAGCGCGAATCATACACCCCACGTTGCGGGTGCCTCTTCGGCGTCAGGCCGAGTGCGAGCTCCGAACTCCCAGAAGTAGCAGACACTTCTCAGCTGAATAATGGTTATAGAGTGAAATCAATCACAGCTCTGATTACATGAGGGGCGCAAGGACGTCCTGGCGGCCAACGCCCGTCTGCGTGCAGAGATAGAGTATACAGACGAGAACCCACCTCAACGCCCACATCTGGACAAGCTTAGTCTAAAAACTCCCCTTTCCCCCCAGCCCTGGAGGGGCCTATCCACCTGCGATGGCCACCTCTTGATTCGAGTCACACGGCCATCGTGGGAGTCGCCGCCTCGTATTAATTGATGTCATTTCTGCGGTTACTGCAATGGACGGGCTTGGGATGGGGATGGGTTAAATGGGTTCTGGAACGAGGTTAGTGTCCTGGCCCGTGATGAGCTGAGGCCCGATTGCGTGCGCGAGAAGGGGAGATGGGCTGCTGTGTCCCTGGTGGGCCGGATCTACTGCTTGACAGATCTGCGCAGATGAGGTCGTCGATTGGGGGTTTGTGCTTTGCCCGTTGCGCCGCACGTTTGAAGGACATAGGTACTACGTCCGCATTAGGATGATCTACAGTATTTAGAACGTCAACCTCGTGTTTGGCTACGAGGTTAGGGTCGTAATAGCACTCAGAAAGGCGTGTCCGGATTGCCTTCTTCCTATTGCAGGCCTCAACTAGGACGTTGTGCCTGCTGCCCCACGGTCGCAGCTCGCTTGGCTTGACCTTGCGTGTTGCGGGAGTGGTTATTAGATGTCTGGCCTCCTCTCCTTGGCTCTCGGTCACGCCGCCCTCTTCGCATACGTGGTTGACAGTACCTGCGTTCCCCTATGGAGGTCGTCGAGGCTGTTGCTGGTCCTGACCATGTGAACTGCGTTCTGCTTCTACAGGGGCTATTGTATAGGGCTGTCGTGTGAGTGCTGAGATTAAAAGTGATAGCATTCGGTCGTGGGCAACACCTGGACTGAATGAAAGACCATCACTTTGTGCGGTCGGACAACATGTCTTTCGGAGTTTGCGATCGCGACTAATTCGCCTTCCGCACGCATGTCTACCCCTTAGGCTCTCTTTTCTATGCTTTGGACTTCGCGAGCCTGAGGAGTGATGCAGCGTTCCTCCATATTCGAGGGTTAGAAGGAAATCCTCGGACTTGATCAATGAGCACTTCAATCCTTGCTGAGACCGCTTACTCCCCTTCCTGCGCTTGAGAAGTTCAAGGTGAAGTCGCCGCGCAGAAGTTCTATAACTGTCGGTAAGTGCAGAGGATTCCATTTCGTTCTCTAAATCAAACATGATGTTTGGGATTCGTTGCTGCCAGAGCCATGAGCGCTGAGAGCAACGAAATCGCCACCGACACTCTCAGATAGCTGTCGCTCTTCATCTCCACAATGCGATCTCTAGAGTTCGTTGCTAGTCTATCAAAGACATTCATGTGGCCATGTTACTAGCCGCTGGCCATCGTACCTTTATTGTATTGTCATCGTCGTGAATATCTCTGCCGTACCTGTCCTCCGAGGGTCAGGCGCGTTGCGAATTTCCTCTGTATTGAGCCCTTTCTTGCTTTTGATGCTCTTCGCACACCTTGTCTCAAGACATCCTTGTTCATGAAGCACTGAAAACGCACCTTATGTCTTTTTTTACCCATAAGAAAGATGGTCACTAGGTTGTGGGATGTTCCTAAAATGTTGTTGGCTCGAAAATTCTCTTCCAAGGGTCTGCGATGATCACGTCTATTCACCTCCAAATTTTCCAAAAGTTGAACTGAGCTTCATCCGTGTGGTGATTGCCGTCTTTCAGATGCTGCATACACGGTAAGCATGGCACACAGAAATGATGCCGTCAGCATGGTTTTATGGTCGTCCATTTTACACTTGGTCAAAATTGGGGTCCAAAAGCTGCAGCTAACAAAGCGCCGCAGGCGCTGCCATGGGGTCTGACATGCATTCTAGAGGGAAACGTCTCGTCGTGGGCTGGAACTCCCCTCATCCCTTTCGACTGAGACGATGGCAGCCTCTGCTTCTGTCAAATTATTTCCCGAATCCAGGTCAACCGGTCGCCGCAGCTTCCGTGGTGGAGACGTTGATCAACCCAGCGTTTATCTCCATGAACGACTCCGGGAGAATGACGAGATCCGGCTGTTGAACCTTTACCCTGGGGCACCTGAGGACACCATTAGGGCAAACCTTGAGATCGTCAGCATCAATGAACGTCATAACTATGACGCCATATCATATACATGGGCAGACGAAAACGGCGATACAAGAAAATGTTGCAGCATCATTCTTGAGCCCCTCGGGGTGTGCCTGCCAATCACGCGGAACTGTGACTCTGTGTTGCGACGGGTACGCAAGCACACCAGCAGGGTCTGGATCGATGCAGTTTGCATCGACCAAAGAAATATCCAGGAGCGTGGCAAGCAAGTCAATGTGATGCCTCTAATTTACATGGGCGCCTCGCGAACGTTCCTTTACGTGGGGGAAGGCTCAGACGATAGCGCTCTGGTCCTTGGAAATTTGTCCAAAGGCATCTGGACACCACCGCACCTTTTGGAGTCGTTCTTCAAACGTCCGTACTTTTCGCGTGTCTGGGTCGTGCAGGAGGTAGCAATGTCCAAGCGGATCACAATAATGTGTGGTGACATCGCGGTAGAGTGGACGAAGTTTATGCAGATTGAACATCTGCGCCGGATCTACACATCAAGTTTTCACGATACATTTCCCACGATGCTCCGACTGGAAGAGCAATTTATCTCTCGCTCGGCTACTGTATTGGACGTACTTGTCCTAGGTCGAAGCTGCGAGGCTTCTGATACGAGGGACAAAGTCTTTGCACTGCTAGGACTGGTCGAACAAACATCTGCCAACTCTCGACTTTTCGCCAATTACTTTCTGAGTGCAGCCGAGGTTTACAAGCAGATAGCCATGCACCTGGTCATAGTTGAGAAAAGGGGGCTCGATGTGCTCCTGGGAAACCTATGCTATCGAAGTCATGAAGAGAAGGCACATGTGCCACACCTACCGTCCTGGGTACCGGACTGGAATCAACACGAACCGACACTTATACAGCTCGCTCCCCGAACGCTACTTTCCCTTGAAAATCGATTCTCAATGCTATTTCAAAGAGGCGGCCGAGGTCTGTTCTTGAAAGGCTCCATGCTTGGCACTCTCAAGGCCTTCAAGAAGACTTTCAAGGACTCCCAGTCAGTGCTACGCTTGTCTCATCGAGGTTTCCGAGCCTCAGGAGCACTACCGAAAGCATTCAACGACGAAAACATATTTGTCTTCTGGACAGACGCCATCCCATCGCTCTCGGAAGTCTTTTGGGAAAACCGATGGCCAGCTGTGAGGGAGACTGACTTCGAAGACTCAGCTACACCGAACCTGCCTTCCGTGTATCCGTACCAATGCGAATTGCTCATAGCACGTGTGAATGTTGGCAAGGAGAAAAATTTCAGGCTTTCGACGGAGTGGGAAGTCGAGAGCGGTGGGAATCTGGACATCTATGCAGACCTCGATGACGAACGTAGACTGCTGACCATGAAAGCTGTCAGGGGGAGGAAAGCGTTGTCAGACTGGACCGGTGGTCTCTATAAACCGGAAAGTTTTGAGTTCTTAGGTGTTGTTGAGATTTTGTCACATTGCCCTGACCCGAGGGATATCGTGTTTACAATGGATGGAGTGACCATCAGGCTGGTATAAGTGAAGAGCTCGGTGTCTGGGAGCAGCTTTCCCCGGGACTATACTTGGATTGTGCTATTTTACGGCGAATTCAAATCGCAATCAACGGGTGGAAAATATCTTCTTTGGCTCGTCCCTTCACGATGGCCCAGAGCTGATCAAATCAGGACTGAGGGCCGGGTGGCGTTTTGACCCATCTTTATCTCTTTGCACTGGCCACAATCAGAGGCTTTCAATATCAGCTACTTCATTGAGTATTTCAATGGAAAGTTTTCAAGTAGCCTGCAATACTCCACCAATTACTACTTCGGGCTGAATGACACCGAGAAGTTTGAGTCCTGTCGCCCTTATGTTCACACCATTGACGTTATGGTTTACAAACTCGACTGAAGTAAAAAAAAAAAAAAAAAAACCCCAAAAAACCACCAAAAAAAAAAAAACCAGAGCTTCAAGGTTCCCAGGCGAGCGTCTCATCAGAGGCAAAACCTACGGTGATCACGATCTGTCATTTGAAAGTAGTAAAAGCATCGATTGTTCGCATTACTTCTGCGTAGCTAGCACAGCCATGGACCAACTACGCCACAACTAGGACCCCTGCTTTGGAAGATATTCCCACCAAGCTTGCCCTTCATCTCGGACTAAACTATCAGGAAGGAATGTCGTCCGGATCGACAACCCACCATTTAATGGGCACGTCGTTGCCCGTTGTATCAGCAGCGTCACACGTTGCCGCGCCTGTGACGGACTGCATCACGACTGGGTCGCTATACATGTTCATCGCCGCCTTAACGGAGTCTCTGATATCCTTGTCGCCAACTCTAAGAACACCATGAGGTCAATTTTCTGAATGCGAAGATCCATACGCTTCATGACTTCCACCTGCTGAGTACTTACTCGTAATCATTCGTGGACGAATCAGTCCTCGCAACTGCGATAGAACATGTTCCCCTGATGTTGATTATCGCCCACCTGCCGTTTGTATAGCCATTGATAGTGTAGCGGCCGAAATTATTGTTGAATTCGATGATACTGTTGCAGTCCCACTTGTAGAATTCGCTGCCAGCGGTCCTCTGGGGTTCTGCGTCAGCGTCGCAGGCATCTTGCGAGGTGTCATCAGGGCCCCAGCGAACCGAGTCTCGGCGGATGAGGTTCGGCGAGGTGGTATTGATGTCATTGCTGTCTCCCGGGACGTATGTGATCCGGTCGACTACCGCAGCTGAGATACTCAGAGGGAGTAGAAAGAGGAGGAGGTTGAGGATATGCATGTTGGCTGCTTGGGCGGATTTGAGTCTTTGAGTTTGTCAGATTTGATGACCGTGTGGCTGTATTTGAGACCTCTTGAAAACAGAGAATCTTTTTTATGGTGATTTCGTTCTTGAAAACAAATCGATGCTTGCTTTTGTCGAAAGGTTGCCGGTGGTCGTCGTTTAGTCTGGGCAGTGGAGCCCTTTTTATATGCCAAAGAAAGCCACGGATGAGCTTCGTGACTGGCGATATGGACGTAATTTTGTCAGTGATGCAAATTTGCTCAAACCCGAACATAGAAAGAGAAGATCACATGAGCTCGTTGGTCACCGGAGTGGTTGTCGGAAACTGAGCCTACGATCTACATCGCTTGAGCTGAGAATGGCGGAAGTATGAGAAGTCTATTTGGCTGGCACGAGTTTGTCACCAACAGAATCATGGCAGGCAATTATCAGAGTTATCATAGTCTATGTAATTGAGTAAAAAGATCGAGAGTAAACTTCTTGACTGCCGCGCTATGTAATCAAGATAGAGGGTGTAGAGTTTGCACTCACAGACCATCGATGACTATTTCCTGCCCGACCGGCTTCAGCTTGACCATCAACGGCTTCTTCTCCCACAGAACATGCACCTTTTGATCCATCCAGCTGCGACTCTCCTCGCAAAGCTCCAAATCGAAGTTAGCAACAAGTAATCCGATTATAAGCCGCAGCTCGTGCCACGCCATATTTTGGCCAATGCAATTTCTAGGTCCATATGAAAAGGGTTGAAGGGCGTCCCGTTTGTCATCCATGTACTCAGTCGCACCAAGCCATCTTTCAGGTACGAAGGCGTCCGGGTCCTTGAAGTTGGCTGCGGAATGGTAGGTAGCGTACTGATGAATTGACACTCGCGTGCCTGGGCCGACCCATCTGTCGCATATCATCCGCCCACCGTTGTCTGCGGGTATGACTCGTGGGATACCAACTGGGACAGGCGGATAAATTCGAAAGGTTTCTTGTATACCTGCATCGTCGAGTAAGTCAGCTATGTTCCTGGACATGAGTAGGCAAGTGCTGGAGGCGGTGTACGTACAGGCGTTCAAGTAGCTCAGACCTGCGAGTGACTCAAGATCCAGAACGCCGCGAGCTTTCTGTTGATCTCGCACCTCCGTTACTACTCTTTTCATCCTGGCTGAATCATTTAGGAGAAGATAGAATAGGCCCATAAGCAGGGTTGCTAATAGCGGTCAGCTTCATGTGATGATTCTAGTCTGTAAGCCTAGGTCTCACCTGTCGTGTCAGTGCCAGCCAGCATGAAGAGTTCGGCGTTGGAATGCATTTCGTTCAAAGTCAGACTTTTCTCGTCCTTTGCTGACAAGACAAGGTTCCAAATGTCCGGTTGGTCTTCGCGGAAACTTAATGTTAGCAGATGAGTTTTATCGGCGAGGATTTGGTGCGCAACTTACCAGATTTCTGCTCCAGCCGTCTGTCCACCCGATCAGCTGAGTGTTTGAAGTGAGTCGTCTTCATTTCGTTCACTTTCTTTGGCTCGAGGAACGCATATATCTTGCTCAGCAGTGGGTAATATTCGATCACTTGGATGAGTGGAAGCACTCGTACGGCGTCGAAAACGTTCTTGACCCATGACGAGTATTCAGCGCTCTCAAGAAGTCCCAGCGGCTGACCGAATGTGAGGTCTCCCATGATGTCAAAAGTGGCAAAGTTCAACATCTCACCAAGTTGCACTGGCTGACCGTCGGTCTCTCGCAACTTTGAAATGAGCAGGTCGACATATTTGCGGAATAGAGGCTCCTGCTGCCTGAGACTACGGTCTGAGAAGGCAGGAGAGAAGAGACGGCGCACTCTCCTGTGATCAGCTGTCTTTGCTGTGATGAGGTGCGGCGTTCCTGCGTGGGAGGTCAGTCAAACTGGAAGGAAACGACCTCAAAGACGCATGATAAGCTTACCATTATGAGGCGGCAGACTGCGTATCTGGAATTAGCTATGGCTCGATTCGAAAATGTGAAGCAGAGTGAGTATTCAAGACGGGCACATGAAAGACTACCGTAAGAGTGCCTAGTTGCTCGTGGGCAGTTTCAAGGGCATTAGAATTAGGCGAAAATTAACATACTGAGCCTCTGGCGCCTTGAGATTCTCAGGCTTGCCCCTATCATATCCACATATATCCTTCCAAGCTTGAGGGTCGGTATAGCTCAACTCATTCGGGCTGAATCGAATCACTGGTCCGTACTTTTCGTGCAACCTTCTCATGAAGTGGATCTGCTCGCCTCTCACGGCGATGATCCAATAGGGAATCCGACTTATCGCTGCCCACCATGGCCCAGGAAACTTAGCAAGAGGGTGCAAAGTGTACGCATAGATAACGGTCCAGACCCCGTATGCCAAAACGAAGACAACAAATGCCCATATTAATGAGCTGGGCGGTAGCCCTGCTCGGATCGTTGAGCTCATACCTTAATTAGCAAGTAGCCTTGATCGATCCAGAAAGAGCAGGAGAGAATTTGGAAGGAGAAAGAGGGCGCATAAGCAACCATGGATTCAAGCAATGAGTCTGCGATTAATATGCTGACACGATGTATCTATCAACATATCTAGGCAGGGTGAATAATGCAGCAAAGTTACATTCGGACATGCGGACATCCGCCACAACCGCCGAGGTTGATACCAGAACGTTCCCTATTCTGATAGGCGATGGAGCTTCTGACGTGTAATGATCCGCTATATGCGTGCAGGCTCGTGGCATAGTGGATGCGAACCTGACCTTTGGGACTGTTGGATCCAGCTCTATTAACGGCGCCAAGCCATTCTAGTATTGATACCCGCAAGGCGCAATCTTGAATAGGCAATCACACAACCAACAAAATTCTAGACATTTGTGACTTGTCTTATATGATGATCGGCTAGTAGCTGAGAAACAAGTGGGTGTGCCACTGCAGGCCGTCACGAGACAAGGGCTTGTTATTCTACACGGCATGGCATCCCACAGATCGGGCTTGTGCAATTTTGTCGTCAATATCGAGGAGAATTAGATGGCGTCGACAAAAGCAACTACCAGGGCAGAGATTGAAACACGCGCGACAGCCATGGCCTCAAACCTGGATGAAGCCGACTCAGTTGACATCATGCGTCGATCCTGGTCTGCGCAGTACAGTCACCGCCAACTCAATTGGGAGGCTCTGCAGTATCGACCGAGACTGTCACACTCGTCACATTTAGACTTCTCAGTTCTCACACCGATAAGCGTCGGTCTTCGGCTCTGGGCCCAGGCTGATCACCTCTTTATCAGGAAGATATTGGATGCGCATGACTCGCAATTTCTTTGCTCCCAAGTGAGAACACATGCAGTTCAGCTCCAGACCCTAGTCTGAATAATGACCTGCCTATCACTCTTCATGCGACTACGCGACCATTGCCCCTCTTTTCAGCTGGTGAAGTCCCGACGCTAGACCCAATGGTAGGGTGAGAATCTATGCAGAAATTTAAAGTTCATGATATACCGGGAAGTACACCGCTTCTTGGTGTCTTCGTTCACAATATGCTGAACTGATTTAGCTCTAACGCGCCCACTCCCGTCATGGCGATTACAATTCCCATTAATACTAAAATAGTCCTCATGGTGACCATAGCGCTAGTTGTTGACATCAATATCATCATAAGGCCACCGAGCTTGTTCACTAAGTGTCCCAATTTGAGATAACAACATACTCCATTTTAAGGAAAATATCGCTGCCGAGGCGCGGCAATTGGAGAGTCAGCGAAGCCATAGTCGGAGAAACCAAGCGAGACGTCGAGTCGCAGACGTGCATGCATGAATATTTTGTAAGTTGATGAGACCCGGAAAGCTTTTGATTCTTCATGTGACAAGGCTTCCCTCCGAATATGAACGGGCAGGTAATAAACATGGCTCCAGCTCGCCTAGCCAGCATTATTTTGCCTTACCAATGGCGTAAAAACCCTGGCCAGAATAGCCAGATTTGACATGGGTGGGCCTACGTGCTTTTTCTAGCGGACTCACCGGCCCTCGTAGACTGGCAGAGTCCTCATTTGCTAACACAAGTTCTAGTCATTTAAGCCGTTCGTCGAAGAGGCACACACAAACAGGCGTAAAAAGACTTTGGCAAGGCATCAAGACTACCTCGTAATTTATTCGTTCATGGCTTTTGAATTCTTCCAACAGTGATAGACGTACTGTTATGGGTCTGGGATCGTTCTACATCTCTTGAAGTTTCAAAGCTTGGTCAAACGAGAGAGACCCTTCTCAAATACATCAAAAAGTGTGCCCATTCTACAATTCTGAGAGAATGTTGCTGGTGAAGTCTCAGAACTGATACTCTTCTTGTAAGGATAAAATTGGATATCTCATGAAATTGGAGTCTGTCCTCACCTTGTTATGAAACCGCGTTAGCGAACATAGTCAGCCCATTTACGCTTCAGATTTGACAACTCTCCTTTCGCAAGTGAGTCGGAAGCTTCTGTGGAACTTGAGCTACAAGGCTGAAAATACGTGCCTACCAATGCTCTATCCGTTCATTGCTTTTCAATTGTAAGATCTCCATTCATATTTTGAGAAGCTAACTATGAATGCGACTTCATTTGAGAAACAAATTCAGAGATGCGTTCCATTTTCAGAGTCTACTACAGTAGATCACCACCATTTAGGTCCTTAGGCACAGAAAGGATGAATCTGTTTTGATCTGATACCATGGAACGCGACATGATAATTATCATCATATGCGCTTTCCATTCCATGCAAGGGAGGAGAACGGATGCCTGGTTGAGCCATATGTTTTGAGAGCACATCTTCACTCGACTGGAAGCACAGACTAGAGAACGCGTGCATGATCTGAGTGACCTTGCAGAGAAGCCACTATAGCCATAGCAAATAGATCGCACAATATCAAAAGGTCATCAACAACGCTCTGCCTACCTGGATGTCAGAGATGTCAAATCCAAGTCCACACGCTGGAGTCTCTTCACTTAAAACCATGAGCCGACGGGGAAAGTCAGCACAAAGCAACCATGCTAATGGGGGCCGGGCGTTCAATTTAGCGTGGGGGCCGGCCTAGCAGGATATCGACGCTTCAGGGGTTGGCAGCACGCCTTCGCGCAGATCATCTGCGATTATGACAGTTGACGGGCGATAACAAGGCCCTGTTGGAAATGTCACCTGCCTCATTGGAAGCTTTTGGTGGCCCTCTCTCCACATCACATGATCTTCGAGTAGTTCGAGCTTGTTGGTGTCTTGGTTCGTTGATCCCGGTGGCCGGCCCGGGAACAGAGCACCGGGGTCTCGCTGCAACTTGGGCGAGATGCTGGTATGGACAAGGGTGCGGGCGAAGATTGGCTTGCTATCTCTTGCTATCTTTCGACTTGTAATATCGACCCATTTAATCTGTGTGAAATCAAGTTCCATGTCACAGCCTCGCGGGCTGCTTGCCTGTACGCGAAGATATCACGCGCGTTGCATGAGAATATAGTGTACCAGGCAGGAGGAAGCGGGTCCTCGTCATCCTGCGGGACCGAAACCTTGGTCTCACCCGCATTGAACGCGGATAAGCTGCTTGAAGCCGTTCCGAAGAGAATGTGTCTATTTCAAAAGTACCGAGTGTGGCGGCGCTCGGCATTGCCCATCTATCCTCGCGTGTCACAACAGATCCCTTGGATCATGAGGGCACGTGTGTCGAGTGTGACGACGTGCGAATGCCTGCATTTGTATTAACGCGGAATTGGGGCTCCTACAGGACCCCCGCGTGATCCGTGCATGGGTGGAAAATGCCGATTAAAGATGTTATGCCGGCGACACGTCCTGTGCAGCGGAAGCCGATCCCTCGTTGATGAAGCCGCCCGCCCGACTTGCTCACCTCGGCGAGGACTGCCCTCTTTGTCGTCTCGTGCAGTAAATGAATTCACTGTCATACGAAGCTCTGTCCACACGATTCCCTTGGTATTTGTGGCGAGATGCCTCCATTTGGGGTCGTGTTGGCCAACCGATACCGGCGCATGTGCCGGGCGAATGCCTCCGCGTTGGAGGAGATTGTCGCAAGATTCGAGATGGAGAGGGCAGGGCACTTCGTCAGAGATGAGCAAATAGAAACGTAAAATGCGTGAAGTGTTAGTCAACTCTGACGACAAGCCGTGAACAGCTGTTCAGCACTGGCCTGATTTCCTCCCAAGTGCGCGCAGTTGGTCAGATCAACATGGCCAGTCCAGTGAGCTCGTTGAGATGGTCAGAAATAGGCAGTGTCTCTCTAGAGGTCCGTGATACTCCGAGGTGCTTCAAAACATGAGCCCCCAAATTGGTTACCCAAGTACTAGTGAGAAAGCTCAGAAGATCCGAGGTGCAGGGACAGGTCTTTGAAGGGAGGGAGGGGAGGGGGGCGGGCATCTCACCTCCCACAAATGACCCCCACGCCCATCAAGCCAGAGCCACTCTGTCGGAACTAAGCACATGCTAGATCCCTGTAGGTACACAAGACGAAAACCAACTGACTGCTCGCCACCCCCTTGCGCTGCGTCAGCACCAGATTCTGAGAATCGACGGTAGATATTTGAGCGAGATATGGTCCTCGCCTTGCCAGCTCGTCGAGTCGTCAACAAAGCTCCCGAATAAATTGCGGCGCGTGGGGTAGAGTGGAGTGCCTCGGGCTCCGGTCTGGCCTGGCCTGGCCTGGTCCTTGAACCCCGCGATAGAAGTGGAAACGCGGGGTGACCCATCATTGCACAGTGAGGGTGGACTGTGTTGGCGTTGCCGTAATTCATGCCCATTCAGAGCTGTCGGCCCGGCCAGACTCCACATCGTGAACCATGCCATGCTCGAGAAGAGTCAGAAGAGGAGTCCTGGCGTGCTTGCATGCTGTGTTCGTGTCTCCAACCTTTGAAGACCAGTCGGCATCCCCAAACAGGGAAGTGGTCACTCAAGAGCTGGGGAAAACGGTCACCTGCCTCCAATATTCGACAAGGGTTGTTCGTATGCCCGATCCATCGTCCGTCTCATCCGAGCCAGCCTCCAGTGCTTACTGTCGTGCTCGGAGGCCCCAGAAAGCAGGCTTCCGGTGTGAGAAGGCTGGCAGTCGAAGACATGACCTCTCTCCCGGACTCCCCAAGCAGCTAAATAAGGACGTCTGTGGAGCAGATCCCCGTCTTCGGAAGCCGAGATGGCCGTACCAAACTCTCGAGCACTCCGGCTTGGGATCGCAAATTGTTACCGTTGAACTAGGCCGTCGCCGTGGGCAGACGCCAGAGCATGGTATCACCAAGCTCATCCGGCTTTGCCACGGACGAAGCTGATACAGCACCGGATGTAGGCATAACACACGATTGGCCAATGCTGTGGGCGATATCGCACTGCCCCATCCCAGCTGGGCGCCGTGTCCAACATTGGATGCGGCTCCGTGATGTTCGGCTGCGGATGGCTACGGAAATGGCAAGGAGGATGGTGACGAAGCTGGAGGCGAATATGGAAGATGGAGGACGGTACAGCCTGTGCAGGTGGTGTGCTCGCAAGCAATAGTGTGGCATCATGGTGATCACCAAGGTAGCATCTTAGTGACGGGATAGAGGCCGCGATCAGACGTTGGAACACAGACAGACACTGCTCTCAAGTAATCTGCAGAACGTCAGCATGGCAACGGGTGTCCAGCTGATTTGGCTGCTGATGTGCATCCGGACCAACATCGTGGCTTGCGTCTTGATGGTTGATGGAAAATTACCGGTCAGCAGGACACGATAGCGCCACACACACACACACTCGCCGTTTCCGAGGCAGAAAGGGGAGCCCGGCAGTGGCAGAGCACGGGAATAGACCGAGCTGCAGAGCGGGTGTCCCGTCTCGGACTGGATTTGGAGATGTATTGGAATCGATCACGAACGACGTGGACGAACTGGACGAGGGCAGGTGTTGCGTTGCCAAGGGACGGGCTGGATGAGGCAATGAGAGAGAGAGGGAATGTTTCGTCGAAACGGAGACGCGCACTTCTGGCACTGTACCGTCAGGGCTGGGCCTACCTTCCCAAGACACTACGCAAAGCACCGTACAGGGCTGTACCTACCCTGGTACCCTCCCCCCCTCCTTCCCCAGATGGAAGGCACGACACTAAACCGTATACACCCTCTCGCAGCTCTGACAGCGTGGAAGGAAGGAGGTGCTGCCCACCCTCTCAGGCCTTCCTGCCCTGCTACCACACATCACCCATGGGCACACTCTTGCCATTTCCAGACAATTCGACGGACCACTCGCGACTGTCGCCTGTTTGACCAGCTACCAACTGGGCAGCTGCCAGCTTGGGGCTATTGTTGTTCCACAGCTCAACCACTTCAACCACCTCGACCCAAGCCAAGCCGGCTGGAGGATCAGCATTGACAGCAGCTCTCGATTATCTGCATCCATCCATCCATCCATCGCCTCACTGCCACCACCACCACCACCTCAAGTTTATTTCGAGCCATCAGACGCGTGCCGATCTCTGTGTGTGTATCTATTCTATTTGTCTGTTCATCGGTTTGTTTGTTTGTCTGGTCGCCCGCCCGCCTGCCCGCCCGACCGACCGCCCTCGCACCACCCACCATCACATCACTGCTGCTGTCTCTCAAAGAGATCCTTCAGCTTCCATGCCGTCGGGACATTCTCGGCTGACTGCAGCTCGCAGCTCACAAATCAGGACCGATCTGCATGTCTCCCATGCAAGAGGCACGCTGACCGGAATCGAAGGGGCAAGCCAACATTCCCATTGCAACTCTGCACACACCGCTTCGTGGGTCTGTGTAATCGAACCCGCCTTCTAGAAGCAGTCGTCAAGTCACGCCGAGTCAAGCAGATTGAAGTCACCAACAGCCAGGCCTCTTCGCTCCCTTGCCCTCGTGCCTCCCTGCCTCCCAGTACTACCTACGTGCCCACATGGCACTGGCAGCAACATCTAGCGTGTGAGAAACCATGTTCAGCAGAGCACTTGCATAGCACAGCCCACGTGGTGCTCCGAGCTATTTCCTTGCCGATCACGCCCGACAGCGCTTGGATGACGGCTCTCTGTCGACCTGCTCGATCGCTGCCTTCCTACGTAGGAATCATGTCTCCTCGATGCGTCTTACCTTTACATGGCTCGTTTCGGCCATATTGCGGCTGTCATATGTCATCCAAAGAAGCACAGACGACCCCCAAAATTATGACGCGCCCAGAGAGCCTCACGTCAGGTACACCTGTACCCATGTACTACACCCAATCATCATCGCGGAACCGTTGAATCCAGACTGTGGGATTCTGGTGGCTGACGTGGACCCAATCTGACACACATCTTCTCGCCTGCCTCGCATCTATAAGACCTTTGTTCGACCACAGACTTTGCGTCGCATTGCACGACAGAGCAGTGCGTGACTGGGCACGACACGACGCCTCGGCCTTTGCTGCTATAATCAGCTCGAAAATACCTGCAAAATGCTTGTGTCGATCGCCTTATTCCAGCCGGCCAGCTCGGCGACAAAACGCCACGCGACAAAGCCTGTGTCGCAGCAGTCGTCACGCCAGTGATCTACAGGTACGCTACACAATCAGTCGAGAGCCAACGGCTTGCCTGCCAAGGGCATGCCAAAACTTGGACCAGCCGTATGGCAGACCTATCAAAACCCTCCGAGCCTCATGTTGTGGTTCCTGGCCAAATGCTTGGGTCTGCCGCCAACTTTTGCTTTTTTCAGCGGGCGACGCCGCCTGGCCGCCCTGAAGCCAAGCACGCACTGAGCCCCCCACGCGATCCGCTTTTTTATAGCCCAAGGGCTTGGGGCTCCCCTTGCGATGATCATTTTGCGGAGGCAGTCTAACAAGGACCAGGCTGCCAGATATCGCCCTCCTTGACCAAGGATTCCGCACTGTGACACCAACGGAGCACTGCAACCCAGCATGTCTCCACGGCTGCTGAGGCATGCGGGAGGGCGGTGCGCGCTGCGAGTTGGCGTGCATCATCCATCACTGGCAGCCTTGACTAGCTTGATCTTGTTCAGCTTATTCCTGTTCCCCGGGATTTCCTCAAGCATCCAGTGTCACATCGGATCTCGCCCGCGGCTGTCGACCTGGGATCCTCAGCCGGAAGTGCGAGTACTGGGATGTCCACGGGACTCCGTAAGAGAGCAAGGAGAAGCACGCCAGATCTTCTTGGGCGTCCGGCTTCGCTGCTTTCGACACTTATAAAACATACCCAGACCCTTTTCCTGAACCTCCCACTCTCGCAGCCCCCATCCCATCCTCTCCCGTGCCCTACTCTCCTTCTCTTGCCTGTTCTTGCATATCACCCCACGCCCTCAGCCGCACCAGACTCGTGGTTCCTCACAAGCTATTATGGCTCCTCATACCGACGCACCCTCCCCTGCTGGCAGCTTCACAGCCGGTTTCAACGGCTTCAACCGGGCCTTCCGTCCTCTACACTCCTCAGCCTTGTCAGTGCCCAGTGGCCTGTCCTCTGCAGATTCAGCCTCTCCTTTGAGCAGTTCCTACGATAGCACATCGGTTCGGGATGATCTACACCTGAACCGGCCGCTAGTGCCCGGCGTCTACGTGCCCACCATGTGCTTCTTCGATGAGAATGAAGATGTCGACACCGCAACGATTGCTAGCCACGCCGTGCGACTAGCACGCGCAGGGGTCACTGGCCTTGCAACACAAGGATCCAACGGAGAAGCGGTCCACCTCACCCATTCGGAGAGATCACTGGTCACCTCAACCACGCGCAAAGCCCTGAATGATGCTGGTTTCTCCTCCATGCCTCTGATTGTTGGTTGTGGTAGCCAGAGCGTGCGAGAGACTGTCCAATACTGCACGGAGGCATGGGAAGCAGGCGGCGACTACGCCCTTGTCCTGCCCCCTTCCTATTACGCGTCCCTGTTCGCGCCGTCTTCAGCTACCATCCTGGAATTCTTCAACGCCGTCGCGGATGCCTCACCAATTCCAATCATAATCTACAACTTTCCAGGAGCAGTTGGTGGCATGGACCTGTCTTCAGATATTGTCATCCAGCTCTCGGCGCATCCCAACATTGTCGGAGTCAAGTTGACATGCGGAAATACAGGAAAGTTGGCGAGAGTCGCTGCTGCCACCAAGAAGCTCACCAAGAATTACGACCACCAAAGGCCCGAGTTCCTTGTACTTGCTGGATCAGCCGATTTCACCGTCCAGTCCTTGGTCGCTGGTGGTCACGGCATCCTAGCTGGCCTGGCCAACATCTCTCCAAAAGCGTGTATCAAGACGATCGAACTTTTCGCCTCTGGAAAGGTGGCCGCGGCTCAAGAAATGCAAGAGACGGTCGCCGCGGGAGACTGGACCGCCATTCAAGGCGGTGTCGTGGGTGTCAAGGCAGGTCTGCAAGCCTGGAACGGCTACGGCGGATTTGCCCGGAGCCCCCTGCCCAAACCCACCACCGAACAAACACAGAAGTGGAAAGAGGGCTTCCGAGACCTCGTATTGCTGGAGAAGAGCCTGTGAGCTGTTTGGAATAGCTGTCCGTTGCGACAGTATCGATGATCGACCAAAGAACGTTGCTTTGAGCCGGGACTGAAAACCAATCTTCATAGTCGAAGAAGCCTCTCAGGTTATTAGGTTCGCTTTTTGATACACCTCCTTGCCAAGGAAATCATTGCTTTACTCCGCTTTCTTGGATAGCCATTGGAGTTTGCATATGAAGTGGTAGTCGGTCTTGGGTAGTTGAGATGGTCTTGCATGCGCGAGCCAACGGCGTTCCGGAACATGGTTCTTGCACGATTTGAGGACTCTTCCGGGCCGAGGCTGTGTCGACTTGGGGGAATATGCAGCCACGGAGAGATATGCTATTCAGAGCTGTCGCCAATTTCCTGACGGTTCATTTGTTACTAAAAAAGGGACATGAAAAGTCTGTCTTCAGAAGGGACTGAATATGTTTGTCTGATCTAGACGTATTAAGATACCTGATATCAGGAAAAATGGAGAGACAAGCCAAGAGACGAATCAATATTGTTAATGATGCCAGAACCTCGTTCCAAAAATCATAGATTTGGCCCTCACAGACTCGGTCATCGGATGATCCTCGACGGATGGATGGCCTGCGAAGACTGGTAAGCTCAACCCCTCAAATTCTTCTCAAGTTTCGTCACTGTGCTTCACATGGATGGGGTTCTACTCGAGATGAAAGCACATCAGCCTGGCTTGCCCTTGAGATACTCCGACTTAGGTCGTGGTGGTGTCGAAGTGGTCGGATCAGCCATGTCGGCAATATGGCGTGTACAGCGATGACGATAGACCGAACCTCCATCACGTCGGTGCATTAAGCGCCGCTAATGATAGGCTTGCGAGGCCAATCTGAGACAAGGCTTGATGCGGTGAGATTAGGTTTACGGCCTTGTTCTTTTCCGGGGACAACGAGAGAGAGAGAGATCTGAGACTCGCGTCGGAAGGCGGACACGGCCATCTCGTGTCTGCCGATTCCCGAGGACGCCACCCGATCTCGTCACTTCGTCTATCGTCTTTTCGGCATTCACGGTGGCGGAGTTTCCGTCGAATGGAAGAAGTGGGAGGATCCTTCAGCCATTGGCTTACCCTCATGACCGACATATCACCAACATGAAGAAGAAGGATATCTTGGTTCTATTGACGACGAGACCCGCCGTCAAGCGCCTAGGTTCAGCCACCCACATCTCCTGTACAGACCCGACAGCGACCTAGCGGGTGAGACATTCCCAGGGGCAGGTGTAACCCAGTCTTGTACAAGCAATGATCCCCCCCTTCCAACGTCAGGAAAGGAAACTGGCATGCCAATAGCCTTCCAAATAAGGGCAATACGAGCATGCATGTGTCTCCCCGTGCAAGAGGCCGACCTGGCTCGACGGCTTGACGGGGCACTGCAGTGCGTTGCGTGGGTGGCTTGCGCCCCCAATCGCGGGGCAGAGAATGAAGGGCGAGTACTGGGCAGGCCAGATACGATGGAGGCGGACAAGCTCCCTCCCGTATCTTGAGGAACGAAGGTATGGGCACACCAGCGTGGTGCGACTCTACGTCTGTTTGAGGATGAGTGGATACGGCGGTGAGCTCGCCGGTGCTACCTGGCGTTTCGTGGGCCGGCGCCCTTGGTACTCGTCACCATGGCCCGATGATGGTAGGGGAGCGGTCGCGACGGAGATCACGGTGAGGGCCGTGAGCATGACGCCGCCATTTCGGCCTCGATCGGCTCACCGTCCGCCTGGTCTCGAGGCATGCTGGACGGCTTGGCTGAGCTTGGCTTGTTCTACCTAGGTACTGCCGCGGCCGGGTGCCCATGGATATGATGGCATTGTTGTGCACATCTGAGCACAAGTGTGCCAGTCTTCTGCCGGGGGTTGCCTCCCACGTCGCCGGCTGGCCGGATATCCGGCTCTCTTGGTATGCGCCTTGAAGGAAGGGGCACGGATGGGTGGTTTTGTCTCCCTGATCTCTGCGTTGTCCGCTGTTCCAAGCGGTGCGGCGTGGTAAATGTGCTACGGGGACTATTCCACGCAGAGATATAATTACTTTTGCTCCCTTGGTCGGGGTCGGTGCGTGCTGGTGGGTTGCTTCTTGCATCACGACTTCTTTGTAGCGTGTTGATCTTTCCAATCGACGCGATTCTCAGGCGTTTGCTTTTTCCCCGTTTGGCCTCCCTTGCGTTTTCCTTCTTTAGCCAGAATCCTTTCCGCCCACAAACTTCAGATCTGAATCCGTGTTCGACATTTTCCTTCGATCTGAAATCCCACGAGACTTTCTTTTGAGAACGCCGCAATAACGGAACCATGACACTCTTCGTGCCATTTGTGCTCGCGGCGCTCGCGCTGTGGGCAAGCGAGGTCGTGGCGGACGAGCAGCAATCAGCCAGGATCAGTGTTACCGGCCCTCTGACCGGTATCGACCGCCAGACGGGAGCCGCGCCAGCGAGGATGAACATCAACGACATGTGGGCTCGTGGAGGCCCCTCGTGGTGAGTGTGTGTGTCTGTGTGTGGCGCTGAACCCCGCGGCTCCCCGCGGTGGTGGTGTGGTGTCTCACTTACGGCCGAGAGAAGGGGAGGGAAGGAGAGGAAAGCTGATCTGAGCGCTGTGTCTAGGGACCTGTACGTGCTGGCTCTTGCGGAGCTCCAGGCCGTTGACGAGTCTGATGAGCTGTCTTACTTCCAGATCATGGGTGCGGAATCACTTCCTATCGATTCCCACGGTTTTCATTGTTCTTACTGTTATTGACTGAGGTTGTAGGTATACACGGCCTCCCGTTCAGGGGGTGGAGTGACGTCGGACAAGTGGCTGGTGGTTCTAATATGGCCGGGTTTTGTCCTCATAGTGTAAGGAGACGGTGATTTTGAGGGAAGTACTACGGCTTGGATGGTTCAGCTGCTGAGACACTGGGCAGCAACTATTATTTGGCCTCTGGCACAGACCATTTATTTCACTTTACGAGGCAAGTAGAGCAGTGATCCGTGGACCAACGTCAATTGAATGATCCTTCACTGACATCTCAAACCAGCAAACCCTGGTGACGCATGCCATTCAGATAGCTCAACAATATGCAAGCGACAAAGCACCAACCTACCGGGACGCGGCAGAAAAGCTGCGGGTTGCTTACTGGGACTGGGCTGCGGTTCCCTCGCTACCAGAGGTCATCACGCTCGAGAACATCGGAGTCAACGGTCCCAACGGCCCGGTGACCATCAGGAATCCGCTCCACAGCTACTACTTCCAGAACTATCCGTTCACGCTCCAGTACATGAACGGTGGACCGCTGTCGAAGCAGAACCACTCGACCCGCTGCCCTACTAAGGATTTTGTTGACGATGTCGCCAAAGTAAATGCCGGCCTCGCGTCGTCTGGGTTTAAGGGTCAAGTTGTATGAACTCGAGCATACCGTTGCCAAGCTTGTGAGCACACCGTGAAGGGCTGACCTAGATATCCGATAGTACAACACTTTCACAACCGTCACATCCTTCCAAAATATGGAGACAGACCGCTACACATCGACAAGCTTCGAAAGCCCACACAACAACGTCCACAACACCGTGGGCTGCAACAACGGCTCCATGTACGACCTGAACTGGTCCGCCTTCGACCCGGCCTTCATGCTGCACCATGCCAACGTCGACCGTCTCATCGCCCTGTGGCAGGCCATCTACCCAAACGCGAGCATCTTCAACGTCGTCGACTGGGCCGGCGCACTCTACGGCACGCCCGCGGGCTACGTCAGCGCCGACACCCCGCTGAAGCCCTTCCACGACGACGGCGGCGGCTACGACGGCTTTCACACCAGCCGCTCTGTGCGCGACATCTCCGTATTGGGCTACACGTACCCGGAGCTCCAGGTGCAGAGCGGAAGTGGCAGTGGGGGCGGTAATAGTAGTAATAGTAGCCAGTCCCTAAGCCCGGACGAGCTTGCCGACCACGTCCGCTTCATGGTCAACGCGCTGTACAGCAACCTCCCGCCCCAGGGCAACGACACGGCGCCGCAGCTGCGCAGCCTCGCCGGCCGCCTGAGGGGCATGGACAGGGTCCCGACCCGGCGGCCCCACGCGACGCGCAAGACGTGGTCCGTCGCCATCAGCGTCGACAGGGCCGAGGTGCCGCTGCCTGCCACCATCGGCTGCTACCTGGGCGGAGAAGGACAGCAGGAGGAGCAGGTCGGCCGCATGTCGCTGCTTGCGATCCCGGCTGAGGGCGTCACGCACTCGAGTATCCCGCTGGATACGGCGTTGGGCGCCGTTGGGGGCCTGGATCTTGCTGATGCGGAGGAGGTGGCTGGGTATTTGAACCAGACTTTGAGGTTTGAGATGGTCAAGGTGAGTTATGTAGTTTCAAGAAGAGACACTGTACACATAGACACGGCTGGATATCACACGGGAATACGTACCGGGCATAGAGAAGCATGAGCTAACCATACCACACAGGGCGATGGGACACCCATCGAAAATATCGGGTCGATCCCGAGCCTCCAGTTTGTCGTGCAAGACCGGGATTACACGCCGCGCGAGAACGATATGGAATTCCCCACGTACGGGCCTGCGAGCGCTCGAAAATGGGGTAGGAGACATGGACGGTGGGCAATGTCGGATTAAAACCTCTTTTATGCTGATCAGTACAAATGGATAGGCTGGTGGTACGAAGTGATTTCTGTACTGGGTGTCGGAGGGTTGTCCAATACTATGGTTGACGTCCTGGTTGCTTCTCCTTTCCACTCTAATGACGCGAAGAGGAGAGTATGACGAGAGAACTCACGACACGAACTAGGATCATGCCTACTTCCGTAATGAATACTGAATGAACAAAATTGATATCGCTATTTCTAATGGTTTCTGCCTTGCTGACAACATCACGCCAGGATCTGCTCTTAATATCATGTTTGTACATTTCAACCCATAAACTCCTTTGCCTTGGGCCTGCATCCCAGATCCCGCCCACAAAAACCCTGCAACTGTAGCTGCATCTAAATAAAAAAAATATTCATCTATTAATCTCTGCTCTGCTCCATTTCCTACAGCAGACAAGGTTAGCCATGAGAGCCTATGGCTTTTGCCGCAGGGGCATCTCGACGCTGGTGGAAGTCCCCACCTCGTCGTAGCCGCCATCTTGGTCCTTGCCGACCATGTCATTGGGGTGGAACATGAAGAAGAAGAGCGCGGTGACGAGGAACATGAGCAGCGAGTCGAAGATGAAAAGCGTCCACTGGTTGTTGAGCGGGTAGCCGTCCTGGCCGAGGAGGTACTCGATGACGCGGAAGATGGACCGCACCATGATGAGCAGGCTGACGGCGTACAGCATGTACAGGACCTTGAGCCAGGGGATGCCGGCGGGGGCGCGGTGGCCGCCGCTGCTGCCGTAGGCGCCCGACACCGCCAGCATGCGCGAGTACCGCACGTGGAAGGCTACGGCGACGATGACGAACAGCCCGAACATGACGATCTGCACGAACAGGCCCACCAGCAGGATGTTCTGCCCCAGGTCCTGCTTGCCCTCCATCGCCATCATGCCGCCGCCGCTCGACTGCAGCAGGAAGGAGAAGACGTCGCCGAACACGAATACCTTGGTCAGCCAGCTGGGGCGGATCAGGCTGCATGACGGCCCCGACGGCACGCGTGCTATCAGCCGGCCCAGGATCATGTAGACTGTTGCGGCGAAGAGGGCGGGCGCGACCAGGATGAAGACGGACTGGATGATGAACGGGAGGAGCTGGTCTGTCTTGTCGTGGGCTAGGGCGAAGCCTACGTATCCGATTGCCTCGACTGTTGGGGGAGATGTTTCGTCAGTGGCTGTTTTTACAATTGTTGAGAAAGACACGGAGGAATTCCGCAACTCACAGATACATCCTAAGATGAATGGGATGTAGAACCATTGGCGGAAACGGAACATGCGGTAGCTATGAGCGATGGCGGCGACTATGAAGAGAATAAGGAAGATGATGGCGCCGGGCAGAGACGGGACATAGTGCCAGAGGTAATAGGTGCCGCCCTTGTAGGGCAGGACGCCGTTTACTTTTTCCGCCATTGTGTCGGTTTGTGTGACACTGCCGCCGAGCCGTGAAAAGAATTTGCCGTCGGTTGTGAGTCTGCCCGTCCGTTCAGAGACAAATATGTTGCGTCCTTGAAAGCCTCTCAGCTAAATAGATCGAGTTGGCTGATATTGTCCAAGTAAGGACTGAGTTGTGGCGATCACAAGCGACTCGGAGCGCTTGTTAGTCAGGACTCCTTGAACCAACGTGATGAATGGATCGATGGCTCTTCGGTCCCAAGAAGGATTACCGGAGCGGGACCACCCATTCTTTATACCAGGAGACAACAGACCCTTCAGCACCATACCCGGGCAAGAATTTGCCGTCTTACACGTCGAGAACCTCCGGCGTGGGCTGGCCAGGCACGGGGGACGGGAGGCTTGGACCTGGGCGCGGGTGGGTCTCTGCAGCAGCGTTGGGGACGCGGAAGAGGGCTGGGCATGAATACGGGGACCCGTCCGGGCGGGATGCGCGTATACCATAGGGTCCGATTGGGCCGTATTGATGGCTCGCGATCCTGCTGCACTATCTGCTGCAGGGCCTGGCCAATGAGGTGTTATACAATACGCGCTCCCCTATACGGACCCACCCTGTCGGATTCGTACGGTCAGTCGGGTTCGTAGGGCTGGATGCGCTTTGAGGTGGCCGCAGAAAAGGAAATTTTCCTTTGTTCTGTCTCGTTATAGGGTGGGTACACCCCCGCTGAATGGTCCGAAATTAGAGCACGTATCTATCTTTCCATCTTTCTATAATGCAGCCAGCCAGTAGGCAGTCAGTCGGCCAGTCTGGCATGTCCAATTTCTGTTGGCCCAGCAGGATTCAAGAGAAAAGCATACGTACGCCGCAGCCACACCTTTCCTGACTTGACACTTGTTTTCAATTTAGTCTCCCGACTATGCCTCGCTGCGCCTCCTTCCCTCTCCTCCTCTCTCTCACCACAATTCTCGGCCGATAAGCATTGAACTACCCTCGGCGATACGAATGCCATGCCTCCGGTAACGATGCGGTGATGGTAACCGTGGGCGACACGCTTGAGGAGGGCTTTTTTCCGATGCAGAGGAATCGCAACAGGCCTGTTGATCTCATCTTTACCGTTTCGACATCTTGCCCGCCGACTCAAGGTCCTTAGTGAAGAGACATCTTGTGTCTCTTTGCTGTCTTGCACTGGTGCTCATTGCCTCGCCCGTTATCTACCCTGGCGTGACGGTTCGATAACCATTTCGCAGGGTGAGATTGCTATGACTCAAAGCCATGAGCGGTCAAAGACCGGCCGACCACAAGCGTTCCCCCGGCTGAGACGCAGTCTTGGTCGTGCGTACCCGAGCACGTGCGCTTCGGTTGCCTTGTTAGGTCAAAACATCGTGGCAGTCCTGGATCAAGAGGAGAAGTGGTCTCTGAAGCTCAGGCTTCACCTTGTGTCTCGCAGTCATTGATGGCAAGAGAGACAGACAATCAAGCCGACGGTCTGCGACAGGCGAGAAATGTCAACGAAAGGGGTCGTCGATGTTGCTGTGATGATGATCGCCGTACCCGGCCAGCTGTTGGAGATTCGACCCTGAATCAAAAGCAACAACATCCAGCCTTCAAGCCATGAGGCAGCCAGGAACAGGCCGGATCTGAGACCTGAGATCGGTCAAGATGCCCAGAGGAAAAGCTCCTGCCTTTTCAATCGTGCACGACATGCACACCGCCGACAAGCGAGCTGCTGACCACGGGCGGCTGCATGCGAGCGACGGCCTGTCCCAGGTGACGGCTCACCTGTGTGGTAGTCGCCACAACCCAATCGTTCCGAGACGATCCGCCCCGCTGGTATCTGTACGGCTCCGCCCTCGAGGACGTCGCATGCGGCACAGGGCGCAGTTGACGGGCGGTTGCGCGAGGGCAAAGTCACACGGCAGGCCAAGAGACGACACAGAAGAGGATACAGACGACACCGATGCCTAAAAAGGGGAAACCCACGAGAGGAGGCGTGCGACCTGTCAATATATGCCGCTGACCAGTCGCCCGCATATAGTCTACACTCGCTCACATACGCATGCCAATACGCACCACACATACAAACACACACGCCACAGCTGGCCGGGTATGTAGGTGTGTGGAGACGCGGAATTTGGTATGTTGTGCAGAAGGAATTACGGTGCTAAGGAGATTATGTACTAATGACAACTACTTACAGCACGTCCGCCTGTCGACAAGACCGAGGGGCCCAGACTATTGACTGACGCCCCCATGTCGCCCCCATCCCCGCCCATTCGTCCGCGGGCTGCCCCCCGGCAGGCTCCGGCCGCCTGTGCGATGGGCGCACTGCAGCCTCAAATCTTCAACGGCATCAGTGGGGTGCAGGGTGGGCGCGGCCTTACCGAGCCGACGGCTGCGTCGCAGTTCTTGATGGACGACGTCTGGGCCTGGTTTGCGGGGATCGGGTGTTTGTCCACCTCTGGGCGGCCCGGGTATGCGGTACTCGATGATGCACACATGGGGGATGCAACTGGGACAGCTGGGACGCACCAATTGGACGCCAATTGGACACCAATGGCACACCAATGGCACACCAGTGGCCCACCTCCTATGCCGAATGCGATGCTACTGTGCGGGCAGGGGCTTGATGGGGGCAGGAACTGGTGGTTTCTGTGTTGATGTTTGTGCTTCTGACTCGCATTTGGACGGATCTTGGACAAATGTGGTGGTCTATTGATACATCAGAAAGCATATATCTAGACTTCGCTCCTTGGGTCTGTTCTCGAAACGTCACGAAGAATGTTTATACTTCACCCCCTCTCACTCACTCACTTTGGCTCAACAAACTCCATCCCCTCATATTTCCCCAATATTTTTATCCCCCATCAAATTTATGCTATGTATTCTTACTATCGGCCCAGCAACATGAGTGCACCATCCAACTTCCACATCCCCACCATAGATATCGCCCCTTATCTTGAGGATGCCTCTACCGACGCCGCCAAGAAGGTTGTCGACGATGTGCGGAACGCATGCATGACGGCCGGCTTCTTCTCCCTGGTCGGGCATGGGATACCGCGGGAGATGCAGGACAACGTCTTAGACGCCGCAAAGAGGTTCTTCGACCTGCCTGTAGCGGAGAAGGAGGTACTGCGGCATCCTCTTATCAAGAACAGGGGCTACGAGGTCATAGGCTCTCAGACACTTCAAGAAGACACCCTGCCCGACCTGAAAGAGGTGAGAGCAAAGCATCCAACCTAGTGCGTGCGTGTGTCTGTCGTCAAGAGCATGTCCAAGAAAAGCAAGAGAAGAAAAGTGGAAAAGAAATGAAGAGCGGCGAGTCCACGAGCTGACGTGAGGACGGGGTTGCCAACCCGCAACAGGGCTTCTACATCGGCAAGGATCTCCCCATCGAGTCGGAGAAGGTGAAGGCGCACCCGGAGCTGCTGGGCCAGAACATGTTCCCGGCGTCGCTGCCCGATGGCGACTTTCGGCTGCCCACCGAGGCCTACTATGCCGCAGTGCTGGACCTGGCGATGCGCGTGCTCGAGATCCTGGCCAAGGGCCTGCCATACGGCGACGACATCTTCCACGAGTTCGTCTCAAACGACCCTGTCTGCATCATGCGTCTGCTACACTACCCGCCCCAGGCGACGCACGATAAGAGGCAGCTCGGCGCTGGGGCGCATACCGATTTTGGTGGGTGTCTCTCTTCCTTCTTCCCCCAACTGAGATGATGATGTATGTGGAGATGGATATATGGAAATGTACATACATACACACACACACACACACACACATATATATACACACACACTCTCACCCTCCGTCTTCCCCTGACTGACTCATCACCACCCACAACAGGCGCAATAACCCTCCTCCTCCAGGACACAGCCGGCGGGCTGCAGGTGCAAGACCCGCACACGCAGGCGTGGCACGAGGTGGCCCCCAATCGCGACGCCTACGTGGTCAACATCGGCGACATGCTGGCGCTGTGGACAAAGGGCATCTACCGCAGCGCGGTGCACCGGGTCATCAACACCAGCGGCGGCCACCGCTACTCGGTGCCCTTCTTCTTCGACGGCAACGCCGAGGCCCAGCTGCGGCCCTTCGACGGCAGCGAGCCCGTCGGCGGCCGCGTCGTCACCGTCGAGGAGCACATGCTGCAGCGCCTTAGCTCCTCGTACCGCAGCGGTGGCGTCGGCAGGGGTGCTGGGAGGGGTGTCGGGAGGACTGTCTCGGCTTCTGCGTAGAAGGTGGTGTTGTGGTGGTGGTGGCTTCTCTTCTTTGAAAAGGGGTTGGGTGGCTGTTTCCCTTTGCGGCTCGGAGAAGGCGGAAAAATGGACGAGCTGCCGGGCTTTTGAGAGCTCGTCAGAGTTTGTTCTGTTCCTGTTCTAATTTTTCTTTTTTCTGTCGACATATTGCGGTTGTTGCAAGAGCTGCCAAGCACACATTGTCTATTACCTAGCCACCACGAGGAAGCTCGCTCACATACTGTCGATAGTCCATCCCGAATAATAGCCCTCGAGCCCTCTTTGTCTGCATCGGAGTTCCTCCAAGAGACCGCATGGCGTCTACCGGACTGCAACCGGCTGAATTGAACTGCTGCGCGCCAACCGCCGAGTGATTCGGGTTGTGGACGAAAACTCCCGTGCGGAAACCTGTCAGGATGTCTTGTCTCGTACTACCAGACACAGTTCTTGGCCTGGCTGTATCCCGTATCACCAGATCTTCCTCCCAACGTCATTTTCGTTGGCTCGCTCGTCCGCGCCCACCCGGGGCGTCCGCGAGCCGGGTAGCTGGGGGGGCTTGATGGCTGGCGTAACCTAAACTTTTCACAGCTCGTCCGACGCAGGCGCCCGAAAAACCACAGCATTTTGTTGAGCCACCAACACGCCTTTGGGGGCCCTGCTTACCTGCCTACTTATTCTCCACACCGCACTAGCCGCAATCTCTGCTGTGGCTCCCCTGCTGTGCGCCTCTTTTCGTGCACTTCTCACCTTGCTGCTGGTAGCCGGGCAGTCGCAACGGGCCGGAGAGTTCGATTTGGCGGCGGGACCCGGGGCCATCAGAGGCTTGTATCTGGTGGAACAGATCGCAGGGGTACGTCGTACTTGGGTGTTTGCTGTCTGGGATGCTCGGTGCCCGACTATTGCCTGCTGTGGCCTGTTTTGAAGTTGCTTCTGTGATTATCTTGACGTATCTACTTACGTATGGCGGCAGCCATGGGGGTATTCCAGGCCTCTTTTGTTCAGTCCGGCTCAGTCTTGGTGTCATCCCTATCACGCCGCAGTATAAAATATTATCCAAGAAGATCGATATTAACATCGCCCACAGGAAGTCTCCGCACTTGCATCAGAGACATCCGAGAGCGCCTCTCTCATAGCGCGTATCTCCATTCCGACGAGTTCTCCAAGCCCACAATCTCTGCCCCAGCGGCCGTCTCCAGGTGCTTCTTACTGGTTCCCTCGGCACCGCCCACGTCCTTCTCAGACCCTCCCGCTGCCTCCCGCGCAGCCTTGTCCCACCGGTCGTTCTGCACTTTGAAGTATGTCCTCAAGCCAAAGGACAGCACCGCGTTGAAGGCCATGAAGGCGGCGCAGACGGCCATGCCTTTGGTATAGTAGGGCCCCTCGACCTTGGGGAAGACGCGGGTGCCGAGAAGCGGACCGCACTGGCCGATGATGTTCATGACGGCAATGCCGACGCCGCGGCGCGTGTCGCTACGCTGGTTGTTAAGCAGCCAGGACAGGATATTGGCGATGGCGGGGAACACTCCCGCGGCGGCCAGGAAGACGCCAGCGTACCGCACGCCAACAGAATGCGACGCGGCCAGCATCACGTATCCCGCGCACCCGACCAGCGACAGCAAGCCGATCATGATCCCGCGCTGCTGCGTGCGGTCGCCGACGTACGTCGACCCAATGCACACCAAGAAGGCCAGGAAGTACGGCGGCGCCGTCAGGCCCTGCGCGTTGACGCTGGTGAAGCCCATGCCCGTCAGGATGGCCGGCAGGAAGACGGGCAGCGACGCGAAGGCCACGTTGCAGCTGAAGTACATGAGCGCCTGCACCCACGCCTGCGGCGTCTTGAGCGTCTCGATGATGTCGCGCGGGTTGATGCTGCCGACCTTGTGGCCCTGGGCGGTGCCGGTCTCGTGGCCCGAGTAGCTGAGGGCGCGGGTGGCCGCGATGGCTTTCTCCTCCTCGGTGAGGAACTTGGCGCTGGCCGCCGAGTCGGGCAGGAAGCGGAAGACGACGAAGGAGAGGATGATGGGCGGGATGGCCTCGATGATGAAGAGCAGCCGCCAGCTGGCGATGCTGTAGTGGCTCGAGGTGATGCCGTATGCAAGGGCGCCGGCAAACGTCGTCGCCAGGGGCGCGGCGGAGAGGAAAAGACCGCAACGGAATCCTAGCTCTCTCCTGGTGTAGAAGAAGGAGAAAAGGTAGGGCATACCAGGACCGAAGCCTGCCTCTGCCGTGGCTAGGAAGAAGCGGCACGCCATCAGGCCTTGCCAGTTGAAGGCGGCGGCCTGGAGCATGGACGCCACGCCCCAGACGAAGACGGTTGCGAACGCCCATATGTGCGGCGGCAGGATCTTCCACATCAGCGCGAGCCACTCAAAGACGATGTAGGGAATATAGAATATTGTGAGAAGCCACTATCAAGTATGGTCAGTAAATGGTGAACTTTGCCACTTGGCCTCATCTTGCAAGCTTGTTGGGTGAATGGATGGCTGACCTGATACTGGTCGTTGTCAAAACCGAGGTCCTCACTCATGCCGGCGGTCTCAGCGTTTCCAATATTTGAGCGGTCGAGAAAGGCGGACATGTAGCACAAGAAGGCAAGCAGGACCAGTCTGCGGTCGAGCTTACGGACGAGGCGCTTCTCAGAAGCCGCATCGATCTCGACGCCTTGGTCTAGCAAGCTGCTGTCTCGCGAGACGGTCGACTTGTGGTCCTGTGCCGACGGCCCCTCAGCCGAGGTAATGTCGCCAGCCATTGTGAGATGACGATGGCAATGAAGATGGCGAAATGGTGAAGACCTCGTTCGTAAGGCTGCGGTACTGTTGAATATCGACAAACGCGCCTCTCGATTTGGTGACCTCAGGACATGTAGGGACGAAGTCAATCTCATAGGGCTGCACAAGAGAGTAGCATCTGGGTTTGAAAATTATTATAAATTTCGGGAAGCGGGGGAACATTATCAGGGGTGAAATATGACGCAGCATGCGCTCCCGACGGGATGAATGTCCAGGGGGTAAAGTAGGGGGGTCCAGTATTTGCAGCGGCCGCTTGAGGACCAGCTTACAGTTCGGCCTACAGTTCGGCCAATGCCAAGGAAGCTTAAGTGCTGACGAAAAGCTTGTTGGGGGCTCTGCCGCTGGATCGAGGAGGGCCAAGAGAAGCCACATTTGCGGGGGGCGGGAGAGGATCCAGTCTACCGAAGTGCCGTGTAAGCCGTAAATTAGTCTACTCCCCGCATCGCTCTCGGCGCCATCGCGGGGGAAACAGTGGGATGTGGGACACTCCGGAGAGAACCCCACCGACAATCCTTACGCCCGAGCAGGTCTGTGTGAGTGAGTCCAATACAGCGAGTTTACACAGTTGCATTTTACCGCACTTGACAAGCTGACACGCGTAGCAGTCTCGGAACATGGCCGAGCAAGCAACGTCAGCCCTGTGCCGGTACGTGGCAAAACCTTTCTCTTCCCTACTTCCAAGCGCCCGTCGCCTATCTTGCATATCCATGAATGCATGTTGCGCCCCTTTTTGCTCGGAGCGAAAGCGAAGCACGCCTTGTTCCGCCAACCTTGCAATTTCCTCCACAAGAGCTACTACGGTTCTTGAAGAGCATCTGGCCCACCAAAGTGTCCAGTTTCACAACTGCCAGTGGCTGAATATCAACTTGACGCTGTCGAGTAGCGCCTGGCGGTCCGCGACGAGTATGAAGCACGGCGCCGCGCTGTCTTTATAGTAGTTGAAGTTTCAGCACGCATTGACAGATCAGCCATGGCCATTGCCTCTATATACGAGGTCGCTCGGACTGTAGCCGCGCTTGTCAAGCTGTCCATTGCGCATGGATCCGGCAAAGATGCAGCGAAACATAGATGGAACTGTGAGAACGATGGGCTTCGCTCTCTTTCGAAGACTGAACACTAGCCTTATTCGAGATTGGAAGACATGAATTCTGGCATGTTCTGATAATAGAAGTTTAAAAGTAGATTCTTCGGAGAATCTTCGGCAGCACAACACGACGTTGCGGCAACGACCGCATGTGTAGCGAGGTCAGCGAACATTGTGCGACTGGAACACACCTGTGTAGAGTATTTCTCGCCGAAGCCAGTTCCCAAACCCAGTATTGAGCAAGACTGATTGTCAATCGGAAACCCGGCAGCTGCGCATCCAGCCGAATGTTGCTTGCAAGATCAGTGACAACATTGTGTCCGATAATGGCAGTATCATTGATGATGGTGCCACCTGTGACGTGGCTTCACACTATCAGATCGTTTTTGTGTCGCAATGTCCCGGAACTTGCCTTGTCGCAATGATGTGTATGTGCCATTGATTACTTTGATGTTATTCTGAATGGTCAATAAATATCCGATGCAACTTGACTAAGGTCATGCACCCCTTGTAAGGCCTAGATAGAGATTGGCAAAGATACAGGGGCAGAACAGCTAGTCATGGTTCGTCTCTTCCAGAATGGAATATTCATGTGTGACCCGCCTCACCGTAACTATCTATCGTCGCTGTACCAATGCGTCCATTTTGTTGAGATAAGTACCCACTAAACGCAAAGCTTCTTGTGTTTAAACGAGAAATACAGCGGCCGCCGCCGCTAACCCAAAGGCAGCCATGGGATTACTGGTCTCTCTCGCCATGACATTGACCTGTACGGGGGCACTGTCCGTAGCAGTCCCAGTAGGAGTCTCTCCGCTTGATTTGGTGGGAATACCGGTCATTACAGCGGTTCCCGTTTCCATCGAGGCGCTCATTCTACCCCTAGACGAACTCGTTGCGGTCGGCATATGCATTGTGCTCTTGGCGATGCCGGTGGGGGAGGTGCTTGCGACTGTGCCAGCGGGGCCAGAGCATAGACCAGTGCTGGAAGGAACAGCATCAACGCCAGATCCAATCGGGATGATATGTTCGTCGCAGTCCTCGGCCTGTGCTAGGTGTAGGTTCTTGTTGTCCTGATCGTAGACCACATAAGCTGCGCGCAGGAAGGAATCGCCCAAAACCGGTTCATCTGTTGTTGTTTAGTTAAGAACTGCTCGAGGTAAAGGGGCATTGAAGATCGGAAAAGACCTCCAGGTAGGCCGACAAGTCCATGGTCAATGACGAGTCCATGGAGTAAAAACAAGACAACGCATGTGAAATCGGAAACTCTTTGGGACAGTTTTCAGAAAACTTTGTCAGGACATGGCTTACCATTATCAATCGCCATTCCTAAAATGCATGGTGGATTTGTCGAGGTGTGCCAGATGAAGTCTTTGTACAATATACTTATTATTTTTCCGTTCTCATCTTCACCGAAGCCAAAGTCTACGCTACCCTTCTGGTTCGCTGCATCGCAGTCGACAGCGTAGTAGCCACTACTCTTATTGTAAACCGCCCCTGGAAAGGCATCCCCGATCCCGAAGAAGGTCTCGTTGGGGAAGCGCGAGAGGGTGCCACCGCTGTCCAGGAACACAGGTAGATCGCCCGACAGCAGCAGCCCGCTGGTGCCGTTGGGAAAAGTGAGGCCGACAGAAGTCAGATTGATCCAGTAGCGGTCGTAACCAGAGGGCGAATCGGCTGGGTCTATGATTGGAAGCTTGGCTAGTGAGCCGGTGTACTTGCCCGTGTCAACGCCACCGAAGATAAGTGAGCCGTTGGGAGAATCGACACTTCTGAGATCGAGGCTGAAAGCCCTGCTGGAAATCAAGCCTTGTGAGACCATGCTGTCCAAGACTAAAGAATATTGGATGCTGTCCGCGGTGAGAATAGGTGACAACCCCAGTATCCCAAGCGGAATAGAATAAGACTGGAAGTTGATTCCGAAGACCTGATCGGTGATTGTGGCAGCTATAAATAGTTACATGGAGTCAGCTCGCTGTCGCTAGAACTCGGTGGCTTAAGAACTCACATCCGATCCTAACATTGTCCCCAACATACTCGACTGATGCATTACCCTTGCCATAGCTCAAGAGCTGACCGAAAGTCGTGTCCGCGATACTGCTGCTATCATTATAATTGAATTGCGGAAACATCTCGCAATATTTCGGTTGTCCGGATGTCTCGCAAGTTGGGTTCATCCACAGATTCGATGACCCGGTATCGACGAGAACCGTGACTGTCTGAGGTGGTGTTCCCACTTCGATGTCGATCGTGTATGCCGTTCCATACAGTTGATTCGAAATGTCCTCTGTGCTCACTCTCCTGAGAAGCTTCAGGATTTCAGTATGGGTTGCGTCATCTTGGTACGCGGTCACAGTACTTTTCAGAAAGCTGCCGGCCTGTGCTGCAGCAGGATTTGAATACGCTGCGAGCAGGATGCCAATGGTGAGTATTGAGCTAGCCATGATACGTGATTGATAAATCGTAGGTCGAGAGTCAAAAGATCGGTATTTTCGGTGGGTGCAAGAGGCGACTTGGAAACAGAACAAGGTGCGATTTATACTCTTTTCCCTCGGGGGCTGATCATGAGCTTTGCGGGCTACGCCATGGGCACCTGCGTGTAGCGGAAGCTTCTACATTTCCAGTTATTTACCTTACTCACCTTCTTACCTTTCGACCTACCTGCCTACCTTACCTAGCTAGCTAATCCCTGAAGAGAGGTCATCTTGTGCCAAGGAGCCGCCGTCGGGAAGCGCTATTCCTTTTAACAGTTAGCGACAAGGACGGCAGGTTGACGCTCAGATGTGTAGGCTCATGTTTCCTTTGATTGTGTCGGCTCACATTTCTTCAGAAGCCGATGCACATAACCTCGGAAATTCAGATAGTGTTATTGCCGACAAATGCTGTCCGTGTTTTCTTTCATGCCTACATCTATATTCACCTCTTGCGCTGAGCTGCCCTGAATCTGGAATAGGCCTGAGTTCAGAACTCGACCGTGCTAAAGTGAGGGGGGCGTGAGTCTAAAGTGAGCTTTACTGAGTATGGATCGGCTCGAGTTATACTTGCCCAGCAGGCATCACAGCGAGCATGCCCGGCATCGAAATGTGCCAGCAGCCCGGATCCTAGGTCAGCTAGTATTCGAAATCCTTGTTCGAATATCCCTTCCAACCGTATACATAGCTTACGCCTCAATCACGGGTCGTAACACCAGTCTATAGTACCAATATAAGAGCTTAGAACTACGTGTAGGATAATTCACTATTGTGAACGCATATACATCTGAAAAATCATTTTGAGGATAATATCATCCCCCCCAGAGTAACATAGATCGCTACCAAGGAAAGATAAATATCAAGAGAAATTAGCCTAGCATATTTGTATTGTAACGGTCCGAGCAAGTATCAATTGCAACAAGTTGGATGACTATATGAGTAGCCGTCCCTAAATTTCCTCAGCGCGTGTTTCAACCGGGTCGGTCAGCAGTTCAGTTTTATTCACATACGCCGCCCGCTCACGCTCCCGATGTCAGTGAAGCTCACTTTCTGAATAAAATCCATCACTGATCTGACCCAAAACACTTAAACATGGGCCTATTTTTACTCGAGATCCTTTGGCTTTACCAAAATGCTGCCATAAGCCAGGATCCTCGTCACCGCTACCAGAAGAATGGTAACGGCCGGCCTCTGAGCCAGCAATCGATTGACTACAAGATTCTGGTAGATTGCGAGCACGATCTGCCACCCCAACTGACTGAATTGAATTGCTACATTTAGCTCGCGTATGGTTTGCTGGTTAACCCTTCGCCCATTGACCTCCCTACTCCTCCTTCCCCTCGACAGCTCCCCCATCTCTTCTCCCCAGCAACATGTTGTAAGCCCGAGCTCTGACGCTGAGGTGAAATGTAGCTGAAGATGGTCTTATCTCGACATCCATTCGCTCTCCTTCTCAGTATTGTACCCTTCCAGAAATTCGTATTTCTCGTACCATTCTTCTACCGAGAGTCGAGACCCGTGAGAGGCGAAGAAGGCATTGAGTGTCTTGTTTAACGCTGAAATAGAGAAGAGATTATTTATTAACCACTTCAACTAAAAATACAGATCTTAGAAAACTTACCTGATAATGTCATTCCCTCATGAGCCATCAAATGAAACACTTCAATCTTCTCGTTTGCGAGGAACAGGTCCAAAGGAATTGGTGTTCCTTGGTGGATACGTTAGTCTCCAAATACCATCAAGCTCAAAAGCCCACTGGTTTTACTTGTTATGTACCTTTGGGGATAGTAAAGAGATACGGCATTGCTATCTTCTCATTCGTTTCTTTATTGGTCTCATACCAATCCAAGTAACTAGTAATGATTTGCTGCATAAGAAGCGTATTCGGAAGCATATACAGGCCATTCCAAATTCGCGGGGCAGCAGGCCTGGGATAGACTAGTCCGTCGCTATGGACGACCACCGCATCTTGGTGAAGGCGATATAGCTCCTCAGAACTTTGGGTAGCCTCCTTCCCATCATTTTGGTCGTACACGAGAAGGCTCGGCCCGCGTGGGCTGTAATAGTGAAGTGTACAGGGAAAGGATTTAGTGTGGACGTCTTTGGCATGGAAGGCTGTTGCGTACGAAGGTGTAGCAGAGCCTGCCTTCGCGGTAACGTGGAGATGGCGGGCGCGGCTGAGGGACGGTATTGGTGGGCCTCGGGAGAATTCCATGGCCCTCGGAAGGGACCGGAAGGGGAATGGGGACTTGGCAATTGGCATAGTGGCTGAATGTTGGAAAGAATGGGCTGCGAGGACATACGAGAGAGTCACGAAAGCCGAACTGATGGGAGTGGGGATGGATGGAGGTTTCGGCCCCGAACGGGGATCCTCGGTTCGGCACGGGTCAAGTGATGTACAAACACATTGTTGCCGACCCGGGGACACCTGGTTACCATGATAGTGTCATTATCTAATTACGAGTCCTATCATGGCTCCACGAATTTTGCAAGCCTTTTTGTAGTGACGACCAGAACAGACAGGCCGATGTCAACACACCTTCGTAGTGCGGACGTTTCCTAAAAAGCTCTTTCAGTTACATCAGACAATGGCTTGTACTTTTAGCGACTCGAGACGACTTTTCCAGGATCTCGCTTCTTCAAGAGACGTTGAAGGGTTTCAATTCAGCGAGAAACTTGGAGATTATGTTGTTTCTCGATACGATGACATCGTCTCAGTCCTCGAGAGACCCGAATTATTCAGTTCTCGGCCCACAGTGCCAGAGTTCCCACCAATGGTCCGGGACCTATTCGCCCACAAAGTTCCCGACAAGGGCACACTCCTGGCTCACGACAACCCCGACCATGATCGACTGAGGAGAAGCGTCGCATCGTTCTTTGTGCCACGGAGGCTGGAGCGTTTCGAGCCAATGCTTCGTGCTGCTGCCCATGACATGGTCGACAAGTTTGTCGATCATGGATCAGTCGAAATAAAAAGCCAATTTGCATTGCCTGTACCTTTGAGATGCGTCGTGGCAGTTGCAGGACTTGATCCGGCTAAATGGGAGTGGATTGGACTTTGTCTTTCGCTTTTCGGTGGCATCACGAAGTCCGAAGAAAGGCTCAGCATTCATCAAAGGGCTGAAAACGTTTTAGATTTACATTCATACATCGCTACAGTCATCGAAGATCGGCGAAACGACCGGAAAGACGATCTCATAAGCCATATCTGGAACGAAAGAGATGCCGGCGTCGTAGCAATGACGGACTTCGAACATCTTAGCATGATCCCAGGCCTCCTTCTCGCTGGCCATGAGACCACGACCAATGTACTGTCTATGGGTCTGGCACATCTGCTTCATCACAAATTGTGGGAACGGATTTCAGAGAGTGATGAGACTAGATCAGCCGCCATTGAAGAACTCCTTCGCTATGAGTCAGCCATAACAGGTATGTGGCGCGTGGTCACAATGGAGACGAGGCTCCAAGAAACGGTATTTCAAACAGGGGACAAGCTTTTTGTGGCATACAACTCAGGGAGTCGCGACAGCACCAAGTTCGAACACCCAGACGTCATTGACGTCGACAGACTTCCCAAGGCACGGCATCTAGGTTTCGGGCGTGGTGTTCATGCCTGCTTAGGAGCCCCTCTTGCACGTCTCCTTCTAATAACTGAGCTATCTGTTCTTAAAGAGCGTCTACCCAATCTGAGGCTAAAGACACCATACGAGACGCTCAAGTACAACGAGGGTCCCGAAAGGCGTGGGCCAGAGGCAGTCAGGGTCTCCTGGGATCCTCCGTCTCATCAAGATATAACCCGTCGTGTTCAAACCAACTCAGCTAACGCGCCCGCTGGCAGGCCACAGGATCTGGATATGGTTGTTAGTGATGCGGTTGAGGTCGCATCCGGCGTGATACAGATAACATTACAATCTGTCGATGGCTCTGAGGTGCCGCGATGGACACCTGGGGCTCACATAGACGTCAAAGCGGGCCCATTTGGCTTTCGTCAGTATTCTATCTGTTCGAACCCGGATGATCGCTATTGTCTGAAAATTGCTGTTCTTAAGGAGAACAACACCGGGGCTGCTCACTACATCCATACCAACGTGCAGCAGAACTCGAAGATGATTATTCGCGGACCGAGGAATAACTTTGCCTTCGAGCCAGGCTCACAAAGAACCATCTTTATAGCCGGTGGAACCGGTATCACACCCATTAAGCCAATGGCGGCGGAAGCAAAAGCCAAAGGAAGAGATTACACACTCATCTATCTCGGTCGCCAACGAGATGCCCTAGCCTTTATCGGAGAATTGACCAAAGAGCACGCAAACCGTTGCATCATATGGGTTACCAATGACCATTGTGGAAAACGCTTCGATGTCGGCGTTTATATCCGGTCTCTTGAAAGGACTGGTCTGCGAGTCTACTGTTGTGGCTCCGAGGACCTGCTTGCGGATGTGGAAGGAAACTTAGAAGACGCACCACTGGGTGTCTTAGGACTAGAACGCTTTGCCATCCCTTCAGCTTCCAGCACAGCTGTGAACACTGCTTTCGATGTTGTCCTTGGCCGAAGCGGCAAGGCTTTGCAAGTGCCCGAGGATAGGTCTATCCTAGATGTGATCAACGAGGCTGGGGCTGGAGTTATGTCTACCTGGAACAAGGGTTTGTGTGGCACCTGCGAGGTCAGGGTGTTGAGTGGGCTGCCTGAGCACAGAGACGCGTTTCTCACAGCTGCGGAAAGGGCTGAAGGCAACACCATCATGACTTGGGTATCGAGATGCCGCGGGAGTAAACTTGTCCTGGATCTCTGGTAATATTCACATTGAAAGGCACTGCATTAGGTATCAGGCAAACACTATAATTAACTACAAAATACTTGAAGAGAATCTCTGGACAGGTTGCAAACTTGTGGACGCTTGAATATTTGCGCTAGCGATAAGGAGCTATGGTTACAGAGCAGTGTCTGTACAAAATTCGGGCACCTATTCAAATTGCATGCAAAAACTCATGCTAGTTGGTGCAACGGATGTCTTGTAACGCAATTAACTGATGACCACGAGCAGTAGCGAGCTGATAAGACTGCGATGGCAAGTGATTGGCACGCGTTGCCAAAGCTGAAAATTAGGAAATTCAGCCGCAGAATTTTCTTAACCGTCTATCTTGAAGACCGTTGAAGGCTAAGCCCAGTGTGGGTGCACAAGGATTGCCACGTAATGTCATTGGGTGCCACAGCTCAGCACTAGCAACGCTCCTCGCCGATTCCAATATCAAGATAACCACGCATTTCTATATTTAGGTATGTCAGGTTAGGGCAAAAGACGTATTCACTGGTGTGTATGCAGGTTTAAGGTGGGTTGGATTTCGCAATCGAGGCACCGCGGGCCTTTGGGGGCGGTTGGCGGCAGGTATACATTTGCGTCTGAACCCTATTCTGACAGACTGGACTCATCTGTCTGCTCCGTTGAAGCATTGCATCCCGGTAGACGAGAGCCTATTTTGCGCATGAATACATCCCCTGATTTAAATCCAGGACTCTTTATCTGCGATATCCTCTCACTTTTAATGAAGTCAACCATGAGGCAATGGCCGATTCACATTCCAACTCATCAGCAGTCGAGCTGTTGATATATTATGATGACTCCGATGTTGAGACTTCGGACACGATATCCAATATAAGGAATCTTTTCTTCGGGGTGTCGGTCTTCGAAGTCCGAGCGGGGGTGGTCCTGGGTGACGTCGAATTCCACAGCTCATCTTACGATTCACAAGCCACGCTTACATTGTCCAACTGTGCGCTCACACCCTCTGAATATCTCAGAGGCAACGAGGGCGACTGCGCGACCATCTGTTCCGACCCAACCACGTCGATGTTGCCATGGAATATGCAGACATGTTACTCGCTGGGCGTAGCTGCAATGTTAGTACAGAACGGGAGTCTCACGGTCAACTCGTCAGGATCAGACAATTCTCAAGAGCAGTTTCGGTATGGGAATTTTTCTGATTGGGACGGCACCAAGATCATCTCTGATTTTGTCCATTGCATCACGTCATCGTGCACGACATCCAATATTTCGCCTTGCAAGAACAGAACGTTGGCAATGGAGGATTACAGCGTCACCGCCGGTAACCTGGACATGATACAGTCAGGGATGAGCGCATTTTGTTCGTACGGGGTCGAGATCAACGCTGATATCGCTGGACCCGGCGTAATGACCTCCTACCTCCTGCAGATCTGCGCAGTCATCTTCTTCTGGGTCCTCTTCATTGCGCTCACTAAATTGGCCTGGATTTTGATCTGGCCAATCTTTTTCCGTCTGAAGACAGGGGATGCAGAGCACTCCCAAATCGATCCATTAATCACCGTACCATCAAGCGCGAGGCTGATCGGCCCCCGCATACAGGAAGCCTGGGCACGAGCTTCAGACATACAGGGGCGCCTGTCCAGAGGGCGCCTTTACCAGGCGACGTTCAAGATCCTCAAAGAGTTCCAAGAAGTCCAGATCTTTTTCATTGGAGCGATTCAGATAGCCACCTTGGCCACCTTCAAGCCGAAAAGCTCGGACTCGTCAGATGCCAACTCGGCCAAGAGCTTCGGGGCGGCGGTGATGGACAGCCAGCTCGTGCAGATCCTGGCGGTCAACAGCATCATACCGCTGCTGCTTTTGCAGAGTATGATCCAGCGAGGTACAAGGGAAGAGCTAGTCAAGCAGCACAGGAGGTACCAGCGGTCGCCCCTTGCCTGGTATACCTTCTTCCTCGTCTGGATCACGGTCATTTTATCCACCGTCGTACACGCGAGGAGAAACGAGCTCATTGCTCACTACGAGGACCTATTCAATAGATTCAAGAAAAATACTGCCGTGGATGCATGTGGGTCTAATCCAAACCCCATGGTGTACTGCAACGTGGACAACGACCTTGTCACTCGCTTCAACGCGGGCATCGACATCATCTATACCTCAATTTCGCTCTTGACCATCGACTTCTTGGCATTTCAGGTCCCGAACTGGCAGCAATGGCATGTCTTGCAGAAAATGAAGGGCGCGATGAACCCGACCCAAGCCCAAGTGTTTGAGCAATTCAGAACAAACTACTGGCCCTTGTTCACCAAAGCCATCTGGTTCCTGCTAGAGTCCGCTCTCCTTGCCAGTTCGGCCCTCTATCTCTCCGATATGCTCACCATCACCCACTTGATGAACGGTGGCGAAAACTCCTGGGGTGCCGCAAATTCATGGGGGTCATGGTCCTTTGGGCAGCTCATCGCTGTCATGGTGTGGGTGCCGACTCTTTTCAAGCTCATTTTCTACCTGAAGTTGTAAGTTTCACCCATCTTCTATTCAAACTGCTCAAATACAGGAAATCAATCCCGGGAATTAACCAAGACTTGATGATAGCGGAGTCGAAGAGGATGACAGGAGCGACGTTGGTAGTGCCGAGCACACAGCTATTGAGTTCGACCCGCTACAGGGGCCCGTCACAAGTGGTTGGACAGCTGATAAGCCGGGATTTTCGATGAGCAGTCAAGTCGCTCTTCTAAAGCGTACCCCAGATTCAAGGGGGTATTGACTCGATGGAATGGCGTCCTTTTAACATCCCTATTCGCCCCAGCCTCACTGCTGCTGCTGTAGCCGGTACTGCTCCAGCAGGTGCTGCGAGCCCTGCTCCAAAATCCAGCTGGCCCCAGCCCCGACTGCCCAAATGAGCCAGCTCGGGTACTGCTGCTGTCCTTGCTGATTTCTCAGATGTGGGGTATCGATTCCGAAACTGCTGTATGGCCATGGACCGGCACTAGTAGTGTCAGCATCGGCTGCCAGGGCAGTGTTAGCAGCATTATGAACTGCATTTCTTGTGCGTTCTCTGAGCTGGCCATAGGGGGCTCGCTCGCGGGAATCTTCAACAGCAAGAAGAGCGGCGCTCTCGACTGCAGTAACAGCAGCAACAAAGGCAGCATAAGAGCGCGAGGTGGAGGCAGCAACAGCGATGGCTTTGGCAGTACGGGCGGCGACCATTCTGCGATCCTTCTCGTCGAGGGCACGGAGATACCCGTTGATAGCAGTCGAAGCGGCAGCCTCAGCTGCTTCAATGGGCGCCGTGCTGTGTGGGGGAGGTCCCACGATGTCTGAGCCCGCGCGAGGTGGGTTCCGGGTACGAAGAGTTTCGAGGGGCACATTCTCGTCTGTAGCTATTGAAGGCTGAGGAGTGCCGTCACGAAGGTCCAATGTGGCATAGGGGGGTGGTGAAGTGTCTTTCTGAGAAGTAGGATTTTTCTGTTGGTCTGGATCTCCAGGCATTGTTTCTCGAGGCCGTGTCTCGCTCTTTGATGCCAGTTTGCGGCGCAGCCAAGCACGGACACGAATTGCCATTGTGTGGGCCTGAGACTTTGAATGTTCGGGATGACCTTTGTCGGTGGTGTAGAACGGTCACAGCTAATGTGTGGGTGTTGGGAAGGGAGAAGGCAAGAATAGGATTCAGTGACGAGAGAAATCAGATGGTCTGGAGATGTGATTACGGGGAGCGTTGTTTGTTTGGTAGGCGGGTGTTGAGGCTTTCGGAAGGCGTTGGTACTCGGTCGGTGGCGTGCGTGTGGGGTGTTGTTGACGAGGAGAATGGAAATGGAACGACTGGAGATGAGTTTCTATGGCGAAGATTGCTTGCTTGCAGCAAGGGATTCAGGTATCTGGTGGCAGCGACCGGCATCTGATGGCGCCAGGCGTCAAGGTTCTCGCCTTCTTCTTTTCTGTCACTGTCAAGGCTTTTGACTCTTGGAGGAACGCTTTCCTCACCACTATCTGGCACTAAGCACGCGGTCTGTTGACGGCTCCTTCGGTCATCAGGCGGCGGCTGCGCCAAACCTCCTGCCTGCCACGTGCCTGCCTAACCACCGTTGATCGACTGTCAAAGTCCCAGCCGAAGAAGGACAGCTCTTGGCCGAGCCCACGCTTGCGCTCTTTCCGTGGAAACAAGCTTGTACTGGATCTCTGGTAACGTTTTGATTAATATCAGGATTTCAGGTGTCAATGGAACAATAAAACTCACCACGAAAGAACTTGAGAGAACCTTTGGAAGGGATGTAACCTCGTCGACGTCTGTACATGTGCGTCTGCGATTTGGCTTACCCACGCAGAGCGTCTCTTACGAAAGCATACAGACTATCATATGGCTTCCATATACATCTGGCCACGGAGTCTTTTGTGTATAATTTTGTCAAGGAGATCGATCAATAGGATCCGGTGTACTAAGCTAATGAAATCATCCGGGTACACGTTCCTGGCCACTTCAAGCCGCTTAAGTCAAAGAGTCACTAGGGCCTATAGAGGGGACCGAGAGCCGTTGGACCTGATCATCTTTGTTGGCGAGAAGCGTGTTGCCGTCAACGTGAGTATTGAGGTCTTTCAGATCCGCGTTGAGGTTCTCAAGGTGCTTGACGGGACTGCCAGTTTTGGTATCTGCGGATGTCGACGACGTTGCAGCCATATCAATGTTTGAAAAATCATTGGTATTCTTCAATGATGTGATGAGGATCTCTGTTTCAAGTGAGTCCAACAATATAGGACTCGGAAGATCGCAAAATCTGAGCTGCGAATTCGTTACGACAGCGATCAACCGTGGTAAATCCAGAACAATAGATGGCGTTGAATCTTCGCTTAATATACAGCGCAAGCCGAGGATGTAGGATAACATCACTTATGTGTAGGGCAATACAAAGCAGGTCTTCTTTCAATTGGACAGTCGCTTTTATCAGTTTTCGTGGTAAAGTGATGCACTCTGGTGGGGCCAATTGAAATCTACCCCGTACTGCAATTAACATTTCGGTTCGGCTCGTTATATAAATACAGATTGACAAATTTACATTGGTGACATAGGAACAAGACTTCCTCCACATTTAACATTCCCCCCATGGTCGAATGTATGTTTAGGAAAATCGTATAGTCAATTCTATACAATAATACACAACTTACGCATGGCGCCGAGTCTGAATGCGAGCGCAGCAGCGTGAATACGCCCCTTCTCGGCCGGGTCCGTGGGCTTGATTACCAGCATTTCCTGCTCGATGAGATCCAGAAACTCGTGCAAGTACTTTGTGCAGGCTGGAAGGCCGTGTAACCTCTTAATGAACTGGATTATACAGGTTATTTTCCAATGATCGAATTAAGTACTCCTGCGAAAATATTGGATCGAGGCTGAAAGAGACAGATCGACTTACGTTTGTGACCGTTGGCTTGACCACCACTTTCCACGTGCCATCTTCACTGATACTCTTCACCTTGAAGAAGGTGCTTTCCGTGGCCCCGGGGTAACGAGGACCCGTCCTCTCGGCGATACGTAACTGTTCAAATTCTTGGACCAGCTTCCACCCTCCGAGAAGCCAAACAATCATTTCCAGAAATACACACCCAAGAGCCCAGATATCGTGAGATTGGCCAACTTTCCCGTTCTCGATGTCGTACTCTGGCGGTCGGTAGGTTGCGGTCATCGAAATTTTACTGGATGATCTGTATATGTTGGCAATGCTGGTTTTGAACTCGGCCAAACCTAGATCCGTTATCTTCAGGATTGGTCTTCCGAGTTCACTTCTCGCGCTATCAAACCACAGAATGTTCTGCGGCTTGATGTCTCCATGGCGCCCGAAAAGCCTCAGCGATCCATTTTGAGATCTGCAGCTAATGTGCTCTTTTGGAGCGAATGGGTGATCATCTGAGCTCCTGAAATATGCGGTCTCGTGTTGGTGTATTTTGTAAAGGCCTCTAGCAATGCCATAGCATTGCTCAGCCATCCAGCTGATTGTGTCTTGATTCAAGGTTGGTTCGGGGTTGATGTCTCTCCAATAGGACCGAAGATCAGCACGAGCCCAAGGGAAAATCAAGTAGTATTCGTTCCCTTGTTGATATGTGGCTAAAAGAGAGATCAGATGTTTATGAGAATCACCACTAAAGGTGACAAGCATGTCTACCTCTTGTTTGAAACGGTCCTTGTCCCGTGAGGACAGGTGTTTTACAGCAAAGCTGGTGCAAGCACTGCTGGTCCCCTATATTTAGATGTGAGTCAGATGATGCTGTACTGGGGAATGTTCAAGAAAGACTTGATTAGCGGCTTACTCACCACGGGTGTATTGAAATTGTGGTGATCCGGGTGAATTTCGACCTTGAAAACGGTACTGTGACCACCTTGCGAGATCCCGTCGTCTAAATCGAGACGGCTGTCCCTTGTGAAGGGCAGTGGGTGTTTGTGGCTCAGAACCACATGTTTGACATCTCTGCGCTGCCCCTTTTCAAAAGTTGGGGCCAGCACGGTCCACTGCCATTCCTCGAATAACCTGATGGATGAATGCCCCCAGGATTCAAAGCAGCTCAACGCATCGTGTGGGTTTTGTTTCCGACCTAGTCCAAATCGATAGGAACCCGGCCGAGAGACCTTGCAAAAAGGCAGGTCATTGTCTGTTATGTTGTCTGTGATGAATGTCTCAATATTTAGGAGCTTGTTGACAATCACCAGCAGAGCGAACATCTTTTTGAATGACCGATCTCCGCAAATCGTTTCTGTAAGTCTGTGAAGATTAGCGGATCCAAGTTGTCGAAATTCACGCCAGCGGCGCAGCTCCTGTCCAACGACTTCCTCGTTAATGAGAGTTGTGAATGTACTGTTCGGGAAGAATCCTTTATCCCTCCGCTGGTTTTCGCATTCTAGTAAGGAGCTGAGCAGAAGGTCCCTGCATTTAATTGATGGTCTTTCCGTTCCGTTTGGGATGTAGATACCAAGCGCGACCGGGGCCTCAATCTGTCGGCGCAAGAAGACATTAGCCTTTGAAAGGGCAATGAGATATACATTGTTCACTCACTCGCAGGTCATGATCTCCATCATCGAGACTCTCAAGTCCATCAGAAGTGTATTCGGTCAGTGGGGAAAGATATGGCGTGTTTGGGGCAGAGGATGGGAACGCTGAAAGAGTTGGCGAAGAGCTTGTACTGAAGCTAGATGACCTGGAAGTTCTTCCAGTATGCAAATATTTGCTACTGACAGATATCCTCGGTACCGACACGGTTGTTTGTGAAAATTGATCGCCATTTTCTGCGGTGAAAACTTCGCATGAGTCCAACTTCCAATGACTAGCGCATCCGGGATACACGGTCACCGCAGATTGGACCGTGGTGTATTGACCTTTTACTTCTCCAACGCCTTTCTCCGGCGCACACGAAGCGTGTTTCCCGACAGCCATCCTCTCCGATTGAGACTCAATGAGGCTCAAGACTGTTTTCAATGCTTTGACACTGGTGGCTGGAGCGAAGCTCGAAAGCGAATTTATCTTAATTTGCGAATATTTGAGAAATGTGTGACGATCGTGACGTGTTCGATGCAGTATTCTCGTTTAGGATGGGAACATGATCCACTCACAACCGGATATCATCCGTCTTATATAAAGACGCATGGTCGTGTCGCACAAAATCTACTTAGGTCGCCATGAATCTTGACGATATTAAATGTAAAAAAATATATATGGTAACGCTGATCCCCCATAACAGTTGGTGGACCCAGCATTTGCAGGTTGAGGACTGGCCGGCGGTGTGAGCCTTATTGGGGCAGGGTTAGCGTACCTACTGGGCAGGCCACAGCACTTGTCAAATAGCTGCAGAGCCGCAGCATACATAGCTTCCTCCTGCTTTTTCATTTGAAAAAACCCGTATAAAAGTATAGCATTACCTAACTGATCTGATTCTTAGGCAGCTGCAGTATTTGAGATGTTGTCAAGCCCTAGGATGAGCGAGGAACTGGGAAATTTCCCCGGTGTTGAACTCAGTATTTGATATAGAATGGGGTTATCGGGACGCAACAGGCCGGGTTTTTCCACTTTGGTCTTGTGTCCGATGTCGCTTAGCTTCTCTTTCATAGAAACCTCCGCAGTCCTCTAATAGTCATATCCTCCTTGCGAGTTCTTCTTCGGTTGGGTATTTAGTATCTGGTTTTTATCTCCGATCTTGGATAAGGCGAGGAATCCGGTGAAATTGTTGCTTGTTGAATGATACCATAACCTTCCTGATGAAGAAGCCATGGACCGTCTGGTATTCGAAAGCCGTCTATACTACCTTTAATTACTAATTAATTCATGTTCGAGGGCCAAAATTCGAGCCTCGGTTTTCTAGAGCATCTCGTTGAGCAAAATGGAGAGTCCTCCAGCGGGTGAGATGGTTCCAGTTGATCCCGGGGCCGACCATTGTCCCAGCCACACTCTACTGGGAAATGATGGTCGATACCCACACTCCCGATTACATACAGATCCAGGCATCCATCCGCATAACACCATCCAAGTTTACTGCCGCACTGAACCACCGATGGCCGCTGCCTAGAGACGGTATCCTGTGAACGCATTAATGGGGCAAAACATCAGTGATCCTGGAGGCATCCACATTCACGTGCGAGGCATACACTGGTGATCTCCACCTTTGCCCATCCTCTACGCCCCCTAGGTTGCAAACGCTGACCCACTCTGGATGCGGGTTGAGGGGCTGGAACACACACCGTGGCGATTCCACCAGTGAGATAGCAGACGGAGCAATCTGAACAGACAAATAGCAGCATCGCCATCCAGAAAAGCTTTGTTTTTCGGTGTGTCTTGCCCGTCCGTTCCCGTCGGTTGGATCTAAGGAAGCCATTGCTATGTGGCAAGTGGATCAGCTTCCGTGTCAAGCGGGTCGGCGTGACGCATGGCTGGCATGGCAGCCATGGGCCATGGCTTAGGCACCACCATACTCTGACTCTTTGGGGCCGAAATGCGCATAACCTCGAACTGGTGAAATATGAGGCCTATTTCATGTCTCGAAACTACAGAGCCACACGTTCCGCCTAGGAACGCCACTTCTTGGGGTCTATATGTACCACACGCTTGGTGGGAACAGATCCAACTGAAGGTTCCAGATGCCAATATGCAGATTCCTGACACTCACTTTGGAAAACGTCCACTATGTCAGACAAGTCTGTTGATCTGGTGGAGCACATCTCCAACGCTGTGAGAGAGTCTGAGTTCCCAAATCCCAGTAATGGACCATTTGCACCGAGGAACACGCTGAGAAATATCACGGACTTCTCGGTTACTGACACAATTTGGCCTGATTCCACCGGGGATATCAGTGCCTCGAACAAGGAACTCGTCGAATTCATCAGGGTACAAGCCCCAGAAATCTTCGCCATCGCAATCTACCTGGACGAGAACTTGGAAAAGATGCTGCGGCTGTTCATGAAACATGATAAATCCGACAGGAGTCTCCCAATGTCCGATGCTGACCTGGAGAAGATATGGCCCAGACCACGGGATGCGATCCGAAGGCGATCCTTTAAAAAACATCAACATCTCTTCAGGGCCCAGGATTTTCCAATGCAGGGCAGATTCTCTGTCATCCATCTTAGGCCAAATGTTGTGCTTCCAATCCTGGAGTCTAAGCATATGTCCCATGGGCAATTCGGCATCGTCCACAAGGTCAGCCTCCACGAAGAATTCCTGGATCTCAATGACCCAATCCGCAAGGTACGACGAAATGAACAGCACTTGTTGCATTATACATAGCGTTCTTGCCTTGTCTGTTGACCTCCAAACATTGGCTCGAGTCTGTGTCTGTCATTTGTTAGGTGCAGGAAAAAGCGATGATTTACTGATACCAAATTATCTTAGGCACAAGGCGTGGCTGCTATCAAAGAGCTTCGAGAGTCTATCGAGGATGAAATGGCAAAGCACGCCTGGGAGAGGGAGGTCAAGGCTCTGCAGGAGATTTGCCAGCTTGGTATCCCGCATGTAGTGGAGATTGCAGCTATGATTGCCATCGAGAAGAAACAGTATTTTGTTTTCCCCTGGGCGGATGGCGGCAACCTCCTAAATCTCTGGAAGTCTCGAGACAGCTATCACGATCGTTCTGAAATTACCTGTCGATACATCCCTGATATTGTGAATCAACTGGTCGGCCTGACAGATGCATTGGAGAGACTGCACGCTTTTCCCTATGGCGAGGCAGCTTCGTACCGCCATGGCGACCTGAAACCCGAGAATATTCTCATATTCGACAGCAAAAGCCCTAGTTTCCTGGGCATCTGGAAGATGGCAGACCTAGGACTCGCAAGATACCACATGGCAGCAACTGGTGACCGACTTTATGTCACATCCAACTCAGGGGCTGGTACGATATCATATCAACCCCCTGAAAGCGTCGATGCAAAAGCCGCACCGACCTCAAGACTCTACGATATCTGGTCCATGGGCTGCATATTTTTGCAACTAATGACGTGGCTAGTCTACGGCACCAGCGAAATCGACGAGCTTACCAGGAAGACCAAGTCTGTCTTCGCGAAAGGTGAAAGTTCCTACTGGAGTGCGGAATCCTGGGACGAAACCAACGGCTATCACAACCTCAAAGTCCACCCCTCAGTAACGAAGCACATGGAAAGAATGAAGGGTGACGTCCAAGGCTCGAAAGCTCTACAAGGCCTGCTGCTTATCATTCAAGATAAGCTCCTTGTCGTCCAGCGACCCAAAGAGGCCACGATATCGGAGTCGGGTTGTCGAACCAACGCTGCAGATCTCCATAGATCTCTAAAGAAAATACAGGCTGCATGCGAGGACCGAGGGTATTGGTTCTCTGGTGGAAATGTTGTCCAACAGGCAAGTTATCTGCAAATACCGCAAGGGCAGACCCTGGATGTGGGGAGGGGAAACAAAGTAAGTCCTAACCTTTTGATTAGTAGCACACAAAATAGGAACCCTCTTCATATACACATGTATCCTTCCCGGTAGTTTAAGTCTCCTTCATCTTTATTCCAAAGTCAGATGATACTAACCTTAATGCAGGACGTGAGTAGCATATTACGAAGCTGGTTGACTGAGGTAAGGACTGACACAGCGCGCAGTATGTGAGACATGCCCGATTACGATTTCTGATTTTGTATATACCTGCTAATCCACCGATCCCTTCCGTTCAATTTGAAGAATGTAAGTCTCTGTCCAAACATTTCCAAATGGCCCGAAAGTTACCCATGTGATAGCATCCGAGTTCTGACACAGATACATCCAGCATGTGAGTAAAACCACTTGTGAAATCTTTCTTTGTAATGTTGCTCAGGTTGATAGGTCAGATATTGATTCTCATTTGAGCAGACGGTAATTAATGAAACGGTAATCGGCTGTTCAAGTACTGAGACCTACTAACATTTGCCAGACCGTAAGCTTTCTCGACGATCATCACACAGAGGGCCGGCGTTCCTGACGGACCTTTTGTAGCTTAACGACAACTGGGTCAGAGCTGCAGACAAGACTTTTGTTTCGACGCTGCTCGATCGTCCTGAGCTGCGAGATTCCATCAGACTAGACAGAGTTCCCAAGGCAAATCTGTGCATCAAGTGTGAGAATCTGGACTTCTTTGCGGAGAAATTCCAGATCACAGACACATTCCAGGAGTTGAAGAGGGAGGCTAGTCTTTGTGACTTCTGCAAAATGCGGTGGAATCTAGGGAAGGACTCTTTTTCCCACGAGGTTCAGAGCATTGTGTTTGATCTATTTGGCTCCGATCTGCAGCTGAACCACCAACCCGTCATCAGCTTTTTGGCCTGCCATGAAGACTCAGGTGTGTTTGTTCGTCCCTGCGACCAGAATATGACCTACACGCCTAGATCGTTATTTGCCACTAACATGAAGTCTCTTTGAAGATTCTGGGCTCGGATTGAGCGATCCTATTGATATTTGGCCTCAAATCGGTCTGTCCCGACTGCCACCGGTTGGCAGTGAAGCACATTTCACCATACTTCGGGACTGGCTACAAGACTGCGATGAACATCACGACAGCTGCAGACCCTTGACGAATTCCAGCGCTCAGTTACCAAAGAGACTAATAGACGTAGGACAAGGAGGCGGAACTGGTGTGAGTCTGTACGAGACCAAACAGGACGATGCGCTTGAGTATATTGCCCTGTCTCATCCTTGGGGGCCTCACAGCTCGTCGCATTTCTGCACATATCCTGAGAATATAGACCACCACCTCCAAGGAATCCTTCTCAAGGACCTTCCGCAGACATTTCAAGATGCAGTGGAGGCAACGAGAAGTTTGAATCAACGATACCTGTGGATCGACTCACTCTGCATAATTCAAGGTCCGAATGGCGACTTCAATGAACAAGCGAAGCATATGGAAGGAATCTTCCGCCAAGCGTACTGCGTACTAGCTGCAAGCTGTGCCAAGGGCCAGCAAGACGGATTCTTGAAGCCGAGAGATCAGAGGAGGTGCCTGGAAATCCATCAGGATCTTTCTAGCCGTCCTCCAATATACGCCTGCGACTTCATTGACGACTTCCAGCAACACGCGCTGGGTAGTCATCTCAACCAAAGAGGTTGGGTGCTGCAAGAAAGGGCCCTGGCGCGACGCACAATTTTCTTCACCGAGAAGCAGACATATTGGGAGTGTGGAGCTGGTGTCCGTTGCGAGACCACAATGAAAATGAACAAGTGAGTATTTTCTACCTATGCGTGCAAGGTTAAGGGAGCTAAAAATTGGAAATCCAGTAAGCTTGCCTCGTTTCTCGGCGACTCAAGATTCCCCGAAGTCGGGATGAAATCTAACTATGGAGGCAAAATTCGGTTGTTTCAAGATCTCTATTCGAAATACTCGCGTTTGGGGCTGTCACACGATACAGATCGACCCGTCGCTATTGCGGGCATCGAGAAACACCTTATTTCTAGCTTCAATGTCCGAGGAGGATTTGGCGTCCTCGACGACGGAAATCGTGGCCTACTTTGGCGAAGTTTGCTATGGCAGCGAGCACGGGACGCACCAAGTGGACTGAAAAGAATCGAGTTTGGGTTGCTCAAAGGTGCAGCCGTAGCCGTCATTCCGCCACCCTCGTGGTCATGGATGGCCTACAAGGGTGCCATTGATTATCTGGGCCTGCCCTTTGAAAAGGTAGATTGGGAGGAAGACGATATATACTCGCGGTGGTCACGTGGCGCAGGGAAGTCATGGAGCTACAGTGGGGACTACTTGACGTGCCCATTGGAGCTGACTGTGCATGGACGTTCTTTTGACTTGCAGGAAGCGAGGACATCGTGTAGTGCCAGCATCGTACTTGATGATCCTGACAGGACGGACAAGCTGGAGCCGTTCCTGAAATGCGTCGTTCTTGGCAAGTTGAAAGGTCGGGCGGAGGAGTCGAGCGATGCAAGGACTCACTACGTCTTGCTGGTAACGCCGACAGCACCACAAAATGGGGGCTCGTCACCAGGTTACAACCGGGTTGGTGTCGGATACATGCCCGGATCCCTCATCGACTTCAGCAAGCAGGGGATTCCGGGAGAGCTGCGATGAATAATGGCGGATCATGTCATATCACATGCCCTACTTTCTATGAGTAACATTACTGCTTTTCCTCTATATCATGCTTTGTCTGTGATGGTAGGGACATTTCTTACAAATTAGTTCCAAGGAAATTGACATATACCACGTGATCGAAGCCCACGATAACGTACAATATGGAGATGTGAGGTTGAAGTTTTGACTTACTAGGACAGTAGCGACAGGGACAAGGGCAGGGCAATTCAGACCTTATCAGCAGGGAAATCAATAAGTCAGCAGTGATTGGCTGACCCCGGCGACCGCAGCTGATAGCGGGTCGGCGCATGAAATGAGGCTTATCTAGACCAACTTTCAATCATGCAAAACGACGTCCTCGATGCCTGGAAGATGACGGTTCAACGGCTCCAATAACTCCAAACAGAGACTGCATGGCATGGTGTTGTGCCATGTTCACTATGAGAGACTGCCAGCCACTCCACATAGATTTTATTAGCTTGCACGATCTAGTTTCCTAGAACAGCGAAATGAGAACCTGAGAGGTCATCTTGGGCTTGATGTACCTACACCTCGCGGCCGCACGTTCGATTTCTTCAGTCCCACTCCAACAGCAGCACATCGTTTCCGACTTGATGAAAACCTCAGAAAGCAGTGCAACGAAGGCCTGTATATGGATGATTCAAGATAAATCCAATAAATTCACCCAAAACGTGAATGTCTTGCATCTCTTCTTGGCTGGGCGGATTAACTTAAATGCAAGTCCGAGTGGTCCGTGCACTCCGCCCCTTGACCGAGTGAAGCGGCTCTAAATTTTCTGCTACCTACGCGTCGTGTGACTCGATCAGTCATCACCATCCAATTTTGTACCGCCAAGACTTGGTGATCTCGAGTCTCTTCAGCTGTGCTAGTACCTTTGTTGTGCTAAGTATCTAGTCCAAAATGGCCGGCGGTGTCGAGGCGGCTGCCCCTCCTCATGAGATCTTTGACGTGAGTTTCCATCTTTGCGATGAGTCAAAGCGCTCGAAAGCTAACTTTTGGTTGTGCAGACGATCCTGCTTTTGGACTTTGGAAGCCAGACATCGCATCTGATTCTCAGGGCTCTCAGATCATTCAATGTGTTCTGTGAAGTATTACCCGGCACCACCAAGGCGAGTGACCTGAAATGGTCGCCTAAGGGAATTATCTTCAGCGGAGGCAAGCGCCATTGACCTCTTCCACGAGGACTACTGCTGATATGGTGTCTAGGACCGTCATCTGTGAAGGATGAGGGCTCACCTCGTAAGTCTTTTTTGGTCGACCCCGAAGAGTCATAAACTGACTGAGCAAAAGACGCCGATCCTGCATTCTTTGAGATGGGAGTACCCATCCTTGGAATCTGTTACGGCTGCCAGGAGATTGCTTGGCGGTCAGACTCTGAGAGTGTCGCCCCAGGCGAGGCTCGGGAATATGGCCACACGGTATGTGTGTCTCGGTGAAGCTTCCCGGGTGAAATCTTGAATTCAGGAACGATGGTGCTAATCTGCCGGCAAAAGGATCTCACCATATATCCAGTTGCCTCATCCCCTCACATCAACCAACTCTTCGAGGGTCTAGGAGAGACAATGCACGGTTAGTCATTTTCATACAACAGACTTAAGATTCATCTCGGGATACAAGGGACATAACTCTAATCTTTGGGCAGTCTACATGAGTCACTTTGACAAACTCGTGAAGCTCCCCGCAGGGTTTACCCTGATCGCCAGCTCCCCGAATTCAGAGTATGCGGGAATTGCTCATCAAACAAAGCCCATTTATGGTAGGTGCTCGCTGGGCCGTCGCTTTGCCGCGTGTGGCGATTGCACGACAGTCTAATTCAGAGCGTTTGTAGGAATCCAATTCCACCCCGAAGTTGAGCACACTCCTCGCGGTGCAGAGATCATTAAGAACTTTGCCGTCAACATCTGCAAAGCACGACAGCACTGGGTCATGAGCGACTTTATCGAGCATGCGATCGCACGTATCCGCCAGCAGGTTGGTGACAAAGCTCAAGTCATAGGGGCTGTCTCGGGCGGTGTCGACAGCACGGTGGTAGCTCGTCTCATGCGGGAAGCTATTGGTAATTTTTGAGCAGTCAACTCAGGGTTTTGCGGCACAGGCTGACCTATAATCAGGCGACCGATTCCACGCCGTTCTTGTGGACAACGGGGTGCTGCGTCTCAACGAGAGCCAAGAGGTCAAGAAGACGCTTCAAGAAGCTCTTGGCATCAACTTGACTGTCATCGATGGGTCAAAGATTTTCCTCGAACGCCTCAAGGGTGTCAGCGAGCCGGAGAAGAAGCGCAAGATTATCGGTGGTCTCTTCATCGACCTCTTCGAGGAGGAGGCTATCAGAATTGAAAAGGCAGCCGAAAACACCTCCAATGCTGGCAAGGTGGAGTTCTTCGTCCAAGGTACTCTGTATCCAGACGTCATCGAGTCTCTGAGCTTCAAACCGGGCTCAAATTCGGCAACCATCAAGAGTAAGCATGCCCACCTTTATCGTTTGCGAACCGCAGCCTTCATAGCAAGGCTCCCTCACTTGCGTTCTTACTCAGGCGCATTTGATGAGTACATAATTACTGACTGTGGCCACAGCACATCACAACGTGGGCGGTCTCCCGGCCCGTATGATGAACGGCGTGAGTTTCTCGCGAAACACAATTCATAACAATTGACTAACTTGAAAAATAATAGCAAGGACTCAAGTTGATTGAGCCCCTACGAGAGCTTTTCAAGGACGAAGTGCGCGGCTTTGGCCGGCAACTAGGGATCCCTGAAGAACTGGTCATGCGTCACCCTTTCCCAGGTCCAGGCATTGCGATCAGAATTATCGGAGACGTCACGCCCGAGCGTGTTGAAATCGCCAGAAAGGCCGATCACATCTTCATCTCCATGATCAAGGAGGCAGGAATCTATAACGAGGTAAGTTCAATACTCGGAACTGCGCAAATTCGAGACACCTACTGACTTTGAATCGCAGATCGCTCAGGCCTATGCTGGCCTTGACACCAACCGAGGTAAGTTCTCTCACGGCCTGTCTATTAGGAAGCCGTGTGGTAAGAGAGGCTGCGGATAAGAAAGTGTATCACTAACGGGTGGTTTCAAATTGCAGCTGTTGGAGTCATGGGTGATGATCGTGTCTACGGTATGTTGACTCTCCGGAATCTAGTCAAACAATTGACGCTAATCTTGACGTACAGGATACATCATTATCCTTCGCGCTGTTGCGTCGACCAACTTCATGACTGCTGAGCCTTACGATTTCAGCTCCTCGTTCCTGAAGCAAGTCGCACGAAGGATTGTGAACGAGGTTGTCGGAGTCTCTCGCGTGACTTACGACATCACGAGCAAGCCCCCTGGTATGTTCATGCATGCCAATTACGATTTTTCAATCACTGACACATCGTTAGGAACTATCGAGCTGGAGTGATTGGGTTGATGAGTGTCAGTGGAACAATTTGAGAAGTTGGTTGCGGATTTTGACAGCGGGCTTTGGCGTCTGGAATTAGACTTGCAATGACACACGGCGGCACATGCGCTGCTGTTGCACCTTTGTGCCTCATCGACGACTCACAGTCAATGTCGCAATTGCCAGATGCGATGGGCCATGATTTCAAATAGACAGCATCTTTTGCAGTGGAATTATGAAGATGGGCACGAATGTCGTTGTTCCTGATCTCGTCCACACAAGGTGCTTCGGTACTAGCTCAAGTATCTTCAGATCTGTAATGCACGACAACTAGCGCACTTCTCTGCATCTTCTGAATAACCCGTCACTCCCAGGGGAGTGACGCAGATGATACTCAGAGTAAGAAGTTGAACGTTAAATGCCCCCAGGGTGGTTGATAGACTGTACCAATAATACAATTCAAAGAGTCAATATCGTCAAAAGAAGAGAAATACACAAGATTCGCGACGGTCGCTCACAGCACTCCCATGCGCCTGGTTTTGAGCCTGTACCATCCTCAATCAATGGTCCCTTCTCGGCACAAGCCTCCCCATATAGTCCCGTCCATCTTCTTCACACCCACGCAGTCCTAATCCGTATCAGCCAAAATAGACGCGTTCGTACAAGATCCGGGGGCTGGGACTGGCTTTGGCATTGGTGCTGGCGCTGGCACCGGGACTGGGACCGACGCAGGGGCTGGCACTGGGACCGGTACAGGGGCTGGCACTGGCTCAGGGGCTGGGACCACGACTGGGACCGGGACAGGGACCGGCTCCGGGGCTGGGACCGGGTATGGCACCGGGACGGGGACTGGAACTGGCTCCGGTGCAGGTGTTGGAGCTGCTATAGGTACAATCAATGTTGTTGTTGATGGTGTTGCTGATGCTGACGCGCACGAGTGGTGGTGGAAATTCCGAGCGTGATTCGGAACCGACCTCATGCTCATGCAATGGTGGAAGAAATTGCGCTCTTGGTACTGTGAGGCTTCGCCTGCCGCCCCGGCGTCTTTGGAGGACTCGCCCACTTCCGTACCGTACTCCGAAGTCTTATTGACATCGGTATCGGCCCTGTTGCCGACGTCGCCATCAAGGACGACGCGGGTAAGTCCTTCTGGTGATGCTATTTCCAGCGTGGGTATGTTTAGCCTGTGGGATTGTGTGTAAGCTTCTGGCTCATGTGCTGAGAGACAGGGATGATAGTAGAAGACTCACTCAGATGGCGCAGCTGAGACGGTGAGGAGTGCGGAAACAAGGAGAGCGATAGTGCTTGTTGCGAGCTTCATCTTGACTCTATAAGGAAGTGAATCACGGCTGTTGGGTGATATCTCAACTATTCTGTGGAAAACTGTGTTGAGTTTAGAAGCCGATGCTGAAGTAGATTTTCAACAATTGTGAAGACAACGGGGCTGAACTTATAGCTATGAAATATCGACATCATGACGGCAACATTGACATTTTATGTATTCCTATAATCAAGTTTACACCACAATATGATGATTGAAAAATGATCTCCGTCATTTTTCAAGTCGTGTTCGTGTCCAAGATGCCTTGCCTCGGCTCGTGGACTTCAATCGGCGTAGGAATATTTTATTTCTCACAGTGTGCGCGGGCCATTCGGCCTGGGAATGTTGAGATTTTCCCTAAAACGGACATCTGGCGCTCCATCGGTCTGCCGAGCTGTATTTCCGCACTCCGCCTTAGCCTGCTGGCTACCCATGACGTGCAGAGGTCGGAATTTAATTTCTCTTGTGGTGTTCGTTTAGTGAATGCGTAAATCTTATCACGTTTCATCCTAAATGCGGTTACCTCGTCCTAAATGCGGCCACCTCGTCCCATCTTGGCAGCGAACCGGTCTGCTCTATCTCGTGCCGTTCAGTAACATTGGAAGCCGACGAGTAAATTTTGCCTTGCCATCGAATGTAATCATTCCGTACATCAACCTCTCGTGTTCGTACTTTCTGTCCTTTATATCTGCGATTGGACAGAAATCGGAAAGGCGTGTAAGATTTGCGAATCGGATTTTTCGGGTAGGTCCTGGGTCTCGGAGTATAGCTTTTATCATTTCTTAACAGAAGGGTGTTTAGGAATTATTATTTCTTAACAAAAGGGTGTTTAGGATTAACGATGCAGGACAAGTGAGCTGTATTATACACGTATCTTTAAATACTGGATAGTGACGCTAGATCCTGTTCAATTAGGCTTCATGAATGAGTGACTGCCTTCATTGATACCTACAGAGCTGAAGACTAAATTGCCCGTTGCTTAGCCAATAAGTTATCCTCTTCACCGGCACAGATCACCTCCTACGGTCTGCCAGGTAGCAGCGAGAATGCCTGCATACCTAATATGACTACCTATGTAGTTATCTCAGAAGATTGACAATTTGATGCCAGCGAAAAGATGACGAATGTATATCAATCTCTTTTACATGAGAGAACTTAGAAAAGAAAAGAGAAGACATGACTAATGTCTCTGTATCTGAAGCCACATGGAAGTATATCAAAATCAGACCGTTCGATTTGTTGTCCAGGGGGTGCCACCCATCGCGAGGCCGTCACCGCCCACTTACCAACTCTCCCTTCCCCTATTCATCCCAGGAAAGAACGAGGCGGCACCATGCCACCACCATGCAATCCGGAAATCTGTCCACGTCTTGTCTGTGGGCTGTTTCGAGGGATATGCTGAGCCGGGTTGTCTTCGAGCGGTAACAGAGGCTCGATCTTGTGAGATAAGAATGGAATTTGTAAAGCACGATGCTCCTCACTCGGGCTCAAAGAAACGGCTTTCATGTCTGTAACGCAAACTTGAGGAGCCTCTGCGTCAGAAGTGGTGACCTGGATGATTTGAGATTGGTGTGGACTACTGCAGTTCGACTCTGGGTTGTAAGACAACCCTGTCCGTGTACAGAAATTGGCAAAGACGGAACACAATACTCCATAAGTGGATAATTGATATAATAGCTTCCTTGAATAGAGGAGTAGACGCTACTGTCGATTTCATCCTGTCTTTACCACGTCAATTGATACGTGCCCCTTGCTCAATCGTGGCTAGACGTGACTTTTTATCCAGCCAGCGCAGACGTCCTGACGCCCTCGAGTCCCTGAAGCATCCCACGCCTTCCGTAGAGACGTTTACAGGTTAGCTGTCGATCCTCCGTAGTAGTGTATCTGTGTTAAGACGTCAGCGGAAGCTCGGTCATCTTGGCGCTTTTTCACCACCGGGTCGAATCCGAGTCAACTCACATCAACATCATAGCACCCGCTCGGCGTCTGGTACAAATAAGCCCCGGTGTTGATGTAAAGCGCATTCGCGCCTGTGGCAGATGTACCAGGGCACACATAGAACGCCGCAGTGTTAGGCCTCGCCACGTCCGGGTCCGTCCAGGTCACAGTGTCGCCGGAGAAGGCGAACGAGCCGTATGTGTTCTTGGTCGTCTTGAAAGTGGTCGCCAAGGCTCGCTGGGTCTTGTCCGTGGGGTCCTCGACGTTCAGATAGAGCGCGCTGGTGGTCCCTGACCCGGTGTTGTAGACGAGCTGCCCGTCGATGATGTTGAATTGGCCGGCTGTGAGGTAGCTGTCCAGCAATGCCGTGCCGGCGCTGGCTGTGGGCAGGGCCTGGAGGTAGCTGTGGTAGTAGGGCGATTCGACGCCCCGGATCCAGTACCAGCCGGACAGGAGGGTCGTGCCCGTGCCTGAGCCGGAGCCGGAACCGGCTCCGGCTGTGCTCGTGGTTGAGGTGGCAAAGGTCGTTGTTGATTTCGAGGTGCTCGCCGTTGTGCTGACACGGCTCGAAGTTGTCGAAGCCGGAATCGAGGTGGACCCAGCGGAACTACTTGTTGCAACTGAAGATGTTGCGGCGCCGGGATAACACTGGGCATAATATGAGCTTTCCACCGGTGTCAGTCTCAATTCATTCAGCCTCGCTGCCATTGATGATCCTCACTTATAGGTGGTGCAAACGTATCCTGAGCCGCAAGCACTCGGTCCTGTATACCCAACGCCTCCACCTTTGAATAGTCAGTGAATTGACACCTTGCATATCAGCTTTCAACGTGCAGCTCACATTGCCCGTAAGCACCGGCGGTGCTCTGAGCCGCAACTCCCAGGGCCAAAGAGGCCAGTGCGACGATCGAGAAACCCATTCTCAGATTTTTGGTTGATCTAAAGTGCTCCTGCAAGCCTCGATGCTGCGAACCATGATCGGCAGCGTCAAAACATCTATGGAATATTGATTGTCTTTATATGAGACTTAACCCCTGCTCCGTGCGTATGACACGCATTTGGGACCACCCGGGAATTCAAGACGCGCTTCCATATTGCTATGCATCTAGGCCGATCTCGTGGGACGTCAAAAAGCTTGATCCAACCGCATCGAGACCCGTGGGAAAGGTGTTCCGTCAAACCCGGCACTACAAGCGCCCATGCCCCATCATTTCCAGACATATGAGCCAGGAGAACGTAACCTTAGCTTCCACTTTTTGCACGTCGGTTAGTTAGAACGGTGTCTTTGCCCCTGGTTTTCGGGGGGCCACGCTCCGCGAGTCTCGAAACAGTGACATTCGGAAGATATGTGGACCAAGTACATCCCCTAGGTGAAGAGATCAAATTCAGATTGCAGGGCGAGCGGTAGGCAGAGATGCCCATGTCAGATCAGAAGCCTGCCCAAAAGCCAGACTTGAACGAGTTGCGCGTTTTCAAAAGAAATGTAATACGACAGACATTTAGAGAGCCTTGGAATTTATGATGCAAAGGCCGGTGTTGGTACTAACAAACTTTGGTGATAAACGTGACCAGTATTGTTACTACACCAGAGCGACATCAAGCGCTAAAGCTGTTCGCCTGATCGCAGACAAAGAAACGCTCCACTCTCGGCGACATCCTCTCCTTGAACCTGTTGAATTCGACAGATATACATGACCTCGTCTTTGGACAGAAATAATGCGTGACTTGGTTCCGAATTTTGCTCAACAGTGGTGCAAAGCCGCTAATCAGATGCAGCAGACCCAAAATAGGCGGACTTGATCTAAGAATCATTGATCATTGAATGGAATAACTCCAGTTAGAAAAGTGTTGTATGTACTCCTTCGGCACCCAGCCATAATATGGAGCCAAACATGGAAGAGAAGATTCATCATGGTGAGGAACGAAATTCAGCGGCTTTCTGCAGACGTGGAACCTGTTGGGCTAGAATCGATGACCGCTCGACAAACGGCTTTGTAGAGAATCAACCACGTCTACGTTGTCTACTCGAGGAATGAATTCGTCAATTTGCCGTCGCCCATAAAAGTCTTGCGAAAAGCTTTGTATTCGGTGGCGAGATGGTGCTAGATGGGAAATGGTCCAAACTTGTACGACCCGACGGCTGTTCCTCGGCTCGAGCACGTGGTCTAGCGCAGGCTATCTATGTAACTACCAGCCGTCTTTCCATCATCAGCCCGTCAGTGACCTTCGTGGTTCGAATTTAGCGAGGGTCGAGACTCCTCCACGACTTGACTCAACCTCGATGCAGTACCGGCTCCGAGCCGACGGGCTCGATCAAGATCTGAGCGTGAGCCAGTCAACGTGGCGGGTTCTCAAGATCTGGAAACTGCTGCTCTATCCACGATCACGATAGCTTGGCTCTAGGGTTGACTGAACCTCCATGATGACAGCGGACACTTATGCGGCCCCGACGATTTCGCCTCGCGTGTGCCACATGGGCAGTCTTCTCCCGCCGTTCGCACGCCTTCTAGACGAGTGCACGAACTGGATATGGGCAAGGCTCGTCCTGATTCAAAGCACTTCGGGTCCACCCACTTTCAAACCTTGAAATCCGAGGCTCGGTTCCCGGGTTGTGGGAAACGAGGTATTTGCAATTCTACCGCTAGATCTAAGTGCTCTATGAGCCTACCGGAGGCACTATCAGCCTCGGAGACTCCATGCGCGGATTGGCCTCGGGACCTAACCACCATACTGCGTTTCCCAACTGCGCAGTGACCGTGGATAATAAAGTGCTTGAAAACCCAAAACCCGCCGTCACGCAGGAAAGGGGCTGCATAAGCTGGAGTGACACAATCTGCATAACCACAAAGAAGTTTGCTGCTGTCCAGTCACGGTCTACATCAAGCCTTTCAACACCACATTCTCTCAGGGACTTCTCACAAAGACCACCAATGTCCATTATTTTGAGGCACAGCTAACTGGTCAAGAATCCTCATCTTCAAAACGCTCCTCAGCTATAGATCTAGCCGGTCCAGCTCCCGACCTAAAATTGAGAATCAGACATTACCATCTTCGCGATCAAGAGCCCACATCATGGCTACAAACACCACGAAACTCAACCTCAAACTCTCCCTGCCCCTGCCCGAGCTCTTCCAACACAAGAAGAGCCGCCAGGAGCGTCTGCCACCCACCCCAGAAGAAGACGAGCAAGCTCATTTCGAGATCCAGGAGGTCCAGGAGCACGACGACTCCGCTGAGGACGCATCAGAATGGATCAAGAGCACGATACGCGAACAAGGACGTTGGGAAGAGCACCTTTCATTCATCAGAATCGAGTGCCCGCACACCATGGCCGAGCTCCTTCAGCTGGGTAGGCTGTCAAGGTCAGAGGGTACCAAGCAGTGCCAGAAGATGATCCGCATCCCGGTGCTCTACGACGAGATAGGCTGCTTTCTATGGGAAAAGCTCGCGGCCCTGGAGCGCGGCCCAGACTTTGGAAAGGAAGACGAGGAGAGGGCGGCCGAGTACGCGAGAGTGAAATCCCGAGCGATTCTGGCGCTGGACGAGCGCTTCCGCTTCGACCAGCCAGTGTCTGCTGCTGCCACGAGCGGGGCCATCAAGAAGACGGGCCGCGCGAGACAGGACAGCGAGCCGATCTCCCCGAAACACATCCGGCAACCACAATCTAACGCCTCCCATCAGGCCAGACCCAGCACCTCCCAGGTGTGCCACTTCTGCCAGCCCGGCAACATCAACGAGCACGCCAGCATCCCAGAAGACGTCCAAGCCGAGACAAGCAGCGGGATCTCAGGCCAGGCACAACAGCCCGTCGCCTTCTTCAACCACAGCAGGAGCAGCAGCTACTCCAGCACCGTGCTCTGGCAGCGCGACCCGGCAGCCCACTCCTCGCCTTCCGCCACCAGCAGCAGGAGCGGAAGCGACGCCTCGGTGCATAGCAGGCGATCCCGAGATGGCAGTCTCGCTGGGCGGGTCGGGTCTGTGGTGGGCAACCTTGGCAAGGGCGTCGCGACGGCCATTGGCGGTGGGTTGTCCCATGGATATGGCTATGGTGGCCGGGCGGACAGGAGTGGGTCGTTTTGGTCTGTTTGAGGGCGGTTGCCTGTGGCTTTTGCATGGTGGAGCTTGGGTTGTAGGATCTCTGTGTGTGTTCAGGAAAAGCGACGGCGTCAGGCATACTTGATTTGGTTGGGGACATGTGTGACGGAGTCATTCAAAGTTGGAATGAATTTGAACTCGGCCTAACGGATGCTCACAATGTAAATCAGACAACTCAAGAAGAGTGCATGGGCAGAGCAGGTCTCGGCCAAATGTTGCCTGCCCTTGTCGGTGACAAGGGCGTGTAAATTTACTACGACGATCTTCCCTCACAGGAGCGACCGGTTTGTTTCCCAACTGCAATATCCTTGCACTGCTTCATGTTTTCCTGGTGCTTAACATCCAGAGGTGATAATGTCTGTTGCATGCATGAACTGTTAATGCGAAGTCTCTGTTAGGCCAGAAAGCCGAGCATGGCTAACTCTTGATATCCTCATAAATCAGACTGCCTCTAGGTTTTGTTGGTCATTGAGAGACAGGCTTGACAGGTGGCACTCTACAGCTGCAAGTCACAGCTTGGATGCCATTGCTTTCGACCTTTGGACTTTGTGTATCTGATCACATCAATATGGTCAACACGAGGGTGCTGCTTATCGGCTTCCTCTTCGTGTGAATGCCGATCAAGGCTGTCAGCAAGATGTGCACACAAAGAACACTTTTGGCCCTAGCAAGCATACGGATAGGAAGAACCTCTGAGGAGCAACCACTCCTGTAAAGCTTCAGTAGCTGTGACTGCTCGGGTTTCAAGACTGGTCTGCTTGATGGTGCTTGTATGCAGCTGTTGGCTGTGCCTCATGTAAGACTGGGCGTATTAGAAGACAGGAAATTTGTCTGAGGGCGGCAAGACGAATGACAGAGTCAAAAGTGGACGATCTCGGATGCAGATGTTTATGGATCAGCACAGTATGCTTGAATAAATAGAAATATGGGATGCATGTATGTTAGGTGGTAATCAATACCACAAGACGTTGTTTCTGGAAGGTTGACTGATGGTTTGTTTACATGACATGCATGAATGAATAGCAACACTGTTGTTGACATACGGGAAATTCACTTGGCTGGGGGATGGGGAGGGCTGGAGCTAGAAGCTGGCCAGCTCAACCCTGGACCGTTGCCAACACAGACAGGGCTTGGTCGGTGGTGCTGTGGTGGTGCTGTGGTGGGTGCATGAGCATCCAGGGTGGGTCCTCAGCTGGATGGGGGAGCGACCCACCTCCAGGCGCCCCCTGGCCGTGGGAGCTTAGCATTGGATGACCGGCCGCCCGTGCTTCTTGTCCGGAAACATCAACAACACCACGGCAAAAACACACCGCAGCGCAGTCCACCCACTGCCTCAGACTGCGACCGACAACACCACGCAAACGATCCTCCGACACGTCATCTTTGATCACACTGCCCTCAACCCTCGATGGTCACGCCCGAGACCTGAGCAAGCAGCAAGGATGGCAGCTGCCGAAGTAGCTGTGGACTTTGGCTACCTGTCCGCCCATCTCGGCGTGCCAGAAAACACCCTCGAGACGGTCGCCACCCAACCCACCGCCGACCTCGTCCAGGCCGTCCTGCAGGCCGTCGCCGCCAAGGCACACGAGTTCGAGAACCTCTACGCGGAGAAGCTGCACGTCGATATCGAGCTCGAGAATGCCGTTCGCAGCGCCGACTCACGATGTCAGTCCTTCAAGGCCACCGCCGACAAGGCTCTGAAGGACGCAGAGGAGCTCCGCAAGAAGCTCCAGCAGGAAGGTACGATACATTTATGACGACAAACATAATGAGCTTGCACGCGACAACCTCTAGCAGTGGCACTAACGCGTCGTGACCTACAGAATCCACCCGCCAAGGCCTGGAGTCTGAGCTCCAGCAGCTACAGTCCACAAGCGGTGGTAGCCTTTCCGAGATCGAGAACCTGAACGCGCGCATCAAGTCGCTCGAGCAGTCGAACCGCGACACCGTCGCAGCCGTTGACGCAAAGAACGCCGCGAACTCGGAACTGCTGACAGACCTGCAGAAGCTGCAGCAGAAGAACCACGAGCTCAGCAAGCAGATCGCCGAGCTCCAACAGTCTGTACAGGCCGAGAAGGCTGCTGCGAACAGCGCGAAATGGCGCGAGCAGAACTTGAGGCAGGAGGGCGAGCTCTTGAAGAGGAACAACGAATCCTTCGAGCAAGAGCTGAAGACAAAGCGAGAGGAGGCGCTCAAGTACCGCAAGGAGAAGGGCGCACGCATTGCGGAACTCGAACGACTCACTGACGAGCAACGATCAACAATCGATTCTTTGACCCGTGGCGAACAACAACTGCGATCTCGATTGGACGACGCTCAGAGAAAGGCAGATGACTCCCTCGCCAAGATACAGCAGCTGAAAGAGGCTGCCGCTCGTACCGAGGAGAGCTTCAATCAGGAACTCGAGGCGTCGAGGCGTCTGGCCGACCTACAAGTCCAACAGGCCGAGACCAGCAGGGAGAGGCTCAGGGAGGTCGAGAATAGGCTAGAGAAGGTCCAGGACGACTTCGCGGTCCAGAGGATGCGCATCGAGAAGCAGCTTGAAGAGGAGAAGGCAGAGCATCAAAAGACATTTGAGCGGGCGCAAGAGCTGGAGCAGGAAATCAGTCGACTGCAGGCTGCCGCTCCTGCCCAGCCACAATTCACACTTGGATCGCGTCCCTCCACTCCCGTCGCAAACGGTCACCTCAGGGCTGGCTCGCCATTTGGCACGCCCGGATCGATCAGGAGCAAGAACATGACCCAGGCTATTGATGAGCTATGGAAGGTTAAATCAGAACTGATCAATGTGAAGAAGCGAAACCAGCAGCTGGTCCAAGAGCTGGACGAGACCATGGCTGTCCTGGAAGCGAAGGCGCCGGAGTTCAACGGCCTGGAAGCCGAGATCGAGAAACTACGGAGCGAGAATATCCAGATGACTCAGCTAGCAGATGAGAGTTTCCAGGAGCGCGATCTTGCAAAGAAGGCTGCTCGAAAGGCCGAGGCTGCTTTGGGCACAGCCCAGTCCGAGGCAAACATTCTTCGAGCTCAGCTTCGAGACCTCGGCGTCCAGATCCAACTGCTGGTCTTCAACCTACAGGCACAAGAGAAGGGTCTTGACCAGCTTACACAAGAAGAGGTGGTCAAATTCGACCAGTTGCAGCGCGGCGAGGTTGCACCAGGTGCCCTGGATGACCTATCAGATACCCACCGCTTCATCACGGAGAAGTTCGTTGCCTTCAAGGACATTCATGAATTGCAATCCAAGAACGAGGAACTGCTCAGGATCACCCGAGAACTTGCAGACAAGATGGAGAGTGACGAAGCTCAAGCCGCAAAACAACAGGCTGTTGACAACGAAAACGAGCTTATATCTCTGCGTGAGACTTGCGCACGTCTGCAGGATGAGATCAAGTCAATGACTGTCCGTATGAAGTCTCACATGCAAGAGCGCGACATGTTCCGACGCATGGCAGAGGGGCAGAGGGCCAGGGTCAGTGATGTCAACGACGCCGAAGGCAGCCAGCGTGAAGTGCTCGCCAGCATTGAACAGGGCTCCAATGTCGATGAGGCCGAAGCGATGACAGCGATCCGCGAAATGCAAGCAAGGCTGGATTCACAACAAACCGAATTTAGCATCGACCGGAAGGCCATGCGTGAGCACATCGACAGGCTCTCCGCGGAGAAGAGCTCATTACAAAGCGAGGTTGTGCGCATCCGTAGTCAGCTCGAACTGGCTTCTGAACGTTACGCCATGCTGCAGGGCAACTGTGAAGCGTTGCAAAATGAGAAATCGGAGCTCCAAAAGCGAAGCCAGAGCCTGTCAGAAGCCGCAGCGAAGCATGATCTGCGTAGCCAGCAGCTGGCTTCTGATCTTGTCGAAACCAAGGCGCTGTTGGACAGCGTTCAGAGCAAGGCCTCCAACCTGGAAGCAGAGAAGGCCCTGTTCACCAGCATCCGTGACCGTCTACTCAAAGACAATGAAGACATCACGAGGGAAAAGGCTAACCTCAGCAATATGCTCACTCAGACCCAATCGTTACTCAACGAGAAGGACACCTCTGAACAAGAGACTCGGCGCAGCTTGAACGAACAGATCCAATCCCTGAAGACAGAATTGACCTCGAAACAGCGCAAGCTCGACAACGAGATCGAGGAGAGCAGGAGGCTTCAACAACGAAAGGACTACGAGAATCAACAGCATCAACAGCGTGTGGACGAGCTTCTGAGCAGCCTCAACTCGGCCAAGGAGGAACTCGTTGCTACTAAGACCAGCAGAGACCATCTGCAAGCCCGTGTTGATGAGCTCACAATTGAGCTCCGGAATGCGCAGGAGAAGGCCGAGCGCCTACAGCCCCGACCAACACCCAGGCCTGGCACAGCCAATGAGCCTCGATCAGCGGACGCAGAGACCGAAGCCCAGATTGATGAGCTGGTCAATGAGATCTCAGATCTCAAGAGGGACCTTGATCTGGCAACCACGCACCTAGAATCTTCTAGGTCACAAACCGAGCAATACAAGGAGATCGCCCAGGCTGCTGAAGAAGAGCTCACCCAAAACAATGCGATTCAAGAGCAATATCGCGAGCAGATGGAGGCAGAACTTGCTGCCAAGGATGCCCAGATCAAAGAGCTCCAGCAACGCGTCGACAACATCTCTGTGGAGTTGAGTAACTCGAATAACGAGCTGTCCTCCATCCGAGACTCCCAAACAGAGGCCGCTCGCAAGTCGGAGGAAGAAAAGCGAATTCTGGAGGATGAGATATCACGACTTAAGGAGGACGCCGAGCGACTCAAGGAGCGGGCGAAGTATCATCAGCAAGATCTCCGGGCACAGGCAGACATCGCCAAGAAGGCTCAGCAAGACTACGAGACGGAACTAGTCAAGCATGCAGAGGCTGCAAAGGCCTTGCAAGCTCTTCGTTCTCAACACAACCAGCTGAAGACTAACTCGGCATCGCTGAAGGCCGAAGCTGAGTCTGCCAAGCACACGCTTGACGACAACAAGAGGTCTTTTGCCGAGCGGGAACAGCAATTACGACAAGAAATCTCTGATCTGAAGGAGAGGCGACAGGAGACTGATCAGCAGAACAAGCTGCTGCAAGAACAACTGCACAGCTTCACCTCACAGATCGCCGCAATCAAGGAGAACCGCACCGCTTTCATCGAGGCCACAGATGATACCACCAACTCTGCTCCTGGCTCAGACGTCGAGCGCCTGACGGAGCTCAACAAGTACCTGCACCGTGAGAAGGAAATTCTCGAGGTGCAGTACAACCTTAAGAACCGCGAGGCCGAGCGGCTGCAGCAGCAGGTCGATGCCAAGCAGTCACAACTCGAAGAGTATCAGTTGAAGCTCGAGCAGGAACGTGTGGCTAGAAATGACACTAGCACGACAAAGTCACACGAGGAGTTGATGAACAAGCTGAACGAGCTCAACCTGATCAGGGAGAGCAATAGCACCTTGCGAAGCGAGAACAAGCGTATCGAACGTCAATTAGAGCAGAGGAACGCCAAGATCAAGGAGCTCGAAGCCACCATAGAACCTCTCAAGGCCCGCATATCTGAGCTCGAAGGCAGCAAGGAGTTCTTGGAGGAGGAACTGAAACAACTCGGCGAGGACCGAGACCATTGGCAAAAGCGTGTGGAGAGCATTGTGACCAAGCATGGGCGCGTCGACCCCGCAGAGTTGGAGCAGATGAAGGAGAAAGCGTCTGAGCTCGAGGCCGAACGCGACGCCCTGAAGCAAGCTGAAGAGCCGCTGAAGGCTAGGATCACCGAACTTGAGACGACACTAGAGACAGAGAAGAGTAATTGGACAGCAGCTCGCGGGAAGATCATCGAGCAAGCGAAGAACAAGAACAGGGAGAACAGCACTAAGATCGCGGAGCTCAATGCGGAGAAAGCACAACTGCAAGCACAACTTGATGAGACCACCCAGCGGCTGGCTTCGCTCCAGTCTGAGCTGGAATCCGCTATCCAAGAAAAGTCCGCCCTTGGTCAAGAGAAGTCTGCCTTGGAGCAGAAGCTGAGCGACGTCCAACAGCAGCTCGAGTCTGCCAGCACCGCGACTCAGGCGCCCCCTGCAGAGGTTTCCTCGGACGCGGTGTCTGCAGAGCAGCTTCTCCAGGTGCAGCAGCAGCTTGAGAGTGCACAGCAACAGTTGGCTGCTGCCAGCGAGGCCGAGACCGCCGCCTCCCAGGAGCTTGACCGACTGCGCTCAGAATTGTCCACGGCAGTGCAAGACCGCGATGCAGCTCGTGCCCAAGCGGAGTCCCAGGTACCGGGTGTGGCGGCCGCACAGCCGGAGGCAGCACCGCAAGCAGAGACCGAGGCCACGCAGAATGGCGGCGTTGTTGAGACTCAACCGGCCCCAGCGGCAACGTCGGACGCAGAGCGTGCTGAGCTTGAACAAAAGCTGGCTCGGGCCGAACAGCGGGTAACAGAGCTGGAGGCTGAGGTCGCTGAGCTCAAGTCAAAGGTGACCGAGTACGAATCGAACCAGAAGGCCATTGTCGACGCGCGGTCTCAAAAGATGAGAGAAGCGCTGAACAAGAAGCTGGCTGAAGATAAGGCTAAGAATCTTGCCGAGCTCACGAAAGAAAAGGAGAAGCTGCAAGGCGAATACGATTTGAGACTTCAGCAAGAACGCGCCATATGGCAAGCCGAGAACAAGGTGTCGAGCGCACCAGCTGCCACCACCGATTCTGTTGCAGCAACACCGACCAAGCAAACAGATCAGCAACCACCACAGACACCGAATACGGATCTACAGTCACTCCTCGTTGCTAACTTCTTGCAACTCAGCGATGCCGATACCCGCAAGGTTGTTAGTGAGAACCCTACCATCAAGAGCATCATTTCAAGCAACCTCAAGAAGAAGGTGGAGATTGAGACCAAGAAGGTCAAGGATGAGACGGAGCAGGCCTTGAAGGCGGAACACGAGGCCAAGATCACGGCTGCTAAGGAGCAGGCGACGTTCATGGCGTCGAAGAAGTCAACGCTGAGGATCAACATGGCCGAGAACAAACTCAAGGGCGCGCAAGCCAAGCTGAACGTTGTCGAGACGGCTGCCAAGGACACTCCAGAGCGCGCTGTCGGTGAGGTGTGGGACGAGGCCAAGAATGCGAAGGTCCAACCAGGACCGGAAGCTGTCGTCAAACCTGCCTCTTCACCAGCACCCACAGACAAGGCGGCGGCAGCAGCTGCGGCTGGTACGTTGGAGCCTTTGTCACTCACAACCCGTCAAACAAGCAAAGCTAACATTGTCTTAGGCACACCTGCAACCGAAGTCAAACCGGCACCGGCCAATGGTGCCATTCCGCCGAAGCCTGCCCCAGCAGCTGCGGCTGCCCAGCCGGCACAACCAAATCCTTTCGCATCCGGAATACCGGCGAAGCCAGCGACAGCCCCTGTCAACCCCTTCGCGTCGGCCCAGCAATCCACACTGCCCGTCAACCCCAATCAGGCTGCGGCTCAGCAGCCAACTGTCCAAGGCCAGCAAAATCCGGCCCAACCTCAGCAGCAGCAAGGGCAGCAGCCGGTCAAGACCGGCATTCCCGTGCCATCGCGAGGCGGGGCGCCTCGAGGAGGAGGCCGCGGCGGCACATACCAACACCCACGCGGCGGCGCACGGGGCGGCTTCCAGAACCGCAACGCCAGCGGAGGCCCGGCCACACTGAACCCGGGCGCGGAGAACTTCCAGCCCGGCAACAAGCGGCCTCGCGAGGGCGAGGCGGGAGGCGCACCGGCTGGAGGACAGCAGAACAAGCGGCCACGGGGCGGTGGCGGTCCACAACGGGGAGGTGCTTCCTAGGAGAGCCATTACACCTCTCTCCCCGCGCCTGTGTCTGGTTATGGATTCAGGGAGTCTGCGGTGCCGGAGACACGGTGGCTTCGGCCGGGACAAATGGGCTCTGGGCACAGAAGGGGTGGGAGATGAGGTACACAAGAGTGTATGAAAGGGAGCATCATGCATGCGTGCATTGCGTTGGTTGGTTGGTTGGTCTGGATGGGATTGAATGGTTTGATGCCTACTACCAGCGACGCTGGCTTCCATGGAAGTCATCATATTTGCCTGATGCCGGGTTTTTTACTTTGTTGAATGTAAACTACTAGTACTGATTGCTGCCTCCTTTCCTTTCCTTTTTCCGCAACTTTGCATTGGCAGGGGCGAGGGTCTGGTCTTCGAACGGTGATCAAAAGAATATGGAATTTTGTCAGTTCGTGCTTTTTTCTAATATGGTTTACCTACCCTATCTATCCATGGGTGACTACGTCCTTCGTCTGATGCTGCTTGCATGTGGTGATGTGAGAGCCGTAGTCCTGGGCTGGGCGGCATGTACTTGATGAGCGTGGCAAGGTGGGTACCTCTCCCATCACCCAGCCATCCGTCCCCATAATAGAATCCCCATCATCAGCCAACCTCACGGGAGATCACATACGACGTGGGTCTTGCTCGTACGTGTGTGGTGCACATCCTCTGCTACCGCAACCGACCGGCCGTGTCGGCTCCGGGAACGGCTTCGAGTAGAAAGAAATTAGTATGGATTACTTCTCTAGCAACGGCAAGGACGGGAACAAAGGTGTGATTGGATTTCAGATTAGATAGTGCCCCAAAACACTCCATACTTAGTTCCTGTTTTCTGAACCAGATGCCTTCCCGCCAGCCCCTTGCAGACAGCTAAAGCCACCGTCGCTGCAAATGTAAGTTGTGAAGCGCCTCAGTATTTCCTCTGGGTATCTCCATCCCGGTTTGCGATGTAACTTGTTCCACGATGTACACTTCTCTCTTATCCCACAGCGCCCATATCAGGAAGCTGAAAGGAAGCCAGGCGGTGTGCTCGAAGTCAATCATTGTCAATCGACTAGCTGGGTCGTCGGGATTCTCCAGCAGGAAGTTGTCGAAGTTGATGTCACAGTAACACAGCTTGAGGCCCTCTGATACAAGGTCGGCCGTCGTGAGATCAGGGTTGAGTTTCTCCTACACGTAGCGAGCATGTCAGTCAAGGTCTCGTGGCAGCTCTTGGTGAACGTACCTTCTCATTCTCTTGATTGATCCACTCCTGGAGCTGCTCCAGGGTATCGAAGTCGCATGGTCCATCGCAGTTGTCCCGACCGAATACGAAGTTCTTGATTCGGCCGCCGTTGACAGGGGCCGGGGCGGTATCGGGCAGCGGCGAGAGAGAGAGCAGGAAACACAACGCATTTGCGACTCTGTCTTTGAACGGGCGGACTATTTGATTCTTCGCTGACTCAGACATGTCCCTTGACCACAGGGTAGGCTTCATGATGCTACTGATAGGTGTCCCGGTGACAAACTCCATGACGATGCAGCTGTGAATAAATCCATCGATTTCAAATTCCGCGTAATCGAAAACCTTGGGCACGTACAAGCCCTGGCTTGTGGGTGGTCCTCGCTTGTTGATTTCGGTATGCACGTAGTCTTGCGTGTCGGCCTCCGCTCTAAGGGTGGGCCCTCCAACATGTGGCTTTACCCAAAGCCGAGTCACACCAGGAGGAAGAACTTTTGGGGTGAAGGGAAATCCTCTGATATTTTCGTAGAAGTGCCGGCTGTCGCATAAATCTTGGTATTCTTTTGTTGCTGCTATGAGTTCTTCGATGTTGACTTCCCAAGTAGATTCGTTAGGACAAGAGCCGTGCAAGCTGCTGTCCATTGGCGGGGTGCCTGTTTGCATAATCGAGGAAATGATTCACAGGATTTTTGAGTCAATCTATGTAACAACGTTGGTCGTAAAGGTGCTCGTGTGTGCAGGATCTTGTTCAGTGGTAGTCTTGTGTCAAGAGGCAAACAGCATGGGCACCATTGGGAAGTCCAGAATTTGGTGGTATCTCATTTTCGATGACTAATCACCAACCGGAAATTGAGTCCACTTCACGTATAGATAGGCGTTCAACCTAATTGGAAAGAGGCCAAAGGTCCAGGTCACGAATGACACCTCCGTGCCTCGTCGTTGTGGTCAGGTCACTAACGCCAGCGGAGCCGGGTACCGCTGGCATGGGAGCTTGCCGTAGCCGTGCTGATGCTTCACGTATAGCCAATCTCGTCTCGACTGTAACGCAATTGCAATGGCCAGGTTCCCAAACACATTTCAGAGGAAGCTTGTAGTAGAAGTGGCTTTGGCTTCGCCTCTCGCCACCGGTGGATCCGGGGCAGGCGTTCACCGGTTCAAGCTCCTATATCAAACCGAGCCAGCCCTCGTGCAAACATTTAACAACGGCGGCGGTGGGAGTGGTGGCCGCTAAGCCACGAGATGGTAGCGTTGTCAAAGCTGCTGGTTCAAAGTGAGATGACGGTTATATCAATGTTGAGGACACATCAGGTTTCCAACCGATTCGGTATTGGTTCACCCACGGCAGTTGGCACATCTTGTCTGACAGAGAAGAATTCTTAAAGTGCTGGTCACTTTGGCGCAGTTTGTGTTGGTCTGTGGCGGATGGGGACAGAGCGGTAGTTGTGTATTCTATTAGCCTCTTTACATTCTCGTCTCTGGATCAAGTCTTGGAGTTTTTGCGAAGTTTGGCCATTTCATATCACTATATATACACGCTCTCATTAGAAACGAAATATCGCTCTCGTTTACAACCTCAAGGATTTGGATTTTGCATTGTGAGAGCACCCACACGCTTGTCTTTTACACGAATATGCGCACTCTCAACCGTGAAAAGAACCCATCTAGATAGGTAGTGAAGGCGGAATATGACCCATATCACGGTCGGTCCAGGACGCAGTGCGGCAGAGGTAGTTCTAGAGGACAGATCTTGAGTATGGGAGCATTCAAGAGCTGAAAGCCATGCCACTTGTCCGAATCCTCAGTCAACTCTACAGAAGCGTCGGGATCATGAGACAGACTCGTCTTCTGCATAAGGTTCAATTCGAGTGAATATTACTAGGAGAATGTATTATTTAGTGTGTTTGTGATACGTAGTAGATTGCCATCCAATTCTCAACAGTCAGTTCCATGCTCAGAAGGAAAATGGGAAATCATATGCGACGTGGGTCTTGCTCGCACGTATGTCGTGCCCATGTCTTTGCCATCGCAGCCGATCGGCCGCATCGGCTCCGGGAACGGCTTCAAAAAAAAATTGAAACTTAGTCTATGCCGTTGATCGACGGAGTTTGCGACTGAAAGCCGAGCGAAAGCCGTGCTCCGAGACCCGGGGTCTGGCACCGACATCCCCCTTCGGGGTTTGGGCTATCTACGCCGCCTGCTGTGCTCTCTCGCCTACGGTCTCCTTCGGTCAAGCAATGAGCGTGGCCCTGCCCCACCCTGGTCTTTGTTGATACGCAGTATTCTACAGACAAGACGCCCGGCTGGTGTGGACAGTAAGCGGAAGCACCGGGGCAAGAGGGGGGTGTCACGCGCGTGCTTACTGTTGCGTCTGGCGAAAGACACGGCGTGTCTTTGGCCCGGCGACGAAACACCCTTCGGTTTTTAGTAAGCATGCATGAAACCTCAAGACAGGTTCCTTAGTCTTCACATTTTATCCGCCGCCAGGGTTTTTGCAATCCCCCGAAAAGGCGGAAATTGCGCCCACTGGAGGGCTTGTCAGATCAGGATGTGCGACCAGGCTCGCAGTCCTAGTCCGCCCCGTATTTTATAGTGCCTTGGGGCTGAGCGAGAGCGAGCGATGGAGAGAGGATGAGAGATAGGACTCGTGGGCAAAGTTGACCCTATCACTGCGACTTTAACACGGGCCAAGATGGGTTTGTAATCTGGCCTTTGGCCTCACACACACACACACACGGGTGCTCCGCCTGTCCTGGGCTGGTCAAGTGCACGTTGCTCGTTCCCCCATTGAACGGCCAAGCTGTGGGTTGGTTGGTGGGCAAAGGAGGGTGGCTGGTGAATGCGCGCCCTACTGCAGTGCTGACGGTACTTTCTGTTGTGCTCTGTTGTTGCATCGGGTCCAGGGTGGGGGGTGAAAGGGTGGGTGCTGGTCGCTGGTTGGTCCAGTGAATGCGCTTCTGCGCAAAAACAGCGAGAGAGAGAGACAACTCTGTGTCGCGAGTCCTTCTGCCCGCTGATGCGTATACGTGCCACACAGTTAGTATGGAGAGGGCTTGCATTAGTTTCGTCTGCTTCGCCCGCAAGATTCTTCCTTTAGATGGGGGCCAGATCCCATCATGAATAAGGCCAAGACCAGACCCGAGGCCAAGTTTCCACGAGGCGCGGTCGGCTGGTTGGTCGGCAACAGTTTTTCGGCCAACGAGAATGGGTTAGACAGCGAGAAACAGGTCAATGGGAATTTGGGCAATCCTATGGCCCCATTTGCCGATCCGGGGAATGAAATGCGCATGGTTGCTTTTTCCTTTCCCTCCATCTACATGCGCTTCTGCGCGTGCCGTTGTTTAGGGGGGTTAGATCTCATCTGTGGACAGGGAAAAGTGACTCACAGAACCAATTCGCCGTGCTGATTTGCTGCACCAGAAACAACGGGGTGTCGTAGTCCAGAGCCTCATGCTGGTGGTTTCTGTTTCAGGGCACCCGACACTGAATTGAGTTGTGGGGATGAGCTACGCCAGCGGCCGCGCCAGTGTCCACGGTGGGCCGCGGACAGACTTGGCCATCCGTCCCGTCTGCAAGTTGATTGTTGTGGCCCCAGGCATCGTGATCTCTTCTCGTAAGCAAGTCGGTAGAGTGTAACGCGCAATTGAGTGCGCAAGCGTGGAGAAGGCAGCAGACGCCTAGGTTCAACGCGCAATCTGCACATAGGCAACAAGCTTCTGTTGTCTGTCACCTGCCATCTGTCCATCTGCCATCTTGAGATTCGGCGTAACCGACTAGGGTAACGCTCTGGTCCAAGATGTCTTCCTGCAGGCCAGAGGGCATGTGGCCTAGATCGGTGCTAACGGAACAAGTCGCGCTACGAGATTGCTAAGGTACCTTATAAATTTTTAATATTTATATTTATATTGTAAATGTATATGTTTAAATTCATAAAAATGTATTTAAAAACTATACAAAATCTTGATTAGTTTCTAATAGTTCTCTTTATATTATAATCTTGAAACAGTTTTGTTGCTGTTAGAGTTTGGTGTAATCGCGACCAGTAAGCGCGCTGCAGCCTTAGTGCCATTTTGCGCACATCCAATGCGAGGAGAGTCCTACAGCGTTGCGGAATGCTGCGCTAGCGAGGGCTTTGTCAGGATGTGGCTTACGAAACCTTCCCAGGCCGTTATGTTGGTCCGCGACTACCGCCAACATGCTCTGTCGTGCTCCATGTGTGCCTTTCCACCGAACGTGCAGTGAACAGCCTCAGCCGCCGAGAATGTCGGAGGCACCAAGAGGGCAAGTGCGCTACTTGGATGTCTTTCGTCTCAATTCCCTGAACCAACCATACCGACGTTCTACCCGAGGGTGTCGTATTGTGGGAATAGCGCAGGTACGAATCAATGTCAGCCAGGCAGCTCCTTCGCGAGGTGGGATCGCAACGAGGCGCACTTGCGCACTGGCCAAGCCCGGCGACCTGTTTAGGGAAGGCGTGGGCTGGGTTCCTGAGAAGTGGAAGAAGCGACGTCTTCTAGGCCCACACCTCCCAGCTCACACTCCTCTTCAGCATCAACGAATGAGAGCGTTTTGGTCGTGTGGTAGACATGCATCTCATTGAAAAATACTCCACGTGAAGCTATCATTTACAATGTTTCCATCTTCTGGCAGGTTTTCCCACCGTCGATATCTACGTATCGTAAGAGGACTGGACGACAAACATTCGGTTCAAATGGTAGGACGTCGGTTTGGACGCGTGTGGTTGGAAAATCACCCCAGGCGTAGATATAGTAAGCGAGGAAGGGCTTGACTGTGACTCATACTTGCAAACTGGGGACCCCTGCAACGTTGGAGGGTGAGGAAGTGAGGAAGGAGGAAGGGACAGAGGGATGGTGGGGCAGCGCACATTTTGCCTGGGCTGGTAGATTCTGCCTGAGGCTTTTAAAACCACCCACCTCCCGAGCCCAGATCGCGCGTTTTCTCTCTTCCCTTCCTTTCTTCTCCCTCAACCCCAAACCATTACACAAATACACCAGAACAACTTGAGATACCGCCATCAAGATGTTCTAAACTCAGCCCTCTCGTGGCCTGCCCCGTGCAACTCAGTCAAAATTCAGTCTTCAGACACCCCCAGCTTTCCCCCCATCTCCACTCACTCAGTTCTTCCTGAAAAGGTCGATCTGAACTTCAGCCTGAATAGCTTCAGCTCAAGTTCGCGTCTCCCCACCGCCACCATTCCCGGTTCAGACCCCCCAGTCTTCACCACGGATTCCCAGTCAACATGGCTTCCCTCCAGTTCACAGAGCCTGCCGGCACCACCCGCGCAACAGCAACAACAGCAACAACACCAGCACCTGCAGCCGCCACAACAGGACTTTGTCTTGTTCGACACGCCGACGAAGCGTCATCTCCCTAATCGCCCTGCCTCCCACTCTTCCGCCATAGGAAGTGCATCGCTCAACTCACCGCAAAACACCCAGATCAACTGGCAACTGCCCCAGGATCTGCACCGTCAGCGAGTCGCACAGTTACTCCAGGCACAGGGCCACACTGCTTCGTCCCCGGCTTTTCCCAATCGGTTTACCGCGCAGAATAACCACTTCTACGCCTCCTCTGCACCCTCCTCGACCACTGCTTTGAACCAGAACCAGAATCAGAACCAGGCCCGGCAGCGACCGCCTGTCCCTCTATTCAATCAAAGCAACGGTAACCAGGCAACCACCCTCAAAATGGACGCCCAAGGTAAGAACCACTTCCATCCCCCGAGACTTGCGCCTCGCTCGGGACCTCGTGGCTCACAACGTCCTTCAGACTTCGATTTTGAGGATTTCACTGCCTTCGAGGGCGGCGCACCCGCCTCGGCGTTCTCGTCGCCAGCCAACCCGGCTTTCGACTTGAGCAGCTCCATGCACAGCTCCAACATTGGCACCGTCTCCCCACAAGACCTGCTTATGAACGAGCCCTACATGTCGGCGCCGAACTCAACTGCACTCACTGCTTTGACCTCGCCTTCCATCTACAACGAATCACCGGAATTCAACGACAGCTGCGATGTCTCTCCTAACTTTGGCACCAACGACTTCGACAGCAGCGACACCTGGTTCTCGCTCTTCCCCGAGCAGAACCCTGTCCAGGCAGCCCCTGCACCAGCTGTTGACCAGTCGCCTGCCACAAAGTCCGATGATTTCGAGACCGTTGAGAAGCCAGCTCAGCGACGCAAGTCTAGCAACTCCAGCTCTCCCTCAGGCCGTCACTCTTCGGTGTCGGGTGTTAACTCCCGTCGTCGGGACAAGCCTTTGCCTCCCATCATCGTCGAGGATCCCAACGATACTATCGCAATGAAGCGAGCCCGCAACACTCTTGCTGCTCGCAAGTCTCGGGAGCGCAAGGCCATCAAGTTCGAGGAGCTGGAGGAGAAGATCAGGAAGCTAGAGGCTGATCGCGACCACTGGAAGCAGGTCGCCATAGCACACGGTGCAACACAATAATCGATTGAAAGAAAAAAGATGCTCTTTGTTTCTCGCGCTCAAAAATGAACTGGAGGGTAGCACTTGGTCATTTTCCTTGTTTCGCACCTCCAGTCTAGGCCTTCCCAGAGGACGTCGGTCTCTGGTCAGCACACCCTTGGGGATGCTGATGAAGATGCTGGCTGTCAGGGTATACTACTAGGCTATACTGTTTCTTGTCATGTCGTTAGTCTTGATTATTGTGTCTCGGGTTTTCGGAACGGTTTCGACTGGCCGCTTATTGCAGGCCGTCAACTTCTTGCGCTATCACGGTTATCAATCAATTTGTTCTACCATACAGATATCCCTTCTTCCACTCGTGCTGTGCTCCTTTGGTGATATGCCGTCAGTTAATCAAGCCTTTCTTGCCACATTATCAACGGCTACTATCTTTACCGTGATGGCTTCTGGTTTCCTAGCCGTAGTAGTGCCCCCGTGCCGTTCCTGAGAAGCCCTACCATGAACCAGTACCCGTCTGCCATACGCCCTGTTGACACCTGTAGATGCTCTTCGCGTAGAAGTATGCCAGGTATTGGCCAATACACACGCCGACCTTTGATGTCCGTCCGAGCTGTAGACTGCAAGATCGATATCCCTGCGGATCTCTGCGCCTGTCTTTGACCCTCGACGACCGTCTTCGGCATTCCCTTCCCGTCAGCCACATGCTTCACATGGACACGACGGCTCTGCAAGACGAACGCCGAGTGTCAACATGAGGGCTCCATCACGTGAGCCCCGACTGGCTGGCTCGGCATAGTGGAGAGTCTACTGAGCGCCTATTCAGACAGTGGTGGGTCTGGAGCGGCACCAACATGTAACCAACACGGCCGGATCACCGGCCCCCTTCCCCGTCCATCGTGGGTGTGCGGACAAATTTCACCCGACATCAAGCCCAGACCGTACAGCTCAGAGACTCAGCCCATATGCCCCGAAACAAGAGCTTGATGTTGAATGCTTGTATAGATCCACCTATCCGATCATCTCATGATGGTGGGTGCCACTATTGGTGACGGGGACAATCTCCCAGAAGACCAGGGCGACCCACTAGGCTGGAAGCACATTCCCAGGCTGCACACATGTCAACACTGCGACAGGATCGTTGTAACGCACTTTCAGCTGGAGCATGGCTTGATACCATTGCCCCATACCAAGGCAGAAGCCCTTCGAGCGGAAGCAGACGGCTGCCCCATTTTTAGGATGCTGAATGGGAGCTGGCAACTAATAAAACGCCATCATGGACCAGGTGATCTTCTGAAGTTTTTCAGAATCCTGTCCGATCCAAAATGCTTCAAAGACCGGCAATATACAGTCGATTCAGCCTCCTGGTTGTCAAGACTTTCGAACCAAAACAGAGCCCGACTGGACAAGACAGCGATATTTCTTCAGAAAACCAAATTCATTCTCGACAATTTGCGTCGCCGACATCTACACCTCGTCCTCGGTTTTGCGAGAGTGAAATTCCTCCATGGCGCAACCACAATCGAGTGTGAGAGCGAGTTGAAGGTCTTAGACGGTACGTCCATGGACAGCCCATGAGGATCACACATGGCCTGACATAGTGCCGCGCAGAATATTCGGAAACAATCGGGACCGATATGAAAGTCTTGCACAGAAGGCTCGACACGGCAAGGCTTTATGAGAATCTCAAGACGATCTCTAGAACATGCCAGTCTTCACATGAACTTTGTCGAGTGGCGCCTATCGGCTTCGTGCCATCGAGGCTTCTGGAGGTCAGCCCGGACTCTGGCAAAAACCACATCCGGCTTGTTGAGACGACATCTGATAGGCAGTGGTCCTGGGCATGTCTGAGTTATGTTTGGGGTGGTGAGCAACGTGCTAAGACGACGAGGACTCGCCTGCCTGGATATCTTGAGGATATGCAACTCACAAGGCTGCCGCAAACTATAAAGGACGCCGTGGCTGTTTGCCGTGAGCTTGGCATTCCGTTTTTGTGGATCGACAGTTTCTGTATCGTGCAAGATGATGAATCAGACAAGGCACGGGAAATACCGCAGATGGCTCTGATATACCGGCATTCCCTGCTGACGATATCTGCTGCATGCGCTCACAGTGTGGAAGAGGGATTTCTGCATCATGTACGTCCTTTGTGCTATCGCCGCTTCGCTCCGACTAGTCTACGATATAGAGACTTGAGCGGGAGAGAAAGCAGGGCACTGGCCCTCATGGAAGGATCTCCCTTGCCTATAATGCACGATTCGAAGCAACCTATAGATGCACGGGCATGGGCATTACAAGAGCGGCTTCTCTCGCCACGGCTGCTTTCATACACGTCACACGGGCCTTTGTGGTCATGTCGGAGTCTGAATCAACTCGCCGATGAGCACGACTTTACGATCAGGACTCACCGAAATTCTATTTTACACCACGAACTTGAAGCTCGTGAGCCTGTCCCTTGTATACCAGGAATGGAGCTGGAGCCCTGGGATCATATCGTCGTGCTTTATTCACGTCGACAGGCCACGTTCCCTTCCGACAAGCTCGTGGCTCTTTCGGCGGTCGCACGAATTTATAGGCAGAGCAACCACGAATACGGAGCCTACCTGGCAGGAATTTGGGAGAACTCAATGCCTCTGAAACTACTGTGGGACGTTCCAGCTGAAGATTTACATCCCAGGCCTTCTGAATACACAGCACCTTCGTGGTCTTGGGCCTCAGTCGGCGGAGCGGTGCGGTACACGGACTGTTGCAAAAAAGTCGACAGCGGATTGAAAATCATAAATATGCAGACGGAAACAGTCAATAGCAACGAGTTCGGAGCGGTTACGGATGGGACGCTTATCCTGGATGCTCGGGTCCGGGATTGTCGACTGTTAAATGAAACGGACACAGAAGCATCGTATCTTCAGATTTTGAATGGGCCCGAGGTCAAGATAAAAGCGGACACGATGGATTTCTGGGCATCAATTTGCGGTGATGATATGGATGTCACGCTGCTACTCGTAGGCCGTGAGGAGCAGGTAATTCCTGATGCTGTGTCGGAACAGAGATGCGGGCTTGTCCTGGCTAAAAACAAAGAGAGAGAGAGCTTCAGCCGCGTAGCTTACTTTGCTTCTTGCTACCGGTTTGGCGGAATAGAATCCGCAAGGGAGTATGATGAATTCTTCGATGGATTCGAAATCAAGTGCGTTACCATCGTCTAAGGGGAGTCACCCATTTTGGGGAGAAGTGTGGATGCATTTAATTTTTGAGTCAGAAAAATGGCACATGTCTTGCCACAGGTCCAATGTGACCACAAGTTCCAGAAAGAGTATTTGAATGGTTCCGAGACCTGATCAGATCTACTTAAGTATAAAGATGTGCTTAGTGCATGAGGTGGAAGCTCATTAAACATCAAGCATATTGTTACTAAGGGTTTTCAGTGCCAATAACACTAAAGAGCTATTTCATAGAAATACGTATTACAGGTTGCACCCTGATCATTCCTGCCATTGAATAAATAAACTTTAGATCTCGATGTCATCTTTTCCTCTTGACCTTGTTGTTATCCACCATCAAAACGGAGGGGGTTATACACAGATTCCTGACATTTCGTCTGGACTTATTCAAACCTATTGAAAGATGATGGCATCGCTGTCGGTCGAAAATGACGCCGACCTGCAGGTCATCGAGGCGCGATTGAATTCAATTGAAAGCACTGTCTGGGCTATTCAGGATGGGACCTGGGTCTTCAACGCCAAAGTTCGAGATTTTCGCGTGAGAAAGCTGTGCTTTGAACATTCCTAAATGCCATGGAAGGCACTGAAGGTACCTTACTATATATGGATATCCACACAAATTTCGGGCAATCCGGCCTTGTTCTCGATCAGAAAGCATCGATGAGAGTAGCTTGATGCCTTTTTCTTAGCAGAAGTCATCATGAACAAGAAAAATATCTCACACAGGAGTACGACGAGTTATTTGATAGTTTTGTGTTGAGGCATGTGACCATCACTTAGAATACGGTCGATCTTGTGATCCTGTTCAGTGAGCAGGAAGGAATGATATTATTACGGGCCCCATTTCGACCACGGGCACGAACGGGAACGCGTTGGTAGGCCACCCATGATACCATAAAAAAACCAATACAAAAGAAAATGTTTCAAGATAACACTTGTTACCGGGACTGGCTCGAAAACACATTCTTCATAGCATCTTTCGAATGTCTTGAGGGTATATGTGAGCCTCACGAGGCTGCCGCAGACCATCGAGCACGCTGTGACTGTTTTCCGCGAGTTTGAAATACCCTTCTGCGAATTAAACACCTTTCAGGCATAGATGGATCCTTAGGTTTGCAGACGGCCATGTCCTGTTTTACTACTCACGTGATCAATCGGCTACAGATTTTCATCCTGCTGATGAAGGGCGGTGCTTGCAAAAACTAGTGGTCAAAAGGACCCCTCGAGCTGAAAGGGTGGCTTTTGAGCCGCAGTCACCTATGAGAGTCGCCCGACCACTGCGCGGCAAAGCAATGGTGCGAATGTGGCAACGCAGATTCAAAAGCACCGCTGTATAAGGGAGTTTCAATCCACACCCTCCGGTTTTGAAATCGCACCTGCTGAATTTGTTTTCATACTCATCAATTAGGATCACGATTACAAAGGCTTCTAGAATAATTGATATAAAATACTTTTCAAATTCATATGTCACGCGAGGGATTCAGAGACAGGAGCAGCTGCCCTCAATACGTCAAATTCGACATTACCTTCTGAAGTAAAGAAAGGCCTACAGGGCTGTGGACGCCTATGTAAGCATTTGCCAGCCGCCTGCGCTACACCCATGCACACACTCTCTCACTCAGTAAGTGCGATTTTGAAAACCGTGGGTGTGGGCAATTCTCATAAAGATGGAGCGTCCCATGTTCGCTCCGCAGTGGCGGAGCGCAAACTTGCACCCTTACCTGGAGGGCTTTCGGGGGCACGGCACCTGAGATCACCACTAGTGCTGGCCTTGGTCCCCGTGTAGGCACGGCGGCGCCCAAAGAAAAGGTCCGTTTGCAAAACGAGGCGGCTCTGCATCACCTACGTAGCATTTTCTCCGCGGCCACTTAGACAACGCCTGTTACCGCTGCATTATAGCTGGGAAATCAAAGCGTCGAAATTCTCGTGAGCGTTCTCAGAAACCCAGCTTGATTTAGCCACAGCCACAAAAAATTCCCCCAAAGCCTAGTGAGTGAGTTGGAGACTCCCTTTTCGCTTTGTGCAACGTCGCGATCTGGGTGAGGGGAAGTGATTTGTTGGCTTACGTGATGTGCGTGCACACGATATATGCAATCATGTTAAGTCATTGTCCCCTGGTTTATGCAACAGAGATCATTCTGGTAAAAAGTCACATCCGATTTGTGAAGGCAACATTTGATCTGGACATATCTGAATTACTTAAGTATGTATAGGGTGGTGAGCAATGTACTAATATGACGAGGACTCTCCTGCCCGAATATGTACCTTATAAAGTTGCTACAGACTACCAAGTATGCCCCGACTGTTTCTCGTGAGTTTGATAATCTCTTTCTGCAAGTAGAATATCTTTCCACTATAAATAAATTCTTCGGTTTGCGAACTGCGCACGTCGGTCCCCGTGTTCTGCTTTACTCACGTGATCAATCGGCTGCACATTTTCGTCTTGCTGTTGAAGGGCGGTGCTTGAAAGCCCAGCGTCCACTACGAAAGGACCTTACATGCAGTCTCCAGAGTACAACCCCGTCGGTACCCATCCCAACGAGCACCCGGCCACCAGACGGAAGGTACCGACCGTCAGTGCGGTGAGCCGTCGGCCGTCAGCGTCAGCAGAGCCTCATTGCCGTGACTGCTCGCATGACTAAGCTAGCCCATTCAGAAACCTCCCAGGCCAATCTTATTCGATCCTTTCTCATTTGCCTTTTCCTGCCGCAGCGTGTTGACGCTGTTGGGGGCCGAGCTTAAGTAAATCGAGGGTAATCCCAATCGGAGGACTTTCAAAAAGACGTTGCTTTCAAATCACAGTCTTTACCGTACATAACCAACCAATGCACATTCTTTTTATTTTCTCGTACCTATTGTGCGCAATCGTGGTATTTGTGCTCTGACTAGAGCCCGGATATTGTTCTTTCCCTAACTTTATTTCTGCTTCCATTGCTTTGTTACTCTCCCGTCAGTGCGCTCCCTCGTCCTTCGGAGGGCTGGCAGAGCGAGGCCTCCACAGTGAGAGGCTGTGTATGTGTCAAGGGCAGCCAGCAGGCAATTGCTTACATAAGCGCCCAGCCCTCCAAGCCTTTATTTACTTTGGACCCCGCGGCCGCCAGAGGACTTCCGTTCTGATGGAAGGTAGCGCCGACTTAACTGCAATTGACGTATTGAGGGCAGCTGCCCTGGTCTCTCAGTCCCTCTCGTGATACACACCTCTTATTCTACTCCTGTGGTTGCCCGTTTTCAACCGTTTTCGCCCGTTTTCAACCGTTTTCAACCGTTTTCAACGCAAGACTTCGCCTTGATATCCTTGCATATGCAGCCAAGTGACCTTTGACCAACAGAGTAAGCAGTGTATGAAATCAGAAGGGTTTGGATTTGTTTTGAACAGAAAGAGGATGAATGAGTTGCGCCCTGTCTACGGATGGAGATTGTAAAAGCAACGCTTCATGAACTCTCTCCATGGCCAGTAAGACAGCGCCTGTTACCGTCGCATTACATTCAGGGAACACATCAGATACCCGCCAGGACCTTGGTGCAGCCTTTCAATTGATCCAGCCACATTCGATGAGACTGATTAAAGTATATAATCAGCTTGATAATTCCGGACTGATAAAGACATTATGACTGAAGTAGAATTTATTTGCTTCATATCGCATGAGCTTTTGGTATTCTCTTTCTACGAATGAAACACCTTTGCAGTACAGATAAATTCTTGAATTCATAGACTGAACCGCGCATGCCTGCCCCACATATCCTGTTCCACTACTCACGTGATCAATTGGCTGCACATTTTCGTCTTGCTCTTGAAGGGCGGTGCTCGTAGAAGGTTGCTGCTGCCTGGAATGTGCTAGGGCTGAAATGGCCCGCAAAAGGGCCAGTGCGCCGTAGGATTCTGCCTTGGGGGCCTAAAAATGTAGGGCTGGGTGCGCAACTAAGTGCTGACAGCGGCGGGTTCCACGCATGAATTACATGGGTTCGTAGCACGGCCAATAAAGCAGAGCCTGCAACCGCTGCATCACAACTGGGAAACCAAAAGGTCGCAATTTCCAAAAACACTCTCAGAAACCCTGCTTGAAAACAACACAGCCAACACCCGCAAGAATCTTAACCTAGCCCTCTACTTAGTTAAGCCCCATTCGATAAAGGTACAGGGATCCTATGAGGGCTTGGGGCTGAACGCCAGCAGTTCTCTACAGTCAGGGGCCCTATCGATAGCTTCCCAGGGTTATCTTATCAGCCAACCGCCTAGTAAATAGCTTCGAGCTCGTGCAACTGCCTTGCCTTTGCCTTTCTTTCCGATAGGCAATTTCAGTAGAACTCGACATTTTTATCTCTTCATAAAACCGAGCCTTCGTGCCATGAATAGACGGAAAATTCTCAATTATTATAATTGACTTAATAATTCAGAATGATGAAGAGCCAAATGTCGGAAACGAAGCGAGCTGTCTGTACGTCGTAGTTGACTTGACTGCTATCAACATGCTGCCGAAAATCCTACTCAAGCGTTGGTGCTATGGAATTGTCCAGCCAATCTGGTATATCTAGGCACTGCACTGGCGACTGCATTCTCAAGAGCATTTGAAACACCTCAATTTTGCGAATTTGCCTTCATGAAACCTTTCATTTGCCCATGGAATACCTATTCGCTCTGGGACATCTCCTAGACGCCACCTAGGCAAACCTACCAGCGACAAGCCCAGGATCTCTAAAACTTCAAGGGCAAAAGCCCCGTACCCCATCCCTCGCTTAAAATCAACACAGCTTGAGTGTAGTGGATGAGCGACAGGAATGTCGAGCACTTGAATCACTTAATCCCGCCTGTAGATTTTGATAGGTCGATTCAGCACGAGGTGCAAGTCAGATCATGCCAGGGGGGCCTTGAATTTCAATTGACGATAGAGATATTTCAAAGTTTGAATCATGACAAAAAGTGATTAAGACTCGCACGGATACAGATCTAAGTACATTGAACTGTTACTTACTCCCGATACAGCTCACCGATCTATATCTTTGAAGTCATTTGATGTCATGTACTTTTCTATGTAGTCTCTTAAGGCCATGAATCTCGCCTTGACCGGCGATCGATCATTTCTTGAACCGTCCAGACCTCCACGGTGTGCGAGCTCGACTTTCCTAAGCTGTCTGCTCTCTACGGCCTATAAATTCGCGTTAACGGGCGTGTTGTCATAAAGTGTTCGAGTGATGTCTTTGCACTCACTTCCTCCACAGTGTTCTGACAGATATATCGTGTGATTTGCACTTTGTTGGTCTGTCCATGTCGAAATAGACGTCCTATAGCTTGACTCTCTACCGTCGGATTCCACTGCGGCTCGAAGATGTGGATACGAGTAGCAATACACAAATTGTTCAGTCTATACAGACACTTAGCAACCATCTCTCGGTTTCTAAATGGAGTATTTGAACTCACCCGGTTGATCCCGTGCCAAATGTGACCAATAGCACTTTGGTGTCTTGATCGCTGCGGAAGCTCTGCAAAGCTCTCTTGCGCTGAGATTGGGACAGAGACCCATCTACGCGAGCAAATCGAACGTTCTCATTTTCCAAGGCATCTGATATAGAATCAAGTGTTTTCTTCCAAAATGAGAATATCAAGCTAGGGCGGCCAATCACATGTCAGCATTCTTGACGATGAAGTCGACGCGAAAAGGGTGCGAAGGTGGAACGCGAACCATTTCTCATCAGTCGGTGCTTTTCGGATATTATCCAATAAAGCCGCTATCTTGGAAGGTGGTCCGTTCTCGTGAAGTGGGGATGTCTCTTTTGCAGTAAATACTTCGGGATCATGTTTCAATCCCGCGCCATCGCAAATTGGACAACAGGCAAGCTTGGAGGTTTCGTCCGAAAACCTGGGAAGACAGTCAGCGCAAACTAATTTCCTGCAGTGCGTTGCAATCGGAGCTAGGTTGGAAGCCTCCGTCTCCATTGATAGTATTTCACAACGGCAATAATAGCAGGAGGCGTCCTCGTTCTGCTGGAGCAAGCTTAACGTTTTGTCGTTTGGGTTGAGTGAGCATTCTTCAAGGCGGAGAGCTGTCGCGCCACAGTTGCAGAACAGGCGAAGACGTAGCAGGCTTTCAAGGACACCATATGCATCATTCTGGCCCTTGCCTTGATACAACGTTTTTTCAATAGCCTGATGGCACCCTTGAACCAGGACGTTGTACTGGTTCCTTTCTGTCAGACTCAAAATGGGTCGACACTCCTGGAACTCGATTCCAGAAGAGCCAGTAATGAGTTTGGTCGTCGAATACAGACCACGGATAGGAGAGTTCGTAGATTGTCAAAGTTTGAACTGACGAGTTGTCCGGCGACTTTGATACCTCCAACAATATGTCTCCGAAATTTGTGTGGGTCTTCGAGACTTGGCAGCCGAATAAATCGGACTAGAGCACCGAGGTCTTCCAAGGAATTTTGGATAGGTGTACCGGTCATGCACCAACGACTTCGCGCTGAAAGTTGATGAATTGCGTGGAACTGCTTTGTCGACCAATTCCTGATTATATGAGCTATCCGTCTTGCTTAGTAAGTGACTGTGCCATATTAATGGATCTAAGGTGGATCACCTTCATCGAGCACTATCCGATACCAGTGTATTTGGTTTAGCAACCCACGGTTGCGAGCTAGATCAGCCGCCACAGTCCCGTAAGTAGACAGCACAATATCGTATGAGCGGACAGACTTGAGTTCAAGTTGCCTCATCAAACCATGATATTTGTGCCAACGAATTTTCCCTGGCACGACGTGTCTAGCACCGTGATTAGTAGTATTCTGGTAGTGCCTTGGGATTTGTACGCACTTCGTTATCTCCTCAAGCCAATTATCAAGCAACACTGGAAGAATTAGCATAATTTCCAACTGAAGAGAGTCATTCAACCCACGAGCTGATGGGACTATAACGAGTGTTGCTGGCGTTGGTTTCAGTTGACCTTTTCTTTCGGCATCACACAAGTCCACGTGGCTCTTCGCGAAATCCAGGGTAGTGACTATAGTTGATATCATACTCAGGGTCTTACCCAAACCCATATCGTCTGCGAGGATCCCTCCTGACACATCTGTGGGAGCTGGACTGGGTACACCAGTAATCTTGTGACGGAACCTGCAAATCAGATCAAGCAGAGTCAGTTGCTCTGTGGCCCAGGGGAGAGTGAGAAGTTCTGTTAAGAAACTCACACAACGAGGCCGTCATCTGTGCGCTCTTCTGTCCAAAGTCTTCGACCTCTGGTGGCAATCCCGCGCTCTCTGGCTATTATGAAATCCACAACATCTCGTTGGTGTCTATGAAAGCGAAGGTCAGCCCTGACACGCAACCTTGAATTGTTTGACACCGTCAAGGCACATACTCCATCAAGACTGTATGGATATTTTGATCTACCTCAATCCGGGCCATCCCTTCGGGCACAGAAGAGTTGTCGATTATGTTCCATAGTTCACCATTCGGGTCGTCGTGTGCTGAAAGCTGCTTGTGATCTCCGTCAAGAGAATCAGTTCCTGGTCCTTCTCCTCCTTCGCTATAATATCCCCCAAGCTCATCCTCAAATGCGTCGTCCATGACCAGGTACTGGGGGTTGATGTATGTTGTGCCTTCGGGCAGTTGGTAAGGCCGTTGTAGAAACATTCGACGTTCTGACAATTGCTGGCCCACAGCCTCAGAAATTGACTCAGGGCCCATAATGTTGACCACTATATCGAACTTTACATTTTTAGTTCCCTTCAAGTACGCATCCACAGCTTCCTCCAAGTTCGAGCTCTCCATGAATGCTTCATAGGCAAGCTGATGTTCAGAGGGTAGCGATGCGAGCTTGGAAGCTGTCCTGTCATTCATGACTCCCAACATGACATTCTCGCTTGAATAAATTGCCCAAGTATCGGAGAGTTTGGATACGTGGAGAGTCTGGGCTTGTTTCCTGATCTCTCTTAAAACGTTTGCCACCTGACTGCCTTGACATGTTGTGAATTGGCATTTTATGTCGCATAACTGCAGGATCTGAGATTTGGTTGATCTACGCGTAGAGAAGTTTATAACTTACCATACCAAAGCACACTATTTCACCACCACTGGAAGTCTTGCTTTCATCCCCATCGTGTCTGACTTGCTGCGGCAAAAGACACTCCTTCTCATCCGATTGTTTTCTTATAGCAGGGTCTTGCTTTTATGTGAGAATCAACCCACAAACAGGGCGATATTGGAAGAGCTAACCGGGAGATGTGAATGTCAACGACGAAGGGCATCCATTCTTCTGCTGGAATCCGTCACCCAATCGCTCAATGATTGGAGTCCCCAGTTTGGAGTTCCCAGTCTGGCGTTCAATCTCTGGCGTTTTGGACATGTCCTGCTATCACCATCATCAAGGCCGATCATGTTCGAAGATTGATCAAGTTCAACAACAATTTCGCATTCGAGAGCAGGCATGAGTCTGGAGGGAGAGAACAAGACAATGTGGTCATCAAGGCTGTCCGTAAACCAGAAGACCTGATTTTGCAGAGGGCGCTAATGCAGCCAGGGGGTTGTCTGCATCGCTGAGCAATGGCTGTGCAGAGGCGCACGCGTCGCACAAAAGCACTAGTCACGCAGAGATAAGGAGTGAACTCGCGAAGTGCTCCGCAGCAGTCACTGGGATTCAGCCCTTCCTTCAATGCAGGCTGGCCAGGCAGCCAGGCCGGTCACATAGTACGACTTTCTACACATCTTAGTCCTGATGTGCATTTCCACATCAAGCATTGTCGTGCTCTCATCCCTAGAGACTTTTTGTCTTGTGCCGAAGCGCGCATGTTTCTGTTCTTGGGTACTCCCTAGCTCTTGCCAATGCTTCCGGTTGATTTTTTAATTGTTCAACGAGAATGAGCAACACGCCAGGTAAAACACTGTGCGAGTTCGAGATTGCCCTCGAAGACTTCAAGAAAAATGCCCAACTTGGCCCAGACGAGGCCAAAGAATTCCGTTTCGCAGACCTTAACAGCTTGCGATCTACCATCAAGCGAATACAAACTGAACAGGAAGCCAAGAGAAGAATGCGGAACATGAAGAGGCTCGAGCCTTTTCTTCAAATAATTGAGCAATATGGCCACGCTGTTGACGTCTTCGTGAATACATCTGAAATACTAGCATTCGTCTGGGTAAGCGTTCGCTGGGCTGGAAAGCACGTACGGATTGGCTGGTACTAAGATGCATGCAGGGGCCTATGAGATTTCTGTTAAAGGTAAGTCATTGCGAAGATGGGGGAAGAGGATTCATGGATATACTGAGATAGACGTACAGGTGGCCTCAAAGTACGCTGATGCTCTAGACCGTCTTCTTGAGGCTTACCAGACCATCTGGGGGGAACTACCTCTTCTCAGCTCTTTACAAGATCTAACCTCTGGTCGACCCTACACGAAGACGATCCTTAGCTGGATTTATCACGATATTCTAGACTTCCATAGGGAAGCCATGAAGTACTTTCGGGGTAAAGGTAAAGGCCCAACACAATTTCCAGCACATGGTATTGAGTTCCTTACCACGATGTCTAACCGTTCACAGTTTGGCAACAAGTGTTTCAAGCAGCATGGAGAGGCTTCAGCTCAAAAATAGACTTGGTGAAGACCAAAATGCAACGGAACTATAATTTGCTCAAAACCGAAGCATCTCTCGCTCAATTCGAGGAAGTCAGGCGAATTCACCGCATCGCCGTGGACGAGTTCAATAATCAACGACAGGCCGAGCTCGATAGACGCCAAAATTATGTTACACAGTGGCTCTGTGCTCCCAACACACAAGGATTTCAGGAAGAAATTGCAGAAGCCAGAATTTGTGCTGATGCAGGTTCATGGCTGGTAAGGGATCGTAAATTCACGAACTGGACGGATCCGCATTTCTGTGACAATCCACTGTTATGGGTAACGGGTAAGCCTGGTGCAGGTAAGCAGTGCTCCAGATAGATGACACTGGCGATATTTTCTGAACTTTTCTAGGAAAGTCAGTATTGGTTTCCTGTATTGTGGATGAGATTCGAAAGTCGCAAAGACTATCTCGAGGCGCCGCAACACAGGACACGTCGATCGCCTTCTTCTACTGCAAACACAAAGATACGAGTCGAAACAGCTTTCTCGCTATCGCTAAAGGACTTCTGTCCCAATTGCTTGACCAAAATAAGCACCTGATCCAATACTTTTACGAGAAGTCCTCGAATTGCGGTGAAATCTCTTTACATACCAAGGTCCTGGCTGGAGAGTTACTCCGTGTTGCCCTTAGATGTTCCAAAAGAACGTACATACTCTTGGATGGCCTTGATGAGTGTGATGCAAGGGAACGCAGATATATTGTGGAGTTCTTAAGGAATACTGTTGAGGCCCTTCCTACTGCGGACATGGACTCAATTCGATGCCTCTTTGTCAGCCAAGACGACAGAGAGGCCAGAAAGGGCCTGTCCAATATCCCGTCAATAAATGTCTGCCCTTCAGATACAAAGCATGATATCCACTCTTTTGTCAGAATTTGGAAAGACAAGATCGAGCAGAAGTTTGGAAACCTACCAGGGATGAGATACGACATTGCGAAGATTGTCACAGCTAAGTCCCAAGGTATTTCTAGCAGCCTCCACTTACTCACGCTGAGACTATAATTACTGATCATTCGCCAGGCATGTTTCTATTCGCCAAACTTGTTATGGAGAATATGTACGAACAAACTTCAGTGGAAAATCTCATTTCAGAGTTAGCAAACTTTCCGGCTGGACTCGATCAAGTGTATGCCAATTCCTGACCTTTCTCACTGGGATGAGACCGTTGTTATGATCATGAAACTTATCACCGAGTACAGATACGCCCGCATTGTAGAGAGAATCCTCAACCAGACCACGTCAACCAGAAAGAGCGATGCTCAACGTCTTCTTCAATGGCTGGTCTGTGCAAAACGGCCCTTGAAGTGGTACGAATTCCAGGCAACGAACTGCGTCGATCTAAACGGAGACGATTATGATCCGAAAGAAATCTCACAAAGGATATGGCGAGAGAATCCCAAGGATATCTGTGGCTCTTTGATTGATCATCATAAAGACGGAACGGTGGATTTTGTGCACCCAACTGCTAGAGAGTAAGAGCCCAGCTGGAAGACCGACTTGAAGACTAGCTGATGACCCGTGAAGATACCTCATTAGAACGAGAGAAGTCATACCGAGCGAATCTCATTTCCAAATCACCTGCCTTACTTTAGGATATCTTAACCTGCCTCCTGCAGACCCCACTGCTGATGCAGAAATGACACACCAGGCCCTGATGGCTGGCTTCTTCGCCTACTTAGAATATGCGGTGGTATGCTGGTCTCTTCACCTCCAGGAGTACTCGGAGTCCCCGGGAGAAAGCAAGAATTTGGAAGAACTCGGTGAGGAGCTGGAGGTCTTCCTTGGAATACATTACAAACAGCCGGCAGCGGACTTGACAGTGCCTAATTCTATCAAAGAAGAGCTTTCGATCTTCGACCGTTTTGATTTCCACAAAGAGCTTTCCCAAGCTGTTACATGGTCACGGAAACAACTTGGAGCCCATGGAAAGCCACTAGAGAGTGAGCACGTGCTGGATCTTTTGGAATTGGTCAAGCGGGTGAGAGGTGTCCTCGAAAGTAGTGGGAAATCCCAGCTCACCGATGAGCAGAGGTCTTCTCTGAAAGCTCTCTATGGAACAAATTGGTACAAATGCTCTCGGACAAATTGCTTTTATTTTCATCACGGCTTTCAGAACGAGTCCCAAAGACAACAGCACATCGATCGCCACGAGAGACCGTTTTTTTGTGATATTTCCGATTGCGATTTCTCATCCCTGGGTTTCTCTAGCAAAGACGCGAGGAATAATCATATGTTGGAAATTCACGGATTCGACACAGACGGAGACCTCGAATTTCCAGAGCCACCACGGAAGATGCAAAAGATCAAAGCCGGCTCCAGTCAACACCAGTGCGATGTGTGCCTCAAGACATTCACGCGGGGTCACAACCTGAAAGCACATCTGCGGAGCCACGCCAACGAGAAGCCATTCTCTTGCACAGTCTGTGGTGCATCTTTCGGGAGACAGTATGACAAGACAAGGCATGAAGCGATACATGTCGGAGAGAAGAAATTCGTCTGCTTCGGAACCTTGAAGTCCGGGTCGACATGGGGGTGCAAATTGACATTTGCCCGACAAGACAAGTTGGCAGATCATTTCAAGAGTAAGACAGGAATGCAGTGCCTGCGGCCTGTTCTCATGGAAGAGCGGCAGGAGGCAACGGGAGGCAGTTCGAAAGTGGACTCTGAGGGTGCGGGGGCCACATCAGGTAGCGTAGAAGACGACCTTGCGAGGGAACACGTTTTATTTCTGCAGCACTCGTCTTATATTCATAAACCCAATCTTCCTACCTTGTAAGCCATGATTAGGCTGATAGTTCTAAAATTTCCAAGGTCATAGATTGCACTGAAATATTACTCCAGATCAAATGTTAGAAAATATCCACTATATCGTTTTCCGCCTCACATGTTCTCGATTGACTTTGACATCCAAAATCGCTAATCTATCTTTGCTGATCTTGACGTTTCCTTCTGACTGGAAGCCACTTGCAATAGTGCCGGCCATGGTAATTTCATCGCCACGGCCACCCTAGAAACTTCTTGGCCGGGATCTCATGTCAGTGATTCTTGTCCTGATATTTGGCTTGTAAGAACCGCGTGGTGTGTCTAACTTTGTTTGTAGATCAAAAGCAAGCCAGACAATCGGAATCCTCTTTGGCATCTCCACGTGGCGTCTCCTGGACTAATAGTCGGGGGATTCGTTGATTTAAGCCGCTTTTAGTGATTCTTCGGGGGGCTGTGAGCCAGCCATGGCGAGTATGGCTCTCTCGGGATCTAGGGTCGGAGCATCTGCAGCGGTGGACTGAGCGGAACTCGCGGTATGTCCGCAGTTTTGGCGGGTCTCTGTATCCTCTATCTTCTCCTTTTGCTGTGCTTCTAGGACATCTTGCACCATCTCGTCAGGGTTGATTTTCTTCTTAAGGTATTTCTGGATTAGCTTCCACCGGACGATGACGTCTTGTTTCTCTGCATCGGAGCTCTGCAGCCACTCCTCGTACCCTTGAGCTGCCCTGGACGCGGCGATATAATCCTGCACATTGCTGCCGAACAACTTTTGCACCTCTTTGCTGACCCCCTGCATCGTATGACCGAGGATACCAAGGACAGCCGCGCTCGGCTTAGCTAGGAATCCTCCGATCCCTTTGCCGACCCCTTTCACAAAGCCGCTGGCACCCTCTTTCTGGGCGCCATTCCAGGGCTGAGTGACCAGGCCAGTGACGCCATCGTACCAGCCAAAGCCAAACTCCCTTCCCACTGCCTTGAGGCCCGACTTCAAATCGCTGACCCTTTCTTGAGGGCGCACAGTGTCGTCTCCCCAAAGCTTAGGGATATTGTGGAACCCTCTTGTGAAATTTACTGAAATATCCACTGGTGCCTGCGCAACCGCCTTTACAAAACGCCCGGCGCCTTTGCTCACGTGCACGCCAGTCGGGCGCAGCATGTCGGGGTCTTTGGCGGAGCTAGATTCATTCTGATTACGGATCCGGCTTCGGGTAGCGTCGTCTTGTTTCGACTTCAACTGGCCTTGTAATGAACTAGGCATAAAGCTTGATCCGACGTCCAAAGTAGGTGTTGAGTGACCGGAGAGGTCAGGAGGGCTCCGAACTTGAGTAAGAGAGCCGCCTACAGTCGAGCTCGTCTCATTTTGACCAAGGGGAGTCGACGGGCTTAATTTCGCCCCCACAAGTGAGATCTCGCTTTTGCTCGCGATTGTCAGCACTGATGCTTGGGACTGCTGTCGGCTGCGCCCAGCCGGAATCTGTAGAGCTCGCCATGTCTCCGAAGGAACATCGGCTAGCCCCATCATCATGCCCCCAACCGCCCTCACAAATGCCGTAAACCCTCCGGATATTGGATCCCAGGGACCTTCGTCGGTGTAGTGTTCTTGTGGTCTAAAGAGCTTCAAGTCTTGGAAATTCAAAAGATTTGCGTTCGCCAAAGTACAGGCAGCAAAGGCACTCAGCCTGACCTTGGTGCGCTTGACGCGCCACGCGGCGGGTCGAGATGGTGCAAGGGCGCAACGGAGTCGGTCGGGCTTGAGTAATTGATGGAACGACTGGGCACCCATATCGCTGCCTCGCTCCGCCGCGATCTTGCTCGCGAGTTCTTTGGCTCGGTCCAGGCTTTCGGGCCTCAGACAGAAGTTGATGGCATCGGCTAATTTGTCCGCTGAGAGTTGTCTGTGAGGGATCGGATCGGGACCTGCGCCTGCTCGGGCGACCATGGCGCCCCAGAAGGGTTGATCTCCAAAGAAAGGAACAACTACAGTTGGCCGGCCTGCCGCAATGCCTGCCGACGTAGTTCCTGCGCCGCCATGATGCACGACGCACGAGACGTGCTTGAAAAGCCAGTCATGTGGCACGTTGCCTAGCATGAAGACGCCGTCGGGGACGTGAAGCTCGTCCGCGCCCATGCCTCCCCAGCCTTTGGAAAGGAGGACACGCTGGCCTGTCTTCCCCACGGCCTCGAAAATGAGTTCCGTCATCGCATTGGGATCATCCAAAACGATGCTCCCGAATCCAATATAGACGGGAGGTGGACCGTCGTCGAGAAATGCCTGTAAGTCAGGGGCAGGAGTGTAGTCAGAGGCCAAGTTGAGAAAGTAGAACCCAGAGATAGATATGTGAGGGCCCCAGTCTTTCGGTTTGGGTATTAGGGCTGGAGACCAGCAGTAGGTGTGAGGAATTTTAAGACGCTGGAGCATAGCGGGGGCCCAGATCATACTGAGGGGGTCCAAACCGAGACACTTCACGCGAAATCGGTTGATAATATCACCCAGGCCCTGCCACGAGAGGAGTTCGATCATAGCATAACTGACGTAATTAGTAAGTTGGGGGTCGGCATTCGAGGATTGAATGTTAGCCAGGGGATGAGGAAAGGCCTGGGTAGGAGAATATGGCATAGTGAACATGATATGGAGCGGGATGCCTAGCTTCTCTGCACAATGGATATGGGCAAAGCTTGGGGGATTGGCGATGATACAGTCGGCAACAAAGTGTTTCGTTGCAGGTTCAGAGACAGCGTTGTCCTCAGAGGGCTCGGAAAGGTCATCATCGGTTCCCTTACCAGCTTGGTAACATGATCGCCAGCAGCCTTGAATGTATTCGGCAACATCTTTTCTTCGCTGGCCGACGTCTCCGCTTACCACACTGCGAAATCCCGGCCTGAGGCCGGGATTCTTGACCATGAAGGCCATTAGCCGGGTGGGGTCGCCGCCAATACTGAAGAATTCCAGGCCCTGCTCCTGAACGAAGTCCTTGAAGGTAGGGTGAGTCGCTAGACGTACACGATGGCCGTACGTGTCTTTTAAAACTTTTGCCAGGGCAACGAAGGGCTGCACGTCTCCGCGAGAGCCCACAACCTGGATGACGACGTTCAAGGGCGGAGGTGGAAGAACTCCCTCTTCGCCTCCTAGAGAGGGAGGAATGTATGGGGGAGGGATAGGGCGACTATCCTGGACATCCTGGACATGTTGACGTAAAGCAGGAGTAAAGATCTGGGACAAACGGCTATTCAAATGGTTGATGCGGATGTCGACACGGCCATCGTCGGTGAGACGAACACTGGCACCCGTGCCATTGTTTTCATCGCGGACCCCGCCATTGATCTCACTGCGAGTCGGAGGGGAAACACCGTCCTCAGTCAGCTCTTGATCGGTAAGGTCGGTCTGATGCAGGAGGGCATTGTCTGTCGTGGGTCTCGCGGATTCGAGTTGGGCGGCAGTGGCAGCTTGTGCTTCTTGAGGTATGGAGTGTAGCACCACGATGTCCGGACTAGGTTGGCCCATTTCTGAGGGAGTTTGAGCGTCTATGATGTGAGTGATAGAAGGCAGGCTAATTTTGCCTCGTTCAGTCACGGCATCAGTATTATCTGAGGCGAATGGCTGGGTGAGATGACGCAGTCGCAGGTCAATGCCAGGTGTGCGTGAATTGACCAGTGGGCTGTGAGGAAATGGCAGATGGAGCTGGGATCGGGATATTCTCGTACTTGATAAAAAGCCGATCGAAGTCAGCAATGATGATTCAAAGTATATCTATGTCAAGGAAGCAGCAGCTTTTAGCGCGGTGGTCAGCCGTGGCGCAGCACATCCTTGGAATACACGTTTCTTCATTGACAAATCAATCTTCACATATGAACTGCGTGTTCGGCAATCGCTCTTTCTGTGCATAGCTTTGTCGCATCTCCAGGCAGGATTCGTGTATCTGTGCAGCTTCTTCACCCCCTTATTGATCTGTATTCGCACGACTCTCGCAATTGCATTAACCATGGAATCCACGAAGAGCATCTCCACAGCGGACCCGACCCTCCGCAACAGACTACGGAAGTTCAAAGACATAGTCTTTCTACTATCTTCGCGCTTCAAAAGAGCACGTACATATATGTATATAAAGCGTGTGGGGGCCATAGTGACCATCTCTGCGGCCCACCAAAGCACGGTATGGTCAGCGTGTTCAGCTTGGCAGGTCGGAGAGCACTTTCCTTAATTCTGACTGTACTTGCAAATTGTGAGCTGGACTAGGGAAGCTCATACATCACCGACGTAGCAATGCAGAGTGCTCCTGCCAGTTCCAAGGAACACTACGCGAAGCCTTGTTGTCATGTACGTGTTTCCCTTGTGTACGCCTTCGTAGGTTCGTTTCCCGTAAACATACCAGCCGTGGGTCCATATTTTCTTTATTGTGTCAAATGCCCACGATGAATGACGAGTACTACCAATCTGCGATTGCCCGCGGGCGCCAGCTGTACGAGAAGCAAGCAGATCCGGAATGGTTAGTTGATGGACCAGCCCCGGATATGCGAGCCGCCTACAAAATCGTCACGGGCACCTCGGACCGTGTCGAAAGGACTCGCGAAGATGTAAGCCACCCGCTGGCGCGGGAGAACATGGTGACGACCAACCTCCCGTGGGTAGAGGTCAGCAGCCGGCGAAAGAATGCGAAGCACGACACTCTGTGTCGCACAATTGTTCACGCGAAATCCGGCGCCTTGATCCTTATGATCAACAAGGATCGGGACGGAAATTTACCCGTCGACCAGCTCAGACCATCCGAGATCATGTGGCAGTCCTTCGCATAGCATGCAAGGGCCACACAGAGGAATACCCGTAACTTGCGGATTGTGTTTCAGCACCTGGTAAGCTTAATGCTATTAATGAACGCATGACTATGTGGTAATGACTCGAAGTGCTAGGATACTGAGATTAAAAGCAAACGTTTAGGGACTGGAAGAAGTTTGACCTCAGCACAAACGTTATCAGATTTGCTCCGCCAGGTGTTTCTGAGGTTAATCTCTACTGAAGTGGTAATTAAACAGTATTGAAGAGCTGGGCTAACAAAGATGGCATCCCTAGCCTTTTCAGTTGTTCGGAGAAATCGATGAACATTGTGAATATCCATTAGTCCTCGGTAAGTTCAGAGGAGTCCACCATACTATTGAAGCAACCCCTTCCTCTTCCATAAATAGAAAGTAATATCTGATGTTGCGTATACAGAGTTTCGAGACGGCAAGGAGGTGTGAATTCTTGCTTGCAGACTTGAAGAAGCAAGTCAAGAAACGTAGACGTGAGCGCTGAAGTTCCGGGGAAACAAGCGAGAAACACAATAGCTTGGAAGGTAGACTGTTACCAGGATTTAGCGCAGATGCTGATTCCATAATCTCTCTCTCAGTACAGCTAGTACTAAATTCGTGTTCCAGATGAGCTCTTGGGTTAATGCTAATAGCTGAGCAATGTTCCGAGCGTGGGAGAAATATCACTGCCCACTTAATTAGGGGCTATAATCTGGAGGAACCACATTGGGTGAATTGAGCGCGAACACGAGTAATAGAGATTGAGATTCTACGGTTCTAAATCTAGATTGGCATCGTAGAGGATTTCTTTACAAAAGTCAATGTGACGACCATACCGTCCTATCTCGTCTCCATCCAGATGTCCGCGGAGGGTCCAGACGCAAGCACCGTCTCAAATAATATTCTTAGTAAAAAAGCGATTGGATCCCAGCATCTTCCGAGATGCATGAAAGCCCCCTCCCCTGGTACCCAGGCGGTATCCAGGGATGGTATCTGAACGCTACCTGTGGGAAAGCACTCCTGCGCAAAGGCGCCAAGTAGCATGCTCGTACCTTTAAATGAAAAGAATTGACAAGAAAAGCCTTTATCAGTACAGCCAATTCTCTCCTTCGGGTAACTTCGGTTGAGCAGGCTGAGGAATGGAAGGGGGGCCCTGATGGATTTGGTGGATAGTTGTCAATCGAATCCCACCTCGAAGGGTCTCGCAGACTCAGGAACAGATCTCGCTGGCCAGTCTCTTATCACCGCCAGCCTATCAAACCCAATGACGGATAGGGCAATAGTCGAGCTTATCCGATTCGGCCAACTCGGTATCGACATAAAAAGACTCCCCGTCAAGGCATGCCCTGGCCCTACGGACCGCCTCCCAAGTGTCGAAATTCCGATCAATACTACCATTCTCCTCGGCCATCGCCAGCGCGCCCGCAGCAAATTTATCAGCGTCACGAAAAGTCTCTTCGTCCAGTATATTCTTCATTGTCATAAGACGGGGACAGCGAACCTGCTCACGGCGCTCGAGCTCCATGATAAACCGAACAGCTGTGTCTAAGCGGACTCGGACCACTTGCTGTTTATCTTCAAGTTGTGATAACTCATCTCGGCTGAGTGGTAATATAGTACCACCCAGACTAAAAAAGTCAATCGGCTCGCTCAGGTGTTCCTCGTTCCCTGTACGCACCAACAAAACGCCAAATTCTTTAAACATTATATCACGGCTCTCAGCCTCCGACTTACCAATCCAGTAATTTCGTGCGTCGTCGACGACAATTATAATGGATGGATAAACGACTCCCATCTCAGCGCCGTGCTCAATCCAGGAGTAAGGGTCCTTTGAACTGACGGGTTTGTCTTGCATATCCGCTAAGGCGTCACAGATGTGCCTATGTGTGCTGATGATATCTGTAATCGGCCTTATTTTCGGTCCGCCCAACAGCATTATAGAGTTTGCGAAATAACGCTTCTGTTGCAAATTGGGTTCTTCTTCTCTGTCGCTATTGACTTCCTGCCAGGCTGCGAAGAGGCCACGCCCAATATATGGGACCCCAAAATAGTCAGGTCCACGTTCCTCAAACTCCGGTTCAAAGTAGATGGCGGTCGTCTGATTAAGCCATGCACACCTTGTCAGGAGTATATCATCGTCGGGTATTTGGGAAGGATCATCAGTCCACAATCGAAAGTCCTCGAGCCTCTGCGTCGAAAAGGCGTCTCGATTGAAGGAGGTTACCTCAGGTTCACCCGAGATGTATGATCTGACTCGTGCGGGCAGGAGGTGTCCATTTTTGATTTGGCTTGCATGAGGAAAGATGACTCCGTCGGTTAAATACGGGACACGAGGTATATAAAACCAATGGGGCAGCCACGCTTCCTTCAGATAGGTCCGAAGCCAGCACTGTAGCAGGGAGCCATAGTACACCTTCCTCAGCTCACATCTTGTATGCTCGGCTAGCTCCATTGAAATCGGCTCTTGTGTAGCCTCCTCTATGTAGCGCGGGTTCCATCGACTCGAATGAGTGTCGGTGTCCAAACGCCATTCCCACGGGGCTTGCGATGGCATAGGTCTTCCGCCACGGGGCATGGTAAGTGGTTTCTGAGTGTGCGTTGAAAAGATAAATGTCCTTGTGAAGCGTTCTTTATAGATCTTTTCCCAGTGAATGATTTCCCGCTGGGAAACAGCCGGCTTTGTATTTTTCGATCGAGGCGTCTCGGATTCTTGGCTAGTACTCTGGTGGTATAGCGGGCCGTAGATTCAAATGCCCCCATACTTGCTGAGGTTTTGTTTAAGAAACCCTTTGAGGAAGCAGATTTGTTTGTTGATTGTCGAATTTTGAGGAGTAGAAAAGAAGGCTGTGTTTGGGCCTCAGACACTGAGCGGGGTTTATTGGTGGGCCCAATAGCATTAATACCAAAATGTTTTAAGGCAATTTGCCGAAGCTAATCATACTCATCGCCTCGATCCATTTAGCGTACAGCCGGTGCCAGGAAATGACCATCAACCCTTCACTAAGGAGGCGTCGCCAGGCCATTTCACCTAACTCATAACTGATAGGGCATGTCCAGGTGAACGTCGTCTTCCATAGGTGCTAGACGCCATTAATTCACCAAAACAAGTATATATGGTTGCGTAAAACGTGATCCTAAAAGCAGTATGGTCATGGCTACTACGCACGATAACTTGGAGTGTTTGTTGCTTGATACGAAAAGTGTACGACTCGATGACCTTGATTGCAACAAGTCTCGTGCCTGCTAAGCTAGCTCCAGCCTATGACTTTCCGCTCCAAACTAACGGCAAAGTCATGGACTGAGGCGGAGGTACCTAGCATAGTTACTTGCGAGTTGGATTCAGTCACAGGACACACCAGAAGGGCCATTTCTATCTCTTCGTGTGGGAACCTCTCGTGCTGCGACACGCGCTAAACGGCATCTCCGTGACTCCGAATGCGAATGACCCTGCCCTCCCCGCTGAAGGCAAAAAGCATCAAAGAAACTCAGGGAAAAGGTAGAACACCGGGCAGACCCTGCTATTCAGGACACAGGCCACAGATCTTCTCTAGAGAAGGCACCTCCCAAAAGAGGCTATTTGTAGCCTAGCATTCATTTTCTCTCTACGACTAATTTTAACCTTTAAAAGCATTCTTAAATTACAGCCAGCCAGGTTTTCATGAATCCCATGATGGGCACCCTTCACCACCTCCGAGTGAATGGCCTGGGAACTTTGTTAGCCAAGATTCGGACCAGTCTCTTTGGAAAATGGTTCAGTCTGCGGACCTTTGCGGATGACAGTCTGGCACAGCGGCTAATCAGCCAGACCTTGCGAGCTATACAGCTTCTAGATGAGAAAGAATCATGCAACAACGCGACGTGCCATCGTGTGAGATTCACACTTGGCCGCATGTGGAATCACCGCAACCTAGACGAGGTCACGCACCGGCACATCGACCAGGTCGTCGCCGGTAGTGTCACAGATTTGAGTGTACACCTACTCGAGTTTTTCACGAGTGCGGGACAAGATGGCGAGCTCAAGGCACCTGGACCACTGTTTGGTAATATGGCGACACGCGAAGGCGTCGCCAAGCTCAAAGACATTCCGATCCTGCTGCTTGCCAGGTCAGATAACCAGCTGTTTAGCCCTGAGTCTGTCGAAAAGAGTTACAAACTTCTTTGCGATACTTTCGGGCCTGATATGTATAAGCTCAAGATCGTGCCGGGCTATGGACATCATGACTGCTGGGTCGGTTATAATTCGTGGAGGGATGTATATCCTATTGTGCGAGAGGAGGTGGACCGCGTGGTCAGGGGTGATCCCAATCATGGTCAGGAGCCAAACGATAAGTGGGCGCTCGAAGGCGATTCGCATGCGCCGGGACGATAGTCCTCATACCTCGCGTTGTTTTCGTTCATTCCAAGGAGTTTGGTACAGTTGGTCTCGACCGGAGCCATTCTCGCCAGAGGCATGTTCTGGAAACAGATTTTCTGCTACCCAGCCACTGAAGTCGCCAGGGCCGTCGCCGATCGGTGCGAGGTAGGCAAGTGAGGCATCAAATTTAAGATCCCGGGCTCAACAATATTATTGTCCACTACCGTGTGCCAATTTGTTCAATTGACCCTCTCCGCGGTTTCGACCTGCACATCCTTTGCGTTTGCGGCCTCGGGGAAGGCGGGGATATTTCCACCGGCCCTTTTCAGCTGAACCATCTCCCAACCAACAACAACAGGATTTCTTCCATCCATGAAGATCAAGTCAATTTCCTCGAGACTCAGGCCACTTGTTTCGGCTGCATGTTCGTCAGTGAGTCATGTCAACCTCGGAGGGCTGCGGCGAGGAAGGACTTACGGTAAAGGAAGTAGACCAGGGGAACAAATATCATGCAGGTTGTGAAAAAGATGAGGTAGGCTTTCCACTGGAGTCGATTAATAATAACCGGGGTTATCATCGCGACGGTAAAGTTCCAGAGCCAGTTGCTACTAATGCCAATAGCGGTTCCCTGAGTGCGGGCGCTCAGGGGCAGCAGCTCGGGCACGTAAACCCAAGGGACGCAGGCGACGCTAGATTGGTGTCAGAAGCTGATCAGTTCTTAGGCGTCGGTACTCACGTTGCTCCATAAATAAGCATGTATAAAAAGAAAAAAGTGATAGACGCGGAGGCAAAATTCGTTCCTCGAGACGTAGCGCCCCCATCTGCCTGCGAGAGTAATGCTGCAACCATAAGCATACAAATGCCCAAGCCAGCGCAGCCCCAGATCATGGTCTTGCGCCGACCCATTCGATCCAGGGCAAACGTAGGTAGCAGATTTCCAAACATAAACATCATCTGAATGCAGCCGCCTAAAATCTGGCTTAGCTGAGCGCCCATGCCAACATTGAGGCGCAAGACGGATGGTATATAATAAACAATCAAGTTGATTCCGCAAATCTGGTTCATTAGTTGAATCAGCCAAGCAAGGAAGACCCTGTATCCCGTCTTCAGGTCATCGTTCTTGAAGGCAGAGAAGAAGGATCGTTGAATCTCTGACTCCATTTCCAAGGCCTGGAGTATAGCCCTCTTTTCGGCGACGATGAACTCATCGTCGGGGGTCTTGTCGTGAATCGCGCAGAGTACTTCGACTGCTTCTTCGTTCCGGCGGTGGTAGAACAGCCATCTCGGGGACTCAGGCAAGGCGAACACAAGAATTATGACTCCTATCGCCATTCCGGCTTGTAGAGCGATAGGGAGACGCCAAGCGATGGGCCCGCCCACGAAGCTCATACCGAAGTTGAACCAGTAGGCAACCACGATTCCGATCTGTAAGTTCGGTTGAGCTCCTATATGAGAATTGGATGAAAAGGGTACTGACACCAATGAATAGGACCTCTGCACTGACAAGGCGGCCTCGAGATGCTGCTTTACAAAGCTCTGACTGATATCTGAATTTCAAGTATCAGTAAAATCCTCCATGTTGAGTTACAACTCTTACGTAGGAACCGTCGAAGTCTTGAGGCCAGTGCCGACACCCGTGATGATGCGACCAATGACCAGATGAGCGATATGGAAGGCTGAGGTCTGCAAACAAGTTCCAACCACAACCCAAACCATGGCAAACCAGATAGTCCAACGACGCCCAAGCTTCTCGCCGACGAGAAAGTTCACTGTCATTCCATTAGTTACTTAAACTGAAAGAGAGGAAGATTTAGCTCACAGACGCATCCCATCAGACAGCCTAGGTTGTAGCATGAGACAATGATCCCTGTCTTGGAGTCGGAAGGATGATCAAATTGATCCAACCAATCTTCATTTTGTAGGATAGGGCCGAAGACACCTTGCTCGTAACCGAAGAGGATGAAGGCTGAGAGGGAGCACAAGGTCACGCCAGCCTGGAGCCTTTTGCCTCTGCCAAGCCATGGACGCATAATGTAAGTTCGGGAGAGAGTAGAAAGTAGAATAAATGGGGAAACAGGGTGAATCAAGAGGATGGTAAATTACTTCTTGTCAAAGAATCCTGCTACGAACGGTAGCAGCAACTGGGAGCTTAAGTAATGCCCGAAGAGCATAAAGGGCTACCCCATGGGGTATTTATCTGGGGCATGCTGGGGAGCTTCAGTAATTCCCGAAGAGCATATAATGTGTACTAGTAGAGAGGCTACCCCATGGGGTAATTATATGGGGCACGCTGGGGCTCGTTACCCCAGGTGACCCACGCGGGGGAGTACAAGGGGGACCCTCGAGACGAGGCATAGCCAGCCATGATGAGTCGTCTCGAGGGATTTCTCCGACGCGAAATAAGGCAAAGCGAAGATTGAGGTCCGTAAAAATCAAATGGTTGCGGATATGCGGGTTAGCACCGGGGTAAAGTGCGGAACATGTGGACCAGTTGTCCCATGTGGCGGCCCAAAAAGCACGGGGAAATGGCTTACAAAAAGAGACACATCTCACCGTCAGCATCTAGAAGACAAGGTTCGTTGGTCACTGCCTCCTAAGCCTTTCATATTGCCCTAGACACCTTCTCGCGCCCTTCAAACACAACAACTGCCAAGTATGGCTTCCAACTATAGAATTCCAGAAGAAATGAAGGCCATCAGGTACAACAAGTTGCGAGACTTCTCCTTAGCCACGGTGCCCGTCCCGGAGCCTAAGCCTCATGAAATTCTCATCAAAGGTGCGCTATGAAGGAGACTATGCGAGGGAATTTGAGAAGCAATTACTCATTGAGCGCAGTCAAGTCGTGCGGCGTTTGTGGTACGGACCTTCACATTCATGACGGAGACTTCGAATCGCGAATGCCTGTTATCACCGGCCACGAGACTTGCGGTATAGTCGTCAAGCTAGGTTCCGAGGTGACGGGCTTCAACCTCGGCGATAAAGTCACGGCAGACAACTCGGAACTCTGCGGCCATTGCCATTACTGTCGACGGGGTCAGCTCCTTCACTGCGAGAACTTCCTCGGCCATGGCGTTCATTGTGAGTGCTCATTATAATTTAGCTCAGGTATCTGCTGACAATGCCGTTTCTGCAGTGGACGGCGGCTTCGCTGAGTACTGTGTATTTCCTGCGGCCAAGCTATTTCACTTTGAAAGACTATCATGGGAAGACGCCACACTCTTTGAAGCCGCGTCTTGTGCTATTCATGGGCTCGAGTGGATCCGGCCAAGAGTCGGATCTAAAATTCTACTCATTGGTTCAGGACCAACGGGCCTCTGTTTGGCTCAATTGCTGAGAAACAATGGAGGTCTACATGTGGTGGTGGCCTCTAACAAGGGTAAGAAAATGGACCTAGCAAGAAAGCTCGAAAGCGGCGATGAGTATGTCGAGCTTGATCGAAATAATCCCCAGTCGCAATGGGACGAGTTGAAAAGGAGACATCCCTACGGCTTCGATGTGGTAGTCGAGGCGTCTGGATCTCACCAAGTAGCAGAGATGGCGATTGATTTCGTGGCCAAGGGCGGCAAGCTGATGTACTATGGAGTGTACAAGAAAGAAGCTTTGGTAAAGGTCTCCCCAGCCAAGGTATTCAAGGATGAAATAACGATCATGGGGTGAGTGCTCTTACCATGGCTTGAAGTTGAGTGCTGGCACTCACACGATACAGATCATTCTCGCAAATGTACTGCTTACAAGCGAGCATCGATTACCTAGAGAGGGGCAAGGTCAAGGTCGAAGGAATCGTGGATAGAACATTCAAGCTGGAACAATTTGGGGAAGCATTGGACGCCGTTAGAAATAAGGATTGCATCAAGGCTGCTATTATAATGGACTAGGCAGAGATTCCACTGAAAGAGCAAAGTTGATACGCCCTAAGGTATCTGGGTTTGTAGCGTAACCCGCGAGTCTTTGAATCCTCGCCTATGGCGTTGCTTGCTCATGTGCTCACACGCTTGTAGAAGCAAGCATAAGATTACACTGAGACAGAAGTCCAGACCAAATACTAGAAAATGTGTACAATGTCGCTTTCCGCCTCGCAGATTTTCAGACAGCTACATCGTCCAAAACCGCCAACCCATCCTTGCTAGCCTTGACTTTTGCCCTCTTCAACCTCCGTGTCTCGCGTTCGATCTTCCGAGTCACCCACCAAGTAACCAAAGTAACAGCGACACAGGCTCCAACACAAGCCATGGCGGCACCGAAGCTCTGCGTATATCTCGGTGCATACTTGCTCAGGAAAATCTGCGGCCCGACCGCACCGCCAATCTGGCCGTAGCTATTGACAAATCCGATAGAGAATGCCGAGCCTGTTGCACGGGACGTCGTCTGCACACGCCACGGCCACATCATTGGAAACCAGGCTGAAGTCACGGCATTGCCGATGAGAGTGGCCGTGTATACGGCGCCGTTGCTAGGGTATGCTACCAGGACGCCGTAGCAAGCCAGGATAATGGCCATGAGCGTCAGAGGGTAAACCGGTCTGGGTAGTCTGCCATTATCGGCAAACCAGCCTGTAATGCCGATGACGACGATAGAAAGTATTGAGATGGGTAGGTTGAGGAGTTGGGCGCGTGCAATCGTCCTAGGCGACATTAGTGTCTGGCTCGTGCAACTAGTCTGCAGTCAAGATACTGACGTGAAACCAAGGTTTGCAATAACTGTCGGCTGATAAAACCGGACACCGCTAGTCCCGATAGTAAAGGTGGCCCAGATCAAGGTGAAGAGCCAAAGTCGTTTGTCTCTTAGTGAGGAGATGATCTCACTAAACTTGAAATCCATTTCTTCCGCTCGAGGTGCATTGGGGGGGAGGCGAGCCTGAATAAAAGCCCTTTCTTTCTCAGTGAGCCACTTTGCCGTAGGCGGGACTGGCCACAACAATGTCAGCAGAAGTGGAACTTAATGTGAGAATCGGGGATTATCCGTACAATCAGGTAGGATAAAGTAGATGATCACGCCGAAGATTACTGTCACCACACCCTCCACGAGGAACAGCCTGCAGATATGCCCAAGGATCAGCTAACATTAAGGCAGGTCCAGACCAGAGCGATATTGTTTACCATTGCCATCCTGATAGCCCTGCTGCACCTGAAATGCTGTCGAAAGCAAATGCTAAAAGACCGCTCACTACGCCAGAAAAGTTTCCAAGAATGTCTGTATGAATACTGTTAGATGCGGATTCCACTGGCTATCAGTTCAACCTACAAAAATAAAGCAATCGAATCGACATCTCATCCGGACGGTACCAGTAACACATTTGCAAAATCACTCCTGGAAACATGCCGGCCTCGGCCTAGACTTGCGTGTGAGCGAGGATCGATTTGTTCAGTTTCTCTGTTCTGCATGCAAAACTTACCAATCCGAGAAGAAACCGAGTTGCCCATATCCCAGCCTTATTCGTCACAGGCACATGGCATAGGAGAGCAATCCCCCAAGACACCATGATTCTGGACTGCCAGGTGCTGGGGCTTGCTCTCTTCAACAGCAGGTTTGACGGGGCTTCTCCAAGGATGTATGGCACCTGGCGAGCAAGTTAGAACCTCTGAAAGGATGAACTAGTATGTTCTTTCGCAGGACTGTACCAAATCACTTACATAATAAAATACAGTGAGCAAATTGTACTCATCCGATGTCAAGCCCAGTTGTGTCATGATATTTCTATCAGTTCCTCTGTTCATAATCCTGGCATTTGATATGTTGTCCGAATCAATGTTTTTGAAGAGGAACAGAAGGGAGCACAGGGTCATGATGCGCAGGTCAACTTTGCGCATGAGTTTCCTCTCTTCCTCGGCCGTCAAGGACGCGCGAGCCCGCATGCGCTCGGCGTCGAAGCCTGAGATATCCCCCGTCGCTATCGCCTCATCGATGTCGGCCCCGCGACGAGCGAAGTGCAAATCATCCTTGGACTGTACAGTTCTGGTTGATTCTTCACCCTCACTGATGACGGTAGGGTCGTTCTTAGCTGCTGCCATAACTGCCGATAGCGTGTCGCAGTGCCTGGAAACAAAATAACAAAACTGAGTAGATCCACAGCCGCCCTGAGGTCGACGTTGACAGAATTCATTTGTACAATTCGGTATCATCACAATCTGACATATACCCGCAGCCACCAACCCTGAAATTCAATGTGGAGCATCATTCGATGGTGTGATTTACACAGGAAGCACGATTCTGGCCGAAACACCCACCGATATCCTGCCAGGTGCTGATATGCCATACACACCACAATGTAGTCTTCGCCAAACCCCCACACCAGTGAAGGAATCGTGCCTGTTTCGGTCTTGGCATTTCCATTCCGCTTTCGCTCTTCCTATTGCTTGGGATGAGAGGTCATAACGAGATACGTCAATGTGCTTTCATGGGGGTGGGATTGACCAATAATAGGGCTAGTAATGCTGCTATTCGCAACCCATCCCCAACATGACGAATCTAACGGGCAAGTCCCCGCGATATCTGGGACACGCTGGGAATCACACCGCGGCGTGGTATCGAAGCTCGCTGCCGTCACTAGAGTTGTGGCATAAGACGTTTACGCGTGTGCTATCAATCTATCATGATTTTCAAGAGGTACAACGTCTGATGCTTACCAGCAGCTCAACAAAATGCCTTCAGTGATAGAAGTACCCAGCGCTCGAACAGAGCCAAATGCTCCAAAACTTGCATATACACAAGTTCCAGAAACTCAACACGATTGTGAGTCTTCCCACGGCCCTTAGCTACATGATTGCTCCGTACTGACGAGCCCCGCTCATAAATCAGTGGACTGGGCCGACCTGGTCACTCTGGACCTGGCCAAGTTCGATGAACCAGGCGGGAAAGAAGCTCTAGCTCGACAGCTCTTCGAAGCCTTACAAACGATCGGGTTCTTCTATATCATCAATTTTGGTCTGGCCCAAGAAGAGGTCGACAGACAGTTTGCCATTGGCAAGGCCGTTTTCGACCTCCCCACTGAAGAGAAGCTGTCGTACCGGGCTGACCTGGAGAATGGTGGCTACAATGGCTATAAGCCTCTTGGCCTAAGAGTAAGGAAATCATTCGTGTATATGTAGGAGCACCGGAATTAGGCTCACCGTTTCATTGACCGCCTTGTAGGAAATCAAGCCCGGCATATTCGACAATACCGAGATCTTCAACATCCCCAAGTTCATCCCAGCATTCGAGAGGAGACAGCCCGAGGTCATCAATGCCAACCAGGCAGAGATAGAGAATTTTGCTCGCCACATTCATCACGACATCGTTCATAAGCTGCTGGTGCTGTTTGCCATCGTCTTGGAGCTCCCGAACGAAAATTATTTCTTGAGCAGTCATCGTTACGATGAGAAGTCAGATTGTCATCTGCGGTACATGAAATACCACCATCGCTCGAAAGAGGAGAATGAGGCTTTGGAGAACGTCTGTATGTGGATTCCAATCTCCTCATTCATTCACTGAACTGCCCGCTCTCGCGAGTATCTTCTGTAATTATATGACAATGTGAAAGTCGGAGGGAAGCCCACATGCAAAGATTGACACTCCTGGCACGCAGCTCTACAACGAGTTCTTTCGACAATGCTTCACAGCGTTCAATAGCTGAAGTTGCTGACATATCACTAGGGGTAAAAGGACACACGGACTTCGGCTCCCTCACCCTTCTATTCCGCCAGCCTGTCGCGGCCTTACAGGTTCGCGCCCCAGAAGGCGGGTGGAAATGGGTCAGGCCACATCCGGGGAGTATCACAGTCAACGTGGCTGACGCGCTGGAGATGCTGACCAACGGCTTCCTCAAGAGCAGCATCCACCGGGTTGTTGTGCCGCCGCCTGACCAGCGCGGCGCTGATCGCCTGGGTGTGCTGTACTTCGTCAGACCGGAGGACGATCTCCAGCTGTGGCCGGTGCATAGCCCTGTGCTGGAAAGACTTGGATATGACAAGGTGCAGGAGGACGTCGTTGGGATCACCGCTGGGCAGTGGGTCAAGGCGCGGGTACGCGCAGGTGTGAATAAAAATGGGAAAGCACGAAGTGAGATTAATGAGCAGGAGATTATTGGAGGGCGAAAGGCCAAATATTACGACTAGTTTGATTTGTATGACTCCGGTCAGTCTAGAGTGGTCTATCAGTCACAGTCATGGGGGTTTGCTACGGACGACACGTTCCACGGCACATTCGGGGTGTTGAAGAAACCAGATTGATGTTTGACACATGTGGCGACGCGGGTTTGCCTGGAATTATTTCACTAGCCAGTGCTAAATTTATCGGTGAAGGTATTCTTCAATAATCCAGCAACTACAGCCTTCGAAATGAGAGAAAATTGGAAGACGCAGGTTGTTCAGACCTAGTCGAGTACTAAGGAACTATTCCACGAGAACCAGCCCTTACATCCCCCTTCTCGGGGATCAACCCCTCCATACTGCTTCGGTTTTGCACCATCTTGTCCTGTTGATCTCGTCGTTGTTGTCATCTGAACGAAGGAAGTCATACACAAAATTTCCGCCCTTCATCCAGATGTACTGACTCGACTCCTTGAAAAGATTCAATACACACTAACCCTTCCCAACGTCTAAAATTATAACCTTCACTGGGAGGCTAAGGGCACTGCCAGGTTAAATGACTCTGGCTGCGACATCTGACTGATTGGTGAGATCGGCTCGCCCGCGTTAAGCTCGCTGGACATCAACCCTGGTGGGATTTCCAACGAAGAAACACCTGAGGGAGACACGGCGGCCGGCAGTACTAGCTCGTATGAGGCTGGCGAGATCTGTACATCAGTACTAGACTCTGTGCCATCGGTCCCACTCTCTGATCCCTGTCGGTCTGCGTTCGGATTGGCCCGAGACTGAGGCACCCAGGTATTGGAGGTTTGTGCATCTTTCTTTATAGCTGACCCGACCTCCTTACTTCGGTCAACTGCATATTCAACGTGTAGGTCCGCTAGAAAGTACCCTGGCCGTGTCTTGGGTACGGAGTCTGTATAACCCGACCATGCTTTCGAGCCCAGGCCCTGGTAAGCCATGCGCTGTAGCTGAAGCGTTTCATTGCCGGTCCACTCAAGATATTTGTACTCCTCATATTTGCGTCTGCGCACGAGGTATTCGAAGATAGGCTCGAGCAGGTAGGACACAAGAATGATGAGAACACCAAGCGCGAAGGTGAAGTACAGCCCAAACAGACTAAAAGAGGTGTAGTCGGTACTTAGGATTTTCTGAGACGAGTTTCAGCGTCAGTCAGCAAACCCCTTTGCAAATCACATGCCGATATATGCGTCAGAACAATGAGAACAGCAGCTGCTAGCACTTTGCTAGTCTTACCTGATTGTGGCACAAGGATTCCATGTATTTGTTACTGGGCCGCCCCGTGTTCTGAAATAACGATGGGTCAATAGGGCCATGAGCTGCATTCACAAAAGCCGCTTGCACTCCTGCCAGCTCAGTCGCCCACCAGTGAGTAACGTCAAGTTTCCACTGGTTGGTGGGAATCTGCGCCATAAATCCCAGTTGGAAGTCCCGACGAGATGCGAGAGACGCAGTGCCTAGACCAGTGAGTAGGGCCCGAAGCTCGTACGTAGAGGCAATGATATCTTCGAACCAGGAGAACTGAGATGATGTCTGAGAGGAGACGTTCGTGGGCCACTTAATCACCTCTAGGGGAGTATCAAAGAAAGGCGCGGCTGTTGTCATGGAGTCGTAGAAACTTGCAAGTTCTCCGCACTTGTGTTCTGCATTACAGTATTGTTGCTGCTGGATGCAGCCCAGTGGTGAAGCGGCTTCGTCTGGTCGATAGACGTTCTTGGTCCATTCTCTAGCTCCGGATACACCATGAACCTCTCCCCATGGAACGAAACCTCGATACCAAGGGTCGTTTGTTGGCTCGTAGAAAGTCACGCCGTTTCCCGAGAGAAAGATAAGGAGCAGATCTGCGTCTGGTCGGAAGAGCCTAGGATCAGGTGCGAAGATGGATGCCGTATCATCGACAGTCTTATTAGCGGTGATCTGATACATTACACTACATTTTGAAAAGTTAGCGTCAGTGTATTCGATAGGAAACAATTATTTGTCAAGTTCGAAGCTCAAAATTCAAACTGGGAGTAGACAACAATCATTTACCTCAGCCTCAAGTCTGCGGCTCGAAAACTTAGCCTGTTATCATCCAATCTCAGATATTGGGTTTCCAGGTCCTCTGATTGCCAAGTAAAGTTCATATTCTCTACAGTCGTACCGTAGAAGTATTGTGTATAGTTATTGACAGGCGTGGTAACATTCCTAGAGAAGCCTGCTGTGTTCACAGGCGCACAATGTAATGTTCTCCGGTAGAAGATTCTCTGGTTATCGGGAGTGTTAAGGCCGAAGTGCTCACGACTATCGAGATACCCAGAATCGAGGAGAAGATTTGATTGGTTATTCCGACACATGCCATCTTGGAAAGGGCATGCGGCCTGCTCATCCACGGTTCCGGGTAAGTGATCCTTGATAAAGTTTGTACAGTCGAAGTTACCAGTAGGATTACTCGAGTAACACTGCTGAGCATAATTCACTGCGTTGTTGATCGTCTGTGAATCATGCGCACTCAGAGAAGATACTGTCTCGGCGTTTGCTTTCGTATCATACACTATGCCACAGCCACGCCCATCGAGTAGCACCTCTTTGCCCACTCCAGACGATATGGACGAGGAAAACCCAGCGGCAATCGTGAACAAGCAGAAGCAGAGCCCAGAAAATATCAATGCAGGCAGAGTTCGGACCAGTAAATGTTCTGTGTCACGACGCCATGTCCAGGTAAGTTTGGACATTGTCCAGACTCCCCATGCGGCGGAAGATGAGTTACGGAGAACTAAGCCCTTGAGCGTTAGTAGATTATTTCTTTTCGCCTAAAAAGTTTCCGCAATTAGATCCTATGGGGCGCTCACTAGCTTGTCTTTGATGATGCAAAGCGTCTCGAGGATCTGAAGTTGAATAGATGCGGTGGAAGCAAAGACAAGAGACGCGCCAGGTAGCCGTAGCAACAATTCCAACAAAAGTTGCAGTAAATGCGATGAGGAGATTACCATATACTCGATCGAGGGTCAAAGTCGCACCCATGATGCGACCCCGGGACCAGTTGATCCAAACTCCTTGATAAACACTGTACGGCACTGTCCTGGTAGTGCCAGCCCAAGCCGAAGAGTTCGTCATGGCGAATGAAGGACGTGGAGTACAGCAGCAGCAATGATTTTGAAAGCACGATATAGATGATATGGCTAGATCCCCTTTATAGACCTAAGCATTTGTTTCATTGTGTCACCAGCCGAATGTACTCCTGCTGCCTTGCTCGCATCACGTTAATCACCATGTGCATTCATGCAACCGTCCACACAGGTTATGCCTCGAAAGTATCTCTGAAACTATCGCAGCTGAAGCAGCTGGAAGCTCAAAAGCCATTTTCGCAACGGTGGGCAGCCAATCACAAGCTACAGCAGTGGGTGGAATTCGTTCTGCAAAAGCGCATTTCATCATAACAGAGCGTCTCTACGTTTAGTCTTTCTCTGATGCTAAACCAAGCTGATCAAGAACTTTCACATGTTGACTATTTTATAAAGCGTAAACCGAGTTACTATATCTCTTTACGCGCCATTTGGGACTAACGTGCAATTTTGAACTTCTTCAAAGTCTCGAGTGGCTACATTTGGGAACTGTGTTTCTTTGTAGAACGTCGTCTCTACCTATGCTTGCCGCCTCAAACCCCCAACCGGGGGGGGCCCCCAAAACTTTCCATCTTAACACACTGAGGTCCGATTGCACGATGGAACGTTCAGGATCCGGTTTCATTTGAGAGCGCCACAAGTCCGTCGGCCTCTCCGACCTTTTGATCGCCCCCACGTTTGGTCCGGTCAGCCTTGACATGTTGACAAGCTGACTGCAGTTCATCGCTGGATTTTTCGTAATCTACTCAGTGTCTGATGTATATACATACCACATACGTGCAATATTCAAGTGGTCTCAGACCCCAAGACCGGATCTTCTTGCTCATGCATCAAAGTGGATCAGCGGAGTCAAATGGAGGCTGCGCTCGTCGGGTCGTCGGTTCAGTTGCGCATCAATCAGTGTGCAATCTGCAAGAAGTCAATCAGACCATCTCAGGTGAGCCTTGCCGTGTCTTGTCCTGCTGTTGATGGATCTGCCTGACCGCTGTGTGCTACCTCGAGGCAGAAAAATGGCCATCAATATCCCTCAATGACATGTGATGTTGCACAAGCGGGACAGTGTCGAGGCCCAGAATCTTCGGGCGCCTGTCTCAGCTCAGGATGGCGCACTGAACGACGCTGGAATATCGGCTCCTGGGGGCGGTGAGCATTCGTCTCTAGCATGCAAATCTCTGCCGTTGTCCACATTTGTATCCAGGAAACACAAGGCTGCCTTCCTGAGGCACACCTGCCCCTTTAGCAGGAAAGTGTCTGGCTGGGCTGAGAAGCATGGACGAGCTGGAGAACTGTCGACTTAGACTGGGTATCAGTCTGTGCTCGATATCTATGCGCGAATTTCCTGGGTTCCAAATCGAGTCATTCGCCCTCGGAGATGATAATTTCTTGTGTGAACTTTCAAGTTTATTATTCTTCCCCCATGAGTCTACGTTGCGAAGACTATTGACAGGTCATACCTTCGATTTTAAACCAACGTCTGTTGCAAGTCCGCCGCGAGGCATTGGTTGCAGGAATTGTTGATACAAGACAATATTACAGCAGATACAACCGGATCGAGTGGACAGGGCTCATCTACCGAAGCAGCAGCTGGATTGAAGAGTGAAGAGTTGGGTCATCAATATACGTATCACTAGCACCAACTTAGAGAATTATTGATCCCAACTTCTAATGACACTGGACAAGACACAAATGCTAGTATATCTAATCTAATGCTTCGCCACCACCCCCGACGCGTCAGCCTGCGCGGTGATCTTCTTCTTGTAGTCCTGCACGGTCCCGTCAAACTTCTCAACAGTACCACCATCACAGACCCACAGGCTGGTGCAGACGGTCTGCAGCATGGTGACGTCGTGGGAGACCATGAGCACGCCGCCCTGGAACTGCTGCAGGGCCTCGGAGAGGGCGTCCATGGCCTCGATGTCGAGGTGGTTGGACGGCTCGTCGAGGACGAGGATGTGCGGGTTGGTGAGGGCGAGGCAGGCGAAGGCGACACGCGACTTCTGACCCCCGGAGAGCACCTCCATCTTCTGCAGGCCCGTCGTGCCCGTGATGCCGAAGGCGCCCAGCTGCCGGCGGTACTCCTCGTCGGTGCGGCCCGGGTACTCCCTGGCCATGAAGGAGACGGCCGAGAGGTTGAGGTCGAGGGCGTCGACGTGGTGCTGGGCGAAGAAGCCGACGCGCAGGCGCGGGTTCTGCTGGATGATGCCCGACGAGGCCGTCAGCTTGCCGATCAGCAGCTTGAGCACCGTCGTCTTTCCCGCGCCGTTGGGCCCCACGATGCCGATCCGCGAGTCGAGCTGCACGTCCAGGTCGACGTTGCGCAGCAGCATCTTGTCGGGCGAGTAGCCGAACGTCACCTCGGACATCTGGATGATGGGCGGCGACATCTTCTCCACGTCCGGGAACTTGAAGTGCACGCTGTAATCGGCCTCGGGCGCCTCCAGCACCGGCATCTTCTCGAGCTTCTTGATGCGCGACTGCGCCTCGGACGACTTGGCCGCGTTGTAGCGGAACTTGTCGATGAAGGCCTGCAGGTGGGCCCGCTCGGCCATCTGCTTCTCGTACTCGCGCTTGGCCGTCTTCTTGCGCTCCTCCTTGGTGGCGTAGAAGGAGGCGAAGTTGGCTCCCCTGTAGTAGTCGAGCCGTTCTGAGTGCTGGTGGATGATATCTGTGGCAACCTCGTCGAGGAACGCCCTGTCGTGAGAGACGACCAGCACGGTACTGGGGTAGCCCTGCAGGTAGTTTGAGAGGAAGGTGATGGATGGAACGTCCAACATGTTTGACGGTTCGTCGAGCAGGAGCAGATCCGGCTCACAGAACAGCGCTCTGGCCAGGGCGAGACGCATACGCCAACCTCCGGAGAAGGTCTTGGTGGCGAACTTTTGACGCTCGGGCGAGAAACCGAGACCGGCGAGGATACTCGCTGCTCTTGACTCAGCCTTGTCTGATTCCATCTCTGCGAGCTTGGCCTGGACGTCGGTGAGCTTCTGGTCCTGTGCCTCACGCTCGCGATCCAGCCTGGCTGCGTCTGCTGATGTGTCTGCCAATGTGGCCCTTTGGCTCTCGATCTCGGCGAGAGTCTCGGTGATCTGAGCTTCGTCCTTCAAGAGAACCTTCCGCCACACGTCGGCATCAAGCACAGCTTGCAATGCTGGAGTGTCGTCTCCCATGATCTATGTAAAGGTCAGCACAGACTCCACGAAGAGGGGTCAGGAACAGTTCCACGTACCTCTTGCTCGACATGCAAAATGGAAATATGAGTGGGAATCGGAACCTCTCGGCGAGACAGAGCCCGCAGCAGCGTAGATTTACCGATACCGTTGTTACCAACCAGACCATAGCGACGGCCGTATGCCAGCGTCAGTGTGGTCTCGGTGAGGATCCTCAGACCACCGATAGCCACATCGATGTTGTCCAGCTTGATGTCCTTGGACTTGCCACCGGCACCTGGAGCCTGCAGAGGGTTGACAGCCATGTAGAACTCCTCGTACGACTGGGTGGACTCGGGCTGGTTGAGCAGGCGCGAGGCCTCATACTCGACCGTCTTGAAGGTCTTCTTCTGCTGCTTGGCGGCGATCTTGCGCTCGGCCTTCTCGAGCTTCTTGCGGTCGACCTTGGACTCGACCTTCCTGACGTTGGCAGCCTCCAGGTCGACGGCGCCGGTGGCGACGGCGAGGGTGGAGGACATGTTGTTCTGGGCGCCGACCTGGATGGACCGGTCCAGGCGCCTGACAGTCGGGCCCTGGCGCTGCAGCGAGCCGTTTGCCTCGTCGTACTTGGTGACCCATTTCTCGACGAGCTGGCGGATCTTTTCCTGCTTGGCGGCATCCGGGTCGCCGGCGGCGGAGAGCAGCAGCTCGATCACGACCGAGGCGGCCTCGGCCAAGGGGGACGGGCCGGCCTGGTCCTCATCCCCGGCCCAGGAGGTGGATGCATGGGTCAGGTAGCCGGCCGAGTACTCGGACACGACCGGGTCGATGTTGGGCAGGACGGTCCTGATCTCGGACTCCATGGTGAGTGGCTGG